CTCCCACCTCAGAAGCGATATGTCATTACTATGCCGTTTACGCCAGTTGAAGAACAACACTATCAATCATTGTTCCAGAAAATGTGCGCCGAATGTGGCGTTGACCTCGAAGGAGGCCCGTTGGCAGACGATTGGGATCCTACCAGGATCAGAACGTTAGAACGGATGAGAGTCTGGCTTAGTCGGCTAAGGCAGAGCGCCTTACATCCCGAAATTGGAGTTAAAAATCGCCGTGCCTTGGGGAGAAAAGATGGCCCTCTGCGCACTGTAGAAGAGGTTCTAGAGACCATGTTGGAGCAAACAGAGTTGAGTATACGCGGAGACCAGCGGACCCTACACCTCACCCGACTCAAGAGGGGCCAAACTCTGGAAAATTCGCCCCGTGTCAAAGAAGCTTTGGAAATTTGGAAACGCGTGTTAGCGGATGCAAATGCTGCTGTTTCTCTTTGTCGAGAGCAGCTACAGAGCGAGATAGATTCTCCCAAAGTGAATATGGCACTGGACGGTGGGCCTTTGCTTGATGACGATGAAATTTCGTCTGGCGATAACAGCGACATTGACGATCTGGAACCTGGTGCTGAAAGCACATTACGCGTTGGCGCTCTTCGAAACAGGCTCAATGCTGCACTTGAAATCCAGCACATGGCAGTATTCTTCTGTGCTAATGCATATTTCCAGATCAAGTCGAATGAAGAGATGACAAAGCCTGACTCCGAGGAATTCTTGGAACTCGAAAAGCTGGAGGCAGAAGGCTATCAACAGGCCAAGATGATCCGACAGGAAATCCTAAAGGAGATTTTTCGGAAAAACACAAAACCAATGGAGCGACTCGCGAAGAAGGCTTCATCCGAAGATTTTTTGACCATCCCTGAATTTCACATAAAGACGCAAAAAGGAGGAATCGAGAGCACCATACTTCTGCAGCAGCTAGATGGACTAGCTGCCGCACTGGATGCACAAGCAAATCAGCTGGATGAATGGCGTGAAACCACAATCCAGAACCTACTTCAGCCCCTGGTAGATGAGGAAGGAGTCATTGAAATGACCGGTGAAGAATATCTGCAGTCTACTGAGCTACAACAGGAGATTGTCATATATGTGTTGGCTTTGCGTGCTGTTATCGAAGACCGACACGATGCTCTAACGGGCCAGGAAAATCAACTTGTGAAGCATGAGGTTAAGGTTGCCATGAAACAGGCCAAAGACGATATTGAACAGGCCGAAGCTGAAGAGGCTGAAGCAATTGTTGATCAGGCCGAAGCTCAAGAGGCCGAAGCAGTTGTTCATCAGGCCGAAGCAGACGCTGAAGCAGACATTGAACTGGCCGAAGCTGGCAAATGGTCATTACCCCGGAGAACACTAGAGCTTTTACAAGCTCGTGCAGAATTGAAACCACCGAAAGCCATGGGATCTGTCAAGGGAATTCTCTCCGAATTAAGGACACTATCATCACAACTCCGAATGGATGCGACGAAAGGCAGTTCACGAGCGGCTAATGAGTTGGCCATCATTGAACGTAATATGGCCATTGTCCGCCCGCACCTCGACAAACAGCTCAAGGCTGTCATGGCTTTGCGGCAGGAGATTGACGAATTCACATCGTTAATGAACTTACGTGTGGAATATTATCGACAGCTTCAACAAATTTCCGACATGGTGCTGCCTCTAGGAGAAGATAGTCCCCCAGATCTGGCTATAACTCTATTAGAAACTGAACAGAAACTCGCTGCTAAAATTGCGACAACTTCCTCAAAACTGCGATATCTTGTTCACTTAAAAGAAGAGAGCGAAGAAGATGCCGAAGGAAAGGATTGCCTGATCTGCACGGTGCCCTTCGAGAATGGGTCGTTGACCGTTTGTGGCCACATATTTTGCAAAGAGTGCATGGGGCTCTGGTTCCGAGGACACAAAAACTGCCCAGCGTGTAAACGTGAATTAACGATAAATGACCTGCACGACATCACATACAAACCCCGGGAACTAAAGATGGCGGAAGAGGCACCCATCACACCTCACAATCAAGATCGTGCTCTAGTTTCCCCCAGCAAGAAATTGGGCATATATTCCCAGATAAGCAAGGATACCCTCGCCCAAATCAAGAACATCGACCTCGTCGGTCCCTCTTTCACCACGAAAGTCGACACGCTCTGCCGACACCTCCTGTGGCTCCGCGAAGCAGACCCCTTCGCCAAATCCATCATCTTCTCCCAATTCAGCGACTTCCTCGTCATCCTCGGCCGCGCTTTCACCCACCACCGTATCGGCTACTCGACCATCGACAAGCCCGGCGGAATCGAGAAGTTCAAGAACGACGCCGCAACCGAATGCTTCCTCCTACACGCCAAATCGCAGTCTTCCGGCCTGAATCTCGTCAACGCCAGCCACGTCTTTCTCTGCGAGCCGCTCATCAATACCGCCCTCGAGCTCCAGGCCATCGCGCGTGTCGACCGCATTGGGCAGCAGCAATCCACGACCGTGTGGCTGTACCTCATCGACGGCACGGTTGAGGAGGCTATCTACGACATCTCGGTGCGGCGACGCATGGAACACATGGGCGGTGCGAGCACAGCACCGTCGAAGGAGAGCACGCCCGAGCTTGCAGACCGCAAGATCGAGGTTGCGAACTCGTTGGAGCTGCAGCAGGCACCGCTTGCGAATCTGCTGGCGAAGGGAAAGGAAAGTGGTGAGTTTGTTGGGAACGATGATTTGTGGGAGTGTTTGTTTGGGAATAGGAAGAGGGCGGTGGAAGGTGCTGCTGCGGCTGAGGAGAGGTTGGATCGTGAGGTTGCGAGGCACTTCGGGGCGGAGGCTGCGGAGGCCAGGATTGCTAATGGGGAATGATGACTGGTTCTGTCAGGTGGATTTGATTGGGATGTTTATAGCAGATTGTTTGTGAATTGTTTAGCAGAATACCACCATGTTTGACTATTGTAGACTATCTGTCCACCGAACCGTAGTTGTCTGATAAAATGTATCCAAAGACATCACCGTGAAGCAACTCTTCTAAGACAATGAAAGCTGAAGAAAGAAGGAAAAGCCTAGCATGCTTTCACATCCCAAAGCAAAAAAATGGCAAAAGACTCACAGTCTGATATTTGTATCAGACCATGAGGAGAAAATCACTTGATTTTACTTTTTGACGTTTGGCGTTTGTGTCAAGCGCTTATTTTTTTCTTGTCGTTTGCTTGCTGGGAGTCGAATTGATGACCCTTTCCGTAATTCATTTCCTTGCCCTGGCCGGATTGTCCTGACAGTGGTACTCCCACTGCGCCACCGTGCCGCTGAGGATGGTGATGGCTAATGTTGATATATAAAGGGGTCGCCGCTTGCGCTTGTCCCTTACTAAATTGTTAGCCATGGATATAAGGCCCCTGAAAGAGACCCTGACAAAGAGCACTCTGACATCATGCTCGTGCCAGTTTCGGCTGCTGTTGGCAATGTGGGATATGGCAACAATGGTTTGATTGACCAATGCTGTGGATCAAAATATGAGTGAGAGATGGCTGCTATGATATATCATCGCAACACTCGGAGATCCCCATGCTGGTATAAAAGAGGATGTCTCCATGCCACATGACCTCTTCGCGGGGATAGGCAATGAAAGGAGCTGTTGCAAGGCCTGTTCAACTCTGATCAGGTCATGCAATAGAGCCAAGGCTCCTTCAATCTGTTGCCAAGATACCGTCAGACTATTCTCACTGGAGAATGCTGATAGGTGGACCCAGGTTGAACATGCCCTTGCGTCGCCTGGGATGAGAATGCTCGCCATATCGTAGAAAATAAAGAGAAAAAGGCGATAAATATCAGTATCACAAAGCCCAAAGGACATCCGCATGGGTGGTGCATCCATCATGGTATTCTCAGCTAGCCTAGCCATCTACAAGCCCGCGATCAGGCCAACGCCACATAATTCCCCTCGCGCCACCAGCCAGCCGTACGCCCTCCGAACCCTGCGCGATGCATAGCCACCTTCCTCAGCACCCCATCATGCTAAAAATCCGCTTAAGCGACACGCTTGCCCTTCTGGTTCTTCTTGGGGGTATCGGCGATGGTCAAGCCTGCGTTGTGTTAGTCTCTGTGCGTGCGCCTGTGTGCTGGTAAGAAGATGCTGGTGGGTGGACGTACTCGGGGGGAGGGATTGCTTGAGCTTGTCGGCCTTCTCGGAGTCCTTGAGGACAAGGGTGTAGAGGTGGCGCTGGCAGCGGACCTTGAACTTGATGGCGGAGGTCTTCTTGCTGCGCTTGATGCGAGCCGAGCTGGCGTCCTTGCGGCGGCAGATCTCGATGAACTGGGGGGTATGTCAGTATAACTATTCACAAGATGTGTCTTGTTTCCACCGCTGTGAGAAGCCCGAGAGACGGCGAGAGAGGTAGCACAGCCAGAAGCCAGGAGAGAGCGGTAGAGGACCGGTGGAGAAAGAATCAGGGACTGTCGGGGTCTAAGTGGTGTGGTTTGTCGTGACCCTTCCAATCGATAGCGCATTCGTGACACTCGTCAAGACGGACGATACGGGCCCAAGGGTCGCAGTCGAATTGCCATCCCTTGCGCCTGCGCAGTATCTTTCCCTTCGAGTCCAATTCCCAATCTCCAATCGAAGGTCCCCTCATGCGCCCAGTCCCATCCTCTGGCTGTACTTTCTCTCTCCCTCCATCTCTCCGACTTCCCCCAGCCTCTAACAGCAGAAAATAAAGTCGCAACTCACGTTCTTGATGTCGGAAATCTCGCGAGGCATTTTGGCGGTTGGTTTTTGTCGAAAGGGGAGAGGGATTCGATTTCGTGAGGAATTAACGTCGTTGCTCTGCTCGCCCGTGAATAATTCCCGTGTGCGCGAGAAATTCCCTAAGCGAAGGGCAAGGACGATCTGTGGGTAGGTGGTGTGGCTGGGGTAAGGGTACGTACTATATGTGGCTAGTGCGTTGGTGTGGCTAGTGGGTTTTGGAGATGGTGTGGCGTAGCGGGGAACTTTGAGTTTATGCGACGGGTGACGCGGCGGGAGGAGGAAGCCAGTCTGTTCTTTTCAAGACGAGTCATTCCTTTTTTCAAAGGCATTAATATAAGGCTTTGCGCATTTCCTACAATTGTAGCAATCACAGCTTCATCGTATTCTTGAATTTATTCGTTGAACTCAAGATAATACTCCTATTCCATCAACCCCCGTCTACCACAACACACCAAACCTCGCCACCATCCCCATCTCCTCACCATGGCACGAACACCCATAGACAAAGCTCTAAACTCCAGAGTAAGCCCCCCGCATCCTTAAATAAGCACCATTACTAACACCAACCCCAGAACACCTTCGCCGGTAACCATCCCACCTGACACCACCTCGCATCCATCCCGTCACTAACACCACCTCGCAGCCTTTGCCGGAATCGTCACAGCAGCAGCCGTGTGGTCCATATGGGGCAGTGACATGTTCCCAGCCCAGCCTGATCCCACCGGAAGTATGCTCGCCTCATAGCTCGTTGGTCTTCCTTGCCCTGCCCTTGCCCCGCGCCAGACACTCCCCCGTCTCTGTCAGAACTCTTCATCCGACTCTCCCTCGTCCATCCATCTTCATTTTCCAATATTCCGCCACCTACAGCAGTACTGACTACCGCAGACCCCGATGACTGGACAGAACAAGAAATCCGGCAGTGGCTGAAAAATGTATGCTTTCTCGCTCCCCACGTCTCCATTGAACCATTACTTATATCCCCCCAGCGAAACCTCCAGCCCTCCATAACCGCCACCCGCGCCGAGCTCCTCGAGCGCGTAAAGGCCAATCTCCGTGTGCCACGCGCATAGTTCGGACAAGGAGAAGAAGATATCACGGCGCCATTCCCGTTGTAACAAGCCTACTTAGCAATATAATACCCACCTTCGATCGAGCATCACCTCTCACTCTCAAACGTCACGTGCACCCCCTTTTCATGAACTGAACGCCTATCATTTTCTAGAGCCTACCCTTGTGTAATACCTTCATGTACACATGCTACATAGGCCATACCCCCGATTTACTCGCTCTCCTCACCGCTACCACTCTCACTTCCGCTCTCCCCATCTTCATCTTCATCCTCCTCCCTCTCGTCCTCATCCCCCACAAGTCCATAGTCGTCCTTGAAATCCCCCAGAGCACGAACCTCGGTCTTAAACCCATCGGCCTCAAACCCCTTAACAATAGCCTGTACACACACACGTTAGCCCACCTATCCCCCCCAAAAAAGGAGTTAAAGTAATAACTCACCTCCGCCACAACCGGCGCACAAGTAACCACCACATTCGCCCTCCCCGGCTCAAAGCACCTAACCAGCACCTCCCCCATCGCCTTCCTCACCTCCGCCTCCCCCACCTCCCTCACCTTCCTCAACAACTCCTCATTATACCCCTCCGCTACCCCCCTCACCACCCCATTCACAAAGTTCATCTGCGCCGCCATCCCCATCGTCGCCTGCTCATCCGCCAGACTAACCACAATCGCACTCACCGCCCCCTCCAACAAGCTCCTCTCCAACGGCTCCTTCCCGCTCGCAAACGCCGCAACGACCTCGCGACTGCGCGCGAACGCTTTATGCGCATCAGGCGATCGGTAGACGCGGAATTGCATGAACCCCCCGTCGACGTCGCGGCTGAAGCTCGTGCCGTACGCGAGACCGGTGCCGCGGACTGCGCGCCAGAGAGGGCCTTCTACGGCGTCGAGGTAGGCGACTGCGACGAGGAGGGCGGGGATACGCGGGTCGGTGTAGGAGGTTGGGCCGGGGGCGGAGCTGATGGCGAAGGAGGAGTCGATGGTGGGCATGGGGACGACGACTGTGCCTAGGGAGCCTGGGGAGAGGCCGGCAGGGCTGAGGCGCTGGTGCTGCATCTCGATTGGGAGGAGGTCGGTTGGGGCGCCGAGGGCGTCGCTGAGGTGAGACCAGGGCGCGGTGGGGTTGGGGAGTTTGTTAACGTCCGTAACGACGAGGACGCGGACGTTAGAGAAGGTAAAGAGGCTCTTGCGGAGTGTTTCGAGCTTTGCGATCACAGCATCAGGGTCGGTAGTGAGAAGCTTTCGGATGCGCTTCAGGTAGACAGCTTTGACGAGGGTATTTCGCGCCTTGACGGTCGATTTGGAATCGAGGTGGATCATAGCGTCAACAGCGTATGCCATGCTGTTTCCGCTGCGCTTGGCCTCGGGGATATCAGCGAGGATCTTGGTTAGAGCGGCGCGGAGGCGCGTGACGTCGAAGACGGCGTCAAACATCATGGTGCGGATCCAGTGGATTGTCTTCTCGTACTTGTCCTTCTCGACTTCGAAGACGATTCCGACGCCTTCGCTGTGCCCGAGGCGCGAACCACCGCCGATGGCGTAGCTGATCGTGTCTTTCTCGAGATCGGTCACGACAGCCTCGAAAGGAATCTTCTCCCCATTCTGCATGACGGGGGTGTTGAAGAAGTTATCAATGAAGAGTGGCAGCAGAGGACGCAGCTCAACCGGAATCCCCGTCGTCCCAAGTAGCACACTAACCAAGACAAAGTTCGACGGAACATGCTCGAACTGCAAAAACAGCGAAGCGTCCTTCGCCTTATCAATGACCTTCTGCGCACCAACATCCTTAACCCCCAAGCTCCTCGCCGGCCCCGCCCTCGCCGTCTCCGTCTCAATAAAGTGAATCGAGCTCACCCCCGGCACCGGCCACTGCTCCAGAATCGCCTGCGGAATAGGCGCATCATTCTTCGCCTTCGCATCCTCCAATTTCTTCGCCAGCGCCTTCAGCCCATCCACCCCAAGCACATCCTTCTGCGCCGCCACCCTCGTAATCTCCTCTGCCTTAAGCTTATCCGACATAGCCTTCGACGGCTTCCCCAAGATCGAGACATGCTTCGCATCCGAGATCCACCGTCTCAAGAACGCGCGCCACTCGTCATCCGTCCACTTCTCCAGGACATCATACTCCCTGATCGACGCCAGGTCCCTCAGCGTAGAGCCATCGCGCTTCCCGAACAGGAAATCGTTAATCACGTTCGTGGAGAAGAACTCCGCGTTGCTCTCCGCCTGGAACATGACCTGGCGACGCTCGCGACGCACGCAGGCGACCATGTACTTCATGTCGAGCGGCTTGTCCGCGACCTCCCTCAGCACCTCGAACAGCCTCTTCTCGACCGCTGCGAGCTTCTCGGTCGCCACGCTCGTAGGCTGCAGCCAGATGACGGAGTTTGGTCGCGCGTCCCACCATGTGCTGATGGAGCTGGCGAGCTCCTCGCGCTCAACCATCGTGTTCTCTAGGATCGAGATGGACGAGCCGGAGAGGTAGGTGAGGAGCACGTTCAGCGCGCCGGTCTGGATGACATCATTGCAATCCGGACCGAGGAAACCAACAAGAATATCACCCGCCGACTCATCCTCCTCCGGAAACTCCACCGTCTGCAGCACCGTCTCCTTCAGCTCAGGCGTCTGCGGGGACTCCATCCAGGGCCTGCGGAAGGGGGCGTCGGGCTTGGGAATATCCCCCAGGATGCTCTCCTCAAACGCATCCAGAATCTCCAACATATTCTCATGCTCCACCTCCCCCACGATAACCAGACACAAATTCTTAGGCTGGTACATCTCCCGATGAAACTCCCGGATCCGCTCCGCAGTCAGCACACGCAGCTGCTCCATCATCCCGCCCGTCTCGTAGCGGAAACCCACGCCCTCCGGGTACAGCGCGCGGCGCGCGGCGAGATCCATAAGTTCAGGGCCGTTGTTTTGCACACCTTGCATCTCGGAGTACACAACTCCCGCATCATTCCCATCGCCGTCAACATGGTGAACTTCCGTGTAACACCCCTCATCCGTCAACGTAGGCACAATAACATGCTCCAAGTACACCGGCAAGATCTGCGCAAACCCCTCCCACCCCGCCGTATCAAGCGTATAAGCCGTATGATCCGTCGCCGTCCAAGCATTCGTATTAGAATACGCGCGATTAGCAAGTAAATCCAGCACGCCCTTATACTTATAGCTCTTCGACCCCATGAAGACGAGATGCTCAAGCGTGTGCGGCGCGCCGGAGTCGTCGAAGATCTCGGTGGCGAGGGTGAAGTAACCTTGGACTTTTGGGCCTTTGCGGTCCACGACTACGACTTGCATGCCGGTGCGCGTGGACTTGTACTGCGTGAGGCGGGTGGGGGCGTAGTCGGCGTCGAATTGGAGGAGGGTCTCGAAGTGAGACTTGGGGGCGGTGGTGGTGGACATGGTGGGTGGGAAGGCTGGGAGCCTGGTTATTATTCTGGTGGTGGTGGTGGTTATCCTGAGATGTTGGTTAGTATCTTGATGAATAAGTTGTGATGATTCTGCAGGTGGGTGTGCAGTCATCCGGCCGCCAGTAGATTCTTATTCATCCCCATCAAGGAGTCAAGAAGCAGCAGCAGCAGCAGCAGCAGCAGCAGTGAAACTTCACTCCTTGCCAGCCTCTTATTCATCCCCCACCAAGGAATCCCCCATCATCAGCAGAGTGAAACTTCACCCCCTTGCCAGCCTCCCCTTCCCCTCCAAACATAAGGAAACCCACAAAACAAAAAGAAATCGTGGCGCGCACCACAATCCCCCCCTCCACTGCACCACCACAGCCAGGACCCCTAATATCAAACCCCCTAGAAGCAGTCTCCGCCCCGCCATAGCTTCGCTGAATCACGCCCTCAGCTCGAGCCTCGTCGACACCACCACCACTGACTGACTCCAAGAAAACACAAGCAAACAGCCTCTCACCTCTTCTCTCCCGTCCAAGTCTTGATGAACCGGCGACACCTCCCTACCAAACGCAAATGCGTCGTCGTGGTGGAATAAACAAATAAACCCTTCAAGCCTCGCTGCCTTGCTCTTGCCTTTCCTTTTCCGTTGCTTTTTCCTTTACCGTCTCGCTCTTCTGCACTCTATATGCAGCAAAAAAAAAACGAAAACAGGGAATACTCTATTTTGCGATGAAGAAGAGACGTGATGAAAGGAACAATACCAAGGCAGCCTTTGTTCACGCAGACCCTTGATTCGATCCCTCACTCCTACCCCGCCGTGGATCCTGCTGGTGGTGGGGTGGGTTATCACGTGAAATCTCAAAATCCGATATCTGATCACGCTAACTCCATCCAGTATTATTATCACGTGATACTCATTCCTGTAACCAAAAGAATGGCTGGTAAGGAGAGACTGCAACCGGACGGGGGACGACGATATGATAGATGATTGATTGCAAACACACCAAGAGTGGTTCACAGAAAGAGACAATGAGTGAGTTGAAAAGGTAATTTATTACAAAAAATATATACTCGTCCCCATCATGTGTCTTAAAACGGGCAGACACACAACGACGACGTCGTGTGAGGGGAGCAGCAGGCAGAGAGCAAACTACCTAGTTCGTTCGTTCGTTCGTCTCGCTCTCCCAAACCGTAGCAGTAATAGCATAGCAGTCAGTAAGCCATTCCATTGCATTCCCATCCGTCCATCCCTCTAGCAATCCATCCATTCATCCCATTCCATCCAGCCAATAAGCCAGTAACTTCCCTTTCCCTCCCTTCCCTGCAAATATCAACGCACCAAACGTACGCTTATGTATACACAAACACCCCGCAACCACAACACTCCATCACATCACACCCCTCTCAACTCCACCCCCTACCCCCCCCTACTTCGTCCCCGCAGACGTCGCGCTCCCACTCCGCTGCTGCTGCATCTGCTGAGGCTGCAGCCCTCCCCCACCCTGCTGCTGCTGTCCCATCCCCTGCTGCTGTCCCTGCATTCCTCCCTGCTGCTGTCCTTGGCCCTGACCTTGCTGTCCTTGCTGCCCCTGACCCTGCTGTCCTTGTCCTTGTCCTTGACCTTGCCCCTGCTGTCCTCCTTGTCCTTGATTCTGCATCCCCTGCGCCGCCACAGCCGCCGCCTGCCTCTCCTGCTGCGCCCTCAGCATCTGCGCATACTGCACCGGCGAGCTGCCCTGCATCCCCTGCACCCCCCCACCGGCCGCAGCATGCATAGCCGCCTGCCTCTGCGCATTCCCCAGCGCATCCGCGACCATCTTGCGGACCTGCTCCGGCGTCGCGGTGGGAAACTTGGCGCGGTACGACGCTTCCAGCTGTGCGTATTGGGGGTTGAGGCGTGGTGAGCCCTGGAGTCCCGCTACGCCGGCGGCGGAGTTGGGTGGTGAGCCGGCGAAATGCTGTTGTTGCTGCTGCTGCTGCATGGGGTTGGGGGACATGCCGTTCGTAGGCATGAAACCCTGCTGTTGCTGGCCTGGCACCCCTCCCATATTAGGCAAACCGCGAATCGCATTCGGCGGGGAAGAATGCATAGTCTGCACCCCCCCACCCCCCTGATGCTGCTGCATCTGCACCGCCGCGCGCTGCTGCTGCGAGATCCTCTGCGCCTGCATGACGAGACTAAGATCGGGTGTCGCGTTCGGTGCCGGGAGGCGGTGCGCGGGGCCCATGGGCATCCCTTGCATTCCCATCTGTGCCTGTTGCGGGACGCCCTTGAGTGGCATTGGACCGCCCATACCGGGGTGCAGATTTGGCATTGGCATCCCGGGTGCGCCCATGCCGTTGGGAAGTTGTTGCATACCCTGTTGCTGCTGCTGTTGTTGTTGCGGGTGGTGCTGGCCTGGCACGGAGAGGTTGGCGGGGCGGTTTTGGGGGTTGTTGTTGCCGCCCATGTTTGGGGGTGGGGGCGCGTTCATGTTAGGGTTTCCGCGCTGTTGTTGGTTTTGGCCGGCGGGGTAGCCCATTTGCATGTTTGGCTGCTGGTTTCTGAGTGCTATTACTTGCGCCTGTAGTGTGTTAGTTTTTGATCAAAGAAGATTCATCGCAACCAATGTTTTTAACGATAGAAGAAACAAAGAGAATGGTCAACATACCCTCCTATGAGCCTCCTGCTGCTGGACCAACCTCGCCTTCTGCTCCAAGATCGCCTGCTCCCTATCATGCTTAATCTTACTAAACTGCGCCGGGGTATGCTTATTAATCGGCTGCACCGGCGTATCGTTCGCCTTGCGCATATTCGCCAAGCTCTGCGCCTGCTGCTGCTTCTGCGCCGTCGTCTCGCGCTTCTTGGCCACCTTGCGCATCGAGTCCACGAGGGTGAGGTGCTTCTGGTTGCGGCGGCGCTCGACGCGCACGCTCGTCGTGGAGCGGCGGATCTGGCGGGGCGGGGCAGAGCCGACGGCCGGTGGGGGTTGCGCGGCTTGGGCTTGGATCTGGAGGAGGAGGGAGCGCTGGGCTGCTTCGAGGCGGCTGTTGTAGGCGCGGAAGTAGTGGGTCTTTTGCATGTCGGCGGGGAGGCCTTCGAGGTGGATCCAGCGCTCGAAGCACTCCCATGGGGTGCGACGCTCGGCGGCTGTGTAGTAAACGCCCTTTGACGTTAACATACTCGAGATGAGAGACCAGTTGTATTGATACTCCCTCACAAGCTGCTTCAGCTCATCATCCTCAGCCCACGTCCACTGCGACGGATGTCTATTCTCAAAGAAGCTCTGTAGGGGCATTGGGAACTCCGACGGAGGCCTAAACTGGTGGCCGGCGTGAATCCGATCCCTAATATGCTTGTTCTCCGGATTAAACAGCGCAACATCAACTTGTAACGGCTCCTGTGGCTTTCGCTGCGTGCGCTCCCCAAAGACTACCTCGTCCTCATCATCCGACTCCTCAGCATACTCGTATCGGCTCTTCTTGCGTGGTGGCGGCTCGTCAGTGAAGCGAATCTTACCCTCAATATACTTGCTGAGTGGTAGATATGGCTTCCTCCACGAGGCATCAGGGTCAACCTCCGAAGTAGGCAGATCGCTCTGATGAACCTTCAACGGCGCACCATACATCGGCAGCTCCTGGAGTAGTTTATCCGAAGCCGCCGACCTCGAAAGTCCAAACACCAGATCATCATTGTCCAGCGAGAAGATAGCAGTCGGCGCAACAGTCTCGAGCAAACTAATCCGAGGCTCATCATCAAACTCATCAAGCGGTGTATCGTTATCCGACGACGGCACAAGATCAGGCGTAGGATGCGACACCTCAGCATCGGTATCAACCATAGCATCAGCAGCCACCTCATCCTCAGCATTCGCCTCCCCAGCAACCTCACCCTCCGCATCAACCACCATCTCCTCTCCCCCTTCCACCGACTCCAAAACCCCCACCTTCACCTTCCTCACCAACCCCTCCCTCACCTCCTGATCCCCATTAACCCACATCGCGCACTCCCACGCCGCCCTCCTCGCCAACGCCGTCTTCCACTTCCTCTCCTCCCTAAAATCCGTCCTCATCCACCGCGCCTCCTTTAGCAGCTCATCCCAATGCGTCGTCGGGCGGATCGGTTCCGGGCTGCGCTTCGGCTGGCGTAGGGACCACTTATCGTGGTTCTGCAGGCTGTGGATGCGGCGGATGATCTTCTGGGCTTGCGCTTCTTGGAAGGGTAGGGCGGCGTTGGTGGTCGTGATGGTCTTGTGCGCGCTCGCGAGGAGGGCTTCGAGGGTTTGGTAGCCGCGGATCGCGGTGTAGCTCTGCGCGTTGATTAGGGGCATGAAGTAGTCGGGGTATTCGGTTCCCTGGGGCTTGGCGTTCGCGCTGATCAGTGCAGACGTCTTGGTGTCTTTGGTCACTGGCTGTTTGGCGAATACGACGGTGGAGAGCTTGCTGCGCTCCTTCTCGCGCGCGCGCTCAGTCAGGCTTCGCATCCGTGACGTAGTGGACTTTGGCGTAGATACCCCTGATGGGAGGTTCGAATCGGTCTCGGCCAGAGCACGCCCTGGTGTTCTTTCCGGTGTATTCAATGAGCTTGGTCGTGGAGTCTCTCCTAGGATCTCCGACACAGACTTATGCCTCATCGCACCAGACGCAACGCGGGTCGTCATCCGCTCAATCGACGGAGTCGATACCGCAGTCGAGGTCGCACGTTCCGCAGACGGCTCCTTAGGCTCCTCAGGCTTAGCAGGCGCAGTCGTCGCTGGCTCCGTAACATCCATAGGTTCCGGAGCTGGGGCAGCCTGTTCAACCTCCTTCCCCTTAGCCTGAGCTGGCTCCGGCACATCGACGTCCATAGGCTCAGGTACCTCCTCAGCAGGCTGTGGCACGGTTTCCTTCTTCAATGCCTCAACAGCCGCCGGCATAGGTTCAGGCACCTTCTCATCCGGAGTCGGCACACCCACAACCTCATCCTGATCCTCCTTCTCATCATCCATAAGTTCATTCGCCGTCTCGGGCGCCCCCGCCAACTCCCTCACCTCCGGCTGACGTCCATCGACCTCAGCCTTAGCGGGACGGGCGGCAGCTCCTTCCTTCCCAGGGATAGTCGAGGCAGCCGCGGCCTGCTCTTCCAATAACTGCGTATCAGCGGCGGTCGGGCTGCTTCCGAGGATGTGCTCGCGCGCAACGTCGATCTGGGATTTTAGTATTCTATCATGTGCATCCTTCTCCCGCACTTCTTCCTGGGTAGGTGCCAGCTCAGGTGGAGTTTCCGGGACGACCTTCTCCTCTGCGACTTCTTGGTCGTAGTGGTGAGCCTCGTTGTCTGGGCTCGTATCAGCGGAGGTCTCGTGGTGGTGAGCCGAAGTCGTTGCGGAGAGTGGTCCGACTGTCGATCCAGGGGACGATGCCACATCCGCCTGTACCTGTCTCTCGTGCTGAGCAGGCACCTCGAGGGCCAACCTCGCCGCAGCCGTATCAACAGACCTCTCCTCCCTCACAGCATGTCTCTGGTCCTCCCTCTCCTTAATCGCCGCCTCCTGCGCCTCCTGCGGCGGTAGATGGACAGTCGACGGCTTATGGGTAGGGTCGTTGGCGCCATTAACTATAAGGTCAGGCAACTGCGCCGCATCTTCCGCCGACTTTGGAATCGCCACGTTCGGATCGACACCAGGTGTATCGGGGGTAGCTTCAGCCTTCTTGACGACGTGATCCTTCTCTAACATCTCGCGGGTCGGTGCATCGTCCTTGGTAGGCGCAGGCGGGTTATTCGCATTGTAAATCGCATCGCCCAGCGTCTCATCCACAGCAGCATCCAGCAAGGCAGTCGGAGTCTGCACCTTTGTCGTCACAGCTCGATCGATCCTCAGCGCCTCCTCGCGAGGGATTGATTTCCGTCTCGGTCCAGCGGCCTTTCCATCCTGCAATCCTCGCGGTGGCGTCGTCCGGGACAAAGGCCGCTCAACAGTCGCAGGTGCCTTGGCGTACAAAGGCCCAGTGTTGTAAGAGGCGTCTGTCTTCGGCCGTTCCTGGAGCGACTCCCTCCCATCTCTTTGAGCGTAATCCAGTGGCGCGCTCGCCCGCGACACTAGGCTCGACTTATCGATTCCCACTGACGCTCTGGGCGCATCGGATCGGAGGCGTCGTCGCGAGGGGATCGTGTGTTCTTTTAAGATGAGACCTCTGTTTGCAAAGTATCAGCACAAAGGTACCTTACAACGCCGAACTCGACATTGCGACCGGGGTAAATTCGGGGGAACTCACTCTTTGATATCATTCAAGGTTAAGAACGCGCGCTCAGCAGGTGTAGCTTCCGAAATGGGGGCGTTGAGATCGAGAAAGGCAGGTAGAGGGATGGGCCCATCGCAGGTCGCGACGGCGTACAGTTCGCGGAGTTTGCGCTTGCGCGATCGCTCTATTAAACTAGATGGTCGTCAGATCAATTGTCCCGTGTCTAATAAATACAAACCAACACAGCAGGATAATTAAAATGGTAAAAGTTGGAACGCGACGCGGCGTTTGGGTGATTTTCGGGGGTTGTGGTGTGCGACTTACTCGATGTCGTTCTCGCGACTCGTCGTTAGTTGCTTGCGACCGGCAAGCACGACCTCATTCGACATCGCATTTCAGGATGAGGCGTGCGACATCCGTTTTCGAGGAAACGACCGTCGGAGCGGTGTTGGCGGTGGTCGCGGGATGTGATTTATCGGTGGAGATTGATGGATAAGTCGTGGTGTTGGGGTTTAATTGATTGATGTGTTTTCGTGGATGGGTGGTTTGTCGTTCTGATAGAGTGAAGGCGGGATCGTGGGATTAATTCTTGGGTTTGGACACTGTGAGGGTGTGCTGGAGTGGGTTGTGGTGGGTTGTGTTTGTGAGGAGGAGTAGCGTAGGTTAGGTGTAGTTGCAGTGTGTTTGGTGTGTGTTGGAGTGTGCGGTGGTGTCAGGAAAGTGGTGTGGTGGGTGTGGATGGTGGTGTGTGGAGTGGTAATATTTTAGATTTAGTAGTGGTTAGTAGTGGTGGTGGTTGTTGATGGTAGTAGTAGTGGTAGTAGTGGTGGTTGGTGGTTGGTGGTTGATAGTGGTGGGTGGTGTGTGTAAGGTAACAAGGAAATAAGAGAGAGGATGGAGGGATGTATGTGGATGAGAGGATGAGAAGTGGAGGAAGAGAGAGAGAGGGGGGATCGGAAAGGAAAATGGTCCGTTTGCCTATTTCAACAGGGAAGAGGAGACGATTGTCGATAAACTACCTAGTAAAACTATGGACAGAAGCAGGCAAGACTGGGTAAGCGAGAGGGATTGGGGGGGATGGGATGGAACCTCGACTGATTGCGACCAGACCAGGAAAAAAAAAAAAAAATGGCACTTAATATTACTGTCGTCACCGTTAACGAAGGGGGTTCAATAATTCACTCTTCACAACTGGTTGTTTATTATTTCTATTATTTTATATAGTTTACTTTGAGGCAGCATAGAACTACAAAATAAATGCGATAAATACATCCCCAGATTGCCATCCAGATGTATGTACTCGAACTCCTCGTCTCTCTCTCCATCTCTTCCCACAATTAAATCCATCCCTATCCATCCTATCCTATCCCCGTCTTCGTCACTCTTCCTCCCTGCACCCCAACTCTCCTCTGATCCACTTTCCTTCCTCATTCCCTTCCGGCTTGTGGGCCCAGAACACATCCACCACCTCCTATTCAATACGGCAGCCTAGATAGACGGAATCAGCCAACCACCACTTACATCTATGCATCCTCTCCTATTTATACCATCTCACATATATGAATATGTATCCGTATATGTGAATCTGATATGAGTGGCAAAAATGATTCTCGCTCTTTTGCTTCTGAACAGATATGTTATGTCTTGTTCTGTTTTACAAGTGGATGGAGTTTTTTGATGCAGGAGACTGGTTATATTGTTTGCGTATTGACTGTAAAGGGTACTTTGGCTTTATGTACTATACGCGTAAGACAGGGTTCACGACATTCAGGGAGGTCTGTGGGTGGCTGGCTGTCACGTGACTGGTTGTAGATCAATCCCACCTCGACGGCAGCATTAACAGAATTCACACCACGTCAAAAGGGTGAAATTGTATATGTGATGAAATCTATTTTATGGGCTTAATAATAGGTGGCTTCGCTGTTTTTTTCTAGGCCTAAATAAATAGTAAGATAATAACATATTTCCATCTAAATAAATAACTCTTCTAATTTATTAATAAAATACTAGTTTAAACATAAAATAGATCTTGGAAATATAAGAAATAACCCTTCACACGCTGAAAATACAGAGAGTAAGTCAGATAAAAGTATACTTCTAGATCTAATAATAATTAACCACTCCCTTCATTCTTATTTTTTAAAAATGGTTTTGGATTTGTAAGATCAAATATAATCCTCTCAAATGTAGTTGCAAATAACCTCAACACACATCATCAAAAGGGCCAAATCATATCCATGATAAAATTCATTTCGAAATCTAACCATAAAACCCCTCCCATTCATTCATTAACCCCAGCCAAGTCAAGCAAAAATCTACGCACAGCTCCAATCAAGAGCCTATTTCTATTCCCCCATCCCAAACGCCAGCCTCATCCTTATTCCCCGTAGAAAATCGGACTCATTCCCATCACCCATCATTAATCCATCTCACCACGCTCACGCACGCACCGCCCACTGAAACCCCTGATCAACCTTCTGCACCCCCAGATGCTCAAACCCCCCCTTCTCCAAATCCTTCCCCTCAACCGGCATCGCCTCCAACACCTTCCTCACCATCCTATCCCTCCCCCCCACCAACTCCCTCTCCACAACCCCCTCATACATCGCCCTATACTCCTCCAACAACCCTGTCGACACAATACTCCCCCCACAAACCACCACCACCACCTTTTTCTCCTTCCACTCCTCATCCCCACACCCCCTCCCCAACCCCCTCCTCAAACTCCCATCAAAGCACGCCGCAACACTAACCCCGCACGCAACCTCCGCCATAATCCTCTCAAGATCAGCTAACCTCACACTCCCCATCGCCGCCTGCGCATCACTCAGCACCGCCACCTGAACCCCCTCCTGGCAGGCAACCTCATACGCGCGATCCGCCACCTTGACGCACCCCAGACTCGTAGCGATTGACGAGATCCCCGGTAGGGTGACCACCTTCCCTGCCTCGAGACTGGTGGCCAGACTAGCAGCGCCCTCGGTCTCGACAGCGAGAATACCGACTTGCTTCGTGCGGCCGGCTTGGCGGAGTCCGTCTGCGATGCCTACCAAAAGACCGCCGCCGCCGACGGAGCATACGACCCCGTCATACCCGCCGACGGATTTCATGTCCCTCTCTAGCTCTGGCACGAGACTGCTCGCGCCTTCCCAGATATCAGGATGGTCAAAGGGAGGAACATATACTTCCTCCCCGCTGTGAGAACCGCGCCCCATAACGCTCTCCCTCAGGAAGTTATCAGCCTCCTTCCAGTTTCTTCCCGCTTGGTGCACGGTGGCGCCGAGAGCGCGCAGCTTGGCGACCATGAAGGACATGGTGGCGGCGGGGACGACGATGGTGCATGGGTGGCCGAGAGTCAGGCAGGCGGTGGCGCAGGCGAGGCCGGCGTTGCCGCCGGAGGAGCAGTAGAAGTGGGGGTTGCTGGTGCGGGTGCTGGCGAGGGAGATGAGGTGGCCGATGCCGCGGGATTTGAAGGAGCCGGAGGGTTGGAGGTGGTCGAGTTTGAGGAAGATGCGGCTGCGGGGGGTGTTAGCGGGGGGTGTGGAAGGAAGGGCGGAGGGGTGTGATGGGGGAGGATGGCGGGGTGGTGGTGAGAGGGTGGAAAGGGTTGGGAGGGGGAGGATGGGTAGAGGGGGGACGCGTACCATCCTGCTACTTGGGAGAGAGCGCGAGACTCAATGCATGGTGTCTCCCTCCATAGTTTCTGGTAAGAAGGTGAAACCGGGGGCGTGATAGAACCCATTGTGAGATCGAAAGTGATATGAGAAGTAGTCGTGGCAAGGAGATGCAATCACAACTGATGTTGAAGAGTGATATCAAGTGAGAACAACAAAATGGATATGATAAATGTTGAATATATATCCTCTTCTATGTTCTGAAAGAAGGAAGTAAGGCAAGACAAGACGAGAGATGTATATAGAGTAGAGAGAGAGAGAGAGAGAGAATAACAGAGAAGAAAGAAAAAAAAAGAAGGGAGAGAAATGGTATGAGGCGGGGGGTCCCAATATATATGGTTCCCAAAAATACAACCCACCACCACCACCACCACCACAACCAGCAACCCAGCTTATCTGGATCAACCCCGTATCGATATCAGCAGGCAGTGCACCACCACCCTAGCTCCACTAAGACATGTCCCTCCTAAGAGCGGTAAAGAGATAATGGGAAATAGGCAGGATACCTCTCCAATCGACCTCTCGCGCCCCGAAAATGCCAGTGTCATCCATCCAAAGGGCGCGGTACATAGCCCTTTTCCCCCCAGTATCTCCGCGCGCGCCGCTGGGGGGGGGGTTGTCTGTTGTCTCGCACAAGACCGCGACGGGAGCGCAATCCCTAGCGGCGGACCAGAGAATCACGGAGGCGGATGCGCGCCAGCGAGGACAACATCAGCAGGAGGAGCAGCAGCAAATGGCACGGCTGCGGGCGTGGGAAAGTCTAAAACGACGTATTTGTTAGAGAGATCGGGGTTGCAAGTCCGGCCGGGTGGGCTAGTGGGTAGTTGATTGATGCTTGATTAGGGTGGAAATGTGGTGAGATGTGAGAATTTTTGGCGGGGAGGGGAGGGGAGCTTGACGTTGTAGTGGCGGGGGATGTTGACGTTGGGGGAAGGTGGATGACGGGGTGATGGGGATGGGGGGGGGGTTGGATACTTCTAGGGTAATGGATGGAAGGTCGATTATGGGTTGATTGGAGCGGATTGGGGAGTTTTGAGACTATTTTGGGGGAGAATTGGGGGAAAAGAGAGGCGGACGAGGAAGGAGGATGGGGAGATGGGATAGAAGGTTAGTAGTAGAAAGTAGTGGTAGAAGTATCAGTACTTCTAGGGTAATGAGAACAGTGGCTCTGGAGTACTTCTAGGGTAATAGCATGGTAGACGAAGAAGGTGCGAGAGGGTAGAAAGGTACTTCTAGGGTAATAGAATCTCGATGGAAACAGGCGCGGGACTGGATTTATGGCGGAGGTCTAGGTGATTGTAGGGTGATGACCTGCAGAAGTATGGTAGGGGGGTGGTAGGGCTCGGGTAGTGTCGGTTAGCGTGTTGGAGGCTTCGATGGGAGAGATGTACTGGTACTTTGAGGCATGGTGGGAGGGATGAGATGGGTCGAGACCACGACGAGAACAGGTGGTAATCAAGTCAAGTGATTACGGGAACGGCATCGCGGGGAGGTGTAAACAAACTGCAGGTAAGGAGGGTATCACGAGAACTGCTCGGAGAGGGTAAACAAGACAAAGACAAGACAAAGACACAATCTGCGCGTCGCCGTCGCCCGCCGATTCATACACTATCAGTAAGACACCCATTGTCCGACAGTGATATCAACAGTCAGTCGCATACATACAGCAGCAGACGAGTCATAAACAAACAACGGCCCGGCGGTATACAACATACGATATGAGGGATATCAACAAAAAATTACTATCTATACAGTAGTTTACACCCAGTCATCGCTCTCTCTTATCTTACAGTAGTAGAGACACAACAGACAATATACATGAAATCCCAGACCAGTCCAGCCCATCACACAGAGAGGTCAGGGATCCGAGCGCCTTAAATCGTACACACCGCCCCTCACCCGCATCGGCCATATCAGCCAGATCACACCACGCACACTCCCTCTCATCACCTTTCGCATCACTCTCCCATCAGCCATTAGCCATCAGCCATCACTCCCCTCCCTACTCCTCCACAGCCAAAGGCGGAAAAATCGTCCCATACGCCCCCTTCCCCTTCTTCTTCCCCACTCCCCCCTCTCTCTCCCCCTCCACAACCTTAACCCTCCCATACCCCAAATCCCCCCCCACAACCGCGTCCCCGAACCCCCTCCTCCCCCGCTCCACCCCAAGCGTATCCAAGATCTGTGCTGCCTTGGTAGGCATATAAGGCTGCAGCAGTATCGCCGAGACGCGCAGGGCTTCTGAGGCGTGGAAGATGATGCGGCGGACTTCTGCTTCGCTCGAGGGGGTGCCGGATTTGGCGATGAGCCAGGGGGCGGTGGTTTGGAGGTATTTGTTTGTCTGGAGGGGTGTCAGTACTGCCTGGAGACCGAGTTGAAAGGTTGGGGGAAGGAAGGGAAGGGGGGACGAACATCGTAAATCACGCGCATAATCTCATGTAAACCCGCCCTGGGATTCAACTCCTTAAAATGCCCATCCACCACCCCTCCCACCCCATGCACCGCCTCAATCGGATTCTCCCCCACCTCAAACTCCCCCTTGGCCGCAGCCTCAACAGCCTCACTAACAGACCAAACCTTCGTCCCCGTCACCCTCTGCAGCAAGTTCCCAAGGCCGCCCGAAAGGCACTTCCGATACCTCTCCACAATATTCGCATTCGCATAATCCGCATCATCCGTTATCCCCCCATCATGCGCCAGATAAAACCGCATAGCATCAACCCCAAACCGATCCATCGCAAAGAAGGGATTGACTACATTCCCCGTCGACTTCGCCATCTTACTATGTCCCAGCGTCCAATGCGCATGCGTCAACACCTGTTTCGGCAGCGGTAGATCCAGGGCGAGGAGGAACGCAGGCCAGTAAATGCAGTGGAACCGCATGATATCCTTCCCGATAACGTGGACGTCAGCGGGCCAGCCGGCGACGCCGTCGAAGAAGGAGGCGGATGGGAAGCCGGCTTTGGTGATGTAGTTCACCAGCGCGTCGAGCCAGACGTAGATTGTCTGCGTCTCGTCGTTCGGGACGCGAATGCCCCATGTGAGGCGGTTGATGGGGCGGGAGACGGAGAGGTCTTCTAGACCCTCGGTGACCCAGCGCTCGATGTCGCGCATGCGGGTTGCGGGGACGACGAAGTTGGGGTTTTGTTTGTAGAAAGCTAACAGGGGCTCTTTGAGAGCGGAGAGGCGGAAGTGGTAGTTCGTTTCGGCCGTCCACTCTACTTCCTTCCCCGTCTCCTGTGCAGCCATGAAAGTACGCCCCGTAGCGGGATCGAGGCGCTTCTCGATCGCGGAGGAGGGATAGAATGTCTCATCACTAACAGAGTACCACCCCTCATGTTTCTTCTCGTAGATATACCCCCGTTCCTGCAGTAGCTGCCAGAAATGCTGCACAGCTTCCTTGTGATCCGGATCAGTTGTGCGGATGAAGTGGTCGTAAGAGAGATCTGCGCGCGCGGCGAGCTGCTTGAATGTCTCGGACACGCGGTCGCAGAATTCCTTTGGGTCTTCGTCCGAGAGGGAGGCGGCTTGTTGGATTTTCATACCGTGCTCGTCGGTGCCGGTGCAGAGGATTGCGGGGCGCCCTTTGAGCTGTTGGAAGCGCTTGAGGATGTCGGTTAGGACCATGGTGTAGAGGTGGCCTACATGGGGAGCTGGGATGCGTTAGAAATGCTTCTTTTTTCTTTCTTCTATTACGAGGCTTTGGGAGGTGCGTACCGGCATTGACGTAGAATATCGGGGTGGTGATGTAGTACGGCTTCTCCATGGGCGTCTTCGTGCTGGAAAACCGTGCCCGCGGCCGGACAGCGACGCTGTTTATCCTGCAGGACTTGCATACCCAGTCACTCGTCCATAATACTTTTGCCCTGGGCCGGAAGGACCGCCGTAGACTGGATGTGAGGGTGTTGAGATTCATTGCGCGGGCAAATAATTCATGGACCCTGACGGTGGCCGAGGCTGGCTGGTTCTTGGGTCGCGATTTAAGGTGCGGCTCTTCTCTACTAGCTGGGGATTTTGACAGGGGTGCCACAATGGCGACCTACGTCGCTCACCTGCTTTCACGATATTCTTAGTTATAATGCCTAAAAGAATTTGATATGATAATAATACAAGAGAATGGTGTTTTATAAATTGGGTATTTGACGGATTTTTTTGGCCTCTCAGTGACTGTACTCCACAGCAAATGTTTACAGCAACCGTTCCGAAAAATCATGGCGCTCAATCACTAACAGCTTTTATTATCATATTTTGACCGTATTATACAGTTTGTAGGAGCCAGTTGCTCAAAGTGTAGTCAAATAAAGAAAATTCTATCAAATTAATTACTGGTGTAAATTCCCAACCACGCATCTTCAGGCTTCAGGCTCTAGCTGGCGCAATACCATCACATATGAGCTGTAATATCTTCGAACTTGGTGAGGCACCAATATTCACTCTAACGGAGTGTGGGTGCTCGGTTCCTATTGTCAGTATAATCGCTTACCGGTTCCTATTGTCAGTTTGTATTGTCTATTGAGGATTTGGCGCTTAGCCCCGCTTGCCGCCAGTATCACCAATTAAGCGCGGGTTGCTTCAATTGTTAGCCCCTATTGGCGGCACACCCACAATTCGGCTACTGGATTCAATGTGAAGCGCAATGGGGCCTGAATATCAGGATAGACCGCATTGTGAGTGTTGCCCTGATATATCCCTCTCCAAGTCCGGCCCCCCCTTTTTCTCCTTTCTTCCAACTTCTCACAAATCGAAACTGACGAAAAGCTTCAAAAGCTCCAAAAGCACCAACCAGCAACCAACCAACCAACAAACGATTTCGGCACCCGCCACCAATACCACCAACCACAACCACAACCACCGCCAACGACAATGGCACCTCCTCGCCACCTCAAGCTTACCCTCCCGAGAGCTCCGCCGTCTTCCTACACGGCTTCAACCTCGGCTTCCTCCTCCTCCTCTTCCTCCGCCCTGGACTGTGACGTCCCAGTTCCGTCGATCGAGCACGTCGACGCTGTCGATCGCATCGACCGCACGGAGAACTGGGTCGTCCAGTCCAGCGGCAGTCGCGCCGGCTCTCCAACCCCTCCTCCTCGACTTTCGGGCTCTCCAGCCTTCACCGAGACCTCGGTTCCGGTACGAGAATCTTCCGCCTCTCGTAGCCTCAGCCTCTCGGACGTCCCTCGGCCGTCGCCAAGCGCCTCTCCGATCCGCGCCGCCTCCAATCCCGATGGAGAGCGCGGGATCAAGCGCGAGGCACCCGGGGGTGGCATCTGGAGCGCCAGCCCTCGACCACTGGCTCGGCGGTCTTCGGTGTCTGGACCCGCCAAACCTGCGCCATCGCAGTCACCTTCCATCTCTGGATCCGGCGCCTTGTACCCTGCTTCCTTGGGTAGCAAGCGCTCCAGAGATGTGGAGGATGACGGTGCGGGTGAGCGGTCGTCGCAGCGCCGCCGTCGCAGCACCAGTCCCGGATTCGGCCCACGACCCTCGCCGGCTTCTCTCCCCGGTGACACCGGCAAACCTGCGCCGTCGCAGCCACCTTCCGTCTCAGGATCTCGCGTCTTGGGCTCGACTTCGTCGGGCTGCAAGCGCTCCAGAGATGTGGAGGACGACGGTGCGGGTGACCGGTCGCCACAGCGCCGTTGGACCGGCAGCATCTTGGCCGCGGACCCGGCCTCCGCCTCTGGATCTCGCGTCCTGCGCCCAACTTCCTCGGGTGGCAGGCGCTCCAGAATCGTGGAGGTCGCCCGTCCATCCTTTCTGGAAGTTGTATTGGCAACTCCAGAGCGGCCAAGTTTCCTGGACGTTGTATTGGCAACTCCAGTGACTGCTGTCGCGAAGCCTGTCGTCGCGCCTTCGGGTTCGGCCGTTGACGCTGCTGGCACCACCGATCGTGCCGGTCTCGTCGACTTTGTTGCCGCTCCGGCACAGCCAGTTGCTCTGGTTGTCGTCGCTCCGGTCAACATCGTCGACATCGAGCCGGCCGTCGGCCCAGCGGCTGCCGTCGCCGTTCCCGTGCCCGCCGTCGCCAATCCGGGTCCTCTTCCCGACCGCGCTGAGGTCCGCCTACGGGCCCGAATCGATGCGCTCTTCGCATCGAGTCGTGGCCGCCCGCGCGCACAGAGATCCGCGATGGTAAGTTCACCCCTCAACCCCCCTCCCGCAACCTCAAAAACCTTCTTCTAACACTCGCACAGTACCGATCGCTGGAATCGCTGGTCTCGCGGGAAGAGCGCATCCTGGATCTCCAGGCTTGGGAGCACGCTTGAGGACTCCGCGCCGTCGGGTATTGGTTCGGTGTCTCTTCTTCGGTGGCCGCGGTTGGAACTCGCTTCTGGCATGGCCGTCAGATGTCGTTTCTCCGCTTCGGTCTCCAAGTTGGGCCCGGGCTTTGGCTCGTTGCTTGCGCCCTCGCGGCTCCCAGTCTGCGGATGCCAGCTTTCGGCACCGGCTTCTTCGGTCTTCTCTTTCTTTCTTTTTCTTTCGCCAGCACTGCTGATGTGCCTCGCTGCCATCACTTTGCTCGGCTCTTTCCCTCGGCGTGCGTCGACGCAGTTTTCGATCTCTCGGCGCATGTCTGAGTGGAGTTTACTTTGCGGTGTCCATGAAGGACCCGCAACTTGTTTCTGTTTTTCGCGGAGTTTTACCTTCGCGGTGTCCATGAAGGACCCGCGACTTCTTTCTGTTTTTCTAGGAGTCTTACCTTTGCGGTGTCCATGAAGGACCCGTGGCTTGTTTCTGTTTTTCTGTGCGTATACCCGGTTTGTGGAGATTTGCTTCTGTTTTTCTACGCGTATACCCGGTTTGTGGGTGGTGTCCTGGCCGAGAGAGCCTGTGTCACTTCGTTTCTGCATGTTGTTCTTCCATGTTATTCTTGATGTTCTTCTGCACGTTCGTTTGCACTTTCTTCTGCTTACCTCACCTGCTTGCTCGTTGATACTGCCGAAATGAAAGCTGACTTCTTGCTGACATTACCTCGCTGCTGGTTCGTGCATTCGTGACAATATCGCCCAGGATGATATACTGATCCATATGTGATATATGACGGCCGCACGTATGTTCGCCGGCCTTGGCTGCTGAAAGGTGGCACAGGATCTGCATGTCACATTCTCACCTCGCACCGCATTGCCATTTCATCGCTGCATCCCCATCTTTCTACACCCATATGCAGTATATTGCAGTATATTTCACACTCCTGACCAGTCGGTGGTCGTCAAAAGGAGGAGGCACAGGGATGGTCTAGAATCACATGATAAGTATCTTCGACGTTGGTCTGCGGGCCTAACCGTATATAGGAGCTAACGATGCACCAGCCGTCGACGTTGACCAATGAGGAAACTGCGTTCTCGTCCTTCGTAATGCGTTCCTGCTCCATGGGATTTTGGTGTGGTTGATGTTTGTTGGGTGTGTGGACGCCGGAGAGGCACCAGGTGCACTCCATGAATCAATGACTGTGCCTTCTGGCCACATAGCTTGAGTTACTACTACCTCCAAATAGCTACTGTACCATTACTTCCCCTCTTCTTCTTCTTCTTCTTCTTCATCACCCTCATTCCCCCACCAACAAACTCTACAATTATTGCTACCATAAGCATTTTATATTCTATGGGGTTCTTTCTGATTTGATATCTTTGCCCGCGTCATCACTCTCTCACAGGCCGAGAATATTCTATTGGGGACTATTTGCGGCCGAGCACATACCGACAAGGCTGAACCTTTGGCCCCCCTGTACGCAAAACCCACACAAGAGAACAGGACGACGACCATCGTGAGGTTCTTCTTCACATTCACGAATTGAACCATATCTACGAGTCTATTACTTTTATCTCACACACAGCCTCGCACGCAGCACACCGCTGTGCATTATTGTCGTCCGTCTCCAGAAGCGGCGGATGTGAAGCACCACCTTCCCACCCGATTCATCGGAGCCCTCAACAAATAATCACCAGGGCCGAACACTCTCATAAAGTCGCGAGCAGATAGAAATACAGTTATCATGTCTTACGAATCTCCTCCCATTGTCCGCCCGGTCCCCCGGCGTCCATTCGACATCAACCTCACAACCGCGACGCCGCCATCGGAGTCCGAAGCTTCAACACCATCGGTACGCCCGAGTTCCCCGAACCATCTCGATGCAAAGTCAGGCAACGGCTATGCCAATGGCGGCTCCGACACTCCGAGCTTACTCCCCACACGCTCGGTCCTGAATCTGACGTCGTCGACGCTCTTTGGGATATACTCGCCGTCGTTCACGGAGAAGATGGCGGACAATGAGCTCGGCACTCCGTTTGGCACCGGCGCCATGACACCACTGTCTCCGGCAGGCTCCAGTCTACCTTCCAGACCAAGGGCCCGTTCGCCGCATGTGGTGCCTGTCACACCACTGCACCTCCGAATCGTTGGCCTCACGTTGCGATCAACCCTACTCTTTCTTCTCGGCACCGCATACGGGTTGCTGGTTACACACCTCCACAACGAACAGCGCCTCGCGCCTTTTGGCGCCCAAGGCTTGATACAACCAAGCTACGACAAGAAATACCTACTATTCTGGGGTGTGGCGGGCGTGGCGATGGGAAGCGCGCTGCCTTGGTTCGATGGCATGTGGGAGGAATACTTCGGTGAAGAAGTAACAAGCAGCGCCATTGGCGGGAAAGTAGCGGATGGGGCCAACGAGGAGGAAGGAGTTGCAGCACAATGGACTCCGGTTGTTAGAAGTATTGGGGCATTTTTCGGCATTGCTTTTGCTATTGTAGGTCCCCCCTCCCCCTGACAGATTTTGTTCGGTGCTAACAATACGCAGCGCAAGCTTGCCTGGACATCTACCCTGCAGGCCTCTCTTACTCTTGCTCTTGTGAATCCATTCCTGTGGTATCTATTGGATCGTTCGAAGCCAGGCTTCGTTCTCTCCGTCACCGTCGGGCTGATTGGCACTACTGGACTACTCATGTTTGATTCCAGCATGGTTCAGAGCCCGCTTGCTGCTCATTCGTCATATAACAGCACCGCGGGCTCTGCTCACGCCGGATTCTATGCTCAGGGTGACAACAATGAGTTGTTCGAAAGCGCAGTTTGGGTCATGAGTGTTCTGTTTTGCTCCGTCTTGTGCTTTGGGCACATTGGCAGGCGGCTGGCGCTCTTGAGGCGGAAGTCCAGAGCCGCGGCTCTTCAAAACAACTGAAGTTTTCTTCAGAATAACTAAGGTTTAGGTTGGCGATATACCCTGGATGAGTTGGCATAAGCACGGCACGGCATAGCGTGTAAGGATAATACATTGAAGTTCCCTGTAGGGGTCTACGAATAGAGGAAATTCTACTCCAAAAAATACGCAGGAAGTACAAGAAGCTCTGCAATATGTAATTCCATAATAATTAATTTACATTGTTTATATATAAGTTCTGTCAGGAGAGATAGGGGCGGGGTGCCATGACTTTGAATAATGTTGTTGCCTTGTAATGTAGGCACCAAGGTTTAAATGTGCTAGTGTCCGCACTAAGCCTAGTGGCGGTTGGCCAATTTGATCTCGCGGGCATGAATTTCGAAGCGCATGTCAATTCCGACCTCATACCCAAAATTCACCCACACGTTGCACCTCCGTTCTCTCCCTCACGACCCTTCACCTCATTGCTTCACATAATACAAATACTGCGATCCTTTCTACACTCATTTCAAGGTTTCTCCGGCGTAGATCGCCTACCCAACGCGACACTTGCTCTCCTGACGTCGCGTTACGTGACTCTGGCCTTTCCTGTCGCGTACATATCTATCGCCCACGCCGCCCCCAGTTTCCACCGATGACCTGACTCCGATCTCTTACATCATAAGAGCGATGGTTGGCGGGAGCCAGGGTTGAACCGATCAGCGAGCACCATGTCGCGCGCCTCGACGGCGGGCTTCTCGGACTTCTTCCCGTCAGCCCCCCGGGCCGCGAAGAACAGGGCCAAGGAGCGCGAGCGCGCAAAGTCGAAACCCCTCGATTCCCCGCTGCTGGAGCCCGTGAATGCAGACCGGGATGCGCATATCCCCTCCAGGTCACGCGACGAGTCGGGGCGGGGCAGTATCTCTGGCGCGGCTGGCGAGGAGGGAGCCCGTGATACGAATATACTCGCGCCGACAGATGAGGGCGAGCTACAACAGGGAGATTTGCTGAACTGTGTCCGATCTACGAGCTCACACACAAGTACCGCGTCTTCTGTTTTCAGTACTACGGCACAGAATACTGGCGCCGCGGCGGCCTCAAATCTAATCAGTCTCACGCCATTGACGAATGACGACTCATCGCCCATCGGACAAGTAGCGAGCCCGAGAGGTCACAAAGCGGGCCTCAAAACTCCATCATCTTTGGAGCACGTAGAATCTTCCTCGTCGAAGCACGTGCTTCAAGACACACCACCACCAACACAAGATATGGCGGAGCCGCAACGAGCACAAGTGCGAGATCGAGATAAGCCCAAGGGCCAGAAATGCGTGTTCGATCCGCAACTTGACAAGTCTGGCATAAAACCAAAACCGAAGGTCAAATATAAGGATATTTCTTGGGTATGTATAAACCACGTGGGGAGCGTCATCTTACGAGTGCATTGAAGTGCTAACGGGTTATTAGGAAGATGACGCTCCCCCGGAGGATCCGCGCCTTTTGGGCGGTGACCGCAAAATCGACATAGACTACACGATGCACGCGAAAGCACGACTCAGACATGAGCCCATGCTTCTGAGACCTTACCACTATGACCCAAAGATATCGGTGGGGCCAGGGCCTCCTACGCAAGTGATGGTTACTGGATTCGATCCGCTCATGCCTCTACAACTGGTTCTGAACGTATTTGCGAGTTATGGCCAGATCCAGGAGAGCAGTAACAAAATGCACCCGGAAACCGGGACACCTCTCGGAATTGCAACTTTCCGCTACGCAGATTCCGATAAGTCAGGCAGGAAAATGAGCGCTATTAATGCGGCGAAACAAGCTGTGCGGAAGGGAAATGGCGAGAAGGTTGGGGGGGGGAACGTCAAAGTGGAATTCGACCGAGATGGTGTCAGGAGCAAGCGCTTGGTTACAAAGGTTGTGGCGGATCAGAAGAAGAAGGCCCTTAAACCCGTGGCATCGAAGCCCCAAGCGGAAGTCAAAGGTGGTGATGGAGAGAAAACCTTTGGTCCTCCACCGACAGCTCCAAAAGGTCCAGCGTCGTCTTTTGCGGCCAGACCGCCTCCGCGTGGGCCCGGCCATGCACCAGCATTCGTCCCTCGCCCGCCAAGGGATTCTGAGCTCATTGAACTTACTCCCATCAAACCCCAAATCAAGACCCAGCCATACATCTTTGTTGGGCACGACTCCGTCCCTGTACTGGGTTCCAGCGTTAAGCATATGAAGAACAAGCTGAACACTTTCGAACTCGAAAACTTGCGCCTGGACAAGACTGGATATTTCATCTTGTTCCCGGATTCCGTCAAGGGCCGGTTAGATGCACAAAGGTGTCTCAGACAGGCCAATGGAACGTCCTTGTTCACATATACGATGGTTATGGAGATTTTCATCTTCGGCACCGATGGGAAGAATGAAGACCACAAGCCTCATGCAGAGTGGGGGACAGGGCAAATTGCACCTGCAGACCCCGAGCCTACGAGATCATCATACAGGCGTCATCCCAGCCCAAGCCGTAGAGTGGAGAGCCATAGGGAACGCGATGACGCTGCGCAAAGGAAGAGAGATGACGAAATCGACCTCGAGGAGGAGAAGAGGCAGCGGGCAAAGAACTTCGACCCAGCAAAGGAAGCCACAGATGTGGTTGTTCGAGAACTGACAGAAAAGTTGATCAAAGACTTGAAAATCAGAGTCGCTGCCCCCGCGCTATACTCCTACCTGGATCCCGATAACCACGTTGCCAAGAGACGACGTTTGAACATCGCAGATCCAGCAGACTCCAAGCCACCGCCTGCTTTCTTAGATGACGATGACGAGGATACTACACCTGTGGGCACTCCCAATTCAAGGGCAGAGATCGTCGATAAGCGCCTGCTCAAGGCAGGTAAGCTCGATATCACTGCTCTCCCTAGGATTCGAAAGGCACAGGGCCGCGTATCCAAGAAGGCGGTTCTGCTGGCAGAAGCCAGAGCTAAGGAGAAGAAACGTGGTAAATTACGCAAGAGGGAGACGGTTATCCAGCCTGGTCGACACCCACACCGTCTGCATGATTTCCACACCGACCGTGATGATTGGGATGAAGATAACGAAGACCGAACTTCTGCCCGCGATACAGAGGAGCCTGAATCGAGACCGCGAAGCAGGGTCAGCTCGGATGATGAGGATGAACAGTCGGAAGACGATTCGTTCTTGCCCAGGTCCAAGCTGCGCGAGTCGCATGAGGCGCTGGTGGACTTCGATGATTCGATGACCGAAGCAAGCGTAGCTGCCTCGGATTCCGCGCCAACAAAGAAGAGGAAACTGGTCCTGAAGGCCGATAAGGTCACTAAACGCCAGAAGAAGTCAGGCGATGCGATCTTCGAGGTATCTGCTCACAAGATCAGCAGTGAAGATCCATCTGCGGATGATATTGCCATGACTGATGGTGATGAGACGCCACTGCTTGATGAAAACAGCGAAACCCCTCTTCCCGATGCCGCAGCAGCTCTTCTCAAGAAGAAGGGTCTCAAGCCTATCAAGAAGAGGAAGACCAAGAAACAGCTCTTTGAGGAACGTGAGGCTCTGAAGAAGCAACAGGAGGAGCTGGAGGAGCTGGTAGAAGAGGAAGATGAAGAAGAGGCCGTTGATTCCGATGCCGACGCCGATTCGGACATCGATGTCATCTACGAAGTTGATCCTGTTGTGGACATCGACCTTGAATGGGGTACGCCCACAGAGGTTCCTTTGTCAACGGTTAACGATGACCCCAAGTTAGTCCTAGATTTGGCTGGTCTCAAGCATCTTGCCCTCGACGACGAAGATGAAGAAGCTCTTCGCTCGGCACTAGGCGATGGACCAAAGGCGGAGATTGGGAGCGCTCCAACATGGGCTTGGCAACAAATGGAAACACGAGCTGCCAAGGCTGGTGGTTATAGGGGGGCAATCACAAGCCCACTTTCCATCAACGGTTACTACGTTCCTAACGAAACCGGAGCCGCGAGAACTGAGGGAACGACGAAGATTCTCAACTCGGAAAAGTCAAAGTATCTCCCACATCGCATCAAGGTCCAGAGAGATCGTGAGGAACGCCAAGCACGAGCCAAGAGGGATGGAAAGGAGGATCCCTCAGAAGATGCCGAAGCTACTCAAGCTTCTGCCGACAAGCTTGTCTCGAAGGACTCCTCTCGCGCCAACCGTGTTAACAACCGCCGCTTTGTTGCAGATCTTAACGACCAGAAGAAGACACTGGGCAGCGAAGCTGACGCCCTGCGCTTCAACCAGCTCAAGAAACGCAAGAAGCCCGTCAAGTTTGCTCGTTCGGCTATCCACAACTGGGGCCTGTATGCTATGGAGAATATCGCGATGAATGATATGATCATCGAGTACGTAGGAGAGAAGCTGCGCCAGTCGGTCGCGGATCTGCGTGAGCGTATATACCTCAAGAGCGGCATCGGGAGCAGTTACCTCTTCCGAATCGATGAGAACACAGTCGTGGATGCGACGAAGCGCGGTGGGATTGCCCGATTCATCAATCACAGCTGCATGCCGAACTGCACGGCGAAGATCATCAAGGTTGAGGGAACACGTCGCATTGTCATCTATGCCCTCCGCGATATTAAGCTGAGTAAGTCGAACCCCTTTACCACAGAATAGAGAAATATATACTAACATCCCAACCAGATGAGGAGCTCACCTACGATTACAAGTTCGAGCGCGAGATCGGCAGCGACGATCGTATCCCGTGCCTGTGCGGCACAGTCGCCTGCAAGGGCTTCCTCAACTAAAGCACCTTTGTTCCCTTGTTTGGATCTATCATGCATGCATTGCTCGGCGCCGGCGGGAAAATCCAGGGAGATGGGGCGCATGGCGTTTAGTCTTCACTTTTGTTTCTGTCCGTGGTGTGGTTGTTGGGGGTGGGATGATTGGTAATTTTGACTACTACTACTACTAACTAGCCTTCACCCAAGGGTGAGGTAATTTTGTGGTCATTTTTTTTGTGTGTGGTTATAGGACTATGGGAAGGGAAGGGGTGTAAGTGCATGATGGTGATGGGGACGTATATATGTGTATTGTACTATTAAGACTGCATTGCACTGCAGCATTGGGGGACTACTACGGAGATCTTTCAACAGGGTTTGGGCGTCCAGCGACCTCAACATAGGACATGAGGCGGAGTCAGGGCCTTCAGGTAGAAAGGAAGGCATTGTAGAACATGATCTTTGTTCTCGTCCCTTGTGATTGCTCGTTTCTGATATGTTTGATGTGATTTTTGATCTATACGCTTTCTTCTCCTGGTATTCGGCATACAACCAACCCCATTCTCTATCATCCTCCCAAGTTATGCATGCATTCACGAAAGTCCACCCCAACGCCCAACGCCGCCCTTTTTCTCTTTCTATCTACCCCTCCCTGTCTTCGCATCGCCCCTTAAACCAAGTGATCCGGCAGCAGGAAGTTCGCAACACCTTCCCTAACGACGTACTCGTGTCCACAGTTCGCGCATACCAGCTTTCCAGCGCTAATCTGCGTCTCCATCAACAGGACATGCAAGTCCTTCAGCAGCTGCTCATCGGTAGCGAGGTCCTCCGGCGCCGGGGCGGTGGGTGGAAGGGCGGGGAGTCCAAGCTGGGGCTTGTTAGCTTCCATCCTGAATCTAGCCAAAAGTCGCAAAGTCGAGAAGATCATGAAATGGTTATAGGGGAAGTCGGAATAGACAAACCTCAGCAGAGATAGTAGAAAGCGCCTCCCAATCCAGTCTCGGCAGCAAGTTCGCCAGCAGCTTCGCGTTCGTAGGCAGGTCCTCGGAGACAAGCTCGGCGTCCTTGGGGTGTAGTGGGAAGGAGGCGGAGGAGGACTTGCAGGCCTTGACGGCGCAGGTGAGGAAGTTGAGGGTTAGGACCTTCATTGTTGCGGGCGCGCGGTGGTGGGGGGAGGGTTGGGTTGGCTGGGATATGGGAAGCTTTTTTTTGACGGATGGGAATGTGGGGTTGGGCGATAAGATATGGGTGCGGCACGTGATGGTGGGGGTTTTGGGTGGTGGTGTTTGGTGGTGGTTTAAGATCTTTAATATTCTAAGTTCCTGCGGTTTTTTTATATGTTTTTCTTAAAGGCTTGTTTATTTTAATCTCGTAAGATTATATCAATCGAAGGTAAGGGGGAATGGCTAGATTTGCGGTGTGTTCAGTGGTATATGGATTTGGCAGTCGGTCAAAAGAAGGCGCTCTCTTGAAACTCTGGATGGCTTATAGATATAGCTTCTATCGGGAAATATACTTTATTAGGAGGCCTGTGGCAGTGTATTCTTGCAATTTGGCGATTTTCATTTTCTTCTTCATTTGAAATATGTTTGAAATATATTTGCTGGGGCCTTATTTGGTTTTATTAATTAAACCCAAAGTAAAAAAATATCAGTGACGGTATTAGTTATTAATCCTAGGACTTTTAAATAAATTATATTGCAATATGAATAGATCCCTTTATTATTACCCAAATAAACACGATAATTACTCTGTGCACTTATGAAAGGCTCATTGTTTGTTTCAATAACTAGAGACGCCTTTGATCATCAATGATGTAGACCCTCCCTGTCAACTCTACCCGGCACTAAGAAACCTTAAATTTTCCGAGCATTTTCCCTCCAGAAACTTTTCCGATAAGCTCCAAAAAGTCAACAACACAACCCAAAACCACAACAAAACCAACAAACATAATGGCAAAACGCAAGCGGAACCAAAACCTCACCGCTGCGGCGGCACCGGTAGAGGAGCCAATAGTGGCACCTAAGAAGACCAAAACCGTCAATGCCCCAAAGCAAAGCAAACCTTCGAAAGCAGGTGCCAAATCATCTGCATCTGGAAGCAACGTCACAATCCAGATCATCACCGGCTCCTACGACCGCATCCTCCACGGAATCACCGCGACCCTCCCCGCCACCGAGGCCGCCACCTTCTCCGACACCTTCCTCTTCACAGCGCACACCTCCGCCATCCGCGCCCTCGCCCTCTCCCCCCCTTCAGCCCCAACCCCAAACCAGCCACAAAAAATCCTCCTCGCAACCGGCTCCACCGACTCCCGCATAAACCTCTACCACATCTCCGCCCACCCGCCACGCAAACACACCGTCCCCGCCCTCCCTGGCCTCAGCTCCCGCGCCGTTGTCGAGAACCCAGCTAACCGCGAGCTGGGCTCCCTGATGCACCACGCCGCTGCTGTTACAGGGCTGCACTTCCCAACTCGTGGAAAGTTACTTAGTAGCGCTGAGGACTGCACGATGGCTGTTACACGCACTAGGGATTGGAGTCTTCTCTCGTCTATTAAGGCTCCGGTGCCGAAGGCGCAGGGAAGGCCGAGTGGAGACACAGCACCGGTGGGAGGAGCGCCGTCGGGAGTGAATGCATTTGCTGTGCACCCCAGCCTGAAGCTTATGCTAAGCGTGGGACGTGGAGAACGCTGCATGAGGCTGTGGAACTTGGTGACAGGAAAGAAGGCTGGAGTGTTGAATTTCTCGCGTGGCATGCTTGGGGAGGTTCACGAGGGAAGGTTTGGGAGCGGAGAGGGACGCCGCGTGGCGTGGGGAAATACGACCGGAGGGGAGGAATTCGCAGTTGCGTTTGAGTGGGGTGTGTTGGTGTTTGGAATGGATTGTAAGGTTCGGTGCAAGGTCCTACCTGATAGGCGCACGAAGATCCATGAGGTGCGCTATGTGAAGCGTGACGAGGAGGGAGAAGAGATGGTGCTGGCGATTAGCACTGAGGATGGCCGAATCGTGTTTTTCTCGACCGATCCAACGGACCTAGTTGCACCAGCAGCCAAGGAGGGAGATGACGCTTTACCTGCGGCGAAGATTCTTGCGCAGCTTGGCGGGAAGGATGCCGGCGTGACGAACAGGATTAAGGACTTTGCGGTCCTGCCGCTTGAGGAATCTGGCTCAGTCATTATCGTGACTGGGTCTTCGGATGGAGCTGTTAAGTTGTGGAGGCTGAAGATGGCGGATGTGCTTGGTGGCGCTGGTGGGCTAGTGGGCGAGATGGTGGGAGACTACGAGACACAAAATCGGATTACGTGCCTTGTTGCGTTTGTGATGCTGGACCTCCCAGAGGGAGCGAGCGACGACGTGCTGGAGGAGGATGAGGATGAAGAGGAGGAGGAGGAGAGCAGCGACGAAGAGTAGTGTAGAGGATACCCGACCTATGTAGGCGGAGAGATAGCTCTTTATATAATCTGTGGTTATGGCTTCTGTTTTGCCCATACGACACGCATATAAGGCGAATAATAACTGATTCGAACTATCACATATCTCCTACAACTAACAGCTATATTGAAGAGTATTAGAACCTGCCTGAATCCACACACATAATGAGTAATGAGCTTCGCGATGGGTATAAAAGTAGGCGCGAGGGCACTGACTCCAACCTTCCTCACTACCGCACATTTAAGAAAACCAAGAATACTTTGTGGATTTGCTTTCTTGGTTTGCTTCAGTAGGGATATATTTTGAGAGTGCCCCCGTACCTAAGGAAACGGCTAAGACGGAGTACGTTGCTCCCACGATAATATCATGGCGGTGACAGCAAACTCCGCCGGTAGCGGGATGCACGACAGCACTGGAATAGTGGTGACAGTATTGCAATAGCATTGGCATGGACTCGATTATACCACAGACATGATGGAGGCCTCTACAAATACAAGCTCCTTGGCTATCCTTTTGAGCTTCGCCTGTTCTTTGCAGTAGTATCAATGATGGCTTCGATGCCCTCGCGATCCATGTTACTGTGTATTCATCTTTGATATATAGGGTTGCAAAGTTTAGGGCATTTGTTTCATGATATTTTATTGATAATCCGATGACAGAACTACTTGTACCCCCCGCTATGAATAGAATTTATTACAACAAAAATACGAGTAACCATGAACCGGGTTTCCAGATAAACTGCTAGCAAAGGTATACAGCTCATCCCCGGCAACTCAGGACAATTTCCTTGTTTCCCACACCTATTCCTTTACGCCATGCATAGCCCCTTACAAATTCAAGGTCATAACGAACTCCTCTTCTTCTTCATCCGCTCCACCCCTCATGCACTCTGGTAGCCCCGAATCAGGCCCAAAGCCGAGATCATCATCATTGATATCGAAAGCTCCCAGGAACCCCAACCTGCTGCTCTCTTCCTCTCGCTTCGCCCCATAACGCGCAGGCGTAATCGTCTTATCTGAGATAGCGGACAGATTGCTCAGCGAGCGCACTGGTGCTGAAGGCACTGCAGACACGGTACCATTCGAGAGCACTGTGGATGCGGAACGGCCCTTCTTATAGCCCATGGTGCTGCGAGAGGCGGCGCTGGCAGAGGCGTTGCGCATAGTTGAAGGCTGGATAGCAGGAGGCGTCGGGTTGGAGCCGCGGAGGAGGAATGGCGCGGGTTTCTTGGTCAGAGGGAGAGGACGGGATGGCTTTGTTGAGGTAGTGGTGGGCCTTGGTGCCAATGCGAGGGCGGACGCAGCGCGGCGGGATGTAAGCGTTGCTGGGCCTCTGCTGGGCAATGCAGACGCCTTTGCAGGGAGTTGGGCAGAGACGGCACGGCGTTCTTCAGTGGGTTTCTTGCGTTGAACTTTCGGAAATGTCTCTGGGACGTCGTGGACAATACAGGGGTCCTCCTCCACTGCTTTGAGGATCTTATCATCAGTCGCCTTTAGAGATCTGGCGAGCTCCTCCTCAAACTCCCTCTCTCTCTTAGATACACCATTTGCATCCACGGGGTTATAGTAGCGTGTGTGGAAGTCCTTCCTCTGATTCTCTCGCTTGACGATGCTGTAGTCTAGGTATCCGTTGGGGAAATCTTCGTTCTCGTATGGAAGGTCTTTAGATTTAGGTGGGCAGTATTCGACCTCTCGTTCACCCAATGGGTCTGGCTCGTCGCCGTGGATTTCCAACTTGACGGTATCGACGTGGCTAATCTTTTGCCTCAATGGGCGAGTGCTCGTCGGCCTGATCTGTGTCTTCTCGGGGCCCTTGTCCATCTCAGGTCCGGCTGGAGTTTGAAATGCCTTCGCCTTGGCATTTGTCGTCTTCATCCCAAGGGGTGCCCGAGTCCGAGGACCTATTTCATGGTCAGCAATTAATCCATACGATCAGTATTTCCGCATCGTACCCATTGGAGTTATGAAGGCATTCTTGTCGAGACCTGCGCCCTTCTTTCCGCCAGTAACTAGATTCTCATTCCCCTTGCCCTTCGTTTGAAGGACACTCTTCTTTCCGAAGCCCGTCGGCGCATTTTCGTCGTGCAGAGGTATCTTGAGTGGCGTCTTGGGATATCGGTTTCCTGGCGTCTTTGGCGGTGCAGCTCTTGTGCCTTGGTTCAGAGGCTTCGAAGCAGCGAGAGCTTGCTGGCCATGGACCAGATTCTCCTGGTCCCGAGCTGCTAACATTGTGAATGATTTGCTGCTCAATGGAGAATTGCTTATGGTGTAAATGTCATGGCGATGAGAGACAATTTTGTGCAAGTATAACGTATCTCGGTAGTTTAATGAGGTGGTTGATCTGAGGTTGTCGTAACCTGAATGGGGACCAGCCAAGGCTTGTTTTCCTTATGTGGGGTTGACATGGCAACAACGATGTGCGTCCCAAAATTAGTAGGGGCAACCCCTGTTGGCTAATCAGCAGCTCTTTCGGTTGCGATACTCAACCCCCTCATTCATCACCACCACCTGAACCTTACGATAACTACCTTTCCGCTCTTACATTTGAAATTTCATACCGGACCATCTCTACTTCAACTCCCCGCGAATTTCAAAAAAATCAGTCACCATGGATCGCATCAAGGAAGTGAGTTGTCCACTCCTGCCTGTTTCCTTACCGCCTTGAACCCCGCCATGCCACCGTTGAGACCACATTCGTGTTGCCTAACGAAATACGAGCGCGAGCACATCCAACGCTGGCCTTGCTGCGTCTATAATATGACCTAGCTAACGCGATACTCAGAAAATGAACTCTCTCCGCATCGAGGCGGATGAGGCAACCGCGAAGGCTCAGGAGCTCCAGGAGAAGGTCAAGACGCTTGAGCAGGAGAACTTGGCCAAGGAGCAGGAAGTCACATCTCTTCAACACAAGAACGGCTTATTGGAGGCTGAGGTAGAGAAGCTGGAGACACACAACAAGGAGATCAAGGCTACAGCTGAGGAGAGCACCCAACATGGCCACCAGAACGAGACCCTGCAACGCCGTCTCCAGCTCCTTGAGGAGGAGGCAGAGGAGGCAGACAAGAACCTGCGCGAGACAAACGACAAGTACGTTGGAGACATCTCAGCTGCTTCGCATCCTATTTTGATGGTGTGGAAGAGTACTGATAAAATTTACAGGCTCCGTCAAACAGACGTCAAGGCTGGCCACTTCGAGCGCAAGGTCAAGGCGCTCGAGAACGACAGGGACTCATGGGAGGCGAAATACGAGGAGATGGCCGAGAAGTACGCCAAGGTACAGAAGGAGCTGAAGGACTTCCAGGACGAGATTGGCCAGATCTAGTATCAAGGGCCACGACCGACTTTCCCGTTTTACGCGCGTCACATTGCGATTTCAGTTTAGGCAGTCATCACCAGGCGGTTCACACCGTTATTCCTCATCCCGCTTATGTCTTTACGACTGTCCGCCATAGAAGTTCCTGTTACTGCTGTTTGGGGTGGATGAGCTTCTTCCTGTAATCACAGGCCACTTAAAACAGATATCACGTTTCCAAAACTATGATATTATTCGTGTCGTGACTCTTAATCCTCGCCTCTCCTAGCGCTCGCTTGCTTCTTATTCGAAGACTTCTGTTTGGCCCTGCCAATCTTCCGCTCGATCTTAGACTCGTACCTGAACGGCTTCTTCTTCTCCTTCTTCGGCCACTGCTTCTTGGGATTTGCCTTTGCAAACTTCGCTGCCTTGGCCGCCTCTGCTGCCTTCTTCTTGCCCTCTAACTCTAACTCCTCATCCTCTGCTGCTGTATGTAATCCATCTTTTGACACGCCTACCTCCTCCACAGTAACCGTCGTAAACCGATCCTCATCAATGTATTCTTCTTCGTGATCGATTGGCTCCGCCGGCGCCTCTTCTTTTATGCCATCCCACTCTCCATCCTCGCCGGATTCCTCATGATCCAAGAATGGAGACTTTGATTCCGCTAATATCGCATCGACGGCGGCGACGTGCGCTTTCAGCTCTTGTGTTCGTTCTTCTCGTAACTGAGTACATTAGAATACACCCTCCATGTAAAGGCGACGGCATATTTACCTGTTTCCTCTGTAGAATGCGCTCCTCCTTGGCCTTTTTATCGTTCTCTGCCTGCGCCCTCTTCGCACGCTCCACCTTGCGCTTGTGAAAACCGGTCAGATAGTCTGCTCTGGCATCGAAGTCGAAACTGATCTCCTCGATTGCGGCATTTCTCTTTCTTTTCTTAGGTTGCGGCGGTAACGTCGACTTTTTCGGCCTCGGCACGACGAAATGCTCTGAGGACATCATGGTAATATATTGGTGGTTGTTTTATAAATTTATTTTCATGGTTCTATCTCGTCTTGTACCTATCCATAATTTCTGGCGATTATTTCTGGGGACCACCGCCGATAAGCTTTGGTGGCGGCCTGAGATATTAGGGTTACACTAGACGCCTCCCGACGTATGTGCCTATCATGGGTCTTTGGATGCTTCAACGGAGGTAGAGAAGCTATAAGACACAGCCACCAGAATGCGCTTCTCTACAGCTGGAACGATTGCGGCTTGCATAGCTGCAGCTAGCGCCTTTAAAGATACCTCGCCATTCCTCCTCTTCTCGAACCAAGAGTGCGTATATCCAACATGGTTCTGCCTATCTCCAACTAACCAAACGCAGCATCTGGGCTTCCCAAGAAGTAGGACAAACGGAGCGCCTATCCGACCTCAATCAGATCGATACTGCAAGCTCCGTGACAACTTCCCTTGTTAACAGCTTGGTTTGCCTACCCGTCGAGACCCTCCTCATCATTGTCCAACCCGACGCCAATGCCGCCGACTACACCAGCAAGACAGCCGCGCCCCACCTGCGCAAAGCACTGAAGACCAGCGTTGACAATGGGTCTGTATATGTTGGCCTCAATGTGGCGGAGGTCGTAGGAGCTGTGGATGTGGATGGCCTACAAACAGCTGTGGAGGCTTCATGCGGCTTTGGGTTCCAGAAGGTCGAAGCTTATGGCGAGGATGGTGTTTCGAAGATCGACTTCACTCCTGTATCAGGCAAGGAATCAGCAACCGTGGGAATTAGGGTGGACCTGCGACCGCTATCGGACGAACCGGCACAGCGTGTTCGCCAGGTTGCGTATCACGGTTTGTACCCCTTTGCCTTTCCTTTGAGGTTCAATCGCTAACATGCGCAGATGTCATTTTGCAAGAATTGGTGGCCCAGTTCAAGGGACGCAGCTATGCCGTTCTTTTTGCCACGACACCAGTAAACTCGAAGGCCCCCGCTCCAGTGGTGCACGGTAGTGTATCTGATGTCCCCAACTACGAGTCGGAGTTCCAGGAGCCGCTGCACTCGGAGATCAAGCGACAGACAGGGGCTATGCGTCGCGCAGACAGCAAGGTGGACAGGAGACCGCTTTTCGAGAAATACCAATTCTTCACACCAGGTATGAATTTTGCCATTCTCTTTGAGGGACTGCAGCTAAATACTTATAGGAATTTTCATGGGACTGATGGTGACGCTTCTCCTTGTGGCTATCCTCTCTGTGGGAATCAGGGGTATCGCTGGCCTAGAGGTGTCGTACGCCGCGTTCGAGAAGGAGATGGGCCCTGCGGCACAGAAGAAGGTGCAGCAGTAGAGGGATACTTGGATTTATGGGAATGTGGTATAGCATGTGTACGAGAGCGAGTTGTATTCCTAATTTTTGTAGCAGCGGCCGTATGTGCTTGCTCGGAGTTGGTGGGATTCCTAGAATTACAATATGAGATCTGCAAGCGTTTGATCTACTTCATGTTTGACAGCAGGGCGAGGAACTACTGATTGTCTTGTGATTGATTATATTTTTCACTTTTGCAGTCAATGATGCTGCTCCCCTAATCTCCCTGATGTCGTACAGGGTGTCACCATGGCCCTTTTCAACGCCCAAAACTCCGTACGCTATGCCAGTATACACAACCTTTCAAAATCGTATCCCATCCTTTGTTCTTGCAGTCCTCTATTTCTCAGGTGCGTCGGGCAACCTCTCAATGACATACTTTCCTCTCGCGACGCTCATAATCGGGACACCGGGAATCTTCCTTACTGCTGGGTGTCAGTATCATTCTGCGAGCACTGTTTGGGGTATGTGGGCTTGCTCACTCCTCCGCTTAAGGTCCAAATCGTTCGTCGCCACAATATAAACCTTGTTCTTCATCACACGATCCACAATGCAGTCATCTGCATACACACCCTTATGATCGCACTGAAGCCTCTCCCACCTCTCATCTCTCGCTATCCGCAGCGCAATCCTGTACTTCGGTCCCAGCTTCTCGAGCTCAGCCATCACACACGATGTAATTATAGGCGTACACTTTGCGTAGAGCGTGTCCATCATAGACTCGAGCAACGGCAGCTTGCGCTGGACGGTATGCGATAAGAAATTGGTATCGACGAGGACAGAGTAGGGCGGCACGAGAGCGGTATTGTACTGGAAGAAGAGGGCCGAGGAGACCTGGGGGATCTGGCGAACGACGGCAACTTCTTTCTTCTTTTGTCCCTCGGCAGCGGCGTCGACGTTCTTTTTGAGGCGCGCATCGCGTTGGCCGATGAGGCGCTTGACCTGCGAGACCGTTAGACTAACTAGTTTGCTGAGGAGCTGGAAATAATACATACCTGGCCGAACTTGCGGGTTTTCTTTGCGACGCCCATGGTGGATTGTGTATGCGGGGTGAAGGAAGGAGCGTGGTGCAGGTGGTGGTGGTGGTGTTGGAGTGTGGAGTGTGGAGTGTGGATAGACGTTTTCAATATTTCTTAATCGCGATAGTGAGGCCGATAAGTTAGCGACATGGGGGAGAGTGAGAGATTCTTTTTCTCGTGTTGCCAACGCTAAAATGTCACCCTCGCACTAAAAATAGCGGGTACTATACTTCGTACGTCGTACTTGCTGCTGAGGCACAACACAAGTCCCTGTACTCTTACTTTGCTACTGTACGAAGGAGTATTCCCATCCAAGACAGGGGACCAACGCCGACTTATCCAAGTCTTCATCCCTTCGCTCCCCTCTTACCTCGATCAATAACTTCACTTTCGCTTTCTTCAATTTGCATATCCAGTCGACTATACTGTATAGCGCATACTCTATCCCTTGTATCTCTACGACGCTCGTTACTTTTCAACGCCTTGATTCTATTTACATTCGCCCTGTATTACCCACGCCTTGAAACCGCTGCGTCAACCCCTCAAGTGACCGAGACACCTGGAATACATCATCGATCTACAGAAGACATTCATCGAAGCTATTGATATCTGTGACGCCGGCGCTCGATCGCGACGATTATTGCCCAGCGGCCAGGCCCCTTATTGTCGTCGCCAACGACAACACAGCCCCCACCTACAGACCAAAGACCGCAAAGACTCCGAGTCGAGGCGACAACGACACAAGCCCAGTCGTTTCCTTGGAATTCGACGACCTCTATTCTCATATTGGATAGCAACCGGGCTTCCTTTGTGGAATATAAACGACCATGCATCTGTTTCGGGGACAACCAGTGGCTATAGCCCTACTGTCGACGTTGTTGGTATCATCAACCGCATACGCTCAGGACCAAAAGTCGGATACTACGGCGGATAGTGGGAAAACAGACGCCTCAAAGACAGATGCAACTAAAGCTAGCGAGACCAACAACAACACCGCAAAGCAGACAACGGCGCCGACAAAAGGCACTACCGACCAACCCTCAGAAACAGGAAACAACAACACTCCCACACCAACCCCAACATCAGATACTGGCGCGGTCATAACAGGAGACAGTACCGGCACAAATGATGTCAAGGTTCCTCAGAGCACCATCACAGATGCGTCGGCCTCAAGTGATAATGCAGTTGGGCCAACCGACTTGCCCCAGATTCCAGGTGGATACAAGATCCCCGTAGCACAAGTTCCCCCTACACTCAATGCACCCTATATGCAGGCGTCCAAACTCCCTGCCGGCACGGTCTTCATCGTCGTCGGTGCCATCCTTGGCTTCCTCGCTCTAGCCGTCGTCTTGTGGCGCGGCCTCACAGTGTGGGCTCTGAAGCGGTCCGTAAAGCGCGCTGCCAAGGGGAACAACGTTCAAGACACCAAGGCCCTTCTCAACTTCCGCCCACCCGCAGCACCAGTATACAACAGGTACTCTGACCGCGATTCGACCCTCTCCCTCGCCAACCTCCGCAAGAGCCCCAAGCCAACCAGGCCCACAACATCGAGCGGCGCCGCTCCAGGCCAATCTCTCTTCTTCTCTCCCACCGCCGGTGGCTCCATGCTCAACCCTGGCAACCGCAACTCCGGCTACCTCCCCTCAGGCTACTATGCAGCGGGCGCATCGGCCCCTGGAAACGGATCTGGCATGGCACACCTTGGCGGCAGCGGTCTCACTGCTCGCGAGGCAATCTCATTGTCGAATCTGGGACCTCAGGCGAAGGGATACGCACGCGCGCAGAGTCTCGGTACTACGCCGCCGGATAGCCCACGGGTAGGACCGGCGCTGAGCCCAGGGCCGCAACACGGCATGCACATGAGCACAAGCACGTTGGATCTGACGCAGAGGCCTGGCGGCAGAGCGCCGAGTGCCTACCTTGAGGATCTGTTTGATGAGGCTGGGGCTGCCCCAGGGAATTATCCGGTGAATCACCCGAATTATCAGGGGCCCGCAAGATAAGCTCTGAGCGGGTGATGGGAACGGCAGTTGAGGGAATGCGAAGGCATGTATCTTGAAGAGGAGGATGAGAGGGGTTGAAGGGGGTGAATTGAAATCTTAACGAGTTGCACAAACGCATTCATTGTATCTTTTTTGTAATCGGGGGGAAGGCATGGAGTTCGTCTACATGCATTACTATCGGCGGCCTCACTGGCCCATCCTTTTCCCTATTTGTTTTTGGGCCGGGTGGCGGAGGAGCTTTTTCTGTCCTAACGGCGTGGTTAGATTTCGATTTGCGGTTGGTTTGGTCGCTCTGTTATGGGTAGATTGCGCGGACACGCGGAGGAAAAATGGTGGCATAATGATTGTATGGTGGGGGGATTGGAGAGTGTATATATCGTAGTTGAATGGAAGCACATTATCAGCTTAGATCGTTGGGAGTTATTTGAGTCTCGAGTTTTGTATTTTAGCGACCAATCTATATAATAAGTCTAGTGTCTGGTATCATTCTTTTCGTCGCTCGTGCGCTACGGTTGACGATGTTCTTCAATATCTCCTCGAATGATACTCGTAGTGCTCCCGCCTCTATCCGACCCTGGCAGCATTCTCAGCGCCTCCTCTCCCTATCCCGATCTCTATACTCCCTCCTCTCCCTATCGTCTCGTCCCCCATATCTCTCATCCCGCTCTCTCCTCTTCGTATCCTCTCTTTCTCTATATTCCCCAGGCTTCTCCCGCCTCTCTTTCTTTGCTTTAGTATTCAATCTCTTAACATCGCTCTTTTGCACCCAAGCCCCAAGTTCCTCAGCACCCTTCAGCTCCCGCGCTCCCAGACCAAGCAAATTTAACCGCCTCTTCCCCTCCTTCGGCGTCGCCACTTTCTCCCCCTTCCATCCCATACCACGTAGCAGCGCTGCCCCAAAATCCTCAACCGGCATATCCTCGTAATCTTGAAGCGTGGATACATCGGGCGCCGAGGCAATAGCGCGCTGATACGCATCTCCATCGCTAATAGGAGCCTCATACGTCGTGTCTTCCTTAGACGCAATAACAAGATCCGGGCGCTTAACCTTATCCTCACGCCCCAGCAGCGCATCAAGCGCACGATCATCATCCGTCTTCACCTTCTGAACCAGCGCCTCTGTTGGCTCTGGCGGCGCAGACCTAGGCGGCTCAACACCCTCAACAACATCCTTCTCCTTCTCCTCCTTCGACCTTAGCGTCAGTCCCCATTTAATCTCCTCCCCCCCCTGCACCTCCTCCACACCCCTCCCCTCAGCAGCCTTCCTCGCCCCTTCGCGCTGCGCCTGCACCTCAGGCGGTAGGAGGTTCTTCCCACCCCGTCGCTGCCGCGCCTCAGCGCGCCAGTCGCGATTAGGCAGTTTCTCGATGATGGGCGCGCTGCGGGTGTGTCGCTCGCGCGTCTCTGCGCCCGAGGCGCCGAAGGCGGTTACGGCTACGGGCTCGGGCTCGCGGTCGGAGTCGGAGTCCGAGGCGTGGTGGAGAGGGGGGCGGGTGCGTTTGCCGAGGGAGGAGGGGGGTTTGGTGGAGGAGGGGCGGGAGGAGGGTGTTGAGCTGGAAGGTTTGGAGGCCAGGGAGAATTTCTTCATGGTGAAGGGTCCGGGGGGACCGTTGGAGGAGGACATAGTGGTGGTGGGCGCGTGGAGATGGTGATGTGGGTGTGGCAGGCCACTATTCGCGGGGATAGAGACACGGCTCGCTGCAAGAGAGGGCGTGTTTGAGGATAGATTGGTGCGAAGGCGCTGATGAGGATGAAGTTGGAGATGATTGTGATCGTGGCTGGCGGCCTCGATGAATTTCGTGAATGTTGCCTTCCAAGGTCGAGGTGTTTGTCATGTTTGCGTAAAGAACGGAGTAAATATATTCCGGGGTACAGGGGTACCGGCGGGACCAAGCTCCATATCCAAGCTTCATACATGTCCATAACGATTTCCATATATTTGAAAAACCAAAGTTCCAAAGAAACCATTGCAGCCATGTTGCTTTGAATGGTTGAGTGATATGATACCTACGACATACATTTACGATTTTATTAATGGACCTATTTTGAGACAACAGCTCTGAGAAAGCATGGCGGCACCAAAAGCCTTGGGGCAATCGATTGCCAACTTCGCCCGCGATGGAGAGTTTCCGGGAGATGAGGAAATCTCCAAAAGTTATGTAGAAGGGGAAGCTCTTGCATTGGCATTGCAAGCCGTGACTGCAGCTAGGTCTGCTCTGGAGGTTAGTGTTACGAGGGGGGCTCTTTGGAGGGGTAAAGGCTATTATGGTAACATCTGCTAATGAACTGTGTAGGATGAGATTCGAAAAACTAGTCGCGATAGTGCGCCAGAAGTTGATACCTGGATCACGAATGCCCATGCCCTGCAGGAAGATATTGAGAACTCCAAGAACCTTGCTGAGGACATTGCTCGTGATGCAGAAGGCGGAGATGCGTTGCAACGAGCGGCGAGGGAGGACGCTGAACATGTCGAGTTTCTTGAGAAGGAGGTTCAATACAATAACCAGTTGAAAGAGGCGCTGGGCGGAATCCAGGATGTCCAGAGAATGCTGGATGGGGCCGAAGGCGCAGGCGTTGAAGGCAGACTTCTGGAAGCTCTGAATATACTTGCACGTATGTTGACCTGGAACTTTGTTTTGGATTGCAACTAACGTGCCCCAGAATCATGGGAGAAGATGGAAAATATCCCCGCACATGAAATCACTCGACCGCTATCAGTATTGAATGAGCGGGCGTTCCTGATCAAGGAATCTATCCATGAGCAATTCGGCCACATCTGGAATACGCTTGTGCATTTCGATGAGGAAATGACCTCTCTAACAGTGGACAACACCATTAGTAAGAACTGGAAACTGGGTTATGATTGTGCTATGCTAACGGAGGGAAAGTCGGCCCAACAGATATACCTCAGTCGGTTCTCATAATGAAGGCTTATAAAGAGGATGATACGAGGATCAAAAAGTTTTGTGATGATTTCGAAACTGCAATTGTACACCCTCGAGTTCTCATAGGCTACGGCCCGCTAAAGTCTATTTCCGTTGAGGGGGTACGTTACTGCTATATCAGAAGGGCGGAATTATGGCTAATGTGAATCTAGAAAACCATACGTGCGTCTGAGGAAGTACCCGCATCGTTAGGAATAAGGGAACTTTTTCTTGACCTCGAAAAGATGATCCGTTTCCTTTCCGAAAGCTTTCCTCCCGACTTCGCTCAGCCGTTGTCTTCCGTATTAATGCCTAAGCTCACCACACTAATCAGAGAGACATGGCTTGACTCTGCAGTACCGGTATCATTAGATCGTATGACCGATTTCCGGAATTCTATTGCTCTCGTTCACGAGTTTGCGGAGACCATCACTGCCTTGGGATGGGGCGGAGCAGATAATCTCAACGATTGGGTTGAGAGCTCTCCTCGATTATGGGTTGCAAAGCGCAGGGAGACAGCGCTGGATTCTACAAGGAGGCAGCTATCGAAGGGTATTGGACGTACTAAAGGGGTTGAACGAACAGAAACCCAAACTATCACCGAATTCATTGATGAAGAGCTTCCGGGCGGGGCTGCAAACGAGGGCAAAGAGACAGCCAAACGTGAGGACGACTGGGATGTTGAGTGGTCAGATGACGAGGACAAGGGCAATGAAGACAGCGCCCCAGGAGGCGATAAAGGCAAGGCCAAAGAAAGGAATGCTGGGGGAGAAAGCGACGGCGAAGAAAATACAAGATCTTCATCAAGCCTAGGAAGGGATTCTCCTAAAGAGAGCAACTGGACTGCTGAGGTTTTGAAAGAAGCGGCCCCTGACGACGATGACGGGGCTGATGCCTGGGGGTGGGGCGATGATGACGAGGAAGAGGCACCTGCGGAAACCCAGGAGGAGCCAGCTCCAATGCCTGAGAAACCTGAGATTTCGGAACCCCAGGCGAGAAGAGAAGTGCAGCGAGAGGTAACCTTGACTGAAAAGTACACGGTATCGTCTATGCCAGAACCAGTGTTCGATACCATCAGGCACATCATAGAAGATGCAGTAACGCTGACGCGCGAAAAGTAAGTTGGCAAATCGCATCTTCAGTTGTAATACTAACGATATTTAGCCACGATACAAACCCTGTCAGCGCAGCAGCTGTTGGACTATTTGGCCTTCCAACTCTAGTGTTAGCCATGTACCGTGCTTCTGCGCCAGTATACTACAACCTCGCCCCAGGCGGTAACATGTCAGTCTTTCCAACCCCTATCCATCACGAATCCCACTAACACCCCCAGGTATTGCTACAACGACGCCATGCACCTCTCCGACCTCCTCAAAGACTTCTCCGCCACCTGGTCCCAACGCACCGACCTCGGCCCCCGCGCAAAAGGCAAAGTTCGCCTCGACGGCGAAGTCCAATCCCTCCTGAAATTCAGCCGCGCCGCCTACGGCCGCGAAATGAGCACCCAGCGCACTATCATCACGGACCTCCTCGGCGGCGCGCAGAGCTTCCTCAACCAGGGCGACGACGCTGCCACAGACCAAGTCGCTGTCGAGTCTGTCGTCGCGCACATCCGCGCCCTTGCCGCGGAGTGGCGCAGTATTCTCTCTGAATCCGCGTGGTCCCAGGCTGTTGGAGCGCTGCTATCTACTGTCGCTCGAAAGATGATTCGCGACGTCACTGATCTTACCGTGCTGGGTGCTGATGAGGCGTTTCGTGTAGCATCGTTAATTGCTCTGGTGACGAAATTGGATGATCTCTTCACACCCGAGGGCGCAGATGAGGACCCAGAGAACCCGCCTGTGCCGACGACATCGCACTATGCGGCGTTCTGGCTTAAGCTGCACTTCCTGAGCGAGGTGCTGCAGAGTAACCTGCGAGACCTGATGTTTTTGTGGTCGAAGAGCGATTTGAGTCTTTATTTTGGGGCGGAGGAGGTGGTGGATTTGATTGAGTTGAGCTTTGAGACGAATCGTCGGACGAAGGAGGCAATTGCGGAGATTAGGAGTGAGCCGTTTCCGAGGGGGGTGGCGCCGGAGGAGATGTGAGAGGGTTGGGGCTGTTGGGAAGGGGGTTGGTAGATGGTATGAGCTATGAATATATAATACCCTTACACGCATATTGTATGGACTGGGAACGTGCATGCTATGTGTTCTATCTCGTTATCCTGACAAGACAATTGTTTAATTCGTTCATCTGACTTCTTATTTTGAGATCTTATTAACTTAAATAACTAGCATAAACTCCCACGGGCTCATTCGTAGCGCAAGCAACCGCAAACACTACACTGTGTATAGTTACTCGTGAGAACTTTAACTAGCACTGTAATGGTGTTGCACCCCTAAAAGTTAAAATCCCCTAAAAAAAAGAATAAACGAATGCAAGAGCGACAATAATAACAATTACAAGTATAGCGTGCACAGCGCCTAGTGTTTTCCCACCCGTAGCATACATAGTGTCTGTCACGAGCAAAAAAAAAAAACGCAAAAAAAATTAAACGACGTGGGCAGGATTTGAACCTACGCGGCCGAAACCATATGATATCGCATTGAAGCATTCGAGTCATACCCATTAACCACTCTGGCACCACGCCTTGTTTATTTGTTGAAGGGAGCGGCCTACAAGACATAATATACCATTCCAAAAATTGCTGTGATGTTGTAAGACATCGTCGTGAAACGCCATCCATCTATGAGAATAGTTAAATTATGTCGGTCGCGCCTTCCTAATTCTTTTTTTGATTGGATTGTTGGGAAGGTGCGACCGACGACTTGTACTACGTACTGTGCGTACCGAAAATGCAGCGGGAAAATTGAAATAAATCATCGCTTTAATTCCTATCAATCCAGCTTGCTATTCACACCAGGAAGCAAACCCAATATCGCCCATTAAGGCAATAATCCCATATAAACACCTTACACTAATCATAACACATCCATCTCCATCCCCATCCCCAAGACTGAAAACACCTACTAATCCTCCTCGCCCTCAATCATCATCCCTCTCGCATTGGGATTCCCCAACAAATTCCTCCCCCTGGGCACCCTAACATCCTTAACCCCAAAGCACCCAAACACCTTCAAATTCTTCACCCTCGGACAGCTGCGCCACAGACACCCAACCACGAAATCATCCATATCCCCACAGAAACTCGCATCCACCGTCTCGAGCTCCGGATACATCTTCCCCTCTCCAAACGCGCGCTCAAGCGCCGCCCTCTCAATATGGCGACAGGAGAGTATATTCAGCGACCCGAGGTGACGTCCGGAGTGCGCCATCAGGGCTTCGAAGCCGGCGGAGCAGAGACCGATGCGGTCGGGGTTGTCGAGCGTGAGACTGTCAACGTGGCGGCACTCGCCAAGATCGACGATGCGGAGGGCAGGGTTGCGCCAGCTAGTAAAGAGCGCGGCGAAGGCGGCGTCGGTGAAGGTTTCGTTGCGCTTGAGGCGGAGTTTGGAGAGGGAGGTGCAGTGCGTATGGATTGCGTTGAGGAGAGTGTCGTCGAGGTCGGGGATGCCGACTAGGGAGAGGGTTTTGAGGTTGGCGCCGAGGCTGGTGATGATTTCGACGTAGGGTTCTGTGATGGTAGGTTTGTAGAGTTCGAGGGAGAGGTGCTGGAGGTTCTTGAGAGCTGCGATGTGGTAGAGGCCTGCGCTGGTGACTTTTTGGTTGTGGCAGATCTTGAGGCGGGTGAGATTGGGGCAGAGGTCTTTGATGGTGCGCATGGCCTCGTCTCCGAAGGATACATCGGTATGGTAGACCTTGAGGGATCGAAGATGGGTGCCCTTTGCCATCAGAAAGCTCGTCCAGTGCTCGTCGTCGATTAGGTTTGCGCCGTGTAGACTCAGGGACTCCAATTCCACCGTGGAGGCGGTCAAGTAATCCATGACCTTCTCCTTAAACTGGATTGCATTTCGCAGGCGTAGGTGTTTTATGGTTGGGGCGACCTGGAATATCCGAATGTAGTCGTCGGATTTTAGTTTGGCGCCGTCATACGCAGTGATATTTGCGACACCTGGCTTCAAGAATAGGTCCAGAGTTCTGGAATCCAGCATGCGTCTCTTCGACAAGAGCTGCGCCAGCTTATCCACAAGAACTGGAGGCAGGTCGCCAAAATCTTCTGCTTGGTGGACGTTGTTCGCAAGCGTACTCACACATTGCGATACCAAGTCTCTTGCACCACGAGCAGATGTGCCCTCAAGGCGTTCGCTTTCGATGTTGCGACGGTTGTAACGGGCAGCAGTTTTCCGCTTCTTCCTCGGACCCCCTTCTTCATCGTCCAAGTCCTTAGTACATTTCATACAGAGTAGCCCGCCACCAGGCCCTGTGCGGCTGTAAGGGGTAACGGAAAACCGGATGTAACAGATCTGGCAGTTCTCAAACTGGCCGATCTTTGGAAGGCTAGATGCGCCGTATAGGTCTTCGTCAACATCGTCCGAGTCGGAAAAGTCCATGCCTTTCCTTTGAGCTTTTTGAAACGTCTTGGAGGCTTTGGCTTTGGCGGCAGCCTTTTGAGTAGCTTTATTCCTCGCTAGCTGGGCTTTGGTCAACGGCTTCTCCTCCAAAGGTGTTTCTTCTTCGAGCCCTGCTTCCTCCGACTGCTCCCGACTATTCTCAGCATCCCAGGAGGCCTGCGCTGCAGCTCGACGCGCTTCGGCATCCCTTCGAATCCTGTTGGCGTCGATATTGTGAGACTGAAGGTGTTAGTAGCTATGAAGAGGCAAGGGTCTGTCAGTGGTGGTGCAGCTTACAGCAAGAAAGTCTGTCAAAGCAGATGTTCTAATAAATGGATTAGTTGAGAGGTTCACAGAGTATTCAGCTCGACGGCTATACGTACGGTCCCTGGATTCGTCGTTGACGAACGACAGGAGGACCCTGATTGGGGCCACCGGGAGGAGGAGGTGGTGGAGGATTCGACCTTTGTATGTGAGAATGGATTCGTAATGAGAGTGGGTGTGATTAATATTGGGGGTTCGGCTTACATTTTGGATGGATCGGATTAATGCAGACAGTGAAGTGAGGCTTCTGACTTCACTTCTGCCCAAACGCGGCCTTCTTATAACCTTTGGTCAATAATCAATGAAAGGATGGGTGGTCGGTGATTGTGAGACTGCTATGGAAGACCCAGGATATAGCCTAGGTATTGAGGGAAGTATGTGAGGAAGTGTAGAAGGTAAGAAGAGAAGAAATAAATGAAGCCTTTGAGGATTGAGGACCCCTAGAATATTTAGGAAGAGAAGTCAAATGATGAAATGTAAGTGAAGGGAAGTCGTGGGGGAGCAGTTTCGATGGGGGCGAGGTACACAGGTACAAAGGTACAAGCTTCAAAACTGAAAGGCCGAAAGGCTTATCGATAGGCGGGAAGGGACGGAGTACACGGAGCGTAGTTTAAGTGGAGTATTTTATTTAATTCCAGCCAATCAGAGGCCGCTGTTGCCTAAAATTCGATTGAAAAATGGTAATTTAGGTCACGTGAGACCGCGACAGGAGAGACCTATTTGGGTTAACGCGTAGGGGGGAAACTGGGACAGATGTAGCAAATGTTACGAGTTAGTTCGTTGGCTGGGTGGCAATGAGGGGAGAGAGGCAGAGAAGTAATACGGGTGATCTCTCTCTTTCTTCATCTTCTGTTTACATTCTATCCTCTTCATCAAATAAATATCTATGAATGTATAGAATTTCACTTCAAGATCCTTTATACTGAGCGACTAAGGCTGCGCCATTGAGTACCCATTCGTACTCAATCCCACCTTTGTTGGCTGTCGAGTCAGCATTCGTTACTTCTACCCGTCGCCGCTTGACAACCTCTTTGGCTGTCTTTGGGCCACTGCGAATCCCGTCGTTTCAGTCCCAGAGTGAATTCACCCTGACTTCATTCACTTCCCAAAAGCAAACCAGCACCCGCCTGCGCTGCTTATAGTCGGATTCCCAGCCTGGCTTCACCTAGCCACATCCAGTACCGACCTCAACTTCCACGACTCCGTTCTTTTGTCCAGCACAAAGAGTTTTCAAGTTTCCATCAATCCATTGTCGTTTTGGGACACCCATTCCGGTCGTTATTTTGGTCCCAGATCATTGAGAGACAGATGTAAGTAGACTCAATCTATATATCGTCTTATCTCCGGAATTCGGGGTTCCTTATCCACTCCGAGCATCTCATCATTGGACTGGGCTGACATCATTCCTCTCCAGCAACTATACGAACTTGAAGGGCAAGGCAGGGCCTCAACACAAATATGGTCGCTCTTAGTACAAGACGTCGGACTAGAAGTTCCATGGCAGCCACCTACGATGGTGCTGGGGATGAGAACGACGTGGATCCACTACAGGTCGCTGAATCAATCGACCGAACTTCCATGTCATCGGCATCTACCGCACATGAGAGCAGTGGCTATTCTACCCCCGCTACAAGTGCCGTTACTACCCCAGCTCAGGTGAAAGATGAACCCTCAACGTAAGTGCTCATATCTGTTTTCTTGTGGGCTGGATTTTGGGAATCAATGACATAGGCCTCTCTCGTTCCAATGCTAATTAGAAGTAGTCGCAATCTCAGGCGCCGCATCGCCTCGTCTCTTGCCCACGAGGTGTCTTCGGCTACAGCCACCGTGGTCCACCGGGCCAAAGCACTCCGCAATAGCGAATTTGCCCTGAATCCAAGGAGCAGCAGCAAGAGGTCCCACGAGGTGTTGGACAGTGAGGATGATGATGACGATGAGTTCGAAGACAACTCTAGGGATGCTCAGCTCGCGAGGGCATTGCAGAAGGAAGAAAATGAGCGCAGCGAGCTTGTTAGCACAGAGCGTCAGACTTCTCTCGGAACTAGTCGACGTGGACGACCTCGGAGATCAGTTTTGCCCATGACGAACTTTGTAGACGAGTTTTCGGAGGGCGAAGATGCTTATAATCCGCCTTCAAAGAGGGCCAAGCTGTCTGATGGAAAGGGCAAAGCACGTGCGACAGTTCCTGACTCTGACGAACAATCGGAGTTTACTGACGGTTCCTCCTCTGCGGATGAGAACGATTTCCCGGGTTTTCTCAACCTCACGGACGATGAAGAAACCCAACCACCTCGCCGTCCTGTTCAAGCTCGCCGCCGCTTCGGCAATAACCCGTCCCAACGCCGAAGTACCTTCCAACAGCCATCTATTCCTGCTATGGAACCCGCCGACTATACTGCCCCTATTCAACAACCCGATTCTGCTGGCGAGGAGGGCAGTAATGATGACTCTGAGATTCCTGATTTTGCCACGATGACACCGGCACAAAGAAGAGAATATAAGTTGGAGAGCAGGGCCAGGGCTGCCCGCCAAAGATTGGAGACCCATCACCCAGAGCTTTTAGTGATGTGGAAAGAGCTGAGAGATCTGCCAAAGATCCCACCCACCAAAGCAGAGCAGCCTACAAATATATCGAGGGAGTTGAAACCATTCCAACTGGAAGGTTTGAATTGGATGAAGATGATGGAGAAGACTAAGTGGGGCGGAGGATTGTTAGGCGACGAGATGGGCATGGGGAAGACGATCCAAGCTGTCTCCTTGATTATGTCTGATTATCCGGCCAAGAACCCGTCGCTTGTCCTTATACCTCCTGTCGCTCTCATGCAGTGGCAGCAAGAAATCGCGCAGTATACAGATGGTACTTTAAAGACCTTCGTTTATCACGGGACAAACAGCGCCGCGAAAGGTGTTACAGTTGCTACGCTTCGAAAGTACGATGTAATTTTGATGTCATACAACAGTTTGGAGTCATTGTACCGCTTCCAGGAGAAGGGCAGGAAGAGAAAAGACGAGGTTGCATTCCAAAAGAGTCCTGTTCACCAAATCCAGTTTCACAGAGTCATTCTAGATGAGGCTCATAACATCAAGGTAAGAAGCTGACCCGATTTGTTTTTCCCCAGGAGCTGACTATTTTTTTCTAGCAACGTACTACCGGAAGTGCCAAAGCTTGCTTTGCACTTAAAGCTGACCACAAGTGGTGTCTCTCTGGTACCCCGCTTCAGAACCGTATTGGCGAATTCTTTTCGTTGATTAGGTTTCTTGATGTCCGACCTTTTGCAAGTTATTTCTGCAAGCAGTGCCCCTGCAGCCAACTTGAGTGGGCAATGGACGAAAGAAACCGCTGCACCAAATGCTCCCACAATGGCATGCAGCACGTCTCGGTCTTCAACCAAGAGCTACTCAACCCAATTCAGAAGTACGGCAACTATGGCCCGGGCAAAGATGCATTTGCCAAACTGCGCCTCCTTACAGACCGCTTCATGCTCCGTCGAGTCAAGACGGACCACTCTGCCGCGATGGAGCTGCCAGCTAAGGAAATCTATGTTGATCGCAAGTTCTTCGGAGACGAGGAGAATGATTTCGCTGGCAGCATTATGAACAGCGGCACTCGCAAATTCGAGACTTACGTTTCGCAAGGTGTGCTGCTGAACAACTACGCCAACATTTTCGGTCTGATCATGCAAATGCGCCAAGTCGCAGACCATCCGGATTTGATTCTAAAGAAAGATGGGGCTGGTGGCCAGAACATCTTGTGCTGCTGTATTTGTGACGAACCAGCCGAAGATGCGATCAGATCAGCATGTAAACATGACTTCTGTCGTACTTGTGTGAAGAATTACATCGCCTCATCCGAAGAATCTACAGGAACCCCCGACTGCCCACGCTGCCATCTCCTCCTAGCCATTGACCTCGAGCAGCCAGAGATGGTGCAGGACGAGTCTGCGGTTAAAAAGACAAGCATCATCAACCGGATCAAGATGGAGAACTGGACCAGTTCGTCCAAGATTGAGGCACTTCTGTACGATCTCCACCTCCTACGTTCCAAGAACTCGTCAACGAAGAGCATCATCTTCTCCGGCTTCACCACGATGCTTCAACTTGTTGAATGGCGCCTCAGACGTGCTGGTATCACAACGGTCATGTTGGACGGTAGCATGACACCTGCGCAGCGCCAGGCTAGTATCAACGCCTTCATGACAGACCCCACCATCGAGTGTTTTCTTGTCTCCCTGAAGGCCGGCGGTGTCGCGCTCAACCTTACAGAAGCAAGCCACGTCTTCATCGTCGACCCTTGGTGGAACCCAGCGGCGGAATGGCAGTCCGCAGACCGGTGCCATCGTATTGGACAGTGTCGCCCCTGCAGCATCACGCGTCTGTGCATTGAGGACAGTGTCGAGAGCCGGATGGTGATGTTGCAGGAGAAGAAGAGCAATATGATTCGTAGCACGATTAATAATGATGAGGCGGCTATGGAGAGCTTGACGGCGGAGGATATGCAGTTTTTGTTCCGTGGTACTTGAGGACGGGTGTATGTATCGACTGGGGGCGTTGGGTATAGGTGCTATTGTTTTGGGGAGTTGGGAGGATTATGGGGGTCGGCTTAGGGTTTGGTTCGGAGTAGGTGGGATGGGTATGATGATCATGATAACAAGGGATTTTGTATGGTTACGGAATTGGCGGACTGTGGAATATGGGCCTTGCCTGCGTACCTGCGATGGGTTTATTTGAGTGGGGCATTGGCAAGCGTTTTATAGCCTATACCAGAGCTTTTAGCGTAGGAATTTGACTCTATAACCATAATGTGCAGCTTCTCATATTCGCGCGACCCCTTTCCCCCTGCACCATGATGCTACTGTGAAGGTCACCCTCCGCAATGATGATAATGTTAGAGCTGGGTATCTAGAGTAATTTTATTGACTAAAAGTCCGAGACAGAAATATCGCATTGACTCAAAACAGAAGATGGAAAGTTCGATGATCTCGAATTCAAAACACAACCGGAGGCAGAGCTCACAACCTTCCACAGCATGGGGCCCAAGGCCGGAATGTCTTTGGAGCCTAAACAGGGCGAGTTCTGTTTCAAGGCGTAAGAAATGCGGCCATTGGACGCTTCATCCTCGACTATGAGGCGAATGGGTGGCAGAGACGAAGACGGAGCGAGCGACGGCAGGGACTAACGGTGATGGGAAGGAGTGGTGACAGGAAGGGGCGGCGGCAGGAAGGAGCGAACGGCAGCAGGGAGGAGTTAACGGTGATAAGAAATGTTAGATGGGCGGCAGAGAAGAGCAAGAGTAGAACCTCCGAACGTCGGAACTTGGAATAAATGCACACCGACACAGGCACAGCAAGCTCTCATTTCGTCACCTATAATTATAGTTGGTTTGAAGATATTGTAGGCGGCACGACTGCAACTTATAGTGGGATCTTCTGCTGGGCTCGAATCTCTTAGTTGCAGTTCTTTGTGCTTTTTGTGGGCGGGAAGGCTTGTAAACGGTTCAACCAGACCAGACCATCTCCGTCGCTTTGGCCTCATTCAGCACCATGTATAGAGTTGAAGACTTTGCTTCAGTCATCATAATCATAATTCAATACGTGCGTCTATAATAAAGAAACTCTAAGCCATAAGACTTTGCCCGCAATTAGGCCCTGCCCCCCCCCAACAGCTTGATAGCATCTCCCCTCACCTCCTCCACAATCTTACCCGCCCCCTTAACCTCCCCCACCAACCCCACCGCACTCCCCGCATACGTCGTCGCCCTCCCCTCAACCCCCCACGCCTTATCCCCTTCCTCCATAGCTTTCAAATATTTCTTCACATTCTCCTCCACCCCCAACGCCTCACTCTCCACATAACTCTTATTCACAACACCCCTCCCATTATACCCCTCAGGCCACGTCTTCGATCCCCTCAACGTATCATAAAGTCGCGTACGTACCGTATTAACACCCCCATCAGACGCAACTAGCACCGCATCCTGGTACCCCCGCGCGATCTTCGCCTCGGGACAAGCAAGGAAGCGCGTCCCCATCGCCACACCGTCCGCACCAAGCACCGTCGCCGCTGCTACCCCGCGACCATCCGCTATGCCCCCTGCGGCGATGACGGGGATATTCAACCCCGCTTCGCGGAGCGCATCTGTAGTCTCAGGTACGAGTGCTACAATCGAAGCTGAAGCCGCCAGACCGTGTCCACCCGCATCGGCGCCCTGGAGGACGAGGACGTCAGGCTGGCATAGCTTAGCGTAGCTGAGAGCTTGTGCTTTCGTCCCGACCTGGAGCCAGATTTTGGGAGGAGCGGGGAGGGAGCGCAAGCTCGTTGTCCACTGCGCGATCGTATCTGGGGAAGCGGCGGGGAAGAGCCAGACTGCTGCGGGCACTTGGGCGGGGGGGAGGCTGGCGAGGAGAGTGACGGTTTCGGCTGGGGAGGGGTCGGTGATGAGGAGGAAGCCGATGCCGAAGGGTGCGGGGCCGGAGGATGGGGAGGAGGTAAAGAGGGCGTTGGCCTCATCGATGAGGATCTTGATGTCTGCGATGCTTGTGTCTGTTCCGGGGATACCGAAGCCGAGGAAACCAAGGCCGCCGGACTGGGAGACGGCGTGGACGAGGGCGGGGGAGGAGATGAGGCGCATGGGGGCGCAGACAATGAGGGGGGAGGTGGTGCCGGGGTATTGCTGGACCAGCGTCTTGGAAGTGGAGCTGGCTGGGTTGGAAGCCATTGTGAAGAGCTGAGATGCTTTGCTTTTGAAGTTGCTGTTGGTTTGTTGTGGATGGCGGGGTACTATATCTTATCACATTCACGCCAAGCTGGTAGGTTCAAAAAGAGAAACTGGGAGTTAGATTGAGGAGAAGATATATATGATGGGGAGGATATATAATAGATTTCATACAAACAGTCGACAACTCGACGACCTACCATGTAATATATATGTAAGAGTCACCTCTCGGGCAGATTCCGAGATGATTTATAAATACACTAGCTTTGACATCATATATCGGACCTCGGAAGGAGCCACGCCCTTGCCAAGACGTGATGGCGCCAAGATCCAAAAATAGACAAGCGTTCCCGCAGAGCCGCGCCATCAGACATAGGGCGTCGAAAGGTAAATTTCCATGTCGAAGGTCTATTTCGATACGACCTGCGATAGCTCCCTTGGCATCTATCTTCACTTGTACGACTTTCCATTTCCATTTGCCTTAGTTATCTCTTTCTATACCCCTTATATGATATAGCCAAAAGTGCCATATCCTTTCTTGCCGCCTTTGCAAGTGCGCCGCCACTTTTGGAAGAACTGCCGGAGAACGAACGACCATTCTTAGACGATAAACCGATATATATATAACCATGAACGCACCGGATAGGTTAGTTGCATCCCTTCCGTTGCTCCTTGCTTTGGTTGCGGTCCTCTGGAGCGTGTGGATATTCTGGAACGTGGGCAACGACATCGTGGCGAGGAACTTGAGGGCGTAGATGGGCGTGGCGCGACAACTTCGAATGGTGCCTGGGCTTGATATAAGATGGGTGGGCACACGGCGAGAAAAAATAGAAGCGGTAGAGGGTGTTTCTCCGGGCTCGGCTTCCTCGACGATTTATGGCGCAAGAAGCAAATGGGACATGGCCTGGGGATCGTCAGCATGGTTCTGGGAAAAAGGACCGACGTATAAAGAGAGTCTTCTATACGAGCCGTCTGAAAGATAAAAAAAGCATAGCGATGGCTCTGGAATAGTGTACGCTGCCGATAGGAGATAGGCGGGGTGTGGAGGGGGTTGCGCGAAGGCATAAGCCAGGAGACACCACAATACTCCAGACATCGTCCTATGTGCACAACAAACTCGGCACATATTCCCAACCAACTCTACAAACCATCTGTCGCAACTCTGTCTTCCAACATAAAAACAAACCGTCTGAGTTGTAATTATACGCCTGTACTCCTAAGAAAACGGTCAAAAGCCAGCATCGGCAGCGAACCGCAATGGCCTACTCTTATGACGATCCTGTCATTCAAACTGCCCACTTAATCAACGTCCCCAATCGCCTTGAGGTCGAGCTTGCCAACCTCAAATCGGTCTACAACCGCCCCCCCAACACGATGGCCAGCTTCAATCCTGACAGCCACCTCCTGGACCGCTTCGAGCACATGCAACGTGTGGGAACGGAAGTTAACATCACTGACAGATTCGAACTCTTCCTCTTGGGTGATGGAGAGAAGAAGATCACTGAGGCTGTTGATACTCGTAAGTTCACCACAATTCTACCTCATACACGTGAACTGAGAGCTAATCCGACCGAACAGGCACCCCAAACTCATCTATCTTTACCATCTTGAAGGAGGACCACACCCTGGCCAACCTCCTGCGCGCCCACCTGCTCAAAGACCCTCACGTCACCTTCGCTGGTTACAGAGGTATCTCACCCCACCCCCACCACCACACAGCATCCAGAACCTAACTAACGACCCCTCCCCAGTCCCCCACCCCCTCTTCGCCACCATCGAGCTCCGCGTCCAAACCGACGGCACCCTCACCCCCAAAGAAGCCGTCATCGGCATCGCCAAATCCCTCGTGGCCGAGCTGGCTCAGCTGAGCCGTGAATTCACCAAGGAGTTCGAGCTGCGCAAGATGGTGACGGGCGCGGCTGCGGATACCAACCAGGGCCAGTAGTAGATTCAGTTTGCTTTGCGGCACTGGCATTGGGATTCAGGGAGGGTGGGATGCTGATGGGTATGGGGGTTTATGCATAGCGGGTGTTGGGAGTTTTATGGGTGGGTGGTTGGGTTTGGCGTGGTATCTGGGGACTTTGATACGTTTTCGGTGGGGGAAAATCAATGCAGCAATATCCTTCTCCAACGATTTGCATGTTGTCTTCAATATTTTGTGACTATGTATCTATCCTATGTGAATAATGATCCCGGGAGCCTTAAATTTGATAGATTCTAAACATAGTGATATAAAGGGGGAAACGCGTGATTGCAGAGGTAAACAGAATATGTATCATGAAGCTGATTGTTTTGTGTGTTAGAGAATCTGTCACCGTAATGGCCAAGGGGTGCGACATCGCTGGCGACACAAAATAGCGGCAGCATGCATTATGACAGCCAGGATCAAAATCCGTGGCAGCCATTCACAGTAGTTATAGCTCCAACCACCACAATAGGCCAAATCATCACATATACGGACGTAGCCAAAAGTTAAAGAATAATCTCATTCCGTTCATCTATCTGCTATACAGCCCGACACCCACATAAGGCGATCTATGGTGCAGAAGCCAATGGTCCCTCTCCTCCTGGAATCAGCTGTGATTTATTAACCGCAGCTCATGAGTAGAGATTGGGGAAAGGTTGAAAGGGGCCAGAGCAAAAGGAGGAGAGAGGGGGGAACGAACCATGCAGATATTGTTCCCGTTCAGCAGAATCTTCTCCATCTTTGTTGTTGCGCCCGTGTAGTCGCTGGGATTGGTAAGTATTGGTCTGGGAAGTTGGGATGGGAAGTGGCCTACAATTCCGTCACATCTTCCAGGACCATGTTTACATAGTCATCAAAACCGGTGAGGGTGCCTGTGAATTCTTCAGAGAGTTAGTGTGGGTACGGTGCTGCTGAGCGAAGTTGGGGTCCAAATACCTTTGTCGGTCTTCATGACAACCCAGATCTTACTTCCGACACAGCGATCGATGAGTTCTATCTCCGTCAGCGCGCCGCACGATCCCTCTATGCATAACGAAGGTCAAACGGGAAGCAAAAGAGCAAGCACATACCAAGCGGGAGTAATTGCGTCGACGTCATAGTGGCTGACGGCGTGCTGATGCTCAGCGGCTTCCTTTTCTTTCTCTGAGAAGACCGGGTGCGACTTCAAAGCCCTGTAGGTACGGTACGGATGCTTAGGCTGTACGTAGCGTTCACCTCGAAGCTTAGCCTCAGCCTTTTTTTGCTTGCGGAACTCGTGGTGCAAGCCTGTGTGATGGTTAGTTGGGTTTGCACAGAGGTGACGGAGGTGATTGAGATTGTTGAGATTGGTGAGATGGAGGGGAGGCGTGGAGCAGGGTAGTAGGCGCTGGGCTTTGGGTAGGGGACGCCGTTGATGAAGATGTATTTGCTTCCGGGGTTCTTCTTACGGAGCTTCTTTTTCTTGCCGTTGCGTTTGACCTCTGTGAAGTGTTAGCTGGGGCTTTGTGATGACCATGTGCGACCGTAGAACCGTAGACTTGAGGATGGGAGACAGGAAAGAGACAAACGGCAGGTCGGGGTAGATGGGAGGGAGGAGAAGCTGACTCTCTTGTTTCGCGACTTGATAGTAGTATGGGCCTCCTGACACGTGGAAGAAATCCCTGAGATGGGCGTCAAGGTCATGGCCCCAGGAGATTATCCTTGCTTTGATGCGCTCCTTGAGCGTAGAGGCAGGGGGAGCAAAGGGAGAGGTAGGGGCAGGGACATCGGTTTTTTCCATATCAATGCTCATGATGAAGATGGGTAGATGAATAAATGATTTGATTTGCAATAGGAGTCTTGGTGAGGAGAAAGGGGACACAGAACAGCACGTGATATGTGCCAATATGAAGTGTGGTGAGAGAGAGAGAGAAAGAGTAGGCAAGGAAGTAAAAAGAACTTACAGATTGTGGACAAAATATAGAGGAGTGAATTTAGCAGTCAGAGCGCTTAGTCGAGGTGTCAGCTCAGCGATGTTGGGTTGGGTCGTTTGGGGAGGCTTGACAACCGAATTGTGTTTATGGGATGGTGATGTTCGATTTTGGTGTTGTCGAGAACGGAACAACTCCATCACCAACACAAATTCGGCGCTAGTAGAACGACCGTCGAAAGTCCATGGAACGTTGAAATAAGTCATGGTCCGTGCGTTTGATTTATGAGTGCCGGATGTATTTAGGGACGATTCGATCAAATACTGATATCACCGTCATACTTGATTCATGTATATATAGATTATATTCTCATAACCACCTTCCTTTTATTAAATCCCTAGTATTGATACAAACTACAAATTACGCATCTATTATCTTCTCACCCCTTAAGAAGCTGGATGGGAGATAATGATACCTGCGACGCTTTACGCGTGTGGTAGCCACTCATTTGCCGCCGATACGCGAAAGCCGACGCGACCAGGGGACCAAGGTGACCCAAGAGTGTGGGGATTCCATCAACCCCCCACCTGTCAATCCGACACTCCACGACATGCGCCTTTGCTATCATGGAGTATCACCATCGAGCAGACTCCTCGCAAAATCACAGACCTCGATGAGCAGCTTTACGGGCACTACTAGCCTTGCGAACGATGCGATGCGCTCTCTGGCTGCACTGAGAGGCAAGCCACCGTAAGTGCTGCTCCTTTGTACCGTGGTGAGGAGAGAAGCTAATAATCATTTAAACAGAGCCACCGCTGCACCTGCAAGACCATATAGCCTGGGGAGATTATGGAGCCCAGCCCAAGGAATCGTATTTGGAAATGGTGAGACTGGACTGCGGGGGAGCAGTCCGAGGGCATTCAGTACGACCACATTATCCACACTAGAAACGTCGACGGCTACGATTGAGAATACCTATACCTTGTCAAGCAAGGAAAACTTGACACCAGCACGGGAATCTGATCAAGGAACACAATCCATCCCGAGCAGCTCCAGTAGCTGGGCCCCTTCAGCTCCCGACACGGCTGGTTTACAGACGGACCCGTCTCAAACCGAGGTCTCCCAGCAACAAGAGGCTATTACAGAAAAGCCGAAACCAACCGAAGAAGAAGAAGAAGTCCACACACCCCTCTCATTTGTGATGCCGGCGGAAGTCCTCCAGAAAGCCAAAGATGCAACCCCGGATACCCCCGACTCCTTCTGGACGCACAGACTATACACAGGCCCCGACGACGCAAAAGTCAAAGTGCATTATTGCAAGTCCCGACACACTACCGAATCCGTGCTTCAGAAGCACTTCTTGGGCAAGCCTATCCTTGGCTTCGACATTGAATGGAAAATCGACGCGACTCGATTTTCCTCTCCAAAGAAGAATGTTTCCCTTATACAGCTGGCCTGTGAAGACCGTATCATCCTAAGTCATCTCGCACTCTTCCCCAAAGACGGCATCGATGACCTGGTCGCCCCAACCCTCAAAGCTATCCTTGAGGATCCCAATGTTTCCAAATGTGGGGTCGCTATCAAAGCAGACTGCACACGCGTGCGGAAATTCCTGAAGGTTGATACGCGCGGTATTTTCGAGTTAAGCCATCTGCACCGCCTAATCGAAGGCTCCGCCGCACGTAATCCAACTCTCATTAACAAGAAGCTCGTGTCGCTCACATCGCAAGCATCCGAGCATCTTGCCCTCCCCATCTTCAAAGGAGAGGTCCGTGGCAGCGATTGGAGTGAGGCCCTGAGCATGGAGCAGATTTTGTATGCAGCTAGTGATGCGTATGCCGGGTTCATATTGTACGATGTCCTCGAGGCGAAACGAAAGGCCCTGCGCCCTACGCCGCCGCGCCCATACCACGCCGAACTTGGCCTCCCCATCCGCCTTGCATCTGGAATCGAACTCGTCACAGTTGACGATTCACTCGATGATGCTACTGCAGCCCTCGAGCCGCGCAAGACGTCACGCTCTGCCCCCCAAGACCCGTCCCTTTCTATTCCCCTAGAAACTGATGAGGACTCATCCCCACAACCTTCTACCAAATCACCCAAGCGCCCTGCAAAGAAGGCCGAGCGACCTGCCGACCCTCGAGTGGACGCCGCTGCTGCCTTTGCAGTCTCATATCGCGCTGCGCATCCTTCTACCACTGCAGCACCTGCGGCTTTACGTGCCTACCATATCTGGTCATCACATGAAGACCTGTCGGTTGAGGACATTGCAGGGTTGCTGCGGGATCCGCCGCTGAAGATCGGGACGGTACGGGGATACATCCTTGAGGCGCTGCGATTGGAGGGCCGAGGGGTTCTGGGGAGCGGCGCGGGGCTCCGAAGTGAGAGGGGGCTAGACATCAAGGGGAGAGAGGACAGGGTGAGGGCGTTACTAGAGGGAGTTGAGGGGGATACATCCGGGTGGAGGTGGAGGGGACTATGGAGGATAGTTGGCGGAGAAAGGAAAAGCACCTAGTCGACGTGAATACCGTCGCTTGAGTTGGCATGAATGGGACGAAATACATGATTGGGTGCATGCAATGGCGTTTTCGGATCGGAATGGGTTTGAAGCATGGCACTGGTTGGATAATACGACCAAGTCACATAGCTAAGATAGACGGACGGCGGCGCCGCTCAAAATAAATACGAGATAAATAAAGCCATAGATTTATTACACCATTTACTCCAACCTATGCAACATCCAATCCACCAACTTCCGGGTATCATCCCCCCGTTTCTCTCAACGCCTACGACTTCTCCAACCTCGCCGGTGCGTTGATCTGCACCCTTCTATCCTCACCAGCACTCACAATACCCACAGTCTGGTCCCACACAACACCAAACACCTTCTCGCCCTCACCACCAACCTTGCTCTTCCCCGCGCCATCACGGCCAACCACGAACACCGCCTCGCCCACTCGTCCGCCCTCATCAAGATTCCCCTCTCTTGAAGACCTGACATCCCACACCCTAACTGTTCCATCGTGCGCACCACTGACCAGGCCAAACGCACTCGACGGATCCCTTGCCAGACTCGCAATCTTATTCTTGTGTCCACGCAGGGTCATCACCACGCTTCCAGCCCGCGGATCAATAAGGGTAATGTGCCTCGCCGCCGATCCGACAGCTACGACATGTCCGCTCCCACCTGGCGCAAGGGTAGTCAAGCACAGTAGCGCATGTCCAGTCGCACGGGTATCAACCACGTTTCCAGTCGCCAGATCGAGCGTCTTGAGAGTATGATCCAGCGAAGTGGAGTACGCAACCGTAGCATCATCAGGATGGAACACCACGCCCGTAGCAGGCGCGGTATGCGCAGCCATCATGAGAGTCGCGCCGCGCGCCGGAACATCAACAGCGGCGTTCATTTTCCTCCTCTTCGCGGAAGGCGCGGAGCCAGGGAGAAGCGCGGCGGGAGCAGCGGGGGCGGATTTGTTAGGGGTCCACAGACCGATGGAGCCGTCTGCTGAGGCGGAGAGGAGGCGGTTGGAGGGCGTGTGCGCGGCGAGGGAATCGATGGGGAGGGTGTGTCCGTACAGCGCGAGGGTGGGGGTTAGCTTGCCCTGCGCGTCTGGGCCGGTGGCGTCAGCGTACGACCAGATGCGGACTGTGCGGTCGAGGCCGGCCGAGGCGATGGTGGTGGGGGAGAGGAACTTGGCGGCTTTGATGGAGGAGGTGTGGCCGCCGTTGGAGGCGCCGGGGGAGGTGGCGATGACGGTTCCGGAGGGGGACCACATGCGGAGGAGGCCGTCGTAGGAGCCGGAGAGGATGCGGGGGTCCTTTTCGTAGGCGGAGGAGTGGGGGGAGGTGGCCGAGAGGACGTCGACCGCTGCGACCCAGTCGTCGTGCTCGAAGGCGGCGGTGAAGGTGGGGGGGATGCTGGAGCGGAGGAATTGAAGCGTTAGGGTTGTTTCGGCGGAGAGGCCGGCAGAGACGAGGTACTCGGCGAGGGTGGTGCGGAGGAATGTGCCGTTGATGAGGATGTCGAATGGGGTGGGGGTGGGGAGATCGAGCATCGCGGGGGAGTTGAGGATTTGAGAGAGGTTGTAACGACGGATGTCTGCGAGGAGGGGTTAGTATGGCTATATAAGCATAGGATGGGGCAATTATTACCAGTAGGGACGAGGAGGACTCTCTTGGACTCCTCGAGCTCGAATTCCTTCTCCTCGGTCACAAAGTGGACTTGCACCTGTCCACCAGACCTCGTCACCTCCTCTCCATTCTGCGCATCTTGGTCGGCCATGGCTCAATATTCCGTATCCTGGATGGATATTGGTGGAATTCGTCTATATGCTCAGCGGTGAGCCGAAGATTGAGAGATGAATGGGCGAACTGCAAACTGGCGATGCTGTTGATAGGATCAGATTCGATGTTGAAAATGGCCCAGCAACTTTTCAAAATTTTCCGGGCGACTAGGCAGACCTAAACTGCAGTTGTTACTGTCAGCCTCGCATGCAAGGCTGTGATATCATCATGGTTCATCATTTCTTACCCCCCGACACTTTGTTATTGCAAATCCTTTAAATCCTTTGTGGGGTTTCATTTCCGCCTTAGTATTGATATATTTTGTTGATTTTATGGAGTGCGAAGTGTAAAATCCGCTTCTGTTTTCTAATAAAAAATGGCGAAATTTCCATTGTCAAATAGTCAAGAGAACTACTTGTCCAGGTCGGTTACTACCATGGCATTCCCTTCTGTTTAATATTTGCCCAGTACCTTGAATTATGTGAAAAGTTTGGCCACTCATTGATGACATACTCGTAGCCGCCAATAACTCGCGTGAAACACATCATGTTTTCATAATAACCCGAAGGCACTTCTTCCTCATTCCCTAGCCCCTGCAACACATCGTAAAGGGAGTCTGCCACTAGAAGCACGAACTCTTCCAACTGTGAACCTAGACGTCGAACAAGCTCGTCGGGAGGTCCTAACCACTCACGTTCTATAGCACGTTTTTCTTCTTCGGAAGAGTCGGGCAAAAGTGGGTTTGTGTGGAGCGCTCCCATCATGAGGTTTAGGCGTAGGGAACGCAGGTTAGTCAATAAAAAGATCCCATCCCAGAGAGAAGTATATATAGGCCTATGGTCTGGTATCGTATATAGCGTTCCCAGTTGAGGCCAGAAGATATCCACCGCGGTAATACTCGCGACGCGTTGGGGAAGGAACGCGAATTGGAGCGACTTCAAAGTGTTACTCCCTCTGGATATGTGATCTGTTCGTTCCATATAACACCGCAATAGCTTCAGAATACCTACTTGGTGCTAGACATGGACAAACACTTGGGTCCATAGGCTGCGGATATATAAGAGTCAGGCTCACCCTTGGCGGCATGTAAAAAGCCACGCAGTATCAATATGGCAACCACTTCTATCTTTTTTTCCCCAGCAGTAGAGGCCAGGACCTCCCACTCGGCAAGTGTCCCGCCATAAGGGTACTATCTCGGGATCCCGATGACAGACGCTATGTCACCAATACCACCCCTTAGGCCTACTCTTGTCCTCATCCGTGGACATGTTGTGTATCATGCCTGGGATGTCAGGATAACCATGGTACAACTGTATGTGCACCGTCCGGTTGCCGAATAATTTGCGATATACGAGCATCCGCAGTTCAAAGGGCAACCGAGAAAAAAATAAGCTTGATGATTGCGAGGCTGTATGCAAGATTGGGGTTGACGTCTCAGCTGGATTAGGCGGATACGGCGACGAATCTAGAGTTAAAGCACGAGGGCGTGGCGTAGGGAGAGTTGGGTATGCCGGAGATTGAGGGTTTTCGTTCGTAGGGGGTACTCTCTTGTCACCAAACCAGTTCAAAGGAGTATAAGGCTTCTGACGAATACGATGTAGTCAGTGCCACCTAGGAGAATTCGTAGTCCCTCCACCGCCACATCTTGGACAGTCAGCATGGACGTGGCTCATTGGTTTGTGTTGTTAACAAAAGCTTCGTCGTGTATGCAAGGCGGCAATTGTGACTACTGCGTTATGGCTGACAGGGCTGAAAAATCGGCAGGGGCCATATGGGTCGAAATCATGTTGATAAAATCAATAAAGCAAGTAATTCTTTGGTATACGATAGATTTATGTTTGTAGGTTCTAAATTCGACGTTGGGGTGTATATATGAGACAGGAACAAAATGCTGACAATAAAACGCAGGCTATGCAAAACAACGCATTCTAGAAGGTGACCATAACCAAGTAGAAGAAAACAAAATGTACTACAGGATCCGTGAAGATGACCATCTATATCACGTAATCGTCTAGGTGTGATCTCCTGTATACCTCACAACTCACACCCCTCTCTTTCCGTCACAGAATTTCGGTACAGGGACTGCCTTACCATCACCAGCCCAGTTTATAATTGTCATCGACGTTGTGTACACCATGACTATTGCGCCGCAGACGCCGAGGAAAATATCGGAGAACTTCCGGAAACGAGTCGTGGCAACGGCGCGGTAATGGAGCATAGGCTGATAGCTGTTAGTACGTCGATTCCAGACGACAGGATAAGGCGGGGGAACTTACAGGATAAATATAAACAAGTGGCACGCAAGCAAAGCTTCCAACGATGGCCACGAACTTGTCCAAATCTGCCGCACCTCCCCATGCAATAGCAGCGCAGAGCATCACAACGAAGAAGCGGAAGGCGTTCTTCTGCCACTTGATGTATGGGTTGTACTTTCCGCTCCTCGTGAAAAGCTCGGTTTCGGTGATGCGAATAGCTGGGAAGATTTGAAGAGGCGTCGACAGCAGAATCGCAACACTGTACATGAACTGCACCGCGTTGACGAACTTGTCGTCCTGCGGCATGTTGAGGATGACGACGGTTTCAGTCTTGGAGCCGAATGCGGCATATGAGAGCGCACCCATGGACAGGAAGATAACGGTGATGATAACCATGACCACGCCCAAAACGCGTGGGAACTTCTGTGGCTCACGCATAGATTCTTGGATGGGAATGATGAGACCAATCCCCTCAAACGTGAAAATGGCGGTTCCAATGAAGAGAGTCCAGTCTTTCGGATTGAAGTTAACGATATCAGCCACTCCTTGCGTGGCAATAGTGAGTATGTCGAAGTAGTACAGATAAGCCAAGCCGAGAAGAATCAAGGCGTCGGCGACAAGGGCCGTAAATGCTAATTTGCTGATGTCTCTCATCAGCGAAAATGGCAGGAATATCGCCATTTGCATCAAGATCAGATACTTGATCTCGATATTTGTTTTGCAGTCTGACACGGCGAGTATGAATGCCTGCAGGTTCTCCGACGTAAAAACGATATATGCAGCGACGAAGCCGATCTGGCTGATAACGATTGATGCAAGAATGGCTGTCCGTAACCACTTTCCGTATAAAATTCCGCCCATGTCACCAAACGAGCCTTCTATCTTCAATCGTGTATTAACCAAGAGCACAAAGCAATAATAGCTGATGATTGCGACAAAAAGAAGAATCACGTTGCTGAAGAGCATTCCGCCGTTTAGGTAGGCCTTCGGCAGGAAGAGCACACCGGTGCCAACGAAGGACTTCAGGAGAAGCAGGAGTGCTCCCCAAGAGTCATTTTGGCCGCTCCCACCGCGGTCCTTACGCCTCCTCTTCTTACGTGCGCCTGGGGTAAGAAGAGCGCTATTCTCCATGCGCTCCCCTTCACTACCCTCCCCTTCATCGTAAAACTCATCATATGAATCAGAAGCGAAGTACTCGTTGGGTCCCAACGCTTCATCGTCTTCCTCGAGCTCTTCACCGGCGAAATGGCCGTATATCGTCAGGAATTCCATGAAGTTGTTCGTAAACAGCTTTGCATGCCTTGGGGTTCTTGCCGAACCACTGCTTTCGCCTTCCTCTACATCTCTTTCAGGGCTGGGGCTTGCGGCGACTCTTCGTAGGTAATTCCTACGCATTCCACCAGGTACTTTTATCGAGTTGATATCGAGCACTTCGTCGTCCGTATGCGGCCTTGACAGGTTGAAGCTGTGACTTCTTCCACGCCCTCGGCCTAGCGCTCTAGCCTGAGCCTCCTCGGTCCACTTGTATATTGGTCTAGTAATATCTCCTCCTTGTAACTGCAAGCTGGAAAACTCATCGTCCCCTAAACCTGGTGCAATCGAATCGAAGTCCGTCTTTGTCTTTGAAGTATCACGGTGCGTGTCAGACCCACCGTTGGAAGCGCCATCGCTCTCTTGCACCTCCGAGGATTGAACAAGATGTCTTTGAACAATGTCTGGATCTTCAAGACCTGCTGCACCTTGGTAGCCAGAGGTGTGAGCACCTTGTATCGAGCGAGTGAAGGAGCCGTAGTTGGTCTGTGGGTCGGCGGCTTGCAAATTCGCACCCGCAGTTGCAGGAGACAGAGGTCGCAGTGGTGGAGTGCCAAACCGAGGCGGAGAATTGCCGATAGAGCTTGAGAAGGCGGCAGCAAGTGCAGAGACTCCGGGGCCAGTAAGGGATGAGTGCTCGGTCGGGCCGCCAGCAAGTGGCGTTAACGAATCTCCCGCTGTGCCTGCCTGGCCGGATACGGGTATTTGCCGCAGTGTAGGAGTGCCAGACAAATGGCTTGAGGGCACTGGCGACGCAAGCCGGGCAGTGGAGGTTGCACGAGGGGCGGAGGTCCCAAGTCGGGATGACCCAGGAGACGTGCCCAGCAGAGGGTTGGAAGCCGAATGGTCCATTGTAGTCGATGCGGCAGATGGTTGATTCGTCGCAAGGCTTCACAATCTCGATGTCGAATTGTGGTCTCTATCGAAGCATACCGGGCGTTGGGTGAAGATGACTTTGTGGTACTCTTCTCGAGTAGGTAGCTTGAAGGGTTGTTCGTGTTAGCGCCAAGTACTGCGGTCGGGAGACAAAGCTTGGAATATCAGAACTAGAAGGCGTGTCTAACCTGCGTATTGTGTCTCAATACTCGTGTAGAGCAGAAGCAACTATGCTCTTCTGTAGGCACACGTTTGTTGGTAGAGTGATGAGGCTGACGAGATCTATGTTTCTCCGTGATATATATGTACGACAAGTCGTAGTCGCATGTACTCAGCTGTATCTGTATGCTGGGTGTCATCGATAAGCGGATCCCAAAGGCACAAGACCCTGTCACGCTCTCTGGTACGGTTACTGGGCTGTGTGGGGGCGCATTTGGGGGGGATTTGGAAAATTTGGTCACGTTTTTTCCCTTATCAGTGCTACCAATCAATCGGGTGGAGCTACCCGGGTTGCCCTGTTTTATGTGCCTGGCCGACATCAGAGTATAGCTTCGAAAGCTCATGCCAAGAGTCAAATTCAAAGAATAGCTACTGGTTCCCTTAGCTATCCCACCTTTTCAACCTGCACAATAACTACTCGAGTACTATCACGATGAAATCTTTATAATTGTGCTATTCTTACTTTCCGTGGCTCAAGGCCCATTCGATCATTGGCTGTCGTGCTTGCCTAGATTTGTATTTGGACTCTATCGCCGAAGTGAGGGGCAATGGCTCCTGGGAACGACCATCCTCCGACGAACCGACCAACATTTCAGACTCGAACTGCGGTAGATGCTTCTGGCGAGTTGAATAGGCGGTTCTCCGTTTTTGTGGACGACTCTGCTCCATCTCAGGAAGCCCAGTTGGGCAGCGATGGACCTGCTGGTAGCAATGAGCTTCCGGGCCCTGGCACCTCAAAGGGCGGCGGCAGTATCTTGTCGTCGCCATTCAACTTTACAAAGCGAGTTTTGAATATCCACAATGGCTCCAGCGCGACCGAGACCACGCCGTTACTGCGAAAGCGAACAACGGCCAACGGGCAGAAATCACAAGCATCACCGACACGGGCAGACCTACACACAGACCAAAGAAATCCTGATGGCGATGATAAGCGAACAAAGCCTGGGCTGGGCCCAAGGCCAGTTGGAGGTTCTGACAAGCTTGGGACTTTCTCAGGAGTGTTCGTACCAACATGTTTGAATGTGCTGAGCATTCTTATGTTTTTGCGTTTTGGGTTTATATTAGGCCAAGCAGGAGTTCTTGGTATACTAGGTAAGGCTATGCCATCCCCATATACCTTCGTGACCAATCTGACCACCATATTTTAGGAATGCTCGTGGCCGCTTATTCCATCGATCTCATAACGATATTCTCTCTCTCTGCAATTGCATCGAACGGCACAGTTCGTGGAGGGGGGGCCTATTATCTCATATCAAGATCACTGGGCCCAGAATTCGGAGGTGCAATAGGGCTCGTCTTTTACATGGGCCAAGTCTTCAATACTGGTCTAAACGCAGTTGCGTTGGTTGATGCCATTCAAAATAATATTGGTGCAGCCACCGGAGACTGGGCTCGAATCTTACCAGAATCTCAAGGCTATAACTATCTGTGGGCCACTGTCGTGCTTCTTGTATGCACGGGCATATGCCTTGCAGGAAGCGGCGTCTTTGCTCGTGCCAGCAATGGCTTGCTTATCATTTTGCTCATTTCCACTATGAGCATCCCATTTTCTGCATTGGTTATGGCACCATTCGAGAGCCGGCAACTTGGCATTCAGTTTACTGGAATGAGCTTGGCTACTTTCAAAGGCAACCTTTTCCCTCGTTTTACCAAAGGCGCTGCTGGCAGCCAGTCAAAGGGACGAGAAAGTTTCCAAGGGCTTTTTGGCATTCTATTCCCAGCAACTTCAGGAATATTTGCTGGCGCAAGCATGAGCGGAGATCTTAAACATCCTAGCAAAGCTATTCCGAAAGGCACTTTATGGGCCTTGGCTCTAACATTTGTTTCGTACACACTTGTTATACTGTCATTGGCCTGCACGGTGACCAGAGCCTCATTCGTTGCGGATATCAATATTATTCAGGATACGAACGTTTCTGCGGTTCTGGTTTTGGCAGGAGAGTTTGCAACCACCTTCTTTTCAACATTGATGGGTGTTATCGGATGTGCTAAGCTTATGCAAGCTCTTGCTCGAGACGAGCTCTATCCTGGGCTAAGCATCTTTGGACAAGGAACTAAGAAAGGCGACGAGCCTGTATATGCGATTTGCTTCACTTATCTCGCAGCGCAGATTGTCATGCTGTTTGATATCAACCAGATTGCGTCATTGATCACCATGGCATACCTGGTATGTTGCCTCTCTGACTCTACTTTCCCTACATTATCTTCCCTGGGTGCTGTTTATACCTCCTCCGTATGCGAGAGCGAGAGTGTATTTGATGCTCCTACATATTGGAGCAAAGTGATAATCATACTGACTTTTTGTAGATGACATTCCTGGTCATGAATTTAGCCACATTCCTCCTCAAAATAGGATCTGCACCCAACTTCCGACCATCTTTCCACTTTTTTAGTTGGCAAACCGCTTTTCTCGGTGCTGTTTTCTCTGGCACTGCAATGATTTTTGTTGATGGGGTTTACGCTAGCGTTTGCGTGGCAATTTTAATAGTATTGTTCCTCCTGGTACACTACACTTCTCGACCGAGAAGCTGGGGCGATGTTTCCCAGAGTCTGATTTACCATCAAGTTCGAAAGTACCTTCTCCGTTTGAAGCCAGAGCACGTCAAGTTTTGGAGACCACAAATCTTACTGTTTGTGAATGACCCGCGGCGACAATACAAACTTATACAGTTCTGCAACTCCATGAAGAAGGGCTCTCTATATATACTGGGTTAGTCATCAGCCCAACTTTTATGAGACGAGACTGACTGTGTATCAAGGCCATGTAGTTGTAAGCGATGATTTTGGGCGTGCGGTACCAGAGGCGAGACGCCAACAGGTCGCCTGGTCTAAATATATCGACTTTTCAAACGTCAAGGCTTTCGTCAATATAGCAATTTCCCCTACCTTGGAATGGGGTGTGAGAAATTTGTCCCTGAGTGCCGGGCTTGGAGGAATGAGACCGAATATCGCCGTTATTGGATTCTATAATATGGATGACTTGAATAAATCCAAGTCTACAACACTGTCATCGCCGAAGGATACTGCTGGTACACAAACACCATCAGATGCATATGGCCAGGACGCTCCAAAGGACGGCCCATCAGACGACACTAGCGGCTTAAAACTGGCGGCGCAGCTTCCAACTGACTCATGCCAAACAGAGAGCACCACCAGTATCATGAGCTATGTTACTGTTCTCGAAGACTTGTTGCTGCGCCTACAGATCAATGTTGCCGTCGCTAGGGGATTTAACGGCCTCGAGATTCCAAACCCTAAGGGCCATAACAAGAAGAAATATATTGATCTCTGGCCTATCCAGATGTCCGCTGAAATTGCTGCCGATGGGCCAATGAAGGCGAACTTGCTGACGACAAACTTTGATACTTGTAGGTTCCGTCCAATACTGTCAATATTGGCGATAGTTCACTGACCCGAATTTCACTTACAGATACCCTTATCTTGCAACTCGGATGCATTCTTAACACAGTCCCAAGTTGGAAAAAGTCATATAAACTACGGGTAGCCGTCTTCGTGGAGTATGAGACTGATGTGGAGGAAGAGAGAATACGTGTCAATAGCTTGTTGGAAAATCTTAGGATCCAGGCCGAGATTAAGGTCTTCTGGCTAGCTTCAGGATCTCTTCCGACATACGAAATTATTGTCAATGGCAACAGCCCAGGCCCAAAGGCTGAGGCCGAAGTTGATGAGTGTCTCAAGGACCAAGAGTGGTGGGAAGAAATGCAAAACATCAGAGGGAAGAGAGGGCAACCATTGGGAAGCGGGCTAGGTCTTAATGTGGAGAACCTGCTCGGATCGTCTGCTTGGCCAGACGCATCGTTCCAGCAGGGACCGAGGCATGAAAAGGTTGAACGGTTCCTGGGCCTGAGGAATCTTCTGCACAAATCGAAGAGAAGACGCACCATGAGCGGTTTCAGCAAGTTGGGTGTCAATCTTGGCATGCGTGCTCAAAGATTACCTGCTCAACTTACGCACCGAGCCAGCTCAGAGCGTGATTATAGCGACTCGGAAAGTAGCAGCGATGATTCTGATGAGGATAACGACGACGATCAGAGTATTGCCTCTGAGGCCGACGCTGACGACCGTGAATTTGATAGCGATGACGATCTTCGAAGCCCTGCAAAACTTGTGAGGCGTAAGAGCCACGGAGATGCTATGCTGGGACCACGTTCGGCGAGGAACCTGATTGCACCAAAAGAATCAACTTTGAAGAACAAGTCTAAATCGAATACCGTGTCTAATACGACTACACCAGCTAGGTCTCTGAAGGATTTTGATACGTCAAGCGGGACTCCATCTATCAAGGAGGCACAGGAGGATGCAAACACAACTACTGCCACATCATCGAACATGGAACCTCCTCCCCCCCGGAAACTTGAAGAACGGTTCTCGGCACTTCGTCAATCTCCTAGCAAATCACAGCTTTCGCCAACAACACCATCGCATGCTAGCGGTGCCAGAGAGCGACCAATTTTATCTCGCCACGCTTCAAGCCAGAAATTCAGTTCCAAGCCGGTACCAGTCTCCCAAGTTGCCACCCAGGATGGTGCAGGGCCTTCAATCATGTTTATTGATACCCCTTCCCCACCAACTAAACGCAATCGTCTCCAATCAGCGTATCGCTCTTCCCAAGACAACAACGACGATGCCACCTCATCTAACAACCCTTCGTCGTCGCCACCTAAATCTCTTGGGTCGACGTACTCTACACAATCTCTCCCGTTGTCTTTCAACGATCTACCATGCCGAGCACAGCATCTGATCCTCAATGAACTTATGAGGCAGAATAGCAAGGATACTGCGGTGATGTTTACGACGCTACCAAGCCCATCGCCAGGGACGCATCAAGATGAGGAAGCTTGCGTAGCATACATTAGCGATTTGGAGGTTCTAGGCCGGGGGTGCCCGCCATGCTTGATGGTGCACAGTAACAGCATGACTGTTACGATGAGCCTGTGAGTTTATAGAGTGATTTTCGTAGTTGGTTATAAGCGTTGCACAATGTTTCGGTGGTGTTTGGATTGATAGCGAAATAAATACCAAGAATAGGTTGACAAGAGATGTCATTACATATGTAGAAGGTCAGGTAGACCCCAATCTTTAGTTCTCGAGCTTGTCGTGGTTGTATTATGGTTATTTCACGTATTTAGAGCTAGTTCGGAGACAAGGACAAATAGAATTTATATTAAAAAGAGTTCTATAGAAACCAAACTATTACTCCGCAATTTTACCAAACCTGCGCCCCTAGAAAATAATGTCCGCTCTAACCGTTCTAACCATTCTATTTATTCTAACAAACAATTTAAAAATTCGACCTCGACGATATGCAATTATACCATTATTCAATGGCAAACCTACTTCTCTTTCTCAAATTCTCACCGAAATAGTAGAGAGCGTAAAATCCGACTAAGCAAAGTAACGCCAGACCAGCTAAGAAGCTGACGCCGCCTCCAACGCCAAGGTTGATAAATAGTGGTCGTCCGAACAAAATGGCCGCTCCAGCGAGGGTGCTACGTGCTGCGTCGTTTGCGGCAAATAGTGAAGCCGCATACTTTGGATAGATGTTAGGAATGTAAGTGAAAAGAACGTTCAAAACGATATAGGATCCTGATTGGCAAATGGCGACTCCAATGACGGGGCCGATCCAGTGTACCGAGGGGCGTGCTGTCCATGCTATTGCAAAACCATGTTAGTTTATATCACTATATATGAGGAGTTCGTACTCACCAAAGATGAAGAGCCCAATCGGCACAAGGAAGTTACCAATAAGACCTGGTTTTAGCCATACTTCTGGCTCTGGGGCGCCGTTTTTAGCCAGCCCTGGCTCAACATAATAGGCGTAGTGTGCGAGGCAAACCGGAATCGTGAGTCCGACACCGATCGGGACAGAGAGAAATGCAAGCCCAGACTCGCCAGAGCTGAAGGTATACATTGCTGGGAAAACCAATGGAAATACTTCAAAGAACGTGTAAAAGATAGAATAGCAAATGCTAGCATAAAGCGTCGTAAACAAGACCGCAGGGTCGAGAATGTTCATTTCCCATGGCTTGACCAAGGCCTCAAATGCCATCTCCTTGGCGGACATGTGTTGCTGGGTAATCTCTGACTGAGACCTGATATTCGCGTTGCCAGTGACCTTTCGAAGTCTAGCCGCACGTCGGAGTAGGATGTTATCGCTCGAGGTTTCAGGGAGACAGAAGAGCAACAAGATGAATACGAGAGCGCTAAGCCACAGGTTCTCCCACATACTCCATCGCCAGCCCTTCACAGGGACGGAGAAACCGGCGACGATCGGACCCATTGCGGGGGCCATGGTTCCTGAAGCTGCCCAAAAGGCTAAACAGTAAGGGAGCTTAAGGAAAGTGAACATGTCTGAGAAGCCGGCAGCACCGGTTGCCAAGCATGGAGAGCCTATTCTCTTATTAGACGAGCTTCAATGTAGTATATCGCAGCATATATGAATAACTTACCAAACCACCCAAGGAGGAAGCGTAGAAATAGTAGTCCTCCGATGTTCTGGACCAAGGCTGTTGGTATCAACAAGATGACGAAAATGAAAAATGTGACGATATAGATAGAAGTTCTTCCCAGAATCGGGATTCTACGCAATGTTAGTTGCTGAAATTGCATTGTGATATTAGGGACTTCACTTACTCGCTCAGTGGGGACCATAGTAAGGCACCTAGACCATCTATTTACCTCATGTTAGCTGGAGTTAGGTCCATAGGAAGGAAAGTACTAACAACTTATAACATAAAGGGCGAGTCCAAGAGATGCTACAATTTCGGAGACTCCAAACTCTTTCATGACTCCCTCCATGCTAGGAGCATAAATCGCAGAACCTATATAGATAGTGAACGTGTACAGACTAAATGGTTGTAAGTGGATGTATATTTCGGCAGCGTAGGTTGTCTTACCAAATCTCAAATGCTACAAAGACCTTCTTTTTCGTGCTCCAATTCTGAGGATTTGCTTGGTCGTCTTTATCCATCAGTTAGCAACACGCCCAAGAATAAAATTTAACCCCAGTCACTAACCTTCCGAGTACCAATCCACCAAGACAAATTCATCCTTGGGGGTTGCATGGTCAGTAGCCGCTGAGGAATCGCTCTTCGGCTCTGATTTCTCAAGATCAGGGATATCCACAGCATCAATCGATCTCTTTTCTTTCTCCAATGCAATTTTCTCTAAACTTTGTGGTGTCAGATATTGGAATTGGAAACCTGGGAGCTCCTCTGGGTACTGTAGCAATTTTCGTCGTGAAATAAAACGGATAATCCGCCCGGCAGCGGTCTCGCGGAAGAGGTCGCTCATGATGAGGGGTGAAAAACTTGAGACAGATCGAAGCCGCCTCAAATGATAAAATTAAGATGAGTATAAAAGAGATAGTAAATAATAAGAGACAGCATTGTGACTATGAAGACACTTATATACAACAGGACGTGGTTTATAACACTTGAGAAACCATGGAGTTTGCTTCTCCCATACAGTACATACTCCGCCGTGGTTAACCATACCCCCGAACGGCGGAAGGAGTGACGCAGAATATGGCATCAGTTTGACAAATCCATAATATATGTTTGCAAAGGTGTTAGTAACTTGCCCTGGCAGGCAATCCCATTGTTAATTTCGTATGAGGGGTGAGAGTAGGTCGTATAGACTTAGATCGGTTCCTGGATCCACCGGAGTACCATGTTGACATGCACTACGACCCTGGTCATCTTTAGCGATACGTTGTGGGTGCATCTGCACATGGGTTCATACTAAGACAGTGAACCGGACTTCCGGCACTTGGTTATGAGAGTTTCTCCTATTGACGATCTGGATAATACTTCACGGCGGAGACTACAAAGCACATAACCTTAAAATACCCGTACGGCAGACCATGGTTAGTGTAAGCTAAGTATCGGTATAGGATACGTTGGTTTGTCATTCTCATCGACAGAGATTATGGGAAGGAAGTGGAAGGCGAACGGATCGTTTATAACCACATGCATCGCAAACCTGTCCAAATAAGCCTTTTCCGAGATTTATCTTCAATCTCACGCAAATACGGTATAGCGACCATCTCTGCAGCAGCGCGATATTGGATGCCAAGGGTATTACCAAGGCCATTGTGAATGGAGGTTGTTATTATCTATTCTTGAGGCCATCTTCCTTTTACCTTCTCGGTCAAACCTGCCCTTTCTACTACTTCTCGACTTCTCATAACAGCCTCTTCTATAATCTCCTTCTCATTCATCGTGAGCAGCTCTCCACCCTTTACGACCATCTTGCCGTCCACAACCACAACGTCAACATCCCTCCCTGTAGCCGTGTACACCACAGCGCTAACGGGATTAAACCAGGGCTGAGAATGAATTCCCCGAACGTCAATGGCTACAAAATCAGCCTTTTTGCCAATTTCTAGACTCCCAATGCGATCTTGCAACCCCAACGCCTTGGCGCCGTTGATAGTGGCCATTTCGAGGACCGACTCCGCCGGGACTGCTCTGGGATCATATGAAATACTTTTATGGATGATAGCCGCGAGTTTCATCTCCTGTATCAAGTCGCAGGAATTGTTGCATGGTGCGCCATCCGTACCCAGGCCGATATTTACACCAGCCTTCTGCAGGTCCGGAACACGACAGATTCCAGACGCGAGCTTCGCATTTGACGTCGGACAGTGTGCAACATGAGTGCCAGATTCGGAGAGCAGTTTGATATCGGAATCATCAAGATGGACCATGTGGACCAGCACCGTTGAAGGGGAGAGAAGTCCCACGGAATCACAATACGACATGGGCGTATGGGAGACGGAGGCGAAGAAGTCGCGGTCGGCACGGACTTCGGCGCAGTGCATTGTGATAGGGATACCTTTGGTGCGTGATATTTCCGTCATTTCTTTGTAAAGATTATCGGATACTCTAGTTTTGTTATTCATGGCACCTTGGTAGGGGATGTCGACTGTTGAATTGGGGTTTCTACATACCCTCCAGGAGTTCTCGCTCCGAACCACACCCGAATTCGGTCATCCGCCTTACCATTCCATTTCTCCCACATCTTCACCGTTCCTAGTAATGACATTTCTCTGTCTTCAACTAGACCGGGGTGCATCGCCCAGGCATCATCTTGGGCGTATTTGGCAATATCCATCACAATTTTACCAAGACAGCCGCGAATACCACTTTCCTCCACAGCTCGGCAGAGTCCATCAAAGCCGTACCGATCGGCGAACTAATTCCAAGCATTTAGCATTTCAGCTCTGAGGCAGGTTGGAACAAGAACGTGTGCCTACCATACTCTCCAAGAAACATGTGGTTCCTGTCTTCAACATCTCACCAATGCTGAGCCGTGCTGCCGCATAGCCATCTGCTTCTGTAAAATTTCCCTGCAATACCCAGATTCTTTCACAAAGCCAGGAAACCAATTCTAAATCATCAGCCGCGCCTCGTAGTAAGGTTTGGGCTGTGTGCACGTGTGTTGAAATTAATCCAGGTATGATAATGCGGCCAGTGAGATCATATTCCTCGTCGTCGGCGTAACGTCGTTTCAGCTCCTCTGTCTTGCCTAAATCGGCGATTAAATCACCGTGGACGCGGATGGCTCCATCAGTAATGATGCGCCGAGAGGGATCGACCGTGATGATTGTTGCGTGTGTGTAGAGCATTCTGCTGACAAGTGATTTACTGAATGCTTCTGAGACTTGGAATTCCGGATTAAGATGGTGGCCATAGCTTAGATGTTATCTACATCGGCTGCAATTGTGGAGAGGCGGAAGCCGCCGACATACGGGACTATGATCAATACGACAGGGGCAATAAATCCACCATGATAAGCCCGACGAGCTAAACTACCAACATTCTAGAATTACACACTTCAATTAGTACTCAATCCGAGTAGACCACAATTTAGGATTAACCGTCACTCTTTTGCTGAATTATAGAATATTATATACTTTAAGCTAGCTGACTCTATTTTAGGTTACCTTCTTGTTCCTGCAATCCCATGTGAGTCCCCAATGGCCTTATCTATTACTATCTTCCCACGAGGTAGTTATCATCGCCAAGATAGCGAAAACGTGGGGAAAGGAGATAGCAACATTATAATCAGGATCAAGCATACAAGACGCTGTAATTAAATATCTAGACATTCCCTCTTTGTAGAAATTCACTATGGTATCGCAATCCGTTCTCTATTTACACCATGGACAACTCAATCCGTTCCACCGATGGTCCTGATACCATCGGTCCCGATCTGCACCCACGAAAGACATTCCGCCAGTACTTACAACGAGTCCGCAATTCTTTAACCACGAGGGAAGGCTTGATCGGCAACTATGACTACGCCTTTTTCTTCCGTCCTAATCTTCCATTCATGGCGAAGACCGGTACATCTGCTCCTTTCTTCGGCCTCAACGATCCAATGCCTACGTTGCTCGCCCTAGTTCTTGGTCTCCAGCATGCCCTCGCCATGCTGGGGGGCATTGTTACACCACCTATTATCATAGCGAGTGCAATATATCTCTCCGCCGAACAGACCCAGTACCTAGTCTCAACCACGTTGATTGTATGCGGTCTGCTAAGTCTTATACAAATCACCCGGTTTCACATATATGGCACACCGTACGTTGCTCAATACTCCGTGTCTATAAATGAAGAACATCGATGTCAGCTCTTCACATAGTAGCAATAGCTAACAGGATTAGATATTACATCGGCTCCGGCATCCTCTCCCTGGCAGGCGTTTCGTTCACCATCATAACTGTATCAACCAGTGCCTTTGACCAAATGTACAAAAACGGATTTTGCCCCTCCGCAGAAGATGGCACCCCACTGCCTTGTCCTGATGCCTACGGAGCCTTAGTTGGAACCAGCGCCTGCTGCGCGCTGATTTTAGTTCTGATCTCTTTCATGCCGGCAAAAATGATCCAGAACGTCTTCCCACCGATCGTAACTGGTCCCACCGTCATGTTGATCGGAGTCTCACTTATCCAAAGCGGGTTTAACGGATGGCTCGGCGGTGCCGGAATGTGTATGTCCAGGCCTGAGTCGGGTCTATTTATGTACTGTCCTACTGTGAACGCACCGCATGCTCTTCCATGGGGAAGCGCCGAATTTGTTGGTCTGGGGTTTTCGGTATTTGTTACCATACTGATCTGTGAGAGGCTGGGGTCCCCGATTATGAAGTCTTCTTCGGTTATCATAGGGTTGCTGGTTGGGTGCATTATTGCGGCAGCGTGTGGGTATTTTGATCGTTCCGGCATTGATGCGGTAAGTATATCTGTGAAGAGACTCAGAAATACGAAGACACATAGGGGCTAATTGCATTTTTTAGGCTCCAGTAGCGTCATTCATCTGGGTACACACATTCAAACTCCAAGTCTATGGACCCCTCGTCTTACCATTACTCGCTGTCTATATCATCACAGCCTGCGAAGCCGTGGGTGATATAACAGCTACATGCGATGTATCACAGCTAGAAGTTCAGGGGAAGACATTCGACTCGAGAATCCAAGGCGGGCTTCTTGCAGACGGCTTCAACAGCGTCCTCGCCGCCCTCATGACGGTGACGCCGATGACAACTTTCGCACAGAACAATGGTGTTATTGCGTTAACACGATGTGCCAATCGAAAGGCAGGGTACTTTTGCTGGTATGTCTATGATACGACGAACTCAGCTTGTTGATATCAGCTAACCGGGATTTGTAGCTTCTTCCTCCTTATAGCTGGTATCTTCGCGAAATTCGCCGCAGCTATCGTAGCTATCCCCTCAGCTGTCTTGGGCGGCATGACAACCTTTCTTTTTGGCTCGGTCGCAGTCAGTGGTCTGGCGATCGTATCAAGGGTCCCCATGAACCGCCGCAACCGGTTTATTCTAACTGCTGCAATGGCATTAGGGTGAGTTCAGATCTCATCTTCTATAATTTGTCCTCAAACTAACTGTCAAATTTAGCTACGGCGCCACCCTCACCCCGACGTGGTTTTCATACGTTTTTGGTGCAACAGACAATAAAAGCCTGCGAGGATTTCTAGAGGCGATTGAACTGGTTTTGGAAACTGGATTCGCCGTTACAGCTTTGTAAGTTTCTTACCTCTATTTATTTAGCCCTCTCTGCCATTTACTAACAGTTAATAAAAATATAGTGTGGCTATGCTCTTAAACTTAATCATGCCTGCGGAGGTGGAAGATGTCAGAGATTCTGCTTCTGCCACCGTCTCTTCGATAAATAAAGTAGAGTAAATTTTATATAGTAATTAATTAATGTATTTTCTAAGGATTGATATCACCTATTTAAGCCACTATAATCTATCACTTTCGGATTAATTATGAGTAATTATCTGTTGCTGCCCTGAGCTACTCAGGCTGACTGTATTTAATTAATGTTGTACAGTCCGAACTTTTTGGACAGCGCCAAAATGACGTTGAAGCTTGACGTTGGGCACTTTACGCGAACCGCGTCGCTAAATGCTTGACGCGTCTACCCAATCCAGAAAGCTTGGACAATATATTCGACTGACAGCAAAAGCAACCTCTACAGCCGCTGCTCTCTCAAAAGTGGTGTGATGGCGGAAATAAAAGAAACTGACGCGGGGAGCCTGCTGAGAGCGCCATCGTAAGACCTCTTACTCCAAATCCTCCTGCGCTCACAATTGACAAACTCAGCGACACCATCCCAAAATCCATTGAGCGACTACCTTGCGAATACAAGCCGCTGTACACCTTCGACCTCGAAAAGGATAAGCAATATAAGCAGCAATATGGCGACATGTATTTCTTGCGGCTGGCCAAGCTGAAGCCGGCTGCGGAGAAAGTAGCTGCTGAGGCCTGGGCTGGCTTTGAGATTGGCGGGGAAGAAGCCACCAAGGTGGAGAGAGTGTTGGATGTCAGGCAGGGCGAACTATGCTGGGTTACTGGGACAATATATATGGATATGGCACTGAAGCCGAATATTCTGGACGACATATCGAAAGATGTAAGCCTCATTACTGCTGGTAAATGCAGCCGGCTAACCTGTGATAGCATTGGACTTCAGCGGTGCCACCAAGGCAAAAATACAAATCGTCGGATGGCAGTGACTCGACAATGCTGGAGGATGAATCTGGACGGGTACGACTGATTGGTGCGCGCCTTGCAGATGAGATGATGGTGACCGGTTGCATCGTCTCCGTTATGGGCACCGAGAACGCCAACGGAGATTTCGAAGTCGTCGACATCCGAACCCCGGATCTCGCACCCCAGCCAGCCCGCTGGGAATACTCGGATTCTTCGAAAACAGCGACAGAATCCGGCCGAAAAGTCAAAAAGCAGAAGATGGAAGACGAGGATGAGGAGATGACTGAGTCTCGACCTGGAAGCGGCGGTAAGATCGCTATCGTGTCAGGCCTCGACATCTCGGGCTCAAACACAGGCCACACCCTCCAGCTCAACCTCCTCCTTGAGTACCTCCTCGGCGAAGCTCTCGACCCCGCCTCCCAACAACAAGCCTCCCAAATCAGCCGGCTAATAATCGCCGGAAACTCTATCGTTGTCGACGACTCTGTCCCCGGTGGAAGCCTCGGCAACACTCGTAAAGCAACGCACAAGAAATACGGCTACGACAGCAGCGCCTATAATCCCGCTCCCACCGCGCACCTTGACGATTTCCTCGCCGCCCTTCTCCCTAGCGTCCCTGTCACCTTAATGCCCGGCGCCTCAGACCCCGCGAACGCAAGTCTTCCCCAGCAGCCTGTGCATTCAGCCATGTTCCCACAGGCGCGGGCTTATGGATCGGGGCCACCGATCGATGGGGAGAAGAAGATTGGGTGGTTCGATGCGGTTACAAATCCCTGGGAGGGCGAGGTAGAGGGATGGAGGGTACTGGGAACTGGGGGGCAGAACGTGGACGACGTGTTCAAGTATGTGGAAGGGGAGGATCGGTTGGGAATGATGGAGGCGACGTGCAGATGGAGGTGCTGTGCACCAACTGCACCAGATACACTGTGTAAGTCTCACATTTTCTACGCTTCAAAAGATACGTTGGCTAACGGGGTGCGAAATAGGGAGTTATCCGTTCCAGGACGACGATCCCTTTGTTATTAAAGACTGTCCGCATCTTTACATAGTTGGATCCCAACCAAAATTTGATACCAGTGTCATCGAAGGTTCGGACGGACAGATGGTGCGGTTGATAGCTGTACCGCGATTCTCCGAGACTGGAGAGCTGCTCCTGGTAGACTCGGAGACATTGGAGGTTGAGCGTGTAGTTATCGATGTTTTTAATGGCGATTTATAGCTAGAATAATGCTAATTGAATTTGTTCAATCAATCAATCCCTCCAAATATGTAGAAAACCAATTCGTTGGTGAACGTGTGCGATGCGACGAGCTGTCTTGATATTCGTGGAGTTATCAAAAAACTGTGGTGGGTAATAATACCATCTAGTGCCCACCTAAACAAATCACAAGGCTCAATGGTCTAGTCGTATGATTGTTGCTTCGGGATTCATCCCCTGTTCTCAAAGAACAGATGCTTGAATGTGACAGGTCCCGGGTTCAAATCCCGGTTGAGCCCCTAATTTTTGTATTTTTTTTCCTTTTTCTTACGACACACAAACTATATTTTTGGCCATCTAATTGCTAATTGAATAATTATTTTATTTTTACAATTGAATTAGAGTGTTTAAAGGGAGGTGGTGTCTGTTTTGTGACTTTGTCGCAATGCTGTGGCAGATCAGAAAGTAGCTACCGATCGCCAATTCATCAAAAAACATTCTTCTACAACAATGACAGGCAACACGTATACTATGCGGGAATCTTGGTCTCCGGTTTTGAAATTTATACAATTTAACCTAATTATGCCAAAGATTCTACACTCTAGAGGCTGTATAAACAATGCGCCTACAAGAGGTCTGGCGTGGTGAATTCCCGTTACCCCGGACCCTGACAGGGACACAAGACCCTCCGTGCATTGCACTGAGATCGAGCCCATATGATTGTCCTTCTTTATTCTAGTCGTCCTACGACAACCCCATCTCTATGCGGGAACAATGGAAATAAGAAGGTCCCCATTGCCATGCGCAAAGTGAGCCCCAGCATTCATGTTGGTAGTGTCAATAGCACAGTTGTCGTAGATCCACTGTGCCGCAATGGCGACGTCGCTGCAGGACGATGCCACGCTCGCCAGGTTCTTGATGTTGGCGCCCATAATGGACGCGCCGTTGTCGGTGCACATCTGCTGAACAAACCTGCCGCTTACGGCGCAAGACTTTGAGCCCAAGGCTGCGAGGTAGTTTACACACGCTTGGGCACCATTTCTAGGAAGTGTGTAGTTATCTTCGCAAGTTGGGATGCTAGCAGCGGATGCACGCTTGCCGGACAGAAGGGCGCCGCGGATCTTGTGGGCGTTATACGACTCGGGGACTATGGCAGTGGTTAGAATGGGTTGATGGTAGATAAAGGGCGGTAGAGGACGAACTCGCGACACGTCCCATAGCCTCAAGGTCCTTGCGGGTGAGGCCAAGCGACTCTAGGCTGGGGAAGCCGGGGCCGGGAATCAACCCGTCGACTGGAGCTGGTGCGGCAGTCGCGCTGGCGCCGACGGCGAGAAGGGCCATAAAGGCGGAGATGATTGAGAATTTCGCCATGTTTGAGGAGAGCGGTTGCTGGCTGGGCTTCGTGGAGTTGAGAGATCTACGATGCTTATTTTCTCATGTTTGGAGGAGAGGGCGCCTTTAATGTTCGTTGGCACCTGTCAGAGTCCCCTACTGAGGGTGGATAGACGCACGGTCCGAGGTGAAGCTTCCGCCCCCCCTGAGGAGACCTGCGTCTGGTGTGGGCCATGGGATCCTGGTCGAAGGATCTTGCCTTACCAGTTGTGGCGCGAAGGATGAAGGATTTTGGATCGCTTCGTATATCAGTGCTGATAAGGTGCCTCTGATTGGCGACTTCCAACGTGAGATATTAGGCCGTCTCTACACGGTTAGACGCATTTACTCCTGCACAGCACCATAATCTCGTCCATAATCTGAAATAAGGCCAGAAATACGAATAGCGAGAGGGGCAAACAATGGGGCGTTTCCAAGCCACGGAACGAGACGAGGTACAGAGAGCCAAGGCTAGAGGAGGCGCAATGTCTAAGATTTGGGATCCTGGGGATTGAGGGGAATCAGGAATTTGTGAATCGCCAAGTGGTGTGGAACGGGCCGTGCTCTACTCTCTTTCGCCCTCCAGCGATCCTTCAGGAGCTTGAAATTAGAACTGTGGAAATGAGAGGCTTGGCATGTTTATTTGTCGGAAACCCTGGTTGGATATCGTTGCTGCACGTACCACTCTAACGCTCAAAACCTCATCAGCTGGTTACATTATACTGTTCTACACATAACTATAGAGAAGACCAAGTCGGTATATTAGCGTAGACTGAACAGGAATTTAACAAAGGCGATGGGTTGACCATGCTGAAATGCGAAGAAAGTATTGTTAGCCATGTCTTGAAATTTGAGATGTGGCGCTACCCTATATTTAGACCCAACGGAAATCTTGGCAAAATGTTTATTATTAGACTGACACCTGGGGCAAAGTATAAACTAGCCAGAAACACATTAACAAGCCAGAGCTAAGCTCCGACGAAGGAGCGATACCTATGAAAGGAAACCCAGGATAGGTCTCGTTCTCCAATCAGATCTAGATTAGATACAGTCTCCATGTTGGTCGTAACGTCTCGGTGGTCTTTTTAAGACCTTTCCCCCCAAATGACCACCAGTCAATATCCGACAGGCAACACAACTTGCTACAGTATTCGAAGTACTACAGTTTACATTCGTCCTTTCAACTTCTCAAAAACGTCTTTACAAACTCCCCCCAGATTGGACCCCTGTGTGAAGCACTTCATGTTAGCCAAAAGAGCGAATAAATAATAGAGCGCAAGAACAGCCACTGCCTACCTCTTGTAGAAGAACATTTCCGGCACATTCCCTGTCTGTAAGCCCTCAATAGCCGCTGCGAGCTCTTCCCCATATCCGTCATCTTTGACTTCCTGTATTGGGTACATATATGTCTTGATGACGAAGACTATCGCACCACTCTGGGGTAGGCGGAACAGAGACTGCATTTCTGTGCGCTGGTATGTCTATCTTGGCATTAGTAAAATATCTATAGAGGGCAACCTGAATTTATAGCAGTACTAACGTTTTCCACCGTAACTTCAGCAGGATGGTCGGCATTGGTATGTTTCCCATCATGGAAATGAGTGACTTCAAACGGAGTAAACAATTTACTATTCGTCATAACGCTCCACTGTAGCAACCAATTCAGCTGCGGATTCTGCACCCTCATCGACAGCAACTTACATTGAACCTCCTTTTAAATTTCCCAACCTCTAGCGCAGCAAAATATCGATCCATACTCTTGTTCAGTATATCCATATACTTCGGGACAGGCCCATGAATATCTCGCAATTTCAATCCAAGCTTCTTACTCGCATCAAAGCCGCTGGGGAAACAAGTTGCAAAAGCTTTCAGCGTATATCCATCGCCATCATCCGAAGGAAGTAGTATCAGAAAGTCTTCGTCTAAATTACTCCCAATCTGGGCAAGTGCCTCTGTAGATGACTCCGGGCAGCTGATGGGCAGACTGTGACCTGTGACCAGGTTGTTAAGCTGACCGTTTGAGCGTTGAAACATCTGGGGCCACCGCACGGGAAGCAGACCGTCCATGAGGAACTCATATAGTTCTTTGACTGCCGGGCGCGACCCTTCCAGGTGCCCGATAACGGTATTTGGGTACTCGGATATACATCTCTGACGTAGAGTGACACGATCCAAATAGTTCTTGTCCATAACGATTAGATTATTGGCATCTGTTTTCTCCAGTGCTGCGCCAGGTTAGTGACTGAATCTGTGGTTGTGCCTCGTGAAGCTGCCTACCCATAGTAAGATGATATTTCGGCTTAAAGGGGCGGTGCTTCAGTGGCTCTGTACTTTTCCAGTCGAAGCCAACCAACGTATCAACCGGCCCTAAAAAAGTCTGGGGCTTTGAAGTAGCATTTTGGTCACCGAGGCCTCTTTTCTCTCTTGCTGTAAGTCCATTCTAGATGAAACAATTAGTATATTTAGAACGTCAATGGCTGCTTCATACGTACCTTCGTGGAGAACGACGGGACCTTGCGACATCTCTTCGTGAAGAAGAAGGTACAGCCTGTGACAAGTGCGGCCAGGGCAATCAGACAGTATGACTCGCCACATGTTAGACCATCGAGTATGGGCAGCATAGTTGGGCGATTAGACATGGCCAGCTATCCAACCCCCAAAGAGTAATGTACTTCCTGTTGATGATATTCATACAAATTATGAATCCGACGATAATTCTTTATAATACGGCACGTTACATCGCCCCGAGGTTGATTTCATTATCTGCGGTGCGTGCGGTATCGGTATCAACGGGCTAGACCAAGATCTTAGCTGCCGTGCCGCCCTGTCGGATACACTTTCCGAGAACAGCAACGGCCAGGAAACCCAATTACCCCGCTCTTATCAAATATTTCCACATTTTTATCAATTACCCGCGATGATAACGACTGCCAAGTGCCTGTTTGGGAGTAGTTGCGGGCCGAGAAGTCCGAGGATATGCGGGCGTGTGCATATAATGAATGGCACTTCAATTCCGAATGATGGATTTCATCTATGCGGTGCAGTTTTGACTCGTTGACAGGCGGCTACAATATAATAAATACTAGCCTAGGTGACCGAGAGAATGTATTTGATCCATAGTTACTATAAATAGGCAAGAGACATTGAGTTCTATGTAGTTATTCCCAGCCTCTGACTAACTGCCATGCGCCGTCCCTGTCCCCGTTCCCGTTCCGGTCCCATGACCTTTTCCCGCCCACATCGCCACATCGTTCCTTGAACCAGCGACTACTCTTTTCCACAAGGGCAATCCTTATCTCTTACTACAGTCATTAATCTTCATACCAGTACTGTTCTGGAGACAGGTAACGTCATGTCGTATATCCTATCCATCGATGACTTCGCTACTGCTGTGACACACCCGATTTCTGGTACCCAACCTCACACCACCCATCTACCGGCTTGAGGCCGTCCACGCCCCCAGAAAGCTTCAACTCTATCTCGCCAAAATAGTCCTCTTTGCCAACCTGACCAAAACCAACGCTCTCAAACAGACTTCGACTCTTCACGTTGGTTTTGTTGATCTTCGAAACGAGCACCAATCCGCCCATTTTCACATCCTGCTGTTCGACCCGGTTCACGATCCCATCCGGTGAGTGGCTCTTATACTGGTCGAGTATGTCAACCGTGTGATTTTTGATATACTGCAGAAAAGCAAGCAATGTCGCTTTCCCAAACCCGCGGCCTTGATCGCTTGGGGACGCAATCATCAGCTCGATCTCGCCGCGTACGTACGGCCGATTCAGCATCTCCTCCCCTTCTCCATCAAGCTCATAGGCAAGCCTGAGAAATAGGTTCACATCGCCAATCATCTCTTCTGGGGCGTCATACCCCTGAGATGATACAATTCCATCATTTGAACCCCTCTCAGAATCTTGGGAGGCGGGGCCAGAGAGAGGGTGGCAGGCAATGAACGTTAGTTTGTCGTAGTCCGTTTGCCAACTCAGCTGCATCGCATACTCCTCCTCCAAAGTCAGTGGTTCAGAGGCCGTCAGCTCTTGAAGGTCCTGTAGTCTGCATCAATCCCCCCGCGTCGTAAATCCAGGCTTTTAGCATCATACCGGCGACTTCATCCACCCATGGTACCGCAGCACATGATGCTCTCCATACGGGACGAGTAAGATAGCCGGCGTGGAGATAGCTAGACGTCAAACGGTCAGTTAGATACCCATTATGCAATTGTGGAGAGAAAAAATTATACCTGTGGTTGCATTCAGCAGCATCTTCACAGTGTCTGCGTCAATGCAGAAACTGTACCAATGTCAGAGAATTATAATATTCGCCGCTGCACGTGCAGATTTTAACGTTAATTTAAGGTTACGCATCAGACCCCGGAAAAATGTCTCCGCGACCCGTGCATACTAAATCTACAACACTACTGCAAACGCAACTTAGAGCTCTGAGGTAAAAGGGGAGGAATATGGTGATATTTTAAGATTGCATTGTATTTAGGGACCCCTTTTATTGTTATATAAGTATATTATTTAAGAATAATGAAATTACTGTTATAGAGATTAAATTGGCGCTATAGGAAGATGGAGTTGGTAGGTGTTGGGGGAAACGGACTTTCCCACGGGATACAGTGGGCTTTTGCACCTAAAACGACAGGTTTTCTCTAGGGGATTGTCTAGTTCCCTAGTTATTCTACGTATTAACTAAATGTCTTAGTTTTAGCTAGGCTCCCTTGTTATCAGGTGGGAACAAGGACGATCAGTCAGAACGACAACGTAAAGGCTCATATTCTTGGTGCAACTAGAAACGCTATCAAAGTAGTGAGTATTACTAGGCAGATTACACCATTATCCACTGCTTCTCTATCACCTGATTCGTTTCTCAAAGTAACTAGTGAGCAGTACTAGGCGGGTTCAACCTTCACCTCTTGCTTCTCTAGCACCATATTCGCCTCATTCATATTGTTCACTTTCATTTCCGCATTCGCAATCTCCGCCACATCCACTGCATCATCGCCGTCGAAGAATTTTGCGATTTCCTCCAGAGGTGTGTATCGAGTCTCGATGATGAGGAAGTAGATGACGCCGACCTCTAGTACCAGGAACACGCAGTAAACCAGATAGTATTTCCAAGCGAGCGCTTCTAGGGCGATGGCGTTGACGTACTGGTTGAAGAAGAGGGCAGCAGTGACGCAGAAGTTGAGCCATGTGAATCCCTTGGCGCGGATGCCGTATGGTAGGATTTCAGTGGTGTAGGAGGCCATCAGCCCTGACCTGGAAAGCCTGTGTTAGTTTTCGCAAAGTTAATGAAGGGGAGTACTGACTTGAAATCATAGAAGGAGCCGTAAACGAAGATCATAATCACAAATCCAATGCCGAGGCCTTTATTAGGCTCAGCCTCAATAGCATATCGAGCAGAGATGATAGTCCAGATGGTGAAAGCAAAGAGAGTACCGATAGTGGAGATGAGATAAATCTTTCGTCGTCCAATTCTGTCGACGAAGAACGACATGAAGATGTTGACAAAAAGACCCCAGGATTTCAACCCTCCATTTATGCCAAGCTGAGTGCTGGCACTTGTGATGCCAACATTGTTCATCACTTGGTAAAGGTAGTAGGAGATCAGCCCGTTGCCAGACCATTGAGAGAAGAATCCAATAGCCGTGATTACAGCCATTCGCTTGCGGTTGCCCTTTGTCCTTACCAGGTCAAGCCAGGAGTTCTTTGCAGCTTCCTTGTCTAGTGCGATGGCAGTCCGGATCTCTGTAAATTCTAGTTGAACAAACTCATCCTGAGGATTGTTCTCTCCGTGGTAGTAGGATAGGACTTGCATTGCCTTTTCGTCCTGGTCCTTGTTAAGAAGCCATCTCGGGCTTTCGGGAATCCACCACATCATGCACAATATGATAAGCGAGCAGATGGATTGAAGTAGACTTGGGAGTCTCCAGGACCAGTCGTTCTGTATGTGGTTAGCAAATGAATTGGAGGCAATCTCGAAATATTTAGACACGTACTTGGATCGTGAGAGTACCGTAGGTAGTCCATGATGCAATAAATGCTCCTGAATGGTACGAAGCACCGCTTAACGTTACGAGAATAGCACGATCTTGAGGATGGGCTATTTCGGTAATGAGCAATGGGGCGGCACCTAGCACAATACAGTCACCGAATCCAATCAGCATTCTGGCGGCAATAAACATTCCAAAGTTTTGGGCGCCAGCCTGCAATCCAACAGCAATCAACATGACTATGCAGCCAATAGTAACACCGCACTTTCGTCCCCATCTATCAACAAGATATGGAACGAAGAACAAGCCGATCAACGAACCCAAGCTCATAGACGCATTGAAAAGTCCAAGAATAGGGCCTTTGGGGTTGTCGAAATATTCGCGCCAGTAGCTCAGTGTCTGAAGACCGTTCATCATGCTGCCGTCGAAGCCATTAGCCGTGTTGGTGAGAATTAGTATGACCACATAGATATAAAGTGTGCGGAGGTTGCGATGTTTCCACCAGTCAATGCGACGGAACGTTCTACCGGCGAAGAAGTAGTGACCTTTAGGAGGGCGGATAGGCACGAAGGCCTGGCTTGAGCGAGGGGCTCCGAGCTTAGGTAGGAAGCCCATGATGAGTTTGTGTGTTTCAACTGGCTTTAGGAAAGCCGATGGAAAAGCAGTTCTTGGGTAAGGAGGTGATTAACGGGGAAAATCGAAGGACTATATATACCTTCCTAGTAGCTTTATAACGTCAATTGGAAGGTTACTAGACGATCACCACACATCGGCTTACTTAGACATGACATATCATGTACATAGTCTGGATGAGGTTTTAGAGACATGAGACTTGCACCCTACGCGCTACATGACAGCTTAGGTGGAGAAGATAACAACATTTTCGAAAGGTTTGTAACGATTGGTGCTTAGCGTTATTGTTTTTTTTTTTGTTTTTTTTTTCGATTTTGGCTAAAACCCGGCAATAAACAAAAGAGGAGTTGAAGAGAAGCTCAGACATACTTCGATGCGTTTTTGTCTATTTTAGTAAGTTCCCCCCCCGGACTTGGCGATACGGCGCCAGACTTGGCGCCGTATCATTCGTGAGGCTCCCCCGCTTTCCCCATGGTGGAGTAGAATTGGGGCAATGTCATTCGCGGGGTTCCCCCTCATTGCCATTCATCGCTTTCTCCATGGTGGAGTACAATTAGGGCCGTGTCAATCGCGGGGTTCCCCATCGTTATCATTAATTGCTTTTCCCGTAGTTGAGTGGAACTGGCGTCCTTAGTGTGGTGTCATTTGTAGGTTAAATAGGTCAGTTTGAAGTTGTCGGATAAATGTTCCCGCACGATTGAATCTCAAAGCTAACCGCAAGCAACCTATTTGTATGGTCTACAGCCTATGGCATTTAACCTCCTGGGCATTCTAAGTTGCTATTCTTGGTCGAAGGCTTGGCACAAACACTGACGAGCCAACAGGATAAATGACGGCTAAACACTTTAATATAAATAACGTTGCCGACTTCGTTGCCGACTTCATTTTGTCCTTTATATGTCACCGACGTTAACTTATAACGCAAATTTCAAAAGCTATGTCTTCGACCGATATTAACCCAATCATACCAGGCTTCGCCCCGGATCCATCTATCGTTCTGGTTGATGACACTTTTTTCCTCGTTAATTCCAGTTTTCATATGTTCCCAGGCCTACCAATTTATACCTCTAAAGATCTCACCTCATGGAAACATATTGGTTAGTAATTTATGTAACGTTATTAAAATTATTTGAATTATTTGTTAACTATGCGTTAGGAAATGCCATCAACAGACAGAGTCAGCTCAGCCTGACAGTATCACGCACTAGGCTGTGTCCACGAGATGAACATGGCGATGTAATGCTCTCAAATGGTGGACTCTACGCCCCAACGATCCGCTACCAAAATGGCACATTTTATATTGTATGCACCAACATCATTCATGACTGCAGCTCAGATGATGGTAAACCTGAAAACTTCATCGTCTCATCGAGTAATATCTGGTCCAATGAATGGAGCGATGCGATCTATTTCGATTTCAACGGCATTGATCCTAGCATCTTCTTCGATGACAATAGACGTGCCTATATCCAAGGATCTGCTGGTCCGGGTCCCATGACCAAAATCCACTTGTTCGAGATTGATCTTAAGACCGGAAAGAAGCTGTCGGAGGAGAAGAAGATATGGGATGGTACTGGAGGGATTTATCCCGAAGGTCCTCATATTTACAAGAAAGACGGGTTGTATTATCTTGTGATTTCTGAAGGCGGAACGTACGAGGACCACATGATTACTGTTGCGAGATCGAAGGATATCTGGGGCCCTTACGAACAATTTGAGAATAATCCTATCTTGACGGCAAGAGGGACTGACGAGTATATTCAATATACTGGGCATTCTGACATGTTTCAGGACCCGCAGGGACGGTGGTGGGCCGTTTGCCTCGGGGTCAGGAAAGACGAAAGCCGATTAATTATGGGAAGAGAGACATTCATTACGACGGGGGAGTGGCCTGAAGGGCAGTGGCCGAGTTTGAATCTGGTCAAATCAAATCCCAAGTTCCCAGGTGGAACAGAAGTTGTGCGTGCAGAAGGCACCTTGCCTCTCACAGCGGAGTTAATGGTGGACTACCTTTACATCCGCGACGCAGTTTTGGGTGACCATAGATTCTCGAATGGCGGCAAAACAATCACCCTTACAGCCAGCCAGGCCGACATGTCGCAATGGGAAAAGCCAGTCACCTTTGTGGGGAAACGTCAAAGGCTCCTTAAAGGCAATGCAATGGTGACGATGCATAAACCTCTCATTTCAAGTGGTGCCCATCTCATGGCAGGTATCGCATACTACAAGGACGAGCATCGCTACATGAAGCTATTCTACGACTACTCCGCCTCTGAAATGGTTTTCGAGGTTGTGAATAATGCCAAAAAAATCTCGCGGACCGTTAGGCATGACGTTCAACTGGGAAGTGTGGTTGCCTTGCGCATCGAGTATACTGAGAGGTCCTTTCAACTCTCGTATAGAAATGGACCGGACTCAGCCGCATGGATCGGCTTTGATGGCTTGGATACACTAGAGATGTCGGGTCATGATTTTGTTGGCCCTGTCATCGGCATATTTGCGATAGCTACGGCGCAGGATGCGCATGTCCAGTTTGATGATTTAGAGATAGACGGATAGGCTGCTAGTATAGTAAAACCAGGCCAGGGAGCTGGGAACTGCTCGTGTGGATAGATGCTTGCGAGCATGGGGGTGTCGTTGCCGTACTCGTCTTGTGCATGACGAGACAGTTAAGTCACCGCCGTTGCTATGAGAAAATGCAGGAAGAAAAATGGTTTCCATAGTATGTAGGGGCTTTCTTCTATAGTTATATATGTACATTATTCTTGAATAATGAAATTACCGTTATAGATGAGATTAAATTAGCGTGAGGGAGAGAGTTGGTATGCGCCTGAGAAGCTAAATATGGTGATTCGTATAGCAGTACTTAAATCAGACTATAATAGTACCTTTCACATACGGCCATAAAGTCGAGATAATTGGGCATCCCGTCTGCTCTGCCATACACAAGCTTGCATAACATCAGATTAATGATCTCAATCGTGGTAATAGGCATAGCGCAGAATCACGGCCCCTTGCCGCCTGAATAGTGAGGCGAGGGTGACCAGGGGTGACTGATACGAAGCAACATTTTCGTGTCAGTTTGGTGTCACTACACTTGTAAAGTTCACGTGATTTAGAGACGGAACCAAACTCCCGAAACCAAACAAACGATATAGAAACTCTGTTGGGGTGGACTGTCCTACATCGCCATCTCGACCTGCAACCTCGTCAGCTCCTCTTCCTCGTCGTCGCCCTCCTGGCGCGCGTGCTGCTTCTTCTTCACTTCTAGCGCATTCGCTCCGTACTCCAGCTTGGATGAAAGATTGGGGGGATCACGCTCTCCATTCACCACCACAGGCAAACTATAAATCTCATCCGCTACCGGCATCATCCCCGTCTCCGCATTTTACCATCCAACTGCTGCTGCCCAATCTCTGCCAACTCATCATCTAGCTCTGTTTCATCAACTGTCTCTCTAGGCGAGGAATTTGTAACTGCAATCGCATTCTGCTCTCCTAGCGCATGCTGTTCCATAAGGTCCTCCGTGATGCGTTGTGAATAATCAAAATCCTGTCGTTAGAGAAATCCCGGGCGAATGCGCACGTAGTCTGGTCTACCGTATCGACATGCAACTTCCTGTGGATCTGTGTCATTGATATTGGCCGCTTTGACCGAGGGTCTTTCGAATTGATTTGCGAATGGGCCAGAACATATTCAATATTACGGTAGAGATCTTTAGCAATATGGAGCAGAGGATGGAACAAGAGAAAGGGGAATAGCTAGCGTATTTAGCGGTTCACGGGCGGCTTCACAACACAGAGCCATACCCTTTTTGGAGATTTTTTGCATCCTACGTGTGGGGGGAGATGCGCCGAAAGCTAACAGATCAATATGGCAACGCCACATTTCCAGAAAGGATCGCTAAATGTCATAATTAGACATCCATCCCGTGTCTTCCACGTGGAACTAGCCGAACTTTAACCTCAACTCGCCCTGTGGCTTAGCACTATTAGTTTTTTATCCTTGCCAAATAAAGCGCTCGTAATACTCGCCTCTTTTGCGGCTCCCCTCCTCTTGCTCCCGTTCTCGTCGCGGATGCGGATGGAATGAGGCTTGCGTAGGAATCTAATATGAAGTAGGTTAAAGGGATGGCGCGACAAGTCTTCAGCTCCTCCCTCTGCGCTTCGTGAAGCCTCTCACTCGGAAGGCTTGAGACTATTGATATGATGGTAAGATTACCTCGACGGAGCTCGGGTGAGAGTAAGTATAACTACATTCTCTTGTTCCGGTTTGTATCTCTCCCTCTCTCTTCCCAAGGTTTCGAACCTCACAACACTCGTTTATTCATCGGAGCATCAGCCTTCACAATCGCCTTTCAGTCATGTCACTGGTCCGCCGCCTTCTGCTAGGGGCCACCTATTTGGCATTAACTGGCTCAAGTAGTGCAACCGTGCTGTCCCAGAACCAAGCATGTATCCCTAACCCAACCGTCATAACGGTGGAAATCATTCAAGTCTCCGTTGTCTGCCCTGTCCTCCTTTCTGCCTTCATTTCGGAGAGCACTAAGATTACTCTCGCTCCTGGATGTACCATCGTTGTTAGCGATGCCCCAACTTCACTGAGCACCTTGGTCACGATAACAACCCTTTCAGAAAGCACCATTACACATTCGTCTTCGTCCCCAGCAAATACTGTTTCACACTCATCCTCGCATCGCTCTTCTTCCTCTACTGGGTATCCAATAATACCATCACCATCCCCAACAACAAGTGGAGTTCAACATCAATACAATACCACCTCCAGTCATCCCGAAATATCACCACCATACCCAACAACAAGTGAGGATCATCACCACCATTATAGCAAGTCTACTCGTTATGTGACCACCACCACCTTCCTCCCACCTAATGGTACGGCTTTCACTTCCACGAAGCCAGGGAATTGGAGAAGACCAGGAACTGTTGTCGTGGGCTATGTGGAAAGCTTGGTCACCGAGACCATCTCTGGTTCAGTTGCAACACCTTATACCGTACCTCCTTCTGGAACAGTTCCAGGCACTGTGGTCGTGGAGAGTCAGCCCTGGCAAACAGCAACAACATATCTTGACAATGGAGAATCCGCATATACATCGACTGCTGGCTTCAATGTCACTGTCGGTATTTCTGTTGACACGGTGACCACTACTACCTTCCTCAACCCTACTGCTACGGGCTTCACTACCACCATCCCAGCCATGGGGCCAACATCTGGGACCGTCCTCGTCGGCTATGTCCAGAGCGTGGTGACGGAGACCATCACCGGCGCTACGGCCGCCACCACGACCATCGCTCCATCCGGAACCGTCACGGGCACAGTTATCATCACCATCCCCACGCCTGACGTCAGTTGCAATAACCAGGGAATCCAATGGGCAGTCTTCGACAGCTTCTTGCCAAATGATGGCATAGGCTTTTCTGCCTTTAACCCTACCGTCTTCAAGACAAAGACGCCTCTGTACAATAGCGTCACTAGTAGCATTGGCGGTTTTGATATTGGTGGCAACTCTGCCTTCTCGATATACGGCAGCACACAGAGGTTCGGTCCCAGCTACTTCGCGCTCAACCATCGCGGCTACCTCTTTGCTCCATCTACGGGAGTGTACACCTTCCTAGTCACCAATCCCGACGATATTGCCATCATCTGGGGGGGCGCAGATGCCTACGAAGGCTACACAAGGGCCAATTCTAACTCGATAGCGACATACCCCTTAACAGATGATCAACAACGGTCGTTTGAGGTTGAGCTGGTTGCGGGCGAATACTACCCAATACGGGTCATCTTTGGTCAAGGAGTGGGTCCTGCTATATTCTACACCTCAGTAACTGCGCCTGATGGGACTGTCCTCTTGAATTCGGACAGCGGTTACTCGCCTTACCTTGTACAATTCTCCTGTGACGGGATTGCAGCACCCGCCTACCCTGCTTGGGGACACGAGTCTTAGCTTCATTCGCATTGCAATATATTTGGTCAAGTATAGAGAAAGGGTCTTTAGACCTAACGATCAAGTGAGGGGGAGTTTGGGAAGAGATCGAAGAAGGAGGGAAGGCAGCATTTTATAGATGTTCCGGTTCAGTCACATATATATAATGCATTATTAGATTTAATAAAAGTGTTGTCAAGTTATATTTTCTTTGAAAAACGAATAAAATACCACGTAAACATGTACCTAGAACGATGTGGTATTCCATTCATTTCGCCCATGCTTACAAGGTATTTTATTCATTTTCCGTTTATTTTCTTCGTTCCGAATTCAAACCTCACGTACGGTACATACAGTATAGAATTAGCTAGGTGGCGGAAACCTGGCTGTCTTTAACGATATATATGGCTCTACAAGCTAACCCTAAACCCCAAACCTGCGGTAAAAGTTAGTTAACTTTAAGTTGTTTAAATTTTTTAAAATAGGTGTGAAGCCGGTTTCGAATTCCACTGTAACCTCAAACTGCCTCGCCCGCCTTAAATAGACACAATGAGGTTCATACCCTTTCTGTATGCTTAGGCGTCGTGCCCTATGATGCAGCGTCGTCATATCCAGTCTTAACCTTATTGACTTTACATAATATTCTGGCGTGAGTGACATTGGTATACTAAGTAACGAGAAGACCTTCTTCGGCCTAAGTTGCGGCATTAAAAAGACAATGACAACTAAGGCTGGTCGGTCAGTTGTTCATGACAAACAACATCGGGAACTCCTCGTTAATAACCCCTCATACGAACTAGAATGAGTCATTGACCCCAGACTTCTCATCGATAACCCCTCAATTGAAGTGGATTATGGCAGGGCTTCCCCAGGGATTGCTCCGGATTTCACTTGTAGCGTATTCCCCATTTCTGGGGAAATACACCCGTCGCCGGGGGAAGTACACCCGGCGCAGGGGAAAATTCACTGACGCACTAGGAGGATTCCATAATACATTCCTCGTTAAATTGAAGATATCATGTGGTAACGAATTAGGAGGGTCGAGGACTTAAGGTACTGTAATTATGTAGCGTTAATCCCTAAGGTATTTGGCCTAGTGTTAGTTTTAGTTTACTTTAGCATTGTTTGGGCAGGATAAGACTACTGTATTGAAATGGACCTCCGTACTCAGCAAGGTAATTACCTGTGGAATGATAGGATATCCCTAAGACCGGATTCTTACGAGGCATGCACAATCTATATAAAGCGACGTATTCGTCGCCATCTATTTTGTAGAGATCAAGCCTTCAATTACCTCACGGAACGATCAACTTGCTTCGAAGTGAACATTACCCAACTGAAACTTTCAGGAAATCTACTCACAAGCACAGAGGTGATTGACAACAACCCAACAGCCATAATGAAACCAACTCAGATCATTTCTGCGATAACATTCTCGACGCTCGCAGCGTCCGTCTCCGCACTAGCAGTTTTTAAAGTTAACTACGAAGACGGCAGCGTGAGCTCTGGATACCCGACGACAGGCTCCCACCGAGTCTTAGTTCCTGGCAACGAACCAAACCTCGCCACGGCTAAGGACGCTGTCTACGTAGTGGCCGGTGGCGCCCACAACACTGCTTTCGCCGTCGCGAACAAGGTGGTTTTGGATGACCCGGCATATGTTGGCGGCGGTTACCCTCGCAGCGAATTCGGATTCGCCGGCTTCCCGGGAGCCATCTACAAGGACGGCGACCATGGCGAATACAGCTTCAGCATGCTGTTCAAGGATCTTGTGCCTTCCGTGAAGGGAACACGCGATGCGCCTGCAGAGGACGTGGTCTGGCAGTTCAAACATCACGGCGGCGGACACGATCTTCATCTCGCACTCATAGGTACGAATCTCGTGCTCGGCTGGGGCGGGAATGTCTATAAGCAAGTGATCATTGACGATGTCATGCCGTATGTGAACCAATGGATGGATTTTCGCTTCGACATACTCTGGAAGAGCGACAACACAGGCTACTTCACTTTCGACATGAAACTGCCTAGAGAACGCAAGTTGGGGCACAGGTTGGGGCACAGGTTGGGGCACACCGTTGCGATGAAGAATCTTCAAACTTATGTGACCGCGAGTCCCGATGGCACGCCGTGGACAGGCACCGGCTCGATCCAGTATGGCGTGTATCGCCATTCGGCCAATTCTACGGCTGGCGACACGAAGACGCTCATCGTCTACCACGATGAAGTCACAGCGACCAACTTCAACGCCACGGCAGACCCTTCCAACTAGGGCATGCATGGCTGCAAGGGACCAAGGTGCTCTCGAAGCAAAGCTCGCACTTCGCTCACTACGGCCAGCTAAAGATTTACCTAGGTGAAGTGGCAGCGATTCGAGATTCTTTAGGTCACTGCTTGGAGCATCGCGTCCTTGGAAGCTGGCGACTCGGTTGCATGGAAGCACTGGCGAATGCATGGCAGGCATGTAGCAGTGGTGTACGGTCGCACGTTAGCTAGAGTATGCAAATGGTGCAAATACAAAAAGTTGGAAAACAAGAATTGAACAAATGCTGAAAACAAAAGTAGAATGCCACACGCTAATAGATGCCATAGAGGCCATAGGGGCTATAGGCTCCATAAGCCACAAAGGATACAGGGGCCATACGAGGCTAAAGGCCACACGAGGTCGTCGTCTGCGGCTCCACAGGCATCATCAGATGATGCACGTACATCTACGACTGGCGGCTCCACAGGTACGCGTACATCTACGAAAGCCTTGCCATCGCCCTTCTTAGTGTGGTCAGTTGCACTTCCTTCAGACCATCTAGATTGTGCTGCCCTCCGCGCTGAGCCCTTTTGTCCTCCCCCCGTATGATCCTCGTCCGTTAGTCGCCCATCTTCTTGTCTCTCTATTCGTCCCTCGCCCATCTTCTTGTCTCTCTATTCGTCCCTCGCTCATCTTCTGTCCTCTTTCTGTCCCGACCGCTCACGTTGCCTCAACATGGACTCAGGTACTTGCATCGTTACGCAAATCAAACTTTTAGAGGCTTCAACAGCTGCCTCCTTAGTGTAGCTAGTTATCCCCTGTAAATAGTCATCTACCACCCTATAATAATATCCTAACGTAATAAGTTTGAGTTGTCATCCGCCATACGATCAGTGGTAAGGTACCATCGGGTGGTCAGGTACAATAAGATCGGGACACCCTCCCTCCCATCGTAGCTTTGAGCATACATTACAAGCCAAAACTGCTCCTGGCCAAACACTAAGCTTCATAAGCAATCAACCCTTAGAATAAATGGCGATCTATCCTTATGACTACTGAGACTGTGGGAAACAATTTAACAGGCCTTCGCATCTTAAGAGACATGAGAGAACTCACACTGGCAAAAAGCCATATATGTGTTATTACTGTTTCTTGCCAAAAGCCTTCAGTCTAATGGATAATTTTAGAGCGCACCAAAAGCTGCATCTAGAGATTAGTAGCACAATTTACCTCCTAGAGGTGACAAAAGAACTCCGACTAGATCCGTGCATAGAGACGCAAATCTCAAAGCTAAATTAGAGTGCCTCAATAGAAACTAAATATGAGCGCTCGATGGATGTATGGGCCAATACTCCGCAAGGGATCAACGTAAATTGGGCTCAATTTCTTAGTTGGGATCCGCATTAGGAGTAGAAATTATACCTAAGAGTGTGACAATTAGGGGGGGACCGTCGGGTGTACGGTTCATGTTTATGATGCTCTAGATGACAAGAAGGAAGTCAAATGATGCAGCCAAGTCGTAGACAGATGGGGCGGGATAGGTCTAGTCAAGTGATCGAAAATCAAACAGAGTAATATAAATAGAAATGCAATCTCCGTTATCATCACAATGCAAGTCACTGATTTATCATCGCTATAGACATAGTTGTAAGCATGGCTTCTACGCAAAATGAGATCCGAACTAATCCTTAAAGCTCTACTAGGGCTATTTTCACTTAGCAAGACAGTAGCGGACTAGTTCTCATCTAAGACCCTCTATATGACGGTCGTGGAGTGATTGATCTTACTGTTACGGCGAAGCAACATTTTCATGTCAGTTTGGCGTGAATTTCGTGTCATTTTCGTATCAACACCGAAGTTTCGCCGTCTTAGCTTACGTACCATATTGAGGGCGCCTTTGCTCCTATTTTTGAGATGATTCGCCATTTGTGAGCAATAACGAGCAGGGTGAACAAGATGGGTGAGGAAGGAGGGGAAGGTGAGTATTTTGGTCCAGCCCACGCACGTATTTGTAGAGCACTATATGGATCCTTATCCCATAATCCCACTTCAAGAAGAACAACACCAAAACTGTACACGTCATACCTTTTTCTATAATTCGGGCTACACGCTCGCTGTATACGCCCCTTGTAGTATTTGTAGACTTGGCGTAGGATGTCGGACCCGTGTGTCACGGCGGGCAGGCGGTCGGCTGGTAAATGTCAAGCAGGCAGGCAGGTAGACGTTAAGCAGGCAGGTGGGCAGTTCTATTACTACGGACAGTACGGTGCCTACAGGAAGGTCAGGCAGTATTGTCAAGAAGTAGCTCGAAGAGCTCGAAGAGCTACGTACAGGCAGGCTGGTAGCTGGCAGACATATAGGGATTCTGGGCGAATCGGCCGGTAATCCCACTTGAGCACAATTACCACTTTGGAACGACCAAGTGGTGCAGGCGGAATAGAGGTTGAGCGTGCAGTATATAGATCAGTATATAGTGTAATAGAATCAATTCGACTGCTTAATCTATCTACGGGTTCTACGTGCTATTTGTAGGCCGGCCTGAATAGCAGCTCGCGAGTTAACCAGACTTTCTAAAGCCTGGTTCAGCTGCAGCCTGAGCCTTCGAAGCCTGGTTCAGCCCAGCTTCTGGTACAGACGGCGACCCTGAACTTCGGGGCCTGCATTTACAACAGTCTCGGACCAAGGTCCGAAGCCATGCTGGATTCACCCTCGCTTCGCCCTTCAGGCGGCAACTATCTATTAAACAAATGATACAGAAGCTTGTATATGGCGCGGTATGCCTAATTCTCTTGAGTCTGGTCGTAGTACTGAACTGTACAGTACAAAAACGAGGCTATCGCTTGATGCAACGGACAGCGGAGCAACGCTCGGGACTCAACCGCCCGCCCGGAGCATGGGACGGCCCAGTGGCCTGGACCACCGGCTTAGGTCCATTGTGACAGCATTGAAAGAATTGGAGATGAACAAGAGTGGCGAGGCACATAGGCAGGTCACTAAGAAGCGTAGGCATGTAGTGGACGGTTAGACAAGATATTCTTTATAAAATATGTGTCTTCCACGTCCCTCCGATCCACACAGTTTCCACAACCATCTACTACTACTTATCACAGCCGTATTTGAAGGACGGGTTACCTCTACCTGCCATTAGCACTATCAATATGGCAGCCACTATCCAGGAAGTAGGCCCTACAGAGACCGCAACCGAGGTCTTCAGCTCGGAGAAACCGCCGTTTACCACCGAGTTCGAAATCTCGCACGCCGAGAGCGTGCCCTCGCAACATGACAGCTCTGGCGCTGGCGCTGAGTCGACACCCAGCTCATCGCCCTCTAGCGCACCATCGCTGGGGAACGAGAATGAGGATCACAAGCCTGGTAGTTTGAGCCTTCATGATCCGAGTCTGGATGAAAGGCTTGGGCTGGGCTTGGAGCCGAATGTCGAGCTCGCGGAGTTGTTTGCAGAGAATGTTGTTGCGAAGATATGGAAAGTCGCTGTGCGCGAGCTGGAGAAACAGGTGCGTATATCCGTTCCTCCTTTACGTTCCCCTCCCCAATATCTCATCTTCCGTAGCTAATTTGGAATCCACAGAATCCCCCCACCACCTACCCTGAATTTGTAACCACAAGCGGCCCCCTCGCAAACACATACACCATGACCGAAGCAGACTTCTGGACATGTGGGTTCTTCCCCGGTAGTCTCTATGCCCTGCTCGAGCGCGCAATGAAGTACCCGTCGGCGCTTCCTATCCCTACCGCCCTCCGCCGCGACTTCACAGCACAGCTGACTTCGTTGAGTCGCTGCTGGGCGGAGCCGCTACACGCGATGGCGCAGCGCACCGATACGCATGACATGAGTTTTATCATCCAGCCGGCGCTGCGGATGGACTGGGAGCTCACGGGCAACCCTCGCAGTCTAGCGAGTGTCCTGACGGCGGCGACGAGTTTGGCGAGTCGCTTCTGTGAGAAGGTTGGTGCTATTAGGAGCTGGGATCGGACAGAAAATGCGAGGTTTACGTTTGATGATATGGAGGAGGACTTTTTGGTTATAATTGATAGCATGTGCAGTATGTTAGACTCTTTCTCGGTGGCTGTGAAGCCATGAAGTTCGTAGCGATGGTTGGCGGCTAGTCCTTGAGGTTGTTGAGGAGTTAGATGGTAATAGAGGCTGACTTGAAGGCAGATCTAGACCTTCTTTACTATGCAGGTGCCCAGACTGGAAACCAGCGGCTGATTGATATCGCGACAACCCACGCACACACCGTCCTGAGAGCTATCGTGCGGGACGACTGGTCGACATATCACCTCATCGACTTTGACCCCAAAACGGGCACCGTAAAGCAACAGCTCACGAACCAAGGTTATCGCGACTGGTCTACATGGAGCCGGTTCGTCCCTTCTGTCCTCTTCCAAGCTACTCCCATTGATACCCTCTACCTACTAACCACCCTTTCTACCCTAGAGGTCAGGCATGGGCAATACTTGGCTTTGCCCAGACCTACACCTGGACCCACGACCCCGTCTTCCTCGCTGCCGCCATATCCCTTGCTGACTACTTTCTCGCGCGCCTCTCTCTTGCAACAGCCTCCGGTCTATACATCCACCCCTATGTGCCGCTGTGGGACTTCGACGTTCCCGCCTCGCCAACCCCTCCTCGCGACACCTCCGCGGGCATGATCGCCGCGAACGGCATGCTGATTCTCCACCAGACCCTTCTTGGTGCCGGGCGAGCCACCGTAGCCGCGCGGTTCCTCGCCGGCGTGCGATGCATCGTCGCGGACACGCTGGCGCTATCATTGGCTGCGAAAAGCGCCTTTGCAGTCCCGATACCAGACGCCCCCGTGGACGCCGAAGCGTATCCAGTGGTGGTGGAGGTAGACGATGGGGAGAAAGGAGGGGAGGCATTCGATGCGATCCTCAAGAATGCGACGGCGAACAATAATGAGTTCTCGTATAAGATCTACAGCGACCATGGGCTCGTGTATGCGGATTACTACCTCTTAGAGCTAGGAAATAAGCTGCTGAGGATGGGGCTGGTTTAGCTTCGTCACATGGGGATATTAGTAATGACTGTTGGTGTAAAAAGCAGGGCAGATAATCAGGGATGCAGTAGCATATAGAGGACGTTGAGAGTGGAGATTAGAGCTGCTTTATATTTATTTTTCCTCAATAAATAGATCGATATCACTTTGGACAGCTCCCTTTATTTGGGCTCTACGCATGTAAGGATTTAGGGTATTGATATGATTATGATTATGATGTTTACTTCTGTACGTATTAAAGTGTTACCCTGTATACAGTTCTTGCTTCCCTTTCTATCCATTATCAAAATTACGTGCCTTCTTCCCGCCCCTGTCACGAACCCCCCCAAGCCTCTAAGTCCATCTCAACTGTAAAATCGGTCTCCTCAAGCGTAATCACACGGTCCATCTCTAGAAATTGCTGTCCCTGCAGAAATTTCGACATCTCGGTCAAGGAATCTATTTCGTGTTCGTCGATGCTCTTGTTGTCGTCGGCGACAACAAGACTAATGCCATTTGGAATGGCTATGATGGAGTTTGAGTTGTCGCTGTGGCGCATCCTCTCGTTTAAGGCTGTGGTGTTGTGTAGGAGCGAAAGATTGGAGGCAGATGCCCGGGGTGCAGTGGAGAAGTACGCCGATACGGCGGGGTATTGTGGAGAGGGGGAGAAGTTGTCGGTTGCATGTGGCTGGGATTGTAGTTGGCTTTGAAATTGTAGTTGGTCCTGAAAGGGGAGACTAGTGGATTGGGCTTTTAGCGCGGCAGAACCGGGGGACATGGCATGCATATCAGAGGAGGTATAAAATGTCTGGTTTGCGTAATAGGAGGATTGAGGCTGAGTTTGGGATTGGGGATTCTGAGTCCGCTGTGCGGAGTCTGGTTGTGCTTGCGACTGTACGCTGTTGTTCTGTCTCTGAAAGCGGTATTTTGGCGCCAAACCCTCAGCCAATGATGGCGAGGGCACAGAGGAGCCCGGCGAGCTCTGCAGCACCATGGGAGGCAAGAGCTTGCTGAGATTAGCATCCATACGGAAGTCGGGAGAGTCGGTACACTGTCGATGGAGGGTTTGCAGGTAGAGGACGTATTGGCCGGCCATGTCGACCTCAGGGTAAATGCCGCGCCAGCGCGCGGACATATTTTCGATGCTAGCAAGGAGGCCGAAGAATTCGGGGTGGAGGGCGGTTTGATAGTATTGCCAATGAACTTGCAGAGTTAGTATGCAGCGGTGAAGTCACGTAATGGGGGGAATTTACCCAAGAGAACTCGGGCGGCGACAAAGGCACAGAGTGCGAATTGGCTGCTTACGACCCCAATGTCTGTATACTTGAGATACTTTTCGCTAATGGATGCTGTCTCTATTGCCGCAGACTCGCATGTTCCTGCACTACATGAGCTCGGAAGCCGGATCAGCTCTGCCCATTCTAGGGGAGGATATGCGATGTGTTGGTGGAGGAGAATCATCGAAGTATTATGTGTGATGTGCGCAAGAGTGAGATTGGGGTCCATGTTAATGAACGCCTTGTCACGGGAGATATTCGAGTCCTTCCATTTCTGAGGAAGAAACATTTTCCAGCTATTAACTGATAAGCATCTTTCTGTAATTCACGCGGAGTGTAAGGGGCATACTGCACGAGCCGGAGATCGAGCTCTTTGAACCGTGTTAGCCAGCTTCCAGCCTCTTGTCGATTTCGAAAGTCGACTTTTTGTTGTAGGAAGAATGTTGTAACCTGACTCAAAGATTCTGTTGCTTCGATGTGCTTAAAACATGTATTAGCTATAGTCTAGAGTTTGAAGTTGATCTAATAGCCACCGAGAGGCAAATTAATCGATTTGTCAAGCTCTTGTCCATGAAGGGAATCTCAAGTTCCTAGAATACACATACATAGGCGAATGCCCCCAACTTCGATCTATCCACAGGACCAAAGTCGGAAATTCCATTGGGGCTTCTGTGATCAACTGGATGATCCGGACTGGAATAATGTACTGGCATGTATGCAATGGAATTTCCAATCGTCGCAGCCGATTTATTCCATATTCCGAAGAATGGAGTCACTACCGCTTCCTCTCTGTGTTGCCATAGCCCACCATCGCAGGGCAATCTCCGGCGAACATCATCAGACGTGAAACTCGTATTCCAGCTATATTCTAGTTAACGTTTAGATTTCGAAACGATATGAAATCAATATACCCTGTCGTAATGGAGCAATATCTAATTCATCAAGTAAGCTTCTACGTAAATTCTTTATTGTCAGATGCTCACCTGTCTAGGAGGAAGACATTCCAAAAAATTCTTCTCCTATTCTCGGACTCGGTCCAATCCAAAGGCTTGTCAAGTAATACAAGTGGTGTCAAAAGAGAATAGTGCAGCGTCTCGTCGGCTTCAACAGTCAGCTGTAGGTACTCTACTATTCTTGTTAATGACCCTATGATAGGCCAAGCCCGGGAGATATTCCCTGAACCAATCTATATGTTGTTTAGTTACTATTCAACTATGCAAACTTGAATACATACGTCATGAAAAGCCACAATAATCAGAGCTTGAATGTTGTGAAGTGACATGCGGTCTGTGGCAATAAGCATCACGACGTTCCGAGACATCTGGACCTGACTAGCGATTTCAGATTGCTCCATATTTGTGTCTGCTTCCTTGAGATACTTCATTGTTGCAAATACCATAGCATGTAATATTATCTCAAGATCAGGACGCCTCGCTGCGTCATTGAATTGTTCCCTAAACCGGTCCAGATGAATGAAGGGTATCCAAGGATGAATGGTTGAGTAAAAAACATCAACAACAAGATTCAGTACCCTGACTGAGGGCAATAAAGATGGGCGTATATCCTCTGCATTGTTCCAGTTTCTTTCTAATAAGTCACGTTCACATTGATTATGATCTCCCTTGCGTTTTTTTGAAGGCCGCGTACTTGAAGGAGTTTGATCTCCTCCGCCAAATACAAATTCGGTTTCTTGCAGGCAGTTTCGGTGGGAAGAACCATCAGAAACGTCTACACCAGACGTGAAGCCACTTCCAGGATTCTTGACATTGGCTTCTAACTCCTTTGCAAGCAATAAAGATGCATGGTAGACACAGCCAGGTTGATCACTAGGCACTAGGCCAACCTTTGGAATCCCCCCACCATCGAGAAGGAGTTTCTCTAAGAACTCTGTTCATGACAAGGTTAATCTGGCTTCATAACACAGCTAAAAGTAACATCAAAACCACGAACCTAGTCTTCGATTTAAGCTCTCAATCGCACCACTTTTGATGCCGGGTTTTTGCTTATTGTGATCATACCGACACGTACAACCTTCTCTGGGTTAGCCACGCGATTGTAGCAGCTAGAACAAGTGGAGGCTTCAGTACCTAGTCTCGCACATTGCGCGCACAATGGGCTGTCTCGTGAGCATTTCAGCTTCCGTTTTCGACACGACTGACACGCTGGGGTTCCCTTGTCGTCACCAAGAGACGTGTTGGACTCGGGTCTTTCGCGCCCATGATCATCTTGGGGTCGCTCCATGCCCAAGACAAATGGCGGCCTGCACAGGTGGGGCGTGGGAATGCAGAGGAGCGGAGAGAGGGATGGAGCAAGCTGGGACGAAAGTGAGGAAAGTGAGGAAAGTCCGGGGACCGGGCGATCTCTTAAGGTTTTTTTACTCCGCCTTAGCCCGCCGCAAGACGAGCGGGGATTGCGGGGATTGCGGGAATTTAGGCAGGATGACGGGATGACAAGAGAGCATGTACTACACAACCAGGCGGTGGTGTTGTTGAACTGCAACAATAGTTGCGAGTTCGAGACCTCTATTCTTCGCCTACACTACCCGTAATTATTCCTCTCTGCTCATTGCTGAGCTTGGCATCGCGGAGTCGCGGAGTCTTGGACGTACTTTGCTTTGACTTTGCCCGATGCCCGTTCCCCGCACCCGCGTTTCCTCTTTGGGTTTAAGCGTGGTTTCCTTACTCCACCCTGACTGCACCCCACGATTCTCCCTTTTCCAGCTTCAATCACGGCCTCAATTGACCCAATACTGCCGCATGTCATCTAACATGCTCCTCATGCCGCAAATGGCACACACCTCGTCTTTCTGGAGGTCCCTCCCTTTGTATATATGAACTAACGACCTCCCACCTAAGTCCTGCATCACCAACTCCGCTCTGAGATACTCGCCATTGTCTAGTTGAAACTCCACCCTGATCCATGCTCTATAGTACAATAGCAGCCTAGAAGCCACCGTAAGCCTATCATGACGAGTCAAGCTCAGGCTCCGGAGAATGAGGCGACCACTGTTGAACCACTTGTCATTGGGTCAACCGTCAATGCAGCGCCTGTGAGATCAGCCTGGACAGCTTGGATGTATGTCTTGGACTGGTATCCGAACCATTACTCGCGCGAGGAGAGAAAGATGCTCAAAAAACTGGACTTCTTCCTCCTCTCGTTCTGCTCTATCATGTGTAAGATCCAGACATATCCACGTCACGTCTATGAGATCTGGCTAACGCCAATGTAGTCTTCTTGAAATATCTGGATCAGTCCAATATCAATAATGCTTACGTTTCAGGGATGAAAGAGGACCTGCAACTGAATGGCAATCAGTGAGTCTTCTCGTATTAAACCAGTGTGCTTCTAAAAGCTAAGCCGTGCATAGATATTCTCTATTTAGCACTTTTTACAACGTTGGCTATCTTGTTTTCCAAATTCCTTCTATGCTAATTCTTTCCCGGCCTGGCTACGCACGCTGGTTTGTTCCGACTTGTGAAGTACTCTGGGGCATTCTCACCTTTGGCCAAAGCAGACTGAGTGGAGCCTCAACAATCTACGCGACAAGGTTTCTGCTCGGGGTTCTCGAGACTCCAGTTGCATCCGGTTCTCTATACATTCTCTCCTCTTGGTACCGTCCCGACGAACTTTTCAAGCGAGCTGGCGTTTGGTATGTTTCCAATAACATCGGAACCATGTTTGGAGGTTATCTTCAAGCTGCTGCATACACCAACCTCAACGGTGTCGCTGGAATGGCGGGATGGAGATGGCTATTTATCATCGATGGGGCTATAACCGTTCCCATTGCTCTTATGGGATACTTTATGTTCCCTGGCCTGCCTTCAAGTGGTAAGCCATACTGGTTGACTCCAGAACAACATGCAATCGCTAGGAAGAGAATGGAAGATGAGGGAGTCGAAGTGAGCAAGAAGTTCGAGAAAGCCACGGTTAAGGCTATGCTTAAACGAACATTAACTCACTGGCATTTTTACGTCGCAGTCCTTTGTTACACCTTGTTAGTACCATCGCATTTCTCCTTTGAGAAGGCCAAGCTAATTCGTCGCAGTTTCCTCTCCTCCCAGTATCCGAACGGACAAATGGCAATCTGGCTTAAAGCCCAGGCTAGAGCAGGTTACAGCTGGACTATCCCTCAAATCAACACCATCCCCACCGCCGTCTCGGCCGTATCAGTTATATCCTGCTTAATTGCAACATCGCTATGCATGCTCTACCCTCTGTGGGCCATAATGAGTGTTATTCAAGCTGTTACTATGTTTGGAATCGTCTGTTTGCTTGCTTGGTACATTCCCGACTGGCTGAAATGTAAGTTAGCCTCGCTTTGACAAATATGAGATTAACTTACAAATGCGTAGTCATTGCCTACTTTTGCACTGGCTTTACGGCTGCTGTTACGCCGATTCTTGTTCCGTGGGTCAACATCCTCATGAAAGATGATGCTCAAGCACGTGCTTTGACTAGTGGCGCCATGGTAACTACACATCGCGATCCTTTTTAAAAACAGTGATTGACCCTTTGAAGTTGACATTTGGCTGGGCCATTAATGCTTTTTACCCCATTGCTGTATTCCCCATCATCGAAGGTAACATTGTTCATCCCCATTCTCAAAATAACGAAGCTGATCAAGAACTTAGGTCCTCAATGGACGAAAGGATATGCGGTGGAAGTTGTTTTCGTCTTCATGGTCTGGTTCCTCTTTATGCTTGGGCAGTATCTCCAACGAAGGGAGATTCAGAAAGCAGAACTCACTCACCGGATGGATGACGAAGAGGCCAAGGCCGATATAGATGTGCAGGTAGAGACTGAACGATGATGGACATCTTGCAAGTTAGCCATAATAGTTAGTTTGTAAGCTAGGCAGCAATTTTATTTCTCATCTTATCAAGATATTTAGCCTATATGTGATTCCTGTTGATTAGCTTACCTTTGGGTCAACTTGCTGGACGTAACTCGCATAATGGAATCTAGCGAGACAGAATCCATCAAAAAACCAAACCCATTTATACTCCAGCAGAATCAGGCGAGACCTCTGTTACATATGTCTATTTCATAATATTGCTAGTGTCGAGTTTTCGCCGTCCTAGTTCAGAAAAGCGGAGAGTGGATCAAGCTAATTTGCCCCGTATTTTAAAAGTTTCCCGTCACCCCGCCAATTACCCCGCGCCCCGAACCTTCCAACGACACCCCTGATATATAAAGTATTACAATTCCCAATGGCCGCGGCCACCGCCAAAGAATCCCTCAAGACACCTCGGCGAGACCAACATTATGTGCGCTTGTCCATCTGTCGACAACCCTAACCTAATCATCCATCAATTCCACTCGCCCGCCGTCCCCACATAGCCCACGCACATTACAATGCCTCATCATACTGGCCTCACCGGCTTCACGGATAATCCCTTCGCCACGCGGGCTGACTGCATAGCGGCAACCCACGCGCTGCTCGCCCAGCTGAAGCCTTACACCTCCCCGCTTGGAGCGCGCGTTCGCCTCCATGCTGCTACAGGGACTCATTTCGATGAGGTCGCAGCGCAGGTCGAGGGGTTTGCCAGGCCACTGTGGGCGGTTGGTGCGTTGTTTGCTTCAGAAGCTTCCGATGCAAATAGCCCCTCCTCTACCGACCCGCGACTCCGCTCTTGGATCAACGGCCTTATTGCTGGGACAGATCCCGCGAATGCATCTGGTGTGGATGGGGAGTACTGGGGAGAGTTCCACGACACAGATCAGCGGATGGTAGAACTCGAAATCGTCGCATATGCGCTGTTATCCGCGCCGGCCGTATTCACACCACCGTTACCTTTAGATCCACTGAACCCCTCTGCAGCAGATGAGGAGAACTTGCGTGCACGGAGGAACCTGATCACTTACATGCGCTCGATCAATGGGAAAGCGATGCCAGTGAACAACTGGCGATTCTTTCGGATTCTAACAAACCTAGCGCTCGTGAAGGTGCTACGCGTGCCGCTTGCAGAGGTGAAAGGGGCTATGGATGAGGATCATGCAGTTTTAGAAGGGTTTTATAGATCAGGAGGGTGGGCGAGTGATGGTATATGGAGTGGAGATGGGGATAGACAAGCGGATTATTATTCGGGGAGTTTCGCAATTCAGTTTTCACAGTTGCTGTATGTTAAATATGCGTCTGATATTGATCCAAAGAGGTGTGAGGTTTTCAGATCGAGGGCAGGGGAGTTTGCTAGTGGGTTTTGGAGGTATTTTGATGTGAATGGTATGTCCGAGACTCTTATTAGGTTTTCTCGTTGGTCGTTATACGCTGCTTCTCGTTCTTTCTAGAATATTGACAGCCTAACATGATTACAGGTGCTGCTATACCATTCGGCCGAAGCCTCACCTACCGCTTTAGCTTCGCAGCCTTTTGGAGCGCCCTTGCCCTTCTGGACATTTCTCTTCCCGCTCCTCTCTCACCGGGGGTTGTTAAAGGGCTTCTTCTGCGCCATTTGCGCTGGTGGGCTAAACAGCCTGATATTTTCAACATCGATGGGACCCTGAATATTGGCTACTGTTATCCGAACATGTATATGAGCGAAGATTACAATTCGCCTCAGTCGCCATACTGGTGCTTTAAATCCTTCTGCGCCATCGCATTGCCTAAAGACCACAACTTCTGGACCTGCGAAGAACTACCCCATCCATTGGCAGAAAGTGTCATGCCAACACTGCTCTCCTTCTCTGAAGAACCCAAGCAACAGCACGTGTCCATTCTAGCACTCGACGCTCCGAAGCACATTCTGATCTCCTCACGCAACCACCACTTCCTCCTCTCATCTGGCCAATTTGCCTCGTGGCCCATGAAGGCCACAGAGGCCAAATACGGCAAGTTTGCCTACTCCTCCGCCTTTGGCTTCAGTGTTCCTACCGGTCCGCTTCTCGAGCAGCTCGCACCAGACAGCACTCTAGCTATTAGTGAGGACCACGGCGATTCCTGGCGAGTTCGCTGGAAGAGCGCCGAGACCATCATTGGCGCTGCGAACGTGCATTTCGCAAACGGTCACTCAACCACCGTATCGACACTCGTCAATTGCTGGTCTCCGAGCAAGATGTCGGGCCTTGCTGTTGAGACGACTCTCATCCCACCGAGTGACAGGTGGCCGGACTGGCATATCAGAATCCACCGCATCACACGCGCAGCTGTGCGTGCTGGCAGTGGAGCAGCTCACACGGTCCTCACTGCAGAAGGCGGCTTTGCCATCGCTGGCCGCCGGAAACGAGACGCTGGCACTTTGCCGAAGCTCTTTCCTGAGGATTTGCGAGACATTAGAGACTCCGCAATGGAGGAGGGAGTACTTGAAGATGGAGCGGCGGCGCTGATTGTTTCTTATGCAGGCGCGAGTGGAATTGCGCATCTGCGTCCGTCATCGTCAGCGAGAGGGACGGTGTTGAAGCCGGACGCGAACACAAATCTGATCACGCAGAGGACGCTGATCCCGACTGTCAGGCACGAGTTGAAGTTTGATGCTGGGGCTGAGGGAGGTGAAGAAGTGGCAGTGCTTATAGTGGGAGTTTTTGCAGTTGACACAAAAGGTGTAGAGGATTTGGGCGATATGTGGAGGAGGTGGAATGATAAGCCGATGGTGATGTTCAAGGGTGAGGGCCGAGAGGTAGCTGAAGAATGCATTGTTCTTGAGTAAGAGTCGGAGAGTTTGAATTTTGATATCTTGTAGACGTTATACGTAGCAGGGTTAGAAAATCGATTATAATCATGATTATCAAGCGATAATGATTATTTACTATAACGTATTTCACAAGCGAGTTGCGCACACAAGCCAGTTGCGCACACAAGCGAGTTGCGCACGGCAACAATAAAAACGCGTCTACTCACTAACAGTTCAATATGCCACCCCTACATCAAGCCATAACCTCTGATAAAGAGGATAGACTTTGTCAAGCTATTTAAGTACTTAAACAACATCAGATTAAGAGTGTCCGAGCTGCTGCAATATGGTATGATATATTAGCAAAAACTATTGCTAACAGAATGAACGGAATGACTTCCTAAAGTGACTCTACCCTAAAATCGCAAAAGTTGACTTTGTACAAAGAGTCAGCTCTCGTTTAGTACATCTAATCGTCGTCGTGAGCTTCGCTTAAGGTAGGTTATAAGCGAAGCTTAAGGTAGGAGTAAGCAAAGTGCGCCACCTTAAGTAAGAGTAAGTAAAAGTGTGCTACCTTACTACTTACATTTGTTTACTTAGTAGTAGATTTTTTCTTCTTCCGTTTGTAGATCTCCTATCTCCTCCAGAAGCTAACGTCTTTGCCATGAGACGGCCGACTTCTGTTAAAGACTGCGTCGCCTAGTCTTGCAACACGCTTGTCAACAATGGCCTGAAGCCCAGGACGATACCCTCGCAGCCCCCCGGCTCATGAGATTCGAACTGAGTGATGTAGACGCTCGTCAACTCGTAGCCCGCAGGCGCGGCGCTTCCCCCTTTGTCGGCATGCCTCGAATCACCACACTTCAAAAATCTGTCCTTGTTCGTCACGAACTTGAGACACCCGAGCTTGTGGCCGTACTTTGTTTCAACCGATTTGACGTATTCGTCACGTTCGAGGTCGAGTTGATAAGGCTTGCCCCCACACGACTTCCCATAGGAATGCCCCCACGTGTTATCATACTTCATGCACGTGCATTCTATGTCGGCGCCACCTATTACGTACACGGATGTGATCCGTGAACTGCATATGGAGGGCTTAGGCGGGGTCGACTCGTTCCAGCCAACGGTAGTGCAGCGACCGAATGGGCCGTAGAAGATCTCGCGACTCAGGAACATCATGCCACGCTCTGTGACCTTTTCGCCAGCCAGGAAGGGCCAAAGTGCGGCATAGTTGAGAACGGTCATAGCCATCCTCGAGTCATAGTCGGCGTAGGCTCTGAGCCTTGCGCCCGCCGTGATGCCTCTGTTTTCGGGCTCGTTTATGTGCGGCTTGTAAGGCACCACTTTCTTACGCCCCTCCTCGTAATACTTCCACACGTAGGAAACGTAGTCAGAAGGCCCATGCGTCACCTTGGCTTCAATATCACGGATAATTTCATCAATATTCGTTTTAGGCCCAAAACGATCGGAATAAGCCTCGTGCCATGTATCAAGTACCTTCGCCGGCACGCCCCACTCCGTGCCTTTCTTGATGGCATCCTGTAAGGCATACCTCTCGTCCGACAGGCTTTGGCGATCGAACTTGGCGACTGTTCCAGGCGAGGTCAATTTCTTAAATTCGTCCCGCATGCCGCTAATATTAGTCTCAGAATAGCCCCAGTCTTTGCCGTTTTTGATACCGTCGGCTAACAGCATGAGATGCATGGTGGCAGCAAGGGCGAACAAGGGGAGCGTCATCACCTCGTAGTCTTTGGCCTGAAACTCTGGAATCGAGCCTCTGATCACGAACAGGAATGCAATGTGAGAAGTTTTGACAGTATTGGCCGCTTTCCTTTTCTCATTTTCATTCTTTGCTTCATCGTATTCTTTGCAGACTTTGCTGAAGGCATTCATGTTGATCTGGAAGCCTTCGATCTTCGCCTTCATTATCTTAAAATGATAGTCTGAGATCTTCGAGCCAATCAGTTCCTCGATGCGCTCGCGCAGCATATTCCAGAGCCTTTCCGGCTCAGATCCTGATGGAAGAAACGCCTGACCCGCAAGGGTTATGACTGAGCTCACGGTGCTTCCAATCTCGGGAATGAGTCCAGCCAACAACGCGAGAGTGCTAAGGGCATATTTGGCTATTTCGTCGGGGTCGTGGACGTTCAGCTTGGTAGCGCTATTCGCCGCCTCGATCAACTTGGAGATCAACTCCTTGGCAAACTTTTGATTAATCTTAACCATTTTGAACTGTTGGATTGGAAACACTAATCAAAGATCGGGACACGTATTGAGGAAGTTCTCAGAAAGAAATCTCACTTGGGTGAAATTCTATGGATTCCTTTGCCAATGTATTGATGCGTGATTAGCATGTTTGGTGTAAGAGATTGGGACGAAGAGGGTACTTATAGACCGACTCTTGCTACCATGAAAACTAGATGAAAGGTCAACTTGATATAAAACGTAGTTTTTAAACGTCATTGTATTGATTGCATTCATATACGTCACTACAATTACAATATTGTTACGATGATAAACCAAAGTTAACATCAGTAAAATGCTAGCAGTTGACGCTACCTTTGAGCTATGATGGCCGCGCCAATGGTCTCACTAATGTTGATGTCCACATATATAGACACCGACGCTGATTACGATTACTTCCCTCCACACCACACTATTGCCCGTTTGCAGCGGTAATTCGGTACAATCGTGACGATCAGAGTTCCCTTTTGAGCAACTTGCTAAACTCATAGAAGTTAGAAGTTCGGACATGTTGGCAAGATTGATGACCTCGCAATCATGCCAAATGGAGCCACATTCATTCCTGGCTTCAGTCGCACATACAGTACAGCATCCCGGGTTTTATCTCGTGGAATGACATTCAATTGCCGCGGAGGCAAGGTTCTTGCATCGTAAGGAATAAGCCGTCTAAGAGACGTCTTGTCGTTGGTGTCTTAATGTCACGTGCAACACCCCAGAACTAGCGATCGACGGATCGATGGTTGATGGATCCATCGATCCATCGATCAGAACCTGCAAGATCTGGCTACTGTAGCAAATCAGTTGGTGGATCTAATGTAAGTTATGGACCCCTAGTGTTTTACTTTGCGTCAGTTTAAAAGCTTGAGACCCACACTTTCGGTGTAGTTAACATTGTATTATTTTTGCGTCATCTATACCCTCATATTTTCAGGAAGTTCCTTTCATTGAAACTTCTGTTTCGTCTTAACAAGAGCGATGCAAAGCTCTGTGATGCGCCTGTGGTGAGATTAAAGTTTGCAGGTGGGGCGATCGACATATCGACTAATTGACGGCAAACTAGACAATGGCTTATTCCGAGCCCCATACCTTACTAACTAACCCTTGTCCCATCTATCTAGTGAGCTGGCCAAAAGGCTGGCTAAGGCAACGCATTATTAATGCATTATTGATGCGTGCATAGACAATTTCTCGGGAATTTCACAGGTTCCAGTTGAGTAGCTGTTGGAAATTGCCCTTCGGCAATCCAGCTTTCGCTTATCCTGCTAATGGCTAGTCGCTTTTACCAAGCGGTATCGAATGTGTAACTCGGTTACACATTGCGGCTCTGCAGGTAAATACATCTCGGTTTATATGTCTATGAAAATTGAGCTAAAATAATCAACAAACCTTAATAATTAGCAATGAGGGACTCTAGCTAGACAGTTAAATTGATTAGCATGCAGAAATCCTACTATGTAGGCTATAACCTTCTAGCGCCTCCTAGGCAATTAATAAGGTAGGACTCCTATTATTAGCTAAATTTATAAGGATGCCTCCTTACTTAGGTCAGTTACAGTCCTTATGTGCTGCCCCTAAGACTTAGGGCAGTTATAGTTTAATCGTAACTACGAGCCTTAGGCACATAGCATAAGGAAGCCTTAGGTAAATAGGGGGTTAGTTAAGTTAGAGGGGTTTTAGGTATTTAAGGGTAGAGCTATAGAAGGTTACATCTTCATCTTTTTTATATCCTTTATAGTAGACCTATAGGATTATACTAACTCCTATTTAACTTATACTCCTATATATAACTTCTTATAATATAGTGCCCTATGTCGTTATAATAGTAGTAGTAGGCTAGCTCTAAGAGCTTAACCTAATAATTCTTTAGTACTAAGTAAAAGACTTAAAGAAACAAGTAAGCTAAAGCTAGGCCTACCTTTAGTATAAGGGTAAGCTTATAGCTACTAAAGCTTATAAGCTTTAGACCTAGAAAGCTAAGCTTAAGGCCTAGAAGCTTATAGCAAAAGAAGCTTAGAAGAAGTACTAGGCTAGAATTAAGGGCTAGAGAGAAGAGTACCTCTACTTTATAGTATCTTATAATACTATGTCTTAAACTATAAGACTTATAAAGGTTTTATTATATAGTTTACTTAATAGAGGAGGTAGGGGATTAGATATAAAGGCTTTTATAAAACATGTTACTAGTATATAGTAAATACTATATTAAGTTAAGTATAAAGCTCCTATCTTAGAACTAATTATCTACTTATATAGTAGTGTTATACTAAAGGGATAGTTAGAATAGTAGACTCTCTTACTATTCCTACCATTCCTACTATTCTAAATCACGTGCTAAAGGGAATAGTTGGAATAGCAGACTCTCTTGCAATTCCTACTATTCCTACTATTCCTACTATTCCTAATCACACGTACCCCTTGTATGTAGAGGTGCCTTCCTTTGCGTAGGCACCTTAAGGCATATAGGTGTGTAGGGGTCAGCTGTAACACTAGATACCTATATACTATAGTTAGCTTAAAATGAAGGAGATTACCTAGAGATGACGATCTACTAGGTAGCCCGGAACCTATCGTACGGCTATGTGGGATTGCCGAGAATTAGGAGGTGGCATAGCACCAATTAGGGCTTATCCCCTCCGTAGATTAGACAATCGAATACATCCCATTACCGGCGCACATACGAAATCGCAACATCAACTTTCAAAACTTTGGCTCACGTGACTGATGTCGCTTTGCTCACAGCACTGCATCCAGACGACGTGTCCCCTAACAAACGAACTTCTTGTATTCTGCACCTTCACTTACTCTTCCTTTATGTATTGAATATCGCACAAATTAAGTTGTGTTTGCGTTAAGATGAACATTGGCTTTAGTGTAGGCGACTTTATTGCAGTTCTACAGTTTGCGAACAACACTAGGAAGCGGCTTCGTTTTCTTCGAGAGAACTCTTACTCATGCACTTTATACCCTTGATATCTGAGCAAAACAACCGGTCCATCAGGGTGCACCAAATGTCTCACCTTGGCTTTTGCGGCTCCCTAGAGGCAGCAAAGCTTGGACACGCTGCCTTGGCTGCTCCTTAGCTTAGGTCTCTGTGTGTCACGCATAGACAACTTCGGCTAGATCCCTATCGGGCGGCATAACTAATTGTTCCACCTTTCTAAAATAAGAGCATTTCCCCAACCCGTTCACAACAAAACCCAGGAAGCGGTGTATCTTAAGGTGGAACCAGATTTTGCGGGGAAAGCGGGGAATTTATTGGGAGATTTATGGGACGATACCTCATGGGGACAGCCTAGGACTCCTACCCCACATCAGCCGTGTGGACTAGCGAAAACTTCGGAACACCAGGCCGACGAGAACGTTTTGCATCATGTCTCTGCACACAGCTTTTCCAGTCTCCTCACAACGATGCTTGGCCTTCCCAGGTAGCCTCTTATTGTACTTGAATGTTAAGTGGTATAGGCATTCCATTCGCCCGGTTACTGGTGCACCCTAGCCGTGTTTATCAAGTCTAGCCTTTCAATATACTTCCCCACAGCGGGCTAATCTAGTGTACCCCTGAAGCGAGCGTACACTGTCCGTGCGATTCGCGTCCGAACTTACACAGTACCGTCTCAAGCAGGTGACGGGGGACGGAAGTCGCCAGCAGACCTCTGAACATATGAATCGAGGATGTAACCCATAATATTTATTTTCTTTCAACTTAAAGCGATTCTTCCAACCGCTAAAAAGTTACCACCTCCCATACTTAGTTTTTCAGGAAGCCATGGGTACCCAACGTGAAGCTGACTCACGCTCGATCGGTTCCGCTGAGCACATAGAAAGTTCCCCTAGGACCGCTGATATGATTGAGAGTATCCCTGGGACTCATATGATTGAACCCACCGGGTTACATCATGGACACAACAAAGCCAATCCTCATGGCACGACCTTGATTCCTCGCCCATCTGCTAACCCGGCCGATCCTTTGGTGAGAAATGCTATCATGCTTACTGGGCAATTTTACTCACAGCGACGTATAGAACTGGAGTAAAAACCGGAAGTTGATAGTCGTGCTCACACAAGGAGCCTACGTTCTCTTCAACATTCTGCCTATTCTCGCCACTGCCCCTCTCTATCCGGTCCTCACTGCTGAATGGCACAAGGGAATTCAAACTGTCACTATTGTGGTGCGGTGCCAACTGCCATATATTTTGAGGAGAAACGCTGATTGTCTCTAGACCGGAATCACTACTGCTACCTATGGAACCGCCAATTTCATCGTTGTTCCTTGTGCGAGCATTTTCGGACGTCGCCCAACATTGCTTGTCAGCAGCGTAATTTCCCTAGCTTCAAACATTTGGTTGGCACTTTCGAAGTCGTACGACTCATTTCTTGGTGCTCGAGTCCTAGCCGGCATTGGCTGTGCGGCCAACGAGAGCATAATGGCGATTGTCATTGCAGACGTTTTCTTTCTGCATGAGCGTGGCTCATGGATGGGGTTTTATTTGTAAGAAATTGTCTCAAATCATTGATAACATCCTGAGCTAACAAGAGCAGCTACTGTTACGTTGGGGGTGTACTGATCGGCCCTATCATTGCGGGAGCTTTCCAACAACACGTGAATTGGAGAATGTTCTTCTGGTTCTGCGCGATCATGCAAGGGGTGGCAATGCTTGCGCTATTCCTCTTTGCCCCAGAAACCCGAAGAAGTGGAGAATTCTTGTCAGATGCGGAAATAACGACCCCATCCACAGATTCCGAAGCTGTTGACCCTGGTTTCGAAAAGGGTGCGAGCCAGCAGCCTGCTGCCCAAGAGAGCATGACGACTGCTGATCCAAAATTTTGCCGCGGCCGTCCAAATCGGAGTCAACTTCTTCCATGGCAAAAGGTGGACCGCAAGGCCGTTAGAGAGCTTTGGCTGCACTTGATCACGCCCTTCATCATATTGTTCTACCCAATCACATTCTGGGCGACTATGACAGCAAATTTAGCCTCGAATACGCTACTATTCCTTATAATGTGTCAGTCGCAAGCTCTTGCCGCTCCCCCTTACCTTTGGTCCGCGCAAAGTGTGGGGTTCTCGAACTTTTCACCACTTATAGGTGCAGTGGTCGTTCTTGCTATTGGAGGAACATTGTCGGACTGGGTGGCAATGAAGGCCACAGTACGTAACAAAGGTATTAGAGAGCCGGAAATGAGGCTGCCGACTCTATTGCCTTTCTTAGCTGCGAACGTAATCGGCATGATTGTAAGTAAACTTGGGCCCCTCAACATTTAAGTCAAATATTTCATACTAATTCGCCATTTGTAGATGATTGGATTTGGCTTTCAGTATGGCTGGCGGTGGGAGGCTCCAGTTATTGTTGGTTATTCCCTTGTTGGTTTATCCTCATCAGTTATTCAAACGATTGTTATCACGGTAAGAAATGATCGCAAATATGGCCAAAGTTGTATCGCTAATGTATAATCTAGTACGCTGTAGACTGTTACAAGCCAATATCTGGAGCGATTATGAATCTAGCCACAGTACTCAAGAATATGTTTGCCCTCGGCATGTCATACTACATCAATAACTGGATCATATCAAGCGGCTATCTTCCGCCGATGTTTATGATGATGGGACTGACAGTCGGGTTTGGTCTAATTGGGGTAGTTGTTTTCATGAAATGGGGTAAGACTATGAGAACTTGGACGAGAAACAGCAAAGTGCACCAAATGTAACATTAGCACTCGAGACACCAGAGAAACCTCTTGTAAAGTTGCATGGCGTAATTAGGGAATGGTGAATTCGCAGATAAGAACTAACAGAGTAGGCTATGAATAATACATTTTTAAGTTGGCTAAAATGATTTCTCATTTCCTCTGTCGCTCAACTGTCAATCAAATAAACGTCGCATGGAATAATGTCGTACTAACCCCCTAATAATTTCTGTAATTCTTCATGATAATGAGTGACAAAAATTTATGTAAGAAACGTCTCTTTCTGTCAGCAATAATTATTCTAGCCACGCCCAATTGTCCAATGGTCAGCGAAGCTGCGACCAAGCATATCCCCATCATGACAGATCATAGTAAATCTTTCCTCCGCACGTAATCTGTGAGCCCTGACGACTGGAATGTCAGAGGTTCACGTTAAATCTCGAATGAACTGCTAAATTTGAGTTCTGAATTACTCCGCAGTTTGTGAGTCCGACCCATACATAAGACAAAATAGTCCGCCCGACATTGGCGGCTGAGTTCGCTCTGATGTTTCGCTCCGATAGCCAAGAGTCAACGCGTCGCATTACCGGGGTTAACGCAAACAGGAATGAAGTATTATTTTACAAGTACGACGTGTTTCAAATACATAGATGACTCGCACCATTGCTTATAAGGGAGCACACTCCATACCACTGTGGCTGTCTACTTCTTGCTTCTGCATCTTTCTCCACCTTGTCATACCATCAAGTACACCTCCTGGCAAGTTATATCATCCGACGGCACCAACAAGCCATAATTCATAAGAACCATGGCCGTTCACAAAACTCAACATGATCGAGTGCAGATCACCCGGCCAGCCTATGTTAGCTACGGTCATCCAAACTTGGATGAAGCATCAGCCTTCGCATTAGACTTTGGGTTCGTCGAGGTCAGTCGCACAGAAGGCCCTGACGAAACGCGCTTCTATCGGGGATATGGCGATCAACCTGTGGTTTATATCGTTACAAAGACCCCATCCCCTGTCTTCCTCGGTGTTACCTATGAGGTGGAGAGCGCTCTGGACCTAGACAGGGCGGAGCTCGTGCCAGGTGCCGCAAATAGAGAAATCTTGGCCAAACAACCGGGCGGCGGCGAACGCGTGAGAATCAACGGCCCTGATGGAATCCCTTTCTATGTCATATACGGACAAACCCTCGTGGAGCGTCAAGAGCCCTCGTTGCAGTTTGGGCCTCTGAATTACCCCGCAGAGAATGATAACAACTCGGTCCGCAAACCACGCCAGGGCAAGGGACAGCGCCCAGAGCTAGGCCCTGCACCCGTCCACAAACTCGGGCACTGTGGGTTCAGAGTCACGGACGTGGGCATGGCGGTGGACTTCTACACACATTACTTCAATCTTGTTCCGAGCGATACGCTTGCTAGCCAAGTAAGCCGGAGCAACAGTTCTTCGTCTTCCTCCATATCGACAAGGGCGAAAGTTATACCGATCATCACTCCTTCTTTATTACATCTATTCGTGAGGAGCCAAACGACAAACTCTATCCAGCCGGCGTGCACCATGCGGCCTTCGAAGTGCACGACTTCGATGTGCAACACGTCGCCCATGACTTTTTGAAAAATGCTGGGTACAAGCTGCAATGGGGTGTTGGGAGACATCTCCTTGGCAGCCAAATCTTTGACTACTGGTATGACAAGAGTGGATTTGTGCTCGAGCACTATTCCGACGGTGATGTAGTCAACAAGGATACGCCGTTCAGGGAATATACTATGTTTGACAATCTTTCAACTTGGGGCCCGCAGACGCCTCAAAATTAAAATATATTTAGCTAGCAGAATAGCAGACATTGGGCAGAGATTTGGCCAAGTATTTATAACGGCACAATATGGCATTAGTACAATAAATGATTTCAACACAAGAGAATATTGCATCTTAAGCTTCGACGTAGAACGAGTGATTTGTAGAATCGTAATATACCGTTCTTAGAAATCTATAAATTGTATACAATTATGCGGTAGCTGGAACATATACCCTGAAGTACAGCGATATTTACAACATCACACTAATTTCCAACTAACGAGTCCTTAACCTAACAATTGGCGTCAACTCCATTTGCGACTTATCCGATCATTCCGTTTCTAACGCCATTTATGTACAAAGTTCCACCATGTAAATCCTGTAATAGATCCTGTACTAACTTAACGCGTCTAAAAGCTGCCTGTAAACAAGCTGCTACGAAAATATCTTTAGGTTAGAAAGTTGCCATCGTTAAAATTCGCTAGCCACAAGCTTCCATCGAAACCTGAGCCGTCATTAAGTAGCTCTAATGGCGAGTCGCTAACAGTTGACGTGACAATACGATGATTGTTTAGTGATGAACCCGAGGTTACTTTCCATCCCCTGCAACAGCCATGAAGAAATGCCCGGAAAGGAATTATCGCCGTCTCCGAGTATATTTCGTCGCTGCCTTCGATAATGTCGTATAATTTAGACTCATAGGCCCGGAATGATGCTTAGTGGAAAGTTAGTTTCATCCCTCTAAACGAGATCTTCTATAATAGATAGGGCATTTAATAAAAATGTGGCCTACAGAGTTTCGTTCGACAAAGGCCCCAGTATTCTCCTAGTTGTTCTACTACCATAATTAGAAGTCGAAGCGATAAAGATGCCGTCTCAGCCATATCACTAGTACCACGGCCAAATCTCTTGACGAGTAGCTGCACAAAGGCTGCCATCAATATGCCTCCCCCTACCAATGGACTGGTGTGGATGATATATTTAGACGGCCAGTCACGTACAATGGAGCAAATGGCCTTCGAAGCGGAGAGAGCGTGGAAGAAAGCTTGAGCGGCCGGTGAAGGCGCTTCTGGGGTAACACCAATTCCTGCAAGACCAATACTGCTATTCGAATATTGCTGGCAGTAAGTTGATATGGCTGCAGGCGTGATACCTTTGAACATTCGTTCCGTCCCAAGTAGGAGTTTAATCCTGTGATTTGGAAGTCAGCCATTAGGCATACAATTCAACATGTCCATATACATACAATTCGCAATAAATATGCATTGGAAATAAATCGCTGAAAATTTCAGAGTGTTCGCCGGGCTCCTGTGCGTGTATTTTGCTGCTGTAATCTTTAAACTCCTTTGGCAGATTCTCTTTCCACAAAACAGTACAAACTTTAACTACTGAATAGATATCGGATGGCTCGTCCAGGTTCTCGATATTAGAAAACATGCCCGTTAATGTTGCGAGGAGGTGGCAGTTTATAATTCGGTAGGCGGCAGCCGATGACAACAGATGATTCTGTATAAACTCCGGTAGCTGCCGCACATTGCTGGGTAGAAAAAATGAACGAACTTCGTTTCCGTCAAACCAGTCTACGTCATTAACCGGAAGCTTCGTCTTGCATTTTATAGGACATATCATTCTAGGCCGGTACTTTGCAGTGCACATAAAGTTGTCTAGGTCCCATATACACCACCACAGACGTCGAAGTTCCTCCTTTCTAATCCAGCTATGCTTGTTCAGAGATGGCTCAAGTTGTGACTGAAAATCTTCACAATCGATGGAATCCAGGCCCATATCGTAAGCCATTCGAGCACACATTGACATCATTGAATGGGCCCTACTGCTTATCCCCATCCCTAACTCTGCAAAGGCAAGAAGAGCGGCTGCTTGTAATAATTCAACTCGAGGTTCTTGTGTCTCGCCAGTTTTATGTTCAAGACGTTCTTCCTCGGCAATTTCTTCCCGGAGAAATCTGTTTGCTCGCTGAAGAAAGCCCTGGCCTAGCTCCCAGCGTCCTTTTCGCTGATAGGAAGGATTTAATATGGACGTATGTGAGGGTGATGATATATCACTTTCGTGTCGTAAGAGTGACAGGTCAAACAGTTCCACCCGAATATCGTTTGAATATCTCGCAGCAAGAGCAAATATGGCGTTTAAGAGAAGAGCTGCTTCTTTACTGGCAAGGTAAGATGGGTCGTGTAATTTCTGTGGAGTGTTGGGCGATGAAGCAGTCGGAACTGGGGATGTACAGCGTTGAAGAAGACATCGACAAGGTGGGTAATGGTCTCCGTAGAAGGAAGCTCAGGCGAAGGTAGGTTGATGGTAGGTAGTACTACTCTGAACGGATCTGTGTTTTGATCTAAGAGTAATGTTCCCAGGAGGCCACCAGGATCAGAATTGGTCGCATCCGAAGATATAGAAGGCACCCTCTCATGAAAGAGAGATTCGTCGAATATAGCAAGTGGGTTGAACAGATTTGGATCTAGCATTCGATCGGATCTCCCTAGATTATGTTGTATGCTACTCGTATCTGTCGTTCCTTGGACAGGCATTGAACTATTATAAATAGGGTGTCCATCTCTCGGAGGTGATGGAAAATGTCCATATTCTTCGCCTGGACGAATATAGGAGTCGACTATTATTGGTTCTTCGGTGCGTGATATAGCAGTAAAAGCCTGCTTCTTTTTGGGGCCGGGTTTGAACGAAAATCGTGGGTATACACATCGGACCTCGAGACGTCTGCATAGATCACACTGTGGCTTTGCGGAATTGCCTATTCGCTAGTGCGTCAGGCAAGATTCAATACCAGCCAGGGGTACTTAGGCATAAAAAGGTAAGGTAGATAGAACTCACATCTTTTCTTGCGTCTGCAAATAGCGAAACCACAATGGTTAGGCTCGGATTCACAAAATAAAGTCAATCATGAAGGGAAGGTCAGCTACATACTGTTTGCAGCTTGTGCAAGCAAGCATTCGAGTATTAGAACTGATACTAGACTCGTCTATAGACTCCATAGCTGCTGAAAGCGTCCGTCCTCTGGTGAAATATGCAATAAGTTGCCGAAGGAAAACCTCGGAAATAGGAACGCGGGGCAAACGTACTTATAAGTTATGGGGTAAATGTGGGGCTATTGTGGTGAACAGCCTGGCCGAAAGTGGAGCTGGAACATGGCACGCTGCGGGGTACGTTGGGGGAGCCAAGTACACGGTTTGGGGACCTGAGATGAAGCAGAAAGAATCGGCGATCGCCGATCGTCAGTTATCAGGCAGCCGTTGGTTGTCGAGAAACAATTAGAAGATCGGTTGAGTGTGACCGCTTTTAATGCTGATGCCGATGCATATGGGGCTGTATTGGAGCCACATGTCTCTCCAATGAATGACTTCGTACGCGCGGTAGTGAAGTCACCCAAAGGATGATCGTCCAGACTAATGCCGTAACCTGGTCTATGACGACCTTGGAGAATAAATAACTCTGCACCTACTGAATACGACTTTCTAGATTGCGGGTAGTCACCAGAGCGTTATTATTTACTATTCTCAGAAGAATTGTATGGGAATATTTGATTATGAGCCTGATGGAAATGCTGATCGGGATTCGCATGCTAACCAAGCGGGGACTACAGTGGCCGTTGCGACACCTAAGCACAACCTAGGAAGTCCTAGCAGCGAAGTCCGGTGAAAAAAAGGGCGGAATGGGTTGTTGCCATTCCAATCTCAAACCGTCCAGCTGAGTGAACATGGAAAATGTAGCGGATATCATGAAATAATCATGCGCGCGAACAGGAGGTTAACTGTAAAGGCGTAGGCCCAGGATCACACGGGAGTTCAGGGAACCAGATCAGAAGGCAGGAAAGTAGGTCATATAGCGTAACAATAGGTCTACCTGAATACAGCGACTATTGACTGGAGCCCTCGAATGAGGCTCCAGCCTCTGATATATCCTCTCACACCGTGAGCCCTAATAGCCGGGCTATATCCGAATGGCAGCTCCACCGTAGGGCTGCCCGGCGTGGCGCCTCACGTGCCATCACGTGAGGGCCGCCTTACATTAACACAGCGAGAGTAGCTTTTGACATGCACTTGAGAAGTCCAATACATTCAGCTATATCAGTCTACAGAAATAGAAAATATATTATGTTCAGACCAAGCTTCCTTCAGTTCCGTCGTTGAATTATCCTCCCTCGATCGCCCTTCCTTAATAACGGTTCGTGGCATGCGTAAACATGCTAGGTCTGCATCAGGCTCGGGGTTAATTCTTCAGAATCGAAACAACCATCTCAGTCCAGTCATTGCATCTGCAATGGACTTCCGTGCCGTTGTAAGCTGCGGGAAGTTATGAAATGGGTGTGGCATATTCTGTCACCAACTGTAAGCGCCGAACGAGGGTCAAGCAAGAGATGAAATTTATGTACCGGGTAGAGGTCGATTTTCGTCTCCACACCATTTTCCCTCAGTACCTTTTCGTACAGCACCCCTTCGCCGGATAATGGATCAATGCCGGGAACTTGCATATAGGTCCTTGGAAATTTCTCGAAAGAATTAGCAAATATGGGAAAATTCGCGGGGTTGGTTAGCTCTTCAAGAGGAATTGACATGTATTCTAGTATTTAGTTAGTTGAAAGTCGGACTCATAAAATGATATTAGCCCACCATAGAAACGTTCCTGTAATTTTCAATCATTAACTTTAACCAACGGAATTTTAGACAACGTGGAAGACGTACACAAGTTTCCCAATTCAAGAGAGGCGTATAAACATCTTTAGGAAGGATGTCAAGAGTTTCTTTCCAGCTCTCCTTAGCTACAGAACGGTTCAGGACCATCGGTGCTCTAGAAAAACAACCCGACACGGGAATGCCATGTTCCTGAGCCCGAAAAGTTGCCAACGCGGCTAGGTGGCCGCCGGATGAAGTACCTCCGCATACGAAGCCCTTCTTTACATCTCCGCCGAATCTGGACGCGTTTTCATAGACCTATTAGAAGCAAAGTCAATATACTTATTCGTTGAAGCAATAGCCAGAAAATAAGGTTACCCATTTGAGTCCATCCTCAGCATCATTAAATGGCACCGGGAAAGGATGTTCGGGAGCAAGACGATAAGCAAGAGAGAACACAATGACTTTTAGAGTCTTCGATACATTGCGATTGAGGAGCTCCTCAGAGTCATTGCTTCCTGCAGACCAGCCGCCGCCGTGATAGCTGCCTGTGTTAGCAAATCTACATTAGTAAAACCATAACAAAAACTGACCCTAGATATACAGGCAGAGACTCTCCGTTTTCAGGCTTGAATATTCTCATCTCCAAGTCCTCCCCGTCTCTCATTGCAACCATTATGTTGCTAATCTCCAAACCCTTCTTTAATTCAGGCATTTCTTTATCAAGTGCTAGAACTTTAGCGGCATCAAGCTCTGCCATACCTCTCCGAGCGGCATCGATAGAAATGGCAGTATGACGATGTGCTTCCGGTAAGGTTGGCTCAACGAGCTTCACCCATTCTGGATCAAGTATTGGGATTGAACGTGCGCCCATGGCAGCCATAGTGACAGTTGATGGAATTGAATTGATTGGTATGAATTGATTTGTGGTGTAATTTGATTGGAGGTAGGATTGAAAGAGGAGTTGAAGGGGGAATTGATTCAGTAGAAGCTATCAGCGCTGTTGATCTATATATTAAAATTAATAGGCCTCGCATTGGTATAAGACAATTTACGCTAAACCTTAAGATAGTAAACTCGGAGTTAAGAGTCACACTACGCGGATGATTTTTCTCCGCAGCGGTATGATTAACTGATCCGTCAAACGATCCGCAAGGCGCCGCAAGTTCTCGACCGACATGCGCACCAAAAAAAATAAGTCCGACCGCGACGACCCTCATCAAAAAGTCCGCCCGCTACTACTCCATACAACCTTCTCACAACGAGACTAAAATTTACTGCCACAGTGAGGCAGAAGCTGATTATAGTTTTAAGATTTTTAATGGCCAACATCTGCATTGTAACTGTGATTCAAGTTTCTTGCGAAAAAAAAATTGAGCAGCTTGACCGCAAAGCCAGATCAATACTCTTGGTTTCTGTACGACGTGCACTATTTTTGAGATGTCAGTCGATAATGATGTTGTTATAGTCGGCGCTGGCCCGGTTGGTCTCACCAGTGCCCTGCTTCTTCAGAAAATGGGCCACAGAGTACGGGTCTATGAGCGCCATGCCCAGCAATACGCGCAACCACGAGCGGTATTTCTTACTCATCAAGCCATACGAATGTTCCGAGCGCTTGGAGTTCTGGACCGAATGATGGAAACGCAAGCAGTACAAGATCTCCACGGCCGTGTCAGCGATGTAGGAACTTTTGTTGACGCCGAAGGCCGGACTCTGAGCGAGCAGCAATTGAACTCATCTCATTCCAAGTCAGGGACGGCTGGCGCCTTCGCAATATATCAGCCCGGCGTCGAAGAAGTGCTAGAAGAGACCTGTCAAGAACGTGGCGTCCAAGTTCATCGATCCACCGAAGTCAGAGATATTGTTGACCTGGGTCGCTACATGGAAATCAGCATCGCCAAACTAGGCAATGACAAAGCGACGCCAACTTCCACGAATACTGTCACAGCATTTTTTGTCGTTGGCTGCGACGGTGCAAAAAGCATAGTTCGTGGATCTAGTAAAATGGGCTGGTTCGAATATGAAGCCGCCAGCTCACGATGGTTGGTGGTCGACATCATTCCTACTGTGCCCGGAGCTATGTCTCAGTGGAAGGATAACTCTGCTCCTAAGCAAATCCTTGATCCCAAACGCCCGCGGTCTTCCGTGCCATCCCAGTTAACGAGAAGGCGGTTCGAATTTATGGTTTTGCCCAACGAATCGACCGAAATAGCTATGACGGACGAGTTTGTCTGGGAGATGGTAGGGTTATTCGACTGTAGGTCAGACACCGCTGCAATAGAACGAAGGACCGTTTATTCTATTTGTGGAGGCTGGGCGGAGTCATTCGCAAAGGGCCGTGTTGCACTGGCAGGAGATGCCGCTCATCTTGCTCCTCAGTTTCTCGGACAAGGGTTGAATTCTGGCCTCCGGGATGCAAAATCCATGGCATGGCGCCTTGATTTCGCGCTCCGACACCCAGAGAATAATTGGTCGCGGATGATGAGTGATTACTCTACCGAGCAGCTTGGAATCACAAAACAATTCGTGATTGCGGCAAAGGCTATCGAACATCTGATTGCCGTGAGCGACCCCGAGGAAGCTGAGAAACGAGATGCAATGTTCAGAGGGGGCTTGCAACTCCCACGTCCGAACCTTGAAAGGGTAGGCACGGCGGGAATGCACCTCGGAGAGGTGGATACAGCATATCCTCCTTCATGTGAACCTGGGACTCTATTTATTCAAGACAAAATAGAAAAGGATGGGAAGATAGGATTCTTTGACAATGTGGTTGGCGACGGATGGGTTTTGATCGCTAACGAAACAATCGATCTCGCAGCCGCAATGACCATACCAACTCGCGAGGCGTTTAGCAAACTTTTGGGGGGGCATTTAGTTAATTTCTCTGCTGAAGGAGGCTACGGGGACGTATCTGGGAGATACAGAGAATGGTTTAGTGACAGCAATGTAGTGGCTGTACTGGTAAGGCCTGATTATTATATCTATGGAACGGCTAATACCCAGCGCGACATTGAAGCTGTTGTAAGGAGAGCGATTGACTACATATCCTAAAATAAATATTTATTTATGTAAGGTATCCAAGACTACATATATTAGCTATAAGATGCTCAAACTTTGTAATAATGGGGTACATTATGAAATGATGAGGGAATATAATGCCGCCGAACTATCTGATTCACAGCCTGTGTAGGAATATTGCTAAGAGTTATCCCCCCCCCTATATGAACAGAATTGGGGCTCTGAAAGTCGGGCGCACTCAGAAAGTCGGGCGCACTCAGGAAGTTAAATGTTGCGAGGGCATACGACTTTTTGAATAGCCAGAGTGGTAATAATGAGGAATCAAGGGGAGCCACCTGCACCATGGCCATAGAGGGTGAGAAAGGAGCATCTACATTTGACTGCCTGGTTAATAATCCCAAAAATGGAAATAGAACGATATATAATGTGTTTTTGAAGCTCTTTGTAGGTCGTCGTAGTTGGGCGGACAACCGCTCGCTAATGGGTAGGATGTGATCCTACAGAAGGTGGTTCGGTAGCATAAAGCAGCCCTAGAAGCTCCAGAGTAAATATATAATTATAAGCCAAAATATAGAAGTTGAGTATCTTGTATTTAACAAGGTCGTTGCTAAATTATAAGAAGTAATAACTCCTATTTAGTTAATTTACAATTGTGGCCAAGAATGTATCCACACTTTATTGCGCTTAATCAAAGTATTCCCGAACCTTCTTCAAATTTGCCAGTAACCCTCCTAGATCCGGTGTAACAGAATGGATGAAAAAGTCTGGACGCAGCAAAATGTATTTCGCCGACTTATGCAACCGATTTTGCAGAGCGGTTTCGTGGTAGCCCCTAATTGGTGTTATCCCTTCAACAGTCAACTCATCTACCTTGCACGGGTAGTATATATGTTCATCATTCTCGTACAGAGGCTGTTGAGTGCTGTTTAGGTATAAGTATGTAATATCCTGCATAGTCAAGACTTGCTCGGATAATTTTGACACTTGCAGCACCTCTTCGATTCCGGCAGGATCAATATCTTCAGGCTTTCTGACAAGGACTAGAATCGAAAGATGAGATAGGTTGCGAAGAAAAACCCTGTCGGAAAGCGTCGGTTTATGGCCTGGTCCTGGTCTTCGAACCCAGATCTGCGCGACCTTGCGGCCACCTCCTGCAGATTCCAGGAAGAAGCCACCAGGGCAACTCTGAGTATTATATATGAGCTTGTCTCGGAATGCCGCCTTCGTGCGGAAATGCGCAAACCCAGGTACAGACCACAGGATTCGCATAAAAAACCGGTAAAAAAGTCCTTTGATTAATGAACGTTGGTTGACAATGCTACCATTCAATTTTGTTGATAAAGTGGCCGCATCCCAGGCGTGGAGTCTCTCTTGACTCCACCCTGTGAGGATCCGTTCCCGTGTTTCACGAGAAACCTGCAGGTTGGACATGATGGCAAGTCGCCAACTCAAGGCTTGGGCGTCTCGTATACCAGTGGCAATCCCTTGGCCACCAAATGGTGGGAAGACGTGAGCAGCGTCGCCGATCAACATAGTTTTCCGACAATACCACCTATTGACGACTTTTGAAGCAAATCTAATTTGGAATTAGCAATTAATCTAAGAAATGGATGTATGTGAAAGCATACTGAAATGGCCGGCAGCGGATGAGGTCTATACAATCCCTGGGAAATTCGATTGTAGTATCTCCAAGTTTCTGTGAAAATTTTGACCCTGGCACTATCATCCACGTGCCGAATTGCTTCCAAAAATTATCTTCTATGTTATCTAGATTATCGTTAGGCTCAATTGAGAATTCGTGCCTAATGTGATGTTAGCTCGTGGATAGAGGTATTCTGACAATTTTTCATACCTCCAGAACTGAGCCCCAGCCGGTCCGAATCTTCCACTAACTGCCGGTCTCTTAGGATTATTGCAGAAGCTGGTGTTAGAAGTATAGTTAGTCTCCATAACAACAATACAATAGACTGAGACTTACTGGAAGCCGCTTGGCCAAAATATATCATGCACTTGCTCTGGTGTATATCCAAGCTGCCATAGCGGAAAATCTGGGTGCGTCTTCGGTGTTGGTGTTGTTATTTTGAGGTTCGCCGCGACCCATGTTCCAACATAGGTCCACCTGTCAGCAATTGATGTTAGTGGCGATCTCGAAAAGATGTTGTCATTTTGCCGACTTACAGGCGATCAATTTGTTTGATGCCTTCCGGTTCCAGGAACTTCTTCCTTACCACACCGCGCTTTCCATCTGCCCCAACGAGCCACGACGTCTTGATAGATTTCTTACTTCCATCTTGTGTTATGTACTCAACCACGGTGGTGTCTTTACCTTCGTCCCTGCTTATGACTTCGCAACCTGGTCTAAGATCGCAACATGGTAGGTCTTTGATCACACTTCTGATCTCTCGCTCTAACAATATTATTAGAAATGCAAGATGACTACAGAAAGTCGCTAACTTACCGAAATTTGGCTGAAACTGGGCGATGTTGTTGGAAACTCCTTGTTCGGCCCAGTCGATTGTCAAGTCATAGTTCATGAACGTGCGTTGCCTGAAGTTGCCACTATGAAAGTGAAGAACACCAATATCTTCAATGCAAGTCAGATGAAATACTTACTGGGGTCATCTCAAGTATATGTCTTGCTTACCCTTGCCAATTCTCGTCGTCAGTCCTTCACCAATGCCAATTTGGTATGAGATGCGAACTGCATCTCCATTTATAACAATGCCGCGAGGATCTTCACAGATTTCTATATCTTTCTCCAAAATGACGACCTGGAAATCTGTTAATTTAAGCTCTAAAAGGTCCCAATTTTTAGAGTACCTTGAGATTCATACGAGCAAGAAGTGTCCCCAGAGCAAGACCACTTGGTCCAGCCCCAATAATCAATATAGTTGCTTCTTCCATGATTAGCTACTGTTTAGTCGTCTTAGCTTTCTGCAATCTCTCTGGAGAAAAGTGAAGACTCAAAATAATATAAAGAGACAGATTGCGGGGAAGCTTATTACATGGACCCTTGCATGTTGGATTCAACACCACCGCATCTGCATGTGCTCGTTAATTTTCTGTTCCGTATTTTTGTGGGACGAGGGGTTACCATACACCACCACTCAGCGGAGAAGCTATCCAAAAGATGTTCCGCTTCCCCATACGTCCCGCGGAGTAATTAGGTGGAAGCTAAAACTCACAATTTACTAATTATGCAGGATAGCAAATGGTGAAATGAATTCAACAGATAAGAGATCATTTAGAGGAAGGTTAGAGTTTATTGAATACTATCCACCATAATCTTCCGTTATTCTACTGTATCAAAATACTACTGCAATCTTCGACATTCAAGCTAGTATCACTCTAATACACCTCAGATATTATCTCCTCATCATTCTTCAATTTAGTGACATACTATATTCAAGATGCTACCAGGACGTATTCCACCTGTCATCAACTCGCCAGACAAGATCCAACTCAACCGCCTCAGCCACGTCTATCTTGCACATCCTGACCTCGAAAAATTCGACCAATTCGCGAAAGATTTTGGATTTGAGGAAGCAGGGCGAGACAAAGATATCATATACTACCGTGGCTGGGGAAAAGACTCTTGTGCGTATGTAGCCATCAAGAGTAAAGATGGACAGAAGCGCTTTGAAGGTGCTGCTTTTATTGCTCAGACAGAAGAGGATTTTATAAAATCATCAAAGTTGAAGGGGGCGTCAGAAGTGAGGCCAAATCTCGGCCCAGGTGGTGGCAAAATCGTGACTATCGAGTCTCCATCGTCCTCTAAGATTCATGTTCTCTGGGGTAATGGAGAACGTCCAGCGCCAACAAAGGTTGCCACTAGCACGGAAATTCACAAAGGAGCGTATAATACTACTCTGCAGAAGTCCAGAAAAGGTATATGTTTGCGTTGTGTCATAAGGATTTCGAAATAGAGGCTAACTTTGTAGGCGAATTCCAGAGATTCAAACTCGGCCCGGCTATGGTTCATAAGCTCGGCCATTACGGCTTCATCACGTCCATGTTCGACGAGGATATTGCCTTCTATACTCTCAATTTCAACTTTGTCCCCTCGGACATTCTATACGAAGAGGTCAATGGCGAAGAAATTGATACTCTAACCTTCATGCACCTGGATCACGCCAAAGAGTACAGCGATCACCATACGTTGTTCTTGTTTCGCGCGCCAGCAAATTTCCCTGATAAGCATCGCCTCCACCATTGCTCATTCGAGGTGGAAGACTTTGATACACAACTTCTAGGCCACGACTTCCTACTCAGCAAAGGCTATACTCCGGTCTGGGGCGTTGGAAGACATATCCTGGGCTCGCAGATTTTCGATTATTGGAGAGATCCAACAGGGTTCACGATTGAGCATTATGCAGATGGGGATGTAGTTAATATTGACAATGTTACTGGGAGAACAAAGAGTGAAGGTGCCGCGTCTATGTATATTTGGGGACCTGTTAGACCAGAGAAAGGAGTAGCAGAATAGTTATATTATGATCATTGCAGACCAAATACATAATCATGATATACATTTTTTGTTGAAAATGTAGCGCCTTGTTCAATCCCTTGGGGTTTGCGTCGCAGCCTTCGAGGATTCAAGGCCTAGTGAATCGGATTAGGGGATCGGATTAGGAAAGTGCAAATAGCTAGCTCGAACGAGCTCTTTGATCTTTCCTCACGTGGCAAGCTCTACAAGTCTTCCTTGTGGATCTCCATCTTTGGTGAGCTTCACAAATCCCCGACGTATTGTCCCTGCAATAGATGCCCAATAGGTACATGCGGAGGCGGAGGCGGCATATCTATTTACTCCGCACATGCATATTCAAATGCCCCGCGCATCAAATACTCCGCACGTTGCCGAATATCCTGCGCAGATGCTAATAATTCCCCACTAGCCCCACTCTACCAAAGTTCACTTTATAGTCTAGCCGTTTTGAGCCCGGCAAGGTGGTCCATGAAAGCACAGGCACTCTGAGATGGGCATCCCTCAAATTTGTCCGCATAGAACGCAGAGATTAGTCCGCAACAAGATAATGATTATTTTGCGCTTAATGTAGAACTTGCGACTGCCTAGTGTAGACATGGCTAGCTATGTTTCCTAAGGTTGTTTTAGAGGATGATTATATATATGTTATATGGAGTCTGAGGTGAAGTCGAAAAATCAAAGCATTCCAGTATCATTCAATCATATATTAACCATGGCTCATTGGGACAGTATTATTCGCTTTACAGCTGTAGAAGGCGGCGAACACTGGGCGGCACTTTCTCTAGATGAAACAGCAGCTTCAGGTTTGAAGGTGAAGGGATATGCCAGCATTGAGGCACTCGAGTCGGATGGTGTTTTTGCGGAGGTGACGGTCAAAAATGTATGATCCCTCACAGATACGCAATTCAAATCATTGTAACTTATTAACGCTTGTGTATAGCTTTTAGCACCAGTTCCTACCACAGGTATTCCAATTATCTGCGTTGGCTTGAACTACAGAAACCATGCAAACGAAGCCTCGGTTCGTCTTTCACTGCCCTATATCTCATAAATTAGCAAAACTGACGTAATTAATCCAAAGATACCAATTCCAGAAGACCCGCCAATGTGGTACAAACCAGCCGCTGCTCTCGCAGACCACAACACATCCATCAGCTTCCCTCCACAAGCCCACCGCTCCTTCCCTGATTTCGAGGTAAATTCATGTCTCACTGCATTTTAGTTACTGTTCTTGCCCTGGCGATTGCTTACATATCCCTCTTCACAACAGGGCGAACTCACCGTCGTTCTCCGCGACTCCATAAGATCTGTCCCAGCTTCAAAGGCCATGTCATACATCCTTGGATACACCATCGGAAACGACCTCACGGCAAGGGTTTTCCAGCGCACTTCTGGTGGTCAGTACACGTACGCTAAGGGGTTCGATAAATTCGGCCCATTGGGACCAAGACTTGTACACCCCTCAGTATTTAGTCCCGACCAGAACCGCAGGATTACGACAAGAGTGAATGGAAAGGTGGTTCAGGATAGCCCGTTTGATTTTATCTTCCCAGTAGACGAATTGTTAAGCTTCTTGTCGCAAGGTGAGTGGCTTCAATGTTTTTCTCTATATTAAAGGGCACAGATAAGCTAACAAAACTTCATCGGACAGGTACGACGATTCCTGCGGGCACGGCTATTATGACCGGTACGCCAGCAGGTGTAGGCTGGTTCCAGAACCCCAAATGTCCTCTCAAGGATGGAGACGTAGTCGAGGTGGAAGTGAAGCCAATTGGAGTTCTAAGAAATACTATTGTGTTTGAGAAAGAAGGAACGCAATAATTATTCCCATAGAAGATAATAATGATGAAAAGTTTCCATATTTAGTAGACCCGAAAAGTCTATGAGGCTCCTCTTGTATTAATGAATTTCATTTTTGTGGATCCCCCAGCATAATCTAGGGTATTATCTCAACTAGGAAAAGTTAGACATTAGCACTTGAGTACGGAAGTATTGGGGGCGGGCCCATCCTCCACACCCCGCACTAGTGGACTTTGCTTCTCCACCTTCTTTCAAATCGTACAAAATGTACGCCACTCCCACCATCTATTATCTATCCTCTCATATTAATCAACTTAGACCCTTATTATCCAAACCAGATATCTGCAAATGTACAGTCAACAAGACCTCAGCCCTTCAGCTTTGCGAGACACGACATCGACTACGAGTACAAGAAGCTCTGGCAATTTGAATCGTGGAGAGGAAGATAGTGCCTCAAAATACCGGGTGTGTAGCAACTGCAAGAGGTAATGGAACTCGACTTGTTACAGATTCGTAATGCTGACATAGTGTCCCTTTATTTAGATTGAAAAGAAAATGTACGGTATACTCCCGATGTAACACTGTTTAGACTGCTCATGCTTATATAGGCAACCTCGAACGGCCGACATGCTCAAGGTGCCGAACGAGTGGTTATACCTGCCAATACGAGGGTAAAAAGAGACGGCCTGGTCCTGCTAAAGGTTCGGTATCCTCGAAGACGAGAGATATGTCATTCAGATTGAGTTAGTCAGTTCATTCCTGACTCTGATGATTTGGCATTAATTATAGTTGGAAGATCATCTTGAAGGCTTATTACAAGGCCTCCATGGCCAATTAGCATCGGGACAGAATGCCATACCAGGTTATTACACGCAAGATTCCGAAATGCAACCGCTAGCATACCATAATCCACTCGCCGTCGATTTTTTGCAGGGCTATGAGCAGCAGAACTTCACATACCCCATCCTGGGCCCAAACAGCAACGGCCCATTGCAGGCAGTGACGAACATGGAATCACTGTTACAGTTTTCGCCATCTCTCGAAGGCAACCCTGTTAGGACCGAAGATAGTCCACCTTTTTCTGTTGAACAACCAGTCATGTCGCCAGTCATTAGTGCGTCAACATTGTTTTCTGCTAGCACATTAGCTGAAGATTCCAAACAGCTTCTGTATGTAACAAACCCTAATGTTGCGGGTTATGTTAATATATTTTCAGTATCTGTCTATACTTCGATCATATTCAACCCATCTTCCCCATGTTCCGCAAGCCTATGTTCCACCAAAGGTTTCACGAAAACCAAATCCCCGAAAGCCTTCTCAACGCCATGTTTGCTATGTCGTCGAGATTTGTCCCGACGTCTGATGTTTTTCGAGTCTTTGGGAAGTTCTCTACACCATGGGAGAATTTTGCAAAGCTTGCACACCAACAGTCCCATAATAGGCTTGAAGAAAACAGCGCAATATGTCTAGATGATATTAAAACCGCATGTCTATTGGCTATCCATGAGTATACCAATTATCCCGGCCGTAAGGCATGGATGTATGTCGGAAATGCTGTGCGACTGTCTCTTGCTAGTCGACTTCATCAGATTGATATTAAGGGAAACTCGTGTGGCTTGTCCGATGCGGATCGAGAAGAATGGAGATTTGTATGGTGGGCAATATGGAAATTGGATTCAACGATCAATGTTACCGCCGTAATGCCATTTGGAATAGATTGCCATACAATTGGCTCCGCGCTGGTTTCGACAACAGTTGCAGATTTTACGAATGGAATTACAAAACAGTCCACCGGGACGCTTTTGGACACCGACTCAGCCAAATCATGGAGGGCAGTCCGAGAAATGCAGTCTCTTGATCCCGGAGATGGATTTAATATCCACCTTCTCGCCGTGTCACTACTTCGGGGCGTATCTCAATGCCAGCAGCGCCTCTATGCAAACTCAACGCCAGAGGAAATTGCTCGTATGATGGCTCTCAGAAACACATTTTCATGCATGCGTCTCGCTTTACCAGCCTGGTACTTCAATGCCGCTAAGCGTCCATCAGAGCAGTTTCATTCCCACAGACATAGACTCGAAACGATAATTATGTTTCACACGTAAGTGCAATTCCTAGCAAGATGGCAGCAACTAACGTGTACTAGCGCACACTTGATAATCAACGAGCCAGTGAGAACCTTAGGCACTGAACAAGCACATAGAATAACAGGGGACTCCCTCAGCTGCTGGCAAAGCAGTATTACTTATGCGGAGGATCTCGCAGGTGTTTTCCACCATTGGGAATCGGAATACTTCGCTGTTGCGGATCCTGTGATAAGCTGTGCGATATGGCATGCGCACTGTGGGTTGACCATTCACAAAATGTCTTTTACCGACGACGGCAATTCGGAAGTAGCTACAAGGATCGATAACGCCCTCGATCTGCTGAGTATTTCACTGGAGAACTTTGCGCGTTGGTGGCAGATCGCGCGCATACTCCAAGGTGAGCTCGACTGTCTTTTCTATAGCTTTTCGCTTCAAGCTGACATGTCCGCAGACTCTCTCAAAGTATTTCAGATGTGGAGCTGGGTACACTTGGACGTGTCGAAAATCACCGAGGTTGTTGCACAGATTCGGCGAGCAATTAACCCAGATTCTGTGGAACCTGGGGTGGTTGATGTATCGCTTATATGCTCCTCTATTCCGGACGATACTCTGGACGGGAATGAAGAAAATAGGGTTTGGACGACGGATATCCTCGAATAGATTTAAAGTAATGCAGATTATGAGAATTGTAGATTCTCCCTAGTTTATGTATCCCAGCATCCAAGCAACAGTCACATACGACCATAGACTCAAGAGAATTGGGCATCCCGTCCGCTCTGCCATACACAAGCTTGAGATCGGTGGATTAGTAGTTGGGTGGGTGACCACCAGCGAATACCCACTGTTGTATGTTTTTACTTCCTTTTTGTTTTCGTCGATTTTATACAATAAATGCTGTGCCATAAAATTACCATGGAGGGAAACGAGAATATTTTATTGCCTAAATACAGCATGGCCATGAAGTTTGTAATTTGCTTTTGATGATATATATACCAGGCATTTGAGAACATCCCTTCTGCGTATATACATGACTTTCAGTGACACGCTCGTCACCCAGCTCCACCCCATAATCTTAAGTGCTTGAAGCGAAGCCAAGGTCTATGTGAGGGAAACATCCCAAATGCCAAAGGAGACTATTTCGCACAACAGATACTAGAAGGAGGTGGGCGGATGCACTGGACTCGCTGTAATCTTACTCCTCTTACACGTTTTATATCCCGCCCGGCTCTTTCGGTGAGATCTAATGGAAGAGTATCTCGACTGCCCACCGTTATCATGCATATCAGACATGGTCAGGAGGGAAGGAATGCTAGGGAGGTTAGAGGTGTTAAACTATCGCTAATGTTACGTGTATGTGTGGCGTGGGCACCGGAAAATCGGAACTCTTGAAAATCCGAACCGTTACAAATGCAAGTGCGAAGCTTTTGTACAGCATAGTACAGTACGCTAACAAAGCCTTATACACGTATAGTAAGCAGAGTTGAGAAGATGAGGCTGTGCTGATAAGTCAGGGCGCATAGAATTCCAATAGGAGCTCAACTAGGAGCGGCAGCTTATCGGATCTAGCCCTGAAGATAACATCTGTAGTACAGAAAATCACAGATTTACCCTGTCAACTCGCTGGAACGCGTACACCTCCTTGGCAAGGCACAATGAAAAATAAGCATGGGGCTAAATACGAGCGCTAAGATGTGACAAGTTGCCGATCCTGCGCTACTTTGTACCTATTTTTGCCCTCCGAGTGCGAGTGCGAGTGCGAGTCCGAGTGCGAGACAGGGGTGTAGCAACAGAATGCGAACCGAATGGGAGAAACCCACTGTAAGCATTTATAAACGGCGTTTGGCAGAGGCATGACAGTTTGACCAGGGCGAATAACTGGACAATGAATGTATCAAGATGCGACGAAAGCGGGCCAAACAGAGGGACGCGTCCCAAGGGAAGTTCCGCTTGAGGAATATACTCGTTGATATGAATGCACCAGGTTGGCGTAGTCGGCGACGTCGTCATCCGTGGGTTCTATACTACAGATATATAAAACCATTAATATTCCCTCATGCCAGATCTTTGCATTCCAATCCATTTCTCTGATACAACTGTCTTTTTATGCAACCTAAGATTCAATTGCTAAGCTTTCGCTCATTCCAAGCCTCCTAATCATTACAACAATGAGGGAATCCAGAGCAGTTGGGGAGTTCAAACTCTACCATTACAGCCCGTCTAAAGCTGCGGCAATCGTAATGATAGTCCTCTTCGCAATTTCGACATTGTTCCACACATACCAGCTCTTTCGCAAGCGAACTTGGTACTTCATACCCTTCGTCATGGGGGGAATTTGTATGTATCCCTCGCCTCCGAATAGGGCTTTTTTTTTATCAAATTCCAGTCCTTTCACTACCCGTCCATAAATTTCCTATTAACACTGTTCCTAGTCGAAACAATCGGCTATGTAGGGCGCGCCCTCTCCGCAAATGAAACCCCGAACTGGAGTCTCATTCCTTATGTAATGCAATCGCTGCTCATTCTCCTGGCGCCAACTCTATTCGCCGCATCCATTTACATGGTGCTCGGCCGCATCATACGACTCGTCGATGGCGAAAAGCACTCTCTTATCCGAGTGAGTCGACTCACGAAGATCTTCGTCGGCGGCGATGTGCTCTCATTTCTCGCGCAGAGCGGCGGTGGCGGTATCCTCTCCAACGCGAAGACCACCAGCAGTGTCAATTTAGGCCAGAATGTGATCACAGCTGGTCTCGGTATCCAGGTACTATTCTTCGGCTTGTTCGTCCTCGTGGCGATGGTTTTCCACCTTCGCATACAGAAGTCTCCGACCACACGCTCTAGCAGCGCGACTATCCCTTGGGAGCGACATCTGATCGTTCTGTACACGGCCTGCTTGTTAATTCTTGTCCGATCCGTATTTCGTATCATAGAGTACGTGATGGGCCAAGATGGTGTGCTTTTGAGCCACGAGATATACGTATACATATTCGACGCCACGCTCATGTTTCTCGCTATGATTGTGTTCAACGTGTGTCATCCGGGCGCTATTATTACAAAGGATACTATGGGCAGCATTGGTGATGTTGATGTTTATGGGGATAACTTTGAAGAGCTACAGCCGGTGACAACTCAGTATAAAGGATAGCGAAATGTCAATAGATGAGAGAAGTTCTGTACGTAGAGGTTATTTAGGAATATTAGACTTTAATGGCAACTATGGGCCGCGAAACCTCCGTCTTTGTGGTATAATACTAAGCTGCAGAGGACAGTACTTAAGCTATGGTTAGCCTTCTGCAGCTTGACGACAAGTTGTCTCGTCCCACTCCTTTAGCATTCCCCACCTCGACAGTATTCTAACATATAAGTATCAACAAAATTAGGATGTATGTTAGAACGAAACCCTAGTTAGCACCGTCGCTGTCGCACTTCCCTGCTGCCATAGTTACTATAACTTATTCCTTTATAGAAAAGCCGATTTACATATAAGTGCTATGCCACAAGTTACCACCCAGGATAGTAGAATGGTATGCCCCAACTACAACACACCCATGTTGCTTGTAATCTGCCTTCAATGATATATATACTAGGCATTTAAGAACAGTCCTGCTGATACGTATCCGTATATACAAGAATTTCAGTGACACACACCACCCGTCACCCAACTATTTACACCCCCACCTCAACCCCCTAAATCTTCCCAATCCCAGCATTAGCAGCAATGCTACTCGCCAACCCACTCGACGACACCGAGCTCGCCACATTCTTCCCCGCAAAGTTAACCAACGCATTAACACTGGTCCCCCCCAGGGTCCCACTGCTGCCAAACGCATTAAGCTGGCAATTATGCCCAAGGTACGCCGCGCACTGCGTATTAGTGTTCGAGTCCGGGCTCCCGAACAAGTTCCCGGTGTTGGCATTCAGCGGCTTCACAACGTTTTGGAAGACGTTGCCCTCCGCCACCACGTTGCCGGAGGAGATGTCGAAGGCGTGGCCGGAGACGGCGTACCAGTAGTTGTTAACAGCGTGGAGGAGGGTGTTGCTGCCGACCTTGGGCGCGCGACCTGAGGTGTGGTGGATGTAGTTCCCCTTCATGGTGATCAAGTCGTTGGAACCCGTCAGGTAGATGGTCCAGTAGTGGTGGCCGTCACAGGTTGCGCTCCAGCTGGTGTTGCCGTCGAACTCGCTGTTGGAGAGGGTCACGCGGTTGGAGGCTGATTCGCCAGCGACGAACATCTGGCGGCCTACGAGGGAGACCTTAACGTGGTCTACCCAGACGAGGTCGGTGCCGGCGAGGGTGATGGCGTCGCCGCCCCAGATGTACTGGGGGTTGAGGTTGGTGATGTGGATGTTCTGGATAATGACATTCTTGGCGCCGTTCGCGATGCGGAGGCCCTTGCCCTTAATCACACCCGAGGACCCGATGCCGATGATGGACTTGTTGCTGCCGACATTGATGCCGGAGATACCAGCCTTGTCGTAGGTCACGGAGATGGAAGTTGCGCCCGCGCCAGCGTTGCCGTTCGTGCACCAGCTCGCCTGGTTGATGGCGTCCTGGCCGCCGTTGCCGGGGCAGGTGTTGGAGGCGGGGCGGCAGCCAGTCTCGGTCACGCTGCCTTCGGAGCCGATGAAGTTGTACTCCTTGTTGAGGACGATGACGCGGGCCGTGGAGTCGGTGAGCCAGGTCTTGAGCTGGGCGATGTCGGCGGGGTATTGGGGGGTTGCGCTGCCGCCACCAGTTGTCCCTTTTCCCTGTGATGGTGTTAGTGACGGGAAATGGCATTGGGGATCTCAGGGGATATGAAGAGGGCACTCACGAATCCCTCAGGCGTGCCAACGACTCCAACGGCCATTGCCCGGGTAGCGAAGATCGCCGAAGCGACGATGACGGAGAAATGCATGACGAAGGCTGGAGCAGATCAAAGTTTCGGGAATCTTGAAGATCGGTGGCACATCAAAAACCGAACCTCGCTCTCATCTTTAAGTCTGGTCCATCCCGTTGCGCACTGGCCTAAAGGATAAGAAACGGCCTCATGACCCATTCTCAAAGCTAGCAAGGAGCCTTCATCCCGTATCGCAATTAAAACGCAAAAATTGAATATAGAATGCCGCCGGCAGGTCCCAGCGCTGGAAACCACCAATGGTGAATATAACTGTGGGGTGCTTGAACAAGGGGCGTCTTAATATATCGCGAAACCACAGCACGCGTGGCACGACCCGGCGACTGGTGCCGAGGCCGAATTTCACCCAGCAAACGCACGTCCATCAGCAGCTAATTGATGGAACATCTTGGTCAATGTCGGTATAGAGGCTTGGCTGCTTTGATGAAGGGCCCAAACGCGGGGCGACCGGTTCCGCGGTAGTATGAATTAGAGTATTTAGCCACGATTTTTCCATCCAGGCTGTTCTATTTCGCGCGGCAACCTCGTGGCAAGATTAACGGGGTTATTCTTCGGCACTGTCCCCCCCACATCAATCAAGCTTTTGGGCTGTTTCTTGTAGGTACGAGAATTATTGGCATATTTGATTGATCAGATAATATCACATGAGTTCATATCACAGCGAGGCAGGATTGTTTAATACGTAGACGTTTCAATTCGGATACCCCAAGTTAAGTTATCCCGTCGAGTCCTCGCACATGAGTGCAGCACATCCCCATACCCTCCCAAAGGGTAAAAGCCACCGCCCTCACGCGTGCAAAGAGGCCGGAGCACTTCCGTAATGCCATCAGCGCCATAGCGTCGTACCGCACGCTCCTCTCCATCCTCTATTCGTATCTAGAGAACAAAAGGAATATGCCTGCTTCAAAGACGCCGCCCGCCGAATAGCACAATTGTCCATGCCCAATATATTTACCGCATCGCCCAGAAGATCCCATGAATGCGTTAAGAGATCCGCCGCTTGCAACACAGGTCTGCCGGCCCGGTTGTTGAAAATCGAAAGAAAATCCACTTTTGTCTACGATCGAAGCCCATATGATCCGGTAGAGCATGACAACAAAAACTTCAGCCAGTCTATGCGAGGAAAAAGGAAAAGTAAAAATCGCAAGTCATCACACAGCGCTTCCGGTAAGGGAAGCCGCATGTGAATAAAAGAGAGATTAAGCGCTGAACATGACGGTCATAATGCGTAATTCGAATCCCAGATGATTTGTCCCTCCGGCTCCTCTATCCCCATTGTGTGAAAGCATCAGATGGCCTATTCTTACGCCACCAAGATATCTCATGCAGCCTGCCTGATGCCACCTCGCTCCTTGATGTATTTGGGTATCAAGAAAAGGTGAAGAGACAGCCAGAAACAAAAGACAACGCTATCTATCGTATGCCGGTGTATGGTCGAGTTCACAAGTCTGCTCTCTGTGCAGCGTGCTCGTGAATGCTGCCATCGTGAAATCGAATCTCGCAAAATGAGATATAAAAGCAAAAAGAATTATCGAAGCAAGTACAAAGCGGTCGAAAAGAAATAAGTTCCACAAGTCTCGGTCTTGCAGGTACCGTGCGGCGTCGTCATCAAAGTCCGAAGAGTAGAGACGAAGTCGCCTCGAGTGGAATATTTACCACCACGAGGATTGGCCGCCAGGTCCGCTTGGGTTTCCGTAGCTGCCGCCGCCGTATCCCTGTCCACCACCGCCGCCGCCGTAGCTGCCGCCACCACCACCACCGCCATAGGCAGCCTGGGGAGCAGCGTTGTAGCCACCACCGCCACCACCGTATGCAGCAGGTGCGCCGCCGGCAAAGCCGCCAGAGAATGGAACAGCGCTGCCGCCGAGCTTACGGAAATCGCGGTTGGCACCGCTTCCACGTCCACGGCCACCGGTACGGCCACCACGGGAGCTACCACCGAAGCCAGCACCCTCGCGAGCAATGTTCTCGAGGAAGGCGGGGACCTCCTGGTTGGCCTCCTTGAGGAGCTCGAGGAGATCACGGACGACACCGCGGTTACCACGGTTGAAGAAGGCGGTGGAGATACCGGTGTTACCAGCACGACCAGTACGACCGATACGGTGGACATAGTCGTCGATGTCGGTTGGGAGATCGTAGTTGACAACGTGGGTCACGTTAGGAATATCCAAGCCACCTAGAGATAAGAGTTTAGTAAATGAATTGTTCAAGATGTTTGAGAAGCTGAAATGGCGTTTCAACGCCTATCACAAGAACAATCCGTCATGGAGATTGTTACAAGAACAATCCGTGATAGAGACTATTACAAGAACAATCCGTCATGGAGATTGTTACAAGAACAATCCGTGATGGAGACTGTTCTTGTGATAGGCGTCGACAGAAGATTTCTAGGGAAAGGAATGAAAGGATAAATACTTACGAGCAGCAACGGCGGTAGCAACCAAGATTGGGCAGCGACCGTTACGGAACATCTCCAGGGCACGCTCACGCTCGCGCTGAGTGCGGTCACCGTGAATGGAGGTCGCAGGGAAGTTCTGGTTGATCAAGAAATCCGACAGCGAATCGGCCATGCGCTTCGTCTCGACGAAAATGAGGGTAAGACCAGCGCCGTGGGTGTGGAGAATATCCAAAAGAACCGAGCGCTTGTCCATATCCTCGACGTACTCGACCTTCTGGGTGATGTTCTCAGAGGTGGAACCAACACGTCCGACGGACAGGAAGACGTAATCCTTCAGGAAATCACGGGCGAGCATCTGGATGTCGCGCGGGAAGGTGGCGGAAAACATGAGCGTCTGGCGGCCCTGGACACCGGGCATATCCTCGCCCTCGACAATGCGGCGAATTTGGGGCTCGAAACCCATGTCCAACATGCGATCAGCCTCATCGAGGACGAGGTACTTGATGTTGCACAGGGAGATACGGCCACGTTCAATCAGATCGACGAGACGACCGGGGGTGGCAACGAGGAGATCGCAACCACGCTCGATCTGGCGAAGCTGGGAACCAATATCGGCACCACCGTAGACGACACATGGTCTAACCCACGATCTGTAGGCGAACTTGCGGGACTCCTCGTAAATCTGAGAAACCAGCTCACGGGTAGGAGCCAGGATCAGGGAGGTTGGGTAAGCCTTGCGTTGGCGTCCAAAGTTGCCACCCGCACCTGCTGGGGCTGGGGAGGGACCGTTGATGAAAGCCTGGGACAGAATTGGGAACAAGAAACCACCAGTCTTTCCGGAACCGGTTTGGGCACAAGCCATCAGATCGCGACCACCCATGACAATTGGGATGGAGTACTTCTGGACTGGGGTTGGGACCTTGTAGTGGGCGAGGTCGATGTTGCGGAGGAGATGGTCGTCCAAAGGAGGGTTGGTGAACTTGAGGACTGGCTCGGGGACGTCGTGTCCGGAAGCCTCAACTGGGATATCATCGTACTTCTCGAAGTTGATACCAGTCTGTTGCTTGGTTGGGTCGTCGGCGATACCGAAGAGCTCGCGCTCCACACGGGGGTTGGCTGGGCCAGAAATGTGCTTGCCATCCCTCCATTGTCCGTCACCACCTCCGCGGGCGGAGACAGCGCCGCCACCACCGCCGGCAGCAGGGTTTCCGTATGCATTGGGGTCGAATGAGCCACCACCGCCGGAGCGGGAGTCTTGCCATCTACCGCCACCACGTGCAGGAGGGGCTCCACCACGTGCGCCGGGGGCAAAGGCAGGGGCAGCAGCCCAGTCGCCGCCTGGGCGAGGTCCGTCAGCGGCAAAGCCGTTGGATCTAAGATAGTGTTAGATAAGATCAGTTGAAAGGTCTAGAATATTGTGAACTTACGGAGCTGGTTGAGCCCATGCACTGGCGCCCATTCCGCCACCGTTGGTAGCAGCAGCAGGAGCTGGGCCTGGCCCATCCACCTGGGGAATGCCAGCTGGGGGAGCACCGCCCATCTTTCCACGCATGTGGGGAGGGATGTAAGAGCGCTGCTCTCCCAGGGAGAGTCCGTTCATGTTGAGTTGGTCAGCCATATTGTGTGGTCTTGAGGTGATTGTAAGGTGAAGTTTCGTTGGTTCTGTAGATGCTGAGTCTGCGAACTGTTGCAGAGGTTGATTAATCGGCCTGTACTGGGTACTCTTTCAAGATCGCTGGGGAGATCTAATAAAGAGCGTCGAAAAGATCGAAGAAGAAATCTAAAGACGAAAAAAGAGAGTCGTTGCTGTACGAATCTATTTCTTCGAACGTAGAGAGGCCGTTGAAAAAAGGACAATAATTAATCTCGTCAAACTATATTCCTCGTGAAAGAAAGGCTTTCGTAAGGAATGAAGAAGGGTGATGAGAGAGAGGAGAGGAGATGATGTGGAGATATAAAGTGGTAAGAGGTAGGGTTTGTTTGATGGAGGAGGAGAGTTTGAAGATCGAAGGAGATCAGGAGAGAGAGAGAAGGCAGACGAGGTTCGGGAAGGCGAAGGCGGAATAAAAACATGGGTAGGGCAAAGGCAAAAGCCGAGAAAATTCGTGGGTAGCGTGGTTCCTTAGCGCCATTTTGAGTTGTTGATAGTGGTAATAGTGGTAAAGTTTGATCACCGCCACTTTTTTTGGGGGGCAGTGAGGCTAAGTACCTTTTTAGTGTGTGGTTGGTGTAAAAGGTACATAGAATAGGCAAGTTTTGGAGGAAGTTGTCTGGTATAGAAGTAGGCAGTTAGCAGTGCAGTGCAGCGCAGTATGTACCTCTACAGTACATTTAGAGTATGAAAGGTACATACAAGACAAGACATACAGTACATATTCAGAAACCTGCGTGTCTGAAACACTTTTTTTCTTTTTGCCACCCGGTGGGATATTGTAGTACTGTGTGATAGTTCTCTACAAAAATCAACAGGAGAGATCATTCCAACAATACTCTGAATGTCAAATCAATACGGTTATATAGTTCTAATATTAATAGACATAGACCCGTATATGAACACTCTTATTAACTCCTTTATGCCCCTTCTTTTTTGCCCCTTTCCCCACCTAATAACTTTCCAATAGAGTACTCCAACGCTCCCAACTATGGGGATATTCGCCCCCTGTAGTTGGAGTCTGGCAGCCTTGTTTGGCTGGGAGAGAAGTTAGTCACGTGCTCGGATGCCCCTTGAGGCGAACCATACATATGCATGTAGCACTGATGTACTTGACGCTTAACGCTCTCCAGACCACTTTCTTCTACCGCTTCTACCGCTTCTACCGCTACCACCGCTACCAACAAACTGTGCACAATATTTTCTGTACTATGTCCCGTACTTTATAAACGAGGTACATGCAGAAGAATACGCATATTGTGAGTGAGCCGTCTGTCTTTGGTTCCGAACTATTCGCCACGTTATGCCTTACGACCAAAGGAAATGCGTATCCTATAATCAGCCCTGGCACTGACAGGTTCACGTGACCAATATGCCTTTCCATGTGAGGCTGTTCATATGCACCCAGAACAGGACCATAACAGAACAATAACAGTGCCAGACCAGACAGACAAGACTGAACCACATCACACACAGTCAAGCAGTAGAACCACCACCACTCGAATCATAATACACCTTGCATTCAACCCCGAATGCTATGCTCTAGAACACCATAGAAACAAGACACGCTCTCTCAGGCACCCATCAGGCGCTCTTCACCACCGCATCATCATCATACTCCTCCTCCCTGATCCCATCCTTCGTGATAACCTTCACCAACATCCCCTTGAAGTCCACCGGCAATCTCCTCTTCAGCTCATCCGTGCACAGTCGTAGGATCTTCATTCCTTGCTCAAAGTCAATGTCGGGGTGGTGGTGCTTATCAAGGATGGAGAGGCAGTAGTATCTGTAGAGCGTATCCGTTAGCATCCATAAATATCCTATCAATTCTGCCATTAAGCTGGAGCCATAAACGTACTGTGCGTAGCCGTGGGCGGCATATGGTAATTGAGCCAACGATGCTAGGTAGTCCAGCCAGTACAAGCTCGGCTTCCCGGTGATGGGATCCACGCCTCCAAGCAGGAGGTTGACATTATACGGCTTCCTCGACCGTAAGCTGGATGCCAGTTGTCCGCGGACGAAGTTCGCAATGGCGGATGGCGAGAGGTCGATCTGGTTGCGCATCGAGTACAGCTGGGCGTTTGCTTGGATGTATTCCGCGAATTGGACTAGGTGATTGTTAGATATGCTAGTACTTTAAGAAGGCTTCGACGTACTGGTATCTCCTGCCTCGCCGGAAAAGGCCATCAATGTGTGCTGGTTGAGCGCGCGGGTCTTGTCGTCGGATGCCTTCAGGATGGTGGCGCCTCTCATGGCCGCTTTGGAGGCGGCGATGATGGTGAAGTCCTTTCCAGTGATACCAAGTAGAACCTCCCTGTGCACGCCATTAGAACCCGTAAAGCGAGGCCGCGATAGCCGTCTGAATAACAAGAAACTCACATCTTGGCGGCTGGGTTGTTGTTTGGTCGGAGAAGCTCAGGGTGTTAAGGTGATGTCAAATCACTGATGAAATGGCGATGGATATAGCTGAGGAGTCAAGCTTGCACGTCGTCGCTCGGGGTATCTTGGTGGACGTTAAAGCGGTGATTGATGGCTGATGATGAGGCTCCAGCGTCAGTCGTGAGCTCTCTCGATCACAGCGGATAGCTCCCTGGTGCTCTAGCGGATTAGCTTAACCTGACGCGTCGGATTCTGCCTGACTTGCCTGGCCTGCCGCCAAACTTTCCTTGACCGCCTTTCTGGCAAGAAACTCTTGGCGAAGAATTTATTTTGTACACTGGGTAACGAGAGAGTATGGGAACTTTTGAAATCGATCGACCGAGACTAGAAGAAGAAATCTCGACAACAACATTGCGGTACTTCTGGCGAATTACGAGGCGACTGTGATTATACACAAGAGATCTGGGATATATCCCAGACAAATCACGACATGTCTTCGTTTTTCACAGTCCCCGCGGCGCAGAAGAAGCGCAAGAGACCCTCGAGCTCAGAGGTCCCGAAGAAAAGAGTCGCAGGATCTGCTGCGAGGAAAGAGACTTCTGCCCCAAAACAGAGAAAACAGCAGCGAGATGAGTCGATATCGGGCAGCGACTCGGAAAGCGACGACGGGCCCAGAGGCAATGGCGTCGACTTAGATGAGGCGTCGAGCGACTCCGGTTCTGGAGGCGAGGAAGAGACAGCAGCCGAGAGGAGATTACGACTTGCAGAACGATACCTAGAGAACATCAGAGACGAGGTGGACGAAGTCGGCTTCGACGCAGAAGAGATTGACCGGGACCTGATCGCAGAGAGGTTACAGGAAGACGTCGCCGAGACCAAAGGCAGGATATACCGAAGCCTGGCGAAGCAATTATCATTCTCCGCCGCATCCCACACCCTCTTCCGCAGCAACACCGAGACCGTAACCTCGATAGCCACCTGCCATCCCTACGCCTACACGGTATCAAAAGACATCTCCCTCGTCAAGTGGAAGCTCCAAGACCTCCCCGCCAACCAATGGCTCCCTAAGGACGGCAAGAAGAAATCAAAGAAGCCCCCACCACCCCCCAAACGAAGGCCCGAGCGCATCGCAATCGCAAAGGGGAACAAGAACGAGGCCAAGAACAATGCCTACAAGGGCCACGTCGGCGCTATTCTCTGCGTCGCCGCATCCCAGGACGGAAAGTTCGTCGCCACAGGTGGTCGCGATAGGCGTATCGTGATTTGGGACGCTGCGACCCTCGAGCCCCTGCGCGTGTTTTCCCAGCACCGCGATTCCGTCACGGGACTCACGTTCCGCCGCGGCACGAACCAGCTGTACTCCGCTTCTAGCGACCGAACGATCAAGATCTGGTCTCTAGACGAGCTGGCCTACATCGAGACGTTGTTCGGTCACCAAGACGAGGTCGTTGATGTCGCCTCCCTAGCGCAAGAGCGGTGCATCAGCGTCGGTGCACGAGACCGCACAGCGAGGCTGTGGAAGGTAGTTGAAGAGACCCAACTCGTCTTCCGCGGTGGCGGTGGCGGAGACGGGAAGAGAGCTCGTGGTTCCTCTACGCCTAAGGCGATGGAGGGGAGCATGGACCGCGTCGCGATGATTGACGAGGAGATGTTCGTCACAGGCTCGGACAACGGGTCGATCTCGCTATGGGTCATCCACAAGAAGAAGCCCATCCACACCGTCTCCCTTGCCCACGGCTTCGACCCAGCGTTGGCGCTGGATGAGACGTCCGCGGAGGTTAACCCTGATCCGTCGAAGGCGCCGCAGCCGCAGCCGAGATGGATCACGGCGCTTGCGACGATTCCGTACTCGGATGTGATTTTGTCGGGGAGTTGGGATGGGCAGTTGAGGGCGTGGAAGGTTAGTGATGATAGGAAGAAGATTGAGGCTTTGGGAGTGGTAGGGACTGCGGGGTTGCCGCACGGGGCGGTTAAGACTCCTCTTGCTGCTATTAAGGAGGATGTTGCGATGGAGGATTCGTCTGCCGAGGCTGAAGCGGCGGAGGAAACTGCTGTTGCTATTTCACACCCGAAGAAGAACCCGGAGCCGGTGGTTAGCGGCGTTATCAATGATATCTCTGTCTTTGAGCGTGGGGATAGAGGGAAGGATGGGGCGTGCATCGTTGTGGCGATTGGGAAAGAGCACAGGATGGGGAGGTGGGCGAAGGTGGCTGGCAAAAATGGGGCTATGGTATTTGAGGTAGCTAGGGAATCCTAGACGTTGTAGGTGGTGGTGGTTGAACTTCCTCCCTGAGGTTGTGTTGTATATAGTTATGCATGCTTGGTGGGAGGGAGATGGATTGGCATAGCAAGCGAAATCGCGGCTCAGTTGAGCGCAGAATGGCATTATAATGTTTCAACCCACGGTTCTTATGAGATCTTGACTTTTGCCTACCCCGCCCTTGGAGTTTGAAAATACAATTGCTACGATATCTCCTTTGCTCTTGTAGGTCCCCGTCGCCAGCTATTTGATAAACCTCTAAATCAGCATTTAGATTAGCTCGATTTTTTATAGCAATAACCAAATTTTTCTCAAGGAGAGCAATATAAAATCTACAAAAAACGTCGGCCATGTTGGCATCTTAATATATGTCGTAGAAATACATCTCATAGATTTTAACGCTAATTACCAGCCCAATTTACAATTAATTACAGTTCTATAACCAGATCCATGGGACGACCCTCCCCCGGTCTACCTCACCATCCAACCCACACATCAACCTCTCCTCTTCTCCCAAATCTGCAAGTAACTCTCCCCCAGATACAACAGCTCCCTCTGCGTCTGCTCCACAAACAAATCCTGGATCTGCACCCAATCCTCCTTCCTCCTCAACTGCACCTTCCACGCCCTCCTCTCCGCCTCCCCCTCCACACTATCCTCCCTCCCCCTCACCGCCTCATGAACCACGTTCGCTACGAGATCATACCAGATCGGTTCACCAGGCGGCGCGTATTTCGGGTTCGGCTCTACGTACGGGCCCATATTCAAGTTCCTCGCATCGAACGTGACGATGGTGGGGTTGCGCTCGGAGACGAACTTGTTCTGGCTGAAGCGCTTGATGTGGAAAAGCAGGTACGGTGGGAGTGGGTGGAGAAGACGGTACCGCCTGCGGTGGTTGAGTTGCTCCTGCGCCTTCAGGCCATCGTATTTCGATAAAATGGATGTGAGGGGAACTTGTGGGATGATGTTGCGCTCCAGCTCATCCTGGAAGAGAGGTGCGGCGGGGAGATCCAGGGTAAGGAATAGGAAGCGGCTGACGTCAGCTTTTACCTCGGCGGCTTCTTCGAAGCGGAGGCGATCGCCGGCGTCTGCCTTTGCGGTGATGGCTTGGGACTCGATTTTCAGCTTGCCTTGGAATATTTGTTGGATGATGCTGCTTCCGGGTTTTGTTTTGGAGCCGCCGAGTGCGACGTGGAGGTTGTTGAGGAACCAGGATAGGAACTCGACGGGGTCTGCTTGCTGCGTGAGTGCGAATTTCTTATTCGACCTCAGTGACACTTCTTGCAGCAGTTCGTGGGGTGAGACGTGTGCCTTGAAGGCTCTCGGATTCCAGATTTTGCGCACCAGAATCGATAGCCGCTTCGCTAGCTCTGGCTTTGTGGAAAAGTCGTCAAGCATGAAGTAATTCCGTAGTGGTGGGACGTGAGATAGTGCTTGTATGACAACATTGAAGTAGTCATTGTCTTTGATGTTGTTCATGCCCACGAAGCCTGGTGTATACTGCTTTCCGCTGAGCGCCCAGGCTTCCTTCGGGGCGCGATCCAAAGCCATGACCTCCTGCTTTGTATATCTCGGATCTGAAACGAACTTGATATCGTCGAGGGATTTGTTCTTGACTTCGTAGCCTTCTGGGAGAACGTAAATCTTCTGCGTCTGCATGTTGATATACACATGATGATCGACGTCGAGGGCATGGAAGTACGCATGCGATTTAGGTCCGCGCCCTTGATAGTATCGCCCACAGACAAGACATGCATAAACGTTGATATTGGATAGCGTTACAGAGCAAAGTTTCTCGAAATCGAAGTCGAGGACGTGCCGGTCGATTGTGTCGAGGTATAGGTCGTCATACCCTTCGATTGGTGCTTCTTGCCGATAGACCGTCGTATCTACCTGCTCTTCGTCGGACTCGATGTCATTAAAGTCGCCTGGGGCGCCTTCTTCCTCAATGCGCTCACTCGTCTCGAGGCCCTCCTGTACCATCGTCCTTGACGGGAGGCCGCCATTCTGGAATCCCGGGTGACTGTCGCCCCGGTACTTCTTCGATACTGGAGAGTCTGTCCCAGCAATGTCCTCCAAGGAGTCTACCGCGTGTCGTTTTGCCATTGTTTGGTGAAGATATTCGTTGTGGCGCGTTGACCAGTTTCCGACGTTGCCTATTTAGAACAGCACTGAAGCTTTTGGGACCAAAAGGCTGAAGCCTCGCGGGCCACTTCAAAGTGGTGATTAGTCATCATTTTTATGGAGCATTTTCTGTGATTGGTCACCTTGATCACCAAGACCAAATGTGATAACATTTGACAGTGTTTATGGCAACTACATTATCGGAACTGTACACTAATAGAGGTGGAATCAAATCAGTAGACCACCATAGGCTGGATATCATATGGACAATGGAGATAGTCTGGTCTGTTTGGGATAAAGTATTCGTTCTATCTGAATAATCATTGTTCGCTACTGCGAGAAAACAAATACAATTGGTATCTCACCTCTGTGCTACACCTGTGTGATTCGTATGAGGTCGGAGTTTCCTATTATATTTATTTAATTCCTCATATTTACTATACCAAGCTACACCAGTAACCCATCTCTGAGTATGGCTTGCTAGTCACTATACCAAGTGACTGGTTATATATACATTAAAGTCTCTGCTCCTTGTTGCTCTACGCCAGTAACCCAGTACCAATTATGGCTTGCCAGTCACTGTTGCCATGTCATCTGTTATTGATCTTCTGAAATCCGCTTTGCTTAACCTTTTCCCCCTTCCCACTCTCTGACCTTCACCCTCTTCTACTATCCTCCACCTTCCACCCTTCGATCTCTAATCTTCCGGCTCTCATCATCTAACTATTGATCTTACTCTCCTCAACCCTCTTCTTCTTCTTTCTTTTACTCTCTACACTTCTACCTCTATCTTTGTATACACTAAAAAGTCATTTGCGAACCAAGAGATTTTTGTCCCGACCCGTCCGCCGAAAGGCCTGACAATATATTTTATTGATCTATCCAAACTCAACATCAGATTCCAATCTTACCTCGAACTCTCGCTCTCCGATCTCTACTTTCTATCTGTCGCCATCCACCCTTCGATCTTTACTCTCCACAATCCTTCTCTACCCCTCACCACTCTCCATCCATCAATCTATCTCCGCCATTCTATCTTCGACGGAAGAGAAAATAAAAAGGGAAGAATGGGGGGGTGGGAAGAGAGGAAGAAGGAAAGACAAGTAGCTGTGGCATGCTAAGAGGCTTGAGGTTTGAGGTTTAGGTTTAGGACTGAAGTTTGGGGTTGAAGTTCGAGGCCAAGCGGTTGAAATTCGAAGGCGGAAGTATAGGAAGGTCGAAGATAGAAGGTCTCTTCACCGCACTGCGAGACCTCTTCCAATCTGCGCCTACCATTCATCCGTTCTCTCTTCGCGACCAAGACCATTATGTAGGAAGTTTTCCGCTTGTTACGAGGTCACCACCACTCTCCTTCACTCTCTCTTATTCTTTCATTTCCGCCCCATCTACGATACAAAGTCAAGCAATTCAAACCAACCAAAATCAACCCCCGCCAAAGGAATTTTTGCTCCGCCTCGTTCACTTCAAAACGTGCAAATTTGCTCTTAAAACTTTCCTGTTCTATTATCCACTCATCTTCGTTTATCCTTCTCATCCTTTCGGCTCATCCGCGCTACCTCTTCCACGCCGTCAAGTCAACCATGAGGTTCTTTGATTCATGAGATCACATGGCGTCGACCACAGAAAACTCCGACCTCCAAACTCCAATCTTCAGACTCTAAGCTTCAAAATCCGAATTTGAAGCTCCAAACTTCGAGCTCCAGGCTTCCGCTACCCACCTTCATTCTTTCCTCTTTTCCTTCTGCCTACGCTATCAAGCCAACTACTCGTTTTTACTGTCGTCATCCATCTTTTCTCTCTTCATCTCCGTCTCACCCGCGCCAACAAGTCAACCAAGATAATCAGACGATTCAACTCTCCCTTCTACAGAACTACAACTCGATCCGTGGATAAATCAAAACTCGAATCTTTTAATCAAGTAAGTTGTCCCATTCTTCGTTACTACGGAATTACAAATTTACTATTCTAGGCCCACTTAAAGATTTCAAAGTTCAATCCCAAGATTCATCACTTTCGAGCTTATCTTGCTTGATCTCTCACCTTCCCCTTCGACCTACACCTTTCGCCTCCACCGTCCACACTCATATTCTATCCCAACCTTCTCCCGCATCACCCACCTGCATCTTCGGCCTCCATCTTCCACTAGACCTCCCACTTTCGAGTTGATATTCACATCCACCTTCGCCGTCGACCACCTTCAATCTCCCTTCCACTTCCGCCTTCGCCCTCTATCTTCAACCTTCGACGTTTTCAACCTTTATCTTTATCTCCATCTTCGACCTCCATGTTCTCCATGTTCTCCAAGCTGCAAACTCCGACCCCCAAACGCCAAGCTTCAGACTCCAAGCTTCAAACTCCAACCTTCAGACTCAAAGCTTCGAACTCTGAATTTCAAGCTCCAAACTTCGAACTCCGAGCTTCAAACTACAAGCCTCAAACCCCAAGCGTGAAACTCTACCAGCTTTTGACCCCCGCTTCCAACCTTCAACCTTCCGCCTTTACTCCTCAGACTCCGATCTTCTACGCTTACTCGTACCACCCTGGACACCCACGTCTTCGATCTCTACCAGCTTTAACCTTCCATGTTTGCCATGAGCTTTCGTCATTCTGTCTCGTTTTAGTTCGAATTATCTCGAATCCAACGCAAGTTCTCAACCTCCCGTATTTACGCCTCAATTCTAACCTCATCCGTAGGCTCTTGACTTAAAAAACAATACCACAATTCTAGGCTTCAACGCTGCCATCATTTCAAGTCTACAGAGCAGCTCGTCTTCACTGGCACTTGTCTTCACCGGCACTTGTCTTCACCGGCATTTGTCTTTACTGGTACTTGCGTTCACTGGCACTTGCGTCCACATCCAGTCTTTCCTGCCAAAAAGTGCTACAATCCATCACTCTTCAGCCTCATATTACCTCCTCTTCTTTTCTTTTTAGTTGCTACCGAAAATGGCGACTGAATCCAATTCCTCTGAAGCGAAACAACCGCGCAGAAGTCGCAAAGCCTATCGGAAACGGCTACTCTGCAGGGACGATGTGCTGTCAATGCCCGAAAGAGCGGGAGAAGAACCAATGAACCCACCAGACTACAGCACGAGCTTTACCAAAGATTCAACTTGTCATCTGACATGGGGAGTATTGAACTTTGGGCCTACCTTTGCAATCTCCAAACCAAGGCGCTATCAAGGCTTGAAGGCTAGAAAGGAGACTGCAAGGCTGAAGCGAGAAGCAAAATCCAACCCAGCGCTGGTGGAGAAACCTGCGTATCCTCTTTTGTCAAATCTTCCAATGGAGCTCCGAGAAATTGTCTATGGCCATCTCCTTATCAGCAACGCACCCATTATTCTCCATCCCGACTGGTGCGAGGTACAAAGAAATGCGGGACTTGACCTGGGAATTCTGCGAGTCTGCAAAAAGATAAATGAAGAGGCCACCAACTTCCTGTATCAGCGCAACACTTTCCATGCACTTGTGCGAGACAACAGCGCCATCTCGAGATTCGACCAATGCCTATACCCATCATACGTCTACCTGTTCCGAAATGTGGTGATCGAGCACACCAAGGAGACTTCGAGTTTGGCGTGGATGCAAGACACTGCCAACTCCATTCGGACTCTGATTGCAAGCGACGTGGCGTTGGACTCTATCACCCTTGCTTTTGCGCCAAGGGCTCCGTCAAAAGACCCAGCGGCGTCAGATACTGAAGATCCGATGACGTTTGCCAATTTCTTTACAGAGGGGTCACGAGTAATCAGACTGTTGGCGCAACTTCGGTGCAGAGTGATCAACATCGTTGTGAAGTTAGAAGGGATGACCAGAGTTGTTGTTTCTCTGGACGTCAGACACCTAGATCGCGATTACTCTAAGAGCCCATTTGCCAATGATCCAGCAGCCAGGGCAGGAAGGCTTATGAGAACCGAGAAAGCGAAGATGGCCCTTAGTGGCCTGAAACTGGCAGTGGACAAGATTGCAAGCAACTGGGAAGAGGCAGTAGAGCTTGGTGTCTGTCGCGTCATGGAAGAAGGAGAAGACCTCAGCGATGAAGCCGCTCTAAAGAGGGTCTAATGGGGGTATTCTACATTTAAATCTCGGGGGAGACTAATCAATTCGTTGGTTTTCAATTCTTTGGAGATGGAGATGGGTATCTCTTAGATATTAGATTTTAATTTTATAATTTCTCCCCCTAACCGAGCTATCTAAAAGTCTAACGTAGGAACAGTGCGTATAGTTCCGAAGATGCTGTGAATGTCCACTAGATAATATCATTGTTATGCGTTCATTTGAGTGCTCTGCGCACATGTCCTTTACTACAAGCTTGGTTGTTATATCGTTCGAGGTTGGTGTTTAGAACCCATTTATTAATGGAGGGGGACTCTAGTCTGCAACTTTAACGTTAAGATCCCTTCTTTCTCTTCGGAAGGACAACGCTGAGAAGTCTTTTTTTCATTTAAAGAATCCCTACTCTAGAACTTAGACACCAGGAGCCCTTTCTTTCCTTTATAAGGGAGCGGTGCCTCGAAACCATTTCTTTTTGAACGGGAACTGTAGTCTAGAACCTGAAGGTGGGGGCGTCTCTTTCTCATTGACAGGACAGTGACTACAAGTCGTTTTTTAGTTACTAGAAACTATGTTCTAGAAGTCAAATATGAAGAGCCCTTCCCTTCTCTCAAGAGAATAGTGCCCTGAAATTATTTCTTCGTTAACGAGATCTGTAGTCTTGAATTATAATATGAGCAGCCTTTCTTTCTTTTGAGAGACGAGTGCCTAGGATTTATTTCTTTAGTAAAGACAATTCTACTTCAGAGCTCGGGCATGAGTGATATTTCTTTCCCTTAGAAACGATAGAGCGAATACGCCGCTTTTTAATCAACAGAATCTCTAGCCTAGAACTTAGACATAAGTAGTGGTTTGACAAATATCTCATACTTATAGTAACTATTATTAAAACAAATCTATTAAATTGTTGTATAAAAAGGTAGCGTTTATAGCAAAATTGTAATTAAAATAGACACACCTAATTACTACAGACGAAAGTCGTGTCAACAGAATAGCATTTAAATATAAGAAGTGTTAGACCGGTATTGCGAGAACTGGCAACCCACTCACTATGCATATACAGTTATAACATCACAATATCGTAGGAAACATGAGACTAAAGCGAAGGACCACCGCTATCAAGATTTGCTTTGGTATTATTATAAGAATGTCTAACCTATGCGAATTACTGGAAGTTTGTTTTTAGGATATACGGCTTCCTCTCCTCCAAATCCAAAATCATTTGCCCGAACAGGCCATTAACCCAGGAGAACCTACATGGCAGTAATTAGCATTATCAATGGTGAGATAAAAGTCAGGCTTACCATTGTCTCGTCCATTTAGAGGAGTCGAATGAGTTGATTCCCTCGTGCATGAGCCCTAACCCATCTGTGGTGGACAGCAATTCGCGCAAGGCCTCCTTTATTTCGGCGTCATCATCTGAAGTTAGAATGCGTATAATACTCGCCATGGGCCACCCAAACCCAGGCCCAACATGTGGACCGCCAATGCTGTTGAATACGGGACCCTTCATGAAGTACGGATTCGCCGTGCTGAGTATAACCTTGCGTGTATTTTGATACACCTTATTCTTCCTGTCAACGTAACCAATGAATGGCGCAGATAATAGACTGGGAACATTTGAGTCATCCATGATATTCCGGGAGCCATATCCGTCGACCTCAAAGGCGTAGATGCGGCCATGCACGGGATCATTAACAATTCCATGTTTGTCGATGGACTCGCGGAGAGAAACGGCCATCTGAGCCATGCGATTGCCAAGAGATTTGTGGCCTGGAAGGGCACCCATAATTTCGGCGGTGGAGGCGAGATATGAAGCAAACATCATATTGGACGGAATCAGGAACTGATAAATGGTAGCATCATCCGATGGCCTGAAACCAGAACGAATCAACCCAGTGTTCGGAGCACTAGGATTTCCAAGTCCGTCATTGGCAAACGTTTCGGTAGCCCTGTTGGTCTGTCGTGTAAACGTATATGGACTTGTGTTGACACTACCATTCTGGTTATATGTTGGCTCCATCATAGTCGTCGCAACATCTAGAACGGCATTGATGGCATCGACCCACTTGTATTTCTTGAAGAAATTGATATCCTTCGTAGCTTTGTAGTAGTTTGACGAGACCTCAAGGAATGCAGCAAGAGAATCGAGCTCGTATTTGCATTCGAATACCGTTTGATTGGTATAAGTTGGGAAAACCCTGTCGTCCGTTGAAGCACCATTTTCTGCTGGTGGGATACCAGACTCGACGGGAGGCTGGAACGAGTTGCAGTATGGCGAAGTTAGAAGATACCGGGCTTGCAGATTGATAACTCCTCGGTAGAGAGAAGCTATCGAGTTACTAGATGTTGCTGGTTTTAACAGTGGCAGGTAGGATTGCATCTGGTTTGCAGAGTCGCGCAGCCACATTGCATTTCTAACATTCGTTAATAAGACTCCAGTTCAATTCGGCAGCCACATCAGCTTACATATCTCCAGTAATGACAAAGGTTAGTTCCTCGTCACTCCCCTCCGCAGTGCCGTGCCATTTGATTGCCGTATCGAGAGTATTAGGGAAGGCATTTTGAAATAGCTGGAAGAGATCAGGGTCACGCATGGTCTTGTTCATACGATCAATCGTGTCCTCAACATCTTGAGACCCGAAAGTCCGGCACGACAGAGCTGGTCGCTGGGACGAGAGGTTATACTTCCCCGCCGAATAAGGAGCATGATACTCTTTGGCGTAATCTAAATAATCCGGGCATGAGTCGGATATCGAGGCCGTAGCCGTAGCCACCATGAAGCCCGCGACCGCAAGCTTGTTCCACATTATTGCTGCGAATTTGAAATAGATAATTCTGTTGTGTGCACCACGACAACTACGGCCTTATTGAGAGACAGGGTTATATAACACCACCTGCCTGGATGGGCTCCATCTGCACGAGGTCTCTCTCGCTAACAGCAGCTTTGTCCCACGGCATATCTCAGAGCGGGGATATACAACGTCACATTTCTTTAGCTTTCCAACCCCGCAAGTTCAAGGTTTCAAGCTGGCAGAGTGATCGTCAAAGAGAGACAGGGCTCTCGGTGCTCGGCGGCCCCAACCTCCAGTCCAGTCTATAATCAATCTTATTGGCCAACCCCGCCAAGGTACATCAAGCAATGCCCCTATGGATAAAAATTACGGGTATAATTCCGCATCCGTTGCCTCTTTCAACGGTGCGGGGAAACAGATTAAAGCTGTTGCGCTTGTTATGCTTGTTACGCCTCATTTGGCGTGTACAGGATTCATCGGAATCTCGGTGTTTTGTCTGCAAATCCTTACCTTTTGAAGATGAGTGACGCCGAAGTACAACTGCAGCTTACTGTTAGTATGTTGTAGTATGTATGCTGCTCTATACAGTACTCTACTTTGCTTTGTAGCAACAGAATGTAGTGAGCACTGCTGACATTCGGCTTACTGCCCTGTCCTTGTAATGGCGTACTGTGGGAGGCATTATTTCGGACTTACTCGTTCCCCTGCCTTTTAACTCCTTAGAAATGTCAATTTACGAGATGATCATCTTGATCATCGGCTCCTCCGTCGGCTCTTCGCCTAATTCGCGACGATGAGGATGAAGGATCGCGGCCCCCGTACCTTGGCGCTCCGGTCAATTCAAGACAACATGGGGAAGCTCAACAGTGATCCTCGCACGTGGACGAGATGCGGAGGGGGCCATGCTTCCAACGTACAGCATGTCCACGGCCAGTACGTGTATAAGTAAAGTAGCTCTTGCCCCAATTTAATGTTACGCAATAGAGAGGGGTTGTTAAAATAAAGTCTCGATCGTCAAGGACCAAATTGATTGACGGCTATCACCATGCTCATCTCAACACTTCGTTTGGTTTCCGGCCTGTCGCTCGCCACAGTCGCATTAGCAGCGCCGCAAAGATGCGTACCAAAGCAAGAGCACAGTGCAGCCCGTGCCGCGGCTGTGAAGGAGGCCTTCGAGTTTGCATGGGAAGGTTATTATAAGTATGCGTTCCCGCATGACGAACTCCGCCCAGTTACAAATGGGTTTACGAACTCAAGGTACATTGTCTCCCCTAAATCCTACTCTACATAGTTCGGTTTTAACAATTTCTTAGAAATGGCTGGGGAGCAAGCGCAGCCGATGCCCTCAGTACGGCGTTGGTTATGGAGATCCCAGAAATTGTGAATCAAATTGTGGATTATATCCCAACTGTGGATTTCACTAAAACGGATGACCAAGTCAGCTTGTTTGAAACGACAGTAAATAGCCTTCGCAGATTCATGAATTAGGACGCGCTAACTGATTAGATTCGATATCTCGGGGGCATGATATCTGGATATGACCTCTTGAAAGGACCTTTGGCGGGTCTGGTCCCTGATGTAAGTAGAGCAGCTGACCGACACCAAGCTACATACCCACATGACCAAACGCCAACTGACTTTTAACAGAACAAAAATATCGAATCTCTCCTTGCCCAGTCAAAGAATCTGGCAGATCAGATGAAGTTTGCATTTGATACGCCGTCTGGGGTGCCTGCAAATAACCTCAATCTCGCGGCCCAGACAACCGATGGGGGCGATACCAACGGCATCGCTACCATCGGCACCCTGGTTCTAGAATGGACTCGATTGTCCGATCTGACTGGCGACGACGAATATGCCAAGCTTAGTCAGAAGGGAGAATCGCACCTCCTAGCCCCGAAGCCAGAGAAGAATGTTCCATTTCCCGGCCTTGTCGGAACGAACGTCAACCTTACCACCGGCGAATTCGTAGATGCCCGTGGAGGCTGGGGCGGTGGCGATGACTCTTTCTACGAGTACCTAATTAAGATGTATATTTATGATCCGTCCCGATTCGAGACGTACAAAGACCGGTAAGATGACAGGTTCCTCTTATGCTTGTCTTTATCTAATAAGTGTAGCTGGATCCTTGCTGCCGATTCCACTATCAAGCACCTTACATCCCACCCGGAACCCAGACCAGAACTTACGTTCGTTGCCAACTACGACGGGACCACCTTACAGCAAAATTCAGGTCATCTAACCTGCTTTGATGGTGGCAACTTCCTTCTTGGCGGGTCTGTCTTAAAGAGAAAGGATTACATTGATTTCGGTCTATCTCTTGTCGACGGCTGCCGCGCTACCTACACTGCTACCAAAACCCAGATTGGCCCAGAGGGATTCTCCTGGGATGCCAGCAAAGTCCCAACTAATCAGATTGATTTCTTCAAAAAGAATGGCTTTTATATCACCTCCCCGGACTACGTCTTGCGCCCTGAGGTAATTGAAAGCTATTACTACGCATACCGGATGACTGGGGACCAAAAGTACCAAGAATGGGCATGGGATGCTTTCGTGGCGATTAATGCGACCACCCGAGTTGGCAGCGGCTTCAGCTCTATCTCCGATGTCAATGCTGAGGGTGGAGGCCAGAAGACGGACTTCCAGGAGAGTTTCCTGTTTGCAGAGGTCTTAAAATACGCCTACCTGATTCATGCTGAGGTTTGTTACACCATTCTCCATGGATTCATATACAACTCCCCATTACAGCCACATTAACGATCGCACCCTGCTGTCATTTGGCATATAACTCTCTTGTGCGTAAACGCTAATATAGACTATAGGATAACGTTTGGCAAGTGGATGGCAAGGGAAAGAACGCATTTGTTTTTAACACTGAAGCGCATCCTTTCCAGATCTACAAAGGCGCAAGTAAATAAGGTTCGACACTGGGCAGCCTACTTATGGTTCGAAGGAACGGTGCATAAATACAATATGTATGCTTCGGAATGCCTTGCTTTCGTTTTCATAACATAGCGTATGTTAGCTGCCAAATACTTAGAGCTATAATTAAACCCTTTCCTGTCTAATCTGTGATATTTCTCGTCGCTGTGATTTAATCCTAGGAAGCGTGCGCCAGAACTGCCTTAATTGCTGATGGTTCTCATATTTATTATGTGTTGGGCGCTGGGTCGAAACCAATATAGGCTTAGTCTAACGCCACCAAGACCCATAAATGTACGATAGTGACACACACCACTGGAGTGCGATGCTTGTCTGTGGAACTTAAATCATTTCAAGATTCTTGTGAATAAAACCAAGGTGCTGCCTACCGTCACATGACGAGCCTGTTGATCGCTGACAATAGCGCCCTCTACTCTACAACCCCGCCTTCACAATATATAGTGCCAGCATCCAGCATCCAGCGATCAAGATAGAAGACTCTAAGATCTTTTCCTCTCTTTCCATCACTCCCAAAAGCTTCACTACTCCCAACAGTACTTAAAATGGCGACCGAGGCGGTAGAATCCCTCTCCTCATCCCTCTCAACCACCACCATCTCTCCCGGCCGCCGGCCTTACACAGGGTCCTGCCACTGCGGCCGTACCAAATATATCACATATCTCACCCTCCCACCGCCCATCATCTCCGCCAACCCACCATCACCCTCCTCAACCATCCGCATCCGGAAATGCAACTGCTCGACCTGCCAAAAAATGTCGTACTTTCACGTCCGCCTGATGGATGAGCCGAACGACTTTCTGCTTTTGAGCCCGCTGAACCCTACAGATGGGGGCTTGAGCGATTATACGTGCTTTAAGGGGGCTATCCACTGGTACTTCTGCAGCAAGTGTGGGGTTAGATGCTTTGCTTTCGCCGGCGAGGGAGTGGTCCGTGAGGTTGAGGTTGAGGGCAAGGTGCAGGAGGTGTGGACGGCGGATCCAGAGAAATGGGGGAAGGGCAAGGTTGCGTACTTGAGTGTTAATGCCGCGACTTTGGATAATAACCAGGAGGGGCTAGATCTTACTGAGTGGACTGAGAAGGGATGGATTTCTTATATAGATTGGAAAAACAACGCTGATGAGGCGCGTATGGGAAAACCGCACGAGGGTGGGATGTATTAGGCTCTATTGTGTGCTACATGAATAGACTCTGAATTAAGCTGTTTCTTAAAGTCCTTCTTTGGGCTTTTGGGCAGAATAGTATAAGATATTCGCCAAACCACCACTTATAGCTGAGTTCCGGACCAGGGCCCCTATCAATCATAGTTGCTATAGACACCATCTTTATACACGGTGCTTAACGTCATCATTTTAATAATAGTTGCTATAAATACTATTATTGTGCACAGCGATTTAACGCCTCCATTCTAACTATAGTTGCCGTGAATACTGTCATTATACATAGTGATTAAACACCATTATTTTAATAATAGTTGCTGTAAATACTACTCTTATACAGAGCCCCTTTCAAGACTTCAAGATGGCACATCCACTCTACTAGATATCGTTTCTATAAAATTCCCAACTTAATAATTACTATGAACAACGAATTCACATCTATTACTTATCAATGCCACTTTGAACGGAGCGCGTTTGCATGTTGTCACATGACTCATATATCCCTGCTTACGCTGGTTCGTCTTCAGGTTCGGGTGTTGACGGCATTGAATTTCTACCCTCGGTGCGACTTCAATCAACTATATAAATACGTTTCTAGTTATTTTTCACTGGCTATTGATGAAATAAAATAGGTTTACTTTATTTAACATTACCACTTACTCTCTGTGGCGCCATTTTGGCATTACCGAGGCGGCCATATCGAAAATGCTTCGCGGCGATGCCGGCTCTCGGCGAGAGTCACAACCGGAGCGTAGTTGCGGCACAGAAATGATTCCATTATCGGAAGAAACTGGTCGACTACAAGAAATACCTGTCAATACTATGGATCACGCCAGTGAGGAGGCACAATTACCCTCTAGAATCGTGTCTCAACGAAATCCGGTGCCGGATATAACGCCAGCCATGGCTAGCCAACGACGTACTCAACAGATGCTAATAGTCATCTCCTCTCTCATGCTTACTTTTACAGGCTGTGGACTAAATTTTGCATTTGGTGTTTATCAAGAGTTATATGAAACGATGGATGGGCCGTTTGCTGGTGCCAGTGCGGCAGAGATAGATCTCATCGGCACTCTCGCCGTCTCACTCATGACAATTGGAGCACCATTTGCTAGCGCATGGACAAAGTCTTACAGTCCCCGATCTGTGTCCCTAATTGGAGGGATTCTATTTGCGGTTGCAAATATTGCTGCATCTTTTGGACAGAAACTATGGCACTTCGTTCTTACACAGGGGCTTCTCCTCGGCTGCGCGACATGCTTGTCATATATTCCTGCCGTTACTGTCGCTCCAGGTTGGTTCAATGGTCGCCGAGGGTTAGCTATGGGCATCGTTTTGAGCGGCACTGGGATCGGTGGTGTTGCATGGGCTCCATTGCTCAGGTACCTCAATGCGACAATTGGCTTCCGTAACGCTCTCAGGACAACTGGAGTTATGGCCTTCGTTATGATTTCTGCTTCAGCGTTAGTCTTGAAGTGGGAACCAGCAGCAGAAGCCCAACGGGTCCAGGAGGCTCAAGGCCGTCGGCAGGGTCTAAACATACCACGTGCAAACTGGCCCATTGTGAAGAGCCGGCCATTTATGGCCCACGCCTCTGCTGCTGTTATGCAGGCAGCAGCGTATTACACGCCCGTCTACTTCTTCTCGTCTTACGCAAAAACACTGGGCTACAGTCAGACAGCTGGCGCAAACTTCATCGCTCTTAGTAATGCATGCAACTTTGGCGGAAAGATCGTTCTTGGGGCGCTTGCAGACCGATATGGGCGTCTGAACGCCCTATTCTTGACCACTTTAGTGTCGGCTATTGCCACTCTCGTCTTCTGGCTACCTTCGACGATGTTCTTTCCCCTTGCCGTCCGCCGCGCCTTGTTCATCTCTTTCACTATGCTATATAGCGTTACCGCATCGGCCTACGTCGCTCTTTTTCCCACAGCAATCGCGGAGCAATTCGGCATCCAGAATTTCGCGTCTATTAATGGGCTGTTGTATATGCTTAGAGGCATAGGGACACTTTTCGGGACTCCAATTGCTGGTGCGCTCATCCGTGATAGCGGGCTTGATGGTGCAACACGGAATTTTGAGAAAACCACGATAATGGTTGGCGTGTTTCTGGTTTGCGCCACAGTAGCAGCTGGATGGGCGAGGGCGGAAAGCGCTTTCACAACAGGGTGGAAGTTACGAGCATAGGTAGACGGCGCATGGTATAAAGTTCTGTCTTTAGAATGGTATCTTACACGTATTTAGCAATGCATAGCCAGGAAAGAAAGGGATAGCAAAAAGTTGGCCGTGCCGTCTGAACTACTTTGAGTCCTTGGCCTTCTTAGCCTCAGCTTCCCCACTCTTCCAATCCCACAAAGTCATACCCCCAGAATAAACCCCCCAAACGACACCGGTGATCAACACCTCCGTAACAAACAATGTGGCAACACTTGCAACTCCATTCCACGTCAGCCCAGACCCCCCCCCCAGGAATATCCAGAACATATCCCCGACAGGTAGGCCCATTTTCACTCTCCAGCTTTGGCCGATAGCCCTAACTGCCATAGCCTCGAGGGGCATTGTAAAAACCGCAGCAGCGAGAACACTGAGCGCATCAGCAGCTAAATGGGCCGGTAGGAGAGAAGTAGCTGTCAAGTTATAGATCTTGGCATCTGACCGTGGCTCGTCAGCGTAGTTTGCATTCCGGAGTTCGGCCGAGTACGAGCCGATTGCTTCCGCCGGTTCATCGGTCGCCTCGACGTCGAAGGAAATAAAGGTTGTTTGTGCGATCGCTTCCTCGTCTGTTGTTGTAGCAAGCGAGTCTCGCCGCCTTGACGGGGAGTAGTCCAGTTCTTGCTCTGCTTCTTGAGGTAGCGGGGAACGGGGTTCACCTTCGAGGGCACGGAGGGTACGTGGATCGGATGTTGGTGTTACCGGCGAGGCGGTGAACGGAGGACCATGTCGATGTGTCTCTGGGCTTAAATCCGATTCCGTGCTTCCCGAAGAATAATCAGACGCATTTGAAACGCTGTTGGGATCTGGCAGTCTTGGCGGGTTTGATAGATCGTCATAGTCATGTTCTTGTATTGTTTGCCTTAATTCATTGATAGTACCAAGTAGGTCGGGAGATTGTGGGCGGGGATTGGATGGATGAGGTAGAAACTCGTATAGGGGGTCGAAAATGAGATTTGAGAGTAATTGAGTGGTACGTTTCCATGCCGCAAGTAGAATACAGGGTGCAAGGACCAAGCCGACCGAGCTCACCCAAGATAGCAAATTAGGCGTAGAAACAGTGGCTGGAAAAGCAGGTAGATAGAGAGGAGATTGAGAAGAGAACGGAACCATGAAAAGCAAGGTCGGAACAAGCTGTCGGGGGTTGAAGAGGTTGAGCTGCTGAAGGGTGGCGAAATATTGGTAATGGAACATGACATGATAGAAGCAGTATTCGATTCTATAAAGGGTTAGTGATTTCTCCGAACAGATATACTAGCATTCACTACCACTGATTAGTTAACGGCATGGTACGTACATTCGTTTTGTTGATTGATTCTTGATGTCGAATATCTGCTCGTACACAAGCGCAAAGTTACCGAAAGCTGGTTTTCGGTCAGTGTGATGTCTTCATCAGGCACCGTTGGTTCATATACCTCTATTTAGTAATAGGGCTGGCAATCCTGCCCCTAGAATACGGGGAACAGAACGGTCTACGCGCTCAAGACGAATGATGTCTAACAGAGGATGGTTGGAGTATTCCCGATACAGCTGTAGAAATTAACAGACGATCTGATAACCCAGATTTTAAATCATACCAACGTTCTCCTCCTTAGACCGCTTGTTCCCCACACACCCGCCGTGAGCAGTACCCCGCCTATTGTCCGCCGTCTGAAGGCCTTCTCGAAATCCTCTTCTCTTGCAGCCTTCAGAGCCTCGTCACGTGCCCTATAATCCGCATTGGGTTCAATAATACCTGCTGCTTGCAAGACTTCGTTCGATGCCCGGACAAGGTTCTTCGTGCGCTGTGTTGTCTCGGGGTTGATGGGCCTGCCACGGTCGTCGTACTGTTGCCCTATGCGGACTGTTCCATCGCCCTGCCCCTGGTCGTCGTTAACTATGAGCTCGTCATTGTATGGTGAGCGGCCCTAATCTTCGTTAGATATTTCTAGGTGGCGTAGAAGGTGTCTACGCTAAATCAACTGGCTAAAGTCAAAGGTTGGAATCATACCAGTGCGGAAACAATCAACGGTTCCAGGCGCGTCATTTTTGATCAATATCGTTTGTGAGGTTTGTGAGATGCCTCTCTATCTCAAAAGTGGGGTCACAGCCACCATGTGATCATTATAGAGATAGACCGCGACGTCGGTGGTGAATCTTCAGATATTGTGGTATTATAGCTGTATTGATTCGTTGCCTGTGTGTAGTTCAAGCCTGGACAGGCAGGGTCGCGGTGTCGAGAGTGGGGTTTGGCGCTAAGATTAAGCTTATCCGTATCATCCTTGTTCTGCGTCAAATTTTTGAGATTGTCGCAAGAACATCAAAGATCTTTTTCTTCACCCATATCGCGATTAACAACCTCTCGCGCTAGTCGCGACATTTGCAATCATGGCCACAAAGGCTGCATATCAGACTACCTTTGAGGCTGAACAGGTTATTCAACCTATCTACACTGGTGGGAGTGTCGCACTCGATCACACTGGGCGCCTTCTTGCGACAACACTTGGGGAAGATGCCTTGATTACAGATCTGAACACCGGCAAGCAGCTGGCAAGAATTGAAGGGGTTTGTCCACAATGGCCCTGTTGTTGCCAGTATGTGCTAACTTTGTGACAGGACGGAGAAGAAATATCGACACTAACCTGTGAGTCTGCCAAAAAAAAGCCATCCGATTGAGTTTTATGCTAATGCCCTCCCAGTGACACCTTCTGCGACACATCTGATTATCTGCTCTCGATCATTATCTATGCGAATTTACGCGCTCAAACCCTCTCTTTCTTCGTCCGATACCATCACAACCGAATTGTTGCGAACTCTCAAGCCACACACGACGCCTGTTGTTGTTTTGGCCGTGGACCGAACAAGTACACTGCTAGCCACCGGTGCTGCCGACGGGGTAGTGAAGGTCTGGGATATTAGGGGAGGATATGTAACACACACATTCCGCGGGCCAAATATTTTGATCTCCGCCTTGCACTTCTTCGAGCTTGCGACAGGCAATAGCGGCGAAGAGACTGGGATATCAGCTAGAAACAGAAAAAACCGGCTCGGTGATAATGGCGCGGATGAAGCATCAAATGGGGACAACGCACTGGCGAGAGGTTTCCGACTAGCCTCGGGAAGCCAAGATGGAAAGATCAGAGTCTGGGATCTATACAAGCGGAACTGTGCCTCCACCCTTGATTCCCACGTCTCAGATGTTAGAGCGTTGGATTATTCGTCAGAAGAGAATCTGCTTTTATCCGCCAGTAGAGACAAGACAGTGATGTGGTGGGATGCGAAGACGTGGAAAGTCAGGAAAGTTACACCTGTCTTAGAGGAGGTGGAAGCCGCTGGATTTATTGGGGATGGAAAGCTGTCATACACTGCCGGAGCGAATGGACGGCTACGGGTATGGCAGACGGAGTCTGGAAGAGAGGCAACTACTGCGCAGACCCCGGGAGACGAGGGCGATGCAGTTGTCGGGGCTGTATACTTTCAAGGCCTCCCGTTTATTCTCACCATCAACACCGACCACGTTATTATTCTTCATTCGGTATCTGGACTGGAATACGTCGAAGGGAAGACAATGCCCGCATTACCAGAGCTAAAGCGAATTTCGGGTACCCACGACGAGATCATTGACCTGGGCTACCTTCTCCCTGACCGATCATTGCTCGCCTTGGCCACCAACTCGGAGGAGATCCGTATTGTATCCCTCGCCCAGTCAGACTCGACATATTTCGGAGCAGATGTGGCTCAATTGAATGGCCACGAAGACATCATCATCTGTCTCGACATCGACTGGTCTGGACATTGGATCGCCACTGGAGCTAAAGACAACACTGCTCGTTTATGGCGTGTCGACCCCGCTAATAACTCGTTTACTTGTTATGCGACACTCTCTGGACATGCGGAATCGATAGGTGCCGTCGCACTCTCACGAACTGTTCCGCCATTGGATTCTCCAGCATACAATGATCCTCTAAACCATCCGCCAAAATTTCTTTTAACTGGGTCTCAGGACCAAACCGTCAAGCGCTGGGATATTGCAGCTTTGCACGCCGCCCCACAAAAGGCGCCAAGAGCTCTTTATACAAGGAAAGCCCACGACAAAGATATCAACGCCATCGATATCAACCACAATGGACAAGTGTTTGCTTCTGCATCCCAGGACCGCACAGTAAAGATATGGTCCGTAGAAGAAGGCGAGACTATGGGTATCCTTCGTGGCCATAGACGTGGTGTATGGTCGGTAAAATTTGCGCCAAAGAACACGCCGATTATAGTTGGCGAGAATGGCTCGGCGGGTGGGAAGGGGCTTATTCTCACAGGCAGTGGCGACAAGACGCTCAAATTGTGGAGTTTATCGGATTACAGCTGTCTGCGTACATTCGAAGGACATACCAATAGTGTCCTTAAAGTCGCATGGCTAAATATCCCCAAACAAGAAGCCAACAACAAGAGACACGTTCAGGTTGCAAGCGCTGGTGGCGACGGGCTCGTAAAAGTGTGGGACACCAGCAGTGGGGAAGTGGAGTGTACGCTTGATAACCACGAAGACCGAGTGTGGGCGCTGGCGGTGCATCCAGAAACAAATACCATTGTCTCCGGTAGTGGCGATTCTACGGTTTCATTCTGGACGGATACAACAACTGCAACACAGGCTGCTTCGACCGCTGCTGCAACACAATTCGTCGAGCAAGAACAGGAATTGCAAAATTACATCCATGCCGGGTCATATCGAGAGGCTATCACGCTCGCTCTCCAGCTTAACCATCCTGGGCGTCTCCTCTCACTATTCACTGCTGTTGTCACTGGCGCCAAGGATGATGGGTCTTTGAGTGGGCTACACGCTGTTGACGAAGTAATCGGAAGCCTAAGTGACGAGCAAATTTTCCTCCTTTTGCTCCGCCTGAGAGATTGGAACACAAATGCCCGCACGGCGCCAGTTGCACAAACGATCCTTTGGACGCTAGTGAAGAGCTACCCTGCCAGCAGATTTACGAACATGAAGGTCAAGGGTGGCCAAGGGAAGAGTTTGAAGGAGGTTTTGGATGCGCTCAAGGCCTATACAGAGCGGCATTACCGACGGATGGAAGAACTAGTCGACGAAAGTTACCTTGTCGAATATACGCTAAGGGAGATGGATGAGGTGGCCTTTGCCGGAAACGGAGACGGTGAGATGGGGCAAGATGTTGTTATGGTATGAGGTAACACTCAGCTGAACTGAAGAGATCGTTGCAATCCTCGTAGTGGTTACACGAAAAACGCGCATAGTTCTAGCCAGCCCTTCAGAGTCGGCTGTGTATCACGACCAATAACAGACGCCATCCCCCGTTTTCACACCATTAGCTCCAGTCATAGATCTATCTCGGTTCAGACTCTGAGCCACGATGCTATCGTGCCTGTCTCCTGAATGTTGGCTGCCGGGGGGGTAATTACAGGGCCGCGTACCTATCACCTGTCAGGTATGGGTAGCAGGTTATAGAACCCCTTTGCGCTAGCAGCGTGGGATGCGCTAGACCTTTTGAAGTGGGGGGTGCCCTCTTAAGTGGGGGGTTCCCTGACCTACCTAAAATAATAGTGGCGGTCAGTGAGAGATTTTATTGCTCTATATCGCGGCCTCGGTTTCATACGATCGGTTGGATGTGGGGAGCGGCGTTGCAATCACGGGAGACAAAATGAAGGAATCTTGACTTTTGTTATGATGATGTTTAGTATATTAATGGCCATATACATATCCTGACACAAAGACGCATTATGATGATATTTACCGTGCTCTACTGAGTATTTCTGTGTTATTTATGTACTCTTACCCCCTAGAAGTCTGAAGGGGGACTATGGATAACAGCTACCGCTACAGTAACTGTACCTAAAATAATGGCTTTTGGTTACTAAGGGCTATTATTGCCACATTAGTTACTTAGAAATACAGATAAAGAGGGGAATACTATTAGTTTAAACTGCTAGAATCGGTCCTCAGCTATGTACAATACAGTATGGACTCTCACAATTTTGAGTGGCACGAGCAGTGGTGCGGACCACCTACCGAACCTGTCCAACGTCAAATCCCAATCATATTTCCCCATGCCATGTACTTAGCGTGTTTAACCTTATCGCAATGAAAATTTGGTTCGACGTATACGAAGTGGCATGTTGATGTTGCTCTACACATGATTACCAAATGCAATCGTCATCGGATTGAGGCATATATTTTTTATGCGATGCCGCGGCGTGAGGCATTTTGGCCCGGTCCCGTCACCATGGAACGCAACAAGAACACGCTTACACAGCCCCCCTTTCTACAGAAGGGTCTAACCCAATAATCAAATATGGCTCGTGGGAGATTCCAGCTGAGAATTTACGTGCATTTTCAACATCGGGAATTTATTAGGAGTTTTTACTATGGATACAAGACTGTCGTTGAATATGCCTCATACATGAGCAGGCCATGATAAAGGCAGCCCGTTGTCGCTACCAACCACTCTGCTAACATCGCCTTCGCCGTTTTTTAAATCCCCCTTGATCTACAGAATTGGTCCGCTCTCCTTGAGAAGATAGCCCCTTTGACAATTGCTGTCTACCATGGATTCGAGCGACCAAGAACGATCAAGCTCAGAAGATCTAGAAGCTGCAGATCATGACATACCAAAACGCATCACCTTTGGCCCAGAGGGACAACGCGACCGATCAAAAAACAGGCGTGGAAGTCTGCGTCGTTCAGTCAGCCGTGACTCAATCTCAAGTGTCCGGGACCGCACTCGAGCAGTTCAAGGTGTCCCTATTGAATTCCGAACACTATCCTTCCAGGTCTCGGAGTCTCAGGCAATCGGAGAGGTCGCACCCAGTAAGAAGTTATTAGAGGCACTAAAGAAGAAGAAGAAAGCCGACGAGATAGAAGAGAAGGACTACTTCGAACACTTGGACTACCACAAACGCAACGGAGATGATGTGTGCAGCGCCCTCAATGTCCATTGTGACAAAGGTCTCAGTGCTTCCGAGGCAGCAACTCGACTCTCACAGAACGGAAAGAACGCATTCCCCCATCGCCGTGAGAATTACGTCAAAAAGATACTGTTCTATATCTTCGGCGGCTTCTGTTCTGTGCTGTGGATTGGTGTCATCGTTTTCTTCATTTGTTGGCGGCCGCTGGGTGATCCGAATCCAGCTCCCTACAATCTCGGGTTAGCAATCCTCATCATGATTGTGATCTTCCTCCAAGCCTCCTTCTCCGCCTTTCAAGACTGGTCTACCGCGAAGACAATGAAATCCATTCTCAACCTTCTCCCTGGAGACACTTTGGCCATCCGCGATGGGCAACCCCTGAAAGTTGCCTCCTCAGATGTCGTTGTCGGAGACATCATTAAGATCAGCATTGGCAACAAAGTTCCCGCCGACATACGTCTCCTGAGCACATCTGGTGATGTGCGTTTTGATCGCTCAATGTTAACAGGAGAGTCGGATGAAATAGAAGGAGCCATCGATATGACAGACACAAACTTCCTTGAAACTCGAAACATCGCATTGATGGGTACAATGGTCACTAATGGTAGCGCAATAGGCGTTGTTGTTCTCACGGGAGGCAATGCTGTCATGGGGCGAATCGCAAAGGCCACAAATGCTGTGAAGGACGAACCGACTCTTATCCAACGCGAGATCCACCGCTTCGTCCTGATAATTGTCGCCTTTACTGTTGTTTTGGCAACCGCTATAATCTTGACTTGGGTGGGTTGGCTACGAGTAAAGCATGCTGCCTTTATGAGCGTCATCAGCATGCTTAACAACGCCATGGGCTGTGTTGTAGCTTTTATTCCAGAAGGAATGCCAGTCGGAGTCGCTCTAACCATGATGATTATTGCTCGAAGGATGAAGAGTAGTGATATCCTCCCCAAAGGGCTATCAACTGTCGAGACTCTCGGCTGCGTTAATGTCATGTGTTCTGACAAAACGGGCACTTTGACGGAGAATAAAATGGTCGTGGCAACCGTGGGGTTTTTAGATGGTCGTATGACTGCCGGCGAGGCATTTTCTATGCTTTCAGAAGGAAATTCGGCCCCGCTGAAAGAGCTCCATCGTGCTTCGGCTCTCTGTAACGATGCGACTTTCGATCCCCTGACAAAGAATCAGCCAGTCATGGACCGAGCTATCCAGGGCAATGCTACCGATGGAGCGGTTCTGAAATTTGCAGAAGCAGCACGGAAAGGATTCATTGAATCTATCAACGACGAGAGCCCGCGAGTTTTCCAAATACCCTTTAACTCAAAAAGTAAATGGATGCTTACGCTGCACAAGACCGATAAGACGGGAGTCGAATCACAATTTCTCATGTTGATGAAAGGAGCCCCGGACGTCCTCCAGCCTCACTGCACAAGTTATTGGTCTTATGAAAGCAAGACCATTAAGCCATTTGACCAAGCGTCCCAAGCTCAGTTTCTAGCACTCCAGGAGAATCTTTCACGAAGTGGGCAGCGTGTCATATTGCTATGCCAGCGTCACATCACCCCTCGCGAAACTCTTGGGTCCAACGCCTTTATGAACGAAATCCAAGACAGCTGCATCAACAATCTTACCATCATTGGTGTTCTTGGAATAACCGACCCACCCCGCAAAGAGACGGCCGCAACGGTAGCAGCCTGCCGTCGTGCGGGTATACGGTTTTTTATGGTAACAGGTGACTTTGGCCTGACTGCTTCTGCGATTGCCCGCGACATTGGTATATTCACAAATGCGGCTGATCCTGATACCTTTGATAATTTCGCCAATCGGAGTACTGATTTGGTCGAGAAACGACAACCTGAATACTGGACCAAAACTAGTCTGCTCCTTGAAGGGCCTTCGATATCGAAACTGAGCAGAGAGGATTGGGACTTGGTATGCAAGTACGAAGAAATTGTTTTCGCGCGCACAAGCCCGGAGCAGAAGCTTCGTATCGTGAAAGAGTTCAAACAGCGGGATAATATTGTCGCAGTTACTGGCGATGGTGTCAACGATGCACCTGCTTTGAGAGCTGCCGACGTTGGAATCGCGGTGGTAACCGGCAGCGACGTCGCCCTTGAAGCAGCCGATCTTGTACTCCTCGACAAGTTCGATTCCATAGTCGATGCCATTCGACTTGGGCGCCTGGTATTCCAAAACTTGCAAAAGATTATCAGTTACCTCCTGCCCGCAGGTTCTTGGTCTGAGATCTGGCCAGTACTGATGAATGTCTACTTTGGGTTTCCTCTCCCACTCTCGACATTCCTCATGATTATTATCTGTGTCTTCACGGATCTCTTCCTTTCGCTTGCCCTCATCATGGAAAAAGAAGAATTCGACTTGCTTGAGCTTCCACCTCGGAAGGCCAAGAAAGATCACCTAATCAACGTCAAGATATACATCCAAAGCTACCTCTTCATAGGTGTCATGGAGACCATTTGCGCGCACAGCATGTTCTTCTTATACATGTATAAACATGCGGGCATTCCCTTTCATTCACTGGCCCTGGCCTTTGAAAGCTATTCCGATGGCTTCCATGGCTATACCACAGACGAACTGGTACACTTCAACACAGTCGGACAAAGCGTATACTTCGTTACGCTAGTCATATTGCAATGGGGCAATATTCTTAGCATCCGCAACAAGCGGCTGTCAATCCTTCAAGCAGATCCTATTCGAAAGAAGAGAAGAAACCCTTGGTTGCTGGCAGGTATGGCTATGAGCTTGGCCATTGCAATATTTGTAACAGAGCAGCCAGGAATCCAAAGAATCTTTGGAACAGCAAAGGTACCACTCGAGTTCTGGTTCATTCCTCTCCCCTTGGCTCTAGGAATCCTCGTGATGGACGAAATCAGGAAACTTATAGTAAGAAGTTGGCCAAAGGGATTCTTGGCAAGGATAGCTTGGTAAAATAACTGTCCTCTGAATGTACATAGGATAGGATCTGACGAGTCAATCTGCACCGAATGGGATTGGCGCCGGAAGAAGTGAAGGAATATAAAAACAAATAATACATTTACCTTCAAATATGCAGTCCATACTTAATAGACTCAGTCACATCTATGCCCATGAGATAAAATGTAGGAATTATATCAACATTTCGCGCTTGGGTAATGCTTGTACCTTCGTACCCCTGTCGATTTACCCCACAATAGTATTACATAAGCTTTCGTAGTCACAACAAATGCGTGAGGCTCGCCGTCAGCCTCGATTCTCCTGAATGACATCGTATAATATAGGACTCGTGGCTCAAAGTCGTGGAATTATATACGTCCTGGGCACAAACCACCGACAAACTGGGTACGTCTACTTCTCTGGATACTGGCCTCATAGCCGGAAGATCTCCAATTGACCTCTTACCTCAGAGAAATCTGTAGCCAACGTCTTCGGGGGTAACCCAAACGTCGCAAGCATGCGTTCCCGCATCCTCCTCCTTATCGTCATCTCCATCATCGTGCTACTAGTTCTTTTCTCAGCCCGTGATTCGAACCTCCCATCAGCCTCGCAAATATACCATAGCTCCACAGGCAAAACTTCCCCATCTTCGAAAAAGGTCGCGGCCTTGATGGAAACGCGGGCAACACCAAACCTCGTCCCACTCATCCTCCACTTCTCCTCCGTCCTCGGCCCAACATGGCCCATCAAGATCTTCACGACCCAGGCAGCCATGGTGAATCTCTCCACCTCCGCGGCTTTTGAGCGGAAAATTGCCGATAAGAGCATATCCTTTGTCCTCCTCCCAGAGACCGAGACCTTCAAAGAGCACTCTTCCGTGTCGGCCTTCTTCTCGAAGCCATGGTTCTGGCAGCAGCTGGCGCCTGCAGAGCGCGTCCTGATGTTCCAGTCCGATTCTATCATCTGCGCTAACTCGCGCCGCACGGTTGACGACTTCCTGGAATATGATTTCATTGGGGCGCCGGTTCGAGAGGGCCTTGGTGCGGGGTATAATGGCGGATTATCCATTCGCAACGTACCTCTGATCCTGGATATTGTGGGCAAGGAGTCCTGGGCAGAGGACAGGAAGGAGAAGAATGGGAAGTACAAGGATGGCCCGAACGTGGATTACGAAGACCAGTGGTTCTATGCCAAGATGAACGAGAGGAATGCGCACTTCCCGACACAAGAGGTGGCTAGCCAGTTTGCCGTGGAGACTATCTGGGCCGAGAAGCCGCTTGGATATCACCAGGCCAATGTGTGGCAGGCTGGGAGCATGGATGACATCCTTAAATGGTGCCCAGAGTATAAGATGTGCACGAGCGAGACATATACTAGCCATTGAGTGGCTATCTCAGTGGAAAAGGCGTTAATGGTCATTTTTAGAGAGAATATGTGTGGTTGTACAATATTGCGCTTGTACAACTGTAACTATAGTTCAAGTCGGTGGGCTTAATCACCCGAAGCCACAATTGCCATTTATTAGAACTGAAGTTCAAGTAGGTGTGCTCAATCACTCGAGGTCCCGATTTCCATTTATTGCAACTGAAGTTCGGGTAGGTGTGCTCAATCACTCGAAGCGACCATTACCATTTGCGGCAGCTGTAGTTCAAGTAGGCGCGCTTGATCGCTCTAGGCGATAATGACGACTCTAATCCATTGTGTTCCGGTTCGTAATCCTAAATTCTGTTCACGTCTTTCTACAACTCGGTTGTCTAAGTTTGATCTTGTGTCATGATGTTCTGATAACTATGCGCCACTATCTTAGGTACTGACAGCAATATTAATCAGGCATGTAATCTTCCAAATAAAGCCTAACATATCAACAGCCTGAGCTATGCTATGCTTACATAGCTCCCTGGGCATACTTTGTGTCTCCATTGAAAGCTAGGCAGGGCAGATCGTGCACATAAGGCGAAGAAAAGCTTGCTTCCGTCTCATTGTTAAATCCCAATCTCACTAAAGTTTTCGCTAGGTTCCATTAGTAACTTTCTCCATGGTCAGTGACCTAAAAAACATACGGGAAGATTCAGACAACGAGCTGAGCAAAAGGGGACTTTTAGAATAAAGCTCCTGTACCAACTGATCACTTGACGGATCTGCGTACTTCGGCCACCCCATCTTACTCAGGCCGTCTTCGGGATCCGTGGCAAACGCAATCATGGCTTTCATCATGTAGGAGCTTGTCTTGTCCTCGGTCTCTGTATTCGGCTCCTCACTGACGTCTTGGCCCACGCCGTGCCACATACTGAGGTCGGCTACGTGGTACGCGCCACTGTCAGGATATAATCGAAGGTTCGACCAGTCACCAAAGTAGCGATAGCGATACGTAGTTATCCCGTTGTGATGTCTATTTTCGGCGGCGATGCGGCTGGCGCAGGTGAAGCCTTGGAGATTGAATATATCCCATTGCTTTTCTGTGAGGCTGCGCTTAGTTGCAAAGGCTGCAAGCTTGTAGAAGCCAGCCTCGTAGTCGGTGTTGCCAACGAGGTATGGCTGGGTTTGTTAGTAGACAATAATAAAGCGTCTTTGGACAAAGAAACTAACCACTTTAGCAAACTTGCCAGCGTGACCACGGTCGGCGTAGTCCGAAAAAACAGTCACTTCATCGGCAGTTTCCTGGAACTGAGGTTGAACTGCTGCGAGGGTCGGTGCGTATGATAGCTTTCCAATGCCTGCAAGAAGCGTCTGCCATGGCTGCTTCTGCATGCATGGGACGGCATTTCCAGCTGCCGGGCAACCCACGATCTTGGACAGATTGTAACAGTATTGGCTGCTAAGATCGAGGGTTTGAGCTTGGACGCTAGCAGCAGTACCTGACACCGAGAAGATACTTGACGCGATTGGATCATCTGGCCATGCGTAAGCGTGGTAGTCGGCAGATAGACCTCCAACTAACTGCCCGTATAGCATGATTCGTTTCGGATCTCCACCGAAGGCTTTGATGTTGTCTCGGACCCATTCGAGTGCCATGCGTTGATCAAGGATGCCGGTGTTTTGTGTCAGTCCAGGAGCCCCAGAAAATCCAAGAACGTGCAAGCGGTAACTGTGGATTGTCAGTACAAGAGATCTGAGAGCCATGCAGGGGAACGAACTTGATCGATACCATAACGACTTCGCCGGTGTCAGCGATATATTGGCCCTCATAGTGCGTAATCTTTGCAGTACCGGTGGCAAACCGCCCTCCGTGGATAAAAAATAGTACTGGCTTCAGCTTGGCTGGGTTTGGTCCCTTGGTCCAAATATTCAAAGAGAGACAATCCTCCGAGAAGGTCTTCTTTCCTCTCCCAAGGAACCTTCCATAGATGCTATCGAAGGTGGCGCTCTTGTTGGGATATGCTAGGAGCGGAGATGGTGTGAACGGGCACGCGGGGGAGTACTCGAAAGCGTCGACAGCCTTATCTGAACGAAAGGCTAGTGGTGGTTGGAATCGACGCTTGCCAGTTGCAGGATGGGCATATCGAATGCCTAAGTACTCCGAAACATCTGACCTGTTTCTTGCAGGACGCCTCGTGGCTATGCCGCTAGTGGTTTTGATGGGAGCTCCAACTTCTAAAGCAAGGGACACATGCAGCATGGAACTGCAGGCCAATAGCAGCTGGATGAGGAATGTTATCTGCACCATTGTCCTGTTAAGAGCAAGGTGGAAGAGATACGTTGCACAGATTGGGGGTTATGCTAGAAGGTGTCTCTGTTTTGTGTTCTTCTTCTTTTCCTCTGTTGCATTTATTTTCTTCTCGCGCCCCCTTTCCTACTACTACTCCTGTTGGTAGCACCGGGGTAGCTGCTTCTTAGGGTGAGGTGTGCGCAGGGTATACTGCTGGTAGGATATAATTTTAGGGGGAGGTTCTGTGCCTGGCTAGCTAGTATAGGAATATTCACCCCCCTGCTATATCATTAAGTGCTCTGTCCCGAAGGAAAGGATGGGTGTTGTCAGGGAAGCTTGGGCGGCAGTTCCGACGGGGTGTATCAATGGTCCCCTATCTCTTTGTTGGTTATTAAAGTATAATAAAGTAGGGTATATAGGGAAGGTTGTGCATTATACATATATATATTATAGAATAATACAGCTGTTAGTATCGTTCAACCAATTGATGCTGCAGTAAGCGGCAAAATATCATCAAGGCCACCCACAATTCCCTCAGATCGCTACAAGCGATCAAGATCTATTCAACACGATCCAGGGCTATCCAACGCTACACGACGATCAATGCATGACCTAAAGTGCTTGTCTTACAGTGACATTTGTTGTACTACTAGTCTACTAGTATATATACTCATTGTTGTTGTACTGTCTGTGTTGTGCATCGGAAGCAACTCATTTTCGGAAGAAACTAAAATAGATCATCTAGGTGTTCGGAATACTTCCGGGTGCAAACACTGAACCTAGTTGACTATAGTCGAGCTTTTGCACTGACCCCTTCTAGAATGCATGACCTGGATCTGGCAATGTCCATGCGCGATGGTACTCTATATCCAAGTATAGGTTATGCTCCTCTCCACTGTTCCTCCGATGGATCCACTGTTCCCCGCCTTCCTAATGAGTGCCGACGCCGTCTCATTACCACACAGAGATCAACGAGGTCGCACCTAATGCCAAATACAAATTGATGCCAACTAGCAATGGATCTCAACGGCTACGCTACAAGCAGTGAGCCTAAGTTGGAGTAGATTTCGCGGGGTATTCTGGGCTGAGGTATTCCTCATGGGGCGTTACAACTGACTGCACATGTCACGTCCCTCAACATGTCCGTCGACGCGCAAAGTCTCGAATGGGATAGATCACCAGTGTCACATCGCTTCGATGCTGATTATGCCATCTTCACGCTTCGGAACTCGCCTCCACGCCCGATGTTATCGTGGATGTGCTCCTTGAGCTGCTCGCACCCGGCCCTCATGTCAATGCATGTCAATGCGATAGGAATAAACATTGACATACCACACGGGAAGAGCTATACGCTGTGATCCCATTAGAAATATTCAAGGCAATGATCTCCAAGCCCTTTCATGTAAATATGCTCGAATTCCCCCCCCGGATGCCTTTACTCTATAGTCGTCGAAATGCTTGGCCCCGGGCCCTTGGTCGTTCCCCACAAGACTCCAGGCGAGTCGGATGGTCGCGGGATCCAGCTCTACATCATATCCATTATTACAATCATCCTTGCCAGTATAACTGTCGGCGCACGTATTAGTACCAGACTTATCAGAGGTGCGGCGTTCCAACTTTGGTGGGATGATTACAGTATCCTCTTCGGACTGGTCGGTTCTATCAGCCTCGAGACACAGCCACTGCTAACATAATCTCTACAGATATTCTCTTTTATCTTGGCCATTACAGAAATCGAGGCGGTCGTTAATGGCTATGGCGAGCATGCGGGAGACCTTGGTCCGGACCAGGCAGCCGTCGCTCTGAAAGTCGGCATCCCTTCCTCGCCTGGAAATGCAGTTATCTAACCTTAACCTTACGACAGTGGTTTTACCTTGCTCAGATCTTTTACAAACTTGTCGTCACTTTCAACAAGCTCTCTCTTTTGCTGTTCTACTTGCGCATATTTCCTTCTAAGACCTTTCGAGCCCTCACCTGGATCGGACTGGCCGTCGTTGGCGCAACCGGGATCACCTTTATCGCTGGGACAATATGGCAATGTCACCCACTACCATATTTTTGGGACAAGAGGATCAAAGGGGGCCACTGTATACGCAGTGCTCCTTGGTGGCAATCCTACTCTGCGATTCAAATTGCAACAGACGTGTTTATTCTTGTCGTTCCGATCCCTAGCCTTGCGTCGTTGCCACTAAAATTAAGGCATAAGCTGGGCCTAATCGGTGTTTTTGCTTTGGGCGGATTGTACGTCATTTTACATATGGTTCTATTTCTATGCTGATATCAGATATAGCGTGTGCATTTCCACCATCGTCAGACTGACTACGCTTGCATCTTCAGCTGGCAAGGATCCAACTTGTATGTCCCCTCAAATATTCCTCTCTCACTCCGTCTCTCTAACTACAGAACCTAGATGATCCTATCCCAGCGACAAATTGGTCTGTAATCGAAGCAAATATAGGCCTAATATGCGCTTGCCTTCCATCCCTAAAGCCTTTTCTCGACAAAATCGTCCGCACTTGTCTAGGCCAGCCCCCGCGGAACAACACTCCCAACCCATACTCTCGCTCCAACTTATCAACCGCTCGCGGCTACGCCCTTGGTTCTATTTCGCCTACCCAAGGCCTCGCCCATCGCTGGGATTGGGGCGAAAGGGGCGACGGTGTAGCGAGAAAAGAGGGGGCCACTGATAGCCAAGTCAGTATAATGATGCGTGGGCATATCGAGTCGTTGTGGGGGATCCAGAAGCAAATCGATGTCGTTATTCATCGTTCGGAGGGCGTTGTTGTGGGTCATGAGAGGAGCTATTCGAGCTTTCAGTAAAAATTCAGGGTGGCATTAATCCAGACAAGACGAAAGCGGAGTTCATGACATTATACCTATTTGCTAAATTACGCTTTGGCTTGGCCCTTAGATGCCGTGTTTGTACCGGTGATTCGTGGACCGTGGCCCATACTTGGGGCATTGCATGAATGAAATAACATGAATGGATGGGCTGACTACGGTTTACATGGTCATGATTTGAGGCTGGCCTTACTGGGAAGGTTGGGAGTACTATTTCTGTCACATATGCTGTAACCGGAGTCTTTGAGGACCGGGAGTGGTGAGAGGGTACAAAGCAGAACGCTGGATTATAGTATCATAAGCACTTATTGGTTTATACTGTGCAGCAATGGTCATTGTCTTTTGGGAGGTGAACCTTGCACTTGATAATTTTCAAGTAGCTAGCATACTAAATGATGTCAAATACCGCAATACCATGAATAGCTTCGGCATACGCTCGTGCTGCTGAAGGATCCGGAAAGAGACCACTGTGCATAATAATTACTAAGAAGCTGGCAAATACCCCTAAACTCCATTCTTTTTGAAGTGGTCATAGTAACTGTAAATGAAATCAAGACACTCAAGTACGCAATTACTACGAGGTCAACAAATATTCTGAGACTCCATTCCTCCTGTAAGTAGTCACAGTAACCATAAATAGAATCAAGACTCTCAATCACTCAAGGCTATAATTCTCGAGTTAGTTACTTAGAAATCAAGCTAAAGGGAGGGGGGTTAAAGGCTTTAATTGCAGGTGCTAATTCCCAGTTTTGCAAAGCTCCAGTTCAGTCTCTCACTATTGCTTCTGCGTGGGAAGAATACTCTATTCGTGATTGTGCTGAGATAACTCTTGTGCTTTGCCACAACGTTGAGAAGCACGAGCGGCGGGGACTTACGTTGATACCCGCCGCCCATCCCCGGTAACCTATCCATTTACGTATCACCCGTTCTCGTGCTTTTGCTACGACATCCGTGTTGAAAAATGGAATTATCATGTGCAAGACGTATGCCAAGAGAAAAGATAGTTATTGCCAACATTTCAGCAGAGGATGGAAGTGAGAGAGGAGGCACAACAGAGAAATATCTTCACGTAGAGAAGCACCGCTCTCTGCGGCCTGTCAAAACTCGCCCATCCATGTGTGCCACATATCTAAGGAGATAGGCTTCGTAGTTATGGTTACTTCGATATTCTGTATGGGGGTCCCTTTGTGCCTGATTCTGCCTATTGGATCCAAGTGTAGTTTGATCAGAGATTGCCCAGTCCAGAATCCACTGTGCCGCACCCATAATCCGCGCGTCTCGGATGTCGGAAGTCTCGTTCTCATGACTCTCTTCAAATGTACGGCTCATAACATAGAGCACAATCCTAGTCGTAGGAAGCCAGAAGCGCCGTCCATTATGAGTGATAAAAACGCTTGATGATTTACATATTGCGCCAGGTCCACATAATCAGTGCCAGGATCAAAATGGTAGTCTACGGTGGCTTCTGCCAAGCGTCCGTAGAACTCTGCTATGCGGTAGTGGGAAGAGCTTGTGGTTGGATCCTGTCTAGCCGTTAGCCGAACAGTTTGTAATAAGCGTAGTAACTGCACAAACCTTCTGCCATGGCTTCTCAAAATGCCGCGCACTTTTTCCAACAAGCCAGAGAAGTCGCACTAGTTTTAGATGTGAGAGGTGATGATAAGGGATCTGTTCTGCAATTGCAAAGCAGACTGAAATGAGTTGCCGAATCCGGATATTTGTATGGAAATACGCCTATAGCACGCTCAGCTGCATCGATTGGCAAGATGGTACTGTCAGGCTGGAGAAAGTCGCAAATCACAAGGAATAACTTGTAGTCAATCGCGTCATACCCTTCGGGATATCAAGGTCAGACTGCGGCGTCGGCTTTGGCTTGAAAAACGCCAAAAGGCTGGATAATCGCGCTCTTCGGCTTGACTCGTCGTCGTTGCCCATGTATGCCCCTCTATATTTCAACTCTTTTATGTGTAGCTTCAGTGCTGCCATGGTAATACAATAAAGCAACAAGACTTGAATGCGATGTAGTAGTGTGGAGGTGAAAGATAACCAGTATCACAAATATGGAGTGAAATAACCACTGGTACACCAGGGTGAAAAGCAGATAATTATTTGAAGGGGAGGACTACTGGATGGTTAAAGCGAACCACGAAGGTAGCTATAAATATTCCGTGTTGGTGTTGGAACTAATGCCAGCCACATCAAACTGGGCCAGAGATGCGGCCATGAAACATTAGCCGCCGGCGATAATTGCGATAACAGCCGCATAAATCCAACAACTAAAAATAAGCAAGAGAGAATCAGACGGCCAAAAAGATCATAAAATAGCATTCCTTTCTCCAGGGCCTCCATAACGTCTGCCGCTTTCTTTGCAATCCCCTTGCACTCTTTTCCATGCCGCCCATCGTCCTTTTCCATGCCGCCCATCGTCCACCGAAACCTTCCGAAACCCATCCTTCCAAGTATGCCACTTTTCGAGAGCATCCTTTCTCTCACTTCTAATATTCTCATCATTATACGGCTAAAGTAATGACTCTAAGAGAACCTAGCCACTCCATAATATCCACTGCACCGCTCCCATGACCCAAGCGTCCTGTATTTCAGTGCTTTCTTCAAAGACAAGGCGCATTGTTCGCAGCGCGTCTTCTGATGTGGCAAGGGACATGCCCGAGTTCATAAGATGGGCCAAGAAGGAGTGAAAATTGACAAATCTCTCCGGGGTAGCATCGCCATCAACAGGGTCCATTCTAGCGTCGGTAATACCTTCTCCCAACTGTTGATAAAAACAGTGGATGGCTTCAGAAATCTTCTGCAGTTGTGTTAGTCACAGTTTTTCGTTATAGACCAAGAATACATGCCTTCTGCCCGTTGTCTGCGACCCGTTTCCCGCTTCGCCCAATTACCCATAACAACCTAACAGGCTTTAAATGTGAAGGGTGTGCGTAGGGAATCTGCTCGGCACATTCAAGACAGACTGTGTTGACAGCTATCATACGAAGATGCTCAGCTGGGAAAATATCAACGACACGGTCGGCTGCTTCTTGGACAGAGATCTTGCTGTTAGGCTGAAGGAAGTCTTCGACTATGAGAAAAACTCCTAATCATAGGGGTCGTATCCTTTGGGGATATTTAGGTCAGGTGCCAAGGGCTTGGGTTTTGATTTGATCGATGATAGTATGCCTGATATGGACGTTCCAGGCGTGGACTTCTCTGTGTCGCCAGAAGCAGGGAATTTTAATAGGTCGATGTTGAGTTTTAGGGCGGCCATGGTGATAAATAGACAACTTAAATGATAGCGGGATAATGGATAGTTGCTGACAAGTTAACATTCAATAGTAATAGATGGTAGTGAAGCCATAGATTGAGAGTGGTAAAGGAGAAGAGATTACAGAATTGGTAAATTGTGGGCTTTCATTTCGGACTATTCAAGCAACTACATCCCGCCTTAAAACATGAAACAGTAGCTATAGCTACATCCCACCTTAAAACATGAAACAGTAGCTATAGCCGCGCGACAAATATCAATCGTGGCTGTGGATAAGTTAGCCCAAGTTTACTTATGTAGGGGCCAGTAAGAACTTAAATTTTGGCGCCATAAATACTGGGATTATGAGGAATTGGTGCACTATTACGAAGCTTGATACAGTTAAACAAAGATCGGCTTGAAATCAAGGCATATATTTATATCCAAACTTATTTAATATCAGCCTATTCCTAATGCGGAAACACGCACCGCAACGTCATATTTTGGCTAGATATTATGCTTCTTCAAGAAATCCGCCATCAGCTTTGAAACCTCCACTTCATTCGTTTCCAGAGCAAAATGCCCAGCATCCAAATAGTGTATCTCAATATCCTTCACATGATTCTTATAAGCTTCTGCTCCCGGTGCAATGAACGCGGGGTCATTTTTACCCCACACAGCAAGAACTGGGACGCCTGAGGTCTCCAGATACTTGTGAAAACGGGGATATAGCGCAACGTTGGTTCTATAATCGTATAGAAGATCCAGCTGAATTCCGTGGTTGCCTAGCCTCTCAAGCAGTGCACTATCCAGGTAATAACTCTCGGGGAAAATAGAGTCCGGGTGCGGAGAGCCAAAAGTGTATTGCCATTTTGTCATATCAAAGTTAAGCACGGCGGAGTCAATTTTATCTCTATCCTCCTTGGCGCCAGATTTCCAGTACGCTTGAATTGGCGCCCAGAAGTCCTTCCCGAGGCCCTCTTCGTATGCATTGCCATTCTGGGTGACGATAGCTGTGATAGCTTTGGGGCGGTTGAGGGCAAGGCGAAAGGCGACTGGAGCCCCATAATCGAATATATACACAGCGAAGTTTTGGACTTTGAGGGCATCCAGGAACGCCTCGATCGTCAGAGTGAGATTCGCAAAGGTGTACTCGTATTTTTTGTCTGCTGGCACATTCGTGAATCCGAACCCAGGAAGGTCGGGCGCGATGACATGGTATTGCTTGGAGAGTAGAGGGATGAGGTTGCGAAACATGTGTGACGAAGATGGAAACCCATGAAGAAGGAGGATTACTTGATCCGAGGGAGAACCAGCGCTGCGATAGAAAACGTCCACGCCGTCGGCGGTGATGGTTGATATTTTGGTGTCAGACATATTGTCAAATGAATTATGTGCTCTGTTGAGAAGTTTACGACAATGTATTCGGAGAACTACGATTCATTTATAGGCGCCGGCCCAATATACGACGTCACCATCGAGATAAATAAGCTGGCCCATTACCAATCCTGTCGCACAAGCCGATGCAGCAATAAAATGCGTCCAGAGCATGTCGATTTCTCAGCTTCTGGTCAGACGGCTGGGTAATTGCAGTTTTGAAATCAAATAGCATCTCCGGAGTTGGCGAGAAGAGAGTCTGAAGACGTATGGGGAGCTGTTGGTGTTGGTTCGAAAAGGCGCTAAGCCAAAAATATATGTTCCGGCCCAACCCTGTAGGTACAGGATACGGCTTTTTAGAGAGACCCAAGGCAGATTTCGGAATCGACTAACCATTTCTCTTTTTTAAGCGCTCTTAGGTTATGTTATATACTGGCCGGCCCAACCGCGAGCAATTAATTAGAAGTAAGAGTATTCAATTGATCTATATAGCTACGTTTCCAACAGTGTCTGCCCGTGCTCGTTTCCGAGGCCTTTCAACTAAAGCTATTTCCGTACGAGTAGTAAGACCTGATAAATTACCACAGTTATGGTCATCGTTATGGCAGTGTACACTACACTCCTTAGCTTCCTTATAACACCTACACCTCTTCGTACTACACTGCCCTTTACACTGACAGGATATTCCAACCCGAGCACTTGTAGACGCCTCTCTAGCTGCAAGCCCTAATGATACCTGCTTTGTAGAAGTAGGAATTATAATATCAGCCCATAGAGCTTGCTCTACAACTCCAAGTGATTTTGTAGGAATAAGGCGTTGTATAATACCAGAAGCTGTAAGAATCCGATACCTATGAGGGTAAGGCTCTTCTAGAATCCGTGCAAATAGCCTCTTATTATCAGTTGAGGTTCTATCCTCTCGAGGAACCTTTATAGAGACTATTGCTCCTATATCAAAGTGCTGAATATCATGCTTCTTTGTATACTTCCGCACCATAGAAATCCTAGCTCGTTGAGTGGCTGCTATAGCTCTTTCAATTATAGGATCAGGTGTAGCCTGAAGCTCAGTTCTAGGCTGAGCTGGAACTCGGGCCCGGGTCCCACGCCGGGGCTCGGAATTGAGCTCTCGCTCTGGCTCTGGCTCAAGCTCTGAGCCAGAGTTGGGCTCGGAATTAGGGCTAGAGCTAGAGAGCTCAATTCCGAGCTCTGGTCCAAGCTGGATCAGGGCTCTAGCGCCAGCTCTGGTTCGAGTTCTGAGCCCTAAGCCAGAGAGCTCGATTCTGGGCTCAGGGGCTCGCTGGGCTCTAGAGTTCTCGAGCTCAAGACAGAACTCTGGCTCAGCCTGGATTTGAGCCAGTACTCGAGCCTGAGCTCGAGTAGGAACTAGACGAGAGAGCTCAGAATTGAGCTCTCGCTCTAGCTCGAGCTCAGAGCTAGAGCTGGGCTCAGAATTGAGCTCTGAGCTAGAGTGCTCGATTCTGGGCTTAGGGGCTTGCTGGTGCTGGGCTGTGGCTCTAGCTCGGTTTTTAGGCTGGGCTCGAAGCCTAGAATCGAGCTCTCGCTCAGGCTCAGAGCTAGAGCTAGGCTCAGGGACTTGCTGGAGCTGTGGGTCGATTAGAGCTTCTGTCTCGGACTCAAGCTCAGACTGGAGGTCGCTCTCGAAAATAGGGCCCATAGCTGGGTCCTCCTGCTCAATTCCAATTGTTAGATCCTTCCGGGCCTGGCTATCGAGCCAATTGATATATGAGCTCCGTTCCCGGAACAGAAGCTCAGCTGGTGCACACCCAATTGTAGAGTGGATTTGGGTGTTCATAGCAAGTGTAACCTCTAATAGCCCATCCTTCCATTCTGTAGACCCATGATCCATTTTCCATGCCCGGAGCTTATTCTCAACAACCCCATTAGCCTGCTCGACTAGGCCCTGAGTTTGTGGCGACCGTGGTGCTCCATTTACCACCTGTATTCCATACTTCCGTAGTAGGAGTAAGAGAGCCCCCTTAAATTCCTTCCCATTATCAGCCTGCATAATCTTCGGAGGTAGGAAAGCTGCAATAAATTGAGCAAAGCACTCTGCAATAGGCTCTGCGTGCTTGCTTTTCAATGGGTATAGCTGTGTATACTTTGAGAAGTGATCCTTTATATGAAGAATCCACTTATACTGCCCTGAAGGCTCGTGGCGCATATCAATTAAGTCGATTTGAACCCTCTCCCACGCCCGTCCACTTATAATAGGAACTAAGGGAGCTTTTGTAGTGTTCGGCCTATTCAAAGTGCAATTCTTACACCGTTTAAGTATAAACTCTACATCCTCTCGCTTTATTCCATAGTATTTTTGCTTAATAGTAGGCCATACCTTATTCCGACCTGCGTGTAGAAGCTTAAGGTGCTCTTGTGCAATAACATCAAACACCTCAGCCTTTTGAACTACAGCTCGTAGGTGCTGCTTATCACTCCGCCTATCACTCTGCTTATATAGCTTATTATTAACAAGCTTAAAGCTAGAGAGTGTATGGTGCTTTAGGTTTGTACTCTCTTTATTATGCGGAATAAAAGCAGCTGGATCCTCGAGTATAGTGTGTATTTGGCTCCATTTTTCGTGTGAGAATTGCTCTCGATTGTAGTAAGTAGGGCTGCTTATATAGGCCTCAAAAGCAGTGCGTACGTCAAATGGAAATGGAGTAATTGAAGTAATAGTAGCCATAATTACTATACTATACTATAGTTGTAGGAGGTAGGAGGTAGGATTTCAATTTCTACGATACAATTCTACACCGCCACTTCGCGGTTGGGCCGGCCAGCTCGCGAGCTGGCCGATCTGACGGTTGGGCCGGAACATATATTTCTTTCTCACACTATAGTAAGATATAGCCGCAGCAGATTTTCGATGGCCCTATTAACTTCCTAGCTCGAATAGAATTGGTTAAAGCCTGTTTCGGAAGTCATTGTATTATTAAGATGAAGATAGAATAGGGCCTATAGACCATAAGTGTAGTAGCAATACACAGGTAGTAGTAGAAAAAGAATTGTTTTTGTGGTAAGCTACTAGTAATCTTGAACAAGGCTGTTCTCTGAAATCACGATGAGGAACGTTTGCCCCTCTGGAGGCTGCTACCCCCCCCGTAACCTTCTATGCAGCCCTTATCACTTATGTATCCTTTCGATTGGCGAGGGGCCTAGGCAACAGAGTGTTATGGACTGTTATACTGTATAACGTGCCACAGCTGCAGACGAAGTCCTGCAGGTGAGGGCTTTGCTAGAAACCTACTCCGAACTGGACGTGAAGTTCTGAGCTGCGCCACCCGTAGTTGTCCTTCAGATCCGCGCTATATTCCTCTTTTCAAATCTCTTCTGGCCAATACAATCTCATTGGGTTATCAACCAATAACTTCTGCCTTGATTCAGGAGTCACAGCAACCCATGGTATAAAGTCTACTAATAAGCCATCATCCGGCATGTGGCTCTTGAGGTTAGGATGTGGGAAGTCCGTTCCCCATAAAACCCTATCTGGAAACTCTTCTACCAGAGCGCGTGCAAATGGCACCACATCTCTGTACGCACTACGTTCGCCATCTAGCGCTGGCGGCCCATTAACAGTTAGCCGTTCTGGACAGGAAACCTTCGTCCACACATTGGGATGCTCGCGCATGAATCGGCAAAACAGTGAGAACTCAGGCCCATCAATTGGCTTTGAGACATCAGGCCGTCCCATATGGTCCACTACAATGGTAGTCGGCAGCGCGGTAAAGAAGTCCCATAGCTCGGGCAGATCCTGTGCTTCAAAGTAAATGACGACGTGCCAGCCAAGCCGCTCAATTCGCGTTGCAATCTCCATCAACTCGTCTTTGGGCGTAAAATCCACCAGCCGCTTGACGAAGTTAAATCGTACGCCGCGCACACCGGCCTCATGGAGCTGGGCTAGCTCGGCATCGGAGACACTGCGCTTCACGGTAGCGATTCCTCTGGCGCGCCCGCCGCTGGAGGAACAGGCATCGATGAGCGCGCTGTTGTCGGCGCCGTGACAGGTTGCTTGCACGACGATGTTGCGGGAAAAACCGAGGTGGTCGCGGACCGCAAAGAGCTGAGCTTTTGATGCGTCGCACGGCGTGTATTTGCGCTCAGGGGCGTATGGGAATTCCGAGCCCGGACCGAAGACGTGACAGTGGGAGTCGACGGCTCCGGGGGGGAGTTTGAATGCTGGGGTGGTTGGTCCTTCGTACCAGTCGAGCCAGGTTGGGGTTTTTGTAAAGTCTCCCGAGGTTGGTTTGGAGTTGGCCATGGCACTGGATATTTGGCGATGCTAGGCAAAGAGATCAAATAAATGGACTGGTCACGGAACTGAGACAATCCTCTAAGTATGACTTCTTATAGGGAGTAAAATGAATAGTGCCGATAAGTACTCCTCCAATGAGAAAGAAGAAGGTGATATACCACAGCATCGGGGAGTAAATTCCCGGGACGGCGGAGCCAAAGGAGTTTGGCGAGTGAATCCCCGCGTGGGAAAATCCGGGGAGTAGATCTCCGGCGGGGTAGAGCTAGTTGCATGTAGGCCCGACAGCAGTGTCACTAGTGCATCCATGGTGCTGATACCATGGCAATTGCCCCGCTACGCTGACGCGTGCGAAACAACAACTGCGATGCTATTTGGGATTTATGACGGCCTGACCTTTAGTATACGAGTCTCGGGCTACGCAAAGTCCTACTACTGTCCTAATGAGAATCCCACAATAAATAAACGCGGATGGAGTATACGAGATTGAAATGCATTACTATAATGGGATCCAAATCTCGTGGGTACGTTTCCATTATACCATTAGATGGAGAGGCCGAAGCACGCCAATGATTCCAGAAATGAGCATTGCCATTTCTAAACTTAGTTTCCAGCTTCTCCACAGACCCCATCACTAACCATCGTGCTATAATATAGGAACCATATTATATCAGACGTCGAAGGGCTCGGTCAGGGTTTGGAGACGGCTCTTGTTGCATCAAGATAGAACATTCTCCCATATAAAGTTTTACCGGTGCTGTGAGGGGCCAATTCAACGATCAGAAATATTTCTTCTATTCTCCGGTAGGAGGTTGAAGGCATGCAATCTAATCTACATTTAATCCAATTAGAGCTAAACTAACTTTCCCCCATTGCATATAAATAACAGCTCGCTCAAATAATATATCTAAACCCATTTTGTACTGCACGCCGTGAATCATCATCCAGAGCCGCCATAGCAACACTATCATTGGGGTCAATCTCGGCCGCCAACTTATCGAACGCCTTATTGGCCCTCTGCAGCACCAGCCTCAGCGTCAGGATACACGCCAGCCCCAAAACCATGAAGGCCAACTCGCAGCCCCACGACTCGCGGAAGGCTGGGGAGTAAATGTCAAGCCAGAAGTAGCCGCCAAACAGCGCTGCTGTGTTAGAAATAGTGTTGGCGATACCGATGGCGGCGGCGCGCTTGACGGGTGGACGGACGATCGTAGAGGAGAGCCAGGTATATGTGGAGGAGTAAACACCGAAGGACCCCGAGGCCACGAGGAAGGTGAAGGCGTAACGGGGGTATTTATAGTGGATGGGTACGGCAATCAATAGGATGGTGCCAACCATGCCGACGAGCATTGAGATGGCCGCGTGCGGCGACCGAGTTTGCATCTTGTCTGCATTGAGGGCAAGGCCTAGTGACCAAAGGAAGGCGAAGAGATATGGGGGAGAGGTCAGCAATAATGTGGTAGTGTTGTTGGTAAATCCTAGTTGGGAGATTAGAGTCGGGAAGAAGTGAGAGTATGAGATGGCAGCCGAAGCACACATCTGCAAGCAGGCAAACATCCAGGTACGCGGATCTTGCAGTGCCCATTTGATGCCCTGGAGCATAGGGACTTTCTCCTCGTCCAAGACATCGTCGCTACCCGCGTCCTTGGCTAAGCGGCCTTGGGCGACGATGGTTTCTTCTTCGCTAAGCCATTTAGTTGTAGCAGGATAGTCCGGGAGAAAGACAAGAGCCACTAGGGCGATTGCGATAGTTGCTAGCCCTTCAAGAATAAAGAGCCAGCGCCAAGCAGCCAGATTTCCGACGCCGGCCATACCGGAGAGGACGCCAGATGAGATAAGACCAGCGAAGGCATTGGAGAGAAGGAGGCCCGAGATGAGGAATGCCATCCGTATACCAAGTTCCTTCTTTGTATACCAGCAGGAGAGGAAGTAGACTGCACCAGGATAGAAGGGAGCTTCGATTAGCCCGAGCATGAATCGGGCAACAAGGAGGCCTGCAGGACTTGATGCTGCAGCTGTTGAGCCGCTGACAATGGCCCATGCAATCATACAACATGGCTACTTGAGTGAGCAAAAAGCCAAAATTCAGAATGACATGCATGTATGGCTTACCAGGTAGATAGAAGGACGCACTTTGGTCATTATGACTGTGGAGGGCAATTGCATAATGACATATCCAGCAGAGAAGATGGCAATAGCAGTGTTGTATACTGCACCGGTAACGTTGGTATCTTCTTGCAAACCATACAAACGAGCTTGAGTTATCTAATAATCTCATCAGCATTAAGGTTGGAATAGGGAGAAGTAGCTTCACTCACGCTATTCCGATCGAGGTAGCTGAAAATATAGATGATAACGACGAGTGGCATGATACGAAGATCAATCCGGCGGAGGAGTTTTTTTTCCACTTCGCTACTGTACTCTGGAGTGTATGAATGGTAGGTGGACATAACATATCCACTGCCTGAGATATCATTTTTGTCGATGTCTATGTCCTCAACGAAGGTGTCATCGCGCTTCACGCTGTGCTCAGCAGGGCCGGTGAGCTGATTGACGTTGGCCATCTTGCTCAAGGAATAGGTGGTATCTTTAACTAGATCATGAAATATGGTGATGGTGGTGGAAAAAAATGGTTGTCGATAGTACTAAGGCTGTTCTGAAAAATTGAGGTTCTGGCCTCTTTTATATCCCAACCCCACGGGGAAGCTAGATTTCGTCCTTTTCGGCATGCCGACCCTGGTCTTTCCCCGCATCCCCATATACTGGATTCCAGCGTCTAATATGATGGTTCCCACATGGTTGGAGAGATTACCCCGCTGTAAGAGTCCCTATGCCCGATTGGGTCGTGGGTGCTGTTCTAAACACGGGGCCGTAGGCCGCGCTTGCGTCGTTGCTTTTCCTATAGCTCGAGCTACGCCGGACTATAAGTGCCCGTCGTTTTCAGACTACAACGACACCACCCTTCAGGATAATTTCAAGAATATTTTTTGGAGTAAGTTATACTTGATTGAATATTTTGATTGTAATTTAACCATCCTGAAGACTCTCTTTGCGCTCATTCCCGCATGAGCCAGTTGTTTCACAAGGCTGCAATGCGTCTCTTTCTTTCTGTTAATAATTAGGACCAAAATTAGTCTAGATAACATGCATGCTCACTGTCTTCATCACAACCAATAGTCGGTTTTTGGAGCTTCCACTTTGTAGATATGGAAAGAACGACTACCAAGCAAATTCTCGATCGCAGCTTCCTCAAAACCTCCAAGCCCTATATATGGCAAGAGCGATTGCAAGCAAGACCGACCTGTCGCAGCTTCCTCGATACTTTGAAGCCCTATAGATGGAAAGAACGGTTTCCAAGCAGGCCCCGGTCGTAACTTCCTTGGGACATGGTTTTTCATATTATTTTTAGTAGTCGACGAATATTTATTAAGACATTTTAAATATATACCCCTTCAGGATCCACTTTTTCAAACATAGCCATACTTTTTTCATACATCGAAAATACAATACCACCACTAAAGATCAGTCTCGCAAGTCTCGGCACCGCTCCACTCCACAGCTTAAACACTCCGTCCTCTTGAACTAACTTTTTCGTACAGTGCAGACTACTCTTATAGAGTGTTTTGGCCTCAATGCTCTGCATCCGCGTCTTTATCGTATCCACCGGCTGCGTAACATATACTGTGACGACTCCCGCCGCGCCGCCGATCGCAAATGTCACAACGCTTCCAAGTTTCTCCCCTTTTTCTTTGTAAGACAGTGCCATCTGTTTAAATGCTCCATAGGAGCCAAACCGCGTTGCACTGTTAAGGGATTGCCTCGCCGTGGTGGGGACTAGACCCTGATAAAATCCAGCAATGCCACGCTCGCGGGCGATTATGGGAACAGCGTGGAACAACCCCCGAAGACGGGGTTTGGCTGCTTTTCGATCGTCAATACTGTGAGAAGTTAGCGGTAGTAGAGGCAAACAGAAGAGATGCTATGGTACAGAGTAGTCTTGATGCTTTCGAACGGAGTCACGGCTAGGACTGATTCGAAGACCCCGGCGCCCAAGCCCGCTACAACGGTTCTGGGGCCTGAAAGATTGCCATTTGCATCTTGAAGTAGCTCTTTAATCTGGTCAAATACCACAAATCCTACGACAAATTATGTCAGAAACTACTGAGCTTTGGCTAATACCCGAGCAACACTCACGAACGCCAGCTTTGATCGAATTTCCAATGATCAGCGTGGTACACCCAGCATACCATTCTCCACCAAATTTTGGCCAAGGTAGCTTCTGACCTTGTACTAATCTTTGATTGAGTTGTGCTCGAGTTTTTGCAACTAAATCTGTGTGAGTAAATCCCCTAATAAATATTTATATCCGTCGACGGGTGTAGGAGGTGAAATATGGAGTTATGGTATAAAATGTAGCATGATGCAAACATACATTCAGCAGGGTAGGTGATAGCTGGGAGCCGACATGATTAGTTTTAATCTCAAATTGCATTGTATGATTTTCGACTTACCAATTTCAACTGCACCGGCTGTTGAGCCAGCAAGTACAGAGCGAAGGGGACTATTGCGCTCTTTTTTCTTGTCTACTTGCTCAGGCAAGACAGATGTTTCAGTGGGTTGCACTGACATATTTTGTTTCCAGTTGTCCACGAGTATATGATATGGTGGTGTTGTGTATACAAGTTTCTCTCGTAATAAAGTGGTCAAGGAGTGGCAATATCGAACAATGCAGAGCGAGTTGTATGAACGGAAAGTGCGATAATAGGACGATTCTAGAATACAAAATTAATGCTAATCTGAGGCGTTGTCTCTTGAAACCTAGATACATCTTCCATTAGGCCCAAGACGTGGCATCGGACCTGAGCTGTCCACAGAACGCTGCCTTGCATGTTCGGCGTCGGGACATCAGAAGGAGAGAGCGGAGCTCTCTCCAGACACCCACTAAAGATCATAGGACCACATGGAGCCAAAGGGCCTTTCGGATACTCTCTGAGACTATGTCATGTGAGATTTCTTATCGTAACAGGTTGTGATGGATTGGAGATGCCGTGCGAATAATCTCGTCGGATAGCATGCTACTGTGGCGGACTGAAGCTCTCCGACCTCCCATCTCTTGCTGCCATTGGCGGGCTGTAACTGTCCGTGTCTACTCTTTTATAGGATTCGACAAGGATCGCTTAAACCTGGGGAGGATCGTCGCCAAACCCCATAGCAGACGAACAGGACTAAAGTCTGACGTCCAGATATGGAGCATTGTCCGCGGGGCATTGTTCGCGGGGTGCCGATACCCGAGCCCACAGAAACGGGGCTTCCCACTAGTGGTATCTGCTGGGAGCCTGGAATGCTTCGACGTTGAACGACCCCGCCAACAATCTTAGAAACCTGTGATAAGAATAGGTTTCTTTTTGTGGATATTTTTTTCAGATGTAAATTAAATAGTGTGAGTAACACTTGATTTTTTGTGATAATATTTAGGTCCTCGATTTTGGACTCGGTTTTTGACGAAGTCGCAGGTGCTCATCCGTTCCTAGCAAATCTCAAAGATATAGTATATTACTCCAAAGACGGAAAATTATTATTTCAAAAATGACAGAGACTTTCACAAGTGTTGGTGTCGTCAGTATTGGTGAGATGGGCCTAGGGGTAGCATCGCTACTCATCGACCACGGTTATCAGGTATTCACATACGCAGCAGATCGAAGGTAACGAAGCACCTGCTTAAGTCCCTTTTACTACTCCTCTGTCGAGTTTAACATGTAACTTCTTGAAAGAATTCAGCACTGATTGTTCTCTCCATAGTGAAAGTACTCAAGCACGCGCGCGTAAAGCTGGCGTCAATCTCGCCCCATCCATTGAAAGCCTAGTGTCCTCCTGCTCGGCAATCATCTCCATCGTCCCCCCTCGTGACGCCAAAGAGACCGCAGAACGAATCGTCTCTGCCCTCTCTCCCGCACCCGGTTCACGGAAATCTCCTTTATATTATGTGGACATGAACGCCATTTCACCCAACTCAGCTATCGAGATCAACTCGTTGCTCAGCGTGAACCCAAACGTCCATCATGTGGATGGTGGCATCATAGGTGGAGTACCATATCCGAAAGAAAGAGGTGCCGATGGCAAGCCGAACTGGCATTGCCCATCTTTTATCTTGTCGGGCCCGCACAAAATCCCTGACCTAGCATTGTCTGCGGCACTGAATGTGCAGCATCTTGATTTGAAGATTGGGTCAGCGACGGGGTTGAAAATGTGCTTTGCATGCACGACGAAGGGCTTCGTAGCACTGGCAATCCAGTCGTTTACCACGGCGCAGGAACTAGGCGTTTTGGAGGAGCTAAGAGAGTATCTACAGAAGTATAATCCTTCAACACTCACATTGGCGGAGAAGGGGCTAGTTACGATGGCACCGAAGGCGTATCGATGGGTGCATGAGATGATGGAGATTGCTGATACGATGGCTGAGAATGGCGGATTTGAGAAGGGACTGTGAGTCTGATGTATGAGTCTCGTTATTGGGAAGGATGCTTACATGACTATAGGTTTCAAGAAGTTGCAGGAGTATACCGTACTGTAGCGGAAGATTCGGAACTTGGAAAGGAGCAACCGGATGCAAGAGTAAGAGGGAAGACGGTAAACGATGTTACAGAGCTTTTGGCCCAGGGTATGAAGGCGAAGAAACTGAAGTCTGAATGAGCAATACTAGAGATTATAATTCAGATTTTTTGAAATAAATCAAATTAACAATATTTAAACTGCTTGCTCCACAGCGTGTATTTTGTAATAGCCACGAGCGTGCTATAATGTTTTCAGAAAAAGAAAGCTCCGCCGATCTAGTCTAATCTACGGTATTTGCACTCATGCCATACATGTTTTCATGTGGAAACAACTGACATAGCAAGTGTAATTGTTATGTAAAACTACTTATAACCATTTCTAGCTCCACGCGAACTTTACCTCTATTTTGATTAAAATTTTACTCACTCGGAGATGTTCCAAGCAACCAAGCAATTGGATGCAGCCCAACATCTTCATATTGGATACGGTACTGGGAGTTGGCATTTTGCTGAATCATCTATTATTGGAGAGAGTAGGAAATGGGAACCCCAAAGATCCTGTCTGTCTGTGGCAGGGCTAAGCTGATAGTGCTCGGACTACTAGAGGCCGACCGCTAGAGGCCGACAACCATCTTTGTCGGCAGGAGTACGCTACACTGAGAAACACCCCACCAACTAACTACCCCGCACTCAAGGGTCAGCGACACGAGCGTGGATATCCTATACATTTTATCCACCCCCTTGGAATTATTAAAAAGTCCACACTCCTTGTTCCAAGCATATAAAATGTCCCGCCATCCTCTACACATTATTTGACTCCAATTGTTTTTATTTTGATCTAAAGCCACTGAATATAAAAGCAGGTCTTATAAACATTATGCCTCGCAGCCCTCTCGTCCCAGCAGGCGCTTGGGACACACATACCCACGTTTTCGACCCAGTAAATTTCCCATACCCAACCTCGCGATCCTACACACCCAAAGCCGCTCAAATCACCGAGTACCCCTCCAAGTTTACCGGCTGCACCTGCGTTGTTGTCGTGCATGCCTCTGTGCAAGGCACGTCTCCCGCCGCGCTCATCGACACCTTGAGCAAGGCCCAGACAGCTGGACTAACTCTCCGTGGCCTTGCCACCATCGATGTCAACACTACCACGGACGCGGAGCTTGACGCATTGCACGCGGCCGGAGTGCGAGGGGCCCGGCTCCATGAGATGTCCTGGGGCCATGGCGAGCAGGCTGGCGGCTCGCAGATTGGGAAGAAAGTTGCTGCGTTGGCGGAGCGGTTTGGGCGCCTTGGGTGGGCCATTGGTGTATTCTGTGATGTCCGCAGTCAGTATTTTTCCACGACGATTATCTCCGCCAATATTGTAGAGCTGAGCTGATTATGTGCAGCATGGGCATCAATGGCGGAACAGATCCGTGCCATGGACCCACGAGTCAAGATGATCGCGGACCACTTCGGCGGCACCTTCCCAGGCGAGGAGAAAACGCCCGAGTTTGCGACCTTCCTTGAGTTGGTGAAGGAGGGACGTCTTACCGTCAAGGTGTCTGGGTTTGAACGACTTTACAACGGACACGGCAGCGGCCGTGAGGGAATGAAGGCCATCGAGCCCATAGTCAAGGCTGTCATCGCGGCGGGACCCGACCAGATTGTATTTGGCTCAGATTGGCCGCATACGCAGTTGGGAGTTGCGAGGAAAGGTAGGACGGACCAGCAGCGCTTAGATGATATCGAAGGCTTCAGGGAGGTCCCCGATGATGTGCATATTGAGGTGCTCAGAGAATGGATTACGGATGATGCGGTCTGGCAGAAGTTGTTTGTGACGAATTCGGAGAAGCTTTTTAGATAAGTAGATAATTAGGTTGTAATGTTTTTACGTGGGTTTAGACTATATTATAAATTATTATGCTTCCATTCGCCCTTGAAGTGTTTGGTTACGGTAAATTTCACAAATGCTTTTAAATGATAAAATTTAATGACTAGTAAGGAATGTAGCAAATAGCTTTCGGTAGAAGATTTCTGGAATGTAGAGCTTTAATAATCGGAACATGTACACTTTCTGTCCATCTCCAATAATTATTCTGTGTCTAATTGGCTACCCTCTAACTATCTGGGAGGACGCGTAAATCACAGTTTATCTTACTCCATTCTGCAGTTCAGTACAAAAACCAGGGTGTCTTATATTCTAGAAAAACTGCAAATCTCACCATGCCAACTACTCCACAACGCAAATCAACTTCCCCGCATTGGTATTTGCCTCCATCCTTTTGTGCGCCTCTGCAATTTCGCTCCAGGGGAACACTTTATCAACCGTAATCCTCATACGCCCCAACCTTAGATTATCTAAAGCAACCTCGACAAACTTATCCCGCAGCTTTCCCTGATACGTAGAGTCCCTCGTCCGCAGCGTCGTGGCCAGAACCCACAGCCTCTTGTTCAATAGCGCGCGTAGATCGAAAGCTTCGATGATGCTCCCGCTCATAGCAGCAACCAGCACGATTTTGCCCTCCTTGGCAGCGGAGGCTGTATTGGCATGCCAGTAGTTCTGCCCGACGAGGTCGATAATGAGGTTGATACCCGCGCCGGCCGTCTCGCGCTCCACGACGTCGGCAAATTTTTCCGTGCGGTAATTGACAGCCACGTCGGCCCCGAGGGAGCGGCAGAGGTCGCACTTTGCGTCGGTACCGGCCGTGACAATAACCTTAGAGGCGCCGCCCAGTTTGGCAACCTGGATGGCTGCTTGACCTACCCCTGAGGCGCCAGCGTGGATGAGGACGGTTTGGCCGGGCTCTAACCCGCCGACGAGATGAATGGCTTGGATGGCAGTGAAGTACGTCTGGGTGGTGGGTTAGCTGGATGTTGGTTGTCAAAAAAGACAGGTTAGGTTTAACTGACTTCTGGAATCCCTGCTGCTGTCTCAAAGCTCATTGTGTCTGGGATGTGCATGATCATCTTTTCAGAAACAGAGATCTTCTGTGCATACTGTTTGGGAATTATAGTTAGTGACGTGTATGAGAAACATAGAAGTGTATAGCACAAGCACTCACAGCTCCCCCATAAGCCAGCCCAAACACCTTGTCCCCGACCTTGAAATTCGAAGTACCTGTTTTGTCTCATTAGAATCTTCCCACCATCAACCGCTCCCTTCGAAACGCCACTTACAGTCCGGTCCCACCTCCTCAACTAACCCACTGAACTCTACCCCCAAAATCTTTCCCGACTCTGGTAGGAGGGGATATGGGTACTTATCCTCGCGCTGCATTATGTCCATACGATTTAGGCCAAAGGCTTTGATGGCAACTAAGATGCGACCCGAAGAGACAATTGGATCGGGGACATTGTCGTCGATGAAGAAAGCATCGGCGTTGCCGCGGCCATTTTTTATACCAACTGCTTTCATCTTGGAGTTGTCTTGATATGGCGCCGACCGGTTGCGTAGAAAGCAATGTGCTATACCGATTGTGAGGTGCTGATTAAAATACCCAGAAAATAACTTCACCAACGTAGTTTATCGCAGGAGATAATGTTGGGTTTTGGTGCGGACGCGTAGTTGTAATACCTTGGTAGATAGATGGATTTGCTTACTTTATGCTGGCCGACTCTAGTGTGCATCCAGTAGTATGCAAGCCGTGTGATAGAAGCTTCGTTGATCTCCGGCTTTTCGGCCCCGAAAGCTAGCCATTGGGGTGCAGCGGACGTATTGCTGCTGTATCAAACTTTATCGAGGTACATGGTCTTGGTAAGTTACCCCGCTATCCGATATACCAAGCTTTAGGACCAGTCCTGGCTGAACCACTACAACCCGATAGCAAATGCAAAAATAACACCATCCCGTCTAGACATAGGCTCCAAAATGCGACTGATGTTTTGCCCTATGGCATTCAGGTAAGGTTATCGTTCGGCTTGGGCTTACGAGTGTCGGGGCCTTTCAGTCCGTTGATGCGGGGTAGTAAAAAGGTGGGGTAATAAAATGTGGGGTTGAAATCAGGTCATGTATCGACCCCAAAGACATGAATGCCTAAACGCGTAGGTATAGGTGTCTCCGAGATCCCGCAATCCAGACTTATAGGGACGGAGCACACAAGTTATGCCCGACAATTCAGTTACTCTGCGACGCATCCTGTCTCTCCGGCAGCCTGTATCAACATAGTGGCAAGCATGACCGAGCCAAAGATCCTCGCCCGAGCGTGTCGCACGTGTCGGCACCGCAAGACCAAGTGCGATATCCAGAAGCCCCGGTGTGGGTCCTGCATGGCACATAACCGCCAGTGTGTCTATTCCATAGAGCCCCCTAAGAAAAGGCAAGGGACTTGAGCCTCCGAGATTATCAGATCTTTGCTAATCATTACAGGCCGTCAAATATGTTGATGAATGCTCTATTAGAGGAGAAATTGACACTAGAGAGGTGTTTGGTCCAGCTTAAGTTAGCAACCCCAGAGGAACGTGACAAGAGGTTGGGAGCTATTATTGTCACCAATGGAAAGGTAGACCTATCTAGTTGCGCCGTCCCGGAGGCACAAGGTGGTCAAGCAGATGTCGAACAGCCCCATAATCCCCACTCCAAGGGTTCGAAGGACAATGAGGGGCATCGGGAGACAGTTGGATCAGAAGATGACAGCTACCAACCCTCCAATTATCTTTCAGTCGACGAACGTGGAGAGGTCAAGGTTTACGGTCCCACGTCCGCGCTACACGGGTTGAGCCCCGACAACCCTATGCATCGGAGGAGCAGTCAGACCAATGAGCCGCTCCGCCATCAGCTCATTGCCAACTCGTTACTAGAGCGGCAGAAGGAGTACCGCCTTTTGCAAATGACCACCATTGGTGATGAGCCAGCCGAACTGGCGATGCATCTCCTCGACCTGCACTGGAATCGGCAACATCACACCTTCCTCCTAACATATCGACCGGCCATCATGCGGGATCTGGTCACCGGCGGACCCCACTGCTCGCCCTTCCTCCTCAATGCCATCTTTGCCTGCGTGAGCAAGTTTTCGGACCGTCTAGAGGTGCGAGATATTGTGTCTGACCCAGAGACCATTGGCCGGCGCTTCTTTACGCGGTGCGAAAACCTGCTCGCGAGCGAATCCCTCCTCGGCACTTCAAGCATTCCAACCATTGTAGGGCTTCTCCTCCTTGGCTCAACATTTAATGCCCGGGGAATGGCCTCAAAGGGTTGGCTGTATACGGGCTACGCGTTGCGAATGGTGTACGATCTCGGTCTGCATCTCGACTGCAAAGCTGTGGGTGGCAACGCCGAAGACGTCGAAATCCGCCGACGCGTCTTTTGGGGCGCCTTCATCTGTGACAAGCTGCAGAGCCTATATCTCGGTCGCCCTGTCACCTTTCAGCCCTGCGACGCACACGTTCCGCGCGACTTATTAGATACGATGGAGGAGAACGAGCTCTGGACGCCTTATGTAGACCCCAAATCCCCCAATAACCCGTCCATGCCGCCGGTCGTGCCGACGCCGATTCACTCCATCTCCACCTTCCAACAGCTTTGCCTGCTCTCTAAGATTATGGCCAAAATTATCAACCTATTCTATGTCGTCGGCGCCACAGCCGACAACGCGCGCGCCCACTTACAAGGCGTCGATGATGCCCTCTCCGGCTGGTACGCCTCCCTCCCCCCACACCTTGTCTTCGAGCCCTGGGCTAAAGACCCACCCTCATCCTCTCCATCCCCCTCGCCAAACATTATGATCCTACTCACTACGTACAACTCACTCGTGATCCTTCTACATCGGCCCTTCGTCTTTGGCCACCTACGACAGTCGTCGATTCCCGCCATGTCCTGGAAACGCTGCACTACAGCTGCGCGCAACATAACCTCCATCGCCTCGACGTACCAGGAGAAATACACAATGCGGCGTGCGCCATACCTTCTAAGCTACACTGTGTATGTGGCGTGCACAATTCACACGCGGAACACGATTGCGTCCGAAGGCACGCGAAGTGAGGAAAATTTGAGTGCGCTGTTTGCGAGTTTGCGGTGCTTAGATGAGTTGACGGTGCCGAATTCGGGGGTGTTAAGCCCAGTAGGTAATATCAGGAGGCTGATGGCGGCGAATGGCATTCCGAATATCCTTGGTGAGTTATGTTCTTTAACTTACCCCTATTCCCCCAGACTTACCTATATGTTCCTAAATACACCCCGTTCCTGTCATTATATAGGCTAACAACCCCTACAGATAATACGTGGGACGTGCAGACGCCCAACTCCCAGGAGCTGGAAGCTTTATGTCAAATGTTTCCACCCATGTCGTCTAATGCGGCAGAGAATGTTATGGGGCAGACAGGGAACATGTACCTACCGCATGGCTACGACGACTTTAATGGCCTGATGGATATGTATATGCCGAGCTTTAATGGCGTGCTACTAGATGCTGAGAATAGTGGTAGGCATGAGGCTGCGGGTTAAACTTTTTATATTTTTTTATTCGAATTCCAATCTAAAATCAGTGTGCGGCGAATCACCCCCCGAATACTATTCGGCGATCCGCCGAATCATTCATATTTTTGAGGTATTCGCCGAATCATGACTCGAATCTGATTCGAGTCATGATTCGAATCTTTGAGGCTGAAATAGAGTGTATGGAATATTGAAAACTACGAAAAATATTTAACTATGCCTAACCCATATCTTGACTTATATCTTCGACATCCTCATCATCGACAATTACCCCCTAATCCCGTAGACATAGTAAGTATCTGATTGTTAAAGGTAATAGTCTATTCCTTTTCTTCGTAACAATGTCAGCTCCTTAGCTAAAGACTCGTTCTGATGCTACTGATGTTGCTAGAATTGCCAAATAGTCTCGAGCTATTTGTGCAATTATTAGATACTAATACTGCTTTGCTTGCTAATATTTAAGAACATTAGTATTAGGCTTATCAACTCCTAGCTCATTAAGCTACCGTCTCCATTCGACTTCTTGAAGTATAGGCTTTCGATGCTTAAACATCTCATCCTCAGAGTCTACTTCTCGAGGTATATTCTCATCCTCGTTATGCATAGCATCTATTTCCTCTGCTCGAATGTCATTGTCCTGTGCTTTATACTTGTTATAACAAGCTGCAAACTGTGCTCTTGCTCGCTCTTTGCTTATGTTATAAAAGCTTTCTAGTAAATAGAAGTTAAATATACTAAAATTAAACCGAGGATCGCATATTGTTGCAACTGTTGAATGGCTTGACCGTTGGCTTGTTGCAAGTGAGAAATAGTCGTCTAATTTGTTAAACGCAGCAGTACAAGCTTCGTCGATAGATATGTGCTTCATAGTCTTCTTCATCTTCTTGATTTTATCCATTAGTCGTAGATAATATGGAACACAGTAGTTAAGTGTTGGATACCCATCTGCTTGCACCTTTTCTGAGATACGCTTGAAAATCTCGAAGAAATCTATAAGAGCATGAAGTAATTCCCATTCCTTCGAAGTAATCTGGATATCCCGCATGCTTATATCAAGAGTCTGTAACGCACAAAGCGCTGTAATTGGTGCCTCTATTAACAATGCATTTTGAAGCATATGATACGTTGAGTTCCATCTTACTAGCATATTAATCGTAAGAGTAACAGGCTTGATTCCAGTGGCAATGGCGTGAGAACGAAGACTGTCCTTCTACCCTCAACGATTTCTAAACACATAGATGTGCTTACGAAGCTTTGTTAAAGCGCTAACAACTTCTTCTTTTTTAGAATAGATAGCATTGATCCGAGCATAAGCTAAACCCTCTTGAACTCGATAACTCTCAAGCTCTTCTGATAGTATAGCTTTCATCGTTGTAAGAGCTGCTTAAACAGCTAGATTTATAATATGTGCTATACATCGTACATCGCCATCTTTTACTATAAAGCTCCATGGCTGATTCGTCGTCGTCGGAACATCTGCTGCTCTTAATTCGTATTAGTTGAGCATTACTGTATTATTTAATGCATTGTCTCTTGTAATTGTAAAGACTCTATGTGTAATTTTGAAATCATCTGTAACTGAGAGTAATTGCTGAGCTAGGTATTCGCTAGAATGAATAGGCTCAAGTAGATTTATCACATTAAGGATTCTTAAGTGTTGGACCTAATCTTTTGATATCTAGTGTACAGTAATAGCAGCATGATCCGTTCTATTCGTAGCAGTCTAAGCATCAGTTGTAAGTGATAATCGTCCACCTGCTATAATATGCTTCTGTAGTTGTAGTTGTAGCTGCCCTCGATGATGGCAAAACTGCCTATGTAGATCCCTTTTCAAAGACGTTGAAGAGATACTTAGGACTGAAGGATTAAGATGATGTACGAGCTGCCGGAATGAGAATTTATCTACTAATCTTATAGGTAGATTATTCGTAACGATGAACGCAAGCAGCAATTCTCGGAATTTAGTGCTTGAAACTAGAGTCGTTGTACTCTGGGGATTTGGCCTGAAGAATCTAGACATAGACGCACGATTCTAAGGGCGGATATTGTCTTTATCCTTCAGTTTTCGAGTAGATTTTGAAGAAGCTTCGAAGATAGCTAGGTGCTTTAGCTCAATATGTCTCCATAAATTGCTTATCGTATTTTGTGATACCGGTTTAGCTTTAGGCATATATGAACAGTTCTCTTGTGTACAGGTATACTGCATCTTATTAGGAGAGCCTCTTAAGATAGTACGAGAATATAGATTCTTCGTAAAAAGAGTAGAATGAGTGGCTGGTAGCTGTAGTATTGTAGTACTGCTTTGTGGTAACGATAGCGAAGACGATGAGAATATACCATCATTACTACTTTGTGGTAACGACAGCGAAGACGATGAGAATACACTCGCATTACTGTTATCTTTATCGACGACATAATCATCAAGATCCTTAGGAACGTCAGACAGCTCGGAATCACTCATAATAACAATGATTGTATTAATTGTATTAAATGTTAATCTAAAAAGCTATATATTGAGGACGGCGACAAGCCTTCACCGCTAGACGCTTGGACATATTATGTATCTTGGCAAGTATTCGAATCATGATTCGAATCATTGAGAAATAGCCCGAATCAGATCATGATTCGAATCTGATTCGGGGCGAATCATGCCGAGTCACGATTCGCTGCACACTGTCTAAAATATGTATATACCCCTTTAAATAAATAAAACAATAACCTATTCAAATACCCCTTATGTTAAAACATCCGGCTCATTCTTTACCACCTGATCATAATACGGCTGAAATGCAAGCCACATCTTACTTGAATTCCCGCTCTTCTTATGCGTCATCTCGGCCTCCTCCTTGCCAATAATAATCTTCTCCCAGCCAGGTCCACTTGCCGCATTCGCTAGCAACTGCGCATGGCAACAGCGATCTAAAGCAATAAACAAGAAAGCTGCCTCATCCACCGTCGCTCCGCATGTAATCATGCCATGGTTCTGGAGAATAATACTGCGACAGTTGCCCAGCGATTTCGCAATACGTGCGCCCTCTTCAGTCGAGATGACGGTGCCGCCGTAGCGCGGGTACACGGCCAGGTCGTTGTAGAAGCGTAGCGCATCCTGGTAAATCATCTCAATAGGCCGACCAAAGCACGAGAATGCCTTCCCATACACCGAGTGCGCGTGGCACGCGGCGTTCAAGTCTGGCCGCGCCTTGTGAATCTCGCTGTGGATCGCGAAGGCTGGGCCGTTGATGGCCGCCTGTGCGCCTTCAGGCTGTACTTCACCCTGCTCATTGACGAGAACAAGATCACTAACGCGGATTTGCGAAAAGTGCGTGCTGAGCGGATTGATCCAAAAGTACTCGGGATTGAGGGGATCACGGAGAGCTAGGGGGTCTGTAAGCTTTCATGAGTCCACGTGACGTTGAAATCGCATGACTTACAGATGTGGCCAGCAACACCTTCGTCGAAGCCCTGGCGGGCAAAAACCCGGAATGCGACGGCGAGATGCTGCTTCTGATATTTACGTTGGTCCTCGATGTTATCGAAGCGCGGGGGAGAGCGGATGGTGACCTTGCCCGCCTTGTCGCCTAAAAAATGCACCTCCTCGAAGAAGCTGCTGCCGTTGTCGGCCACTGTATTTTGCGAGCTAGGCGTATCGGCCGGAATAGGCAATAGCTTCCCACTGATATCTTCGTGGGTACTAGTCACGGTCGAGGTAACGGTTGACGCCTCCATAATGGGTGGTGGTTTTAGTAAGTTGGCTTGAGGTGATATGTGTGTGTGCAGCAGGATATTTGGTGTACTTTATGGACTTGATCTGAGTTTCTTAGCGAAGCATGCTCCAAGCCTTGAGAATCCCCCATTGATATACATCTCAATTACAAGTACAAGAAATCCGGATAACACTGCCGTCCTTGTTATCCTGTCAGTTTGTCGTCGGACTGAAACTCTCCGTCGGACAAGCTCCGAGGCCTGCGCCTAGATCGACCCGATGGCATGGTATCCCCTGTACGTTCAGGGGTCCCAGCGCCATTGGGGTGTGGAGAGACCCGCTTCCCGATACAAGTGGGTTCCGCGTCATCCTTCGGCCTCAAAACCTCCGTCTCCTCTCACGTGGTAGGGCACCAAACAGTTTTCATCTACAGCTGAGAGAAGGCGCGAGCAAAAGCTTGCGTTTAGTCAGAACATCCCCACAATGCCCTCGAATATTTAGATGCTGTCGCCTGCCATGTAGGTACTGTCTTCTCAAGCAGCATTCACTCTCATCTTCTATCATTACTTCATCTCTCTGTGCTATGCCTTCTCTATCATCAGTCACCAGCGCCGCCGACGTCCTCGTTATTGGTGGTGGAAATGCGGGCTTCACAGCAGCAATACAGGCGGCAGAGGCTGGTGCAGGGCGCGTTGTAATTATCGACAAGTGTCCTGAGGAATGGGCAGGTGGTAACAGCTTCTTTACTGCCGGCGCCTTTCGGACCGTGCACAATGGCACAGCAGATCTGCTTCCCATCGTCAACAACGTCACGGCTGAAATGGCCAAGCTCATTGACCTCGAACCCTACACGCCGGCGGAATTCCGGAAGGATATTGACCGGATGACTTCGGGGAGAACTGATCCTGAACTAAGCCAGGCCCTGATCGAGGAGTCGAATGCGGCCGTTAAGTGGCTAGCGAAGCAGGGAATCCGCTTCCAACTCTCTTTCAACAGACAGGCGTACAAGGTTAATGGCCGCTTCAAGTTCTGGGGCGGCATGTCCCTAAAGACTGATGAGGGAGGGAAGGGCTTAATCCAAGACCACCAGAATGCCGCACGCCGGCACGGCATCGAGGTCTATTACTCAACCGCCGCAAAACGCATCATCACGGACCAAGCTACGGGTGCCGTATCAGGCGTCGTTGTTGAGGTCCAAGGAATCGACAAAATAATTAAAACGAAGGCAGTGATCCTTGCCGCTGGCGGTTTCGAAGCCAACCCCCGTATGCGCTCACAATATCTCGGTCCGGGGTGGGACCTGGCACGCGTTCGCGGTACCCCATATAACACTGGTGACGCTCTCGAATTTGCAATGCGGGATGTGAATGCCAAGCAGGCTGGCAACTGGTCTGGGTGCCATAGTACATGCTGGGACGCGAATGCACCAGCGAACAGCGGCGACCGGGCCATCTCCAACGAATTTACTAAGAGCGGATATCCGCTAGGCCTAATGTTGAACAACGGCGGCGAGCGCTTTGTTGACGAGGGAGTTGACATGCGGAATTTTACCTATGCACGCTTTGGGCGCGCGATCCATGGGCAACCTGATGGAGTGGCATTCCAGGTATGGGATCAGCGCATGATTCCGTGGCTTCGGGACGAGGAATACCGTGATACAGTAGTGGAGAAAATTTGGGGTTCGACGCTTGAAGAGCTGGCAGAGAATTGCGCGCAGCGTGGGCTGAATGAGCCAGCGACTTTTATCTCGACTATTAAGGAATATAACTCGGCCGTCTACGCATCACAAAAGGAGAAGCCAAGCTTGATTTGGGACCCCGCTGTCAAAGACGGCTTATCAACGCAGAGTTCTACGGTAAAGCTGGTGCTACCCAAGTCGAACTGGGCACTCCCAGTTGACAAAGGTCCATTTATGGCGGTTAAGGTATGCTGTGGTATCACATTTACCTTCGGGGGCCTGTCTGTAAACCCAGTTAGCACTGCTGTCATCTCGCAATCAGGCCGGGAGGTGGAGGGCCTGTTCTGCGTAGGTGAAATGTTGGGAGGTCTGTTTTATGGCAATTATCCTGGTGGCAGTGGTTTGACGAGCGGTGCTGTGTTTGGACGGAGGGCAGGTGTTGCGGCAGCGAGGGTAGCCGGTGCGAAGGGAGTGGTAGCGACTGAGGTGGGTTTCTCGTCGCGGTTATAGGTCCGTAGACTCTTGCATGAGGAAAACGTATATTTTTAGCTAAATCTTATATCGTTGGATCGTTTTGTCTCATGTCTAATAGCTTATCCGTCTTTAGTAGAAAAAGACTTGCGGAGTCACCCTACTAATGAAAATCGGTATAGGTATCTATAAGGTTTGCACAGTCGCATTCCAGCACCTGAAAAATGACCCGGTAGTTCACGAAAAGTCAGCGTTGTAATTGAATTTCGGGAGCGGCGGCCTGCCGAGAAGATTATCGGGGTCGTTTAGATATTGCCGGGTTGGGGCCGCGGAATGTGGGGATAAGTGAGGGGGGATTACCCCGCAATTCCCACACAGGTGAACATCAGTTGCCTTCCGTTAACTATGCAACGCTTGCTTCACTATTACAGCGTATAATAAGACGCCATACTCCCTATGTAATTCTTCAAGTCGAGCAATAGAACATTTGTGGCAATGTCAATGTTGAAGGAATTACTATCACTGTCTTTAGGCAGTATTTTGCCTCTTGGAGCTGCTCTCTGTGTTGTTTTTAGCTTGGTCTCGTGGCTCATTGATCCGCTACGCAGCGTTCCAGGACCGCCTCTTGCACGATTCACACGTCTGTGGTATCTCTATAAAATATACCAAGGCGATTTTGAGAGGACGAATGTCGACCTCCATAAGAAGTATGGGCCAGTTGTGCGGATTGCGCCGAATGAGTATTCCATCGACGACGTTGAAGCCGCGAAAATAATCTACGGGCATGGAAATGCGTTTGTCAAGGTTCGATGGCCATCTCCAGCCTTTAGTTTACTAATCTAACGAACTAACCAGGCTCCATGGTACTGGGCATGGATGCCGCCAGATCCCGACAAGGCGTCCCTCTTTGCCGACCTTAACCCTCATCGCCATGGCGTACAACGCCGCAAGTTTGCTTCCGCATACTCAATGAGCTCTCTTGTGGGCTACGAGCCGTTTGTTGATAACTGTAGCTGTCTGTTCGTTTTGCGCTTCCATGAGATAGCTCAGACCGGCCGGAAAGTGAACTTTGGGCTTTGGTTCCAATGCTACGCGTTCGATGTTATTGGCGAGATAACATTTGGAAAGCGCTTTGGATTCCTCGACATGGGCGTTGATAAGGAAGGAGTCTTCGGAGCCATTGACTCGCGAGGTTCATACAGCACATACGTTGGCATATTCCCAAAGCTCCACAATATCCTCTTCCCTCTTCTTCCATCTACTGGGGGCCACGGATATGTCGCAGGTTATACCAAATCTCAGATCGCGTCACGAGAGGCGTTGCTCAAAGACCCCAAAAGTCAAGACCGTGATGGCCCACCCGATTTTGTGTCTAAGTTTCTGGCTCTTCGTGCTGAAGATCCAGAGAAAATGACACCAAGTGACTTATTTACCATCTGCCAGAGCAACATTGGGGCAGGTAGCGACACGACCGCCATCACGCTCTCCTCGGTCCTCTATCATCTCCTTAAGCACCCTGCTACGTACAAGCGCCTCCAAAACGAAATCGACGCTGGCATAGCCGCAGGTGCTATCTCTGACCCAATCACTTTCAAAGAAGCTACCCAACTTCCCTTCCTCCAAGCTGTTATCAAAGAAGGCCTCCGCCTACACTCAGCCACCGGATTACCTCTCTCACGTGTGGTACCTCCCTGTGGTGCCACGCTTGCCGGGCAGAAATTCCCCGCTGGCTGCACGGTCGGCATCAACGCCTGGGTGGCACATCGTAACACTTCCGTGTACGGGGCTGATGCAGACACCTGGCGGCCAGAGCGCTGGTTAGAGATTAAGGAGCATAACAATGGGGCAAATGTTGAGCGTTATTTCTTTGCGTTTGGGATGGGTAGTCGGACATGTATTGGAAAGAATTTGAGCTTGCTAGAGGTGAGCAAACTTATTCCGGAGGTAGTGAGGAGGTTTGAATTTGTTCTCGATGATGAGGTGAGAAATAAAGAGTGGAGATCGGTGAGTAGGTGGTTTGTGAAGCCGGAGAACTTTTGTGGGACGGTGGTGGAGCGGAAAGGCTACACCAAAAACTAGGATTTGGAGGTCTACCTGTCTCCGGAATAGGTTCAGGCTATACGGAATGTGGGTGATTACGGATTAAAAAACAATGAGCAAAAGCACATCGGAAACCTGGCAACGCAGTTCCTCCGGGGGACAAGACCCAATCGGAGTCGGAGGCTGAAAGCAGGCACAGGGGTAGTAGTGGCAGCAACGAACATGATAATTGAAGTAGTACTTCCGTTCAAGTACTTTGAAACAAATTACTGCGCAGTGTACTCATACTTTTAGTGGTCGTGAATGCCGTGCGAACCTTGAGGGAAACAAATAGTTAGTTCCGACTAAAATCTTGGTCAGAACTTGCCGATACATGATAACCCACCCCCACTTCCCGGTGGTGGGGGTAGGTAGCCTATTCCCACTCTTACCAAAGAAGCGCATTTCTCAATTTATAATTGCGTGCTCCTTTAAACCCCCACATATTATATACTCTTAAATACTTACTTTAGATATCAACATATCCTGAAGTCATACCCTATCTGCTACCAACTAAACCCGTTACCAGACTACGGTCTTCAATTTTGCGGAGATGTCAATCACAAATAATATCAGGGATCTGTTGACAATCACAGAGGACAGAGAGAACAACCTAGTATTCGAAAAGAATGTTTCCGTGCCTCTAAAAGATTCTCCTCTACCCGTACGCTGCAATGTGTATCGGCCGTTATCCCAATCAGCAGACGAGAAGTTTCCAGTTTTGGTGACCTATGGGCCGTACGGGAAAGACATCCATTATGACAAGTAAGAACCCTTTGATTTGTACAGCTTGGGATTCTTTTATCGCGTCGTAATTTGATTGCATACTAACAATTGCGTCTAGTTTCTTTGCCAAGTCATTCTCGGAAGTGAATCCTGAGCATAAGAGCAAGTACAGCGCGTGGGAGACACCCGACCCGGTGTTCTGGACTTCAAAGGGCTATGTCGTAGTTCGATGTGATGAGCGGGGACTAGGACAAAGTCCAGGCTTGCTGGACACAATGTCAAGAAGCACGAGCGAGTGTTTTTTCGATGTTGTCGAATGGGCATCGGAGCAGCCTTGGTCATCAGGTAAGGTGGGCTTGCTAGGAATAAGTTACTATGCAGGTATGTATCTCATTATGTTTCACAGTGAAAACCAACTTATGGATATGAATAGGCAGTCAGTGGCGAGTAGCGGCACGCAGGCCCAAGGGCCTCGCTGCAATAGTGCCATGGGAAGGCATGACAGACTACTATCGTGATCGGTGTCGACATGGCGGTATATTATCAAACGACTTCATCAAATTTTGGTGGAATCGACAAGTTGTTACGAATCAGTACGGAAAGCCTGGCCGCGCCGCATCCAAATGGGGCGAGGACACAGCTGAAGGTGATTTGCCTGAGGATGTATTGATGCAGAATCGAAATGATCAGAACATCGACAACGAGAAAAATAAATTTCTAGACGACACTTACTATGCATCCAAGGAATTTAACCTTGGGGATATCGAGGTTCCTGTTTTGTCCGTGGCTAACTGGGGAGGGATATTGTTACATTTGAGAGGTTAGTACTGTATCACCCATAACCTACTAGTAATGTCTAACAGATCATATAGGTAACATCAACGGGTACAAGTGGGCAGGGTCCAAGCTAAAGTATCTTCGCTTTATTACCGGTCGCCACGATCTGCCGTTCTACTGCAAGGAGGAAGTTGAGGTTCAAAGATCCTTCCTTGATGCCTTTCTTAAAGGTGACGATAGAGTTGGATGGTCTACTCCAGGCAAAGTCGCACCCGTAAGCATCATCTTACGCAAAGGTAATGTGGGATTCAATAACGCAGAGTCAGAAAAAGTGTACGAAAGGCGAGAAGAGCCAGAATGGCCATTGGAGGGAACACAGTATACCAAGTTCTATCTGACACCCGAGAACACCCTTTCTACTACTGTCCCATTTGTTGGTTCTTCAACCATCTCATACGAAGCCCTTGGAAATCTTTCAAGTCCACAGCTAGTCCAATTCATCAGTGCTCCATTTGAGGCCGACACTGAGATTACAGGGCATATAACTGCCCATTTAAATGTTTCCTTAACTCCGGACTCCACTGCTACCGCCTCACAGAAGGACATCGACCTTTTTGTGACCATACGCTACATCGACCCGTCCGGCAAAGAGGTCCACTACACTGGCACTGCTGGTGATCCTATCCCTCTCGCCAAAGGCTGGCTCCGTGTCTCACTGCGGAAGGTTGCCACGGATCACCCACGCCACAGCGAGTACCAGCCGTACCGCGAGTACCGCTCAATCGATGTCCAGGAGGTCAAACCTAATGCTATCTACGCGGTCGATGTCGAGGTCTGGCCGACAAACGTGATCGCTGAAAAGGGGGGTAGAATAGTATTTGAAATTTCCTCTGGAGACACTCAGGGGAGTGGCATTTTTACGCACACAAATGTGAAAGACAGGTATGTCGTGGCTTTCGTTCTATGGCTCTTCTCTTTTTGCCGTAAGCAATTCTGCGCTTCCATGCTAATTTCTTCAAAAGATCCAAGAATATTTTTTCCGGGACGAACAATCTCCATTTTGGAGAAGGCATAGACAACTACGTCACACTTCCAATTATACCTAAAAGATAGAGAACATATTAAGGCAGGCATGATTATATATAGTTTAGCATCATAAATCTTAGTACTGTTATTGTTACAGTTGAATGTAAGATAAAAAATGAATGATTTGGTACAGTAATGAAATTATTTCTGGCAAAATTGTAAAAGTACATTGATAAATTATCCATACCTTGCGTCTCCATTGTTTATCTTAAATAGTAGCGGCACGAAATCAGTTATTTATAATTTTGCGAGGGCGACTCAGTTCTTCGTTAGTTCATCTGTTTCATCCTATAAACTAGCCAAACCTATGACAATTGCGCTCCATATCCCTGCCCAGGTCACTAGGCACTCTTTCTCACCCCTACCATGCCCCCCAAATCTTCCTCCAACTTGTTTCCATCCTCTAATTCTACCGGTGACGCCTCCGTCAAAACATACAACATCCTTGACCACTCCGTATTGCTGCAATTCCTCCAGGCGTGGTTCGTACCTCTCTGCACACAAATATCCCCTCGCTTCATGACTCTCTTCTCGCCTCCGTCTAGAATCAACTCGACCTCGCCCTCTAGCACGACTCCGTAGTCCAAGCTGGTGGTTCGGTGCATAGGCGATAGCTCACCTGGCATCATGTCGACGACGCGAAGGACGGTGCCATTGGGGACGACAAGGCCAGGAGGCTCAGCAAGATACTTGCTATAGGCTTTAATGTCGGCGTCGGCTTTAAATGAGACGGGGTTGGCAGACGTGCAGTAGCCAAGAAAGAAATTGGCTACACCGGCGCTGGTCCATGAGGCTGTGTTGGAGATGGTAGCGTCCAGGAGTGCTGTGCCTGTTTCCGAATTGGTTGTAATGTATCGGTTGATGGGAGGGAGGGGGCTGGGTTTGACATAGCTCGCCATTTTGTGAAGGAATTAATTGAAGAAGTGGTCAAGTCAAATTGGTAAGCTGATTGAGGATAATGGCCATTAAATCATTTATGAGATTTGAAATGAGATCAGAGCGAATATCGGTCACTTTCAAAGAGTGGCTGGATATCTAGTACATGTTGTAACGGACCAACCCCCACCGGCCGGATAGTGGGGGCCGGGTCGATGGCTGAGGAACTGGCCATCCATTACCGACCCGAATTGCGACGCTGCGTCTTATTCAATCCTCGGCATTTGATTTGCCAATCGTATCAGGTTAATACTTATTGTACGTTTTCAATGGTATGCAGTGTTGTGTCACTTGTGGACAAACTGCTGGCAAGGCGGGTGAGGGGGAGCGTGTACGGGCACATACATACAGAGAAACGGTTCGAAAAGTAAAAAGTAGTCAAAATCAATTTACCACCTCGAAAAAAATACTTCATTGCTTCTTATAGCTACACTTTTCAGAAACCCTTTTACTAGACTCACAGAGCTCACGCATGTCCACCGCTATGTTCGCCTCCCACTTTTCAGTCTGTAATATTCCATTCGGAATTGGAAGCAGTGAAGACCATCCCCGCCCGTCTGCAGTTACCCGACTGGAAAATACGGTGATATACCTCGATGAACTCGCAAAACATGATCTCCTGTCTTCTTTGCCAAACGAAGCACTTCATGCCTTCTCTCAGGTGCGGTTTTTCTAATTCTTTCCATTAAGTGACATTTTTTAAGACATGTCTAATTTATGAAGGTTGTTCTCAACGACTTTGCCGCACTTCCTAGATCTATCCACCAACAAGCTAGAGCAGCACTCCAGACCCTATTCAAAGAACCTCTTACATCTTTCCCAGCTGGATCTACAGCCGAACTTAAGGATGTTACCATGCATCTCCCCGTCTCGAGCCGCGACTTTACGGATTTCTCGTGTTCAAAGGACCATGTACTTAATGCTGGCGAAGCAATACTGAAGAAACGCTATCTCCCACCCGCGTTTCTGCATTTCCCAATAGGTTATTCTGGGCGAACTTCTTCGATAATTGTTTCGGGGACATCATTTGTCAGGCCTAAAGGACAATTCCGCGATGGTCAAGGCGGCATAAAATATCGACCAACAGAGCAGCTCGATTACGAGTTGGAGTTAGCCTGTATCGTCGGTAAGCCCACCAAGTTGGGTGAAACTGTTACAAGCAAGGACGCCGATGACCACATATTTGGATATGTCCTCATGAATGACTGGAGTGGTAAGTCGGCCATGCTTGACCTCAATGGATGTTTTACCTAACTACGATTCAGCGCGAGATATCCAAGGTTTGGAAATGACCCCATTAGGTCCACTCAACGGGAAGAGCTTCGCCACATCGATGTCACCCTGGATAATCACCTTGGATGCACTACAAGCCTCGGCAATCATAGGCCAGCCACGCGAGTTGGAGGTTGCATCATATCTCGTGGATCCCAATCCCATTAACAGCTACGACATAGCCCTGCAGGCTGATATTATAACTAGTGGCACATCGACCACTATCTGTAAGAGCAATCTCAATGCTATGTATTGGACTTTCCGAGATTTAGTCGTGCATCAGAGCAGCAATGGATGCTGCCTGAACACCGGCGACATCTTAGGTACGGGTACAATATCGGGCTCGACAGATGAGAGCCACGGATGCCTACTAGAACTTACCAAGGGTGGACAAGACAGCTTTGAAATTGGTGATGGAAAGTCAAGGGTTTACATTGAGGATGGTGATGAAATACGGATATCCGCATTGGCATCAAATGGCGTGGGTTTTGGAGAATGTACTGGAAAAGTTCTACCAGCGCAACTCTGATATTTAGTTACTAGTCATTATTGAATGTTTGGTGGTACGTAGAAGCATTGTAGTTGTTTTGATTGCCCTTAGGGCAGAAGAGGTGCCTTGCCACCAGGAGCTTCGACGGTGGAGTTGAACCACCCTGAGGCCACTCTTCCAGGTTGGGCTTTTGGAGTGTCGGATAGGTTATGAGAGCTATTGAATCACCATTTGGATTTCAGTCATATCAGGACTTTTAGTATTCGTAGGAGTTGCTTGAATCAGTCGCTGACACTGGAGTGTGTGCGATTAGTTCCTCATCGTTGACGATGGGGTCGTTACAGTGTGGTACGTAGACCCGGCGACCACCTTTATTGAAAAGTGGCTCTATATGCTGGGGAGAATAATTTAAGGACAGTTGTCCACGCAATAATTATGCAAGGAACCATATACTGCATCGATGCGCCAGTGAAACTTATAAAGTCTCCACTGCCACATGGAACACTTCCAAGCAGACGTTACATTACCTCTAGTGAACCCCACATTCCGGCCCTGTGCCTGTCAATATGCAGATGACCCCTGAGTTACCCCATGTTCCAAAAGTGAAGTGGGGGGGATAAAATGTTAGGGCAGGAGAGACTGAAAAAGAGTTAAAAAAGGGTTAGTTCGCCTGCTTTTTACCGATCTTGAATTTGAATATTTCCAGGGTTTTTCTATCCTCAATCGAAAAGCCTGGACCATATTATTATATTACTGTTTCTATCTATAAAATCAAACAATGCCAACATCAAACGTACGTCAGCTTGTTTTCTTTTCCTAAATGATTTACCAACTTTGTGGAGCAATCTCACTTTGGGCACTATCGTCGTTAAGGATGTCTAAAAGTCGATCATGAACGAGCTCTAACGAATGTCTAGGACCAAAAGTATTTGAGCGAGTCCCGTATACAAGAAATACTGGTTGGAAGTTTGGTTCCTTTCACAATTGCGTCCGTGACTGTCGTTGCTCGTTTCTTCACTCGAATATTTCTGACCCGCAATTGGGGCACAGATGATTCATGGATTGCAGTCGCTTGGGTAGCTAATTCACGCCCGTATATGCCAATGGATGCTAAATACTTCGGTAGATCTTTGAGACTATTCTCATATTCCTGAACTGTCTTCTCACGAGGTACGGCGCGGGGCGCCATCAAGATACCATAACCGAGGAGCAATATCAGAAAACACTGTTACTAGGCTTTTTCACTCGTCTCATCTACCTGCTTGTGCTAGGTATTACCAAGATTGCTATCTGTGCGTTGTTTTTACGGATCTTCAGAAGCCACAAGAGAGGCCGATATGCAGTATATGGTTTCATGGCTTTTGTTGGTTCCTACACAACTTCAGTGATGTTTACAAGCATCTTTCAGTGTCGCCCCATTAGCAAAGCCTGGCAGGTCAAGAGTTTGGGACAGTGTAGCAATTATCTTATCACGCTTTGGGTAACTGCAATCTGTAATATCTTGTGCGATGTCGTGCTCTTGCTCTTCATTATTCCTCACATCAGTATGTTATGGCTGAACACTGAACGAGATGACCATGACTTACATTTTCGCAGTGTCACTAAAAATTGACCGTGGCCAAAAGGCTGCGCTCCTGGCAATTGTGTCCCTCGCCTCTCTTGTTATCGTAGCTGCAATTGTACGTCTCGCACGGGTCACTCAGTTCAACACCAGCAGTGATCAAGCTTGTGAGTTATTTTGGTTTTAATTGGCGTTCTATTCATGCATCATGCTATTCTGTTCCGAATCACTGGTTTCGAGCACATAACTATGATTTCCGTATATGTTACTAAGAGCATGTGATAATTATAGGGGATGGAAGCGATATTACCACTTGGTCAGCTGTTGAAAGTTCTGTCGGGCTCATTTGTGCCTGCGCACCACCTCTCAAACCATTATACCGTTTTTTGAGCTGTCGCACCCCTTCTGCGGCTACTGGGCACAGCGACATTCATACCACACGAGCTCACCCCTACTACAATCAACATCCGGATGACAATCTGCGCCGTACGGAAAGGTGTGGGATGTACAAGACACACGAATTCGCTACGGACATGGAGTCGACCACAGACTTGGTAGCTCCTATGCCTGTGCCGCAAAGCTATGCAATGACAGTGACTACCATCAGAGCAAAATTTACTAGTGTAGATCCAGCTATTCCGTAGCCAATTTCCTCAGATTAAGCCGGCGTCCAGTTCCATAATGTCCTTTCTAATGGAGAGATAACCCTCATGAGATAATCAACATCTATCTCCAATGGGCCGCAGCCAATTCTATGTGAAAGGCGCCGAAAAGAGATATTTGCTATATGTCTAAGGCGCAAGTTCTTGCCGCCATTTAATCTATTGTTTTCCTAAATCATTCACATTGAAAGCCGACTCGCCTTACTAAATAGCCTGCAGCTTCTCATCTACACATGCAAGCGCTGCCCTTTGAGACCATGAGCTATGTTTACAATCACTGTACTGAATTCATTTAAGTGAGCAATTGGACACTAGCTGTTCTACAAATATGTGTTGGCTGTATCCGAAAACAAAAACTAATAGTAGTCGAGTACAGACATATTCATAGATCCATTCTCATTACTTAATCCCGCCATAGGTAGGCCTCATTCCATTGGGCTTACACATCGTGAAAATCGATTTTGAGGCAAACTGCCAAGGTCTCTCATCAAGTTCCCAATGTTCTCAACCAGCGGCGGCAAGGGCTCGCCCTTGAACGGGAAATTATTTCGATACAAGTCCCGAGCCATCTGCAGAACAGCGTTTGGATCGTCTAATTGAATGAGTGCGCCGTCTTGAGCCTCTGGCCGTTTCGAGTGCCAGTTGAATACCACGGCTGCCAGGACTGGCGTGATTTGACGACCAGCAATGAATAAGCGAGCATTAGAGGTCTCATCGCTGTTAAGAACGACAAAGGTGCTTTTGCTAGTAGAATCCAGAGAGGCCGGGGTATGTCGATTTACCGGGTCATTTGTGTGGTCTTTAGAGGCTGACACGTGCCCAAATGCCCATAGCGCCAGACTGGCAAAATAAACAGCGATGGCATAGAAATCCCGCAGCTCAGCAGGAGGCATTACTGCTGCCCAACGTAATACCTGCCCCGCATGCCATACTGCCTTTCTTGCTTGCTCCGTAGCAGACCACTTGTCTAGGCTCACGAATGCCCTCGATGCTGCTTCCTCGCCATACTTGCCAGCAAAGCGCGTGAGTTCCTCAGCTGAAACGTGAAGGATCATGAGAAGGAGCTCAATTATTACGAGTAGCTCGCATTGCGGAATTGGCTTGGCGACCAGAGCTTCCTCAAAGATCTTAACTTGTTGGTAGAGTTCGCGCTGCTGTGTCATAAGCCATAGACGATGCACCGAATCTTTATCTACGTCAACATTATAAAACTTCCAAGATTCGCGAAATGCCCAGATTTGGCCCCAGAAGCCGTGAGTTGCGGCTGTGTAGCAGAGAGCAACGTCGATTTCTGAGTGGAGGTTGTCCAGTACGCTCATATCGTGCATCACGTCAATTAGTTGAATTGACGCTTGCGCCAGCGGAGGAACTCTTTGCTCGAGAAAACAAGATTTCCACTCTGTAGCGGAGCCAGCAAGGTAGAAGATCCGAGCGGTTGGCAATGAGATTGTAATTTCCGTGATTGAGATCAGCGGATTTTTTTGAAGGGCAATCGATGCCCGAGTATCATGTAGAAATAAATGTATAGATAGTCTCAAGGATAGGTCAGTACTAAATATGGCCTTGCCAATAGGTCTTCGACTAACCTTTTGAACGACTCTAGTTGTATCCATTTCTTCCACTTTGTTTCGAGAACTTTCCCCTCATCTGATTCGTGAGGTATGAGACTTTGTGTGTCAGCCGTCGATCCAAACATACCACCACGACGCATCATCTGCCTTCAGTTAGCACATAATCTCATATCTTGCAAGAAGAATCAATATCCAGAATAACGCCTGGGTGGACACACTGTGATCAAGGTTTGCTCAAAACTCTCGGCGAGTTCCATTTGCCTTTGGAATCCACTCCATAGTCCCGCATCTAATGAAAGCATCCACGCCTGCAGTGGCTGTAGGCTTCGTGTAGCACTATTCTGCCGTTCCCACTATACTACCTAGTTAATATGGTTCTGTAATCGCAAATCAAAGTTCTTACCATCTCTCCAAGCTTAACTCGGATGACGTCCTGGAGAACAAGGCCCATCTTCCATATTGCGGGCACCGCGATAACGGCTGAACCAGCAACCACCATTGCCAACCCTAGTTCGGGGATAAATTCTAACACACTTGGTATGTGAATCCAGTTATCTACTTGATAAGTTTGCCGAACGAAAAAGGCTTCCACGACGTGATTAATAACATCCACAGAGGGAAAATCAGGAATGCGGTTAGTATATTTGTCCATCGTCGCGACCAAATAAAACATCTTATCACGAATTCCCGATTTGATTGTAGGGAAGCCACAGCTTGGAACGTTAGGCGCTAGGCCCGAAGAGTTCGGGGTTAGTGCAGACGACATGCTGTCCTCATCCAGCGTTAAGTTTTCTCCATCCTGAAGGGCACGGTCTAGTTGCCGTGGCGTCCAAAGCCACGGCGAGCGTTTGAAAGCAGCGTAGCCGGCACGGACGTCACGAGTCAGCCGTGGGGATCGTCCTGATGTTTCGTCGTCCACAGATTCGTTATTATTATCCTCTATAATTGGCGGAGCTGGAAATGTACCCAGTTGTGTTTCTTGAAAAGTAAAGTTAAAGAGTTCAGTATCAAGGTTCTGATTATTGAAATCAACTATGTAAGGCATAAACTGAACCTCATTCATGATATTGTCGAAGACGAGCTGGTTCTCACCCACAGACATAGAATGCATGACGTATGTCTCTACCTGATCAGTTGCGGTTTCAACCCATGTTTGAGGAGCAACTTCATGGTTCGTGGTACCATTATTGATTTGAAGCTGGTTGGCGCGAATGTTAGAGCTTTGGCTTGCGTTAAAGAGCCCAGTTGGTTGCTCGTCAATCGCGAAAGCGCCATTGACAGAATGCTGTATCTGCGGCTGTTGATATAGCTCTTGGCCATTATCTTCGTATTGGTGCCCTTCTTCCTCGTCCCCATCTTCACCCTCGCCCTCTTCTTCTTCCTCTCCCTGTGGCTGTTGTTGTGGCCGATGTCGTTGTTGTAACCGCGGTTGCTGCTGTCGTCTCCTCGATGGAAGCGGCTGCGTTGCTGTTATACCACTATCCCGGTCCAATATATCAGGAGAGCGGCTTTGGGACGCTCCGTTATTAGACATCTGCCACAGCGCATTTTTCGATGTCAGGTTGGGCACCTCGCACGTGATGTCCTTACTCTGGCAGCGTCGGCATGGCTTGTTGTTCTCACAGCGGGCTTTTGCGGCTGCACATGCAAGGCATGCCTGGCCTACCCGGTCGGTACGGTTAATGGTGCCATGATCAAGGCCTGACCCATCATTGTTTCGGTTGTGCGTTGTCATGTGTCGAGTCAGAAGGTCTGCTCTATTGAAGCTCTTCTGGCATCGTTGGCATAGATAACGCCGTGCGTTCTCATGAGTCATTAGATGGCGGCTTAGCCTGTCTGCACGCTCATATGTCCGTTGACAGATCCCGCATTGGTGCGTGACTGGTGCCTTAGGATGCTGTCGCTGTCGTTTACGATTGGACCGACCGCCGCCGGCTTCAGTGTTGTCTAGCTCATCATTTTCACGACCCATGCCCTCGGCATTTGAGCCTGTCGGCGTAGATCTCGGTCCAGCCGGGTTTTGCGTCGTCGGTGCGTCAGGCATCCTCTGCTTATACTTACTTGGGCCGTGGAGTGAATGAGGAAGGCAGTGGCCGGCCGAAGGTGGTCCCGACGGTCAAGCTAGGAGGCTCAAAACTAAATAGAGCTGTCGTGGGACAATAAGAATTTATGTGGACTTCGTCCAATGTATGACCCACTCTAGCGCATAACGCTAATGGCGGGGTAAGATGGGTCCAGGCACAAGTGTGAACTTCGGCACCTATATGTATGGATCTACGCATCATCATTCCTCAAGAGGACTTCATAGTTACACGAACAATTATGAAAAACATTTAAAGTAGTAAATAAATATTATGAGGTTATAGGTATCTTTTCTTTGCTTTCCTTTTCCTTTGCCTCTTCGACGTTCTCTTCAGCTGTCTGCCTTTTCCGGTCAACCTCGCCCTTGCTTTGAAAACCCTTAGACAACGATCGCATACTTATTCAGAGAGCTTAGGATGCAGAGGCAATATATTATCGCAAGGATAGAGGAATCCTCCCAAAAGTCCAAATTAATGATATTATATACACACAGCAGAGGATTTGGTGGGAGGGGTATATAATGGCACTTTTCATGTTTGAATCCGCTCCGCTTCCGTAAATGCAGCCCCTCTAGTTTACGTCTGCTAGTTTAGTAGTGAGAGAGGTGCATCTCCGCGTAAAGGGGGCAATATTTTCTACATTTTACAACACCAGTACAGGTGATTATATATTTTTTATACGAAACAGGGGCACTTTTACTCTCAGTGACCCGAGCTCAGACTCGTGTCGTTCATATTCTCGCTTGCTCCACCGGCCCCTCACCCTCACGTCACGCCTAATCCTTGCGGCTGGTAAGGGTACGTGCACATGGTGTCAACCAACCGCCGCGACCGCAGTCCCCGGTACTCCCCATCAACATCCCCCCACCGGACCCGGTAAGTATCACAGGACTTCACTCGATATGTCTCAACTATGCACAGCAGTTGACCCGGAGAGAAACCAAACATGGTTCGTTGCCATTTCGAGACCCATTGGGTCTTTACAACGGAAGTTTTAATTCGGTTAGCCGCGTATCTTCAAACTCCGAGGTTCCAGCTATATCACCAGTGGTCAGATTCTAGCATCAACAACATGATAATCACCTTCTCACAATCGCCCCATTGGCTTCCACAGTCACGAACAGTTCAGTGCCGTATCTAACGTCCCTCTTACCAAAAATATACTATCCGTTACCTCGCCTTTTCCGGCTTGTGTCTATTGCCGCTCTCACATCCTATTTCTCGCCCATATCAGCATCTCCGCCCAGTCTTCTGTCGGAACAGAGCATACTCATCATGGCTAAGTCTCAGCTTACTCCTGTACACTTCTTCTCCCATGGTTCCACTATGATGTTGGGCGAGGAGTCGGCGTCGGCCACCTACTGGAAGCAATGCGGCGACGAAGCCCTTGCAAACAAAGTCGAGCATGTTGTCATGATGGTAAGCTTGTCGTCTATCTCTCAATTCCTTTTTTGCTGCGTAATTGAAATTTTATTGCTCACATCTGTATCTCCTTTAGGGTGCACACTGGGCTACCTCCGGCGACGAAATAGAAGTCGCCGCTAAACCCACGCCGGCCAAATCCCCCGTTGCCTATGTTGACCCTGCAAAATACATGGACTACGAGCTAGTCCCTGATCTCCCTATGGCTAGTCGATGTGTCGATCTACTGAAAACTAGTGGGCTGAAGGCCAAACTCAACGACAAGTTTGACTGGATTCATGATACCTATCTCATCCTTATCCGCATGTTCCCTGGTGGTTCTCCGCCCACGACAATTATCAGTATGAACGCCCGCTACGATCCTCACTACCACGTGAAGGTGGGCTCAGCACTGCGTCCGCTGAGGAAAGAGAATGTTCTTTTTATTGGCACCGGAGGTGCCGTTCACAACTTGTACCGGAATAACTGGTTCCAAATGTTGCAATTCCGCGGTATGCCACGCTCATCCCCTGAAGTACAATATTTTTATATTTTGGAAACTCTAATGACTCCCATCTAGATAACTTTGCCTTGGAAACACCGCCCGACCGCGAAATGCTGGATTTCCGCCAGGAATTCGAAGACGCCATCACCAAGAAATCGGGCCCTGAGCTTCGTCGCGCTATGACTATGCTGATGAAGGTCCCAAAGTACCGCGATGCACATGGAACCGATGATCATTTCATGGCGGCTATGTTTGTTGCTGGCTTGTGTGGATCTTTTGAAGATATTGGCTTGTCCGCGACTGTGGGGGCTGAGGACTGGGAGTTGCGGAATATGTGCAATAGTCAGTTTACATTAGGAAAGTGGCCCACGGGCGGTGCAAAGAGTTGAATGAAGTATTCGACGTTTAAAATAATTAGTTTATAAGCTACGTTGTTACCTTACCCTTATTATAGCTGATTAGAGACACGACTGTTAATATATGGCGTTTAATAGTAAGTTAATTAAAATCAGAATAAATAACGTAATTCACATACGAGTCGCCCACACAAGCGAGTCGCCCACCAAAACACCAAAATTGACTATTACTGCCTACTACTACACCACCACCCTATATAATGACCCTTATTCGATCGTAATTGAATCCTCGTGCCTCTTGCACGTACGGGAGTTATGGCCCATAATACCACATAAGCCGCAGCGCTTCTGTCGGCCTGTAGAACCCACCTGCTGAGTAGTCCTACTTGCCACCTCCGTACGGACTTGAGCATCAACCTCAGCACTTTGAAGGATATCCTCTGCATCTCGTACGGAGAGGGTTCCCCCTTGCATTATACGCCTCTTACGCTTCCTTTCCCTCCTCTTTTTCTGTTCATTTGCTGCTTGTAGAGCCTTAACTTCTGCCTTAAGTAGAGTAGCAGAATGCATCATAACCTGAGCTCCTTTAGCAAGCCGGCTTAGTGCGTTAGTAATTGAGCTAGGAGAGCTATTCTGATGCTGTATAATGCGGTTCCTAACGTGCTCTGTTTGAAAGTCAAGCTCCCTTATAGTTTAAGGAGTCTTTGAAGTCCAATTGTCACTCTCAACTATAGGAGGAGTCGGAGTTCTTAAGTGTAGATTTAAGTGAGAGAGGACACTCTATGGCTCGTACGGAACTAGCCCTATAGCTCGGAATCCACTCTTAATGTTCTGCTCTGTAAATGTAGCTTTAAATGCTTCCTTAAATGCAGAGAGAAACTCAAGCTTCGTGATATGGTTTAGCTTGTTCCGTACGAAGGTTTTAATCTGACGTCCGTACGAAAGCTTTAGTGGAGTAAAGCAGCTCACGTCAAGTGGCTGAAGAATGTGCGACGAGTGTGGTAGCATATAGAGGGTAATTATCTTCCGTTCTGTACAGTAGTGTTGAAATTGAGCAGAGAGGTGGCTCTCATGTCTGTTAAGAATAAGAAGGCGATACGTTCCGATCGTACGAGCATTTGTATGCTGATTGAAGTGTTGAATCCACTTGTACCCAATTGAATTCGAAGTCCACCCATTCTCACTTAGCGTAATCACCTAATCGTCTGGTAATCCTAAGTCCTTGTACTAAGCAGAGAGGTGATTCTGCGCCTTAAAAATGATGAACGGCGGGAGTGCCCATCCGTACGAATTAACACCTTAGATAATTGACACCTACTCTCTATTTCCTAGCTGTATAGTCTTCGCACGACTACTCTTTGACTCTAAGCTTGTAACCACCTTAGCAGTAGCAATAACTCCCATAGCAAACCCTGCTTCATCAAAGTTGTAGATATCCTGCTCTAAAATACTATATTTTGCAACTGTGTTTCGTACGAGAGAAAACCACTCTTGAATTATCTTAGGATCTTCACATTTTGCTCGTTTATAATCGTACTTCCAGCTAAACTTTGCTTTAATTTCCGTACGACGTTTTATGAAGTTGGTAGTCTAGTTCTTCCCAACAGAGCTCTCGCCTCGTTCGGAGAGTAGAAGGTCAGCCATTTCTTGCACACCTTGCGGCCGGGGCGGAAATCCACGTGAATCTAGGTCAAGGATGTACCGAACGAGAGCTGACTCTTCGTACGGAGTCAACTTCTGTAAGTTAGGAATAGAATCACGTCGGGAAGCCATTCCGTGAATCCGATCGCGTAAGGTCGTTCGGGGGATATCGTACGATGCTGCAGCTGCTCGAACACTTTGAAACTGGCCTTGTTTAATTGCATTAATAGCTAATAGTATTCGACCCTCTTGATTAGAGGATTGGGCTTGTGTTGGTAGTGGCATGTTGACTTTTGTTAAGTTGACGCGTTTTGGTGTTTTGGTGGGCGACTCGCTTGTGTGGGCGACTCGTATGTGAATTACGTTACACCTAAATATTTTGATTATGTAAAACTGACTACTTCCTTATGCCTGCATCATAATCCACTTCTCTAGTACATATCTTTTCTCTCCGAATACACCTTCCAATCCCATATCTAATGTCAACTGCTACAGGGGCCGCTGTTCCTTAATCGAGCGCTTCACCACCCAAATCCCCCCAATCGCCGTCGAAATGATAACCGTCAAAACCAATCCTGCACCTAATAAAATTCCCTGCTCAAAAAATCCCAACTGACTCCCCTCTGGCTGTACCTTCTTTGGTTTCAAAAGCTTTGCGGCTTTTCCATCTTTTCCTACCACCTTTCCTCTCAATTTCACCAGAGCCGAGCTCTGTCCCGCAGGCTCGTAGAACCTGGCTAGCATGTCGTCAATCAGTGCGAGGTTGCTAGATGGTGCCGGCAAGGCGATGTATTGTGGCCGTGGTGACGAGAACATGTTGGTGCTATATTTGTGGTGTGGTGGTGCGGGGACGGGGGTAATGGGCGCAGCAGGCCCAACGAGTATGTGCGAGGGGATAGAGTTGGCAAAACTTGTGTGGGCATTGACATGCTGAGAGAGAAATTTAGCCGTTGCTGGGTCAGAGAAGGTGTAGAGTGCAAGAAGGTCGGGGCTATGTCGCATTAGCAAGATCGAATATAAGGGTTTTGGGAAAGAACGGAATTCACCTTAGTTTGCTGATGCTGACGCTGTCAACTAGGCTGCTCGATGAGATTATGGAGAGGCAATAACCACTGATTTTCATCTTGGTCATAGGACAGCTCCTAGAAAGTATCAGCACCGGAGAACGATAGAATGCTAACCGTCGTAAAACATGAACGTTTTAACACGACCTACCTATCATGAATATCCACAATCTTGAATAGTGTCGTTCCAGATGTGGTGACTTCGCCCTTCTCTTCCGCAGCTTTCAGGGCTTTCTTGGTTTCTAAGAAGTTGTTGTTCCGTACTGTTATCGATTTCGACATGGAGGGAAAGAATTTCCCAGCATAACGAGAGCATGCTTCAGTAAACTCGTCCTTGATGTACTCATTGACAACAATCAAATCGGGGCTGTATGGTGAAGTTCCTTGAAAGGAGAAGCGCGCTTTAACGATAGTTTTTGCTGCAAATTCAATGTCGGCATCGCGATCGACTATCGCAATTGCACGCGCAGAATAGTTCGAGCAAAGCCGGTCTACAGAAGATACATTGCTCTGTGCTGTTTGGTCGACAAGGAATACATGTTCCTGGCTGTAAAGAGTTGCGTTTATGATGCAGAATGTGTCAGGGTCTAACGATTTAGGTAGAATATCTTTCAATACCGAGTCAACATTCAACATCGTATCTGCAAGCTGTCGCAGAGTTTGTATCAATGGCGTGTCGTTTCATAGTATTTGATTGCAGAATCTCACCTCTAAAGCTGTACAGCTCCCAGCCGCTATGGCAGTTACAAGCGGAACTATGATGGAATAGAACCGCGTGTGTGTCGTCGGACGAATAACAACCACACCCTTCCCAATTCTCCGACCCTGGTTGTTGGCCCCGGTAACAATCAAATACTCTTGTTTGATCGATGCCTCAAAATCGAGCCCGTCGTATTGTTGTTCAACGGCATTCATGGTCAGCCAGAACTCTGCCTCCGACTCAAGGCTGGTGTTCGATGAGCCGCTATCTGAGTCCTTGGTAATGGAGGACAAGATGGTAGCGGCATTTTCGCGGAGGCATAAATGAAGCTTTTGGATTTCGTTCTGCCTGTGCCTGACGTTCTCTGTCCTACCATCAATTGCAGCTGCGCGGAGCTGCTCGAGACCGCTTAATGAAGACATTGCGAGAACACGTTTAGGACGAAACAACAATGGATTTAAAACGCTATGATGGTAATAAACACGAATAAAGATTAATCGTAAAATGACATGGAACACATCTGATTTACATCCTTTGAAGTTTGTCATTTGCCGCCAGTTTCTGCCGTGGAACGGCAGTTGACAGGTGATGCTTCCAGGCGACGGAATGTGGGGGTATATTCGGAACACCCCAGTCCGGAACAGAATATGACCCTTCCCGATGACCGCGGCTGGCAATGGAGAGAGAGTGAACAGAGGTGATAGAAACAGACAAGCTGTTGTGAGGTTTTTTTTCATGCGAAAACATTGGTGCCCAAATTGCCAACTGCAAGATTAACTTTTCATACTCACATTTTAATAATCCTGCCTATACGACTGACACAGACTCCTTTGGATCTGTTACTTTCCTCGTTCATTTCTCCCTTCCTTCATCACGATGTCGGTCACGACGACAGCAAACCCTATCACCTATACTCTCCAAAGCACGCTACAGGATTACGAGGTTCACATCTCTGGAAACGACACCAACGAGGCCAATATTGATGCGTCGCTGAATCCGTCCTCAACAACAACACTCGTCCAGAATCCTCCTGGTTGGCCCCGTGACCACAATCGCATCCCCAACTATCGCCCATTAAATCGCCAGTTAAACTTTGAGGAACGTCCCAACGGAAGTAACGGGATCGAACGCGCATTCCTATTTGCCATGTTTACAGGAGTCGCTTTAAATGCAGTAAGTTTGTATATGTTCAAGGAACCACTGAAAGAGATTATAACAAACTAATGATGCGACCTCATAGGGTATGGCCCAGACGTGGGGCAGTACTGGAGGAAAAGTATTTACAAAGGTCTTTCGTTACGCGATTGGGGGGGAATGGTAGACTGCTATTTAGAGTATCTAAGGAGCAAATTATTAAACTGATCAAATTCATCTCTTTCACTTAATCTGCACTATTGTCAACCTTACCTAATTTGCGCATACACTTGAGTCTATTCGCGCTTTGTCCGAAATAAAACTAGTATTCAATGAAGCTCCTCACAGAGATAAATATGCTACTTTAACTTGAGAATGTGTTTGTTATACGGGGGCGGGTAGCTTTTGCTTGCCAAATTCCCCACCCCCGCCATTTCCCCGGTCCGGGTGATGTGGGGTTCTATCCCTTTGTCTCGCTAACTACGCAGAATCATTTCCAATATTGCAAAATACGGGTCCGCGCGCTATACCAATACGCAATTATATGAAGTACATCTGGACTGCAATGATTTATCTTTGCCTTATTCTATGTGCTTCCCCGATCTCCTTGGACAGACGAAACAGAAGCAAATGCTCATACGCGGCCACATCCCATCGCCGTCACTTATACACATAATATCCTCAGGACCTGGATGCATACGACCAAACTGAGTCACTTTCTATCATCATGTCCCCAAGGAATGATTTCTCCCAATGCACAGCTGGCGATCCAAAAGTAGGAAAGACCTCCAATGCTCCATGTGTAAGTCCGGTATGCTAATACTACGGTTATCAGTTTTGGCCAGCATACATCAGACATTTGGCACTCGCAAACATTTGCATCATGGTGTTTCTCGCAAACATGTACGCGGCAGGCATTACGACCGGGTTTGCTGCTCTCGCCATGGAGTTTCACCTTAGCAACGCCCAGTTGGTGGACGTGATTTCATATCCCGTGTTGGCACTCGGTGTCGGTAATGTTTTCTGGACACCAACTGCAGTTTGCTTAGGAAAGCGTGCAACCATCATAGTTGCTCTTTTTGTTTTTCTAGCTGCTACAATCTGGAGCATCAGGGCTGCAACATTCCAAAGCCTAGTCGCTTCTCGGATCTTAGCTTGCTTCGCTGGTGGTAGCATCGATTCCCTTGGTCCTGCAATAGTTGCTGGTAAGTTTTCACTGATTTATTGAATAATCTGGAGCTGACGTGCGCCAGATCTATACATGGAGCGTTACTTTGCAACGGCCATGGCCATATTCTCAATCTTTCTTGCCGGAGGGTCTCAGATTGGGCCTATGATTGCAGGCTTCATCATTACTGCTAAGGGTTGGAGATGGTTCTTCATCTTGTGCGCTATCCTTATTGGAGTGAATCTTGTCCTGATTTTGTTGTTCCTTCCCGAGACGAACTATCGACGTGTTATGTACGACGGGGAAACCGCACAAGAAGCTGATAAGGTGGCCGTTCAGATGATTGAGTATAAAAACGAGGCAGTGAATGCGCCTGTAGTGACTACAGAATCTACTGGGTCGCAAGCACTCAATTTGAATCCGCCTTACGCTGGGTCATATTGGAGGGATCTCATCAGTTTCAAGAACCGCGGTACCGAACCACGCGGACTGGTCGAATGGCCTCGGCAATTTTCGCTCCCATTTCGCTTCATTTTGGTACCACAGGTTTTCTTCGCAACCATTTCTTATGGTGTATTCCTTGGAGGGTAAGCACTACATTTCTGTTGTTCCTTCTGCATAAGCAAACTACTGTGTATTATACATTCTGACAGTGCCTAGCGCAGTAATAATTGCTACAGTTGCCCCCCAGCTCCTGTCTCCCCCTCCCTACCTCTTCAAAGCATCCGGTATTGGTCTTTTCGCACTCTCTTCTTTCCTCGGCATTGTTATAGCCTACCCTATTGCGGGACCGTTTACCGATTACATGTCGCGCTTCCTTAGGCAACGATCTCACGGAGAGACTCATATCCCAGAGTATCGTATGCCGGCTCTACTCATGCCTTTCCTCATCGCTCCGCCTGGTCTCCTCCTTTTCGCATACACCTTAGCTCACGGAGGTAGCGCATACGCTGCTGCGGCTGGTTACGCTATGCAGGTTTCTGCTCTAGTCTTTGTTCCGTCCGTTGTTCTGTCTGTTGTAGTTGACGGGTGGCCAGCAACAGGGTCAGAAGCCTTGGTACTTATCAATGCGGGCAAAAATACCGTCGCCTTTGGGGTCACGCTTAGTATTCCAATCTGGCTTGCAAGAGAAGGCTTAATCAAGATGTTTTGGGAGATGGCCGCAATCCAATGGGCCATTTTGGTATTAGCTGTGCCACTCTACGTCTTGGGACCATGGGCAAGAAAGAAGACGTTTTGGCTGGTCTAGATAGGTCAATATGGAAGCATTACTGCTCCCATGACAAGAACTACCTATATCTTGTTAGAGTGTTTATTCAATTCATAAGTTACGGAATTATTTTTTACTTTTCTGAATGTCAGATGCTTGGGATAATTCCTATGGTTTTGTAACCCGCATTGAATCCATGATCGACAGTTACCCCAGAGTGATAATTTGCGGCGTCATGTTTCATGGCTCGCGCTATCATCTCTGACTCAACCACTATAACATTAAAGACATTAATCGCAAGCGATTTACCCCTACGGTACTTTGACTCCATTTCAATTATAGACGAGGCATATATGTCTCATTATAAATACATATCCAAATGCGAAAGTACAAGGTTGGCCTTTCCTTTGAAGACAATGCCGTGTTTTATATAGCTTATCTCAGTTATTTGACAAACTAAACAATATATTTATCCGGCTACATATCCCTAGACGCCAAAACGCCACTCTTAAGTACCTCGACGATCTGAATACCTCTCAAGCCTTCGATTATGTGTGATAGAGTGGGGAATGCTTGCACTAGCTGCTGCCCACCAAGGTCTGTGAAGTTTACCTTAGCCACGCCAGCCTTCCACTCTCTCTGTCCTTCCGAAGTAGGAAAAGGAGGGTACACCGTAACAGTTCCGCGGTAGTTGTGGCCACTTTCTTTGCTGGACGTAATGGCATTCCAGTGAAGACTGGGAGCCTGAGTGGTAGGCTCCGCTGATGGCACTTCAACCAGACCCTCTAGGGTCAAGGTGCAGAATTCAGTACCCTCCCACCCAGCACTAAGCGAATAGGAAGATGCTGTGGATGTGTCTTCCAGGGTAGCAAAGACCTTAGAAAAGCCGAGCTCTTCCCTGCCAGTGATAATTGGGTCTGCCTTGTTCTCGAACATGACAGGGATAAAGTCACCTTTCTTCGCACCTCCAGTTGCGAGCTCATTATCGGTCAAGGCGCCAGTCGCTGTCTTGTTGTCACTGGTGACATTGTGGATATAAAGTGCGAAGAACGAGTAGCCCCGGCCACCAAGCCAGCTCAAGTTTGCCAGGCGCGTAACCGCGAGAGTGGCCGTTGCCCAGCTTCCGTTGGTGTCAATTGACAGTTCTTCACTTGGTAAGAGCGTGCTAATGTAGCTTTTGTGTGTTTTAAATGTGAGGTAGGAGGTCTTATATGAATGCTCTCCCAAATTTCGTAGTCTCCCCATGTGATCTTGTCTTGGACCAGGAGAAGGTCCAAAGGAGAAGGCCGCTCGCCTGTATGTGGCGTTCCTAGCAAGCTCTCGGAGGAGAATTCCACGTGCATGATCGTAAGCATCGTGCCGGAAGTTTATCTCTGTGAATTGCATTGGGTCAATGACTTTTCCACCATGTTTACCATGTGTTGTTTTAAAAGCTGCTTGTCGTGTAAAGTCTTGGACGAGTGTTGCGCGATCATAACGAGCCTGAACGTAGAGTTGGAGTCGACGTGGGACATCTGATGCTTGCGTACCGAGAGGGAAAAGTGCACCAAGCGCTGCACCATCCTCGATAGCTTGCGCACCACCCTGACCCTGGTGAGGAAGGAATGCATGGGCTGCATCTCCAAGCAGACACGCTTTCCCGCGCACCCAATTGTCTTTTCCCAGCTCCTCGTGATCTAGCAGTTTCCACAATTTAATAGTCTCAGCCGATGCCTTCGCAAGGAGCAGTCGCACATCCTCTGGGTACGAGGAGAAACAAGATAGCATGCTGTCTTTGGATGCTGCCTGGTCCCAGTTATCTCCATCGGCTTCGGTCTCCTCGTCGGGGTGCAAGGCCACGAAGTTTATAAGTGTGTTATTTCTGCATGGATAGATTACAATGCGTCGATCGGTGCCATATAAGAGACGCATCTCTCCTTTCCTCTCCAGGAAATGAGCAGTCTTAGGGTCGGCGCGGATGACATCGGCGGGTATCAAAAATCTAAAAGCACTAGATCCAGATGGAGTTGGTAATGGGCAATCCTTAGCTATGGAAGATCTGAGCTTCGAGTGTACCCCATCGGCGCCAATGAGCAGATCTCCGGTATACGTGAATCCGTCCTCTAATGTCAAGGACGGTGTATCAATGTTAATAGACACGACCTTGCTTCGCAGATTAAGGACAACGGGGTGCCCTATCCCTTCCGGTGACACAGCAATGCTCTTCAGTGCGTTGTGTAGATCTACTCGATGTATCAACTGCCAAGGGTAGGGAAAGACAGAGGACAATGGTCTAACGTCCTTCTGAAAAACCATTTCTCCATTTGGTCGATATTCAGATACCCATTCTGTCTGGTTTGCTCCATGGTCTTCTGGGATCATGCCCATCCTTCGCAGTAGGCCATTGACATTGCTTGGTATATGGATGGCAGCACCAGCCTCGGATGCAAATCTAGAGGATTCAAAGATCTGTATTCTACATTAGTGACTCTCCCGAAGAAAGTTTTAAAGGCTTTTCAAACCTCAACTTGATGTCCTGCGCGACGCAAGAAGATGGCAGCTGATAAGCCGCCAATTCCTCCACCGGCCACCAATACTTTCAAAGGCTCATACCCCTCTAAGACGGTTTCATATTTCGACATTGTAACCAATTTTCGTTGAATATATGGTTTTAACTCAAACGAAGCTTTGTTCGAATGGCTTGTCAATCTGTCAGGGAAGTCGAAATATCAGTATAAAACAAAACAATTCGTGCGTGATGTCGAAGCGGCTTGTTTGCGATGAGATATAGGGACATATAGGTACCAGAAATTGGTGGGGATTAACACCAACCCGTAAGCTACGGGTGAGGCTGCTGGATGTTATTGATGGCCCGGATCCATGTCCAGTTATGCGGTTTCCCCACTCCGGCCGCATCCATGTTTAATTTAGTTGAGACAGTATTACGGAAGAAACAATTATTCCCGAGATGAGAGTTGAAGCCTAAACTTTACTCACCCACTCTGAGCCGAACGGCTTGTGTGGGGCCGTGTGGGGGCGGAGTCTTGGGCTCGAAGCCAATCGTACAATCCACCCCACCGGCTCTAAGGCCACAATAGTTTTATTATTATTATAATGGTAAAGTGATATTTAGAAGTAGGTATTTTATGGTGGATTGGCGCAAAGCTCAAAATACTTTTCATGCGTACCATGCTGCTTATTATCTAATCTTTAGATGAGTTACGCCGTATTGACATTCGACTATGTATAGAAAGGATCAGTATTGACTTGGAGGTGTTACAGAGGGATCACAGGACATCCGATTCAGTCATACTTAAATACAACTTCATGTAATAAAGCATTGATGCGATTCATTCCAAGCTAGAGCTTAAAACCCGTAGACCTAAACTAAATCCGAATTTTTAGTCATTGTTGAAAAGACTAGGCGATTCACATGATGCTTCCTCCTCTTTTTCCAGCACAAACTTATGGCTTCCCAGCTTTTCATATGCACAGCTCAGTAGCTCTTCTTCGAAATCTGCCTACGTAATTCTGGCGAATAAAGCGAGAATCTGCTAGCATAGCTTTTCGAGTAACATGACGCATACGGCGAGCGGTGACTGACAGACTTATATGCAATATGGAGTCCCCTCGCTTGCGTTGATATACCTAAGATCAATGAAGGACTCATAGTTCCAGTAATCGCCTTGTACCCCCTCGCCCTCAACTGGAACGTTTCCATAAAATCTCGCAGTCCAGTATGCACTACCTTGAGTATATTTATTGAAGGCGTACAGACCAGTATTGAGGTTCTTTCTCCGGTTTGCGAGTTTGTTGTTGCTAGCCGTCTGGATAGACCACTCGCCGATCCAGACAGGGAACTTGCCATCGCCAGCAGAGGCCTTTGCGTCGGAGCAGATATTGGCAGAAACAGTATCGGAATCTGTTGGGCGACCGGCAAAATAATAGTTGTGCACATCAAAGACGAGGTTTGTATTCGCCGGGAACTGTGGTGACCAGTATGCTTCTCCTCTAAAGCTGCCTTGAAACATCACAGGAATATTTGGATTGGTTGCAACAACCCGTTGAATAACGCCCTTGATGTATTCCAAAGTCCATGCGGCTCCTGCATCCGATAGGGCTGCCGGGGTTCCGAAATACATCATATTCGGGTTGTCCACAGGCTCGTTGATTGGTTCAATGGTGAAGGATTGTGGGAAACCGGAGCTTTGGACAAAGGCAATAACAGCGTCAATTGCCTTGTAGGAATATGTCAAAGCAGTCTGGTTGTTGAACCAGCCGAAATGACCCTCGGCCTCGCCAAACCCCATTCCATTCACACCACCAGGCAAAGAGTGCACATCAACTATGATATGCATGTTGTACTTATTGATGGCATATGTGGCAATGTTCTTGAGAAATTGCTTTTGATTCCCGGTGTAAAGTTGGGTGCCCGGGACCTTCACCCATGCTGCGTAGGTCGTCGGTATACGTAGAACGTTGACGCCGGCCGCAGCGAGCTTGTCAATAGTCGAAGGGGTAATGTATGTCGCGTACCGCTGTTCGAGGACAGGGCCGCACTGAGTGCCGAGATGAGCACACAAGCCCCATTCGTCCAAGGCACCTCCAGAATGTTGGCTCCACCAGGTAGGGTCGATGACAGCTTCTTGTATCAGCCAGCCACCAAGGTTGACTCCATTGCCTTTAGAAATTTTCCAGTTGAAAGAGCTCGTTGATGGAGCCCCCAATGCACCTGGCAGGGCAAGGCCGAGGAAGAAGAGAGCGTTTGATACAAGCATGGCAAAATGAGATAAGTAAAACTCAAGTCCTGAGTGTTGATGATGACTGGCAGCTCATTTTTCTTTGGACTTCATGCTAGTTATATAGATAGTCAGAACATATTACCCCACAGACGTGCTGCTAATAAAGACTTGCAATTAAGAAAGATCCACATCGGTAGTTACTCGAAATTGACAACTTCATAGAGAAATATCACAATGCAGTTGAGGCTTCCCCTGTAACATGACGGTTGACGAGGTTTGTCACCCACTTGCCGATATAATATTTTCAAAGGCCCCGAGGAAATAAGGTAGAGGGTAAAGATTTAAAATTGTCGGGTCCTGCAGAAACCTGGCTAACGGTGAAGAATAATTTCATTGCTACTTGGTTACCCCGCATTCTATATTCTATATCAAACCAATCTACCATGAAGAATGCACATTTACTAGTGGAAAGTGCGGATATGAACAGTGACCCGGCCTAGCTCGGTGTAGTTGCTGCCGACACTTGGAAGCATTGGGCGAAACTATAAGCAAAAATGAGTGAAACTAGCAGTGATTTAACCGTAAGTGTCAGACATTGCCCCGGAGCTGCTCCGGTTTTTAGATCTGGGACAGAAAAATAAATGCGGGGAAGAATTAATAATTTCGGTGTTATGACGGCCTCAACACACATACCAAAATTTCCTTTGTCAGTCACCCTGAGAGCAACAATACCACAGGAGCACGTTGCCTCCCTTATTGGACCTCATCCGGTTTCTCGCTATCAGTTGGTGCGCCGTCCTCCTCAATTCTCCGTCCACTGCCATCTTCTCGTTCTCCGCCCCCCATCCGCATCCCCAAGCTCAGTAGCGAAGGCGCTCTCTCTGCTCAAATTCTTCAGAACCCTGATACTATCTTTGCTCTGTTGTCTTTTTCTCGCAGCTCTCCATGCACCTATGCTGAAGCATTAGATATATGATCATCAGGTGGTAGATCACTGGGTGAAGAACTCTTGGTAGGGATCATTGAGTGACGGATCACTATGATTATGAATTTGAATATCTCGTACCCTAACAAGCTTCGCGACCATAGACCACGAGGAAACCTTTTGCATTTCACTGTAGTTACCACCTCCTCCCTGAGTCTGTAAAATAAGTGAATATTCTAGGATTGCTTGGGCCCTCAACCATGACGTCTAAAACCCAGGACTTGTCTTGAAGGGCAACTTTCGATGAAGCCTCGACACAATCTCCGTATAATCCTTCTCGTTCTCTGCGGTGATGAAGCCGTGCCTTACAAAAAAATCAATCATCACTGTGGCACAGCTAGGCTTGAATTCCCCATTCCTCATCGCCTCCTTTACCTCATCAACACCAAGCAAGTGAAAACTCTGCACGTCGTTGTCGACTGGCTTGAAAGTCACATGCTCGCCTACCTCCAGGTCGTACACATACAACACTCCCGGATTCATAAGCCCCAGTTCTCCGCCAGCCTTCTCATCAGATATATTGAACCATGTCACAGCTCCCGCAGCCACCGTGTCTCTTCGTACAAGCTCTTCTGATAAAGCGGCCTCTTCACCAGCCTCACGAACAAGGCATTCAAAGGGCATCTCACCCCTTGCCACGCCACCTGCGACAGTGTTGTCTAGCATGTTCGGCCAGGTGGATTTCTTCGCATTTCTCCGCGGGATCCAGAACTTCATTCCCGAGCTCGTACGCGTGTAGACGGTCATGTGTGCCCCTCTTCCCACGATACCGAATAGGGAGCTCGCAGACCGTTCGATGCCGATATCAAAACTTGCACCTACAATTGGGAATTGTTCATCACGCTTCTTCCCCAGTCCAGGAAAAGTCTTCTTCTCGCGGGCGAGATCGAGGAGGTCATCAATCGCTTTGACACATGCTTCTTGCCAGTCTTCGCGATCCTGTTTGATCAGATGGACTTCTTTATGTGGGGTCGTAACGAGGCGGAAGTCGGGCGTCCATGGCATGCGCTGAACAATGGAGTCCAAGAGAAAGCCGTGTGGTTGAGGGTCGTCCGGAAGAAAGAAAAGCCATAAGGACTCTAGCTCTCTGTTGTAGGCATCGGTACGACATGGTTCGTAGTACGGGAAGCTAGGACTCGGGAGGCACTAGTAAGCCCAAGTTGATAGGGAGATGCGATGTGGGGACGGAATTTACTTATCACACTCGTGGACAATTTCGAGAATGCTCTTCATGGCTGTTGAGGAACAGGTAGAATACCCTACGCTGGACAATCTTTGAAGAGAGGATTGGGGATAGAAGGGATCCAATTCGGAATGGGTTACGACGAGAATTTTGCGAACTTGGGCTTTTAGGCAGGGCGAGAAGGAGTGTTCGTGATATGAATACAACGACTTACATATCAGTGGGGACACATGCAGCTAGCCGAGTAGGGCTAGCGGCAGGTATCACTGTAGATATACGTTGCGCTAATATTAACCTATAAGTCTGCGCGTGCCGCGTCAAGTCAGTATGCCACTAATCTTACTCGTTTAAGGCAGATTTCATCTACGCAACTTCCTGTGAAGTAATCCTTTCAGAAGCGCCAAAGATTCCGAATGGATATCTTAGTAGGCAGCTTGTCAAAACCCTCTCTCCTTGACATATTTCTGGTCTCGTTCTCTAGAGAACCCATCACCGGTCGCCACGTTCTGAACAACCGCTAGATTGGCCTGGGACACATGACGGGCGACTTTCCAAATCTGGCTGCGCAGTGCAATTGTCTGTTGTGTTACTGCGAACTCTGTGCTGGCCATCGCCTTATAATTATATTGGCCTGGCACACAGTCCTGGCGCTTTTGCAAACCTGTTTATGCAATGTAATTGTCTGTTGTGTTACCGCGCACTGTATGGTATATGCGCCATAATGCCTCCAAATGCCAAACTAAGATAACCGGTGTCGAACCTACTGAGCACTCTCGCTCGCACCCTTCATGTTGGAGGTTGCACTCTTCTGCGGTGGCTTGCAAAGGTGCCATTCCTAAACTCTGACGCCGTCCCATAAGAATCAGCCTTGCTGCTGATGTTGCAGCGCCATGCTTGTCCAGATCTTATCCCGCATCGATTATGGATGCCCTCTCGATTGCGACTGGAGTTGTGACTTTGATAGGCGCTGTGAGCAAGACCATCCAGGCAGTTAAGGTTGTCTATGGAGGCCCCGCTGAATTGCAAGTCCTCTTCAATGAAGTTTCAGACCTCACTGCAATCCTCAATGATGTGGCAGCAATATTGGGTCGAAGAGTGTCGGCTGGCGAAAACGTCGAGGGTTTGGACAATATTGTCGTGTCGCTCCGCAAGTAGAGGACTATACTACAAAATCTAGATCAACTCATCCACCAGATGTTAACCAAGGACAAAATACAAAAATAGATGTTCCAGGCGGTATCTACCAAATGCGGAAACGAAGATGGCTTGTAGCACGCCGGAAAGTCATTACTTTTAGGAAACAATTGTCTGTCATGCGTGAAGAAATGATCGCGGTGATACACCTCGGAAATCTGTAAGAACAACTCTCATGATACTTTGTTGTGCGGTCACCCAATGCCTAATCATCTAACAATGGCTCTATTAAATAGATCCATTGGGTCTCGAGTGGAGCTACGTCTAGCCAATGTCATCACTTTTAGTGAGAATGCAATGAGGATGCTTACTGAGCAAAGCCAACGTATGAGAGGACTTGTACAGGATATCGAAGGAATCAAGCAGTCTGTGGGTCAGGGTATAGGTCCAGAACGAGCAACGTCCTTCACAACAAGGCAGATCAAGTCAGCCCCTAGATATACAAGATAACCTGATTCATAGAGATATCCAAGCGCAGGAGATCGAAGTGCAACCTCTTTGGCAACCCCCGTCTTGTTGCAGCAGAAATTGCTATTGCGCCTGCCACAATGTCTGCTACAATCGTAGTCCCCAATTTCTCGACAGACTCTTGGGGGTGCTCTTTTGGACCTACACCGGCCTGGCAATTATTAAACAGAACTGTGATTCTTCAACTTGTGTCCGCAATGAGACATTCGCAATACAGATCTCCTATTTTTTCCCTGCCTGGTATGTGAATAAAGCGTTTAACTTCACGTGCAAGTTTACACAACTAGGCGGACCTCAGGTCTCTCTAAGGACTTCTAGGATTGTCGATCAGTCAGCGTCAATCTTTCACTTCACACACATTGGAGATCTCGATGCCATAAAAAGTCTTTATTCCCAAGGGCTTGCTTCTTCGCTGGATGTATCACACAAGAAATGGAATACTCCCCTACATGTAAGTCTATGGTACGGCTATTTTCACGCATTCACTAACAATTCTCAAGTCAGCTGTGGTTAGAGGGATGTCACACTGATCGACTTTTTTATTGCTACAGAAGCAGATGAAGACGTTCTAGACCTAGCCCATAGGTTTGCGTTTCTCCCATATTCAGTACGATAGCTAATGAAATGCAGAAGCCCAGCGTCTCTTGCTTGGGACATTATCCTATCACGATCTAAAAGCAATACTGTCATTGAACACCTTCTCGGCTCGTTTGGCGATTCCAGATACATAGAAGACTACCGCTTCTCTCACCTCCACGAAGTAGTCTTAGATATAAAACATAGCAGTATTGAAGAAGCACTAAGCCGTGATCCTTCCTGGATTAACTGTACCGATACACACCAAAACACCCCTCTCCTGTGGGCAAGCCGCCGCGGAAACAATGTCCACGTTCAAACTCTACTACATTGTGGCGCTGATTCCAGTATCAAGAATGATGTAGGCGAGGATGCGCTTATCGAGTCCGTTTACTTCGGCCGTCTCGACTGTATGCTATCTCTTCTTCGAGCCCACGCACCTATATCTGAAGCTGCAGACGGAAAAAAAAATCTTCATCACGCATGCAAACTCCGCGATGATCTCGCATACATCAAGTCTATCATCCAAAGAGGCACAGACATAAATCGGAAGGACTGTTTAATCCGCACACCCTTTGCACTCGCGTCTTCAATGAACCATTTTCGCACAATCAAGTATCTTCTTGACCATGGTGCGGAAATTGACGCTAGGGATGCGTACGGCTCAACCCCCCTCATGCGAGCAGTTCGCTACGGTGCACTTGAAGCTGCTACTCTGCTCTTCTCATATGGGGCTGACATCACTGCGACTGACGTTGATAACCTCACCATATTGCACAAAGTAGCGCTTAGCACCGACACCTCCATGATGAAACTCCTCCAAACCCAAGACCTACGAGGTTTATATTCGGATACACGGGATATTTCTGGGAAAACAGCGTATCAGATGCTTGTCGAACATAAGCCGTGCGTGGAGACTCTTATTGTATTCACTGAGTTGCTAGATATTATAAGACGTGGTGCAGAGGTAGGTGAAGTCGTCGAGCAAGTATTTGAAATGGAATTAGAATTAGAACCGGAGACGGAACATACATCTATGGAAAGTAGTTTGTATGAGTCTGAGGATGCGCTAGAGTCATTTTAAGATATATATATAAGTTATGTAACGTGTTCTTGCCTTCTGCACAGAGGCAGGGATGCCATACTCATGGCTTTATATAAGGACGTCTCCATAATGCCTAAAAGTAGTCTTCTGTCCTTCTTCATAATCGGCTTTTAGGCCGTAGTCCCTCTTTTCTCGTTCCACCCCAACAACTTGCATCTCAATACATAGACCCATTCACTGGAAAGCATCCATAGCCAAAGTAAAATAAAGCAGAGAGACACTATTATTGACCCGAGCAAGCTTAATACACTAAACCAACGGAAGGCAAGCCAGATAGATGCCCAATGTGTCCCTGGGGTCTGCTCAGCCGCTAAAGCAACTTGCATCGAGTTTAAAACAGTAGAAACTACCGCAAAGACGAACAAGATGGGCCCGTACATTCTCGCGAAGTAATCGCCATACTGTCCATGTAGATTTTCGTAGTGAGACTTCCCCAGTAGAAATGGAGCATAGAGGTTAAGCCGCGATAGCCTCAGCTCCCCGTAGCAGTAGCGATTCGAAACATCCGAGTCTTCTATTTCGAGCGCCGAAATAAATCCACAAAACTCTTCCCATTGTACATCCTTCGGAATAAGACTAAGGTGCTCTTGCTTAGCGATTATGAAGTCCGATTCATGCTGGATCAGGTAGCGATAGGTTCGCAGGAACCCTAGGGCTGCCCTGCGTATTTCGTCTTGATAGACAAGAGGCCCCTCGTTATTTACAAAAAAAGTCTCCCAGACTGTATACGACAGGAGATACTTCGGGAGTGGCTTGATAAAGATTCTATCATAGAACCACACCAGATGCAGCCGTGGTTCCTCTGTGACGATGATTTCCCGACCCTTGACTCGCTGGCGATGGAGTGGGTTTATGTTCGAACTAGAGGGTGTTGACAAGATCCAAAGTTTCAAGGCAATTTTTTCCAGATCCTCGGCACAGAGGTCTTTTCTCAAGAACTTGATGTTTTTCAGAGGCGCATCCATCCGCACGCACGGCTGGCCTGGCAGCGATCTGGTTCGCCCAGCCTCCGTTTTGGCATTATCTAGCTCATCGCAGAGCTGCTGGTCATTCGAAAATGGAGGTGATTTAGAAGTATATAGCATCATAGATGATTGTCGAAATACAATCCGATGATAGAACGAGGCAGGTTATGATTCATATATGATTATAATGTTTCAAGGAATGGTCTATTGGCCAGCCTCATCTGAAGAGTGAGGCGGACTGCGTACTTGGCGTGAAAGCCACCATAGGCGCCTTGTAAGAATCTGTACCTCAGCCTTACTCGTGTAACCTCAGAACGTCTCCTCGGAGCTGCCAGAGCAGCCTTAAACACTCTATCCGCCCCGAAGTAGCCTTGAACGTCCCGTTCTCAACAACTTCATCAGTGTCGCTAAAGCATTAACACTACCACCAGAAACTTTCAAGAGAATCATCTACAATGGTATATACCTCGAGATTCCCCCAATTTGTTTTTAACTTTCTTTAGGCAGTCGATCAGCAACATGAGTACAACGGCCAACTTGTGCCTTTTGAGGCTGAGCAGACTGTTCGCAGGCCTATAACTAGTGATGACATCGGCATGAAATGTCTTTTCACCCCAGACCCTACAGCTTTCACTGAGGTTATCGAGTAAGTTCAACCGTTTATAGTTATATACTATTAAACTTTCTAAGGAAACGACTTTAGTATAATTGCGATTCACGGCATTGCTGCCCACCCCGATGAGACCTGGTGCAAGGGCGGCGTCAACTGGCTTAGTGATGAGAGCATGCTGCGCTCGGCAGTGCCAAACGCTCGAATACTACGATACGGATATCAGTCAACTTGGTATGGAACTAGTCAGGAAGTAATCTCTACGAACACGTCGAGGGTCGCAGCTCGATTCTTGTCGGCCTTGACCGTGTTGCAGAAGGTAGGCCGCATACCATGCTATAGTGAGGCTTTCCATAGTTAACATCTACTCCCCACAGGAAGTTCCATATCGACCTATTATACTTATAGCACACTGTTTCGGTGGTTTGGTAGCTCTGAAGGTCAGTTTAGCTATGTTTATTCTCTCCGCGCCTAACTCTGTTAGGCACTCCTCAGTGCAAGAGATGACAACGGTAGCAATGGTTTGCCGAGGTGGGGTCGTATTTTTGACTCTATTACTGGGATTATATTCCTAGGTACGCCTTTTAGAGGTTCAGACATGAAGATAAATGAGATGCTCAACTTTGTGAGGAGCGAACAGAAGGTAGTACAGGGCGAAGTCCTCAGGGTGCTTCAAGGAGACGATGAATATCTCAAAGATCTAGTAGATCGATTTGGGATGACGCGGAGACTACCAAACAGCGCCAAAGTTACCTGTTTCTACGAGATGAAACAAAGTAATGTTGGAGCTATCGTGCGCGACCCCAACGAACAAATGGTACGTTTATCTGCCGTGTATTGCAAGTTACTAATTTTACGATAGAAAATTGTCGTGAATGAGAGTTCTGGCTGTCTCGATTCAACGGAAAAATACTCCCTCAATCGAGATCATTTTGAAATGAACAAGTTCGATAAGTTCGACGATGAAGATTTTAGTTTTGTGTGCAACGAGGTCACAGACATGATGAAAAGAGCGCCAGGGATATTCCTAGCCCGTCGTCGCAGTAAAAAGCCCCAAGATCGGGGGTTTACACACCCTGGCAAGCTACCAGACGGGGCAAAATACTTCAAGGAAGCCCATCCCGAAAGGTTTTTCTGGCAGTATCTGACTTCAGCTTCCCATGGGTTATACGAAGCAATATACAATGCATGCGTGTTCGAAGGTGGAAACGGTGGCGAGAATATCGATTGTAGGTACTTTTATCAAACCTGCACATTGAACCTATAAGGATAAGGTCGCTGGGAGATATCACTAGTGCTAATTCCTGTCTAGTCTTTTCGTTTCTCCTCGAGCTAGAACGCTTCGGAGTCAAAAGTGAACAAATAATAGAGCTCTGGACAAGCCTTCCCTATACCAAAGAACCCCCCCTTCAACCATTACACTCAAAAGGATATACAATGGCTATACTATACATGGTCCATATGAAGATTTGCGAGGAAAGACGGCCCGATGACTTAAGAGGGGGACCTGAGAGGGAAAAGCGCCTCCGACTTCTACAAAACTACGCAATCTGGGTACCATGTCTATGCAAAGGCCAATGTGGTTTAGAATGGACTTTTGCAAATGATGAGAGTTTATCTGTAGGTAAGGGAAGTGCGCGTTGTGAGATACGTATAGGGGGCGATAATGGTGACAAGGCCTTCGCAGCGACCAAAGAGAGCTGGGAATCTCGCTAGGGACTGTTACTTGGGGTTTCTTATAACCCCGCATGGCGCTCAAGTTACCACTAAGGGGGGGGTGTTTGTGGAGTTTAGCCGGCGGTGCTGCTGATGATCGTTCCCCAGCGATTAGTTATGGCAAACGAGCTTAGTTAGGAACTATGCCCAAGAACATTTCACGAAGGTGCTAAATCAATCGTGGTGTATTACAGTTACCATACAATTTCATAATCATTTGCTAAATTCTAATCGATCTTCGATATCTACCACTTCTTCCTTGCCCTTACTCCCTTCAATACTGCGGTGGGTACTGAGGTGGTGGTGGATACCCTCCCTGCTGCTGATAACCACCCCCACCAGGCGGCGGCGGGTATCCCCCTTGCGGCGGATACTGTCCCTGTCCACCCTGCTGGCCTTGATGGCCTCCATCATGTTTCTTTCCACCCTGCTGTCCGCCATACAACCCCCCCTCATGCGATCTCCCAAAGTGGTGCTTCCCTTCCGGTTTCGGCAAGTTCCCTGGCGCTGTCCCGCCCTGCTGCGCTCCCGGGAAGCCGCCTGGCGTATGCTGTCCGTACTGCTGGTGCGGCGGCTGCTGACCGTATGCGCCTGGGACTGGGGGTGGGGCACCGTACTGGTGTTGTTCCTGGCCGTAGGGCTGCTGCTGTGGTGGTGGTGCTTGGCCATAGGGCTGCTGTTGTGGTGGTGGCGGGTACTGCTGCTGCTGGGAGTTGTAGTTTGTGTTTGGTGGGGGACCGCCGTAGGGAGGTTGCTGTTGCTGCTGACTGCTGTTGTATTTGTTGTCGCTGCCGTACTTGTTGTCGCTGCTGTACTTGTTATCGCTGCCGTATTTGGAGTCTTGTCCCTGGGCGCCGCCGTATGTGGACGTCGATGATGAACCACCAGGGTTGTACGCTGGAGGCGGTGCCTGTCCTTGATAGCTGCCCTGCTGGTCGCTGCCAGAATATCCATATCCGCTCTGTCCCTGCTGTCCATGCTACCACAATTGTTAGCACTCGCTCTTCAAATCGAATTGAAAAAAACTCACAGTTCCGCCCATAAGTCCACCAACCATCCCCATCAGTCCTCCTCCGCCACTACTTCCCTGTTGCTGGTGAGCACCACTGTAGTTACCAGTCTGGTCGCTGCTATAATTCCCGCTCTGCTGCTGCGACGACCCTCCGTACTGTCCCTGGCTCTGGCTCTGGCTCTGGCTCTGGCTGCTCTGCTTTCCCCCTCCCAAGAAGCTGCTAGCCATCCCAGCCAGGCCGCCAGATCCTCCACTGCTGCTGCTGCTGCTCTGCTTTCCGCCTCCTAGCAACGACCCAGCAAGGCCCGCAAGCCCGCCGCTACCGCTGCTGCTGCTTTGTTTCCCACCTCCCAGCAAAGACCCCGCCATCCCGACGAGTCCGCTGCTACCACTGCTCTGTTTTCCTGACCCGGATCCCATAGCGTATTTCATGGCCATGCTCTGCTATGCATTAGCTTCTCTCCCACCGCTTGATATCCACCGCGTAAAAACCAGAGAATACATACCCCCAATCCTCTCTCTCCCTCTGGCCCATCTCCTCCCATGCCCCTCTCGCCCTCTCCGGGCTGCTGATGCTGTCCAAAACCGGAATTCGAGCGCTCTTCATGCGGCGTGCTCGAGGAGCTGGCCGTGGGCACATCCCAGCGCGTCTGTCGTGTAGACAGCTCGACGAAGTAGTATTTCCCGGACTCGGCATCCCACTGAGCGATCCATCCCGCTGGCAGCGCCGGGGGCTCGTGCGAGGGTCCTTCGTTCATTGTTGCGAGCTTTTTTGGATGAGGCTTCGTTTGTTCGTTTCTTTGGGTTCGTTTGGGTAGAGTTTCGCGAACTCAAGTCTTGTCAGGGTCTTGATTGTATCCGTCGCACGTCACAGGGTTTATCTGTGCTATTCGTTCTCAAACTCAGTCTCTCTCTTGATCGATTCTCTAGAAACAGGTCAGGCCAAAATCATAAAGAACCTCTTCTTCAATAAACCCACAAAATCCCAAGACCCTTAGACTGATCCGGCGAGTGGTCGGCCTATAAAGTTGGTAGTAAAGTCGAGTTTCCCGGTTGTTGTCTGGAGTGGGAGCGGTCTCAGCCCCGCTAATGTGGCGCACACGTAAGGGTCGGTGGTGGGAGGTGCACAGCCTCATCGCTTACGCCACGGACGCCAAGGCTGGTATCATGTCGCGACTGACCATGCCCTCGCGGGTGAGGAAGTAGGCAGCAAAAAAAAGCCAAGGGGAGCTATTAGCTCTATGGCAGGGAGGTCTAAATGGCGCATGAGAAAGGTTCAGCTATACAGGCCTGGCGCGGGATAGGTGGTGCGCGGCTGTGGAGGCTGGAGGGTTTGTTCGTTCAGCTGTGGCTGCATTTTTAATTTTGGCACTTGAACAATGGCCTTGGTCGGGATATATTTATCATCTGAACTGGCAAAGGAGATGGCTCCCATGGAATCTAATATATATTTCACTTCCAATAGCCCCCTTGCGTTGAGACGCCAATAGCCGGTAGACACGATGCACGGCGACTTTAGATACTGGACTGCCGGAGGAGATCTCCCGCAAGGCTCCGGCAGATCGTAAAGTTTAAACAGCTTCATTGAGCACGTCTCCGTATATATACTTAGATTAGAGAATGTCCCATTTGATGATGTGAGGGCTAGAAAGCTGCTGAAAATGGTGGCGATGATTTCCCCGCAATGCCCGGAAGCGTATCCGACGAGTTCCCCGCACTGGCAGTAAAACTCGGCATCTAACACTGGGGGTCAACTCCGAAGAGCACTGCCATAGTGTTGTTCCAATATGCTACACCTGTACCTAGCCGAAGCTGTGGGACGAAAGTATATGGGCGGATTTCGGCAAATGTAAGTCTCAAGCTCGGCATCGGATAGCACACTCAAGTATGTTCTGGATATAAAGATGTATATCTGCTCTTCAGCCAAGCCACGCGCGGAAGGTTATTAAGCACCTTTGAACTGTTATCCTTATATCCCCTTCTCCTGCTATACCGGAAATATGACTCAGCACGTCGACGTCCTGATCTGTGGTAGCGGCTCCGCTGGGCTCTGCGCCGCAGCATGGCTGGCCCGATGTGGTCTTCGGTGCAAAGTCCTCGAATCACAGCCTGGGCCATTGAAAATAGGGAAAGCCGACGGCGTACAATGTCGCACAGTGGAAGTCTTTGAGAGTTTTGGTATCGCCGAAGAGATGCTTCGGGAAGCCTACCATGTGTTAGAAGTTAATTTCTGGGGGTCTAACGCAGAGGGAAATCTGGTTTGGACTGGCAGGACGGCAGATACAGCGCCAGGATTATCTCACCAACCACACTTAATCTTGAATCAGGCGCGGGTTAATGGTTTGTTGCTTGAGGTGATGGAAAGGTTTAATGAGCAGCGCGTGGATTATGGCTATGAGGTCAAGAAAGTACAGGTTGATAGTGGGGAAGCTGCTAATCCGGAGGCTTACCCTGTGACTGTCGTCACCGTAAAAGAGGGAGTAGAGGAAATTTTCAAGGCAAAGTATGCCCTAGTAAGTAGTATCTGACCCCTATACAGTATTATTTCTCATCCTAGCAGGCTTGTGATGGTGCACATAGCGCTGTGCGCAGATCTCTTGGTTATAAGATGGTTGGCGACAGCAGTGATGTTGTGTGGGGCGTAATGGACGTGTTTCCACGAACAAACTTCCCTGACATCCGCAAAAAAGCAACTCTCCAGTCTAACTCTGGAAGTCTCTTGATAATCCCGCGCGAAGGTGGCTCCATGGTACGCTTCTATATTGAGCTGCCATCCGGGACAGCAGCCAAGGACGTCCAACTCTCCGACCTGCACTCTACCGCATCGCGAATTTTCCATCCCTATCAGATTGAAATCGCAGAAACTTTCTGGTGGTCAGCCTACGCCATTGGTCAGCGCCAGGCAGATTTCTTCTCCAAGGACAACCGCGTCTTCCTCACTGGCGACGCCTGCCATACGCATTCACCAAAAGCGGGGCAGGGTATGAACACGAGTCTACAAGATGGATACAACATCGGCTGGAAGCTCGCGCAGGTCTTGAAAGGCCAATCACCGCCAGCTCTTCTTGAGACGTACGTCCAGGAGCGTCAGCAAGTGGCATCTGACCTGATTAACTTCGACCGTGCATTCGTAAAGGCTTTTAGCTCAAAGGCGGCGAAGGAAGATGGCTCAACCGAATTTAAAGAGCATTTTATTAAGGCCGGACAGTATACAGCGGGCTTGACGGCAAAATACGGAGACTCGAAGATCACGAATGCAAAGGACAGCATGCAGAGTCTGGCAACTAATCTCATAGTAGGGATGCGCTTCCCGAGCGCGCAGGTGGTGAGGTTCTGCGATGCAAAAGCGATGCAGCTTGTGAAAGCTTTGCCGTCAGATGGGCGCTGGCGGATTGTCATCTTCGCAGGGGACATTAATGAGCCTTCTAGTGCAACTAGACTTGAAGAGTTGGGGGCCTATCTTTATTCCTCCGGTGGTCCTGTTAAGTCTCACACGCCTGCGTCTGCAGATATCGACTCTTTCATTGAGCCGATCGTCGTTCTCTCGGGCAAGCGCATCAATACCGTGCAGGAGCAGATCCCGGATTGCTTCTGGCCTATTACTGGGAAGTGGAAAATGCGAGGTTCGTGACTTCCTTTCGAAAGTTGACAGAGCTGATAATGTTTCCATAACAGATTTACATAAAGTATATTTCGATGATGAGAGCTATAATTCAGGGCATGGAAAGGCATATGAGTTCTATGGTATTGAGCCAAGCAAGGGCACGGTGGCAATTGTGAGGCCAGATCATTGTGGGTGTTTCCTTTTATTTTTCTCGATCCTGTCTAGGTGCATGGAAAGACTGGGCACTAATGGAAATAGATATTTCAATGGTCACTATGATTGAGAATCACGAGTCTATTGGAGACTTCTTTAAGGGATTCGCTCTCCAAGCGTCGTGATGCAGTTCTGAAGTTTGATTTCCTCAAACCATGAAGGAATAAAAGGGGCGTCCTTAAAGTTGCGCAAACGGCTTTTAATCGACGTTTGTCGCAGATAGGGCAGTGCATTCCAAAGAACAATTTGTTGGTAGTTCATAAGAAAGGAAACTAAAACTATGGATGCTACTGTACTTTAAATTATACCTGTGTTGCAGATGGTTCTGGTTTTTATATTTTTATATATTAAATAAATTAGACTCTTGCAAACTTTAGCAAAGTTAATTTAAGTATGAAAACTTTACGACTTTAGATATCATTATATAAATTAAGCACACAATTGCTTGAATATGGTATTATAGGTCCCAAGTAAAACAAATCATATTTTCCCATTCATAACCGGCTTGCACTGCTAATTCCGTGATACTATCTACTACGTTCTGGCCAGGCATCAAATAGCCCTTCGTGAATCATTATGTTTCCGAACTTCACCTCCCCTTCCCCGTCATGAATGAACCGAATATCTTTCGAGGCCTTATACCATGATCTATTGACGTCAGTATTTACAATATAACAGAGAGATTATGGTGTTACTTACCGGGCCCAAGTGCTTATGACAAATCTGCTATTGGCATGGACTTCCACGATCGAATTGTCAACGACGATAGTTAGTTCTAACGTCTCTATCTTCTCTTCGCCGTTCTCTATAACATCAAACAGACGCAATTTGCCGCTCTCGTTGCGGGCGTCGATCCCGGCCGTCGTCGAGGACGCAGCACTAGAATTGGTGCGGTCTATGATGATTGACTCGTTAGAGAATTGGTAGTAGATCCTAGTCGTCTCGAACTCTGAGGACAGGACCTCGAAACCAGCCTTCAGGTCCGATCCGCGAGCCGATGCAGGGAACGAGAGTGACGCGGTTAGGATGTAGAATTTCGATTTTGGACGGTGCTGAAAGGCCACTGGACCTGACGAGCCCAGCGTCTTGCCGGGCTCAATTATCGATACGCCGCTCGTCAATTGGGACATGGTCTCCCGAACAATCTCTTGCTTTAGCGTAACGAGCTCAAGGACGCCCAAGTTGCTGCTTGAAATTCGCCACGAGCCTGTCTCGCGAGAGAGCTCATTATCTACCACATTAGATATCGTTCCGACACTTAGCTCTCGGGGAAGCAACAACGCGCCAGTCCAATTCTGCTGCAAGGTGGGAAAGTTGTGCGTGCCATAAAAGTCCCCAGTAAGCCACACGTATGTTATGAACCGATCGGGTGATTTGCTTTTCATCGACGCTTGCGTATCTGCAGGTAATTCTTTCCCAGCAGCAGCATATGCCGACGCACCCCAGTCTAGAAAGCCTGCCATGGTTGGCGTGAACTTGAGCGCCCCATCTTGAATAGTTACGTTGCCTGCTGCCCAGAGCATTTGCCTCGAGTCCGAGACCTCCGGTACGATAGGCTCAAACGACCATTCTGCGCCAATTGTAGTGAAGACTTCACCCTCGGCGTTATAACCGTTCTTGTCAAGGCTGAATATATTAGCTACTTCAAAGTTAAACCCCCATTGGCCAGCCCAGTCACCATTTCCCCAAGTCGAGTTCGCTGCTTCATGCCACCACTCGCCTAGGTATTCCCAGTATTGGAAGTCGGGATCGTGTTGGCGGTAGAGGAACTGGGAGGGGCCGTCTCCGTGGACGCCTCCTGAGATGACGGTATACCATGTCTGTGGGCTGCTTTCGAGGAGAGAGTCTAGTTTGGCGTTTTGAAAAACGAAGGGGTCGCGAAAACCAGTTACGTTAACAGCGAAGGGCGCAGAAGGGATAACTGGTCCCTGACGCAATTTAGTGAAGTTGCGACCACTATCATAGGAAACTGCTAAAGACTGGGTCTCGCTTCCTCTTGTATAAGGAATAGTCCATTGGATGGGCAGATATGAGACCGAGGTGTACAGTAGAGTCGGCTTGCCATCGATTCCCGCCGGAATGACGGAGCCATCAAAGACGGCAATGGGATCGTTCACTCCACCAGCAACGATGAACGGCCGTCCATCAGGATTCAGGTCGCGGTATGTGACAAGGTCATCGGTTGTGGCCCCAGAAGCACCACCGTGCAACCAGCCAACGTGGAAAAGTCCTGTACTAGGATCAGTGTAGTGCATACACGGGTCACCAATTTGGCCAGATGGCGGAAGAACGTGGGCTCTAGGTCTCCATGTTTCGAACAAGCTAGAATTTGCAAGTGTTGAGAGGTTAGGCGGTGCCTTGTTGTAGTTGACAGAGTGACGTTGGCCTTTGGTCCATTGTGAGACAGTTGAACTAGCTGCAGAGGTAGCTGCAGAGGTAGCTGCAAGAGCTGCAACAACTAACGAGGGTTTCATGATAACAGTCAGGTTATACAGAGCATTTCACAGGTTTATACCGGATATTACATGCCTTTATATGCTATTCTATGCCCAGGCAGTTCTCATGGCAGAATGATTACAAAGTATGGGGATTGCCATAAACGGCGATACTTCGGTAGCTTAGAAGTGGAGAACCCCACTTGTAGAGATCTAGAGTCCCCCGCATCTTGAGTCTGGAGATCTTGCGTTAAAGGATCAGCCGAATAATACAGCCGTACTAGATAATATCTGTAAGATGATAACTCGTATGTAAGAAAAGTGTGGAGCACAGTTATATGTCATTGGTTTTGAGGTATTATGGAGACTTCCATATACCGAACCAAAAGTTCGGCAAATACATTGATCACTCACCCAAAGTAGGCAGAAACGGGAGTTACCAGCTCTATGCTAGAGAGGCGTAAATGATGCATAAAATGGCTCAGTTGTACAGGCTTGGTGCGGGATATGCGATGCGCAGCCTTGGAGATCGGAGGGGAGGCGGTGTGTTGTGGTTTACTCAGCCGTGGCAATCATTCACTCTTTGACGTCCTGAAATGTTTGCGTTCTGCGAAGATGCCACATCATCTGCATCGTGGCGGCTACCTCGACAGGCAAAGTGCGCAGTGGACACTGTGGACACGGCACTCCACGAATTTGGATTCTACAATGCCGAAGGAGGCTCTCGCAAGGCTCCCGTAGGTCGAAGAGGAGGAGTTGCTCAATGGCTCCACAAAGCGCGCGCCTGTATTCCTAGACTAGAGAATACTCTATTATTATATTACTCGCTAATTCTTCGCGCTGTTGACGCATGGCGCAAAGTGGCCCGCCCCTTGTTATCCGGGTTACTGGTTCGCTTTAAAAAAGGCTGTTTTGGATACGCGCCGGCATCACCATAAAATGAGAAATGACCAAACACTACCAATAACGAGCTCACTATGCACTATAATAGGTAAGTCCTATTATTTGAGTCTCATCCCCACTCCAATATTGCCAATACTATCGCACTGTAGCCGCGACATGACAGCAGCCTTGTCGTAGAGTTATTTTTACATGTGGCTGAATTATTCTGTGGTGGCGTTTGTTGAATATAGAAGTCCGCTTTCTCCGCCATTTCAATAATTCCTTGTCGCCAGCGATGGCATAAAGTCCTCTTGATTTCCTGTCTTCGGTAATTTCTTGTTACTAGCTATTTCTTAGTTATTTGTCTTTTTCGGTTTCTTTTCATCACTCTTTTTTTCTACACATTTTACACCTTCTCAAACGAGGCTGGCCCCTATTTTCTGGCCGCTACAAACTATACTTTATAATATACTCCCTGTCAGCCGCAATTCTCTTATATAATATGGCTAATATGGACCCCTCAACTCGTTGCCAGATGCCAACTCTGGCCACACAGCCGACTTTGCCATTTTTCGCTCCGCAGCATTTCCACCGTCACTTGCGAAGGGCAGCAGTGCCTGATTCGAAGTTATGGTATACAATGACCACCCCCGAGGCTGGCGACAGCAACTGTTTGTTTGCAATTCCCAACGTCGACGGGTCCGGTCCGTACCCCGTTAGATTCAAATCATGCGATCCGCTTGAAGACGATTCTCTGTGGCAATTCGTTCCAGACTCCCAGGGCCACTATTTCATATATAATAAGGGATGGGGAAGTTCTGGCCATCGACTGGATATCAACTGCCCTGAACCATCTATGTGCATCATGTGGATGGGCCCCTCGGGCGAGATATACAACAACCAGCGCTGGTTTCTTGTGAGTTATTCCGCCGAAAGGCACAATATAAAATGCTGACACGCGGGGAAGGGTGGCAGTAATGGCCAATTTAAAATAAGCAGCCTCGGACTGCCAGGTAGCTCCCTGAGCTCTGCACTGGTCGATAACAACTACGTCGGCGTGATGCTAGATACAACCACTATTGGTGATGATTCGAAGAACTGGAAGCTTAGTGACAATATCCCCGCATCATCCTCGTCTACTACGCCAGCTTCCTCTACTACGCCAGCTTCTACTGTCGCACCCGCTCCCTCTATCACACCATCTCCATCTGTTGACTTGTCTCGACTAGACAACCATATCGTGTCTTCTACTCCTGCGCAGACGACTGAAGGACCATCATCAACATTGACATCTAACATGCCTGACATGTCTTTAACTGTTACCCAGCATGAACCATCGACAACATTAGCATCCGACAATCCTGAATTCAGCAACACTGGCGTGTCTTCTACTACGAGTCAGATTGGAGGACTGTCCCCTTCCGACACACCTAAACCCAACAACTCTGGCACAGACAAACATGTTGATCTGACAGTGGGTCTAGCGGCGGGGCTTGGAGGGGGGGCTCTACTGTTATTTTGTTTGTGGTGTTTGTGGTTTTTTTGGTGGAAGAGCAGACCACAGCCACATTTGGGTAAGACGACCGAACTTGCTGTGCTACCTGTGGCTGAGCCTGTGAGGGTGACACCCGTGAGTGAGCCTGAGACGGTGCCACCTGTTAGTGAGCCTGAGACGGTGCCACCTGTGAGTGAGCCTGAGACGGTGCCGCCTGTAAGTGAGCCTGTGGGGGCACTACCTACGAGGAAACGTATGGGGATGTCAGCTATGAGTGAACCTGGGAGTGCACCCGTAAGGCGACCTTCAAATGTGGGTGAGTATGTGAGGTATTGGTGTGGAAATGGGAGAGGTTCGCGGAGTTAATAGTAGTGAAGATAGAGGTGGTGATGAGGGTACCTGATTTCTTAGAATAGGATGGAATGAATATTCGGATTATAACTTGCAATGAAAAAAACCTTGGATGGATGAATATTATCATTTTGTCATATGGTCATATTGCCATCCGTGGCAGGGGAATCTGAAGCCGTTTCACAGCCTCCATCCTCGCCTCCTTCTCATCCTCATCCTCATCATCAACCACCCTTGTATAATCATCATGCATCCCTCTATTAGTATCAATGTAGTCCTGGTACACCCCACACGTCTCCTCATCAATCCACTCCCCCGTCTTCGCATTCACTATCCGAATATTACCACTCGGACACGCTCCCCAATACGTCTCTTTAAAAAAGTCTGTCCACGGACACAGCCCATCACTCACCAAGAGATTGAAATTCTCTAGCTTGGGGAAATATCGGAGATTGCGAACGTGGTAGTAGTAGAAAGATTCCGACTCGTCTAAGCCCTGTTCATTCACCAGCTCAATCCTCAAATGCCTAATCTCGTCATTTTCCAAGAGACTTTCTTCTGATAGTAGTCCACTTCTCATCTGTACAACGTCGCAATCAAAGTTCGCCCAAATGTAGCGTGGAGACCAGCCAATGATAAAGGCTTTTCGGTAGCTGCAATGGTCGCAAGATTCCCGACATGCCCTGGTCACAGCTGGTACTGGATTGGGAGACCAGTAACCTTGCTTATCACTCCATGTTTTTCTGACTCTGAGAACTCGATCCTCTGTAGCGAATCCCCATATGCAGATGCGGAGTTCAGGGGCAAGGCGGGGAAAGGGATGGAAAGTCGCCATCGCCTTCAAGAGCCAAGTGATATAAGAGAGTGAAAGGTCCCAGAAGATTTAAATATTGTACTTATATACTGCATTTAAATCTTCCTGGATCTTTTGATTGCAGCATTGTATAACCTCAACGTCGTCAAGCTGGTCTGAATTTGGCATGTGCCATATTGGGCGCTAAATATTGCCGGCGCTAGCTATACTTAGCGCCTAGCGCCCAAACTGTCCCCCCACGCCGTATCAGTCACCGCCTCAGCCAGGTACCCTCGTACCTCTGAATGACCAAATCGATCTCCGGACCTGTTATCGTGCGTGCGTGAGCTCTTGGAATCATAGCACCACCCAAGGCCGCCTAACCTTCAAACAACTCACAGAACCAACACCACCGACATTACAACCCTCTACAGCCTATACCCGCTGTTCTTTCTCAGACGAGAAGAAGCATATATATTGATTATTTCTTTCTTGCTGTGTTATTTGCCCTCGTTGAGGCCTCAAGACCCGAAACCCGGCGTGGTAATCGCCGCCTTTGTCAGATCAGGCAAACGGATCATCACTTCACCAGGTTGACGATATCATCCACGCCCCGGACCCAGTGGCCCCAACGATAACAGACCAGGCAGCAAGAGGCTGACCTGAAGCGGCCATCGTCGTCAATACCCAACAACCGTTACAACAAACACACACCTCCAAGATGTTCTCGGAATGTAAGTTGCCTGCCACCAACCCACCCTGTCTATCCTCGCCACGAACATGCTCCTAACTCTACCTCCCGCAGATGCCTCCCGTTTCCTCGCTCAGTCTCAGTCCCGAATTTCCAGCTTCGTTCAACCCCCGGAAAGCGACGCTGGTTCTGTCGCCCCATCTCGTTCACGTCGCTCCTCGCGCCCTCTCGCCAGCACAGGTCGTGCATACGCCGGGCGCTCAGCGCTGGGGAATCCATATCAGGGCGGTGGTGGGGGACAGCTGAGCGGGTTCCCATTTGCATCACGACTGTCGGCGGCGCCCGATGCGCCGCTGTTTCATAGTGCGCTGGATGAGTTCAGGGAAGAGGATGATGAGGAGGAGAGGGAGAGGGATTTAGCGGACTTTTATGCGCTGCAGAGGTCCAGGAGAGTGGTGGGTGCGAGGATGGAGGAGAGTGAGGAGACGGAACGGGAGGGTGGGAGTACGGTGGAGTTGAGTAGGGAGGAGGAGAGGGGCGGGGGAAGAGGTAGGGGGATCAAGAGTAGTTGGCATGGAGGAAGAGGGAGCGTAAGAGAGCGGGGGCAAGAACCGGAGACGCTCAGGGAGGTGCCGGAGGGAATACGTTATGAGGAAAGCCAGAGGAGGACGAATAGCGATGCAAGCAGCAATGAGAGGGGACGCATGGTGGATATTGGGCTGGAATCAGCTATTGACGATAATGTGCCGCCGGATGACCTTACTTATGAAGCCGCTGATGACTCTCCTCCGGCATTCCAGCAGTTTCGAACGCCTGAGAGCGGCCCGGGGAGGATGCCGGATTCGAAGATCTTTCACGGGAATAGGGATTTGGAGGCTGCTATGATGGATAGCACGAGGCCTCCCAGTGTTGTGTCAACGGTTCCTGCGACGATGGGACCGATGGCAATGGGTGAATTGCCAAAACACGATATATTCTGGGGATCACTCTATCTCATCGGACTTGCGGCGCTCTTCTCAACCTTCTTCCTCGTGTTCTTGCACACGTCGACGCCGAGTTCGAAGGTTCCGCTTGGCGATACTATATACACGGCACTTCGGGCGTCATCTCACCTATTGGCAGTCGACACGGTCGTTGCGGTTATCATCTCACTGCTTTGGCTAGCACTCCTCAGGTCCTTCGTACGGCCCCTAGTCTACATCCTCGTTGTCGCAGTTCCTGTGATCCTCTTCTCATTCTCTCTCTACCCGCTGATCTCCTCCTACAAAGGCGTCGAGCACGGGACCTCAATCCAAGACCGCGCCATGCGCTGGCTCTCCTTTGTCCCCCTCCTCACCGCCATAATCTGGAGCTACACCGTCTTTCAAGGCCGACACTCCCTCCACAAAGCTGTCGGAATCCTCGAATTCTCGTCGCGCATCCTCGCCGCCAACTCCGCGCTCCTCACCCTCGGCTTCGCGACTCTCGCCTCCGTAATCCTCTGGACCTGGCTTTGGCTGGCCATGTTCACCCGCGTCTTCCTCGGCGGCCACCTCGTTTCCTCCATCTTCATCATCGACTTCGCCACCTGGTGGCTCGGCGCCTTCTTCGTCCTCATGTACCTCTGGACGCTCTCCGTCCTCAGCGGCCTCCAACGCGTCGCCACAGCCGCCACAGTAAGCCAGTGGTACTTCCACCGCAACGCCGCGCCCGCCCCGTCCTCGCGCGACATCGTCCTCGCTGGCCTGACTCACGCTTCAACCACCCAATTCGGCACTATCTGCCTAGCTACCCTCCTCGCGCTCGCTATCCGCCTGCCGGTCCTACTCCTCCCACGTCGCCTCCTCGCATGCGCTTCTCTATTCGCGTATAACCTCATTCCATCCCCCGTTGCCTCCCTCACGAACCCGCTCACCCTCACCTACGCGGGCATCCAGTCACAGCCTCTCGCACCATCCGCGCGTGCCTTGAGCCACATGACATATCTCGGTCTCCAGGGCCCGACAAGCACCTTAGCGCCACGCTCGTTCGGAGCCAGGAACCAAGGGAACGCGCCGCTGTTGCCGTATAGGCTCGCGAAGCTGCTGCTGCACGCGACGCGCTGTATTATGGCTGTATCCCTCGGATTCGGCGGCTGGGTCGCTACGGCGCAGCAGCTGGAGGTTGCAGGGAGCAAGGGGGTTCGGGGGAGCGTGTACGCTTATGTGGTTGGGATGGTAGCGGGGTTTATTGGGTGGGGCGTGCTTGGGGCGATGGAGGGGGTGTTGGCGGGGATTGTGGATGGGGCGGTTGTGTGTTGGGGGATTGAGAGGGGGACGGTTGGGGGGGGGAGGTATTGTCTTGAGGCTGGGTGGTTGTTTGGGGATGGGAGGGAGGAGGAGAGGGAGTAAAGGGTGGCCTGACCTGGCCTTTTTTGTATTGTGGGGAGGGTTTAGGTGTCGTGTGCATGGTGGGTGAGGGAGTTGTATATTGAAGTCTGGAGTCTGGCGTAGAAGACGCCACGCATATGGCATTTTCGTTTGGAGATAGAATGGAGTTGGGAGGGGAAGATTGGCATAGCTTGACTGAATATTGATTATTGCACCTGGGATTATGCGCGTGTTGTGTACAGTACAAGAAGGCCGTTATATTTAAATATATGTGAGATCCTATATCCTGTACTTACATCATTTCCTCGGGGTGAGAGTAATATATAGAGGATCCTTCTGCCACAGGATATACATTTCTTGGCCCTCCCAACTCTTGGAGTCCGGTACGAGCTGCAGGTCAAAGTTCCACAACAGTCGTACGAGAATTAAGCGCATCTCAGCGTAGGCCAGGCTATCATGTGAAGTTAGCTAACGTGTCGATGGTAGTTGATAGAAAAAAATGCCCAGATGACAGGTGTAGTTTATACCTTTTACCAATGCAGTTTCTTGGCCCGACAGAGAAAGGTTGTAGTACGTCCTTCGCGTCGGATGCAAAGCGTGAGTCCCCTAGCCAGCGCTCTGGAATAAAGGAGTTCGGCTCGCGGAAATTCTTTTCGGTGTGGTAGGAGGCCCATTGATTCACTGATACCAATGTCTGTTTTATTTAGTTATTTTCCTTGGAGATGGGGAAATAGAGAGGATGCTTACCTTTGGAGGAACATATTTACCGTTTATAACAGCTCCTTCTGCTGGTATGTTACGAGGCAGGCCTACTGGTACCGGAGGATACATACGCAGCCCCTCGTCCAGGACTGCAAGTAGGTATTTCAGCTTTCCGACACCGATGAGAGTGATCTCTTCTTCTGTCGCAAATGCGCCTCTGATCTCACCAACAAGCTTCTTCAAAGTTTCGGGATTCTTCAGAAGATGGTATGTCACTCCTGACAATAGCGTAGCCGTAGTTTCAGACCCAGCAATCATGATGGCATTTGCGGTGGCTTCAATTTCCGGTATGGACATCCCCCTTTCGTCGTTATGCCTCAGGATATAAGTCATAAAGTCGGATCGGTCAGTCACCCGCTCAAGCCTCGTCTTCACCTTCTCGACAACTAGGTTTTGATGATAGTCTCTTGTCTCGATAAGCTTCTTTGGTGCAAGCGCCATGATGACTGTCTGTGCTCCGGGAAACAACGAGGTGGTGCTGAAGATCGTGGCGGCTTTGATGCTATCGAATAGAATGCTTACCCACGGGTGATAGCTTACGTTCTCAAGGCAGTCAAAGGGCTCTCCAAACATGAGATCGCCAATGATATCAAAAGTGGTCCAGTTGTACCAAGACACGATATCCAACTTGTTCTTTCCATCGTCGCAGTTTTCCCGTAGCCGTTGAATAAACAAATCCATGTATCCCTTCATCAGCGGCTCTTGTTCCCGAAGCGCCTTTTCGGAGAAGGCGTGGGCGACGAGGCGACGCATTCGAGAATGGCCGGCAACATCTGTCGTGATGATGCTATGAGCCCCACCAGGAGGCGCCGTGTAGAAGTTGGGATCCTTTGGAAGCTGCGCATGGCCCTGTTTGAAGCCGTAGATATCCTTCCATGCGTTGGCATTGTTGTAGGATAGCTCGTTGGGACCTATGCGCACTACGTCGCCGTATTTATCATGGAGTTCGAGGACGTGGTAGGAGAGTTGCCCGGAGAGAAGGACTCGAACTCGAGGGATGTGAGTCGCGGCGGACCAAAATGGTCCTGGATACTTCGAGAGGGGGTGAAGGTAAACATTATACAGTATATATCCACAACTGATCAAGATCGCCTAGAGATGATCTTCAGTATTGACATCTTGGCACTTGGCCGTGGTTCAAGGCCAACATACAAGAAGGAGAAGCGAAGCAAGTGTGCCTATTGTGGCCGGAACGGCGAGAATAGCCCCGGAGATGGAGTTTGCAAAAGCCATCGTTTGAGACAGTCTTACAGACGCAAAATACTGCAAGCCCCCAGAAGAAATATTGAATACATAAATGGGAACTCACGCAATATGGGGACGAATGGGAGAGGTCCCAATCCTCCCAAAATGTCATTAGCCGGAGTAGGATCGCATCCGGCGATATTCCGACGAAGCCCTAAAAGAGCTTCAAATAGCAAGGTATGGGACAGGGTATAGATCCATTTCGAAAGTTTTACCTCCAAACAACTGCATTTATTTTCCTCCATGTTTGGACTACTAAAATAGCGATGCGCGTGCGTGCTTGCTTTAAGAGACGACAGGTATGGACACCCCTGTGCCGCAAGGGCTGTCACATTTATGCCGCTACAGCGATACACTCATATGGTGATTTTTCTGTTGATCATAGGGTGAAACGGCTACTATTGCTTAGCTAGTTCCTCCGGGCCCACTGGGGTAGTGTCCCGCGTGGGTTTCGCGGAGCGGACCCTAGCGGCCGGGGACTTGGACCCAGCCGCCTTTCAAAAAGGGTACGTGGACAACTCCACTGAGAAATGCAATGCCTTATATTGGACGGGCAAGAAGAGTTGATGGTGGAGAAAGCTATAGCAGCGTCGTATTTATATACAGCATTATAATCCTATGTACTTTTATATACAAGTTCAGTGGTAAAATACAACGCCTCATTGCGGGTGCCTTTGTCATGGCCCGTCCCTTGCACGTGGCTTCACTACCTGGAGCCGCCAGTGAGACTCTGATTCTTCACCGGTACCGAGATCACTACCGCATTGGTGAAGGTGGTAGGGTTCGTGCTACTCCTATTTTATACCCGAGTTGTCCGCGTACAATACTAAAGTTTCGTGTCTCCGGAATATGTTACCAGGACGTCAACAAACCTTGTAATGCCTGCCGGCAGGTGATAATAATTTATTGTCTTAAAATACGCCGCTCTCGGTATTTTCTCAGGAGAGACATGGATTAGTTTTTTCTTAGCCACATATCAATGCTCCGTCCCCAGTGGAACCGGAAAACGAAAACGCGACTCCTTGATAGTTAAATTCAGCATGGAGCAAGAAGTCAAATTGCTGGTAGTATTATGGACGTTTCTCGGCCTCACCACTGTGACAGTGGGACTACGATGTTATGTGCGCTTGGCAATAGCGAAGTCTTTTGGTGTTGATGACTGGTTTATGGTTATTGGCTATGTGAGTGGCTCTGCGCTGGTTCGATATGTTGTCTATGGATTCCTTGCTAATATTTGTGCGTTAGGGTCTCTTTGCGTCTCTCGTCGCTGTACTTGTTGTCTCGATTCATTATGGACTTGGTAAACACGCACTTGATCTGGAGTCATACCAGCAAATTAATGCTGCAAAGGTGTGTTGTGTTACCTCCTGGCAACGGATAATGACTTGAGCTAACAGACAGCTTTTAGTACTTGATTATTGGAGAATTAATATACATCATCGATTCTGGATTTATAAAGATCAGCGTCGGATTGCTCCTACTTCGCCTTGCTGTTGTGCCTATTCATCGATACATACTTCACGCCTCTATTTACATTCTAGCTCTGTGGACCACGGTCACCTTTCTGATCGTAGCCTTCCAGTGCCGCCCACTTAGTCTGGCATGGAATCCTGCCTCTGGGACTGGAACCTGCATGGCGGCCATATCTATCACAAGACTCGGATATGCCTTCTCGGCATTGGATATTGGTTCCGATTTTCTGTATGCGTTCTTGCCAGTGGCAATGCTATGGAACATTCAGATGACCTGGAAGTTGAAATTCTCGATTTGCATTGTCCTCAGTTTCGGCATCTTGTAATCTCACTCTCGTCACATCATTCCTGCTGCTTTGCTAACAGAACTTAGTGCAAGTGTTGCAACTATTGTTCGCCTCAAATACCTAATTGCTCTCACTGACGAGGCCGATGTATTGTGTAAGCTCCCTCTTTGCTCGCTGTTAATTGTCATATCGAATGCTAACCCCAGCCAGTCGCGATTTGCATTACCCAAATGTGGACGATTATCGAAGTTGGAATTGGCATGGTAGCAGGATCGATCGCCACGTTGCGTCCACTGCTCAGGAAGATGAACATTACCGGGCTTGGAAGCAGCGACCAATATACCAGAGAGTCGAACTATAAGTCTCAGGAGCTTGGATATATCAAACAATCCAAGTTAAACACACAGTCATCTACCACCAAAGTAGCGGCTAACCTAGGCCAAGACAACGACAGTCAAGAGCTCATTTGGGGGGAGGACCGGGACATTCACAAGAGAGTGGACGTATCCATCTCACGGACACAGTGAATAATTCCTATGAGACGGAATCCACAGTCCTGTACAACACAGAAGTGCTACTAGGCACCCGCGAACAAGGCAGTGCCAAAGAATATAGCTGAAACTATACATAGACGGCAGAACCTCACCGAGATGGCGAAGAGTTCGCCGTAGTAGATTATGTTGAAGCTATAGCCATAGCCCTACTCCGTAATTAGTATTCCATACCGGAGACATCAATTTAAGGCTATTTAGGTGGCGTCACGCTTACTTGTAGATTAACGTGAGAAACGATATTCAAATTTGATATATTCGTACCTGTATGCTGTGCCTGAAGGCAACATCGGATTTCTGGGTCAAATTATGGCGACTGACGTTTCAAAGTGTGGCGCAGCGGTTATTCAGACCCCGCATCGCCACACCCACAGCGGGGTTGCGTAACTTCCATCTTGGCATGAGGTGCTAGCTTAACCTGTGACACTCCGCGCCGAGCAGACTAATATAACAGGATCTGTCATCAACGCCGACTTGGGACTCTAAATATCTATCTCTGGACGACGTTTAGTTATCCATCTCGATCTTTTGTCCTACAAACTACACCGCTCTTTGATCTTTGATCGCACTACGAGCACCCGAAGACCCCGAGATACGAGTGTGGGGTAGACAACAACCAGACAACCAACAAAGAGTGAAGATGGCGGATTTCGAAGCGCCACCAGGGCCACCACCCCCCAAAGTGCCAGAGGGATGGAAAGCCCAATGGAACGACCAATATAAAGAATGGTGCGTCGCATTCCGGATCTCCCTAGACGAACATCACTAACCCCCCCACAGGTTCTACGTAAACATCTACACCAAGAAATCCCAATGGGACAAGCCCACCGCCCCCGTATACCCCCCCGACTCCTCCGCGCCCCCCATCGGCGCACCCCCCTCCTACGGCGGCGCCACCCAACCCACCTCCGACGCGAAGGTGAACCCCTACGACACCCCCGACGCGACCAAAAGCACCGTCGACGAAGACGCCCGTTTGGCCGCCCAGCTCCAAGCTGAGGAGGACCAGCGCACCCGCGGCCACCAGAACCCGAACTACGGCGGTGGCCCACCCGGCGGCGGATACCCCAGCAACACCGGCAGCCCGTTCCCAGAGGAGCAGGCGCGCGGAGAGAAGAAGAAGGGCGGATTCCTCGGCAAGCTGATGAGCGCCGCGAGCTCCAAGACCAGCGGTGGAGGCAGCCACGGGTACCCCCAGCAACAGCAAGGGTACGGGCAGCAGCAGATGTACCCCCAGCAGGGCTACGGACAGCAGCAGCAGATGGGATATCCGCCTCAGGGCTATGGACAGCAGCCGATGGGGTATGGACAGCAGCCGATGTATGGCCAGCAGCCTATGTATGGCGGCGGCGGGTACGGCGGGTATCCGCAACAGCAGCAACAGCGGAGGCAGGGAGGTGGTGGTGGTATGGGGATGGCGGGTGGTGCGGCGTTAGGGTTGGGAGGAGGGTTGATCGGAGGGATGCTGATTGCCGATGCGATGCAGGACCATGACCAGGAGCAGTATGATCAGGGGTATGAGGATGGCGGCGGTGGAGATGATGGGGGTGAGTAAGTGTGTTTGAGGAGAGGCTAGAGAAGGGAGGTGGCTGGATTGTTTGTGGCTGGGAGGTTACGTGGATTTCGATGTTTTCGTCGTTCTGGTGCTGTTCGTTGTGGTGCTGTGGAGGATTGAGATGATGCGGTCGTAGATAGTCGCGGAGGACCGCTTGGACGTCCTGATTAATACGGGAATCCTGATATCTTGTCATCTACTTATTCCCCTAACAGTGATTTGCATTCTTCCGTCTTGTGAAAACCAAGCCCAGATAGCAAAACCGAGAATACACACCCCTACAACGGGATTTACAATGGTGCCGCTCGTATGCAACGGGCAAACCTATCCCATATAAAGTACTAGCTTTGTCGAATAAATCAATTTCGTGTAAGGAAACAAAAATGAACAACAGTTGTCAGATGTAGGTTGGGGTATTGTGAGGCAGTGATCAGGACGGATGCGAGGGTAATTAGACCGTCAGTTGCTATTATCTGCACGACGATAGTGACAGCACTGAGTGACGGCAGTGTAGCGCGGTGATATGGCGGCGGTAAGAATGCGACGACGGTGACAAGACTCTGCTCCCATTGTTCACGTAAGCCCCTTTCATGATTTACCACCAATTTTGGACAGCTAATCTCATTTATCACCTTCCTCTCCGAATTTCCGTATTCCTTCAGTCCTCGAAACGTCTATTCCACAATGACATTGATCAGTTAGCCTTATGATATGTCGCAACTCGAGCGTTGTTAATGGGATACGATCATCGCTCCCCACGTCGCTTCCATCTCTCGCAGAGATCTTATCTACCATATCCTTTCCTCTGTCCGCACGGCCACTCATTTTATAGCTCCCCCCCGCCTTGTTTCACAACTCCAACTCGGTCTCCCACACTATCTCCCCGAAAGGCAACCGCGGCAACCCACCGAGCTCTTCGCTGGGGGTGTGGGGGATACTCTCACATCCCCTGAGCTCTGCAGTTGGACGTCGAGCTGCGCTACTTATTATGGGTAATATGTTCATATATAGCTCAGTAGCAAAGGCGAAAAAGTTCATTTCCGTACGTAAGCCAAAAGATAGATTGGATAGGGGAAGTGATCGCTGGCGTACGACGAGAGATCAAGATGGAGTTTACCACGAGTAAGAGCATAACCAAGGGATGGCTGGTGCACGCGGGCTTATTAGAACCATGGTGGTGACAAAAACGCAACAGGAGTGCACCACGACGGTGAGAATATATCGGTGCTGAGAATACAACAGTGGCGGCGAGAAGACGATAACAATGGAATGGTGACGGATTTCAAATAACAAACTCGAACCCTTGGCCTTAATCGTTATTACCGGCACCTTCTTCCACTCTCCACCCACACCTCCTCCATCTTGTCCAATTCGGTAGTTCCTGTGTATTTGTTTTCTTTCCGCCTGCCCCTTTATTATATTCCAACCTTTACTCTATCTATAGCTCTCTCCATTACGTGCGTGCTTTGTTACCCACCTGCAATTTAACCTCCCACAGCAACTCCCTTGAAATACGAGTGGACAGTGGCGATGTTGAGATAAGAGGTGCTGTGTGACAGCGAGAAGATGACTGGTGAGAAATGGCGACAGCGGCGTGAATACTCAGCAACATGAGGTAGGATCTCAATTTGTTATGAACCTCATACTTGAATCCGCCGTCGAGCAACCTACTTCCTCTCTATCGTTGCCCTTCAACCCCGACATAGCATATTTGTGTGTTGTGTTCAAATTTCTGGGTTTGTCCTCTTTTTCATCACCTCGCCTGCTCTTTTTATATCCACCACCTCCTAAACCCAACCTGCTGCCCACCACACCATCCTTCAACACCATCCCTTATTCCTAGAGGCGATCACCATGTTCTTTTTCTCTCCGGGTCGACGATCAGTTTCTGCAGGTATGGGATTTGAATACTGCTAATGTACGCTCTAGCTCATTCCCAGACTCGCCACTCCGAGCAAACAGGGTTTACTTATAAACCACCAGCGATGGGTGATAGCCACCAAGCGGCAATTACGATACACAATTGGGTCATAGAAAATATCCTCGCGCCATTGATTCCAATGATTGCGGATCTTACTAGGGATATTAGTTGGTGCTTCATGTGTTCAGACGGGCGAAGTTGGGGCCTGGCGGTGACAACGCTGAGAGACAGTGCTACAGCAAGGCAGTGAGAAGTGACGGTGGTGGGAAAAGATTGCAGTGAGAATGATCAGTGATGACAGGAAGAAACTCCCTTTTTGTCGGACACCAGATATCCAATACCGAACTCCACACTTTCAAGCACTAGCCGTTCACCAGCTCTCCACCTCTGTCCAGCTACATGTGCGCCTATGCTTAACTATCTGGAGACTTTCCTTTTGCCAGTGGTCTCACAGCCCCTATATGCTGTGCGTGTTATGCTGTGAATATTTCATTCCTTTAGAGGCAGAATTGTGGTGACTCCTTCCTCTTCCCTCACTATTTACTTCGTCTTGTCAGATAGCTATCATAACACCACCTTTGCTCCCCATCCCACCATCTTCCCCCATGGCCAAAACCACCAAACAAGGGCAGAAACCCCCCAAGAGTCATTTCTTCTCTTCTCCAGGAATCGGGGTATGATAGCCTCACTATCGGATACTGAGATCGCCGGGGGAGCTTTTTATAGAAATCCAACTGGGGAGATTGGAGTTCAGTATATTTTGACGCTGAGCCATGTTTCTTCCCAGTTCCCGATGTCATCTCACCCGCAGTAAATCATATCCAGAGAACATAAACAGCGCCACGCTCAATATTTCACTTGTATTACAATTCACTCCCCAGTCTATGATCCCCACCTCCTCCCCACTCTCCACATCACCGCATTATCACCTCGTAACACCCTTCTCCACCGCCGCCTGTTTCTTCGCCGGCGCACCCGCCAACCAAGCCGCAGCATCAAAACTAGCCGCACCGCCCTGCGCCGCTTGTCCGTTCAGGAGTCCGTTCATGGGGCTGCTCTTCTGGCGTTCCTCGAATTCGGCGCGGGTTTCTGGGTCCACTGGGTGTGGGTTAGCATATGGTACCTTTCTAATTTGGGGGGACAGTGTCGGGGAGGGAAATGGGAAATGGGGGAATGGGGTATGGGGACGTACTGTTCTCCATAAGTTTAGGCATTCCAAACATCATCAACATCGCCACGCCGGCCATGAGTATCATCGGGTTCTTGAGGATCGATAATGGGGAAACTGTCCAGGCACAACAATTAGCATCCATCAACCACTCCCACTCCCAGCACCCAGGGAACAAGCAAACTCACATCCAGTCCTCTCAATCAAATACTCCTTCGCCCCCACCGCCTTAACCTCCACAACCCTCCCTTCCCTCCCCCAAACCCCAACCTCAACAACCTCCCCCTTATTCTCCCACTCATTCCCCCTCCACGTCCCCCACGCCTTCACCACCTCCGCTCCCCCCTCGTTCCCTTCCGAGATATCCACCCTCAGCGGCGCAAAAACATGCGTCGACCCCACCACATCCAACAAATAGCTGCCCGCGCTCACATTCCGGAAATCGAACGTACTGGATGCGCCGAGCGGGGCGGTGTAGACGTGCCCTTGTGTCGTGAGAGAGGCGGTGGTGGAGGGGGGGAGGAGGGAGGGGGTGAGGAGCGAGGCGGTGGGGGGGAGGAGGACGCGGAGGTGGAGGGCGAGGGTTAGGGGGAGAAGGGGGAGGAGGAGGTGTGGTAGTGGGAGGTGCATTTTCGCTGGTGGTGCGTGGGTGTGGTGAGTGGTATGAAGAGGTGTGTGATGCGTGGATGGGGATGCGCGGATTGGGAATTTGAGGTCGTGAGGTTGATGTGGCTGGAGCTGGTTGTTAGCGTGTGGCTAGTGGATCTGATGGGTGTGGCTGAAACTTGGTGTGGCTGGTGGGTACGCTGGTCCGGATTGTTCAGTTTGGTGATCTCTGATACCTTGTATTAGGCTGCAAATAGGTTCTCATAGAGCTACTCTACTCGATAATACTCAGGCATACCGTAAAATAGGATAGGAAATATAAAAATTTCAAGCTTTGTGGCTTTCAGGCCAAGCACAGCGTCATTTATCACCCTCGCTCGCCTGGTCTGAGTACAACGGCATCTCCTTGGCGGCATCGTCACATGAAATTATATGTTCGACTTGAATATGGAATTATCGTGGTCACGAGACTGGATTCTAATCTTCATACAGTTATAGAATATTGTAACCTTGAAGGCTGAAGGCGGAATAATCACATGCTGACTAATGACGCAGTTATATTGGCCGTTGGACGTGGAGTTGGAGGCGGAGAGAGTGGAGAGAGGTGGAGAGATATGTTTCCGCTCGACCGCATCCGCCGCACCGGCTTACCACAGGCCAAAAGTATAGTACGTAGACACCGAGCTGCCAAGTTTCAAGTCAGCGGCACGGAATCATGGAGTTGTAGTTGTAGCAGTAGCATTGCCGTAGTGGGAGCAGTGATACGATACACAGTATTACACGGTATTACGCTGTGGCTAGCCGACGACAGGGCACTCGACTAGTAGTGTTGCAGCGTTAGAAATACACCTCTAACCTCGTATAGCTTCACTTTTACACTCATATTTCTCTACTATATAACTATTATCACCACTATAAAGAGCTCGACTTCGCTGGGGATGGTACAGGGTCTTGTAGTCTATTTTGGCTTTACCTTAATGTACCTCTCTCCTTCCCCCGAGATCTCGCTAATTGCCCACATGATCCACTTTGACCCCATACCCATAACCCTCTAACCCTCACATAGCCGTAACTCGAACGCTGTATGGAGAGAAAAAGAAAAGTCATTATTCTCTTTCTAGGATAAATTGTCACCGGCCACATATCCTACTGTACATTGCACATCTCTACGCTAAACCACGTGCCCTTTCTGCACCTCAACAGATATTACACAGCTTGCAGAAAATCTTCTCCGGTGCAACGTCTCTCTAACTACTTCTACCTACCCTACTACCCTACACCTACTACCTTCATCATCACATGTGATATATTATTTATATTGTCGCATCCCCTCATACCTTGCAGTTGCATCTACGCTGCACATACCATCCAGCGATCTCCCATCAGACTAAGTGCGCCTTAACTCCTCTGTCATCGATTTCGACGCTCCGATAGGACCATCGTTGTCCCCCAAACGCCCCGACGCACTAGGCTAGTCACCCTGCTTCCTCTGGTCCGGAGTGGGTCACTCTGCCAGGACGTGCCAGGACGTGCCAACGCCTGGGAAGTTACGAAGCATTACATACTACAGGCACGAGTACTCTGGCAGGAAAGGGAAAGTGCTGCTTGAGTGAGGCAATTTACTCTCGGGCGCTGACCGACGCAGCGGCTGGTGAAGCGGCAGTTGTTGGGAAAGCAGGAGGAGGCGTATCGAAGACTGCGAGTGGTTAGTTGGTGCCTCGTTCGTCGAAGAGGCGTGTGGTATCCCATAGTACTACCAGGTATGTTCTTTCCTAATCCAACCCGGTGTCGAATTCTCCGAGTAACTGATGGAGGGCTAGAAGGCGCTGAAACAGCCATCAGATCCGGACCATTCAAGGTGCCACCAATCCACAGACACCAACCCACCAGTCTGGATTACGCATATCTTTTCTCAGCTATTGCCACCACTCAGGCGTTGGTGCAAGTAACTAGGTATGTGCTATATGCTATGCTCTCACTTTTACCCATGTGTCTCGGCAAAAACCTGAGATGGCGCGCAACCCGATTGCTTGTTTCGCTGCATACCCGCGCTCCGGGTGGGTCTGCCACGGCCTCTCGGTGCTGCGGAACGGATAGCATGGAAGTTTCCTCGCATACGCCTACACTATGGGGATCTACCATGGAGTCATGGGGGTGGCCTATCGGAGCTAAGATGATGTATGATAAGCTGGAGGGGTATTGCCGAGTTGGAGCTTGATATAATTATATCCATCCCGATCTTTACTCCTTCATGCAAACCACTCACTCGCAAAGAGGAGAATATACACACATGTCTCCATTCCTTACATTGTTCTAATGCCGCCATACTGTCTGCAAGACTGTCACTATTTCTACCGCACTGCTCTGCGCGGTCTCAATATCTCCACCTCGGTTTCTCCGTTGTATACCTAAACGCACCATACTAACAAAATGCCTATCGCAACCCCAGGTGTCAGACATTTCACTATGCCTAAGCCACTCAACGAGAGATTAGCAGAGGGTCAGCCTCCTGCGGTACCGGTCAAGTCAGATGCCCCAAGGCAGTACACCGAAGAGCAACGCAAGCCGCTCGCCTCTCATTCTCCTAATATCGAGCAGGGCATCACATTCGCGGCGCAGGATTCGCTGCCTAAGCTCCCGATTCCCGAGCTCGAGAACTCAATCGCCAAGTACCTGGCCGCACTGAAGCCGCTGCAGCCTCCGAGAGAGCATGCCGAGACGCAACAGGCGGCAGAGGAGTTTCTGAAGGGTGATGGACCGGAGCTGAACGAGAAGTTGAAGAAGTATGCAAATGGAAAGACTAGTTATATTGAGCAGTTTTGTGAGTTGTCTTGCCGTGTTAATCGAGTGTTAGGCTGATATCCCAGGGTATGATTCGTATCTAAATTACGACAATCCGGTCGTGCTGAACCTTAATCCGTTCTTCTTGCTGGAGGATGACCCGACGCCAGCGCGTAACAACCAGGTTACAAGAGCTGCATCGTTGGTTGTATCAGCATTGTCGTTCGTGAGAGCTGTTAGGAGGGAAGAACTGCCGCCTGATACTATCAAGGGTCAGCCACTTTGCATGTATCAGTACTCGAGGTTGTTTGGTACAGCTCGAATCCCAACTGATCACGGCTGTCACATCGGCCAGGACCCTGACTCCCAGCACATTGTGGTACTCTGCCACGGCCAATTCTACTGGTTCGATGTTCTGGACGAAAACTCCGATCATGTGATGAGCGAGAAGGACATCGCCATCAACCTCCAAACGATCGTCGATGATGCTCAGCAGACGCCCATTCAAGAAGCCGCCAAAAGCGCCATTGGCGTCCTCAGTACCGAGAATCGCAAGGTCTGGGCTGGGCTGAGAGAAGTCCTCACCCGTGACGAGGGATCCAACAACGCCGATTGCCTTAGCATCGTAGACTCCGCCCTGTTCATCGTCTGCCTCGACTATGCCGCTCCCTCCAACGCTCCAGATCTCTGCGGCAACATGCTTTGCGGCACTTCAAAAATCGAAAAGGGCATCCAAATCGGAACCTGCACGAACCGCTGGTACGATAAACTGCAGATTATCGTCTGTGCCAATGGCTCAGCAGGTATCAACTTCGAGCACACGGGTGTAGATGGCCACACCGTCCTCCGTTTTGCGTCCGACGTCTACACCGACACCATCCTCCGTTTCGCCCGAACCATCAACGGCCAAGCCCCTTCCCTCTGGGCCTCCACCTCCCCCGACCCGTCCAAGCGAGACCCCAAATCCTTCGGTCCCGTCTCCACCACCCCCCGCAAACTCGAATGGGTCATGACCTCCGAACTCAGCATCGCCGTCCGCTTCGCCGAAACTCGCCTGGCCGACCTAATCCAGCAAAACGAGTTCCAGACCCTCGACTTCGCCGCCTACGGAAAGAACTTCATGACATCCATGGGCTTTTCTCCCGACGCATTCGTACAAATGGCGTTTCAAGCTGCTTATTACGGCCTCTATGGCCGTTCGGAATGCACCTACGAGCCCGCAATGACCAAAGTCTACCTCCACGGCCGCACCGAGGCCATCCGCTCCGTAACCCCCGAATCCCTCGCCTTCGTCCAAGAGTTCTGGAGCGAGCTCGAACCAGCCCGCAAAGTCGAAGCCCTCCGCCGCGCATGCCAGGCCCACACTGCACAAACGCGCGAGTGCGCCAAAGCACAGGGGTGCGATAGACATCTCTACGCCCTGTTCAGCGTGTGGCAGCGCGGTCTGGATGAGGATGGTGCGGAGGCGGCGTCGAGTAATGGGGATGGATATTCGAGTCGAGGAGCGAGTAGTCCGGACCCGCTCTCTAGCCCGTCGCTGAGCGCGCAGAGTGATGATGGATTGCCGCAGCGTATTCGCTCGAGTAGTTCGCCTAGCCCGAGCCCGACGCGTCTTCAAGCCTTGCCGAGCTTGTTTGCGGATCATGGGTGGGATAGGCTTAATAGCACTATCCTGTCGACTTCGAACTGCGGTAACCCCTCGCTTCGACACTTTGGCTTCGGTCCCACCAGCGGCGATGGATTTGGGATAGGATATATTATTAAAGATGAGGGTATCAGTATCTGTGCCTCCTCGAAGCATAGGCAGACGAAGCGGTTTGTGGATGCGCTTGAGAGCTACCTAGTCGAGATTCGCCGGATGTTGAGGGCTGTTGGCGGAAGAGATGGGAGTCCGGCGTCGAGTCGCGCGAGGGAGAGGGATAGGGGTGTTGGTGAGGGGAAGATGAAGAGGGGGAGGCCGATTAGGAGTGAAGGGGTGCCGAAGGCGGCGAGTGTGGATAGTAGGGTTGGGAGTGATGATGACGATTTGGGTGGATGTGAGTTTTACTTTTTTACTTTTTGATTTCTATTCCTTGTTTGCTGGGGTATTTTCTGTGGACACAGAGCTAACGGGATACAGATGGCTTCTTTGATGCGGGTATGCTACTCCAGGCTCTGCAGGCGCGCACGGGCAGTCTTGAGAATACGGTCCTGGCTGCGGTTGAGAAAGCGATACCAAGGCGGAGGGAGGTGGGGAAGAAGCTGCGGCTGAGCGAGTATTAGATGGGTGGTTTGGAGCGATAGACGAGATTACGGGTATGATGGGTAGTGCGTGGGATGGATACTGGGTGCATTTCGGACGAGAGTGGATTTAGGTTTGGAGTGGGTTGGATTCGGTTGGAGATGGATACACACTCCCTTCGCGATTTTTGCATGGCATTCGTGTTTATTAGCGATCTTATTTGGTTGAATCTTGCATTTTGAATGTAAGCCGGTCTTTAGCAACAGTTGTAAATAGACAATATGATCTAGTATTAAACTCGATGTATCTGGCGGTTTGCCCACCCTGCTCCAGTAACCTTTTCTTTCTAGAAGGTCAATTTGCATGACGTGCTATGTTGGAACCATTTACGCTGCTGTGAATGTAGCATATTATTATTATGAACCCAGTTCGACTTATTCATTCCAAAGCCCCGTAGGGGCTTGTCCACACAAGCTTTCCCTGGGCCACCAAGTTATCTGTCAAATCCAATCTCGCCTCTTCCGTCACCTCATGATCAGGTCCCAAAACCCCCTTAATCCACTCATAAAACTCCTCAAACAGCGGCTCAGCCTCCTCGAACCTGTCTTCATCAGAATACACTATTGCTAGCTGCTTCATGAGTGACGCGCTGGGCTCGGTGTGATCACGACCTAGCTGTCGGAAGGACGCTAATGCATCTTCCATCATCCTTAGTGCTTTATCTGGTTCCCCCAGATGACGGTACGTTTTTAATAGGTTCAGGATGCAGGTGATGGTAGTATTGTCGCCGTAGCCGAAGTTCACCTTTGCCAGACCATTCACCTCCTCTTGTAGCTGTTTCGCCTTGTCCCATTGATCAAGGGCGGTGAAATCCCTCGCGAGCATATCCATAGTGATGATACTCTCGCGGTTATTCTTTCCCAATTTTTGTACCCGGAAGTCAACGACTTTCTGGTGAAGCTCGGCCGCCTCCTCGTGCCGGCCGACATTGAAATAGCTATTACCGAGATTCTGCATCGCTGCCTGTGTAGCATCTTCCCCATCTCCCTGCACACGCTGCAGCATTTCCAGCGTTTCCTCGTCCAGCCTAAGCCCTTCTTCCACTCGCTCCTGGGCCTTGATGCTAATCGACAAGCTATTCATGGCGCTAGCTGTGTCGGCATGATCACCGAGTACTCTGCGCCGCCGCTCGACAACATCGCGAGCAACGGATTCAGCCTGTGGGAATTTTGCTTGCGTGCGATAGTTGTAGGCGAGGTTCATCTTGTAGTCTAACGGTATTCTGTGGTCTGGCCCGAAATGCTGTGAGAACATGTCGATGCTTTGGAGTCGGAGCTCATTGTATTCCTCCCACTGTCTTGATTTCTCGCACTCCTGGGCGCGGCTTAGGATGTCGTCGAGTAGGTCTTCGTCAAGCTCTCCGTCTTCCCCGGACACTTCTGGGGAGTCGGTTGTCGCCATGGTATGTATGCTAGTAATGAAATGAGGTGTTACTTTCTGAGAGAGGTGTTCCTTTAGACGTTATATTCTTGTACTCCGCCCACAAACAATGGAAGGCTGTGGTACGATATAAACATCACGATTAGCGCCTCCACTCCCTACCTAGTTCTGCCTTGACTCTTCTCAGCGAAGATCATGCACGCTTTGTTCAGCTCTATTCAGCGCCGTTTAGTTTTGGTGCAGTGAGAAGAGATCGCTAAGGCATCCTTTTGTAGCACGGCGCAATGTTCTCCGAGGCTTACTTTGACGCCAGACTCAACATGCTAGATCTGTGAAAGATTCAAACCCCATAGAACCACATATATAGCCTGTTTCATTTAATTACCCAGGTCTGGCTAGAGCGGAAAAGTGCATATATATTGCTATAATATTATAGTCCTGTTTGAATTTCTATTCTAATTTTTCATAAACGTCGTCATTAATTGTTCTAGAAAATATATCGCAAAGGCCGTTATTATCGTCAGTTCGGGAAATAAATATACTGACCATCCGTATCCGTGATAGACACTATCACAGTGTCCTGTTCCTGCCTGCAATATCGTCCCATCATACCAAAATATCCAACACACATCTACTCGGTCCTCTTCACGATCCTTGGCAGACAAAGCCACGCCACCACCATCGAGCAATACAAAATAATCGTCACAGGATTCAACACCACCGTCCCCAGCTTCTGCGCCAACAATCCCGTAATAAACGGCGCAAACGCGCCTCCACTGCTCCCCATCGCTGAAATCAGACTGAAGCTCGGCACCTGCAAGTCGCGCGGCAGCAACTTGCTAAACACGGCCGCCGCACATGGATACACCGGCCCTAGCAATAAACCAACAATCGAAATGGCAACCGCGTTTCCAATGATGTTAGGCACGGACCAGAACACCACCTGCAACACCAGCGAGCATGCGACTAGCAGTATGACGGACGTCTTCTCGCCCAGTCGCGCGGCCTGCGGCGACAGGAAGATCCGGCCCAGCGTAATGCCCAGCCAGAAACCAGAGCTGACGTACCCAACCTGCCCGGCTTCACCGTGGCGGTAACTGATGAGGAAGGACACGAGCCAAGAAGCAATACTGACTTCAGCGCCTTGGTAGGCAAAGATGAAGAGGGAGCCGAGGATGGTAGTTTTGTTGCGCGCGGCAAGCTTGAGAGTCTGCATGCGCGTTGGTGTGTTGGTTTGCTGTCTCGAGGCGGTCTGTTCGAGCGCTGTCATTAGTTGCGCTGCTGGGGCGTCGGCCTCGTAGTTGCGGTAGGCAAAAGTTGCAGCGGTGATGTTTGAGAGGGCGAAGAATAGAGGAATGCTGTAGAAGTAACTCCACTTCACGCCATTGGAGGCGAGGGCTGTGGCGATGAGCGGGCCAATAGTACCCCCTACGCCGTAGGCGCCGTGGAGGAAACCGAGGGCCGCAGTGGCATTTGAGAGACCGACGCAAAAGACATTGTTGAGGGAGAGGCTGACAGCCATGCCGAAACCGAGGAAGAAAAAGGAGATTACGATGACGGGAAAGGGGGGCGCGCAGAGGAGGGCCACGTAGGCGACGGCTAGGATGGAGAGAGCGACCTGGTGCGTGCGTGCTCGACCGAGGCGAGTCTCGATGGCGTGGGTGAGAGGGGCGGCGACGATGAAGCCGAGGGCGTTGGAGATGAAGATGAGGGAGACAACGGCGTAGTTGACGGAGTAGGCCTTCTCGAGGTAGGGGATGAGGGCACCGGGAGCACTGTCATTAACGCCGTTTGCGAAGTTCATGAAAGTTGAGCTTGCCATGCGATATTTGTTCATGGGAGGATTGGTGAATGTCTGGAGGAGGTCGACTCCAGTGGGGGTGGTGGGCGTCGGCGGGGTACTGCTCTCGACGTCATTAGGGGGGACATCGCGGGCAAAGGGTAGAGTCGTAGAGGGAGATGGGCGTATGTCATTAAGTTCGAATTCTGAAGGGGGAATTGGAATGCCCTGCTTATCTCTCCGTACCGTGGCGGGGGGGTTTGCAAGGCTGGGCGACCCCTCTATGCGAATAAACGAATCAAGCCCGCTGTTCGACAATGCCATGATAACTGTGTGGGCATGTGCCTGTTTTTTGTTTGAGAGATAATAAATAGGAGGGAATATAGAGGAGGGAAGTCGGAGAGATGAGGTGACAAAGTTATACGAAATCATGGATATAAAAATAAGATATAAAATCTGTAGGCTAGCGGGGTACTCTGCCCCACCGGGACAAGCTCCAGTGGGGTGGAGGGGCGGAAATAGCTTCCGCCATCACCACATTATTAGAAATCAATACGCCCCATTTTTACCCCTCCCTCAGGGCGTCTAGGCGCCTGTTTATTTGATATAAATACAAAGATAAAGATAAGAAATATGCCATTAATTTTTACAAGCACTTATGTGTGCTACAGTGCTTATAAAGGTGATAATGGCCTGTTATGGTCTTTGGCTACGCCAGTGCACTGGCAACAACTGCGAATGAACTATAGAGTTGGTTAACTGTGCTGTTGCTGCACCACCACGATATGGTTGCGCGGCTGGGGCGCAACCGTATCGTGCTGCAGCATCATGCACGTCCCCTTTGTTTTCAGTTTGATAAGGATAACTTAATCGAAACGATTTCGACAGCTCGTAGTTCAACTTCAACAGTCTATCCCTCCACCGACTCCAACAGCGCACTATTCGATGGCTTGAACCTGTATTCTACTAGCTAACCACTAACCCTCTAATACCAGCATTCTACAGTACAATCCTAGCTATGCATCGCAAACCCTCCTCGCCAATGGCGCCCCCTTCATGGTCTCCGCCCCCGGAAAAGTCATCGTCTTCGGTGAACACGCGGCCGTGTATGGCAAGCCCGCCATCGCAGCCGCCATATCATTCCGCTCCTACCTTCTCGTCACCACGCTTTGAACCAGGAAACTCAAACGATTGCTATGGACCTGAAAAACAAGGGAAGCAAAGTTGCAGTCATGTCTGTAAGTCCGGGATGGGTGAAGACTAAGTTGTCGGGCTGGCTCGGGGACACAGATATTGACGAGTCTGTGGAGGGAATGATATCTATCATCAAGAAGCTCAACATGGAGAATACCGGCGGGTTTTGGAACTGGAACGGAGATAAAATTTCGTACTAGAAATTGCATCCAGAGGTTATATGGTATAGCACCGGTACTGATCTCACATACAGTTCTACAGAGCGTTTAAAGAGCAACATAGCTGCCTTTCAGTAGGATCACGGTTGCCTTATGAATGGCCTTTGACTTGGAAATTTTGAAGCTTGAATGTGATTCTCCGTCCGCCACAGCGCTTTCCACCCTCTCAACACGAAGCCCACTTATCACACTTCCTATCGTACAGCGTCGCATGGACCCCTTCGCCCCATCTAGCCTCATGCTTCCAGTAATATGTCTCATGATTAATCTCGCACACATCCTCCCCGCCTACTTTGTCCACCGGTGCAGCGTGCACGGTGCAATATTGCCGGACGCAGAGGACGCACATCTTCGACGGCCCGGCCTGTTTCCACGCGGGTTTCCGCCTATTCATGCATACGCAGATATGGCAGTCTATCGTTGACACTTGGGCGGCGGTGGGGTTGGTTGGCGCTGCCATCGGCGTTACCGTGAGCGCGGGCATGTCCACAGGGAGGTCGGTTGTTGCAAGCGCGGCAGTGGTGGATAGCGCATCCATAACGACGGGTATAGGCGTGAGATTTGAATATAGGCTTTCAGTTGTGCGAGTATAGTATATTTGTTTTCTGGTGAGTGGCGTGTTGGATGAGGTTCTATACATGATGCTAAGTTGGCGGAATCGGAGGAAGTTTTATAGAATATGGGGAGGGCTGTGAATACGGGCAGCTCGGGAGTCTCGCGACTGCCTGGAAGAAGTGGGTTTGTGAATATATGCCTGGCCTCCTTGAAGAGACCGGGCGGATTTGATAATTACGGGGATGGATAGTGGCGGAGTGGCCATAGTCGGCCTTTAGGCGCTTAATCAGGTTCAGGCGTATACGCCGCCAACATACATCAAATGTAGGATTGAATAACTCGATAAGATCTGTATGTTGATTTAATTAATGTATTTGATTTAATCTGCGATATATGTTTATGTTTGGTGACTATTAAATGTCCAGTGGTCTAAAACCTGTTTTGATCTAAATTACGAAGACAAAAAATAATTAACATGACGAAATATCCAAGTCTAACATACAAACCCTTCCATCTCCACCCCCATCACGCCGTCTCTCTCGGAGCCTCCCACTTCCCAACATCCCCCAACCGATCCCCCGTCAATCCCGCACTCCCCGGACTCCTCATCCCCGCCTTCCTCTGCATCTCACAACTAACCCCCCTCAACCTCTCCCCCTCCGCCGCCGTCAACCTCAGATAAACCTCCACTCCCACAGCATGCATCGCAATAGCAACCCACCACGCCATACCAAACGTCAGCACCATACTCGCCTTCTGTTCTTCCCCAAAGGGACTATTGATATCTGCCTTCACGACCACATCCGTGTTATTACCGCCCACACATGTTGGGTACCTGCTCTGTAATGCAGCAGGGGAGTTGGCGTATATGAATTCTATCTCCCCACAGTTTATGACGGTGGAGTAGGAGCCGATGGATGAGATGATTCCTGAAGCGAGAGCCATGATAATGCGTAGGGTGATGATTGTGCCGAGCGCGAACATGGCCCGTAACATCCACGCGCGGTGCTGGTCGATCTGCAACCGCTTGATATTGTAGTATGCTAGTGCCATAAAGATCGTGGTAGCAATGACGAGGTAACCAACAGCGGATTGCGTAGCGAGAGTTCCACCGAACGCGCGACGGGCTATCATGATAGCTCCGATGTTACCAAGTGTTGCGAGGATAATAATTAGGTAGCCGTTGATGCGGTGGAAGAGAATGGCTTTGTAGCGGATAATGGGGACAAATTGGAACACCATGAGGACGCCAGCAGGGACAATGGTAGTGAGATGGAGGGTAATTCCAACGCGGTGGATTCCTGACTGGTACCAGAACCATTCCCCAGTGACCGCACCGGTTTTGAAAGAGGAAGGGGCGTCACCGCTGATGTTAAGGTAGGAGATTCTGGCGAGTGAGAAGCCGAGCATGGCGCCGCCAAAGATAAAGACTACGATTGTTAGTGGGCGGGGATATAGAGAAGTGTTTGAGAACTCACAAAGAGGGAAGTTGTAGCCTTTCTTGAAGCCGAGGGGGTTGTAAACCTTCCTCCAGAATCGGACGAACCAGTTATCGTAGCGTGTCATTGTTCGGACGTCGGTGGGAGGAGTGCTAGTCAAGGTAAGCAGTAAACGAGATATTAACATAGCCTTTTTAAATTTCTCTTTGCTGAGATTCTGGCTCATGGGGACGGATCAGTATTTATACACTTACTCGGCGAACCATTCGCCCGGGGTACAGGCAATGCAACACCGGTGAGAGGGATTCTCGAATACCGGCCTTACTCCGCGTCATGGCCCCGTCTATGAAAGGCTCAGCTATGCAGAATATCACCATTCTCGCCGCAATAACGCTATATTTACCAAATTACCATTGGCAAGGAAAGTAAGCTCAGCTCACAACTTAACGTCCACTTAAAAGCCATCGAGTCTATACGCAGGCGTATAATTCGTTCTGTCATAACTCATATTCCTACCGCTATACGAATGTCTCATCCATATTCCCATCTACATCCCCATCAAAGTTTCATACCAAACACAGTCCCATTTCCCCAAACGCCACCGTCTCATAGACGTGGCTAAGCATTAAGATTCGCACCCCCCGCAGATCCCCCACCCCCGATTGGCCCGCTCGTAAACGATCGGCGCTGTCCCCCCACTAGCGCCCACCCCCCCAACCCTGGATCGGCCCTAGACTACAGCCTCCTGTGTCTTTACCTACAGTAGTATTACATACGTTCGGGGTGATGATATCCCAATCAGTCTGCTCTCTCATATACCGAGCATCTGGCAAAATGCTCCCCTTCTTCTCCTCTCCCGGTCTCTATATCACGACATGATTGCTTCGCTCGTACCCCCTTGTGCAGATATATGACCAACACACCTCTAGACGACAGCAGTCTCCCTGCAAACTGACATCCCGCTTGCGCGTCCACCACGATGCCTCGTAAACCGTCCCCCTCTACTACCAAGAGGCCGCGAGCTTCAAAACCAAAAGTCAAAACAGGCTGTCTAACCTGCAAGTACGCTCCCCCCAAATCCCCCATCCACACTTCCCCAACCCACTAAACCCTCCTTCGCCCTACCCTCCCCTATAAATCCCCTATAAATCCCAGCACCTATATACTACCCCCCTAACTAAATCATACAAGCTAACCCGCCCCGTAGGATCAGACACGTCAAATGCGATGAATCCAAACCGCACTGCACGCGCTGCCTCTCCACTGGCCGGGTGTGCGATGGGTACTCCCCTCCTCGCCTCCTAACCCACATTATCACCCACTCCCCTTCACATACCATCACTCACTTCCCCACCCCGCTCCCTTCCCCCGCCATCACCAACGCCCCAACCCCTCTTCTCCCCGGCACCCCCTCAGAGCAGGACTCCTTCCACACCTTCCGCACCCTCACCACCGCGCACCTCAGCGGGCTTTTCACATCCCCATTCTGGTCCCGCCACGTCCTGCAAGCGTCACTCCACGAACCCTCTATCTTTCACGCCGCTGTGGCGTTAGGCGCCTTACACAGCAACTCCATCCACACCAGAACTTGGGGGGACGGGGACGGGGACGGGGAGTTCGCGGTAAGGCAGTACGTCAAAGCAATCCGCGGCTTGACGAGGCCGGCGGGAGAGAGGAGGGTTGATGTTACCCTGATTGCGTGTCTCCTCTTCACCATTTTCGAATCCCTCCGCGGCTACCACGCAGCGGCGCTGACGCACTTGGATAATGGGGTGAACCTGCTCCTTGAACTACAGTCCCAGTCCCACTCCGACTCGCACTCGCACTCGCACTCCCCCTCCCACGCCAACAAACAGCGCCCAGCATACCCGAGTCTACCCTACACGCCCCTCCCCGCGCTGCGAGAACTAGTTATGAGGTTAGATACACAAGCGACACAACTCCTCCCCACGCGACGGACGCGTTTACGTCCTTTCTCCGCGCCGTGCACGGATTATGCGTTTACATCGTTGGAGGAGGCGAGGGCGAGGGGGGATGAGTTGTGGAATTACAGTCTTTACACCCTCCAGCCCTCCGCGTCATCCGCCTCCTCATCACCCCCCTCCTGCTCCTCCGCCAATAATGATGATTACTGCCTTTCGCCCCGCGGTCAAGCTCATCGACATACGTCTCGCATCTATTTAGCAGATCTCCAGGCCCGCTACTCTACTGCCCTCTCAACCTACCTCGCCACCCACCCCCCTCTCACACCTCGCGAGCGACAAGCAGGGATGTTATTAAAGCTCCACGACGCAGTCGCGACGCTCTCTCTGAGCCCCGCGTCACTTGCTGGTTGCGAAGAGGTGTGGAGTTCGTATACACCGCAGTTCGCGGGTATAGTTGCACTTGCACGGTCGATAATAGAGATGGAAGACGCGCTCGGAGATGACGAAACCGGGATAAGCGGGGGAAGAGGGGGGAAAGTGGGGATGGATACCGGTGTGTTGGGACCGTTATATCTCGTCGCGCTGAGGTGTCGCGATCCGGTGATTCGTTCGGAAGCGGTGCGGTTACTTGCGGGAGCGGAGGGGAGGAGAGAGGGGTTATGGGATAGTAACTTATTAGCTAGAGTGGCGGGGAGGGTGGTGGTTATTGAAGGGGTTGGTGGGGAAGGGAAGGGGAGGAAGAGGGTGGAGGATGTTGATCTCGTGTTTGATCCCGAGGAAGGGTGTAAGGCTGGTGTTCGGTTTTTGTTAGAGGACGGCATTGATGATAGGACTATCAGTAAGCAGGAGGAGGTGGGTGGGTGGGTGTTAGCTAGTTAATCAGTAGATAGGCCGAGAGCTTGTATGCGCTCAACTAAAGCAGATACCAAGACTATAACACTAGTCAATAACCGCATTGAAGAAGTAGGGTAGATGCCAAAAAAAAACAAATTACTACCCCCCCCTTTCTCGCTATCCCAGAAACAAAAAACCAACATCCTAGCCCAGATCATCCCTTTCACATAAACACCTAAACCTAAACCCGACGAGCCAAAAAAAAAATTGGAGAGTGAAAACGCCGGTTTAAAGAGGCGATAAATAAATTGGAAATAGATACACCTAAATCATGCTACTAAATGAATAGTCACATCCACATGAACCCCGCTATCTCGTTCATATTACACCCCTCCCCTCTCCCCGCTTTTCCCCTCCCCTCCCCTCCTCCCTGTTTCCCCCCCTACCTCATCACATCACCTCCCCGTCCCCCCCCCCTCCAACTCCCCAATCCCCCCAACCTCCCTAATCACCCCCTGCCCTCCCCCTCCCCCCCCTCCCCCCACTCCCCCTCCAACCACCGGTCCACTCCCCTCAACCTCAAAAGTCCCCTCATGCTGATCCCTCGGAAACGGCCCCCCCGCCATATTCGCACTCATCTCACTAAACCCCGGTCTAGGGGACGAATACCCATACGCGCCCGCTCCCACCGCCGTGCTCCCCGTCGCGGTACTATCTCGTACTCCCCCGGCACTGTTAATAACATCGTTTGTCTGCCCGGACACGGCTGTTGTGGTAGGGCTTGTGGGGTTGGGTGATCCATGGCTTTGGGGGACGGGGGAGTAGTAGGTCCCGGTGTTGGGGTCGAAGTATCCACCTGCCTGCTGGGGTGGTTGTTGGGGGTACTGTTGTTGTTGCATCTCCGGTGATACGGCATACTGCTGCTGCTGCTGCTGCATCTCCGGCCCACCATATTGTCCGGCGAACCCAGCTTGCGGGGCGGGGGGTCCGTAATAGGAATTCGTATTAGGGTTCAACGGGGGTTTATTCGCATCAGCGATATAAGCCGGTGGACCCTGTGGACCCTGCTGTTGTGGACCTGGCGCACCGCCCTGGGGTAGCGGGGCGACAGTGGGTGCAGACGCGGCAGACGCGGCAGCAGCGGCGCGCTTCCGGCGGAGAAGGAAGAAGATAAGGAGTCCTATTATCGCGAGGGCAGCGACCCCGCCAACGACACCGCCTACAATAGGACCAACAGGAGTTTTCTTACTCTTACTCGTAGAATGGTCACTCGAGCCATTCGCGCCACTATCCGTCCCCCCCGTCGGGTTCGCGCTGGAGTCGGAGGAGGAATCGCTAGTCGGCCCCAGCGCATCATTAAACCCGTTATTACCGTCGGTGAACGTGCTGCTGTGCGACGAGGCGGTCAACGAGGACGAGGAGATAGTGGTGGTGAACCAGGTTTTGTCGGTTTGGCCGCGGTAGGAGGTGTAGAGGGTTTGGGTGGTCGTGATGCGGTCGTTGTCGCAGAAGTAGTCGGCTACGCCGTTCATGGGCCAGGTGAGGGCTGCGCAGTAGGGGGCGGTGGATTCGGTGCTGTGGGGGGGTATGTTAGAAAAAAAAGTTGTAGGTGAGAAGGTGGGGAGGAGAGCAAACCATTTCAAAGTATAGGTATCATGCAAACACCCACTATCACAAAGCGTCCCATTCTTAATATCCGCCGCATCTAAACAATTCGTCCTGAACCCACACTGCTCAAAGGGCCCATCAATCGGACAGCAGCCGATATACCCATTCCCCCCTGCCGACGTGAACATAAAACACGTATCTGCCGTTCCGCAATGTAGTGGCGCGCCTGTGGTAGTCACACAAGTCAGCTTTCCCATTTCCCATCTCTCAATTCTCCCACTTCACTTCACACGCATATCCCAGCTCTCAATTTTCCCACTTCACACTCAAATCCCATGTGTCATCTCATCTCAGTCTTCTTGGTCAGGCTATTACTCACCAGGTCTCCCATCAAAATACCCACACGTAGCATCCGGCGCCGCATACGCCGTTATCGCCCCCGTCGAGCTCTCCGCACGTCTCCCAACTCCATGCTTGTTCAGCAGATCATACGGCGCGTCAGGCGCGAGAGTCGGTTTCGGAGGCTTGAAGCGTGGGACGATGGAGGGGAGGGGCGCGGCGGCGGGGGTGGCTTTGGGGGGTGTCCATTTGAATCCGTTGGTGGGGGTGAGGGTGGTGGCGAGGAGGAGGGTGAGGAGGGGGAGGTGGACCATTGTTGTGGTTGTGGTGGTGGTGGTGGTGAGGAAGAGAGAGGGAGGGCGCAAGGCTCTGGGTTGCCGAGTCCCTTGGGGTGCGAGGTGGTGTCAGAGGAGGCGGCGGTGGTGGTGGTCAAAATATCCAGAAACGGAAAGAATGAGGCAGCGACGACAATGATGGAAGAGGAGGAGGAGGAAGAGTGAGAGAGGAAGAAAAAGAATGAGGCTGTGACAGACGACAGCAGCGGCAGCACGGCAACGGCAACGAGGAGAGCCAAGAAAATTGGGGAAACGAGGGTGTGTGTTGAGCCAGAGTGAGGTGAGTGAGTTGTGGAGATTTAGGTTTCCCAGAGAGGAAAGGTGGGAGCAAACACAGGATAGTACAGCACAGCACAGCAATAAATAGCACAGCCCTGACAGCTGAAGTTAGTAGAAACCAAACTAACCCTAAGAAGAAGAGGAGGAAGTGGAGGGAAGAGGAGGAGGAGAGGAAGAGGGAGGAAGATGGTGGGAAAGGCTGGGAAAGATGGGATTAACAAGTACTCACCTATAGCTAACAAGAGTATCATCTACAACCCCCCGTCCCTAATCTCACCACCCACCCCCATCAAGCATCATGTACCCTCTACATCCGGCAGTACATGAACCTAGCTCTGATCCCCAAGCTTGATTGGAGTTCCCGCTTGATTGTAGAGCTCCTCCCGTATAAACAGAGCAAAAACAAGAGAGTCTTGGCAGCTGGCAGCTTCAAGTTTATAAGTGGAACTGTCTGACAGGTGTACGGGAGAATTAAAGCCCGATCCCACATTGTGCCCAGGGAGTGCCCATAGAGTGACAGTCTGGATTGGCCAGGTTAGGGGCTGTCAGTATCAGGGGTCCTAGGGGTTAGGGTGCTGGTGTTGTGATTGGATCGGTAAGAGTGTCATGGCGCGGGATTGTTTAGCGTGCTTACCCTTTTTTAACCTTCTTAGGACTTGTTTGGGCGTAGGGTGGATGTTAGCGTAAGGTGTGTTCGTGTGTGTGGGGTGCGGCTGAAGTGAGAGGGAGAGGGCGTGGGAGGAGAGAGGTTGATGGGGTGGGAAGAGAGAGGTTGATGGACAGGGAAGACGGACAGACAGTGATGGAGAGGGAGAGGGAGGACTGGCAGGGCGTGTAAGGGGTGTGGGATTAGTGCTATGCTGTCTTCGTGTAGAAGAGAGGGAGAGGGAGTAGGAGGGGGTGAGATTAGCGCTGTGGTGTGTTCGTGCATGTAGGGGTGCGGCTGAAGGATGAGAGAGAGAGAGGAGACAGGGGTGGGAAAGAGCAAGGCAGTAAGGCAGTAAGGCAGAGTCTCGATCAAGTACACCTTGGCTAATATTCGGCATGTTGGTCCCACACCCTGACCATGTTCTTGTGCTTGTCTTTTGACTGTCACCTCTCATATCCGCAGCATATCAACCCTACAAACACACCCATCGACACTCACACACAGTCTACACACAGTCTACAAACACCCCCATCAACCATCATCACACCCATCTACAGTGCAGTACTCTACACACCCCTCCCCAAATCAACTCACCCCCATCCATCCTCACTTACTCCCCGACCTCGCCCTCGCACCCCTACAAAACATCTCAGCCAACCAATAGCATCCCCCCCTCCCTGATAACGATCGGCATCTGTACGGGCAACTACTCTACTCTACTCTACTCTAGGGCACAGTCAAAGGCCCCAGACCAGACCGAATGAAGTACCCCTGTCATTCCTCCGCCGTATCTCGCATTTCGCAATGCTTGTATATGTCTTGTCTGTCTCTCACCTAAGAAGCTTCTATGTACCCCGAACTCCGTACTCCCTTCTGCCATGTGTTTACCATTCACTACACATACCATACTCCCATCACCACCTATAAACTATATATATCTCACCGTCCCCCCCTCTCGTGTCCATCCACCACATTATCGAACTCGTGCATACACACTACTAACACTATTAACTGCCAGCGCGCCACCAACACACCGTCACCACACACACCCCAACCCCCGGAGTCCATTCCCCCGTCACCCCCCAGCAGCCGATCACCCAAGGCTGATCCGCCTTACGAGCCCCCTTGCCGCACACCCGGGGCTCTCGTAGTGCTTACCCCACGTGACTTCATCTTAAATCACATGTTTGAAGTCACGTTTAAAATCATGTGAACATGGTTTGTATCACGTGACATCGATTGGTTGTGTGTTATACCACGTAATGAACAGCACGTGATGGGTGCTGCTTTACCTTGACAGCCTTCCATTCTAACTTCTCTACCCCCCACAAGGCTGTGATCGATCACCGGTAGGCAGTGAAATGCAATCCTTCAATCCCCACTATCCCCATCCCTATTCCCGAGGACTTGACCGATCCGCAGGCATCGCGGAACAGACGGCGAGGACGGCTTCCCTTAAACGCCATGTGATGGCTGGTGTTTCCCCATAAAAAAGGGTGATCGGGCGATGATCGGTGCCGTGATGGGTTTGGGGGGGGTGTACGCGAGGCTGGGCAAGGCTGGTGGACGTCATTGCGGGTTACTGGCGAGGCTGTGGGGGAATCCTTCGGCGACGGTGGGGGGGATGGATGGATGGGTGAAGTGGAGGATGGATTGATGGGTTTAAGAGGGTTTATAAATGGAATGAAATTCTGCTTGAGGATGGGGACAATAAGTCAGTCAAGTCAATCAAGTCAATCAATAGGTTGAGAGTTGAAAACTATAAAACCTACTGTTTAAGAGGTATATACACAACCAATATTTATCTCTAGAAATCCCTCCAGACAGACGGCATACATAACCAGCACCCGAGAAAACACACCTTCGATTAAACGGGACTTTTTATTTGTATACACTAGATCCTAACACCAACATGTGTTTCGGTCTCCGAAGCAGCGGCGCCAAAGCCGACATCCAAAACGGCACAGACATCGACATTCCCGCGAGGAAGATCTCAAGCCCCCAACCCCAGCAGAACCTCAACGGCGATGGGTCCGAGATGTCGATGATGTCTGGGAAACCCGAGAAGGTCGAGAAGGCAGAGAAGCCGAAGAAGAAGAAGTGGAATGATGATGAGTATGGTGATTCTGTTAGGTGAGGATTCTTCAATTTCTCTTTGTCTTTCCGTTTGCCCTTTGTCTTTCTATTTCTCTTCGTCGTTCTATTTCACATTCCCCATTTCCCATTCCCCGCCCTCCCCAATACCCACCCAGGCCAAGAAGAACATGACGGAGAAAACGGACGAAATGGAAAAGCTAATATGGAAACACATAGCCTCGCGCTAGCAGCAAAAACTAGAGCGAGGATAAAGGAACTCTACCCTAATGGGATTCCGGAGGGGGAACAGGATGCGATTTCGAGGACGCAGATGAGTAGTGGGCCGATGGGGGGGCCGTATGGGGGGGGGGCTATGATGGGGTTGTAGATTTGGATGGGGGGCGGGGGTTATATTATAGATTGGGGTGGGTAGGTGGTTTAGACGGGGAGGGAGGGGGGTAGAGTGTATACAGATTCATTTTAAGGGAAGCGATTTTGTCTGGCTGGATAGGCTATAGATGGGAGGAAATAGAATTTTGATCATTTCGTTATATACGTTATAAGGTCCGTAATATACTGCGAGAGGGATATATATAATCTGATCATTTCGTTATAAATTAATATAAACCCCCCTGGTAATAATATAAAATAGATATATAACGAGGCTTATTACTTGCTCTTACTGATATCATGTAAACACTGAATCGACTGGTCCGTTTCCGTGCTCGAAGTTAGGTTATACCCATTCACCCTAATCATAACCCTCCACTCCTTCTCAATCAACGGATTCGCAATCCTCAAATTCGTGTCCCCCTCCACCGCCTCAACCAGTTCAAACCCGCATCCCACAACACTCGGTAGAATTTCATTGACATAGTCTAGCGGAGCCACATTTCTCCTAGTGTGAGTGGGCCAGTGCTTGCCACTACGGCGTCTGTACTTGTAGCAATTCGACATCCAGCCACTCACTACACCAAAGGTACTCTGGTTAGCATCGACAAAGTACTGGTTAGCGACATCGTCGTAGCCCGTGCAGGGATACGCAGCAGTCTTTCCTGGCAGCGTCGCGAGCGCCGCGATCGATAACTGTCCCCAACTGAGACTGCGCCGCCCCGTCGTCTTCTTCGACGCCTTCAGGGGCGGCGCTACCCCCGTTTTCGATGGCGTGGGTGTCTTTTCAGTCCCGCTTTCCCACATTGTTGATGGCGGTGGAGGGGGCTGATCATATCCATATCCATTCTCTCTCGGCCAAACAGCGCTTCTCTGGCGCGCCTTTACCGCTCTGTGCTTTCTGTATTGGCCGATCCAACACCAGAATATACCGTATGTGAGGAATCCAAAAACGACGTCAGCGAGGACGGTGAGGACTATATAGGCAAACTTTTTCAAATGATCGCGTCTAGCGCTTCTGAACATGTCTTTCTTGCAGATTTCCCCCACAGCCTTTAGGCACGCTGCCGGGTATCTATCCTTCCAATTCCACATCACGTTTCCGTCGCATATGACCCCCGTGACGTTGACCTCTGCAGTCCTGGCACAGGCGTCGTAGGCGTAGTTGGGGTTATTACAGTTTCTACAGCCGTGGTAGCAGGCATCGTAGACAGTGGTTCGGGCTATATGCATCCAGTGCTTGTAATCTCTAGAATTCATAGCACCACGAGAGGTTTCGATGCTGCGTTGGACGTCACGGGCGAGTGCGTATGTGCTTCCTCCGGTGATGGCACAGCCTATGAGGATTGCAAGGCGGATTGAGAGGATTTTCAGGGTAAGGTCGGGGCGGGATCGGCGTGGTGTTGGGGAGGTGGGTGGTATTTGGATTTCTTCGTCTTGTTTTCTGATACGCTCGAGCGGGAATGATGGGGTGGGGTCGGACACATATAGGGAATATCCATCATCTGGCCGAGGAGTAGGTTTGGTCATGGTGCCGGTTTAATATGCGCTTTTCGGGCGCGGATTAAATTGACGAGTATGAAAGGAGTATAACTCTAGCCGAAATAAATAAATGGAAGTAGAAAGAGGCTCTAAATCGAACCGAGGATGGGGCTTTATAGTTTTTGCCTGTGGTCAGTTCATCATCGGATGGTATTTGGCTAGCTCACATACGATTCTCAGTTGCCTCATGTTCGCCCTCATAGAATGGGGAACAAATGCGGGGTTGGTGTGGGCTTAATAGTTTAGCAAACTAACTAATAAGTTAATAACAACGGCCTTCATCTAGCTCCTCATTCTTATACCGTGGTAATAATACGAAATACATGTAATGAGGCTTATTTATGGCTTTTTCTAATATCATGTAAGAACTAAATCGACTAGTCTGTTTCCCCGTTTGAAGTTAAGTTATACCCATCCACTTTATTCAATACCCATCAGTCACTCTTAATTAAGGGGTTCACAATCTGCAGATTCATATCCTATCCTAAGTTCCTAACCATCGTTATTTTCCTTCTTGAGTTCCTAGCCATCGTTCTTTCCTTTCTAAATTCCTAGCCATCGCCCCTTCCTTCCTAAATTCCTAGCCATCGCTCCTTCCTTCTTGAATTCCCATCCATCGTTCTTGCCCTCCTACAGTTCTTAACATCTTAAGAGGCCCCTAAACTCTAAACATAATCATGTATTTATTCTTATTACTAGAAGACAACTAAGATTCGTCTAATACAAATCAAAAACATTAAAATCTAAACAAAAAGCAACAGTTAAGAAAGGGATACAGAAAAAAATGAGACAGCGTCGTAAAAATTATACACTTGCGCATGCATTCATCATGCTTCGCCTCCTCTATAGCATGAGTTAATTTAAAACCGCATCCAACAACGCTCGGTAAAACGTCGTTGACCCAGTCTAGTAGATTCATATTTGTTTTAGTGTGGCGCCTGCTATGGTAGCAGTTCGACATCCGGCCATGAACCATGAACTACACCAATGGAGGTTCGGTTGACGTCGACAAAGTACTGGCTGACGATGGGGTCGTAGCCGGTGTTGGGGTAGCTGCATCATTTACGAGTGTTTCAAGGGATAACTGGTCCAAACTAGGACTACGCGGTGCCATCTTCTTTGGTGCCTTTGGCGGTGGTGATACCTTCTTTTGCAATGGCGTAGTTGTATTTCCAGTCCTAGTTCCTGACGTCGTCGGCAGCGGTGGAGGGGGTCGATAACAAGGAATCCTTTGCGGCTGGATGGCGAGGTTCTGGCGTGCCTTCTCCAGCTTTTTATGCCTGCGTTCGTCAACACTACACGGGAAGATACGACATGCGAGTAATCCGCATAGGGCGCCACCAGGTACAATGAAAATCATCATAATAAGCAAATTCAAGTGCTCCTGTCTCTCGGTCCCGAACGCCTCCTCTTATATATCTCCGCCACAGCCTCCAGACACGGAACCGGGTACCTATCCCTCTGATCCCACAGCAAGTTCGCATCACAGACGACGCCAGTGACGTTGAGCGCTGCCGTCTTAGCGCAGGCTTCAGAGGCGCAGCTCGGGCTGGCATCGCACCCGTTGTAACAGGCGTCGTAGACTTTGGTGCGGGCTGCTTCCACCCAGCGCTCGCGGTCGCCGGGGTTCACAGGGCCGCCAGCGTTGGTGATGCCGCGTTGGACCCTAAGGGCAAGTGCACAGGTGGTGCCTCCGATGATGGCTCAACCTAGGAAGACGGCGAAGAGGATAGGGAATATTTCGAGTCTTCGCTCCCGACGAGCTTGGCGTATAGCTGGAGACTCGGTTGGGACTTGGGTCTCTTCATCATTTTTTCCGATGTTGGTGAGAGGGATCGATGGAGCCGATGTGGCCATGGTGCCAGTTTGATATGTGGTTTCAGGTGCGGGTAAACGTTCAGATAAGAGAGGAGTACAGGAGTATAGTTTACTTAAAAATGGAGGAAAAGGGTAGAAAGCGGCACTGAAACGAACCAACGATGGGCTTTATATTTTTTACCTGTGGTCAGCCCATTGTCGGTCGATATGGTTAACTTACGATGCTCAGCTGCATCGCCTTCTCCATCACAGAATATGGGGAACAAACATGGGGAAGTGTGGGGTTGTGTGGGGTTGTTAGTGTAGTAAGTCACTGCTAAAGTTAATAATGCCGCCGTTCATCTAGCTCCTCATTCTTACCATGGAATATGTATAACTTCACAACTACTCCTTATAGCGTTTGTATGGGCAGAACGTTGTATTATCCAATAACATGCTTAGGCATACGGACTAAGAGGATTAGTACCGTTACACTAAATTTCGAGTGTGAAGGTACACAACTCTAATATTTATAGCGGCAATCTAGTCTTGACGTCACACGATATCATCGTCATTTATCACACACTACAGAACAATTTGTCTACACAAAATTCAAACTACCACAAGCCAAACAACTCCGACACGCTATCCGCAATGTTCCCTCGCCCCTCTCAACCCCCGCACAATGCTCTGGTTCACGAAACGACGACATAAACCTCCATCAACCGAGGAATCCCTTCATGCGGTCGCTCCAACACGCGGGTTCCTCGAACACGCGTCCTCGCGAATCGTAGAGGCCCCCACGCAGGTCCTCTACACCGACCCTAACTTTGCGGCACCACCGCCACTTAACTACTCCCTTCGAACACGCAAATGGAGCCTTGCTATTTTCTGGTTTTTGATCTTCCTCGATTGTATTTGTATGCCTCTCGCGTTGTATTTCGGGCTGTGGTATGGGACACACTTGTCGCATAATGCAGGTGAGTTTTGTTATTGTGGGGATGGGGATAAGAACTAATATGTAGGCAGTTTTCAGTATCAGTACAGGAGCTATAGGGATAGTCTCCGTCATCGAGTATTTCATCCGCTTCCGCCGATTATGGAAAAAAGGTTCCACCTGCCGTGTCATCGGCGCACGACGGTGGTATGTGAGTACCCCCCCACCCCTCTACTCTACAGCCACCTAATCCCACCCAGCTTGACTGGTTCCACTGGAACCTCTCGCTCGCCTGGATCGCTGTCATGATCGAGCTCATCATTGGCACCATCCCCCGCGAACCCCCCATCCGCCTCCTCGCCATGCCCGTCCCCAGCATGGTCTTCGCCTTCGGCCTCGAGCTTGCCCTCGTCGATGGCCTCCGCCTCCTCGGCATCCCCACTCCCGTTCGCATATCCTCTGTCCCTGCCGGCGTTCCTCTGCGCCCGGGCGTCTACAGTTTTATCGAAGACGTATGCGCCGTTGATGGCTCGGGGGGTACCGAGTTCCGCCAGCGTCTGAATTTAAGGTATATGGCGAGTAAGCCGTTTCGGAAGATGTTGCATCGCTTAACGCTGTTTTGGGCGACGGGCGCGCTGGCGATTGCGACGGCGTCGACGGCAATGATTTTTACGCTGTCGAGGAATGCCGCGTATGTTATTGGGTGGACGGTGCCGTTTGGGTGGGCGGCGGTGTGGACGCTGATTACGACGAAGTGGGTGCAAAAAAGCTTGGAGATTGAGAATAAGGTGTGGAGAGAGGAGAAGGAGCATCGGGGTTTAGGTGGTGTATGAAAGGCGGAGGCGTCTCAGGGGCTATAGCTCAGAGGCACGACCTGATGGTTGGTATGAAGGTTCCCCGGATGTTTCTGGCCGCTAACAATAAAACAAAGGATTGATGGCTCGACTCTTGAAATCAATGAGAGAACGAAATATACGATGTATGAATATTTTTGTTGGGATATCTGAGATAAAACCACGAGAACCTAGAGGGTTACTCGTGCCGCCCAAAAGTCTCAGATGGGATGGTTATGATATGATAATTGATGCCAGTATTTAAGCATATGGAAAATATCTTTTTGGCTGTCTTGAAGCAACCCGTTCAGAAAATTATAATCCTAAATAATAGCATTTATTTCACTTACAGTTTCTTTAAAGTAGTGCTGTTTTACATGTCTCCTCATAATTTTGGGTGTCACTTATATTATCATTTTCACACAATAACGGAAAAACTCATAAATTTTAATAGGCATTAAAACCTCAAATTTAACAACTTTATCTGATAGGGAGTATTTATTACCTTTATAGCAAACCACAGCTTGGTTAGGGATGTTTCGAACTAGTGCGCTTTTACAAAGATTAAATATTATCTGTGTAGACTACAGCTCGAAGCTCAAATCCAACTAATGTAGTTTAGCACAAAACCAAAATACGATCACGTGCTCACGCGCCACCACATCGCGGTTTGTCCACGTCAAGTCGTCGGCACAGTCGCAGCCGCGATAGCAGATCACGCCCTCCGGCGCAGCAAAGGAAACCTCGCTCCCGGCAATACTACTCTCGATGCCTCCATGACTGACCTCTCGTCCATTCTCCCCGCCTTTCCTACAGCGCCATATGCCCATCTCCTCCCCTCACTTGAGAGGCAGAGCGTCAGCACAACTGATCTCCTAACCCTTGACCCCGCCGCCCTCGCCAAGCGCGCAAATATACCCGTCGAAGATGTCACGCGACTCTGCACCGACGTCCTCAAGGCTATCCAGCGTGATCTCGGCCTCACAGGCGACGACTTAGAGACGTCGCACTCCTCGCTCCGAGGTAGGGGGAACGAGATTTCGAAGAAGTGGGATGCGATCAGCACCCTCGATCCAAACCTTGATAGTCTCCTGAGCGGTGGCTTCCCTGCAGGATATATCACCGAGGTAACCGGCGAAAGGTAGCACCCCACCCCCATGAATTCAAGCCATAACTAACCCCAACAGCGGCTCTGGCAAAACCCAGCTCCTTCTCCTCCTCCTACTCACCGTGCAACTCCCATCCCCTCACGGCCTCAACCGCTCCGCAATATACATCACCACCGAATCCTCCCTCCCCACCACCCGCCTCGCCCAGCTCCGCGCTGCACACCCCATCCTCGCAGACACCTCCCTCTCGCGCGTCCTCACCATCCCCGCCCGCGACCTCGAGACACAAGACCACATCCTACGGTTCCAGCTCCCCCTCGCCATCCGCCGCCATAACGTCGGGCTGGTAGTCATCGACTCTGTCGCCGCAAACTTTCGTGCCGAGTTCGAGCGCGGCGACGGGGGGGGGGCGGCGCATGGCGCGAATATGGCGCGCCGGACGGCGGAGCTAGTGGGGCTAGGTGCGTTGCTAAGGGGCATTGCGAGGAGTGAGAGCGTTGCGGTGGTGGTGTCAAATCAAGTTGCTGATCGTTTCGCACCGTTGAGTGTGGGGGAGGGTCCTCCGCGGGGCTCGTGGGCAGAGAGTCAGGGGCGCAGAGAGAGGTTGACGCTGGATGGGCAGATGAGGTTTTTTACGGGGTGGGGGGATGGGGAAGATTGGGAGAAGGTGGGTGGGATGAAGACGCCGAGTTTGGGGTTGGTGTGGACGAATCAGTTGGCGTGTCGGGTCGCGGTTGGAAGGGGGGGAGGGAGGAGATGGTTGAAGGTGGTTTTTTCTGCGTGGGGACCGGGAGGGAGGGAGGAAGTGGAGATCTGGGAGGGGGGAGTGAGGGTAGTTGGGGAGAAAAGGGGAGAGACAGCGGTGATAGTGAATGAAAGGATTGATTAGATCAGTGGATGCGGCTGAATCCGCCTTGATTGAGTTCATGTCGCTCCTCCTATCTTGTATCCGTCATGGTACCGTGCCTACGATTGGATGCGAAGTGAGCACAATCAGGCTGTGAAGCGATGCTCTCGCGTCGGCTAAACAGAATCCGTACAGCCAGCCGTTTGAGCTGCGGAACATGGACAAACTGCCGAGATGGCAATCGCGAAATACATGCCTCACCTGTAAATGGGCACTAGGGCTGTCTACGTATTATAGTGTAGCCGTCCTTGCCATCTTTACCATCCTGCCGCTTTGCTTTTACAATCCTTTTACAACAAAGTATGACACCACCCAGTCATACGTACCTATCGAATAGGTCACTCATACCTTCGGACTCACTTTAATTTCGCTGAAACAAAGTAATTTAGCGGAAGCCGTAGGACTCGATATACGTCTGCATCCACTGCTTTAGTAGGTCATGGGCTGGCTAACTTTTTAAAACATGCGGCCGAACCGAGCATACGACTCATTCCAACATCAACTGACTTATTTCACATGCATATAGATTCTACCGTCCGTCTAGCTAGCATTAACCTGGCCCCCGAGAAACTCTGTATACATGTTTTGTTCTGCAGTGCAGGATAGGTTAAATATATCGTCTACAATACAATTGCAAGGTGATCAAACTAGGCGCGACGCTCATCTTCAGAGTCTTCTTCCATTGCCGCACTCAGAATATTCCTTACTTCTACAGTGTCCTCAAGAAAGCCTAGAAGAATTTCCGCCGCATCGTCTTGGGGTAACACTGATATACGGTCTTTGAGGAAAAGGGGTCCTTCATAAGGTTTTCTGGCTATTCTCTCCCCAACTTGCTGTATGCGGCGATCGATAACGTCATGAGCCACCTCAGCTCCCATGGCATCCAAAAAATCTTTTAGCCCTACTGCCTCAAGTTCTTTCGGGCCTGGCGATATTAGACGAGGCTGATTGACTACGATAGGTTGCTGGAGCGCACGGATAAACGCGTATCGGATGCAGTGGCATGCATATGGGGCTCGCAGGGCGCGAGAAGAACTGTGGGTTTCCAGCGACACTATGACTGTCCAGCCCTTGGGGTCTAAGTCGCGCATCTGTGCCCAGCGCCGACGATATGGGTTGTTGCTATTTTTGCCTTGAGGCATAGATTCAGGAACAGAAAAGCTTTCAGCAAGAATTGGGCTGATCTCGGCTGCAGTTTCTGGGTCGTCATTAAGAAACGATGGGGCGCTAGAGAAGCTGAAGAGATTCAGTGGCTGAATTGTATATTCGTCCGTTGATGTTAGTAGTGATTGTATATAGATTAAGAAGCCGGCGGCAAAGCGCTCTGGCTTAAGGAGTGCATCGCCTAAGTGGACGTAGATACGATCCTTCGTTTCATACATTTGGTCTAATACGAGAATTTGCTGAACGGGAAAGATGTCAAGGGGTGCCACCTGGACCCCATTAGCTGTCGGGGAACTTGGGAGCCAGGACCTCATACGTTGGGCAGCTGAATAGGCGCCCGCAAACATGACAGTTGTGCGTTGTAATATCTGAGGATAGGTTGCCAGCTCCACAAACAGCTGCTCGCTTAGCGCATCACTGTCCCGGATAGGACTTTGAAGGAAGTAGAGCTTACGAAGCCTCTCAACTTGTGATAGTGCGTGGGCAAGCTGGGCTGGCTTGCCTTGAACTCTGTCGATACAAATACTGATGGACGTGACCTTAGCCATGTTAGGCGCACTGAGGATAGCCGAAATAGCCTCCACAGGAAGATTGCTTAGTTGTTCCAAGCTGAGATGCTCCCCGTCAAGAAACGCCATTGTAATAAGCCGATTAGACGAGTGCATGGTGAGAAGCCGAGCTGGGTCTTGCAACAAGGCACGAGAAAATATCTCCTGGAAGTGAGGCATGGTGCGAACCTGTTTTAAAATGGATATATCAGGCTCTTTTAACTCTAAAACACGTTGTATTAGGTTTGTGGTAGCCTGGTATTGGTCCAATACGGATTTATTGGCATCGAGTAGTATGCCTAGTAACATTTCAATGTCTTCCTCTATACTGGGCGGCCAGACAAGATCCATGGCAGACACATTAATCAGAGGCACCTTGGCTATTAGCCTGTCGATATTATTCGTTGTCGAAGAGGTATGGTCGAACTCGGTCATATACTCAGTTGCAGACATGGCACGTCGGGGCCGCACCTCATCCATGACCCTGAGCGTGCCACGTACGAAGTGGAAGCCAATACCATCATAATCTGGTGGGTGATTTTCGTGATTTCGTGACCCAATGAAGGTCATAGGTCCCACCCTAAAGCCGACAATACCATAGCTAATGGCATCTAAGTTGGTAATATCAATGACCACCATTCCCCATTCAATGCTTGTGTCGCGATATACCGTGCCAAGTGGTTCCGGAAATGCTGGACGCGCGAGCTCTTGCTCGGTGTCAAAAGCGACGCCCTGAAGAAGACAAGCCGAGATGAAGGGAAACTCGCGCACACTGGTATGGTACCAGCTTCTTCTGCGACCGCTGGGATTGAAATCCCTGCGGTTGAAGTCCGGTAGCTCCACCAGCTCTGGGCTGTACTCGCGGTTGCCATCTCTCACATAATATCCAGAAGCGAGAGTAAGCTCGGCGCGGATGGCGCGGTGGTTTGCTTGGTCTGAGAAGATAGTAATGACGCGATGACATGCCGCAGTGAGAGGGTATCCTCGTAGCACTGTCTCGTCCTCATTGCTATTGTCGACTAGGCTCGAGACAACGGCAACAGGACGGTGGCGGCCGCCGATCTGTGCTACGGCAAAAAACGCCCATGAGTAAGGTTCCGTTGGGTCTCCCAATATAGGCCCTCCGACAGGCCTCCAATATGGCTTGAATGGTGTCCGCGACATGGCCTGACGGGGCGACGCGCAACGCAAATGTTCGACGTAAGTTTAAGTAGCCATAAAGTGTTAACTGATTTTTTGATTCATTTTAGGGTCTATGTAGTAAGTATATGGAGATGAGTTTGCTGTTGCCTTTCTTCATAGCGAAACCAAGCTCAAGGCACCAACTTCCGAATTCGGCGGGCCACATCACGTTCGCTCGTGTTGTAAACCAGACCGCTTATCGTACGCGATACTGGAAACGCCGTGGCGTATGTAACGCTTCATATTATAATTTATGTCAGTATGTACTGAGAAGGCAATTCGAATATTCCCATATGTTATAGATGAAGACGGCAGCTTCGAGAATTATGGCTATGGGGTTGGGTGCAGAAGGGTTAGAAAGTGTGCGGCAAGTTACCCATGTAAAACAAGCGACCAATTGCAAGATCTATTTGTGAGATATATTTGTGATATACTGCTCTTTCAGCAACTACGGCAACCTCCTTGCCATCACATCATTGAATAGAATATGCTAATAACTTATCCTAAATTCTACATCTTTATATCACACAGTACCCCACCTTCCTACCGCCTTGCGAGCCACTGAAAAGAAGACTCGGGAAGACGCACAAGGCCCCACCCGATCAACCTGATACTTTCCTCATTCATGCGTGTTAAAGCAACACACCAAACCCAATCTCATCACCATTCGTCCATATCGGCACTACGGCACGGGGCTGGTTTACACGACTAAACTTCCAACATTTATCCTATTATCCGCTAGATCACGACTAGAAGTTTCTTGGATTCCTCAGTTCTCGGCATCAGCCTCCTTCAGGGGCGGATCTCCAACGTCATCCTTCCCTATTGGCGTGTTTCAGGGGAGTTGGGGTAGCTGACGTATATAGATTGCACCCCCTCCACCCCGCATATTAAATAGAGGCAGTCCGGTAGTGATGATCGGCACTGGTCACGCCCGATGCAACATAAACGGACTACCGGCAGACAATGGATAAATCGAGTCCTCTTTACTTCGTGGGGAGCCAGCCCCGGCAAGGGTAGATTAGGCCTCATGCCTTTTAGGCAATTGAGCCAGCTTGAATGGAGACAATCGTGATGCAGCAAGATGTATATAAGGAAAGGAAAGCCCGCTCAATTGAGGGAGGCATCACCAACAGCATCCTCTAGCAAACCAACACTACCAAGCAATTAGAATCTTCAAAATGGTCTCCTTCTCCTCCCTCATTCTTGCCTCCTCGGCCGTCGCTGGAGTCATCTCCTCGGTCATCCCGGACAAGCGCAGCGGCCTACCTATGACTGCCCGCAGCACGCCAAGCTCCACCGGAACCCATGATGGCTTCTATTATTCCTTCTGGACCGATGGCGCCGGCGATGTGACCTACACCAACAAGGCTGGTGGTGAATACAGTGTCACCTGGTCAGGCAATGCCGGCAACTTTGTCGGTGGAAAGGGATGGAACCCAGGAAGCGCAAGGTAAGTCCGAAGAAGAACCTCTTCTCGCAACCTACCGTCAGACAAATAAGCTAATCCGCACCATAGGACCATCAGCTACTCCGGAAGCTTCAACCCTAACGGCAACGGTTATCTCTCCGTCTACGGCTGGACCAAGAGCCCCCTGATCGAGTACTACATCGTCGAGAGCTACGGCTCATACGACCCCTCCTCCGCCGCAACCTTGAAGGGCACGGTCACCACCGACGGTGGAACCTACGACATCCTTGAGACAACCCGCACCAACCAGCCATCCATTGAAGGTACCTCTACCTTCCAGCAGTACTGGTCCGTCCGCCAGAGCCACCGCACCAGCGGTAGCGTGAACACCGCTGCTCACTTCAATGCATGGGCTGCGCTCGGCATGAACCTGGGTTCGCACGACTACCAGATTGTTGCCAGTGAGGGTTACCAGAGCAGCGGATCTGCTGACATCACTGTTAGCTAGAGTGTCTATGAGCATGCCACAGGGTAGCTGGTGGAATGGCATCACTGATTGCCCTTGAGTGTCGGGTGACGAAACATGGGCGGGATGAATGGGGCTATCTTCTTGTAGTTAACTTTGAACCGTACATATAAATATGTTTATGAAACTCAAGGCGTGCAGTGGCTGATAGAAAGATGAGGGAAGCCATGGATCTAGATCAGGTTCAAACTGCTAATATCGCTCGTCCCACGTCATGTTTCTTTCCAGGATAACTTACCCGCCACCACCGCGTATTAACAGCAGAACCATGAAGGTCAGCTTCTCTCATAAATAGAAGCTTTATACCCCTCCAATGTTACCCACCCACTATTGCGCCACTATGCATTACCCGCCCTTATTAAATATCAATGCTCCCCAGAAAACCCTCGGAACCTTCCGCCAAGAACGCATAAATCCAATGTATATCACACACACACGTACGCTCAGGGGTCGGTATTTTAGCCTAAACCGCACATATGAGATGGGCGCCGCCACGGCACTATGGGTATAGATTGAGGCGCGGGCTTGGAAACTTGTTTTGACGTCGCGACATTGAGTGTGGGCTGACCTGCGAGGGGTCAGATGGAGAGCGTGAGATGGACATGTCGGGTTGGATGATCGATAGTTGGCTATACGTCCCTTATGGTCAGTTGTGTAGAGGTTTTCACGAGTGGGCATTGTCAATATACTATATATTTATCCAATCCATATGTACACTCTGAACTACTTCGACGCCGTAATAACGTGCTTCCCATCATCGAGCTGCACTGTAACGTGGCCATCCTTGTACTTCGGATTAAATGCCCTCCTTCCCACCGCATACACCAGCTTCGAATTTACAGCTACCATCACCTTCTCACTGCTCACCGGCACCGAGACGGTCCCCTTCGTGCCCTTTGGCACCGTAACCGTAATCTGGAACTGTGAATTCGCATTCTCCGTCGTCCAATCCACCACCAACGGCCCATGAGGCGTGTCCACCTGCCCCTTCGCCCACGTAATCCCCCCTACAAGCATCGGCTTGACGGTCCATTCCGTGAACGCTGGTGCCGTCGGCAAGATCCCCAACACGTAGTTAGACATCAGAGGCACGATGCCTGTGCTCCAGCCATGCGTCGCGCTCGTGAACCCCGCCTCATACATCGAGCCATCTGTCCCAATACCCTCCCAGAACGTGCTCTTCGGGTCGTGCGTCGCCATCCACCCGTACAGGCGCTTGATCTCCTCGATGGCAGAGTCGCCTGCTCCGGAGGCAAAACGCGCTTGTAGCTCAAAGTATGAGATGAAAGCGTACACGCGCTTGGAGAAACCGCCGCCGATGACATCTGAGTCGAAGAAAGGGTTGCCGTAGGGCAGGGCGAGGGAGGCCCAGTACTTGAGGGCTGAAGCTGATCGAGTGCTGTCGGCAATTCCATTCAAGACCGCGAGACCGTTACCATCTTGGCCGTGATTGGTCGTTTTCGAGGAGTCGAAATAGGCGCCAACGCTGGCGTCCCAAAGATGGGCGTTGATAGCGTCGGAGACGGTTTGGGCACGCTCCGTCCAGCGCTTGGCGTCATCGGGGTGGTTATAAAAGGTTGCGATGCTGGCGGCATTTCTGAGTGCTTGGACATAGAGTGCGTTGTAGTACGTGATCAAGCCATGGCGGTTGAGGAAGGCATAGTCTCCATATGGCGAGTCATCTGGTTTGTTGATGAGGCCTGTGGCGCTGTCTGTCATGGAGGGGTAAAAGTTGTCCAGCACCTTTAAAATTGTTGGATAGTACTTTGCTGCGTAAGCATCGCTTGATGTGTATACGATCAGATCGTAGGTACAGGTCACCCAGTGGAGGGGGTAATCCAATAGCTGTAGCTGGTAGTTGTTGATAGATGCTGGAGGGATCCAGCCGTCGCTCCTTTGGTGATCCGCCAAATCTGCTAAAACGTTCTCAGCTGCAATGCTAAAGTTATGCGTGAGATACAACGTTCTGGCGGCGACAGCTAAATCTCCAACATAGGGATCACGGTCACGCTTGGCCCCGTCGAAAAGCACCTCCTTGCCAACAAGGGTGGGACTTCCGGCATTCCTTGGCTCTGTGTCTTCAAGTCGGAATGTATCAGTGCAAAGATCGTTAGTATAAACCGCGGCGTACCAAAATTCGTTCAGTGCAGCATCAGAGCACTCAAAATTGCCGGAGTAGGTGTCTTCTGTCCCTAGATACGCTGAGAATGCAAGGGAGACTGAATCGATAGACACGGATCCAGAAGCCTCGGTATTTGGAGCATCGGCAGCAAGCGCGTCAAGGTAGATTTTAACATATCTGAAGCCGTGCAAGCCATCAGCGCATACTTTCGTGCCATCCTCACACCCGTGATTATCAGTCCAAGTGTATGGATCAGACTTGACAGCAATCTGGTCCGAACCAGGTGTAATGGTATCCCCCTAAACGGTCAGTACAGCATGCTTCAAAGTGGGCTCCCAAACTAACATTGTTCGACCGCGAGAAATCGCTTAGGTCCGATAAGTATTGTGTTGTCTCTGAAAATGCCAATCGTATGCCCGGGTTGTTGGTCGATGCGCCAGCAAATTTGATAGAGAGCTTTCCAACGACTACTTTCCCAAAGTCAAGAACAACCGCAGGGGCCAATTGTCCAGCAACTATACCAGGCCAGACTTCTGCAATCCTCGTGTATTCTCCCTGGCCAGTCGCCTGAGCTTGAGTTACGGTAATACGGATCCCTTTCGCATTAACGGGCGCAGCGAATGGGACCTGGATCAAGACTGCGGCATTGTCGCTGACAGTGGCAACTGCGCCCCATGAGCCACCCTGAAGAGCCTCTACTGTAAATTTCACTGGAACGCCGTCCGAGCTTGACAGAATTGTTATGCCGGATAGAGTAGTCGCAGTTGGTATTGTCAGTGTTAAGATATCAGGATAAGCACCGACTGTGTCGTCGTTCCAGAAGGTCGCTTCGTTTCCATCAATAGCATTGCTAGGGTTATACGTCCGCGTCTGGCCGTTATTTTGATTTTCCGGGTGAAAGCTAGAAGCGTCTGCTGTCGTTCCCGCTGGCCATGAAGGTGGAGCTACTGGGGCGGCTCTCTTCAGCGTTGTCACATCACCACCACTAGTGAGCAAGGCACTTGGGTTGGTAACATCGCCAACGGTGCGGTCTTCTAGGATCGCTGAAGGTAGAACGGTGAGACTCTGAGGTGATATAATATATTGGGCCCACGAAGGCGACTGCTGTCCTTGAATATACGGCACGGCGTTTATCAGCAGAAGGAGGGCAAGAGCCCACCAGCGTCGGAGGGCAATTTGCGCCATCGCTTTTCGAAAGAGTTTGCGGTTTTGGCCTTCAACTCTCTTTACGGGATCCTCATCCTTTATCAATTGGTATCCCACAGGGATGTTCACGTGAGATTTTAAGTCCATGTCACAACCCTCGGGTTATTGGAGCGCGATATGAGCTACAAGAGGCACCGGCACGCTCATGGCCCACTCCGCGGTCACAAAGGCGGGCTTACTCGGCGTTATTGGCAGGCATTGAGAGGCCGCATGGTCTGTGAAATTGCGGTGTCAGCAACACTTTCGCGCAAGTTGCCAAGAATAACTTTGAGCTCCTTCCAAAGTAAGATTACCGTAAGCTCAATCCGATCCTTCGAGCTTCAAATGCTTCGGGTGGCTCGGTCTATGACTTCGCGACGGCGCATACTTCGACGGCACTGAGTTGCGGGGAACCTTGAATCATACTGTCTCGGCGCCGATAGAAGCATCGGTGCTATCTCCTGTTGTGGCCCATTTATACCCGCCTGAGCCTAGAGCGTTGGTTTAGGCGTACACTAGCAAATAGCTTGGCTCCAGTGTGGGGTATTGACATGTCTTGGCGGCCCCGCTCCGCTGTCAACTATCTCGAGATCTTAGGTCAGCAACGAGTACGAATAGACAGAATGACTCCAGAGACAGGAGAGTACCCGTAATACCCATAATACATATTACATATGAGTTGGCAGTAACACAGACAAATACAAAAAAGAATTTACCGTGGTGAAGGAAGTACAGGTTCCATAATTTCGAGGCTGCTGGCCGCTTCCGAGACAAGTATCACAGGTCATCAAGGCCAAGTCTTTCAAAAGTGGACTGTCGCCGATGATAAATTCCACGTGATAGATAGCAGTCATATCATCTTTCTATTCTGAAAGGGAAAACATGGCGGGTGTTTCATGTGTTCTTATAACAATGGGAGTCTACCTGGGCTTGAAGCCCCTTGTAGACCAGAAGTCCCTTACAGAGTCAGCTTCGAGTTGATCACATATCAAAACTATATAGCGTTGAACTTTCGGGTGTGCACGCGGCCTCCTTGCAACTGCACGTCGGACATACAACATTGTCTCGCAGGAGGCAAGGATTTTGTAAACATACGGTGTGTATCCATTCCGCCCTCTTCCTCTATAAATCTCTGTTTATAATAACGCTGCGCTAATACATTCCATACGCCGACCCCTAATCAATAGTAGGTTTTTATAAATTAAACAACACAGCACAACATTGCCTAATTTCAGGCATCGGACACAGGCCGATCTGCCGTCCGCGGGGTCTGCATCCCACTCTGTCTCTCAAACTCCACTACCCACTCCGTATCCTTCGTAATAATCATCTGCTTACTATCATGACTGTCAATACTATTCTTCTCTCCCCGCGTAACGCATGTGAGGTTCCCCGGCTTATCCCACATCTCTCCACGCGCCTCTCCCTTTTTTGTTCCGAGAGATCGTCCAGCTTTTGTCAACGATTCCAGCGGTGTGCGTGGGTTGCTACCTCCTGAGCCTGTCCCGGTCGAGGACTTCGGCTTTGCAGGCGCGCCATAGTGTGTGTTGAGAGATGACATGAATGGCCGCAGACAAGGGATCGTGGCAGAGATGATGGCATAGCTTGTTTCGATCTGGGCGCAGACTGATGCGAGGACGCCAGTAAGAGTTGGGTCGGACGAGGAGAATTCGATGTTGAGATAGTATAGCCTGAGTGCTGCGGGGGCAAGTATTCTATGTCTGGTTAGATATTGAGTTTGAAGGCGAGTGATAGAACTCACGGGAGTCGCAGCGCAAAAGCGAGGACGACGACAATCTTCTTTCCGAGCGGCACTTGGAGATCTTGAACCAAATAAATAGAGTTTCCTACGAGGGATAATTCCGTAATGATGTCAAACGCAAGCACCACTTGCCAGCGGACCAACTTGGCTGTAGTCAGCATAAATATAGTAATGAGACTTCAGTTATAATCTCACCAAGTCAGAGCAATGCTCGTTGATGAAAACCCAGGGGCGCGAAACATCACAGCGGAGGGCAACGATGAATATAGATATGGCACCAAGTATGGCAGCGGCGAGCAAGATCGCTCTCGACATCCAATTATGGCGCTTGTCTGATGAAAGTCTAAATAACAAAAGAGCCACAGAGAATTTTGTGAACCAGAGGGTGATAATATAAAGAAGATCGCTTGCGTATGACGCCTGAATCAGTGAGACCAAGTCGAGCTATCCAAGTCTCACGGGTAGACGCACCTTCTGTAACTCTATGATGCCGCTCGCCGAGATATTTCCTATGGTTTTGCCATAACCTTTGGAAACTTCCACAAAAACAAGACTTGATTGTATTATCGAAAATACCTAGTTACTATCAGCTTCAATTTCAATCTTTTGCCGCCATATATGCCTACCATAGCAGCCGCAATGGCGGTGTCGTCGCGCTCATAAGCATGGCGAATTTGGAGCCGGATATACAATCGAATTAGAATAGATACGAGAGCAAACACCATGCCCAAGGCAGTGATAATCAAGATTACCCCGCCTTGGTTGGTGGGCGATATCACCGTCAGCGGCGGCGACTGCCCTGGCGCAAGGACTGGGGCGGTTGAAGCCATCAAGAGAGCCGTACGCGACGGAGACCAGTACAGAGAGGCATCGACGAACAAGTCCAAGTATATCAATCGTCAAGCCCCTGGTAGATCTACTGGACCGGTCAACGGGATGCACATCATATCTTAGGGATCTACGATGATTTGCACCTTAACAGAGAAGGTGGGAACCTGCGCTTGCCCGATGAAAATCACCTCCTTGGGCCAGCAGTGGGTGTCTCAGAGTACGATTGGTGATTAACTCTGTTGGATCCGTCCTGTCGTGCCACACCAAACGCTCCCACAATCAAAGACCAAAGACCGGACAACCGGGGGATGCGTGCTACGGAAGTTGGTGTATTATGGACACCACATGCTCGTCCCACCTCATACAGGGCAAACTGGTCACTCGGTCGGCAATAGGGGCTGAGTTTGCACGACCTCCAAGAGCTGATTTAGTCACAAAAGCTGAGCCCTCCGCTCGCCTCGGGGTGAGACAAACAGGAAACAAGGAAACAGAAAAAACGATCGCACAGAGCGGCAACTGCACAATGCGACGGATAGCTTTTAATAGTCTCACTCCTGAAAGCGCGACAGCTATGCGGTGGACATAGCTCCTTAACTACTGCGACAGGACAAGGGAGATGGGATATTCCGTTTGGCTCGGGACATCCTACCGGTCGGGGCTGTCGGCTGGCGATTCAGTTCGACGGGCTAGTCCTCGAACTGCAGGTAAGCCGCAGCTGTCCTGAGATGGGCATTAATGTGGTATGACAAATGCGGACGTATGCGGGCAATATGAGACCGATTTGTCTGTCGCCAAGGAATAATATGTATGGTGCACTGTACCGCGACTGCCGTGTGCGCCCTATTAGGAAGAGTGGCGGCGGCGACGACGCTAGGGGATTCTCCGTACATACGATCTATCACATCGGAGATGTATTGCTTGTCTCAACATCCACCCCTTGCGCCCGCATATTATGGCGCGTGGACACCCAAGCTCACAATCCGGCCACCAAGGCCTTGGTGTAATAGCGACTCAATAGTACACACTTATTTGGGAAAAGGCGATCTGCATCCTGTCCTCCCCCTACAGCATACATGAAGGTGGCGTCCCGCCTCAAATGGCAGTACAGATGTCTCAGCCGTACTCTGCTCTGTTTGTTGTCTTTGAGAGTGGGGATTTTGTTTCGGTCGCAGAGTTGGGTCAACGGGGGGAAATAAGTTGGGAACGCGGAATCGATTTGGCGCCGCCACTCAGCCATTGCCCAGGAACGCCATATCATGAGAAGTGACTGTGCATTGACATTTATAGGCATGAGTGAGTGGGGTGCCATGTGTTACGGACGATAGAAGCAGGCCCCTCCCCAAGGAGATTGATTGCAAAAGCACCCCTTCTTGTCTTTCTTCCTTGCTCCCAGTGACCCTTCTTTCAGGCACGCCAAATACGAAGACATCATCTCCTTGAGTTGTCGATCCGGTCCACTCCTAACATAAACATCCTCCATTGATATCATGGCAGATGCACAGAAGCAAAACGTGGCCGAGAGCACTAGCTCCGACCAGCACCTGGAGAAGGGAGCTGGGCTCGGTAGCTCTTCTGGAATGGGTGGCACCGACCATGATGAGCATGAAATGCGTATGCTGGGACGGACTCAGCAGCTCAACGTAAGTAGAATTGACAGCTATGGAAACGCCGCTGAGACAGTTAGAGGAATTTCCGTTTTATTTCAACCCTGGGGTTTGCGTGCACCTTGATGAGCACATGGGAAATCGCATTGATGTATGTATTCCGGATTGGCATATCAACTAAACATCTCTAATAACGATAGGACGAGTGCATTTGCACTGATCAATGGAGGCACTGCCGGCTTGATATGGGGCTACTTCATCGTCTGGATGGGGTATATGTTGGTGTTTGCCACAATTGCTGAAATGGCATCTATGTAAGTGGAGCACCTATTAAGTTGTATGGACTTCATCTCTGACTTCATATGCCAGGGCTCCAACTTCTGGGGGCCAGTACCACTGGGTGTCTGAATTTGCACCAAGAAAATGGCAAAGATTCGTCAGCTACACTGTTGGTAAGATTTGCTCTCTTCATACTTTGTTGGAGCCTTTCTAATTTATATAGGCTGGACATCTGTCCTGGGATGGCAGACGGGCCTGGCGTCTCTTACTTTCCTGACGGGAACTATGATCCAAGGCCTTCTGGTTCTGAACAGGCCCGATTACGTGCCTGAAAATTGGCATGGAACCCTCTTCGTTATCGCCATCACGGCGTTCTGTATCATCTTCAATACCTTCCTCGCCAAAAAACTTCCCATGGTGGAAGGTATGGTACTGATAATCCACATTCTTGGCTTCTTCGCCGTTCTCATCCCTCTTTGGGTCCTGGCTCCCCGAAGCTCGCCCGCGGATGTCTTCACTACGTTCTCCAACTTTGGGGGCTGGAAGACGACTGGACTCGCATTCATGGTCGGCCTATTGTCTCCAATCTACACTCTGATCGGAGCCGACTCGGCCGTGCATATGTCCGAGGAAATCAAGGATGCGTCTATTGTCCTCCCAAAGGCCATTATGTGGGCTGCTGTCATGAATGGTTCCCTGGGGTTTGTGATGGTTATCACTTTCTGCTTCACCCTCGGAAATATTCTCGATATTATCGACTCGCCAACAGGCTATCCGTTCATCCAAGTCTTCTTCAACGCGACTCAAAGCTATGCCGGAACATCAATTATGACCTCCATCCTCATCGTCAATATTACCTCGGCATGCATCAGCACTGTAGCAACGGTGTCTCGCCAGACCTGGTCTTTCGCAAGAGACAAGGGGTTGCCATTCTCTAACTTCATTTCACACGTAAGTTCCTAATTATGAGCGTGACCATTGTCTCTGGTGCCACCTGGTCCTGTTGGTGGCTGTCTTGGCATATACTGATACAGCTCAATAGGTTAAGCCTGGGTGGAACATACCCCTCAACGCCGTATTGGTCACATTTCTAATTACCACCCTCTTATCCCTGATAAACATCGGGTCGCACGTTGCATTCAACGCCATTGGTTCTCTCGCCGTAAGCGCCTTGCTGGCAACATACATGATTTCGTTCGTCTGTCTCATCATCCGACGCCTGACCGGAGATCCTCTTCCACCGCGTCGCTGGTCACTGGGACGCTATGGCATCTTCATCAATATCGGCGCGGTACTCTATCTGTCTGTTGTCTGGGTTTTTGTATTCTTCCCCATCCAGATTCCTGTAACGCCGGAAACTATGAATTGGAACGCGGTCATGTTTGGGTCTACTATGATCTTTGCTGTGGGTTACTATTTCGCGGTGGGAAGAAAGGTCTACACAGCACCTGTTGATAAGGTGAAGCGGAATGTGTAGAAAATTTCACGCAAGGAGCAAAATGTATAACATATTGGGAATTGTGCTGGAAATATTACTCCCAACAATCTACATACTATTAGAAGAATGCTTTCAGATAGCGATGAATAATTAAAAAGTTGAAGTTGGCCTTAAAGAGCGCCTGTGACAGCCAGTCTGACCATACTGCAGCTGTGACCCACGGCCTCCCTCCTCTTCCAGGAAAAGACTCCGTTGACCGCGTGCATGCCATGACTACCCGTCATGCAAGCCGCATATGTATGAGTAGGGAGGAGATGACACATGGCGTGGTACTCAGTAGGACGCACGGGATTCCGGTGCCGTGTTCGCGATGCGGTGCCTAACCGCGTCGTGGCCCCCGTGGAAAACGTGGCATTAGCACAGTTGTGCATGCATCTTTTTGTGCTGCGGGCTACGAGTAATGACAGCTGAATTGAGAAGCCGCAGATCCCGAAGGCGGGCGTTTGAGACATGGCCGTATGACGATATGACAACTGATTGATATTCCTATCTATTGCCTCTTGTGGGCCGTCATAATCGATAATCGTGAGGGCGTAAAGGAAGCAAGGAAACTAACGATTGAATCATACGAGTATTGGGTCGTTGTATATAGAAGTATAAGGGTTTGCGGTAAACTCTGATCTACGCAGGGGATCCATTCCTAGAAGCCCCGCGACCTGGGAATATACACCCACATATTAACGGACCAACGAAACATTGTCACTTTTATGCGGCCAAGTCTTGTTTCTGCAATCACGATCCGTGCTCCTGCATCAATTGGCTTGCTCGCTTCCAAATTAAAGAAAACACTCAGATCTTCTCTGTCATAAAACTAACTCGCTAATTGAGTTCCCCTCGATTGCGACTTCAGCTCTATCCCTTGTGTTGTGGGCTATTTAGTTGCTAGCACCGCCAAATGATCGTTCTGACTCGCACCTGTGTAACTCTCAATGCTGTCGTGCTTAATTGAGACATGAGAAGCTGATCGGGATGGAAATTCAGCTTTCGGAAGTTCTGTGGACTGTGCTTTTTGTGTGGCTTGGTTTTGGAGCCACCCACCTCCTCTACAATGTGTTTTTCCACCCACTGAAAGCGTATCCTGGACCCTTCGCTGCGGGGGCCACGATTTGGTGGAAGATTTATATCGAGGTTATCAAACAAGAGTCGATGACCGATGTGCTCTTCCGACTGCATAAACAGTTTGGTACGTATGCAAACTCGTATTTCCAGCCTTAGCTAATAGAATTATAGGCGATATCGTCCGGATAGGGCCCAACGAGGTAAGTTTTGACGAAGAGGGAGCGAGATAGTCCCCAGGTCGCTAACTCGCACTCAGCTCCATTTTTCCAACCCGGCTGCTTACCATGATATTTATAATTCTTCGGCCCGGTGGGACAAGGAGCGGATGCTCTATGAGGGTTTCGGGGAGGACCACTCTTCCTTCGGGATGCTCACGTATGCCCAGTCGAGGCCGCGGAAGGAAGTGCTCCTGCCACTGTTCTCTCGGCGGGCCATCCTGACCATGCAAGGCCTCGTCAGAGAAAAGGTATGGCCGCCAATGCCAGAAATCTAGGACAGCAAGCTAATGCTTCCAGGTCGACCATTTTGCAAGCATTCTGGCAAAGAATAATGCAAACGGCAACTCATCAGACCTGTTGCTCGGATTTCGCTGCTTTACAATTGATACTATCACAACCTTTTGCTTCGCCCAATCGGTTGACGCAATTGATGAGCCAGACTTCGCCGCCCCAATTGTGGAGGCTATGGATAACACACTTCCTGCCTTCCACGCCTTCAAGTACTTCCCCCTCTTACGGAAATCTATTCTCGGCATCCCACCATGGCTGTCTCTGAAAATATCGCCTCAAATGGCAGGCCTATCGCGCTTGCAAATGCTCCTTGGGAAGCAAGTTAGAGACGTGATTGCCAACCCTGATAGCCTCAAGGATGCCCCGCACCCAATTATTTACAACCGCCTCCTCGACCCAGACGCCCAAAAAGGCAACCCAATACCAGACGCAACGGCACTCTATGAAGAGGCCCAGTCTCTTGTCTTTGCTGGTGGAGTCACGGTCGCTGATACAATCATGACTGGCCACTTCCACATCCTCTCCCAACCGACACTCTACGCGCAGCTCCAATCCGAGGTCCTCAATGCATGGCCAGATATCGACAACCCTCCCCGGTATGAAGTCCTTGAGACGCTCCCTCTCCTAACAGCAACTATCAAAGAATCTCTGCGCCACTCCCCAGGTGTTACTTCTTCTCTCCTCCGCATTGTCCCAGCTAGTGGTGCCACCATCTCCGGATGCGCTATCCCAGCCGGTACCATTGTCGGGATGACTTCCGCGATCGTGCACAAATCACCTTCCATCTTCGCGGACCCAGAAGCCTTTATCCCTGAGCGTTGGCTAGGTAAAGACGCAACTGGGTTGGACAGGTACCTCATTTCATTTAGCAAGGGCCCCCGGAGCTGCACGGGTGTTAATCTAGCCTGGTGCGAGTTGTATATTGCGTATGCGACGATGCTGAGGCGCTTTGATATGGAATTGGATGGGACGACTGAGGAGGATTTGGTGTTTAGGGATTGCTTTACGCCATATTATCCTGGGAGACACTTGAGGGCATGGTGCCGGCCAAAGGAGACATAGGAGAGCGGTTGCAAGTACATAGTGATGAATTATGAAGGAGGTTATGTTTGGGGAAGGTTGGCATTTTGCTGGGGGCGTCTTGATAGTGGGGTATTAGTTGGGGTGTACGTAGAACGGCATAGCCTTCCAGTTCAACACAACAGTAACAGTTCGGCCTATAGGCATCTTAACAATATTATTGTCTTGGACAAGATAGTTTATATAACCTATACCAAGTGCCGCGTATCCAGTACGCCCATAATATCCACAATATCCAGCCCATCCATTTCCCTTACGCAGCTGTCAACTCAAACGCAATGTTCCCACCACTTGTCCCAGCCGTTCCCCCAACGCACTCGCTCTTGAACGGGCTATTCCCACACACCGCCCTTGCAGCCCTCATGCACGCCTCCCACCTGCCCTTCGACACATTGATCGTAGACCCCTGATTCACGACATTCAGTTTCAGCACCGCCGTCCCCGATGCGCCGGTGGTTGAGGCCGGGCTGCCCTGGCACTTCTGGATTGTGCCAGCGATGGTGCCGCAGATGGAAAGGATGGCGACGTTGATGTCATGGCTGTCGATGGAACTGCGGTGTGTTAGTAAGTGCGGGGGCGCAAGAGGGAAGGGGCGACTTACACGCCAGGGTCGGTGCAGGTTGTGAAGGTTACGGAGTCGGGGTTGACGGATGTGTTTGCGCGGGCGTCGAGGGTGGGGAGGGCGGTCGCTGTTGCTGCAAGGAGCGCGATGAGAAGAGTGGATGGATGCATGGTGATCGGGTTTATGTTGTTTGCGTGATAGATGCTGAAGCAAAGGCTTGGATTGCGAAAGAAAATGTATACAGAGAAAATAAAACAGAAATCAATTCCGTTACTAAACAATAAAAGACAAAAAGACTGTAGATCGAGACGAAACTGCTGAAAAGAGAAATAGCGACATGGAACGGGGGAGATGTGGGATATTTAAAAGACGCAGATCAAAACCTCAAACGGATGCAACTTTCACTCGGTATACCTACCAGCGAAATTATAATAGGGCATGGGCTCTGATTCGTGTAATAATCCAAACTTGCGACAGTATCGGGTGGGATTTGACGCTGGGGAAAAGGAGGCTCGTTCAAAGCGCCGAACTGGTGATCCGACGATCCTCAAACGCGAGTTGTGCGGGAAGATGTCGCATCTCACTCACCCTTGCGCGGTTCACGATCCGGCGCACGGAGGATTAAAGTTAAAATGGTAACCTCTGAAACTGTTTACAAGATAATGAAGAACCTACGGATCAGCAGGGACGAATTGGAGTTTGAGTACTGAAATACTCCCAATAGGTGTCTTTGGTGGTTATGGAAGCGCCTGGATCAGCTCCTAAATCGTTCCTCATGAGGAGAAAACTTCCACGTGATCGTTGAGCCACAACGGCTTGCACTCATCACAAATATAGATTAACGGTATGGTTATAGGCAGAGCAAATCTTATACTTTGAATGATAGTAAGATACTGATGGGCCATAAGTATTCACTGATAGGCTAAATGTCGACATCATATCACGTGATTATGCACTCATCTCGGGAATCTACCTATGCAAGGAATGAATCTACCAACTTTCCAAACCCAACAAATAGATACAAAGATGGATGACTCGATAAAACCAGCTCCATCAATCACGCCCCCATTAATTATTGTGCCAGATGGCGAGAATGCTACCCCAGGGGTCTCCAGTCAGCCTCATCCCCGCCGAAATAGAAGCCAGTTGAGTTGCACACACTGTCGCCACGCAAAATTAAAATGTGACCGCAACCAACCCTGTTTGCAATGTGTAAAAAGGGGACGAGGGTCCCAATGCACTTTTCCAGCACCTGTTGCCAAGAGGAAGCCGGCGGCAAGTATGCAGAATAGGTTGAAGCACCTCCAAAGTCTTCTGAAAGACGTAATGGCTGGCCAGGCCCCTGCTGGACAGCCAACTCCTCCCAGTGAAGGGCATGGCGACGGAATAGCGAGTAATATTGACCCAGCGCTTTCTGGAGATATTCACAATGACTTTTCACAAACGATAAGTCCCGATGTGAAAGATGGGCTTCAACCCTCTGCAGGCCAGGTACTTCTCGGCACAAATCAGACAACCTATGTTGGGGCTACTCATTGGGCAGCGATTTTAGACGATGTATGAGCCTCCTTCTTTTGATATTATAATCCAGTATTGACGATTACTAGGTTGAAGAAATGCATAGCTACTTTGAGGAGACCGAGGAGGCCGACTACATTGTTGATGATAGCACCCGCCCAGATATGTCACTTCTATTCAGGCCAGGCTCCCGTGTTACCAAGCTCGAACTCATAGCAGCTTTACCTCAGAAGGGAGTTGTTGATCGGCTTGTTTCCCGTTACTTTAATTCAAACAGCCCAGCTATACGTGAGTCTGAATTTTACCTACCAGCCAACGTCAGCTAAACGTTCTCTAGATATTATTCACCGCCCAACGTTCCTGAAAGAGGTATTTCTTCAATTTTTTGCTGCATGGTTGCCTCTATTTTCGCATCTGACACAAATGGCAGTACAATAGATTTTGGGCCGATCCGTCCAGTACTCCAGTCAGCTGGCTAGGCCTGCTATACGCATTGATGTGCCTTGCAACTCTTGCAGCGCTCGGAGCTGGAGAAGGTAATACTGATACGCGCGGAACACCAACAGAAATGATTCGCACCTATCGCGGTTGTTCGGCTCAGTGCCTTGTTCTTTCCAACTACTCCCAGCCCGGGGCTTACACCCTTGAAGCGCTTTTGATTTATATTGAAGGGGAATTTGTCTTGAGTAACGACGATGTGGGGATGCCGTATTTGCTTATTGGTATTGCAGTGCGCCTAGCCTTGCGTATGGGTCTTCACAGAGACCCAGCAAACGTTGGGGGAAGCTTGACACCTTATCAAGGCGAGATGCGACGACGTCTCTGGCATATCCTTATTCAAGTTGATTTATTATGCAGCTTCCTCCTTGGCCTACCTGTTATGACCCAGGCGATCGAGAGCGACACGGCATACCCACGGAATTTAAAAGATGAAGACTTCGATGAGAACTCAACGGAACTACCACCATCCCGACCGGAAACGGAAATTACACCATTGTCGTACACCATTTGCAAGAGCAGAATATGTGAAGTCTTTGGAAAGGTGGGCGTGCTTGCCAACCGTATGTCTCTGCCATCGTATGATGAGGTTATGGCCTTGGACACGGTTCTTCAGGAAGCCGAAGCTGGTGTACCGGAATTCATGCGCCTGAAACCCTTAGAACTATCAATTACCGATCCTGCTGCAATTATCATCCAAAGATATAGCATTGCTTTGCTATTACAAAAGAGTCGGTGTATGCTACATCGGAAGTACATCGCGACAGAATCTTATTCCAAAAAAGTTGCTGTTGATGCGGCAATGGAGCTGCTTTCATATCAATCATCCATTCATCAAGCCGCTCTCCCTGGAGGGCCATTGGCTCTGAACAGGTGGTTCCTTTCGTCCCTATCAGTCCACGATTTCCTTCTTGCCGGGATGATAGTATACTCTAGCCTCACTCAATTGGCGAAAGAGAGTCCCAGCAGTGAATATAACAGTTCATTAGACGAATCACAACCATCCCGTGATGAGATGGTTGCTGCTCTCCAGAAATCACATGCCGTCTGGATTGACACAGAATCTATGTCGGCTAATGCGGAGAAAGGATCCAGAATTCTTGGTGCCATGATGAAGAACGCTAATTTGGCTCCTGCTGGATGTGTCCTTAATAATGCTAATGCTCCAGTTGACGGTATGGAAAGGGCCTCAGCGATGCCTGATAGGCCATATTCCATCTCGGAATTATCACTCAATGGTGAGCAAATACATAATTATTGCAGCGTAACCTCTTTCAGTTAACGACGCGCGACCTGTTTCCCCTTAAACATTATGTTTCATCTTCTCAGCACATGACATGGAAAATTATAGCTAACAAATACTAATCTAGACTCAATGGCATCTGTTTTACCAACTGCTACCGACGGGAATCAACCATGGAACTTCGACCCCTCCAATAATATGATGCAGGCTTCAGAGTATGGGCTACAATCCAACTTGGGCTCTGTATCCACGCCTTCGGAACCCCTGCAAACAATATTAGATTCGCCTGGAAATTTCGACTGGGTAAGTCGAACTTCTATAATTGTCAAATTTCAGGACAGAACGTCTTCTTCTTAATATTAACAAGAGGTTCATAAGCTGATAGCATTTGTTTAGGAAACCTTCGACAGCCACGTCTGGCCAGGACTACCACAAAATGCCTCGGACCAAGTATGGCCTGACCTCGACTTCAATTATCAGATGTAAATAATGACGACAATTGCAATCTATAACCACACCCGCAGAAAAGATCCCCCCTCCATATATTACATATTCCCCTTCTAGAGGAAATCCTTAACCTCACGATCACAGTACTTCATGAACTTCTCTTTGGCACCAGTCCCACCCTCGGCCTTGCTCTTTAGGCCTTGAATAATATCCTTCGGGAGTTCTGCGATCCGTCCCCAGGCCATCATGTGCCCACCATTGTGCTCGGCCTTGATCTCTGGTGAAAACCCAGCATAAAGCTCTGAATATGCGCCAAATACTGGTGGCGATCTAAAAAGGAGAGACTGCAGTTCAGTGATAGTCAGCATATATCAGCTATATTTGTGGTCGAACTTACCATAGCCACTCGTGTGAAGGGGCCCCAGTTTCGCTGGAGTTCGGTCTTCATTAGTCCGGGATGTACGCTCTGGGTTTTGGTCAGCTAATTGGAGTCTTCTCAAAATCTGGCCTGCTTACGATGCTCAATACGCCCTTGCTTCCGAGTCGATTTGAAAACTCATCCGCGAGCCAAGCAGCCCCGGCTTTACTCTGCAAATAGTTGCCCATAAACGGCTTCTCCAATATCACTGGAGTGCCATCTTTTTCGAATTTCATGGCGCCGGGTAGCGTTCCCCCCTGAAGGAGCGACACCACCCAGACAATGCGCACGCTAAGAGGCTGCGTCGCAGACGCAGTGGCGGTGCGGCTAATGATGGGTTCAAGGAGAATAGTCAGGACATATGGTGCGAGACAGTTTGTTCCAAATTCAAGGTCGTGACCCTGGCGGCAGTCTTTGTCAGCTTGACATGAAAGATAACATATAAGGTTACTCACATGCTTGTTTTTGCTCCCAGCTGGCGGAGTCATAACGGCGGCATTATGCACCAACACATCCAGTCGACTCTCCACCCTCATAAATTTCTCCGCGGCCGGCTTCAAGGTCGTCATATCAGCCAGATCAACGACCATGCTCTTCAACTCGCCATTCTTATTTGCACTAGCTCCAGTTTCCAGCTTGATCTTTTTAATGGCTCCTTCACACCTTGGTGTTGAGCGTGCGGCGATGTACACGGTTCCTCCCGCCACATATAGGATCTTGGCTAGCTCATAGCCTACGCCAGAAGCGCCACCAGTGACGATATAAACTTTTCCCTTCAAAGAGGGAAGATTCTTGTCCGTGAATTTTGGTGCGGGAGGGAAGAACGCCGAGAATTGTGATATCTGAGGCATTGTGGATGGGATATATCGTGGACGAGTCGATGGAATTGGCTGGGAATTGGCTGAAAAAACGTTGCAATAAATTAGCCAAGGGGTGATAGAAGCTTTTGGAAAGGCGGGTGTAATTGAGGCTATGGAATAAGAGTCCTACCATGAGGCGGGTCTCCTTGATTTATATACAATTCTCATTTTCACTCATCCTCACCCGGAAGTTATGAGACTCCGCTCCCTCGTGACATTTCGGTGTTTTGACTCCACCGAGAGGGTGAAGCGGCCGCAAAAAGATTGCAACATAACTAGGAACTGCGGCCGCGTCCGCTAGCTTGTTGTCACATAGTATCTCCGCCGTTGACGTTCTGGTTATGAAATTCTCCTTTGGTGGGCAAATTGTATGCGATCACGTGACATTGCGGCTTGACGGAGGATGTGGTTGTTGTTTAAATCCGGTCGGAAAAACAGATCGGAAAATCGTTGTTCCGGAATCCGGGCCAACGACAACGGACTTATGAAGCCCCTCAGGTACCAAGTCTATGAGGTGTCCCGTGCTAGAAGAAGAAATAATAACGAACGTGGAGAAAGTGGACGCGATTGCTTGCTATTAATTTTAGAATGAAAGATGGACCTATTCATTGTTATTCTCTAGGTTCTATACCCTCTGGTTTAAGTGTTTGCCTACCTATTTTTATTATTGCCATAATATTTATTCTCACATTTCAAGTTCTTAATAATAAAATATCCAACATCTTCAAACGAACATATACACCCTAAAATATCCATACTACACTACAAGATGTTCTCTCACTATTCTCGACCTATAGCTTCGCCTTTGTCGTTTCCTGTGTCGACGCCTTCCTCTTCATAACTCTATCCACAATGTCCATTGCCTGCCACAGCCTCCTCTCCTGCAATCTTGGCGCCACCACCTGCACAGATAGAGCACTATCCAAATAAACCCTTCTATCCACCGTCTTGCGATCCCAGAGCATTCTCGTCCTATTATCCAAGGTTCCCAGTGACTTCCCCTGCACCTCTCCCTCCAAATCCTTCTCATTCACCATCCGGATGGGCACGGTTCCAGCGGGCCAATCCAAAAGCACAAAGCTGCTCGTATACCCCACAGTGTTCCAGCGATCAATCTCAGGCACTGGATGCGGCGCAACTGGCAAGATAACCGCATCGATCTTCCTCCCATCGGGTGTCTTGAAAACCTTAAGCATCTTCTTCATCACCTCCAACCTCTGTGCATGCAGCTCCGAAACTTCCTCCACGCTCTTCGGCGCCTTCCTCCCCACCTTCCCCTCAAGCCACGGAATCAGCGGTTCCTTCGTCTCTTCAATCAAATCCAACATCGCATTATCCCCAATATCAAAGAACCCGTACGCTAGCATCTGACACTCCGCCAGCGCTTTCGAATCAATCTCCACCACCTCTAACCCGGCCTCCTTGAGCGCCACCACCGTCTCCTCGACCACATTAGCCACGGGCGGCAACGGCGTAACAGAGTGATCAGACCGAATCACCCCAAACACCGGCTTCTCCCACTCATCCCCCGCGCGCCCCTGCTCTTCCCAAGCCCCAGGCAGCGCATCCGCCGCGGTCTCCCACGGCCGCGCCCTCGCCACGACCTCCATAAACACCTCCACATCGCGCAAGCTCGTTGCTATCGGGCCCGCCGACGTCTGCAACCCCAGTCGTCCCCGCGTCGTCGTCAGCCGGCCCATCGGTCCGACGTAGGGAATCCGCCCGGACGACGGCTTGAACCCGTACAGCCCGTTGCACATAGCCGGCACGCGAATGGAGCCACCGATGTCGGTTCCGACGCCGAGGGGGGAGCCGCGGAGCGCGAGAAGGGCTCCCTCGCCGCCAGAGGAGCCTCCGGCTGTTAGCGCGCGGTTGGCTGGATTGAGGACGCGGCCGAAGACGTTGTTGATGCTGTCGAGGGCCATGAGGGTTTGCGGGATGTTAGTTTTGACATAGAGGACGGCGCCGGCGGCGAGAAGGATGTCGACTAGGGGGCAGTTGGCTGGGGCGGGATGGAAGGCCATGGCCGCTATGCCAAGTGAGGAGTCCATGCCGGCAATGTTAAAGGTGTCTTTGAGAGAGATGGGGAGGCCGTGAAGAGGACCGAAGGCGCGCCCGGTGCGCTCCATGTGGTCATCTAGCTCTTTGGCGCGTGCGAGGGCCCGGTCAAAGAAGATCTCTGTGAGGCAGCTTGTGAGTTGGTGGGCGATGGCCGCTCGCTTACAGAAGGCGGTTGTGACTTCGAGGGCTGTGAGGGATTGGCCATGGAGACCATTGAGGAGAGAGTAGGCGTCATGATCCTCTGTTATAGAGATCTCATCGGCGGTGAGGATGCCACACGTGGAGGGGATAGAGCGGACATCAAGCTGGGAGGTCGGGGGGAGTGATTTTAGTTTCCATTCGGATGGGATAGCTCGGTCTTGCTCGGCGCGCTTTTTGGCGCCTATGGATTGCCAGGTTTGGGGCATATTGTGATAAATTACAAGGGACCGTAAATAAATGGTAAATGGGTAATATATCTATTCTAAATAGATAGATTATAGGTATAGGACATTAATAGTGAGGCATTCCTTTCTATATAAGTTGTAGTAAGTAACGGGTAGGATTGTGTGGGGTAGCGGGGAAGCTCCACCGTTTTTGATGCCGAGGCATCGAAAAGCCAGGACTGACTTAGGCGACAATAGAGATGGCGGATTTAAATCCGCGAAGCAAACGTTCCAAGAGGATTATAATATGCCTCATGGCAGAATAATGTATGTATTTAGTTTGTTTATAACCTTATGGTAGAATGAATTAATGGTCAATAGCTACATCTGAATCACGTGACTATGGTCAATCTCTTGGTGGGTAGAGATTCCAGCTTTGCCAATGCATTTTGAGCCACTGCGTTAATAAAGAGAAAAAGAAGGGATTGTAACGTACTTTGTCAAACACTGATTATGTCTTCGGCCACCTGCCAGCTCAGCTGGCCTACACTGTGCCTAGATGGCGCACGATGGCCAGCCAACGCACAGGGCTTATTCCTTGGCAATCGCAACCTATTCAGTTGAGATAGTTCACTGCTGCCTGAATCACCATTCCTCTATACAGCCGTGACAAGGAGTCGAGCCTGTCCAAGACAAACGCGCTGTCGTAATTTCCATTTAAGGATTGGAATAATCGCAGCCAACTCCGCAGAGGCTTAAACATTGGTAGCAATCACGATTCCTTCCAACATAAAGTAGAAGGCGACGACCATTATCCTGTCATGGAGATGCAAGGCTCCAACGCAAAGATCTTTACAGAATGGTTCCGTGAATATACAGCGGCGCGCGGCAATGACCTCTCTATTGATTCCAATATCGTTAAGGCCGTGGATTCCGACGAGCTTGATGCCAAATTCGTTGAACAGCGAATAAAGGAATCGGCACTAAATGTTCTCATCGTCAATAGATTCTGCGCTAAATGTCAAAGTTTGTTTGACCATTGGCCTACACTAGGTGATTCATCGACTAGAGAACACGACTCGGGGCCTAGTCCAGATGGAGGATGGGAACACGCTGTCGCGCGGCCGTGTAGCACCTTTGAATTGGAAAGCTCGACACGCTCTGGATGCAGATTTTGCGCATTTTTACTGCAGAACCTTAAAGATAGGAATTTACTTGACACATTTCGCAAGGTTGAAGCACGCTTATACCATCTCGATGAGAATGCATTATCATCACTATCTATTCAGAGTTGGGGCTCAAATCCAATACAACTCCTGTGGTTGAACCTACCTGGCAAGGTCTGCACTTCCTGCAATTCCGGTTTAGCTGTGAATATGACTATTGGGTCATGTTTCCTTCCCGAATCAGGTTTGTCATGTTTTGCTGATATGATGGCCCAGTCTTGCTAATTCGTTGAAGCTGATTGTTTTGATGACCAGCTTGATGTATTCGATATCGCGAACAACTGGTTATCGAAATGTACCGAAAACCACGATCTTTGTAAAAACAATGGCAACGACACACTACCGACTAGGCTGATCTCGATTGCTGGTGAATCGCCGCGCTTGGTGCTAACTTCGGAATGTCATAATAAGCCGAGATATGCTACTTTATCACATAGCTGGGGGTCTTACGACGTCATAAAACTCACTTCAGATGACCTAGACACATATGTAGAAGCACTACCCGTTGAGAGATTCCCCAAAACATTTAAGGATGGTATCGAGATTACACAAAGATTGGGTTTGGATTATCTGTGGATCGATTCGCTGTGTATCATCCAAGATAGTGTAGAGGATTGGCAAAAGGAGTCGGCCCTGATGAGCTCCATATTTGGTGGCTCAACCATCACGATAGCTGCGTGCTCCGCTCGAGACGGTAGGCAAGGGTGTTTTACGAAGCAACCCTATTTCAGCGGTGGGCTTCGAGCTCGAATAACAGACGGCGAGCTACGAAGAGTACAGGATTTTCATAGTTCAAAAATTTACGATCTTTCAACCTTTGAAACTCATTTGGGAACCAGAGCTTGGGCACTACAAGAGAAAATGCTACCCCCTCGAACAATCCACGTTGGCGACCGAGGTGCTTTTTGGGAATGCAGAACGACAATTGCCTCGGAGTACTTGCCGGATGGTCTTCCACGTAAACTCCAGCGTAACCTCGTTAGACGAAATGGGAAACTCCAAGACCACTGGCTTGATATCGTGCGGCTTTATTCTGCAGCAAATCTAACTTTTGGGAAAGACAAATTACCAGCACTTTCTGGAATCGCGAGACTTGGACATGAAGAAACCGGCGATCTCTATCTTGCGGGGCTGTGGAGGGGTGAACTTGAGGAGCAGCTATGTTGGTCTCGTGCGAGATATCCACCCATTATGATGCGACCACGACCACCTATGCAACCACGACCACCTTGGAGAGCACCGACTTGGTCGTGGGCATCTATAGATGGAGAAGTGACCTGGCATAGTCGACACAAAGGTGGCCTTGACACCGCATACGTGCAAGTCTTAGATGCGTATACAACCAAAATCGGCTATGATCCGTTCGGGCAGGTGACTATTGGAGTCATTCGACTTGCTTGCTCAACTATGGCAGCTGGCTACTTGGTCTACCCGAGTGAATCTAATTATCCTGAACCTGAAGCAGATGCCACCATTGTATTATATGCTGGCGATAGGGAGTTAAACTTTTCCGTTCAGATAGACTGTCAAGACGACAATAACACATCGTCTGGTAAACTATGCTATCTGTTGCCTATCTTGAGCGGAAAAACTGGCACTGGGACACGACGAAAAGGCAAAAACATGATCTATGAGTCCATGATTGAGGGCATTGTGCTTCAAGCTACAGGCATCACAAAAGGCGAGTTTTGTAGGATCGGATCTTTTAAATTCTACAAAGATCGCTCCAAATATAGCGATGGAGACGAAGAAGAGAGTTACGAGCGGTTTCTACCAGTATTAAAAAGACATGGAAAGGCGACTGCAAAGGCATCCTGCAAAGAGGTCATAAGCAATCGTAAACATATCGATAAACGATATGTCATTACTCTTGTATGAAAGAGCAAGAAATAACAAAAGTGTTTAACTGCATTGATTCTACAGACCAAAAGAAAGCAGGAGCTTAGCTATTTATACTATTTTTACCTATCGCTTACCTTGCTTACCTTGCTCACCTTGCTCACCGTTAGCCATCTAATGTCGCGATGCAACACATCGCAGCAACAAGTCGCAAGCTACAGCGTATATGTTGTAGTCGGCGTGGCCATGTCACATAGCTAAGGGGGACAACTAAATCACCGCGAGGGCTTCGGAATTACGAGGGCAGCATCACACACCCCACCCGCTGGTCTAGATGGCATGGCTTTAACTAGAGCAATGCCGAAATCCTAAAAACGTATAACAGTGGGTATTCGCTAGAAGTTCTAGGATGCTGGTGCAAACTGTATCTCCGTAGGAGGCCATCCTAAGGGCACGATTGACTCATGATGGCCGGCGTGCTCATTAATTGAAGTAGTTGGCCTTGAGGACGAGAGAGAGAAATGCTCTCCTTGCATTCTCGCCACGCCAAGACTAAGAAGGAAGCAGTAATGCTGTCTTTTCCTCCCCTAACTAACATAGCCGGCCGTCAACAGTAGCGATATAGAATAGCGCATGCACGACTTCTTAACTAGATAGTACATTAAGCGTGAATCGTCGTCGTGATATATCACGAGACTGGATCATTGGCGGTGACGTGTGCCGAGAGGCCAAGAGGAAGGTCCAGCCATATTTGTCATGCCGAGCTAAAGGATTTTCTGATTGTACAGAATAAAACCAAAAGAGTAGGAATGACACGGAGAAGGGAGGAGGACGTCAAGAAATGTGAGCTCGGTATATCGGAGGCTGGCTATCAATGGTAGTGGATGCGGCTTCATTGTTCTGGGTACGGGCCTCATAATATATGTCAGATGGATAGGGCCAATCTAAAAGCGCGTTAGCAGTCTGTATAGAGAATGTTAATGCTCTGATGGATAGAAGCCATGGAGTAACATCATTATTTGCCGCCACCCTGACTCAATGCCGAATAATATCAACTATCCAATGTCTTGGGAGGCATTTCGAAGAACTGGGCAGCCGGATAAGCGGATGCATCTCCACTTGTTGGAATCTGAAGTGGACTTCACGTGGAGATACGCTCTTCAGTGTACTCTTTCAACCGGCTCTATAGTGGGCGAAGATACACGCAAAAGAATGGAAACAACTCATCCGAACATGTCTGTTATGCTCTGTATATTATATACACCCCGTATATAAACATGTAAATATAAAATTCCCGTCGCGGTCGCCGAGACAAAATCAACAATGACGAGTCGATTTGGTTTGTCCACGTTCTGAATTGGCGAGTCGTGATGGGCTAAGTGGAGTAATTTTAGGTACTTCCTACCACTTCCAACTACTCCGGGCGAAGATTATCCGAAGTTTCCCAGCCTTCCAAGCCAACACCCAAGGAACAAATTAATATCTCGCTAGCCCCGATTATACCCGGCCCCTAAAATTTTGAACGCCCTTGAGGCAATTACCGTCGAACTCTCGCCAAAACCTCTTCTCTTCCATCTCCATCTCCAATCCATCTCCATTTCAAGATACTTTCAGTCAGTCAGTCTTTTCAGGACCACTGAACTTCTACATCTCCACTCTATACTTTCTCTCCGCACTTCACTTCTCAACCCCCATACACATTCACAATGGCCTCTTCCGCAGTTGCTGCCGTCAAGGCTGAGACCCCCGAGAAGCTCAGCGGCGCCGCTCTCTACTCCAGATTCGCCATCGCTGGTGCCCTCTGCTGCTCCATCACCCACGGTGCTCTCACCCCCGTCGATGTGTAAGTTTTAACGCCCGCTCCTGATTCCCTCGGCTCAATCAATTCTGTTCCCATCGACATCGATCGCGTCATGGACCCTTGTTTGGGGCATCCCACAATCAATACGAGAAGTTCAAATCAGCTAACACCATCTCCTCACAGCGTCAAGACCAGAATCCAGCTCGACCCAGCAACCTACAACCGCGGCCTGATCGGTGGATTCCGTCAGGTCATCGCTAAGGAGGGCGCTGGTGCTCTCCTGACCGGTCTCGGCCCAACCTTCGCCGGTTACTTCCTCCAGGGCGCCTTCAAGTTCGGAGGTTACGAGTTCTTCAAGCAGCAGTCCATCCAGCTTGTCGGCTACGAGACTGCCGCCAACAACCGCACCGCCGTCTACCTCGCCTCCGCCGCGTGCGCCGAGTTCTTCGCCGATGTCGCCCTTTGCCCTCTTGAGGCTACCCGTATCCGTCTCGTTGCCGAGCCTACCTACGCCAACGGCCTGATCGGTGGCTTCAGCAAGATGCTCAAGACTGAGGGTGTCGGCTCTTTCTACGCCGGCTTCGGTCCCCTCCTGTTCAAGCAGTACGTTTTCTCCAATCCCTCAAACTAGTACCCCCCCATAGGCCTGAAACTGACGATCCACCAGGGTCCCATACACCATGGCCAAGTTCGTCGTCTACGAGAAGGTCGTCGAGGCCGTCTACAAGCAGGTCGACCGCTCCACCCTCTCCGACGGCGCCCAGACCGGTGTCAACCTCGGATCCGGTCTCATCGCCGGTTTCGCCGCCGCCCTCATCTCCCAGCCAGCCGACACCATGCTTTCCAAGATCAACAAGACCAAGGGCGCTCCCGGAGAGGGCACCACCTCCCGCCTGATCAAGATCGCCAAGGACCTCGGTCTTAGGGGCTCGTACACCGGTATCGGTGCCCGTCTGTTCATGGTCGGAACCCTGACCGCTGGACAGTTCGCTATCTACGGTGATGGTAAGATAATCCCTAACCCTGCTTCTGTGCATGTACTCGATAACGGCTAACGCATTCCCTACAGTCAAGAAGGCCCTCGGCGCCGTCGGCGGTGTTGAGATTGCCGTGAAATAGATATTTACGCACCTAGACGAATCGGAGATGTAGAAAGTGGATGGTAGGGAAAACTGGAAAAAAGGAGGAGGGGCAGGCAGGGACTCTCCTGTCAACGGAAAGGAGGTGGGGATCTGAACTTATATCGCATTACAAAGAATGTTCCCGGCTGTTTTTCTTCAAGGGCGCGGCGAGAAGATATATTTTTGTTTTCTGGCTCGGGCGCAACTTAGAGAGATGCATAGATGATAGACCTTTTTTATTTTGCGCTTAGGTTCGTGGCTTTTTTGGGGCCGACGAGGCGCTTGTATACTACTATAATTGGATCGCGGAATTTGGATGTGGAATAGTAGTGTTTAAAGGATTGTGATGTTTATACTTATGTTGTGCTTGTGATTTTCGATCTGTTCGGTATGGTAGGGAGGGTATCTACTTTTTGGAGCTCAACCCTCTGAAGCTATACTAGGAGCTTCTAACGAAGCCATACATATAATCACAATGCATATATTCCCCCGCCTAGACGAATCATATTACCACCCCGCACTTGCTGATAGGAGGTCGTGAATCCTATCGTCCACCAAAGCTCTTGTACTAGATTGTCTGGCTTGATTAGGAAATCCGGATACTTCGGGGATGGGTTTCTAGTGATTCCCCAAGCCCATACTTCCCTCTGTTTAAACCACAGTAGACACTCATTATCATCATCATCAACACGCCACAAAACACATCAGCAAGCCACAGAATTCGTCCCCAAAGCCACCATTCCCATCGACAAGCCAACAACCCACGCCCCTCCCCACCTCACTACAAACATGCACGTCCGAGACAGTCCCTCCAACAGGGTCGTGCTGCTACGTAAAAGCGGCAGGGGCATGCATATGCTATGTTTGGGATGAGACGGATCGTGCATATCAGCTCCTCGGCGACGAATGGGATTCAAGTACGGGGTGAGCAAAGGTCGCAGTTCGCACGCCGCGGAACTGCATCTGTGTGTGCGTGTAGCGACGACGCCGAATCCGCGCACCAGATCTGTCCATACCGCATCATAGTTGGTGAAGAGTGGATGTAGAACCGTATTGTCTTGTTGGTAGTCGTCGTCTCCCTGGCCGCTGAATGGACAGATGAGTAGGATAAGCAGGGAATAAATGGGATATCTTGGGTGGGGTCAGCATGGCTCCAAAACCAAGCTTTTTCGACGCGGGAGCTGATCCCTTGGACTCGCCTCGGCGCACGTACGTATTGAGCCAACCACTTAGAGCTGCCATTACATGCTGATTACCCCGCCAAAAACACAGCTCCAACCACCAGCGACATTCGATGAATACGTAGTAGCTACGTGGACGGCCACCGCTGTGAGCGATTATATTTACCCAGTACCCCCCCACCACCCCTCTGTTTACTTCCTCTTCGTCTTCTTGGTCCTTTACTCTCATACAAAACTACTGAAAACTATCATATTTCAACTCCTCACAGGCCTATTCGTAAAGCGGCCAAAGTCACGATAATCAATTGACGCAACACACTAATCTCACACACACCCCACCACCGCAACAATGGTCCACCTCACAGGCATTCCCACCGACTCTTCCCTCCAGCCCAGCTCCGCCGTAGACGCCGCGGGCAAAGAGCCCGAGTCCGGCCCCGTCAAGCATCTCAGTGACCGCCTGGCTAAAGTCGTGCTCAGCGCCCGCGAACAGAGCGCCCAGCAGGCCGGTGAACAGTTTATGACGTCTGTGTATGCGAGTCGGTATGCGGCGCAGGATTTGCCAAAACACGAGATGCCGGAGGGCGGTATGCCAAAGGAGGTTGCGTATCGCATGATTAAGGATGAAACGAGCTTGGATGGGAATCCGATGCTGAAGTGAGTACTCTGTGAGAAGGGTTGGGTCTGGTTGATTGTTGCTGACGGTTTGTGTAGCTTGGCGAGTTTTGTGACGACTTTCATGGTGAGTTATTTGAGAGTTTATTAGTTGTTTTGTCGGTATTAGAACCTGGTACTGCCATTGAAGCTCTTATCGAGGGTATCAGATAATCCAGCATTGCTATTCCCAACCGCGAGCCAATTCGAGAAGACACGAATAATGCTAACACTACCCAGGAAAAAGAAGTCGAGGACCTCATGACCGAGTCCCTAGCTAAGAACTTCATCGACTACGAAGAGTACCCCCGCACAGCCGAGATCCAGAACCGTTGCGTATCCATGATCGGTCGCCTCTTCAATGCCCCCGTCCACGACGACGCAGCTTCAATCGGTACCTCGACCGTCGGTTCCTCCGAGGCCGTCATGTTGGCCACGCTGGCCATGAAGAAGCGCTGGCAAAACAAGCGTAAGGCTGAGGGAAAGCCGTTCGATAAGCCGAACATGATTATGTCCTCAGCCGTGCAGGTCGTCTGGGAGAAGGCCATGCGCTACTTCGAGGTCGAGGAGAAGTACGTGTACTGCACCAGGGAGAGATACGTTCTTGATCCTAAGGAGACTGTTGACTTGGTCGACGAGAACACCGTAAGTCTTCTGCCTACCAAACGAGTTAACAACGAGGCTAAATAGACATAGATCGGAATCTGCGTCATCCTAGGCACCACCTACACCGGCCAATACGAAGACGCCAAAGCCATCAACGACCTCCTCGACGAGCGCGGTCTTGACACCCCCATCAACATCGACGCCGCCTCCGGCGGTTTCGTCGCCCCTTTCGTCGTCCCCGAGCTGGAATGGGATTTCCGCCTCTCCCACGTCGTCAGCATCAACGTCTCCGGCCACAAGTACGGCCTCGTCTACCCCGGTGTCGGCTGGGTCATCTGGCGTGACCCCGAGTTCCTCCCCAAGGAACTTGTCTTCAACGTCAACTACCTCGGCGCCGACCAGGCCTCTTTCACCCTCAACTTCTCCAAGGGCGCCTCCCAGATCATCGGCCAGTACTACCAGCTCATCCGCCTCGGCAAGAACGGATACCGCGCTATCATGCTCAACCTCACCCGCGTTGCGGACCTGCTCGCTGCCGCAGTCAAAGATATGGGATTCCTGATCATGAGTGATGGCGAGGGCCGTGGTCTGCCGCTCGTGGCGTTTCGTCTTGATCCTGCCAAGGAGAAGAGGTACGATGAGTTTGCGATTGCGCACCAGTTGCGTGAGCGCGGCTGGATCGTGCCGGCGTATACGATGGCGCCGCATACGGAGGAGATGAAGATGCTGCGTGTGGTTATCAGGGAGGACTTTAGCAGAAGCAGGTGCGAGCAGTTGATCAGTGATATGAAGCTTAGTCTTGGGCTGTTGGATGAGATGGATAAGAAAATGTTGAAGGAGTACTCGGATTATATTGGTCGCCAGAGGGCGCATGCACAGAAGAAGCCGGAGGGACAGAGCCAGCATGACGTGTATAAGGATGAGGAGCATAGCTTGCAGGGGACGACGGGGAAAACCCATGGAATTTGTTAGATGGTGGGCAATGTGAGCTGGTAGGTATTCGAAAAAGTTAGCTGGAACTGGAATGAATGAATGGAAGAAAGGATATTCTCATGTCAGTTTTTGGTTTACCTTGCTGCCTCCAGTTGCCGAGTGACCAGGCGAGATAGCATAGTTGGGATAAGGTGGGCGCCCCTCCTATGCACCCCCCTATCCCAGACATCCACACATGACCACAACACCAAGCGAAGCAACACCCAACCTTTATAAACAAACTTAAGACCTCTTCAAATCAAGCGGCACAGTGGCGCAGTGGAAGTACCACTGTCTGGACAATCTGGCCAGCGGAGGAAAAAGGTTGTGAATTCGAGCCCCGGCGTGGAAAGGAAAGGGAAAGAAAGAGCTTGGAAACGATCAACCGACAAGAAACAAACGACGAATACTCAACATAACACCAAAAAGTAAAATCAATAGTGATTTTCTCCCTCATCAGATCTTGGGACGCCGAGATATGATAAGTCTTTTGCTTTTGTGATTAATTATTGACCCGCTTTTTTGCTTTAGTTATAGAGGAGCTTGGTCTTGATATTGGAATGCAAGCGTGAGGTCTTAAGGTGGGCTTCGAGAACTTATATTGTGCTCTTAAATGTGACGGGAGCGATGCTCTCACCTCCTTCTTACTGTTGGTTCCCAACCCTGTAGGGAAAGAGCGAGGGTCCTACCTTCCCTTCCTCCACCACCTGATGCTTTACAATCATAAATGGCAGGAGCGATTCTCTCGCCTCTTTCCTACTGCTGGCGCCCAACTCTTTAAGGAAAGAGCGAGGGTCCTGCCTTCCATTTCTCTATCGTCTGGTGCCTTGCAATCAAAAATGGCTGGAACGATACTCGAACCTTCCTGCTATTATCTCAAAGCCCCACAGGGAAAGGGCGACCTTCCTCTTCTCACTATCTCACACCCAAAGATAGCAGGAGCGATGGTCGTTGTTTCCTACTTTTGCTACACAACCCCACAGGAAAGGAGTAATGGTCGTTCCTTCCCCTTTACTCACATAGCTCCATTACACTTCCTCTCCAAACTCCAAGCAAATATCAAGCTCCTCCCACTTCTCCTTCTCAACCATATACATAATCTCCGCCACCAATCCCCTCCCTTCCATCATGACATCCTCCACCCTCTCCTCCACCCCCAGCCCCCTCATCACACCCCTCATCCCTACATTGGCCTTCATAGTCCTAACACCTACTCTGCCGCCCATCATCAACGCAATCTCCACCAAACACCCCGTTACCGCCTTCCCCACCCCCTTTCCCCTCACCACCTCCTCAAGCATAACGCCTACATTCAGTAGTCTCTCGCCATCCTTCAAATCTCCCTCTATCGTCGCTATAGCACTCACTCCCACCACCACCCCATCAACTTCTACTAGCACATCCAGGTTGTCAAAGTCTCTAGTCGATTTGTCGAACCGCGCTTGTTGGGCAGTAGTCCAGGTAGCGGCAGCGGAATCATCCCAGAGAGTGGGCTGGGATGTGATGTGAGTTCGGTTTAAGGGGTTGCGGATGATAGCCAGGCGGGTGGAGATGGAAGAAGGGGTAGCGTGGCGGAGGATGATGTGGGGTTGGGAGGGGAGGGTGGCGGTCCAGTGGTTGGTGAAGAGTTTCGAGTTTTGGGAAGCCATTACGGAGGTTTCATTTGATAGGATAGGGAAATGGGAAGATGGCTGTTTCTGAAGTATTGTGGGGGGGAGGTTATAGGGTGGACGGCGGTGTGGAGGTTACAAGATAGGTAAGTGCTAGGGTGAAGATGCGCTTATGTCGATCCGGGAGTAACTTGCGAGACAACTGCAGATCGCAAAGTACATATCAAAATCATAAATATGTAAACTAACGCAGCTAACAGTATGTACAAAGCGAATGACAATATGCAACAACCAATGCAATGCAGATAAAAGTATGTACAGACGAAACGAATAGCACGGGAATCCCTGCTTCACTCCGCGCTTACTGTCCTGGCATACCAGCCTTCATGTTATCATAAACACTGGCCGGGTAGTTAAGAAGGTTCTGGCTCTGCTCCAGCGAGCCCAACTTGTTTGCCGCCGTGGTGATCAAGCTGTTGCCACCCGTCTTATCCGAAGAAGTCTCCCAGAACATAGCACCACCAAGACCCTTCGACTTGACGTACTCAGACTTGGTGTTAATCTCCACTGGGGTATCGTAGCTGATGAACTCCTTGGTAGCAGCATCGTAGCTGTACGCCGCGACAGCTTGGGAATCGTGGAACTCGGTCGCACCGGATCTGGGGAGTCCGCTGAAGTCCCAGACGCCATTCTCCCAGGTGCCAGAACCGACGCCGGTGAATGGCTTGCCGGCACCCTCGGTAGCCTCGAACGAGCGGCCGTAGATGGGCATACCCATGACGATCTTCTTGGCGGTGACACCAGCGGAGATGTAATCGGTAACGGCACGGTCGGTGGAGTATGGGGTGGAAGCGGGGTTGTTGGTGCTGGGGTAGAGATTGGCTTGGTGGCCTGCAACGCTGTCCCATGATCCGGCGTAGTCGTAGGCCATCAAGTGCCAGGCATCAAGGTAGGCGTCCATTTCCCTCATGTGCATCTTGTTGTAGTTGTCTGGTCCGGCGGGGCTGGCGATGGTGATCAAGAAGTGGTAACCTGGGGCGTATTGGGCGGCATATGCATCGAGAGCCTCGCGGCAGGCTTTGAGGAGGAGGACCATGTTGGTGGCCTCTACGTCGTTGGCGGGGTACTCCCAATCAATCTAAGGGATTTATTAGCTTGATGCTACGTTTGGGAAGGGGATTACTTACATCGATTCCATCAAAGCCAAGATCTGCAACCAACTTGACTGCTGACGACGCAAACTCCTTTCGTCCGGCGTCAGTGCTGGCGGGGACGGGGAAGTTGATGGAGTAGGTCCACCCGCCAATGCTGAGAAGGGTCTTCATGGCACGGTTCTTCTTCTTATGGAGATACAATTGCTTAATGCAACCGTAGACATTGTTTCCGGTGTCGCTCCAGCTGTCTCCGGCCCAGTGGATTTGCAGGTCTGCCCACTCATCAGAGAGGTAGCTTATGGGCTGTCAGAATTTATATTTCTCAGAACCGCATGCAGAATTCAAACTTACACGGTGCCACTTGGGCGTATGTTGGCAAACGAGTATAGGACGTGAGTCAGCTCCGATGCCGGGAGCTCCTGTGGCAAGTAGCCACGTCCATAGATTGCCCTGGTTTCTGTTAGTTGAGGTCTTGCCTGGTCGTTCACAACTACTAACCAATTCACGAAATAAGCTGCATTTCTAAAACCCGAGACATCTCGTCCAGCGATAGGCTGGAGGAGGGCCGAGGTAAGATTCGTGTGGGAGGTGGGATGGGTAGGAGCCGCGAATACTGCTGGGATGGCCAACAGTAAAGCAAGATGCTTCTTCGTCCAGGATAACATGGTTAACTGATAACGGAATAAATATGTGCAAGTAGATTTCCAAATATATACAAGTCTCAAAAGGAGAGTGAAAGAGCTAGGTTGTCGATGCTGAAGTCGGCCGGCGATACTGTCTTCAACTCCTCGTCTTCATCGCAGTATATATATCTCTTTCTCAACCCCCACCTTTCAGAATGAAGCATGGCATTCATAATGATAAGACCGTAGCTCCTTGGAAGGTAGCTCGACCTTCTACCTACCTTCCCATGAGAAAGAAAGACCGCGTCGGAGATTAGCAACGTTACGATAAATTGTCTCTCAAGCAATTAGCATCGATTCAATGACCATGTGAAGAAGGTGTGCCTGGTGTAGGATTAGGGCCTTGCAGTGATCCTAGTGTCGATGACCAACTTCAAATGTCGGGCGTGCGCTGTGACTGGTGACGTTACCCGTTACCCAAGAGAATAGAGATTAAAATCCAGGCACGCTGCGGAACATCCGGCACAGGCACTAGGATCTCCGACGGGGTGTTCATGGGGTATTCATGGGGGTGACCTCTAAAAAGGGGGCGTCGCGTTGACGTCTGGAGCCGTGCGCGATCCATATCTGCCGAACCGTTCATCTGAGCATCGCGATCCTTGCTCGATCCTTGCTCGATCCTTGACCTTGGGCTTGGGCGCTCCGTAACGTTACAGCGCAGTCCCAGGTCGGCATTTTTGATCCTATTCACACTTATTACGCGGCGTTTGAGCATTTACCGATCCGAGAGCGTGACTAGTAAGGATAACGGGCCTTATTTTAACCCCCCTGTTCGCTGTCACGCCGAACCTTATTGGCACGCGATGATGATCACACTCCCCATAGGCCCGCCTAAGCGCTATGGGACGGATTCCATCCCTAATCCATCACTTCCTTTATCAGGGGACAACCACCTTCTCGATTTGATCTCTCGGCGAAACTTCATGTCGCGAGTTCGGTGAAGGGTTGGGGTTTAGCAACGATTTGGATGTGTACGCGTGGAGGCCTGTCGCGCCAACGCTGCCGGCACAATAAGAAACTACCACTGCCATTCTAAACCCCACTTTAACCCCTTGGGAGATTGCTAACCTTATTACCTGTTTGACTTGTAACTAATGGCACTTGTCAACGGTTTCTGGGGAAATGCAGTACTGTCGATCTGCTTGACATGGACGCGTGATGTTATCTAAGAATGAAGACTACGTACGGCATGAGGGGAAAATAGCAGATAACATGAACGTTGCAGTTGAGCGGATGAAGGGAAAAGAGAACAATACGTGACATGATCATGTATGATTTGTAGTCATGCGATTAGTTACCATGTTGGATTTTGGCGTTTTCGATTTGATTCCATGAAGTGAAGCCTGTATATAGTCCCTCGATGTCTCATCACGATCCGATCCGCCACAGTTACATCCTTATCTATCCTTGGTGTGCATACCTTAAGCATAAATTACATTCCTTTCAAAATGCTCGCAATCACTGCTTTGGCCTCCTTGGCGGGCCTGGCCGCCTCGATGCCGTTGGCAAATACCGGCCTTAGCTTGGCATCTAACAACGTCGCTGTGTATTGGGGTATGGCACTCTTTTCCAAATGACCGGTATATAAATTAATTTCGTGTCTCTACTATAGGGCAGAATTCCCACGGCCAGGGAACTGGCCCATTAGCTCAACAGCGTCTATCTTATTACTGTGCAAGTAAGTCTCCAGGGACCCTGCTCATTTAAGCCAACAAAACTAATAATAAGTAGACACTGATATTAATGTATGTTAACGTGTGCTACGCATATGTCCAGTGGTTAACTTTACCTTGCGTTAGATCATTCCCCTTGCATTTTTAACAACCCTTGCGGATTTATCACTTAATCTCGCAAATGCCGGGGATAACTGCACTGCGATCTCGGGGTCCAACCTTTTCTACTGTTCTCAACTAGAGTACGTTTTCAAGCATCAAACTAGATTCTCTACTAATACCTTCAAGGGCCGATATCGCTGAATGCCAATCCCAATACGGAAAGACTATTCTGCTTTCTCTGGGTGGCTTCACCTACACTGAGGGCGGGTTCCCCTCCCAAGATGCAGCAGTCACGGCAGCCAATAATGTGTGGGCTAGCTTTGGACCCAAAGCGGCCGGCTCTAGCTCCCCGCGCCCCTTTGGAAATGCTGCAGTAGATGGATTTGATCTCGACTTTGAGACAGTTGTATCCAATATGCCACCCTTTGCAAACCAACTTCGCAGTCTGATGGACCAGGACTCTAGTTCAACCGGGAAAAAATGGCTTTTGACTGCCGCGCCACAATGCCCATACCCTGATGCGGCAGACGACCCTATGCTTAATGGAACAGTATTTTTCGATGCTATCTGGATCCAATTTTACAACAACTACTGCGGTCTCCAGTCCTTTGTCGTCGGCGCTGAGACTCAGAATAACTTCAATTTCAACACCTGGGACAACTGGGCAAAAACGGTGTCCAAAAATCCCAATGTCAAGGTGTTTGTAGGCGCTCCTGGATCACCTACTGCTGCTGGCGGTGGATATGTGGATGGAAGCACCCTTTCAGCTATTATATCGTACTGCAAAACATTTTCTAGCTTTGGAGGAGTCATGATTTGGGACATGAGCCAGATCTACGCGAATGATGGCTTCTTGGCCAATGTACGCAGCAACCTGTAGTTCTTATCTGCTACTATCATATTTTTCTTTGATATAAAATCAAAGACAAATACCATAAATTCTCGTCTTCAACAAACACGACGAATTTTCAGTGTCAAAGCTACCCCGCATTATTTGGATGTAACGATTCATGACGAGGTCGCATTTGTCCAGCCTACTATCAAAAGCCACTACCTGATTTGCCCTTAGTTGGCTACGGCCCACTTCGCATTTACCCTCGAAGTCTCAATGCGGGACTGTGGCGCATTAGTCAGGCTTGTCGTAACCTTTGGAATATCATATGGGATTCCGGGCTGCAAGATCGCCAAGTCGCCGCTATAGTAGCAGTCGAGATAGGTATCGCTGGTAGTGCATCTAGCGTAGGGATATATGCTCCAGTCGAAAGTACCCGAGCCTTCAAAATAAATTCTATGTTTTATTAGCATGATACAAAGAAATATAATGGAGATGAGTAAGAGAAAGTGAGAACGGAGGCATGATGGGAGAGCAGGGAGAAAGTCCTACGGGTGTGCCTCGTTCTTGTCGCTACACTGCCACACTTTGTCGAGTCTAATAACCCTTGTAAACGGATTAAAGCTATAGTTGCACTTCCAGTGAATTGGTTGGCCGTTGCCTAATCCGTAACAGTCGTACCTAACTCATATGTTAGTTACTCTATCTTTATTTATTTCTCTTCTGTTTGGAGTCCAAATTATACTGAACCTGAAGTACTTACACCGTATCCAGGCCACTCCCCGATATAATATTCTTGGTATCGAAGTAATAGAAAAAATAGTCTGCAAAGCCTGGACCAGTCAAGCCAGTCGTAAAACCTGCCAGCATCGCGCTGTTTGGATCATCTGCTGGGAATTCGGTCGTCTTGAATTGCATGGCGCGGAAATACCAAGTTGGGCTAACAACGCTATCAAAAGTGCACCCGCCGTGAACGGGGTACGCAGTTACGAGAGCGAATTCTTGAAGCGTCTGTTTGTCTGCTTGAGTTCCATCAACGGCAGTCGATGGAACTGAGCTGGTGCATTTAGTAATAATGTCGTCTTCTGTGCCTGTAATGCCAGTGCTCGAGGCGCATGTAAGCTGCAGTGAGGCGCTACCAGTAGCGGAAATTACGGTCCTTTCCTATGGTCAGTTATCCATTGTGAATTTGGACAGAAGATCAGGATCAGACTCACGGGTTGACGTTAGTCGATGGGTTCTCGAGGCAGTACCACACTTCTTCAACCTTTATGTCTAAATTGGGCACTGTACCAGATAAAGTTATATCAAGAGTAATTTCATTGAATTCTCCTCCTGTACACCGGAAAGGATAGGGAGGGGCGAATTCGTCGTATGTTGGCGTGAAGCTACAGCTTACTTCGTGATTGATAGCATTGTTTGTCACGTTGAGGTTGAGGTGTATGCCCCTGGTCACGAAGTCGGAGGAGGCGTTGTTGTCTAGACAGATACGGTCTTCCCAGTACCACAGGAGACACTGACCCTTGGTATAGCTTTGGTACGAAACATCGGTTACAGTCCACTGCTTGTCGCCAACAGTCGCACATGATTCAGCATCATAGCCTGGAGGAGGCGACGGCTGGGTCGGCGTGAGCGGGACCGGAAGACTGAGGATGCCGTGGATAAGGTATGGTATTGGAGAAACACAATCAGATCCAGCACATTGGGTGATAGTAGTGCTTCCGCTTGCCGTAAAGACGACCCTGGGGTTATTCCTAGTCAATATTTTCTCGTCATACATACACTTAGAAGCTCAACTCACTTGTCACCTTCATCCCCACATACCCAAAAGTGGCTCATCGAGATGACTGGGCCGTCAGGGCCTTTGGAATAATTTACAGTCATCTGTGAGGTGCCGGAGCTTCCCCCGCATAAACCTTCTCCTTTGCACTCAACGATGGCATATATCCCTGTAGGGTCTGCAGCACGGTTGTCGACCTTGAAGGTCGTGACACCCCCAGAAACCTCATACTCCGAGAGAATCCAGCTCGGGATGGTCAGTGACTTATCCGTGCATCTCCCTGACGGCCAGGTAGGAGCTGTGGGTATGTTGATTGCCAAAGCACTCGCTGCCAATGCAGCAACGGCAAGGACTGAAAACCCCATGTTGGCCAAGAGCAAATGTTGCAGCTAAAAGGCTTGAAGAGTGGACCCAAAAGTTTGCGAAGTCCGGACTTGGAGGGGTATGAGACTGGGGCAGAGCTATATATTTATGTTAGGGATACGGTGACTTATGGCCGCCACTTGGATTCGGTCACTTGGGGGGTATCTTACCAATCCATGTTATATCAACTATACCCTTATCGCCAGGGAAGCTACAAAACTAGGAATTATACATTACGGGGAATTAAATGTCAGCACTTGTGGCAATATAGAGTCAAAGTCGAAGGGATACAACCATAACTTATATTAAAAAGGATTCACGTGTATACTCCAGGTTAGAACGCACCTATCATAACCCCGTTCCTAAAAGACGTCGATCTTTAACCGGTTCGGGCCCCAAAATAATAAGCACTTACTCATTCATAAACTCGCCGCAGGAGATGGTTTACAAGATTTAGAATTTAGGCTGGGCTTTCCCCGCATTGGGGTCTAAGACTGCGCATCCGGCCTAAATTTCCGTATTGGCGATCTAGGTGCCGTGCTTGTATAGCGATTAACTTTTGAGGTCCCAAACGGTCGACCCCGAGGTAAGCGGCCAAATAGTTCGGGTCTACGCCATCTTAATATGGCGCTCGGCTGGCTTTACAAAAAACTTAGATCGGGTTCTTCTGCTACCATCAGGGTCTAGTTCGCAGAAAGTCACCTTCTCTTTAAAGGCCGAGGTTGATGCACTGTCATCATAGCTCCTCTCTCCTTGCATGGTTCGGGAGTCTTCTTATTATCACCGAAGCGCCGAGCAGCTATTGGCCCCGAACCTCTCTAATCCCGCCGCACCCCGCCAATAAATATTCGTCCATCAATGTACTTATTATGGGAGACTTAGACCTGAGTTCTTGTATTTTCCGTCCCCATGCCATAGCGCTTGTGGAGATCCTTGCAGCGGTATTCGGCGGGAGAACTCGGTGGGCGCCGTTGTGGATCCCGCTTGACATCTGTCAGACCCCACATCACTCCAGCCAGTATCCCGTATTGGTAAGTTACGTCAAACATCCTGTTTTCTCTCTGTTGTGCATCGACATAACTATCCCTGGCCTTCTCTCCCCCTGCCTCACCCCGCACCCACCACCCCTGAAAGCCGTGCGTTGCATCTTCCATGCCAGCCACAATTTCCGGGTCTTCGTGCTCTAGGCGCCTCACACAAGTGCGTTCACAATATATGCTTCTGAATCTCCGTCTAAAGTTCCGGATCCTTCCCATCTAACAACTAGCTTTGTCAGCGCTAGTCAGTAAACTCGATTTTGACGATGCATTTATATCCGTAGGTAGGTCTACTGCCAGATAGCTACCCTCAGTGTAGCAGATGTAAGTCTGTCCTTTCCTCTGGGCATCTTATTTTTCAACAGGATATTAATGCCGTGGTGGCGTTTTGATATTTAAATATTTACATAATTATTCATTTATACTATTCAACACCACCACTTTGATATTCTCATACTATGCGCTATTAGATTGCCGGATCTGACAACCTCACAAGTTGAAGTATTGGCTTACTCAGAGGCTCGTCTTTGGTGTTAGAGGCTAGATCATAGGAGGTAACACTGAACCGTTTTTTGGCCCCAGAAATTTGCGCGCGGTTCTTCAGATTTGTGCTGTAGAGTACTTGCAAAGCTCCCTTTTTCCTTTCTGGGAAGGAATTCACAATTTCGTCCCATGGCAACCTGGTAACTCCTTTCGGCTATATCAATAGATTATTGTCCTAAGTAACTGGCTAGGATTGGAATGTAGTGGATGAGCGTGCGTGGGTCTTGTTAATGGCGAGGGTTTTCGTGCGACAGTAGTCCCCTCCGAGAACTTTCTCAATATCAACTTTAAAGGCTTGTCCTCCTTGCCGCTGCTTATCGAGCGGTGAAAATATATCATCCTCCACCGTGTCCAAATATAACGCCCAGACCCACATCATTCCCACGTAAATATGCGTTATCCCCATTACGGGATTAAGATCAAGGCGGCCGTTGCCAAAACCATTGTTATTGACATCACTTGGCTATTTTCGCCATCGTATAATGAGATTTCTGCCCAACATACAAACAGGAAGGTGTCAATCAAGGATCTATATCTGCCTTCACACCTTGTCCTGTCGCTAATAAAACCTTATGCTTCTCCAGAGATTTGTTGACAGGATGAGGGTCTGCAAAGATTTCCTCGAGCTCTTCGAGAGAGCGGCCCTTTGTCTCGACGATAGACCACCACAGCATTCCAAGGTAGATAAAATGAAAGATAACTATTTCGCGGTTAGAATAGTGTAGAGAGTAAACACACATAGTGCCAGTCAAAAACTTACGGAAAATCGTATAAGTTTTCCAACCAATGCGTTCAAGGGCGACGGGGGTAGCATAGGTATTTATAAAGCTTGCGAGTCCATTCATGAGCTCCTGAAAAGCAAATCCCTGGGCTCTAATATCGTTGGGTAGGATCTCAGCTGGATATAAAGTCTGCAGCGGCATCCAACAGAACGAGAAGAAAACCCCATAGAGGTAAATAAATGCAACAAAGGCGTAGCCAGTGCCTGTCGCCACGTGACCGTCTGCCAGAGCAGCTATCACATTCATTGGGATATAGCAGAGACCAGTGAGTAGTGCGCCCCAAAGATAGAGATTGCGACGACCAAATTTGTCGACGTAAAAGCAGCCGAAAACCGAAGCGACAGATGAAAATACTACATTAAGGGCGTTAATGAGCAGTTGCTTATCGGGAGATTTGATGCCAATGTTGTCAAGAATGGTTGGCAAATAATAACTTTATAAAGCAGTTAATAAAATGGGCATTATACCATAAAGTAAGGGGGTGTAGCATACCTTATAACGGCGCCACCAACAAATTTATTGAAAACACCAACAAGTATAAGGAGATAAATCCTGAAGCATCTGTCTCTAGTACTGAAGAGTGGGCGATAGTCCCACCATCTGTTATTAGAAAGCTCCTTGTCGTAATTGGTTTCGCGTTCGATTTCTTCCATCTGGAGATTCACAATGGCAGAATCTTCGTTTCCATTTCCATGGTACTCGACAAAAAAACTGCGAGCCTTCTCACGCTGGTCATTGGCAATTTGCCATCGAGGGGATTCCGGTAGTAGCCATACTGTGCAGAAAATGATAGCTGCAGGAAATGCTTGAATGACGACGGGGATACGCCAGGACCAATCACCAGACATTTTCCCCGTTCCGTAGCATGTCCACGACGCCACTAGGATTTGATTAATCAAATTATCTTGTTTGAAAGGACAAGTAAACCATACCAAGTGCACCAGCGCAATAACCGAATGCATAATACAATCCGCCAAACAGCCCACGCATGGACGGTGGCGAGATCTCAACAACATAAATCGGCCCAGATGTGCACCCAACGGTGACTCCAAAGCCGATTAAGAATCTACCGCCCATGAATTGGTCGATATTTTTAGAAGTAGCCTGAAGGATGGTGCCGATGACAATAAAAAATGCGCCAGAACACATTCCGAAACGGCGACCTAACCTATCAGCCGCTGGGGCAGCAAATAAAGAACCAACGAGCTGGCCGACTGTGTAAATTGCGAAGAGAAGTCCCGTAGCAGGGCCTTGCTTGCCAACGTTGAAATATTTGTGGAATGCTGGCATTGCGTTCATCGATGACATTAGAGAGCCATCGTAGCCATTCATGGCCGTGTCTTGATAATTTTTAGCATTTATGGCATATGTAACAACCATATATACATACTTAGAGTAATGAGCATAATGATAGGATATAGTTTCAGCAATGATGGCGATGTCCATGAAGTTACCCCGTCCTTGACGAGAGCATCAGCAAGGGCGACGTTTTCGACAACCGCTTGTTTGACCTTTCCACTGGGGCCGGAGTGGTCAGTTACGTCCATGCCCACATCCACCTCCATACCTTCTTCGGTGTGGAAAGTATTGTAACCCATAATGTTTAGGGCCCCACGAGAGTCTGGGGAGTTGGTCGGGAAGGATATACGCTTGGTACAGCGACTACCTAGGTATAGAGTTCCAGTATTCGGACACCGGTGTCGGAATACTGGAACTCCTACGTATATACCAAATCTTCACTTCGCAAAGAGCCGCTAACATTGGTAACCGAACGCTATTCCTAACTCGCAACTCTATAGTCCCTAGACGTGATTGGCCGTCTTAAAATTGGGATCTACATTCTTTTTGGGTGGGACATAGTTGCTAATAAACGTAGCTTCTTTATCTTTTTCTGAATAAAGGGTGTTGCGGGTCCGTTGGTAGTTTGGTTGGGTCGGGGGCGGGACGGGACGGAAGTTGGTGGCAGGCTTAGGGATGTCGTTGGGGTAGCTGATGGAGAATTCCTGCTCGTCTCGATCGTCCTGGATGAATGCTTTAAAATAGACCTGACCTCGCTGCTGCTGTTGAAAAACTGCACAGGGAAGGAGCGAAGGTCCTGCCTTCCCATCCTATCTCTTCCGCTGTCATGCTCTCCTAGAGGGCAGGAACGATGCTCTAACCTTACTACTGCCCCGAAACTTCACGGGGAAGGAGCGACGGTCCCAACTTCCTCACTCTCCGATTGTACTATACTAAAATTGGCAGGAGCAGCGCGACTCTATCCATTCTCTTTACTATAGTTACCACGAGTTTTAACGGAGAATTGCGTCTCGAGCTCTGTGATCTGTAGAATACCTCAAGAACATATGTAGATCCTGGGTGACCACAGGGCATGAATGAGCCACTATGGATAGTTCCCGAATGAAAATAGCCGGAATACAAATGCAGGCTGTTCTGTTTAGACATATAGCGTTCCACGGTGGAGTATCAGCGAAATCAAAGTAATAGCACCGGTCTTGTCTACTGGTTCAAATGTCTTGCATTTATGTACGTACTATAAGCACTAGAAATGAGCGACTCTCACATCAACCCAGTTGCAGACTATTCCCACACACGAAGTATGATTCCTCCGTGGCGTATAAATCAGAAACAAATATTGCCAAAACAAATATCCAGCGTCCAAAATTGCGAAGTAGTCATCCTATCGTCATCGCCGAACAAAGCGCGTATGAGGTTGGATTTGAAAACGTTGGAATCGAATCAAAGAGTTGCCGTGGTCGCTATAGAGCAGTATTGTTTATTTGTTAGGGCATCCCTCACAGGTGCATCCTGAACATCCGCCTGTAAGGCAATATATGTTAACAACTATTGTACAGAGTGGGGAACCAAATCAAACCGCAGGTAATGCCTTGAAGTCGCACTGACGAAGAATGGACGGAAGTTACTTACACGAGCCACTCGAGGCACATCCGCATCCACCCATGATTATGGTTTAGGTTGGTTGGTTGAGAGAAAAAAAAGTCTTAAGTTGTTTGTAGTTGAAGTTGAGCGATTATATCGTGGTAAATGAAGCCTTGGAAAAGAAAGAGGGGAAGTCAGACTGGAGCGGGGGTGTTGTATTTATACGATGGCACTTTATCGCATCGATCAAACTCGTCCAACGATTACGACCCAACATCTAGATACCTATTGGCTGGCCCTTCCCGCAATCTGCCCAATGAGACTCATATAAGGGTCTTGATGGTAAAGCTAATGCGCGCTTCGGCATATTCACCTATAATTTCAAGTCCGATGACGCCTGAGGATGCTTACATCCGAGATATATAGGGAGGGAGCCAATAGGGCGGGGTTCTGGTCGATATGTTTTGTTTGGAGGGGTTCGAGCGAGGGGTAGGTGGGGTAACTGAATGTAGCTGGATGTGGTGGGGTGCCAGCGAAGTTTATGCGCGGCAGGACAATGAATGGCAGTCTCGACAGCTAGTAGACTTTCAGTATGTCATCGTTGAATCATATGGCCAGGATAGACGTCGGATCTAAAGGATCGTCGATAACAAGGCCAGGTTCGTTGTTCATCAGCTTTACTATTGTTTTCTACACTGTAGAGGGGCGAGATCGCGCACAGGTCCCTCATTTGACTGAGCGACTTGTGCGTGATATCAACCCCGAAAGAAACTCGGCAGTGGTGTGTACCCACTTGGGTTTGGAGTAGTGGTAGGTGGGACCTGGAGCTGAGCTCGGCACTCTGAGTAGGATGGAAACTCAAATAATGAAGCCAAATAAAAGCGTGCTGTTGTGCGAGCATAAGCACGCGTAAGCATAGATGCTTACCTTATACACGCGGATATACCGGTAAGATAACGCCGGCGAGCGAAACTATGCTCTCAATGTCGTCGTTATAACAGGAGCACTATCCCAAAAAAATAGGGACCAGACTGACAATTGACGGCGGCACAGCCTCGGGATAAGAGCCCACTCTTAAGTTAACAAATCGCAATTGAACACTTCTAGACCTATCCACCTCGACTTTCGACATCGACGGCGCCAATTACCAAACCCACACTGCCCCACAATACCACGATCCAGAAACACACCGCCATGGCTGCCGTTCCGGACAAAACCAAGTCGTACTTCCCCCTCGCCGGCGGTGCCAACGACGGTTGGACTAAGGATGACTCCGCGACAGCGACCTGCTTCTGCGGCGCCGTGCAGCTCGCCTTCCCGACCGAAGCCCCGGGCCTCACCAGCACCTTCATATGCCACTGCAGCGACTGTCGCAAGATCACGGCGTCGATGTTCGCCTCCAACTTTACCGTCCTCGACTCGCACCTGACGCACCTGCGCGGTCGCGAGAACTTGAAGTCGTACGGACAGTCGAAAACCATCGCGTCGGGGAAGATGATGACTAACTACTTCTGCTCCACATGCGGGACGCTTATGTATCGTGTCGGCGAGGCGTTTCCGGGGAGGAGCATCCTGCGTATTGGCACGGTGGATGATTTTCATTTACATGAGACGAAGTTGAAGCCGAGTCGTGAGATTTTTACAAAGGATCGTGTTTGTTGGCTGAGTGAGGTGGAAGGCACCCAGCAGCTTGAAGCACAGAGACCGAAGATATAGATATGGTGCAATACGGTACCTTGCATGAGTGGCGGCGTGCTAAGTAGCTGGCATGGGATGGTTATTTGGACGACAGGCCTTTTATGGTCATGTGTTGTAGTTGTAGGAGCTGACTCTTGCTATGTGACTGTATTACAACGGTTGGAGTTCAGAAATGGCAGATTGATAGTTGCTAACTGCCTAGCATTTCTCATATGAGGGTCCTTCTACGACAGAAAGGTGGCTTGGAGTTTTAGATCGAGAAGAATAGTAAATTCATTATGTTCAAGATATCATATCTGCTTTCCCGTTCGTTTTGGGGCCCTATTATTGAATCTTACAAGCCGCGTATTATAATGTGGAGGATTTCTATATGGAGGTTTTAAATACAGCCAATTTTATTGGCGCACTATATGAGAGGCTAGACAAGAGGTTATAGAACTTCATTGCATTACCATCTGGCTAGATATCATAGAGAGTAAGAAGTTAGAATAACAAACCATCCTCCTTCTAAAAATAGCCGTCTCATTTCTCCATTCACATGTTTTCACATATATCACCAAACTGGGATCAAGCACATATTCGAGTCATTCCGCTAGCAAACTCTAACATAAATTAGGCTTCGGTTGGAGAAAAGAATGCCCTGCCAATTCGCCCGCCGTTTTTCTCGCATCTGGGTGCCAGGCAAGCATTCCCTTGGCCAGATCCAAAAACGCTTCCTTTTCCTCTCTCCCAAGAAATGAAGCTGTGTCATCTAGTTTGCGCTTGGGGATCAGGTCTTCGTGGAGGAAGCGACCTAAGATGTTTCGTGAGTCAGAGAATAATTCGTTCGCGATAGGAAACTCAGTAATACCTTTTTCGTCAAAAAATGGCCCATAGAAGTACTCTTCCGCGGTCTCACATACTCTGCCGTCATCTCGTCTGATAGGGTTCGGCCACGAGTACTCTCGCATATATTGATACCTTTGTATGATCTCTGGTGGGGGTGGACCGAGTAAGGCTATCATTTCGGCGATGTGTAATTTAGCATCGTAGCGACCTTCTTGATCATGAATATGCTGGAATAGCTCCTTGCCTTCGATCATATCCCACAACTGGCGTATAATTAGTGGATGCAACAACTCTAGAAAACAACGTAACGTACTAGAACACCAAGATTCCAAATATCTGCAGGCATTTGCCATCCATTACCTAGTATCACCTCTGGGGCCCGATAGTGGTCTGGCTGAATAGGCCAAATGCCCCAGTCGTCGTCTTCCTCGAGTGTAGTTGCTAGGCCGAAGTCGACCAGCTGTGGTATACTTCTTAAGCTTTTAAGTGGCCCGAAGTCACTGCGGGACTGATAAACTGGTCGTCCGGCCGAATCAATCTTGAAAGCCATCGGGTTTTTAAGCTGAGAATCTATGAAATGAGCAAGGACGGTTGGATCCTCGAATGAGACCATGATGTTCTCAAGCTTTAGATCTAGGTAGACAGTTAGGTTTAGTATGGCCGACCGAAAGTAAAAACGAGAACGAACCTACCCGTATGAACTGTCCTGCATTCTCTATGCAGATAATCAAGCCCTGTAAGAAGAGCACGAATGTATGTTTTAATGAGCGGCAGTGGCATCTTTCCGCCATCGAAGCGCCGCTGATACATCGATAATGGCTCCCTCATAGGCGGATACACAAGACACGAATAAGAACCTTCTATGCTGTTAACTTCAAAAGAGTCTAATAATGTTCGGATAAGTGAGCGACCGCAATGTGACGGGTCTGCCGTAGAAATATGCTCTTCAACCTCGCACTCATGACCAGCAGAACTCGCATTGTTATTAGCGATTTTTAATGCCACGATGCCCTCTGGCACGTCAATATGTCTATATATTTGTTAGAGACAGGGAGAGCTTAGTGAATAGAATTTACAAGAGACTACCCTTGCAAATCACGCGCAAGCCATACTGTCGAAGACACGCCCCAGCCAACCTTGACTAGGGCTTGATAACGATCGGCGAGCACCTCTCCAGGCTTCGCTGGGTAGAAATACTTAGAATCGTATACTGGCGAGATCTCCTCATCAACGAGTATGCCGGGTGGTAATGGTGGCCCGGGAGAAGGCACGGAAAACGGTTTCTTGCGAAGCAAGGCGGAGAAACGAGGAATGGATGGCCTTATGGTGTTCATTGCAAAGTTACTGTCTGTAAGTTAACGGGAGAATCCGATGCAAGTAGTAGTTGTTGATCAAGATCAAGGAGCTCGGGCAAGGGTGGTGAACGTGATCACGTGGCATGAACGTCGTTCATGTCTGTGGAGATGCATGCATCTCTATGGAAACACTGAAGGCGCCCGAGGATATGGATGGGATGACATATGTTATTTATGGCATTCATTCGATCACAAGGTTGCAAGAAGAGTGTGATCGCAATAGAGGAGGAGCAGTTTTCGATTGATGTAAAGTTAAGCAACAATCATGTCCCCCCTTTCTTTCTTGAAAATCCTTCATCCCTGTAGCCAGTACTTCCTCCTCTTCAGCATGTCGGTGGATTCATTCGTGTGAACCATCTTTATAGCTATTGAACACTGGACTGTTCGACAGTCGAGCCATAGCAACGTATTCTTCCATCCCACGCCGTCTTCCTCAATTGTAGTTGGTAACATACACCTCGATCTGGGAGAGAATCTCCTCCTTCCTCTCCTCATCAGCCCATGATCCCCGAACGGCTGCTTCGGCAGTTCCCTTCCACTCCTCGATGGACAGTCCGAAAGCCTCCTCAACGGCGCAGAAGTTATCAAGAAGGTATCCCCCAAAGTAAGCTGGGTCATCCGAGTTGAAGCAGATCTGAACGCCGGCATCGAGAAACTTCCTGATTGGAAGCTCAGATACGGCCTTGACTACCTGCAGCTTCACATTGCTAATCGGGCACAACGTCAAGAGTTTCTTCTCAGTCGCAACGCGCTTCATCAGCTCGGCATCCTCCGCAAGACGGACGCCGTGGTCGATGCGCTCGACGTTAAGGTTGTCAAGAGCACCGGAGAGGTAATCTGGGCCGCCCTCCTCTCCAGCGTGGGCAGTGCGGTGGACACCAGCTTCCTTCGCCTGCGCATAGACATCGCGGAACAACTCGGGCGGGAACCCAACCTCGGCGCTGTCGAGTCCAATGCCGGCGATGGTGCCGTCAGCAAAGTAGCTGTGGTTGGCCGCCAGGGTGAAGTGGTCGTTGGCGCTGGTAACAGCCATGTCGCGGAGAAAACACATGATGAGCTTGGAGGTGATGCCGAAGTCTTCTTTGGCCTTGCGCTGAGCTTCAGCAATGCCCTTGACTACGGTATCGTAGGCGACGCCACGCGAGGTGTGGGCTTGGGGGTCAAAGAAAATCTCGGCGTGGACGCATTTATCAGCGTGAGCGCGGGAGAAGTACTCGTAGGCGAGGAAGGTGAAATCGGCCTCGGTGAGGAGGACGGACATGCCGATGTAGTAGTAGTGGAGGAAGTCAGAGAGAGACGTGAAGCGGTCATATCTGGCTTGGAGGGCCTCAGGAGAGGCGAAGGCGGGGTCGGACTTGGGGAGCTCAATCTTGTTCGTGGCGGCAAGCTTGAAAAGGAGCTCTGGGGAAAGGGTGCCTTCAATGTGGAGATGAAGCTCAACCTTTGGGAGGCCCGCCAGAAACGTGTGAAGCTTGGAATTGCACATGATGACTTTGGTGGGGTGATTTGCCGATATGTGTTGGGGGTTAAGATTTGAGACTTGGTGGGGGAAGGTGATGAGGATGACACAATGCAGTGTTTGTCGCACAAAAGTTCGGTCTTAACACAAAGACTGCTTAGACAGGGTATGGTGCCTGTTGCAGAAATAAAAGGGGGTTTTGGTTGGAGGCTTTGATGTTGGGAGGTGGTGCAGGAATTGAGGGGTAACTTGACGCGTCCACTCTAGACAGTAGGAATTGAGGTACACAACGAAATTCGAAGGGAAAAATGGGAATTGTGTTCGAGGGAGAGAGGTAAGGAGAGAATTTTAGAAGGTACACGGCGTGGAACACAAGTTCTGTCCGTCAAGAATTGGAATGGCAAACGTATGAGGAATTTGGAAGAGTAATGCTCTTTGTATTGCTTATCTTAGTAACACCGACGGCGGCTTCCGAAAGTATTCAATTCTTATCTAGGTGGAGGCATCATCGTACCCATATGTGAAGAGTCTAGTTTCAATTTTTTGAGTTCGAGCATCATTCTGGCCATATACCATTATGAGAGCTTTATACAAGTTTAGAAGACTTCTCCTGACCTAGCTATAATAAAATAGCCATTGCCAAGTCACATGCTTTACACAGAACAGGATTTCGTCACGTGGAACCAACGTTGCGGGTGACGCCGACCAACGGAAAGACCGTCCGATCGATAGGATGGATGGAGCTCGGGCTTTGCGAATCGGATAGGTGCCGTCTTCTGAAACGCGGAGTCGCCACCACCACCACCACTACGGATATGGATCAGCTTCACGAAGACTGGATAGCCGCGGTAATACAATAAAGAAGGCAATTAACAGCACATTAATTCCGCATTAAACCCGCTTCCGAGTGCCCCATACGGAAATTCTAGCCTCTGATCATGGGCTGTGCTGTGTGTCGTGTCCCTTTCCCCCCGGAAGAATAAAACTCCCCTCGTCGATTCGTGCTGAGTTCTGCCGAACCCCTCACCCGATGATCTCTTTACTATCATAAAGGACTGTGAGGGGCATGAGGGGCTTAATCTTGAGATTCCTGTCCGGAGACACGCCGGCCGCGGGGTTTGCCAATGTTTATCCATGTGGAGCCGTGTCTCGATATACATTGCGTAACCGTGGGTTTCAAGCGCATGAGGAGGATGAAGCACAACGGCTTGACACTCCGCTTCTTAGACCCCAACTAACGTGTTGAGGTTATTGTTTCACGGAAACGACAGGAACCAACGACATGAGCTGTGGGACATGGAGCTAGCACGGCCATACTTAACACCGTACATGAACACCTAACCCACCGAGCGGGCTGTGTTGGGTCTGGTGAAGTCTACTGTGATGTCCACAACGGGAGCCTCGGTCTTCGCCGTTAGGAAGAAGGAAAGACCACCAAGCCAGCATGGATTGATTTCCGGGATCTGTTTGCCAGAACTCCGCCGCCTGCTCTGACAGCGATGGCACAGTCCTCCTCTCCCCCTCGAATTAGCCGGACTCCGGCCACAAAACCCTATCGGTAGCCATCCTCTTGTGGGGGCCGTTGGAGGGTGGGGTCCAGCGACGGTTGTGCCGGCGTCCTCCTTTCCACATGGGGAGACTTCATCCATGACCGAGCCTTCAGATGCCTATTTTGTTGTGCCCGACATCGCTAAGCTGCCACACCAGTCAGCCAGCATGTCGATCTTGCATGACGGAAACAACTGCACTACCACCGACGATCATAATCCCAGATCCAAGATACTAATCTGTACATGCTCTGGGGAAGCTTGGTTTAGGGGCAGTTGGATGAAGTCAGGGCCGAGGAGCCGTCAGCGGTCACCGTCTCATCTCAAGGTACACGGTTGTTTGGTACGGGTGTCCTCTCGGCGACGCATGATGAACGAGCGGGCGGGCAACTGCCGAATATAAATTGAGGCCTAATTAACTGATTGAACAGGCTCATTACTATGGCAAGCTACCCCGGATTTTGATTTATCTCGCCGAAAGCCCCCTTCCTCCGCATCCGACCAGCCGAGAGGTGCCTCGGGGTAATACTCTATTAAGGGTATTCCCAGTTCATATAGCTTTATATAGGCACAATGCGATGTGCACGGCAAATCATTTGCATCTGCATTTACTTGAGATGATACAAAGCCGACATGTTTCTGTAACAACAACAACTCTCCCGCAATATCAGCCATGTGGATACTATAGGACAGGTAATCACATGGAAGTGTGCTGGCATGCTGAGGCAGTGTAACCGGTCTCAAGATGTCGACGGCATCTGCATTGTCTCTATCTCTGACAAAGGAGAGCATCTTGATTTCCGGGCTACGGCGCTATTCTTAGGGCCTAAATTTGCGGGGTCGGGATCCTTCCGTACCACAGACGGCATGGCCTGTGCTAGAGTAACACCCTGATGCTTGCTCTGGCCGCAATAATAGCACCGCTTCATCTTCCGAGTGGCACCACAGCAGTGTCTATCAGGCTGACTGGACTGACTCGCATGTTGTGCTTTGCTCCACAAGCGACAAATCACTCCACAACACGAGGCCCGCAATTGGGGCGCACGAGAACTGATCTTCCCGATGGCCCTTTCTAGAGCTGTTGCAATGTTGCTCCTTGTCATATGCCAAGAAATGCATGGACGGCCAAAGCTCAACAAATGCAAGGAGAGCTCTGAGCTCTGAGCTCTGACTGCCAGATAGCCGGTTGGCCCCAGGTATGTACCTACATAGCTGGTATTGTATGTGATAATGTATGTGTGAAACATAACTAGCTTGCAAGCATTTGGTGCATTGCATGAACGCCATAGCTGCCATCCTAGGGTAGCTATACTATGTACAGTCAGTTCCACGCCCGCACCGTTTTTACCCATGGGAGTCTCCCACACACACTCACTTACGTCTACATTCGCTCATCGAAACGAATATAGGACAGGGATCGCGGCCGGCTGTGATGTGCAATTTAATGGTCCAGCGGTTACATCCACGGCGAATTAATCGTCCAGATTGTTTCCACAATTAGGGAACACATCCAGTGAGAATGCGCCGCAGCCGACGTTGAGGACACGATGCGGAACCTCCTCCACCCCCATCGAACAAACAACCAAATCGGGCGAACGTGGAAATTGAACAAGTGGGCTGGTACAACCGGTCTAGGCTATTCCTTTTGACACTGCAGTCCGGGAAGGCCGCATTTTCAACCAAAAGCGGACGATCTTGCCCAGACAAAGCCCAAGCCCTCCCAAGCCAACCCGCACTTTACCCCTCTGTTCGCCAACCAAAATCCAACAACAGCGAGCTAGACAGGGCTATTCCCGCCGCACCGATCCATCCTTGAGGGTTTCCCCGCGCTGGGCATTTCTGCAAGACAGTGTTTCGAGCCCGGAGATGCGACGGAGATGTTCAATCCTCATGGAAATCGCATACGGGGCAGGTACAGTGTAAATCAGGCACCAGGGAAAGGGAAGCACAAACATTGATCGACCCTCGGCCGAGAGATTTTTTTATTGTCATTGTGGACCCGTCTCTCGTCCGATCGTGGCCCTTCCATCACAACTGAGGGCGCACCAGTCTCACCCTCATTTCGCATATGAAGCCGAGACGAGACAGCTCACTCGGTCCGAGCCGGGATGCTGCGAGTGCGACGTGCTTCATTCCGTTAACCGAGTGAGGTATTTGATGTTACTTCGTGTGGGCGGCGCGTGTGGTGTAAGACATTGGTCTCCATATCACACAGACAGTCAGACAAAGACCATTTATTTAGCTAGGAAGCCAGCGCCTGGACGACGTGCCAAGAGCCTGTCTTACTATCCCATCCTGTCCCTAAGCTTTGTCCGATCATCAGCTGCAGATTCGACTTGAGATGGACCGGCCAGCGACCCGATGGCGTTGTGACGGCTGCTATCCCCCTGGCATTCGTGTCAGAAGTTGAGACGTCCCGTCCGTGACAGACACCGTAAGCACTATCACCGAGGAGCTACCCCCAGCGCTGTATCGCTGTATGATGCTGTACGATGTTCTATGAATACATCCAACAGCGACAATCCCATGTACTGCCACGATTGAGCCTGCGGTCATGGCCTGATTCTCGTTCGCGGCTCAACTCCACATTCCACCTCACCGGCGAATATGGCTGGCTAATCTCAACTGCCGCTCCTACAGTAGCTCCCCCCAGTTCCCAAAGCACCTCCCCTCCCACACCCCCATCCATTGCTGCCCATCTCAAATACCAACTCCACCACCGCCCGCAGCAGCCAGCCAGCCAGGCCGGCAACCGGAACTCCACACACTCGCACCACGCACTCCAACCCGTGGTGTTCTGCACCGTTGCACACACGTGGATAGGCTGTGCTGACGCGACTGTGGCGTGCGTGCCTGCCATCCGACCCGCGAACCGGTGGGAGATAATGAGATGCTGAGAGATGGCGATGTCAGAGATCGACCAACCCGCTCCAACCCGCTCATCTCAGGTGCGGCAGGCGCGATCCCAAAGCGGCCGAGACTTTCCGGTCCAGAACGCGCCAGCGTGTGTTGGCGCGGAAGGTGGAAGGGGGCGGGCGGACGGGCAACGTACAGGATGCATCTGCATATCCACCCGTTGTTCGATGTCCACTTAGTTAGTTTGCTGTGGCGGCATACGCTCCATACGTTGCCCATATGCTGGCCATACGCTGCTCATGGATTATGGATTACTATCCTGTGCTGGATGGATGGATGGAGTACTTGCTGCAGCTGCGGTACCTACCACTTCTTCTTCTTCGTCTTGGTGCTTGACTTGACATGATAGACGAGATCCCATCAAACCAATCTCGCCGCAACCCCGGCGTGCATATGGTGATCGATGGGACATGTCAGGTGGCTCGGCAGTGCTTCTGGCGATGTTTCATGTTAGGAAAGCATGCAAACAAACGCGGGTTTAGTATATTGCAGCAGTATGTACGGTATGTATGGCATATACGGTACTTACGGCAAGAAATCTAATATATATTAGGGCTCACAGTACATACAGCGGGTGCCCTTACTTACTCTATTTTCTCTGATGGGCAGCTGGCATGTTTGAGGTTATCCCGAGCCATCGACCACGACGACGATGGAGGCACCCGGATTCTCGACCTGGCGATGCCGCTCTACCGGCTCGGCTTCGCTCTCACAGGCAACCTTCCGACTTGGGATATTCGATCGCATTTCCTTTTTTCCATGCCGTCCACGTCCACTTTACAATTTTACTGACCATTTACTGTTCGCTGACTGGCCCTGTATGTACCGTGTTGTACTCTGGAAACCCCAGCTCCACTACGATCCCTGTCTGTAGTACTTTGTAGTACATCCATCCGTGGTTTGTCGCACTTTTTGTAACCAGAAAAGCACGCGCCATATCCATTATTGTAGTACTGTACTAATACCACTCTAGTGATATCTTCTAGTACTAACAACAGTAACAAACAGTAACAACTATCGCACCCACTAACCCTCCACATACCCCCCTAACCCATTATCCCATCCACATACCTCCTCCACACCACAACTAACACCTATCCTATCCTTGCCCCTCCTTGCTCTCCTCCCCCCTTCCCTTACCCCCCTTTTACCCCCCCCCTAACCCTTCCCCACCACCCTTGCTCTCCCCGGCTACTTTTGTTAACATCTCATGGAGATAGGCAGCGAAGTGGCGCCGAAACTGGGGCTTTTAATCGGCGCTTGTTACCTCCCCCCTTAACCCCCCCATACCCCCCCATACCTCCCCCCATACAGTACCATAGTATAGAAGAGTACTATGGTATGGTATGGGTATGGAGTATGGAGTATGGAGTATGGAGTACTACTACTACCCTCCTTCTACTCTCTCTCCTCTTTCTTCTAAACTAACTCTCTAGAGGAATGTGGACAGCGGGGTACTCCATACCTCCATACCAAATGCATACTACGTACGACCGATGAGTACTTCGTTCTGACATGCATACTCCATGTACATACTCTATACATATACATCATCATCCTTACTCCATACATATACCATGCATGTCCAAATAAGCCCTTTTCACCTGTCTTGTCTTTAAACTTACTATTCTTCCTCCCACCCACCAACAAACCGCCTTAAGTGGCCATTCCCTAACATCAAACCGACCGCTATCCCCGAAGCCTGGTTATTTCCATGCCACCACCGCCACCACCACCGTCATACTCCAACATCTAGCCATCAGCCAGCCTCGGCCACTACTCAATTCTTCCATCCCCCATCAATCCTTCACTCATATCTGATTCGTTAAGATATTCGTGGCTGCCTCTTCTTTCACATCCTCTTTATTTGCCTGTTACGCTGTTACAACATGCCTCTTAAGTGCCCGTCCATCGGCCCCGTGAATAATTGGTGGGGATTCAAAAGGCCCTACCCATATACCGTTGGCCATCTTTTAATAACCTGTCGCAGATACATAAAGTCTATACATACATATATCCTGCATATATACGTATACTATAACAACAACTCCCAGGTTTTTTTTTTGCCCTCGTGCCCGTTACATCAACGGCAACTTCGCCGCCGGTTCCTGGTCATCTCTTCCGGCGTGCACCCGACTTGGTGCGTGTGTGCACACATTTCTCTTCCAAGGCTTCTTCCTTGCCGGATATCCAAATACCCCGAGGGGCGACTTTTACCATTCCTTGACGTCGCACAATCCCGCCTTGGAAAAAAATCCTTCCTGAAAATTCTCTTCACCTAACAAAGCATCTGAAGCCAATTATTAGATTATTTTTTCTTCGGAAAAGTAATCCTTGCTTTTCGGACACTCTTTGTTGCTAGCCTTGCTTTCTGCGGCTTCTATTAACGGGAGTTCATTGAATCGCGGACCTCTAGCTCCCGAGAATTTCCCCACGTCCGGCGCGCGGGCTCGCTGCGGAAATTCTAAGAATTAAAGTATTGGCCTTTCATTGCTCCAAATCATTGGTGTGTTGATGCGACGAGGCTCACATATCCTCTTTCGTCGATCGTCGTCGTCGCTCTTCTGACGACTATCACCGTCGCCCCACCCGCCAACGCATTGAAGCATAGCATGGCCGCTCCAATGCATAACAACTACCCTCGGTCGCCCATGCAGTCCTCATATGATTCCTCCTCTGTGTCCTCCGCGGCGTCTCCGCAGGCCCAGCAATATGGCGGGGGTCTCGCAGGTCCATCGCCTCGATTGAGCGGGCAGCCTCCCCACCATATCATCCTCCCGCCTGCGAACTTCCACGCCCCATACCAGAATTCTTATCACCCAAACGCCGCGTCGCCCGGGCCGCAGGGGATGGATTCAATTGCCTCGACCGGGTCGTCGAGCGGCACACCAGGTCTGCCATCGGCGCAGATTAATGCTAATTTCCAAGCTCAGAAGAGAGCGTATCGGCAACGAAGGAAGGATCCCAGCTGCGACGCATGTCGAGAGAGGAAGGTCAAGTGTGACGCTACGGAGACGACGAGCTGCTCCGAATGCTCGAGCCGGAATGTGAAGTGCCAGTTCACGAAGGAGACGAATAGGAGGATGTCATCTATCAAGCAGGTTCAGGATCTGGAGAAGCAAATATCGCAGGTGAAAAGGGAGAATTCGCATTTGCGCTCGCTCATGAATATACGGGAGGGTCAGACGGATGTGGATCAGGATGAGTTGACTCCTACAGCATTGCTGCTCCCTGAAGTTGGGTCGCATCCAAAGAGCAGGAAACAGGCGCCCCCTCCACCGGATCTCTCCAGAGTGAGAACGAATCTACGGAACTATGGAAGGGGCATATTTAAACCACCTGCGCCGTATAGACAAATTGGTTCCCAGGCACACTTCAACCCGGAAAGGCCACCGTTGCCTGCCAGGCATGTTGCAGATCACCTTCTGGAATCCTATTATGCCTCGGTTCATACCGTCATTCCCCTCTTGCATTGGCCGACGTTTAGGCAAGAGTATGAGGACGCCTACCGAATTGGTACGTTGGAACGGACACCGACGGCATGGGTCTCACTATTCTTCTCAGTGCTCGCCGTTGGTGTTGTCTTCAGCACAGAGCCTAGCATTCAACGGCCTCACAAGGGAAAGGAGTATATCGAGATGTCACGAATGCTGACCGATCTATGGAACGACGAGTTTACCATCGACCATGCCAAGGGAGCACTATTAACAAGCATCTTCCTCACAGAAGTGAATCTCAAGTCCGCAGCATGGACATGGCTAGGAGTCGCCACCAGAATAGCGCAAGACATCGGTCTACACATGAACACAGGACCATGGCCTCTCATCGAGGGCGAGATGAGAAGGAGAGTATGGTGGTCGATATACGCCTGGGATCGACTCCTCTCCGTCGAAATGGGCCGCCCCCTCCTCATCGAAGACGCTGACTGCGACGTCGCCCTACCAGCAGCAATCGACGACCACTACATCCGCGACGACGGCATGCACGCCCCCAACGGCGCAAACCCGCACACCCACCTCCTCCTCCCCACCATCCACGTCGTCCGCAGCATCTCCCAGCTCCGCAAAACCATCAAGAGTCCCACCATCGCCCTCACCACCCTCGCAACATTCGATACCCACTTCCGCGCCTGCCTCTCTGCTTTCCCGGCCCCTTTCAGCCTCGAGTCCCGCGAACCCCTCGATCCGTGTTCGCTCTCTCCTATCATCTATCTAATGAATACACGCATAATCCTACACCGCCACAATCTCTCCACTTCCTGCGCCCCTGACATCCGCACAAACGCAATAGAACAATGCCTCCGCATCGCCCTCGACACGACCCACCTCCTCGCCCGCGCCAGTGCCCCAACCCGCTCCCCAAACCCGCCTTACCACACCCAACCCTCCCTCCTCGGCGCGACAGCCAGCACGATGCTCACAACGCACATCTGGCGCTGCACCCTCGTCCTCCTCTTCTGCGCACACTTCGACGCCGCACTAACCTGCGTCCGCATATCCGCCTCCATCGGCCGAAACCGCGACGCCAACATAGCATGCGGCCGCAACCTCGTCTTCTTCCTCACCACGCTGCTCGAGCGGCGCCGCGCAGGCGCACGACCGCGCGACATGGCTGATGAGGAAATCGTTGCCTACGTCAGCGGCGACATCCAAGCCACCACAGACGGTGGCTGGGTCTGGCAGGGTAGCGAAACGGGGATGGCCTTAAACTCCCGCGCTACGGCTGGATTCCCCGGCGACGACAGGGAGGGCGTGTTTAACGGGACCATGAAGGGGAGTCTCACGGACAGCGAGATGAATGACTGGGGTGGCTGGGAGAGAGTGGAGTACCTCGTCGGCATACTCGCGCGGGACGATGATGAGAGGGATCGTTTCCCCCCGCAGGCTGGAACGGGGGCAGCGTATACTTCTCCGGCTGGGCCGCGGAGGGATGAGAGGGAGGTGCAGAGGACGACGACGGACCGAATCAGCATCGCTAATATCATATGAGCGAGCGATGCGCGCGACACATACAGTGGAGGCGCAGCAGCGGCAGCTGCCCTGCTCCTTCCATGGCGCGGAGGGGTGGTAGTGTTGCACCGCCGGGATTCTGGCCTGACTGACAGTTATGGAGCTCCGAGACACGCGGCGAAGGGCGCTCTTGTGAGACAATGCGGGTTGCCGCTGAAGGATGCGGGTGCTTGCGTAGGGGGTGAGGGGTAACGGCAGATACGCGGATGGGGAGGGGTGAGGGATTTTCTTTTGTTGGATACGGATGAGAACATGAATGTTGAAGAATTTATGCAGGGATGAGACGGCAGGCGACTGCTGGGATGGAGATGGAGATGTATATACGGAGACTCTGATGGCATACAAGATGAGAAGATGACGGTTAAAGGAGCCGCGGGGGATACACGGTATTCATAGAGAGAAGCGTTTCGGCTTTTTGCCTTTTGGGGGGTGGAACTTAATTGGGAGGGGGTTTGGTGGATGTGTGCGCAGTTTATACCCAGGAAATTTTATGACTTGTTTGCTTCGTTCGTATACCGTTTTTGTCATATTTTCGTGGAAAGGTTCAGCTGCAGTGAGTAGTGATATATCTGCATGCCAAGGGATATGTGGAAGTGATGGTACCCTACGCGGATATGATGCTTGATGGGCGAGTGAAAATGTCTCAGTGTCCTGCAAATTTGCCAGCGATGCAGATGGTACCTCTGAGGCAATTATTAGTCAATATGCTTCTTGTTTCAATAATGCTGCCAGCTAGTGTGTGAGGAGTGTTTATAATATATACAGTACGTGTACAGAAACGACAGCGCAAAAACCAGGTATGCCAACCCTTTCCCAAGACCCCATTCCCCCAAAAAAACCCCATATCAAAACATCAAGCCTGCGGTCGTCGTGGCGCTTGTCCGTCTTCAATCATACAAATCCACCCGCCCCATCTACTCCCCTCTCTCTCACCATCTAATTCCCCACCGTCGAACAACACGGCGCCAACGACCCCTCCGGCTCCTTATTCCTCCCCCCCAACAACCAATCCGTCAACCCCACCACCCTCGCCCCAACCCCCTTCTCCCAATTCCCCCCCTCCTGCACATGCTCAATAACATGCTTCACAATCCTCCCCTCTTCATCAAACTGAAAAATAAACAACCCCGTAAACTCATCCTCCGCCCTCGTTGCAACCTTGTCCCCTCCCCCGATCTTCTTGCCAATCGTTCGCCATCGCACGACCAGCTGCTCGCGCGGGGCTACGCTGGTAGGATCGAATCCCGCGGGGCTGGGGGACTTCACCATTCGCTCGGACAGGATCTCGAGACGCACGTTGCCGATTATGGGAACACGGCCCCAGGCGATGGGGGACGTCCAGACGGCGGCGATGTAGGCGACGCGGCCGTGGACGGCGGGGAGGTGGGGGTGGGTCGAGGGGAAGAGGTGGAGTGTTATTTGGGGGGAGAGGATGGCAGTTGGGAGGGGCGTGAGGAGGAGGGAGGGGAGGAGGGGTTGGAGTGTGCGTAGGGCTGCGAGGAGAGGTTAGCGATTGTACACAGTTGAGGGAGTGAGGGATGGGGATGCAACGTACTCTTGCCTAGCTTGAGGGTGCGCTCATCGGGGGGCTTGTAGTCTTTTCCGCCGCCTTCGGGCTGAGGAAGTGGGTATGAACCCGAGAATGGTGTTGTGGGTGTTATGGACGGTGTTACGACGGCGGCATAGTTGCGCGCGCAGACTTGCTGGGCAGATAAGGATGACGGTCTAAGGAGCTGTAGGTTGCGAAGAGCGGGGCCGTTGCGACGGAGCACAACGCGCGTGGAAGACATCAGCCTGGCGTTCGATTGAAGCCTATGCTAGACATAGAGCCATTGAAAGTGATGGTGGTTATCGCATGAGTACAGATATTTGTTGTGCTGAGGATAGAAGCTTCGTGGTGGAGGGAGACCTTGGGGGAGGAGCAGGATTTCGCTAATCGCTATCATAGAGCCGCCACTAAACCAAACTGCGGAATAAAGGCGTCATAACATTTGGATTGCTGTAATGCGCTTTATCTACAAGAATGAATACAAACTGTATAAATTAGTTACATTCATATTCAATATATCTCGCATTCACTCATGTTTACATCGGTTTGTTTACATTTATTCGCCGTTGGCACAGCCCCCCAAACTTTTCCCGTGATGACGCAGCTTTGATGATACCGGCGCTAAATGGAGATAACACTCGCTTAGACTGCCCCATTTGTCGTGTGTCCCCTGTCAGCGCGCCTCTTAAACGACTCCTCGCGCGGCAGACAGACCAGTCTGTCTTTCTGGTAAGCCTCCGCCTCCTCCATCTCTCCATCTCCAGACCCAGACCACAGAATCTGTTGCTGCCTTCAACCCACTTTCCGCAACTTCACAACAAAGACAACTTCTTCCGCAGACGCCTTTACGTCCTTCCATACAACCCCATTTTATTATCTTCTGCAAATAATCCGCCATCATGAATCCAGAGTAGTACGTTCAGCTCCACCCTCCAGCCCTGCCTGATTCCAGACTCGGCCATATAAAGATTATTGGAACCGTTCGACTGACTTTTGTTCGCACCATAGTGTATACACCACTCCCTATTACAACCATCTCAGCATCACAATCGTAGCAAGATGGCGACAACTGCTAGACCCTGGGCATATCGTCCCCAACATACGGAGGCTGACGTGGATCCTTCCAGATACGATTACCTCTTCAAGCTCCTCCTTATCGGAGACTCTGGTGTTGGAAAGTCCTGTTTACTCCTGCGATTCGCAGACGACACCTACACTGAGTCCTACATCTCCACCATCGGTGTTGACTTCGTACGTTGCTACATGCCGAGGCTCTTGAAACGGTGGCTGACGAACGACAGAAAATCAGGACGATTGAGTTAGATGGCAAGACCGTGAAGCTACAGATTGTATGACCCCTCGCAGGCACCCCACCAAATATACAGGCAACCGGGCGCTAACATAATGATACAGTGGGATACCGCGGGCCAAGAGCGTTTCAGGACCATCACATCTTCCTATTACCGTGGCGCACACGGCATCTGCGTCGTCTACGATGTCACCGATATGGATTCCTTCAACAACGTTAAGCAGTGGCTGCAGGAGATTGACAGATACGCCACAGAGGGTGTCAACAAGCTCCTTGTAGGCAACAAGAGCGATATGTCGGACAAGAAGGTCGTCGAGTACACAGTTGCCAAGGTATGAAGCCTCCAGGTGACGCTGTCACATGACAGTCCCTGCACACTGTGGTCATCTGCCACAGACCCCGATTAGAACAAAGAGTCAACTAACATCTGGCCCCCAGGAATTCGCCGACTCACTGGGCATCCCCTTCCTCGAGACCTCCGCCAAGAACGCCAGCAACGTCGAGCAAGCCTTCCTCACAATGGCCCGCCAGATCAAGGAGCGCATGGGCACGACGACCGCGAACAACAAGCCTACCGTGCAAGTCACCGGCGGGCAAGGAGTACAGTCAGGGTCCGCTGGCGGCTGCTGTTAAATACTTCTTCTCGACGCGTTACATACATTCATCGGCCCCTGCAGACTTGTTTACACCATGGAATTTCCAGTTTTTTTCGTCGTCTCGCATTAGAATCGCGTTCGTGTCCGACCCCGCATCGACGCAACCCCGGATCAGGCTACCTTAATAATGGATGACGAGACGGGAGGAGAGGGCCAGGTTGATTTCGCCCATGAATGTGGCTTTCCGCAGTTAGTCCCACGGCGATGCTTGACTTTTCTTTGTCTCCCGAAGGGCTTTGTTTTCAGGGATGGGTAGAGGAGAGCTGGATTGTGCAATAGGCGTGGATAGGGGATCTTTTTTCCTGATTTTTGATGTGGTACATGCCCCCCCCCTTTTTTTGTTCCCTGGCAGAGCTGCGTTGTTGTTTTGTTAGGTTGCGCCTGGTTTTCCTTTTTTTTTTCGACCGGTTCCTTAGTTTCCCGATAGGCAAGAATGGGAGACTGGTGAATACTTTGCTTTGACTACTCGTTTTTTTGTGACTAGACTGTATGTGATAGACAAGCGGTGGCTGCCTGTTTTACTTCAGGGACTGGGACAACTCGTGATTCCCACGTTTACAGGGGTTGATCTAGGTAACTCACCTATTATGTGGGGGGTGCCTAATGCAAGTCAGACGCTGGGTTTAATGCGCATGTGTTTGATATAGCGCCGTAGTCGATGCAAGCACGCTGGCGGAGTGACGGAGACTTCAGGATTCAAGTTAAGGAAATGTGTGTGGTATGTTCTCGGCTGAAGGACTTGAACATTTTTGGCTCAACTTCGCAAGTGGGCGGATGAAGCTTTGGGAACGTCTAATGCGTGAGACTTTCTCATATATCACACCTATCTTATCTCGGGTTCGCCGACCACAAGGAAACAAACAAATATGCACCCGTCACGATTCTCGCCGCCGATACACTCTTCTCACCGCACCCTTCTCGGTCGCCGCACTCTTCTCACCGTACTCTTCTCACCACCACCGCCTTCTCAGTACCGCGCCTACTTTCGCAATGTGGAAGAGAATAAGGTTATAGGAGCTAAACATTATGATTCCAACTTGCTCGGATAAAATCCCGTGGCGATGCTTCGTGTTTTTTGGTTCAAGATGATGTGTTAACTGTCTTCCCAAACAGATAGCTATAATAGACTTCAAATAGTAAGACTAAGGCGAAAAGTCGAGATCTGTAGTTGTTACAATGCAAGAGAGATGGATAGACACATCACACTTTCTTAAAATCCCCCACAAACCACCAACAAACAAACTTATGAGTGAGCTCGTAGATATCAAATCCATTTCATTACTTTCTATCGGTTTGGTCATCAATATTCTTGCTCGCTCGCATCATACAGGTATCCAGTCTCATCCAATAACCCAGACAATGTCATCATGCGTATAATAAGCAACCCCATTCCACGCCCCAACTCCATCCCTCGCCATCGATGAGACGGTTCGCACATTACATATCCTCATCATCATCTCCCCTCAGCCTTTTCTCAGCCACTTCCCGGATCTTCTCTCCCAACACCCTCCTCTCATATCTCTCCGCGACCTTCACCGCGGCCTCCATCATCCTCCCCGTCTGATCCTTCATCAACCCCACCAACTCAAGCGCCTTCATGCCCCTCTCCTCACCCTCCCTACACTCCACCGCCAACAACTGCAACAGCGTCTTATCAACCTCCACATCCCGCCTCGCCAGCTCAGTGCGCTGTGAATGCGTTGAATGAGTTGCTTCCAGCAGATCACCCAACAAGCTCGAGAGGAGGTTGTTCCTCACAAACGCCTCCTCAAGCTTATCCTTCTCTGTTTGCCCGTTCGCTACCTCCTCATCTTCCTCATTCACGACGCGCGACGAGATCGGGATGGCGAAGTCGAACTCGGAAAGCAGTGGCTTGGGGAAGTACGGATGCTTATCCTGGCCCTTAAGAATGATACAGTGGAACTTCCCATCCGCGACAGCCACAGGCCAGTAGCTCTCCGTCTTTCGGCCCGACGCGAGACGAGCAAGCAGCTTGGTGTCGAGGAGAGGCACCCAGCGACCTTGCGAGGGTGTGCGCCAGTGGACCAGGGTAAGAAGCGTGCCGGTGGAGTCATAGATGCATGGGTCGCCAGAGTCGGAGAAGAAGACTGATTTAACGGTTGCCCCTGGGGGCAGGGCTACCACATCCTCAGACTGGCAGGTTTCGTCGCGCTTGACGTTGTCAATGCTGTAGAGTAGAGTAGTGCTGCCATCAGCGCCGACGGGGCCATTGCCCATTGTCAGGACGTAGTCGCGCCAGGAGGCGCAGGTGACTGCTGGGGAGGACTTCTGGCGGTAGACGCGGTAGGGGGTTAGGAAGAGGGTGAAAACGCGGATGTAGTTTGCGGATGTTGTGACAGTGATGAAGGATTCGGAGAGAGAGATAGCGGTGATGCTCTCGCCTTTGGGGAGGGTGGTGCGCCAGTCTGAGCGCTCTGTCCAGGTTTCATGGGGGCGGTAGAAGAGGGTTGCGTCGACATCGTCGTGGGGTTGTGCTGAGAAGAGCGTACCGTGGGTGGAGAGGCACGCTTTGTCGTAGAGGAATGTGTCGGTGAAGTGAAAGTCGCGCTGGAAGTCGCGGTCATAGAACTCGACGGTCACGGTGTGGTGGGTGTCTTGGTTGACAGTCCAGACGAACCCGAGGAGGTTAAGGCAGAGGTATTTGCGGTCGCCCTGCCAGGGCGTAGCTCCTGGTTGAAATGCAGCGTGTGTGCGAGGTTGCCAAATGGAACTGATGGCTTGACGCTTGTCCCAGTGGGCATCGTCGTCCAGTATACCCGCTGGCCGTTTACCATTGTAGTTCAGCCCAGAGGCGTACCCAGCTCCGTCATCGTCTTCTATAAAGTCATCGTCGCCGCCCATCACAGAACCGAGAATGTCATCGACAGTATCCGGTGTCCCTCCGCGGAAAGGGCGGAGTGGCATGTCCGTTTTGGAGTGGCCATTTTGCCTCTGGATATTTGCTGAAATCTCCCCTAGGCGTGGAGCACCAGTACGTTCTCCTGGCGAAGGTTGGAGTCCGAGTTCCAGGAGACCAGCATGCTCTTCGGGTACAATATCATAATGGATATAAATCTCACCATCGGTGTTGGAGAATGAGAGTAGATTATGCCGCGGGTGCCATGCCAAATCCATGACGTTGGCATAATCATGCCTGGCGATTACTTTCTGGGTTTTAGTGTTCCAGAGCAGAATCGTTCTGTCCTTTCCAGCAGTAGCAAGTATGGATCCGTTCGGTGACCAAGCCAAAGCTGTGACGTCTCCCATATGTCCATTCGTGAATGTCCCTTGCACTTTCCAGTCGCTTGTCGAAACTATCTGGATATCTCTTGTGGCTGTAGGCGCAGCAAATGCTGTGCCATTGGGGTGCCATGCAACCCTCGAGCTGATTTCAGAGTCCGTGTCAACGTTGCGAATAACACCGTCGATTTTCGTAACAAGTTCCGGCTCCTCGGTCGATAGCTTGTAAATATAGACTACTCCATCCGTACATGACAGTCCAATGTATTTTCCACTGGGGTGATATGACAAATGCTTGACGGGTTTCCCTTGGTCTCTCAAATAGATGCAGGTATTCGGGTCCGAGACCTTCACAATCTTCACGGTGAGCTCGTCACTTGCCACTGCAACCCAGCTTTGGTCGGGAGAGAGTTTGACATCTCGGATTGGCAATGTGCACCGGACGAGGAATTTATCGAAGGCGTTGGTGAGCATAGAGTACATGCTAACTGTCCCATCTTCAGAGCCGGCTATGAAGAAGTCTTTCTGCACAAATAATCAGTATAGTTCGCTCCAGAAGCAATAATATCAACCTACCGCCGCAGTAACACCCAGGTTCTGCTCCTGGCAATCATCAATGTTCGTAGGTTCGCCATCGCTCATATACGTGTAGATGCGGATAGTATTGTTGCTTCCCACGGTAACCAATTTGCTCCCATCAGGGGTATATGTACAATATGTCGGTCCCTCCGTATGCGCTGGGCGCCCACGAAGTTTAATTTGCCCAGCAGTAGCCATTTTCTTCAGTGTTGTCGGAAAATAACCGTCGGCGCATGGAAGTGGTGATGTTGAGAATGGGAGACGCGGGACTATTTCGCGGTGGACGCGACGCGACAAAAGACCACTTACACAGGTCGGACCCCTGTCGGTTCTCCAATCGGACCCAACCCCACTTCAGTTGCTACCCCTCGCATTTGGGATCTGACTCCAGATTCAACCACAACCAAATCCACAGACTTCAAGATGTCTCGCTCCACGGATCCTGGCCATTTCTTCCAATCCGAAGCTTCGGAGGCCATCCGCGCGCGCCGGGCTGCAAAGTCCGGTAACAAGAATGGCGATCCTATCAAGCTGACATCTAAGATCTTGGATGTGGTTGTAGACCCGTTATCGCCGACATGTTTGTTTGTGGCAGAGAGTGCTGGGTGTATCAGAAAAATCAACGTTGAAGTAGGTGAGCCAACCCATCTCAAAGTAACATGGATTTGAACAAAGCTGACTATGGGCACTATAGTCTAAAGATACAAAGATTGTTTATCGCGGTCCAACTGCCCCTCTCACCTCAGTGGCTATCGGTGGGCACAATGGTCAAACAGTATTCGCGGGGTGCTGGGACAAAGATGTATGGAGCTGGGACCGGGAAACTACGGCCGTAGGCAAGAGATACAAGGGACACTCAGATTTCGTGAAGACCGTTGTCTGCGTGAATATATCAGGCAAAGATGTATGTTCCGAACCCCCCCTTGCCTACGCTTCGAAACACGGGGCTGTACTGACCAGACGGACTACAGTGCTTGATTAGTGGAGGAGCAGACAAGAAGATCATCGTCTGGGATACTGCCACTGGGCAACGGTTGTACACTATACGAGACAAGATGGATACCCTCCTTGCCATCCAGCATATAGCGGTGGATCCGATTGACTCGACTGCCGATGAAATTATATTTGCAACGTCCAGCAGCGACCCAAAAATCCGCAGATGGCGGGCTACTCTGACTGAAGGAGAGCAGATACTAGAAGATGCGGACAAAGATGCACCAGTAGTTTCGAAGACAGACGGCATTAACGAGCACGAAACTAGCGTATACAGGCTGCTGTTCGATTCCGATTACGGCGACTTATGGTCAGCAAGCGCTGATGGCAATGCAAAATGCTTATCAAGAAGCCGTGCTTGGGCAACAGAGGAAACATTTGAACAGGGAGACTACGTCCGCTCTGTTGCCCTTACTCCGGATTGGGTTATAACAGCTGGTCGAAATGAGGATGTTAAGGTTTGGGACCGTAATACTGGCAAGCTTCACCACATATATGATGGTCATTTCGAGGAAGTTACTGGGCTGGCAATGATGAAGGATGGAAGGGAAGTCATCAGTGTGAGTATTGATGGTACGGTGCGTACATGGCCACTAGACAAGGCCTCCCTTCAAACGGCGATAAAGGAGAAAGAAGAAAAGGACAAGGGGGTTGTCAAGGAAGTTGAACCAGTGGTTGCAAAAGGCTTGATGACGGCAGACGAAGAAGCCGAGCTGGCTGAACTTATGGACGATAGTGATTGAATATCATTCTATGATTATACACCTCGTCTGTCCTTGCTCCCAATGGTGGGTTTATCTTATATGATTCTGTCTCAACCAAACAAAATTGGTAGATAGTAAAATGTGCAAGTGCAAGTGCAAGTCTTTTAATTCCTCGGCTGGGAATTGCGTCTGTATGTTTGTAGGAAATTCACTCCTGTCCCAACCCGGTGTCAAACTTTCCATTGCCAGCCTCTGCCTCCTTTAAGATTTCACAACCGCCAACTGCATTTATCTCTAAGTATTAACAACAACCCCACAAACAATTTTCCGCTAATAGATACCCATCTTCACAATATTTGGCCGCTTATCAGTGCTATTTCACTGAACCTTTGTTACAACCCTCGGCCAGTGATTTCCTTTTTCCACCTTCAACGCATCTTCCTTTCTTCCTTGCTCAACACACTTCAAATCTAATTCAGAACACAAAGATCAACACTTTCTCTGCAGAGTCATGGCTGCCCCAATGGTGGACGACTTCATGATAAACAAAAAGCCTTTGGTAAAACGACATGTTCTGAAGTCAGAGATCCGCCGAGTTGACTTTCACCCACTGGAGGAAGAACCCGAAGTAGAATCTTCAGACCATTCCACCATGGCAGACTTTCCGCAACGAGACGAAACGGGTTTCATGAACGATTTCGACTATGACGTGGAAGATCGCACTGTGAAGCAGATCATCGCTCTGGGCTGTGATGTTTCTGTGAGCAAGAAAGTTGTTGCTGATACCCTGGATCGAATCGAGAGTCTCGGATATCACCCAGATCAGCCTGGCCGAACTGCCAGAGTTGAAGTCTTGTAAGTGGTTATCTGGGTTTCAGTCCTATGGTTGAAGACTGATCTGACTCTGACCCAGCTATTTCGTTTCACATGTCATGCAATCACACTCGAGGCAGATGTTGATCCAGCAGGCCTCTAATCCATTCAAGAACCCCAGATATATGGCCACCGTCGTAACTCGCCTTCTGGAAATCTATCTTGCTGGGAACCCCGATATCCGCTTCCTCATCATCACTTACCCCATGCATCATCTGTCTCTCATGCTGTCTCTGCGCGATCACATTGGATCAGACGTCTTCAAGGTCGTCACCATAGTCCCCGCAGCTCCATTCGCCCAACGGTCATCCAGTCTTGGTGAAGGAGGGGAGGATTTCACTCATGGACGGCAATCCCCTACTATATACGACTTTGACAGGACTACTTCCGAACCAGTCAATCTGTTCTTCACTCCCGACGAACCAAGCGAGAGTATTGGAAAGCCCGACTTTGTGCTTTATACAACATCACCCTTTGACACAGTCGAGCGCGTCCCGATTCGCATGGACTTACTCATTCAAGAGATCGAAGAGTTCGTCAACCCTCCGGAAGACCCTTTCCCTATCACGGGACCCCGTCCAGCAGTTGCGTGGACCTCGGAGCCCACAGGTCTGCCACACCCTCTCGCCAATATCACGAGAGCAGGCATCGATACGCCGCTAGAGCCCATTGACCTCGACGCCGCTGTGAGATACCAGACTTCCAAGTTGATGGCGAAGTACCAGTATCAGCGCCTTAAACGTTATCCAGGCGCCCCTCCACGTGAATCGGAGGTGGTTAATGCGCAGTGGGAACACACATACAAGAAGGTTTACAAGGCTTTCCGAAAGATCAAGCTTGGTAAAGATAAACCTGACCTTGCTGGCGCATCCATAAACCCAAGTGATGATGAAAAGGCAGATGATGAAGGTGACCCAGAGAACTCTGAGGATGAGTCGGACGATGAGAGCATCACATCTATTCCCATAACTCCAATCAAGGACAACACGAGCATCAAATCTATCCCCATAACGCCTACCAAAGACGACACGAGCGTAACGGAAGTCAACGAAGACCCCTTCCAAGACGGTCCAGAGGAGGACGATGCGAGTACTGGAACTGTCGAACGTCACCCCATCCACTCTGAAGAGGAGCTATTCTCGGCCGAAGGAAGTTCTCCCCAAGGTTCCTTGAAGAAGAAGGTCTCTTTCTCGCCCCTCTCCATGTCATACTCATTTGAGAAGAAGTCAAGTGATAGATCATCGGGGTTCTGGGCTCAGTACGCTGAGGACCACCTTTGATGGGGGATGCACGTTGCAACATCAATAGGATGGTTCATTTTTTATGATTGTACAATTTACTGAATTACAGACACGAAACGAAGGGATTGCTTGCATGCACATTTTTTTCCGGGGGATACCAAAAACATAATCTTTTGAAATCAAGATCAGATGAGAAGATGGATAATTTGCGTTTCTTCTGATCGATTTACTGGGTTTTTTTTGCAGACAGGCGGAAAGACCTTCAGAAAAGGCGGACAGATGCTTCTTTACGGTGACTCAACGGGTCGCGAGACGATATGGGAATGAGGATGAGAATGGATAGTTGATGATCACACGAGGGTTTTCACACCACCAAATATACCGAACCAAGTCTGTTGTATGAGTAACTACAATAAATAAAAAGTCCACTCCACAATATCCTTCTATGCCTTATTCGTGTGCCACCTGTGATCCCAAGCCATTATTATTTTATAACGAATCCCCTTTGTTAAAACCAATCCGCCGGGAGACGGGTCGGTCCTTCGCGGAGTTAAAATCAAGGTGGACTGGGTGGAGGCAAGGAAATCTGTAGATAAACCAAACGTCGAGGCTCACGGGATGTTTAAGGTTGGGGTACTTTGAGAAGTATTCATGGAGGGTTAGCAGTACAGGAGGGGAGGTGGACCGTTGGATGGCGCTTCAGACCATTTCGAGATTCGGTGGTTGGGGAGTGGAGTGGTGACGGAATATGCACAGTGACAGTATCACAGCGACAGTGACAGCATACGAAGTGAGAGCAATACACAGTGACAGCATACCAACAGCGACAGCAACAGCACCCCCACCCAAGCCCCCTTCCTCATCAAATCCTTCAACATCCCCCCGGCAGAGCTTACACATACGAAACGGAGCCACCATAGTTTTGTTCTTAAGGTTGGTAATGGTTGATTTTCTAAGTTGATGATTGCTGTGAGGAGATAATTTATATTGAGAAGGATTTATTTCCCCTTTTTGAGGGGGTTAAATTCAATTTTCGTGACTTAGCCCCATTTTCCGGCTTCGGTCGCACTTAACACCCTCCTTCGAGGTATTAAGAGTTGGAGCTGGGATCCTATTATATCACTCGAGATGTTGCTGAATAATCGCTGCCTTCTGATTCTGGCGACTGATCCTGGCTTTGCTTCATCGTTAACAAGCCCTCTTAAAGCAGGTTTACATCTACAACTATGAGGGGACTAGTTATCACAACAAGCACCACAATTCACTTCAACATCACACAAACACCCATCAAGCACTCAAGCACACACGAAAGATTCCGAATAACGGACTTGTATTCGAATGTATATCACGCACACACTCCTCCCCCCTCCCAGCCGGCTATCCATCCAGCCATCCGTTCTGTTCTGTTCAACCATGAGCTCCCCTGTAACTCACATACAATTACACCTCTCCCCCTTCCCCCTCCATTCCCAAACCCAAACGCTACAAACGCACAAATTAACCACCCCAATCCTAATATACTCGAGGCATCTACACCGCCCCCCAAAGAATCGAAGAAAAAGAATGAGCAGCAAAAAACCCCCATCAAAAAGCCGACAAGCCCTCCTCCATCGAAGTGGCTGCAACTGTAACTGTCCCGCGCCGCGCAGGTATAATAAATATTTGTACAACGCCTTCCCTCCCAATTTCCACATCCCAAGCATCACTCGTCGTCATCACTCCCTATTCCTACACCCCCCCACCCTCCTCCTCCCCTCATGTACAGAAACAGGACAAGGTTAAACTTGTCCCTGCCTCGCAGCCCTCTGCAGGTTCCGCATAAGCGTCTCCATCATCCCCGCCGAATCGGTGTCCATTTCTGGGATCTCACCCATCTGTACACCATCCATCGCCCCAGCAGCAGCACTGTCTGGGATTTTAGTCTCCAACGCAACAGGGGCGCCAGTGAAGCTGTTGGATTTAGTCTCCACCACCTGCTGGGGTGGTAAACTCAACACCGGACCACCGTGCGCCATTGCAACTGGTGTAGCAACAGCAGCTACACCCCCCTTCCTCCCCACCACCCCAACAGCATGATAAGTATCCGAATAAAAGCTCTTAACAGGCTTACTATAACTCTGCGAGAAATTCTGCACCGGCGGCGGTACATTCTCAACCGCAGCAGCGTTCACCTGCGGCTGCAACGCCAGCTGCGTGAGCGGAGAAGACTGCGGTCGCGAGGGGGGGCGGGAGTAATATTGTGCTGCGGGACTCATGTGTACTGACCCCGACTGCTGCTGCTGTTGCGGCGGTGGTGGTGGGGGAGTCGCGACGTGGGTCATCTGCTGCTGGGGCTGGTGGAGGTGTGCGTTCCACTGCCCCGCTGCAGGAGATTCTGCCTGTTGCTGAGGTTGTAGTTGCGGCGTCTGAGGCTGCACTTGAGGCCTCTGATACCCCGGCGGCAAAATTGGACTCTCCCTCCTCACCATCCCCACTGCACTCCCCCCACCCTGGTACCCCTGCACCACCCCCCCACCATTCGCATACTCCGCCCTAATAGCCGGATGCAACCCCCCCGCCTCCTTCTTCTCCCACTGCCCCCCCGCCATCGTCGGCTTCGTAATCTGCGGCTGCAGCATCTGCTGCTGCTTCAGCGCGTTCGACGTGGCGGCGGTGGCGGCGGCGGCAGCGGCGCCGTTGGGGTAGTAACTCGCAGCTGGGGAACTGTAGGGTTCTCTCGCCGGCGGGAGGATGGCTGGGTAGGTTTTCCTGGGCGTCTCGGCAGTCGCGGTCGTGGTTTTGGGTTGTGATGATAGCTGCCCGCTGCTGGCTTGCATCATATGCTGAGATAGCAACCTCGGATCCTTGCGCATCTGAGCCTCCATATGTTTCCTAAAGTCCCCCTCGTAGCCGTTGCAGAAGCCCAACATGTCCTGCCGGTACGGGGAGCGGTAGGTGCCTGGTGCTTTGTTGTGCTGTTTCTGGAGGTATGGGTATTTCTGGAAGACATCGTTGAATTTGAAGGCGCTTGAACTTGAGGATCGGTGGCCGTGGGATTTCGCGGTAGGTTTTTGGACGGAGCTTTCGTTATGGGTTTGCTTCGCCTGCATGGCCTGGGGATGGGAATGTGAATGCGGGGCGAGCGGTGTATGGTTATTGCCCTGTTGTAGAGGATTGGGAGCACTGAAATTATTGTAATGGTTCTGCGCGACCGGTCCTCGCGGTTGAGCCGGCGCGACATATGGACTCTGTGCCCTATTATCCGCAGGCCTCCATCGTGAATCCGTTCCATAAGGATATGGCTGCGACTGCTGCCGGTATTGCTGGGAAGGATCTTGTGTATAGGACAGCTGCGAATTGTTAACCTGTCGATCTGCATAGTACTGTTCGGCCTTGGGCTTATATACGTATGGTTTATCCGATTTAACAGATACCTGTTGCGGCTGCGAATAGGAAGGCGGTAGAATGGGCTTGTAAGATGTCGTCGGCGGCCTTGGAGGCGCCGGTCTGGAGGGATTGATAGCGCGCCCACTCGGCCGAGGGTAAGAGGCTGGATATGAAGCCCGCGGTGCTGGGGGTGGCTTGGGAATGGTCTCGAGGAAGTTGCATCTGGTATCGTAGACTGGTTTTGTCCAATCCGCTGTATACTGTGCTTTGGCTTCCGTCGAGGTCTTGCCCATATAATACATAACCTGCCTCTCCTTCGATAGGTCGACCTTGACCTGAGCCGGGTTCCTAGGTGTGTTAAAGGAGTTGAACTCTGCCCAAGTGGCGCCTTCGACAAAGGCGTCGTCTTTTCTTGGTAGGTCATCGGCGTGGCGTTTGGTTGTGACGAGGGCATCCTTCGCGTGTCGTGATCTTGGCATCGGGATTGCCTTGTCGGAGGGTTTAGGTAGATGGAAGTCGGTAGGATCTGGTAGCAGAATATACTTATACTGAACTTCGAACCGATCACTGTTATGTATTAGCCACGGCCCACCCGCTTTCACACCACGCAATCGGAATACATACCCAGAAGGCAAGATATCAACAAGCAGCACCTCTTCGCTCGTCCTATTCTCCACCACAACACCCGCAAAGATCTCCTTCCTCAAGAACTGAAACTGGCAGATCTCCCCCTCCTTCACCGCCATCGCCGCCCGACTAATATCCTCATCCTCCTCCAACGCATACTCATCCAGCTTCTTATCCCTCTTCGCGCGATGGAAGCGACAACTAAACTCAATACCCTGCTGCTTGTACTCCGTCCCATCCTCGCCAAACACCGGGATCTCCCCCGTCTCGACAAACATGCCCGCAGCCGCCGCGCACGTGGCGTGGTACGACCGAGTGCACTTCCGCTGCGAGCATTGGATCTTGGCGCCCTTCCGGCTGTGGCAGAACATGCACTTGAGATCGAGGCGGTCCTTTCCGATCGCGGAGACGTTGTAGACGATGCCTTCGTCGATGTCGGTTTCGGGGGTGTATTCGGCGCAGAGGCGATGCACTTTACGGCCATCTTCGGTGGGGATGAGAGGTTGTGTTTTGATGTCGTTAGGACACAGACAGCAAGGCTCGCTTGAGATCTTCATGCGGATGCGAATGCGCTTCGTCCTGTCTACTCCATCCTTATCAGAAACGACACGCTTCCGCTTGCGTCGAGGCTGTTTAAGTTTTGCATCGCCACTGCTTTCCGGAGGAGTTGGGAGATCGGTCGGGCCCTCATCTTCCTCTTCTTCCTCCTCCTCGTCAGTTTCCTCGTAATCAGTCTCTTCTCCACGCATCTTGCGCTCAATCTGTGCAACATCGATCCAGACACTGTCCTGAGCCTGGGCGCAATCGCACTTCTTCGCAATCCGTCCCATCTCCAGCCAGGATGGCATCGCGAAGTTGACAGCCTCAGCACAGTTATAGCCCATATTAAATCCAGAATGGTATCCGTATGGGAAAGTGATCATGAACTCCCCGGGGAAATGCGTGATTTTGTTGGCCTTGATGCCGTAGTTCTTGAGGAGAGTAGATGGAGAGATGAGGAATGTCTTGTGTCGGAGGAACTGATCGCATTCTTTAGCATCCGTGGGCCAGATGCTCTTCATAGCAGCCTCAAACTTCCTCGCGTCCCGCTGCGAAATGCTGTACCAGTGTTTGGGAGCACCGAAGTGGAGGTAATTGATACTGTAGAGATCGACATCCTCCAAATGCCACGCGAACGTAGCCTTCCACATCCCAAGGTACAGATAAGCCGTATTAACACCCGGAATCTTGGTGCCCATAACATCCAGTAAATTCGGCAGATTTCCAAGGTTCCAAGTAGTCGTCCTCTCGTCAAACAGAGACCCCAACATATCCGCGCCGTACAGCGGAGGTGCGTAAGTCAAGGTCTTCCAGTAGGCGCGCTCGAGCTCTTCGCAGCGTTCGGGAGTGTAATCGGAGATGTCCATCTTGTACTCGAAGTTCTCGAATGCAGCTTCATCGATCTTTCCTGCCGTTTCTCTGCGGCCGTACTTGCGGCGCGAAGACACCGTAGTAGCCTTCCCTCCCCGTCCGCCACCACCACCACCCATACGCTTACGCGGTGGCTCGTCCTCCTCGAGCAGCTCTAGATTGGGTGCCTCGGCGTCATCGTCCGGCTTGATGGGTGGAGAAGTCGGTGTTGGCAGCCTCTCCTTCTGGTCCTTATCCGCGTCTTTCTGAGCCAAGCTCTTCCTCGACGCCCGCCCATTCTTCTTTCTCGACTGCGCAGCCACTCTCTCCCCCGCTGGTGTGCTCTCCTTCTTAACGCGACCGCTACTCCTCGTCTTCTCCTGCGTCGCGCGCACCTCACCACGTCGCGCAGGAGGCTGATGTTCAGTCTGATCGCACAATTGGCGCCACTCCGGAAGATTATACGCTCTCTGGTGCAGCAGGTTCATCTGGCGATACGTCCCATTCGTGCCCATGATATCCTGCTTGATCGGCTCGCGAACTCGAATCGTCTTGATGATTTCGTCAGGCGCGGGTTGGTTGTCGAGCCACTCTTGTGGGGGGACCACTTTCACAATGCCGGATTGCATGCCGTATTTGTTGATGCGATCCATCTGCGTACAACGTTAGCTACGGCGTCATAACTGACACACGTCGCGGGGGGGATCTCACATAAACCTGGAAGTCCTTAAACTGGTGCATCGTCGGTTTGAACACCGGCACTCTCCCCTCATCCGCATAGTGATCCGGCACCACCTCCCCAATATCATCCACATCCACCTCCGGCTCCTTCTCCTCAGCAGCCTCTTCCTCCTCGGGTTTCCTCTCCTCGCCAACCGCCCCAGCTTCATCCTTCCCCCCTCCCCCCTCCCTCTCCTCCTTCACCTCCCCCATCCCAGGCCGCGCACCAATCGAATACCCCTCCTCATCCAACTCGCTCAGCTCCGAATCGCTATCCTCAAACACCATCCTCTTCTTACTATCCGGGGGCGAGAACAGTCCAGCCGCCGTCTTCGCAGCGCTGTCGTCGTCGACCACCACCACCGGCGCCACCACGCCAGCTATCACATCGCTACTCATCGCGGCGTGCCTACATGCGGCCTCTCAGTGTGTCGTGTGCCTGCGCTACGCGGCGCTGCGGCGGTCGTCGATCTGGTTTCGTGAAGTGTGGGTGTGGGGCTGGTTGGTTGGCTCTCGGTAGTATCGCAGTTCGCAGCAGTCGTGAAGTCGAGTGAGTTTCGGTGCGCCAACAGAGGGCAGAAGGGTCACTGTAAAGTATAGACAATAGTTAACCTCCTCTCCGCGCGCATTCAGAGAGTTTCGTTGAGTGGTTTCGCTGGGAATAGTGGTGATAGTGTCGTCGATTGAAGAGTGGTAGTTGTAGTTGTAGTGAGGTACCGTGCAAGTTCGTGCAGTTCCGCCTCTTCTGTGGTTCGAGATCACTGAGTGCAAGGCGAAGGTTGGGTGGTAGTGAGGCTAGGCTTGTTTGGGGATGGTGGGGATGGTAAGCGAGATCAGTGGGATGGGGGCGTGGAGACCTTGGAAAATCGTGAGGATGGACGGGAGAAGTATGGAATTGTTGTAGACTGGAAATCGGAGGTTATACTGTGTAAGTACGAGTTTTATTTGTTATATTGTGATTATCAGAGTCTTATATTACAAAATATATATTTATTTATATACGAAAGAATCTCAATACCTTGCTTATGCTGCTTTCGTTATACTGCTCCATACTTCCCCTCTTCAGATCTCCCTCCCCAGACTGGGCGGACGACGCGGGCGCACCTTATCTCACTCTCAGGGGGGGTTCTTCTTCTCCACCTCCCTCCTCTATCCATCAAGCCTCTTTTTGATCAGATAAGATCCCCAGCCCAGCACCGCATCATCATCGTCATCAACCCAGGATCCCACAAGATGCTTGCCAGTAGCAAGCAAGCTTACACCAACCACCACACACACTCCCAACTGTCGTCGCGCATCCCCCGATTTCATTTACCATTCCCGTACCTCGGCCCCAAACCCGCATCCCCCATCATCATCATCATCATCATCAACAGCGCATCATCTCAGTCAAGTGGCTGCTGCGTGAAAAAGGTGTCGTGCATCCCTCACATCGCACCACATCTCTAGCTCGAACCCTTTCCCCGCAAATGGGGGGAGAGTGTCGCTTAAGTCAGGGGTCACCTCCACACACCACACGTCAAAGTGGCACCGATTGAGGGACATGCACTATCGGTAGGGCGGCTGGGTTGAAGGGGTCTGCGGTATTGTGCGGGTACACGATGGGATGGGATGGCGATGGTGATGGGGAGGATGTGGCGGTTAGTATGGGATGATGGGAATGGAGTATGTAGGGAGGGAGAAAAACTTCACTTCATCGATAGGTAGGTCGTTGGTGAACGTCGCGGACGGTATGACGGCATTATCTTGTACCAGCAGGAAGCGGTGGAGATAGACTGTGGTGATCATTTCTGTCTAGAATTAAACAACGTTGGACGACTAGTTGCATGCAGCTTCACGTTTCACACCCGCTACCCAGTCGTCGTGGCTGAGGTTGCGCGACCTATCAGTGGTTAGACAGCATCAGATAGAAGTATGAACCACTCACCTCCCTCCACAATCGAAGTAGTTATCAAACCCATCATACCCCAAGAAAATCACACATCCTCACCAACTAACTCACATAATAACCATACAACCTCCAAATACCGTTACAATATCATTCCCATTCCCACCCCCCATCTATCTAGCCTAAGCTACCCACCCCCCGTCCATCCCATCCCATACAATACAACCCGCCTGAGCCACTCTCCACGCATTTTCCGCCCCCTCATCCACCATTCCATCCTTCCCCCTATCGACGCCGGTGTTTGGGGACAACAAAAAAAAGCAAAAAAAAACAAATCCCATCAAATGCAAAGGACCGGCAAAAATGTCATCAACGCTCCATCTATGCGAATGCTATGCAGATTGTACATGTTTGCCCCCTGTAGTAGTGGTGGTGGTAGTAGTGGCGAGAGAGAGAGAGAGAGAGGATGGCGGCAAAAACAAAAAGAAGGGGGGGTTGGTGAGGGAGTACAAGCGAGGAAGTGGTATGATGGTGTGGTGTGGGTATGTGTATGTGTATCGGTAATGTCGTGCGGCGAGATCGACGGAAGAAGCACAGTCGTCATCAAGCGCCTAGGTGCAGCAAATTGCCAGATCGAGCGAGAAATTTTTGCAAATCCCAGCTTCATCTGAAGACAAGGGACAAACAAGACTTATCATCAGCGCACCTACGACGCCTCCTGGGGACGAGGTCCTCCACGGTTCCCCCCGAAACGAGGAGCGCCACGGCCACCACGTCCACCCTCGCCGCTACCGCCGCGTCCACGGTATCCGCCACGGCCTCTATATCCCTCACCTCCCCTCTGGCCACGTCCACCACGGCCCTGTCCATCACGGTTACCGCGGTTACGCTGCACCTCATGGAACCCGTCTCCAGCAGGTGCCGCAGCAGGAGCCGCAGCAGGGGCAGGAGCCTCGGGCTGCTCATCCGCCCAGCTCTGGGTGTTTGTTGGTGCAGCGAGGGTAGCGTCGATGCCAGTCTCGGTCTCGACAGCGTCGCGGGGGAGGCGGACATCAACCCACTCCGAGGAGGCGGAGAGGTCGTTGGCGCTGTTGTTCTGGTTATCCCAGTTCGACTCTGCGGCGGCGTTGGCGCCGTCGCCGAAGCCGGAGTTGGTGGGGAAGTCGGCGGGGGAGACGGGCTTGGAGTCGCCGTTGGTGGTTAGGTCGGCGGTGGGGACGGCGTCGATCTCGGTGAGGCCTGCGTTGGCGATGGTGGGGTCGGTGCCGATGGGGTATTCGGTGGCGACGGTGCTGTCTTCGGTGGGTTGCTCAGTTTCGTAGTCAGTTGGGGTGGCGAGGAAGTCAATGGCGGCTTGTCTGATTTGTGCGTCTGTTTGCGTTATTAGTTGTGAGCGTTTGACGGGGGTGTGGTAAAACTTACAGGTAGTGTTGACCTTCTCGCCGTTGATTGACAAAGCCTGCTCCTCTGATCCCTTAATGAGCTTCTCCATAGCGACAACCGCAGTCTCGTCCCCAGTGTAGACCTCGACCAGGGCACCCTCCAATGCCTGGTTCTCATCCAAGGTTTGGTCGACATCAGCAGCCCTCCTCGCAGCGGCCAGACGAAGGAACTTCGACAGGAGGAGCAGGTTCTGGTGCTTCTCTATGAGTGCATCAGCAATTGCCTCCGCCTTGACCGCAGCCACTGCATCAGCCAGCTCCTTGCTGCTCTTGTCCGTCAACTCCTTCTCGATCGCGGACTTCTCGGCTTGCGCACGAGCCTTGTACTCCTGGTCGAACTTCTTGTACTGGGCGATCTGCTCCTCGAGTTGGGCGAGGGAGGCGTGGAGGGATGGCTTCTTCAGGATCTGTGCCTTTTGGTCGGCGTTGATCTTGCGGGTGGCTACCAGTTCGTCGAGGGTCTTTCCAGGGTTTTGTTCGAGGACATTGTCGACCTTGGAGGCGTTTGCCTATGAGGTTACGGGTTAGATCGGTACGGCTTTCAGAGTAGAAAACAGGAAACTTACAATCTTCTTGTTGACATTTCGGATGCTCCTGATGAAGGTGTTAGTTTCAGTGTGTACTTACAGCATGGTGGTATAGCTTCATGGGAGGTGGCAAAGAAACTGAGGTGAATTCAGGTACACCTACTTGTAAAGCTCCTTGATGTATGGGCTCTCGTAGGATCCGTCGCCATTGGTGCTCTCGGCAGGTGTGGCAGTCTCAACATGTGTAACAGATGCTACAGCAGCAGCATCGGCCTTGGCCTTCTTCTTCTTCGCGGATTTGGACTCTGAGCGGACATCTGGGTTTTGGATTGCGGAGGTGGCCATTGTGTCTACAAGGCTGAGACGAAAGTGTAGAAGGTTTGTGAGGTTTTGTCGGGTGTTGTGAAAGGAATGGTGTTTTGAATTGTACAATAACAGAACTGAAAGATGTATTTCAGATCGGTGATACTTTGTTTCTAGGAAAGTTTTGTGGAAGTTGACGAGTAAATCAGGGTGCAAGTTGTTTGTATTTCAGGATTTGAAGGGTCATAGATCTAGTTGCTTCCGTTTACCCCAGACTTTCTGGAATGCACTAGTCCACATTTGATCACGACCAACAAAGAGATCACCGAAATAGGAACAGATGAGATTCAGCAATGGATAAATAAATGTGATATATTTGATATAGCTATTATTTTACATTAATATATATTATTTCAACACGTTGTTCCTGACGTTTACGGATTATATCGCGTTGTTAGACGTGTGTACCTTGCCATGTCATCGATGGAGGCCAACGGTGGCGAATTGTGGGAAGCTGTACCAAAATGGTGTGCCAATAACTAATCTATCATAATTTCTGTCGTAAACAACATCCAGTCTATGCTGGTTCCTTTCAATGCCTGGGTATCTTTTCGCCTCCTGAACGCCATCTTCCCTTCAATCCATTGTCCCCGTAATAGTCATGCCCCTCCACTCCGTTTCCACCACGTTGTCTCTGTCGCGTGCAGCGTCTCAGCCCTTGAATTTGTGCAGCGTCGACTGCTAATTGTTAGCTAATGATGGCCAAGTGGCAGGTATAATGGATAGTCGTGCCTCTGTGACCTTCTTCACGTTCTTTGCTGTGATGCCGCGATCGCCTGCCTGTTTCGCATTGATGCCGGCTTCCTTCATCAACCTTGAATGGGTGTCAGTCGCGAATTCTCGATAAAACACAGCAGATGGGCAGTGGCTCACGTTTGTAAGAAGAGCGCGTAGTCGAGAAAGACCTTGAGGAAGCAACAGTTAGCTACAGAATCTCTTTGATAACCAGACAGTCGCGTACCAGCACATCAGCATTCTTGCTCACGTTCTTCCTCGAGTGAGCCTTGACGATCTTCTTGAGCGTCGCTCTTGGATATAACTTCTGGCCTGCCGCCATATTTGATCAGGCTGTATGGTTAAGTAATTGTTTTGCGGAAACCGTCGGTGTTGCTTAGGCCGAGTTAGAAATGGAGAATGGAGAAGGCACGGGTTGATAGTGGACTCTTTTCAGTGGTTGTTGGTCGTGTTGATTCGTGTTTACTCACAACGTTCCATCGCAGCAAGTGGGCCTTCGCCCCTCAGCCTCGTCCCTTGGGTCACTAGTTGCGGAAAAGCGGCCGCAACAGCCAATCGGAACGGATAAACAGCTTCTCGTATACCGTACTACCACATCCCACTATCCCACCTCCGGAGCCTTGTGAAGGAAAAGGGAAGGAGGGAAGGAAGGGAAGACAAATATTCATCTTGCCAGCTTCCTATTTCCACTATTTGGGATAATCTCTTTACTCCAACTGCCCCCTTCGTATATCGCACGTGATAATTAATATTTATGTAAAAACGGAGAAGGAGAGAAGGACACGGAGACCCGAATAGAGCGCTTACGTGACACAAGAATTCGTGATTCGGAGTTATAGATAGTCCAGGAGGACCCCTCATTCCTGAATTTGGAGATCCCGTCGTCATCCTACCTGCCATAAACACAAACAACGAGGCTGCCCCGCCATCATCAACTTTCAACTTTCACCCATTTTCCCATTTTGTTTCTTCAATTCCAACTCCAAATTTCAATAATATACCCAGGCAACCCCTCTTCAATCAACATGGCGGACACAAGCCCAGCGAGTTATAAAGACGTGCTCCCAGATACCATCAAGCCTACGAACTATGCCATCTCCCTCTCCAACATTGCTCCCGGCGGTGCCTTCACCTACCAGGGAACCGTCAGCATCTCGGCCAAGATCCTGAAGCCAACGAAGAGCATCACCCTCAACTCTATTGAGCTCAAGGTTCACAGCGCCGAAGTCATCGTCAACAACAACAAGACCCAGCAAACTATTCCAAACATCGATGCCACCTACGATGTGCCCAAGCAACGAGTCACTCTCGACTTTGCCGGAGATTTGCCAGCCTCAAACGATGCCGTTATTGTCATCAAGTTCGAGGGAATCCTCAACGACAACATGGCTGGCTTCTACCGCTCAAAGTATAACCCAGTTGTGCCGGCTGCTGCTTCCGTCGTAAGAGACGGCGACAACCACTACATGTTCAGCACCCAGTTCGAGTCTTGCGATGCTCGTCGGGCATTCCCCTGCTTTGATGAGCCCAACCTCAAGGCCACATTCGACGTCGAGATCGAGCTCCCAGAGGACCAGGTCGTCCTGAGCAACATGCCAGAGAAGTCTGTCACAAAGAGCAAGACGGAAGGACTTAAAGTTGTTTCTTTTGAGCGTACTCCTATCATGAGCACATACTTGCTCGCATGGGCCGTTGGAGATTTCGAATATGTCGAAGCCTTCACTGACCGGAAGTATAACGGAAAGAACTTGCCAGTTCGTGTCTATACCACAAAGGGCCTGAAGGAGCAGGGTAACTACGCTCTTGAGCATGCTCACCAGATTATCGACTACTTCTCTGAGATTTTCGGGATCGACTACCCATTACCAAAGGCTGATCTGTTGGCCGTGCACGAATTCGTAGGTCTTCTCCTCTCATAGTGCTGTGCTTTTCTCCCTAACCAGTTTGTCAGACTGCAATATGTACCCCCGTTTCTTTTCAACCCTGCACATAATTTCATTTATAAGAACCAAGCTGACCATGGTTGCTAGTCTCACGGTGCGATGGAGAATTGGGGTCTCGTAACATACAGAACTACGGCCGTTCTCTTTGATGAGAAGACCTCAGATGCAAAGTACAAGAACAGAGTGGCGTATGTCGTTGCACACGAGCTGGCCCATCAATGGTTTGGCAACCTTGTAAGTTGGAATTAACCATTGCCCTGGCTGAGGAATTAAATTTAATGGGCATAATAGGTCACAATGGACTGGTGGAGCGAGCTGTGGCTCAATGAAGGTTTTGCTACCTGGGTCGGCTGGTTAGCAACCGACAAGCTTCACCCAGAGTGGAATGTCTGGTCACAATTTGTCCAAGAGGGCATGCAAACCGCTTTCGGCTTGGATTCTATCCGAAGCTCCCACCCTATCGAGGTTCCTGTTAAGGATGCACTTGATGTCGACCAAATCTTCGACCACATCAGCTACCTCAAGGGCAGCTCCGTTATCCGCATGCTAGCATCTCACCTGGGACAAGACAAGTTCCTGGCAGGTGTCGGAAACTACTTGAAGGCCCATGCATATGGCAATGCTACGACTAACGATTTGTGGTCTGCTTTGAGTGAGGTCTCTGGCCAGGATGTTCCCAAGCTCATGGACCCATGGATCCGTGATATCGGATATCCTGTCGTCACTGTTACTGAAGAGCCAGGCCAGATTTCCGTAACCCAGTCCCGCTGCCTCTCAACAGGGGATGTCAAGCCCGAAGACGACAAGACAACCTGGTGGGTCCCACTTGGCCTGAAGAGCAAGTCAGGCTCGAAGGCGATCTCCTTCAACACCAAGAAGGCGACGATCCCCGACATCGATGACAGCTTCTACAAGCTTAACGACGAATATGCTGGATTCTACCGCACTAACTACCCAGCCTCCCGCCTTGCTACCCTCAGCAAGCAGCTTGACCTCCTCTCGATCAACGACAAGATCAACCTTATCGGTGACGCGGGTGCTTTGGCTCGTTCAGGCGATGCCCAGACTGCTCCTCTTCTGTCCCTCATTGAAGGCTTCTCTGCCGAGACCAACTACCTTGTTTGGTCTCAGGTCATCTCTTCCCTGGCCACCGTGAAATCGGTTTTCAGTGAAGACGAGAACATCTCCAATGCGCTCAAGAAGTTCACCCTGAAGCTTATCAAGCCCACCGTCACCAAGCTTGGCTGGACCTTCGCTCCTAATGAGGACCACCTTACAGGTCAGCTGCGAGCACTTCTCATCAACGCTGCAGGTCTCAACGGCGACGAGGACGTGATCAAGGAGGCCCAGCGCCAGTTCTACGCCTACGCCGTCGGCGACGCCTCAGCCATCCACAACTCCCTCCGCAGCGCCGTCTTCCAGATCAACGTCAAGTACGGCGGCCGCGCGGCCTACAACGCCGTCAAGGCCGAGTGGGCAAACACCACCTCCATCGACGGAAAGGAGACCTCTCTCCGCGCCCTCGGACGCATCGAGGACATCAAGAACGCCGAGGACGAGGACCCACTCGCGCCCAACTTGCTCAAGGACCTCCTTGACTTCATGGCCTCCGGCGTCCCAACACAGGACGTGCACACCCCCGCGGCTACTTTGGGTGTTAACCCAAAGACCCGCCTCGGCCTGTGGACCTACATCAAAGAGAACTGGGAGCCGCTGCGTGAGCGCCTGGGCAAGAACATGGTTGTGCTTGACCGCTTCTTGAAGCTGTCGCTGCAGAACTTCTCGGATCTCGAGACGGAGGCTGATATCGCGGCGTTCTTTGCCGAGAAGGATAACAGGGGCTATGACCGCACGCTGGGTGTGGTCAGTGATAGCATTAAGGGAAGGGCTAGCTATAGGCTTAGGGATGCGGGGCCATTGCTTGAGTGGCTTAAGGCGAACCAGTATGCTTAGATATTAGATGGTTGGAGGGGAGGGGAGGGTAGCTTATGATTACAAGGGGGTTAGCTGGATTAGCTGGAATGGTAGCTTATGATTACGAGAAGATTAGCTAAAACTGTAGCTAATAACTATAGCAGATTAAAAGACGCTTTTATCACACTGCAATACCAACTCTGGAATTTGTGCTTACCCATCAGCGCTTTTCGTTCCAACTCCGAGTTGGAACGAACTCCGAGCTGCCTGAAACCCTGTGGACAACTTATTTTATATCGCCTACTTTGTAGGCAGCAGTTTAGGTTCTGGATTTGGCAGACACGACTAGCATTCAAAAGATTCGTAGAGCAGGTGCGGTCCTTCCATGGTTTGGTAAACAATGCCTGGTCGCTCCTTACGCAATAGTCGGGTCGCGATAGTCGCTGGATATTGCAATTACTAGCAGACATGTTCTAGAGAAATGAAGTCCAATTAAATGATAAAAGTGGTGTAAATTAATATTCTAAATGGTGACTCTATGATATTCTAAATGGCAGCTCTATTTGCCAGCTTCTCAATGTTCTTCTCGTTAACCAGGCAGAACCTATATCTTGGCTTCCCCTCCTCGAATTCGACAACCGCTTTGTTCGCCTCTGTCATCGGAACCGTCTGGATCCATGGCTTCACCTTCTTCTCCACAGCAAGTTGCATCATATCCTCGATATCCTTCGGTGTTCCGATCAAGCTTCCACCAAGCTTGATGCCCTTCACAATAAGAGAGAAGGCGCTGATAGGCGGCAAGACATCCTCCGGTGCACCGACCTGGATGAACTGTCCCTTTGGCGCGAGCAGCGACAGATACTCCGACAACGGCATATTCGGCGACGAAACAGTCGAGATGATCAGATCCAACGTCCCCGCATTCTTCTTCGCCCAGTTCTCATCCTCCGTCGCAATGAAACCCGTCGCGCCCATCTTCTCCGCATCCGCCTTCTTCGCCGAAGTCCTCGAAATAGCAACCACCTTCTCCGCTCCCAGCGCCTTCGCAAACAGTAACCCGAAATGTCCAAGGCCACCAACACCCACAATACCCACCCTCTTCGCCGTCGTCCCGCACCCATTCCTCTTCAGCGGCGCATAAACAGTCACACCCCCACACATCATCGGCGCCGCATCCTCCGACTCCAGCCCCTCCGGGATCTTCACCACAAAGTGCCCCGGCGTCCGGCTGAAATCCGCATACCCGCCATAACTCTTACTCCCATCCGCAAACCTCGATCCATACGTCATAACCATATTAGGACAATGCGTCTCCTCGCCCGCAGCGCAGTACTCGCAGTCATCCCTCAGACAGCTGCCTGATTGCGCGCCGACGCCGACGCGGTCCCCGATCTTGATCCCGCGCTCCTTGGCGGCTTGCGAGCCGACCCGGATGGCCGTGCCGATTATCTCGTGCCCGACGACGCAGGGGTAGGGGGTCTCGCCCCAGCCGGAGCGGAGGGTGTGGATGTCTGAGCCGCAGATGCCGCAGTGTGTGATTTGGATGTCGATGTCGGACTCGGTGAACGGCTTGGGGGTGTAGGGACCCCAGGTCATGTTGCCTTCGGCGGCGGAGGCGTCGTGGCCGAGCCAGCCGTTGAATTCGGGTTGTGGGACCATTTTGGGGAGGTTGGAAGAGATCTTAAGATTTGATTTGAGGATGATAGAAGATATGAGGATGGTAAGAGATTGCTTGTTGTGAGAGTAGTGAAGAGGACTGTTTGGCATACGGTTTGAGAGAATCTTCCTACCTATATATACAAATGAGAATATAGGAGAAGGAATGAAATAGAAGCACAAGTTTCACTTTCTCCCCGATATCATACCGCTCACTTCTTGGTTCTTCTCCATTATTGCTTGGTAAAGTTTATATCCGTCCTCTTATCGCCGGGCACTATCTCCAAGACCGCGGCAGTTGCAAGATTTCGCTCCATTTCCAAGACGGTGGAGCCTCAATGCGTCGCCGCCTACGTCAATCTCCCTTTCTTGCTTATAAATACAACGGGCCATCATATCGGCAGCTGGCGGTACGGATATAACAGAGCGGCACATCGATCCGAGATGCATGAAAAAGACCTCGGTCGTTGGGAAAACTGGAGATGCGCCAAAATTCCAGATATGGACACAGGGCACGGGTTGATGTGGTTGGCTGGCCTGCCGCGCCACAGGGGTTTAAGCCACATGGTTAAAGAAAGTTCTGACGCGCTAAGATCTCACGCTAATGCAGGCTGCTGACGGTCGCACTAACCATCTTATGTCACGTGATATGGAATCTCCAACATCCAGCGGTGAGGATTACTGATAGGAGACGCGCAACAACAAGCTTAATAATGTATAAAGTGGGGCGTAAGCAGGTCGCATAGATATATTACACTACGTGCTACTATCTGCGCTGGGCTACGAATTATATCTCAAAGGAATGCTCCCTACTGGCGCGGGTAATCCACATAGATCTCGACATTATCATTGTCATGGAGACAGTTCCGGCCTGGGTAGCTGGGGAGGAGGCAATGACACCAATGATACCACTAGTGCAGATGAGGCAGCAAGCTATGATCTCCGTCTCGGAGGAGGACTGGGTGGGAATTACAGACCCGGTAGAGAGGAGGAAAAGGCAGAATCGGATTAATCAGCGGCTCTACAGTGAGTTGTGGCACGGAGATGCTGGGGTCCTTGCATGACTAGCGGACGGGTGCGGCGAGTATAGACTTGGCTAATGCAGTCGTGTTACTATGTAGGGCGGCGTCATCAAACCAACTCATCTCGAGGCAAAGTGTCTGAGACCAAAACCAACGATGTTGGAAATCAAACTCCAAAATCCAAGCCAGACGATGACGACTTCAAGGCAGATTCACCAGGCACTAATCTAGTGGTGACAAAGCTGCCCCAAGAAGACCCAGCCCTAGAGATTGTCAAGCAACATGATCCCCCCGACTTCCAATGGCCCACCTCAGTATGCAACTTCACCTCCTCGGAAGCCCACCTCCTAATCCACCGCTTCGAATCCTGGGCCGGCCAAATCCGCCGCGCCGCACACCCCACCCCATCCCACCTCCCCATGCTCATCAAATTCAACGTCTGGCGCGCCCTAGTCTCCAACACCTTCACCCTCGGCCTAACAATGGAGCAAACAGCCGACGACGACGCCCTCTCCCCCTTCACCACTAACTCCCCCTTAATCCACTCCCACCTCCCCGCCGCACTCATCCCAACCGCGCTGCAGAAGCGCATCCCTCACCACCCCTGGATTGACCTCCTCCCCTTCCCGCGGATGAGGGAGAATCTGATCCGCGCGGGCGACGCGTGGGATGAGGAGGGGCTCTGCGGGGATATGATGGGGTTCTTCCATCAGGGGACTGGGAGGGAGGGCGTGATTGTTTGGGGCGAGCCGTGGGATCCGAGGGGGTGGGAGGCCAGTGAGGAGTTTTTGGAGTATTGGGGGTGGGCGATTGAGGGGTGTTGTGAGATTGTTGAGTCGACGAATTATTGGCGTGCGAGTAGGGGGGAGAAGCCGGTGAGGGTGCTAGGGGTGGGGAGTAAGCGGGTGAATGAGATTTTGGATTGATTGGAGGCGTTGAGTCTTCCCTCTCTTGTTTGTTGCCCTGTGATAAGTCTTGATTCCAATGTACTTCGGGCTACTGTCGTCGTAATTTCCCATCCCATATCTGCCAGATCCATCACATCCTCCAACAACATATCAGACCCTCCCTTACACCCACGGGTCCTGGCTGTGCTGTTGTACTCTCTGCTCTTGTGTGAGGGGGGAGGGCGATAGGGGGGTTAAGCTAGTCAGTCCTACTCCAGCTGAGCCGATGGGGGTGAGTGGTTGGATTACCATTAACACGTAGCCAACTGATAAGACCCGAGGGCGGGAATCTGTAGGACAGTGACTGAGCAGTTTACAAGAGCGCATAGGCACTATTGTCAGTCAAGTCGGCTCATAGAAACCAGGAATGAACTTGGAATCTTGATTACTTCTTGAAATTACGGTTTTGCGAAGATTCAGAAGTAAAAAACGAAGCTCGACATATTCAAAATTTAGGTGGTGAGATATATACAGGCTCGATGCGAGTAATGTTGCGCAGGTTTGGCGCTACTGGAGTTAGTAGTGCGCGGATTCGCAAAAGTGAGGCTGGATGCGCTTCGTGCGTAGGTTTCTCAAAAGTAAGGCTGAATGAGGCTAAAAATACGCAGAATTACTCAAAAATGGATCTTAAGATATTTTACAAGCTCGATGTCATCAATTTTGGGTGGATTCTCAAAAAATGAAGCTCGAGATATTCACAATTTGGGTGGTGAGATATCTACAAGCTCGATGCGAGCAATATTGCAATATTTGCGCAGGTTTGGCGCTACTGGAGCTAGAAGTGCGCGGATTCGCAAAGGTGAGGCTGGGTGCGCTTGAAGTGCGTAGGTTCTAGCAGCTGAATGCTGCTAGAAGTGTGGAGAATTTCTCAAAAATGAACCAGAAAAATCACTCAACAACAATTGAATTTCCATTCGCTATGCACCTCCTCTCTTCAGAAACGAAAAAATAAAAAACAATTCACTGCAAAAACCTCGTCCTCTAAAAGTACATAACATCCATGCACGCATAACCGTCATTACTACATAATCCCCCTCGCCACCCGGCGCACCCCAACCCCAGTCCGACCCCCCAGCTCTTGCAAAAAGACGGTGAATATACGAAACGACTTGGTATCGAGGCGTGGAAAACGTGTGGCGCGTTGGAGATAAAAAGGTATGGCCGGAGGCATTCAAGCCTGTGTGGCTCGTAGAGTGACCATGCGAAGAGATTATACGGCTTTTATCCGAGTTTCGTTGCGTGAGAAAATATAATAACAGGTGTGTAAATGACCAGCTCGAAGGCGTGGTCGGTGAAAAGAAGTAAATGTTGGTGAAAGTTGATAAGAAGAGCAGCCGGTTTAGGGACGACGCAATTTTCAGCGCCCTCGACAGATCCAAGCAAGCAAAGTATATAACTATGCCCATGCCCAAAGTTTTGCAATCGCCTGAAATCCTGTAGCATGTAGCTACAGTGCTCCAAAGATCTAGAACAAAATGCACGACGCCTGCTAGGTGGTCTTTTATCAAGTTTCGTAAAATGTGGCCATTTATCGTAGTTCTTGGAGGCAAAAATTTGCTTCAAATACTAAGCCAGGTTGGATGGCGGCGGCGAGGCCAAAGAAAGCCATTAGAAATTGCGCTGCATGTTTTCCATGATGCGAGTTGTAACTGTGACGAGGGTATGGAGGCGCTTGAGAAGAGGATCATGGGCCGACGCTTGGCTGACACGCATGAAAAGGTGCTCGAAGCGATCCTTCAGGAGCTCCATGAGAGTTGCACAGGGCTTCACGACATCCTAGAAAACTGTTAGCTTTGTCTATACATCTATAGGCACCATTTGTACTTACGGGGTCAATCTCTTCAGGTGAGAACGACTGGTAGATCTGCAAGATCGTCTCCAGCCATTGGATGCGCTCCATGAGCGATGGGCTGTCAAATCTCTGTGAGATTGTCGCTGCGGTCGACAGGCTCAGAATTGGTGACACTTCGCGCATGAAACCCGGATCGTACTTCGAGAAATAGTTATCGAAGATGTCTTGCATAACCTGGCCGTTGTTGAGCTTGATCCAAGTCATCATGGCAGTCTCGAATTCTCCGTCGCTCATCAGATGTCCGATTGACTGGAGGCTATGCTCGTACAGCTGGCTGTCAGAGTCAAACTGCTCCAAGTTCGAAACCGGAGATCCCTGCGAACGAGAGGTAATTGTGGCCTCTGGAATCGATCTTTGAGATTCAACTGTTTGCTCAATGTTTGACTGGGGCGCGCTATTGCTGCCTCTTAAAACAGCAGCTTGGAAACCTTCCTGGGCAGAGGCCATCGTAGAGATCATCTCAGTCAATCCCTCAATAACCTTCGACAGCTTCGAAATCTCATCGCTGTCTGACTGGCGCTGTCTCTCCAGATTGTTGATGCGCTCTGAGACTGTGCGCTGGATATCAACGGCACTCTTTTGTGCGGTTCTGACGGCAAGTGCGTTGAATGATGGGACGATTTCATTCTTCATAACCTTAGCAAAGTTCTCTTCGACTTTGAAGGCAACCTTCTGTACAACTGCCGATGAAATAGACTCAGTGAGGGACACCGCAAGGGTGCTCGAGATAGAGTCCGTCATGGATCTCGAAAGATTTCTCAAGAAGTCAGGCTTCTCGAGAGCCTTTCCAAGTGTTCCTGGTAGAACGGCCTGAACCTCTTTCGAAACAGAGGCTTGCACCAAAACGCCAAGTTTGGCGGACAAGTGGTCGTGAACGTTCTTGGAGACAGCCTTAGAGACGGAATCCGTGATGGAAGGAAGAAGGATCTTCTTTGTGTTCGTCTCTACGATCGAACCCAAAGTCTTGTCGACGTTCTCGCCAAGTGTGCTAGACACGAGGCGAAGAAGGGCGACTTGCTTCTCTTCTGCCGCTGCAGCCTGGGCCGTTTTATCGGTGTCAAAGCTTTGATAGATCTTGTCGATTGAGGAATTAAGCTGGCGTGCCATATCAGAGATACTGGCATCAACCGTCTTCAGCGCCTTGTTGATCTGATCTTGAGAGACGACGCCAACCACTGCATCAGAAGTTCCATTGGCGATGGCCTTGCTTGCTGCAGATGAAGATTCAGAGACAGCATCAAGCTGGCGAGCTGCCGCAGCAGCAGCCTTCTTCTTCTTCTTCTTTTCGACCTTCTCAGTTCCGCTTGTCTCTTGGCCTCCATTGGTGAGGTTTTGAGCTTGTTCAGCTTTCTTAGCTGGTGCCCCAGGTACAGCTGCAGGCTGCTCGGCATGGTTGTTTATCGCAGCCGCCTTTCGTCCGGTTTCCTTTGCCATTGTGGGGGCCTTTGGAGTAATCGGTACTGATGGAGTAGTTGCCGTGGATACAGATGACACACTAGGTTCTCTTGGGGCAGGTGACTCGATTGGCTTCAATTCACTAACAGTGATGAGACCTTCGTCGACAGCTGATGCAGGGTTCACAGCTCTGTTATTGGAGTCCCAACCAAGAGTTTCGGGCTTAACTGAAATGCAAGTTACACCAGTAGAGTGCATAGCATAAAGCTCAAATAGTGTTGTGTCTGGCTTCGCTGGGTTGAGTGTTGCGGTAGGTTGCAAAATATCCAAGCTGCGGAGGTCACCTCGAGCTCGCTTATCAGATCCTTCCTTTGTTTCAAGGCTCTCAGAGAATAGGTACTCGCGAATACCACTCATAACAGCCGTGGATTCAGGGCTTGGAAGCGTCGTATCTTTCTTCACAAGCTTCTCAATAAATTCAGATTGAGAAAGCGACTTGGGAAGGTTGTATTTTGGCGCTGACACGTGGATGAAATAGATCGAGTTTCTTGTTGGGTGGCCGACGACAATTACACCAGTAGGCGCGTGGTAAACAACACTACAAGCGGCGTCCGACTCTTTGTCGTGTGGCAAGTGCAGCTCTTGCACCGGCTTACCTAATGCAAGATCCCAAAGTTGCAGCGTATGGTTCTGCTTCATGCCCACAATCAAATATCTCAAGGCACAGCCTTTCACGTACGGGCGAACCTTGTCAACAAAAATGACAGATGTAGGCCAGGACTTCTCGGTAGCCGGAGTTGTAATTAATGTCATCAACGGCTCCTTAGTTTCGATCGACTGGTTCTTGGGTTGGTTTTCAGAGGTGAGTCCACGGACATCCCAGAATTTAACCCTGCCAGCCTTATCCAACGACACAACAGTAGTATCGTCCTGACTGAAAGTGAAGTCCTTGGCAGCCTTTCCGGTATCAATCTTCAGCGTCCGCTGGCTGAGATATTTCTCAATATCGACAAAACGATCAGGCCCGGGCTGTATGAATCCGCCCCCAGTGATCAAATAGGGGAATATGATGTGGATCGATTTTCCACGACCAACAGCAAAGAATTCAGGGTGTACAGAGCTCTTTCTAGCTCTGGTCTTCAGAACACCACCTGGGTTCTCATCACCGGGAGACTGAATTGGTGGCAAAGCAAAGCTAGTCTTAGCATTGAACTCTTCAATCTTGTCACCACCAGTGTCTTTAACTGCGGCCCAGTAAACTGTACCACTGCATCCTGTGCCAATGACCGCCTCAGATCCATCTCTGTTTGAGGTCGATGCTGACACGTTGAATACTTGGTCTCGAGTCTCATCAAAGATCTTCCTGTCTCGGCCACTATCCTGGCGAATAATGCGTATGCCTCCATTCTTGGACATAGCAAAGACAATGAAGTTGTTGGTAGCAGTGACCAAAGTCCTATCATTCTGATCAAAGACCTTTCTTAGACGAGCAATAGCCATAGCTGATTCTGGGTCGAATGTAGGACGGTCCACTTTGCTGTCTGATTGCAAAGTAATGGCAACCCACGGCTTCAGTGGGAAATTGTAAATTTTGATGTTCTTGCCAGAATCCTTCTGATCAGCTGGATTAAGTGTTATAGCATCGGCATCAGCACTCTCCCAGCTATCGACAACAGAGTCTTGGACTGTGTTGCTGACGACTGATTTTACAGTGGTCGATTTGACAGCATCTTGAGCCTTGGTGCTTCCGTCTTTCAGGAAATCTTGCTTTTCGATGAGAGATGCTAGTTTATCAACGCTGTCGTCCGCAGCAGCAGAAGCTTTAGCAGCTACAGAGTCGTCAGGGCCGAGGGATTCCGACGCGCTATTGACAGCACGAGCCAATGCCTCGCTCACTTCCTTGTCGGCCTGATTTCCGGCCTCGTTTAAAGCTTGTGACACAGTCTCTGTGGGCTGTTTGGCCGAACCAATTCCAAATTTTTGAACATCAGACGGCCCAGGTGCGGTTGGCACCGTTTCTGTGGGGCCAAGTTTTCTCTTGGCGTGAGCAGGGCTGGGAACAGATGGTGACTGATCGTGCTCCTTGCGCTTCTGGTCCAAAGTCTCGCCAGTAGTGTGTCGGGGGGGTTTCAAAATTTGTACGGGGGCTTTCGTAGGAGCTTGTTGCGCAGCTGCAGCAGGGGCTGGTGTGCGATTGCGTGGCGAAGATGCAGCCAACTGCTCGAACGGGTTGACATAGTTGAAGAGAGTCTTGGTATTCTTAATCGGTTCCTGAAGAACCTGCGGTTGGGAAGTAGGGCTAACAGCTTCTACAAAGACATCTTTCGTCGCCGCAGTAGTTTCAATCACATCTTTTGGAGCAGCTTTTTCAGCCACTATATTCTCACCAAAAGATCCTCTAACCTTTGCAGGAGTAATCACAGGCTTGTTGTCAGACTGTGCTGGCTTTGGTCGGTTCAAAAGCTGAAGAAGGTATGCCTGTGTATCTGCCGGTGTGTCTGGAATTTCAGACGCGGAGGTCGGCTCGCGAGTAAACTGAGTTTGTGGTGCAGATGGAACTCTCTTGTTTTCCTGCTTGCCTACGGAGCCCATAAGTGTGGCGAGTAGGTCCACGGTGCCCCGGTTCTCTGCGGCTGGCTGTTTCTGATGGAGAGATACTGGAGGTGGCGAAATTGGCTTCGCGTTTGCTGGAGAAGACGCAGCTGGCTGGCTGAACTTCAGTAGGTTCAAGAGGTTCGCGGTTCGGTCTGCGTTGCTGGCACTGGCATCGTTCAGGATGGCCATTGGCCTCGATGGGCCAGTCTCCGACACCGGGCTCATGACCGATGAGGAGTGGTGAGGCGACTGGTTATTGTAAATCGGTGGAGTCGGCATAGCCGACGAGACAGAAGGGTGATGATACCCGTGAAGGTGCGAAGCCTGCGATTGGGCGTAGTATGGGTTTGATTGCGATGCCAGCTGTTGGGAAGCAATTTGGGTCAGGAAGCTTGAGCCTGGTGCCTGTGGCGTTGGTGTCGAGCCAGAGCTTGCATTCCTTTGACGGAGCTGCGCAATTAGTGACTCCATACCGCCACCCTCTGGACTATCGAAGCCACCGCCTGGATTGTTCGTATAACCTGCCATGGTGGGCCAAGGTGATTCGATTGGGGCGCAAAACGCGCAAATGAAGGATGAAAGTTGGACAAAATTGCAAAAACAAGTGTTGTCCTTAGATAAATATCCGTTGAATGGTCGTTAGGCCAGGGTCTAGAATATCACACAAAACAATTGAAGCTGTTGAATACTGGCAGACTCTATCTGGCAACTAAGAGAAGATATCTTTGTGCAGAAATAGCTTGTTGGATCAAACAGTTTGGTTTTGGTTTATGGATTGTGGTTTTGGAGGTTGATAGCGAGCTTGACCCCAATGATGATATTTCTGCGGTCCAGTAAGAAGCACAGACCACAGAGTGCTCTTAGCCGAAATCCAACCAACAGCAACTCTGATTGGCAGGGGAGATGCGGCCGAGACACTGTGCGATTTACTTAACACAGTGGAAATTCACAGTCAGCCTCAGCCTTGGGGGCTCTCTGATGCTTTTTGTTGTCTCAAGCTTCATAAGCCATTCGTCATAACCTCATCTTTTCAAAGTAATACGCACTTTATCCGCCTTCCAGCCTTACAACGTACATTCAGCGACTCTGATTATACTACTGCGACAAGAAGGCAACGGAATATCCCAGACCTGCGCATTTTGAGAGGTGTGGCGGTTACTCTTGCTTGATCCAGGTGGAGACAACTCCTCCAGCCTTGCCGTCTACCCACGACCATCGCGCGATAATTACCACCCGCGCGAAACAGACTCTGAATGCTTGCATAACCATACAATACTGCATGCAGCTGTAGCCCCTTAAGAAGACGTCTCTCACAAGATGTTCTGTCTGCGGAGGTACGATGCTCTCTACCCCTCTTTCAGTTTGCCGGGACTGCACCTAACATGAAGCACAGCTGGCTGCCGCTCCTCTTTATCCCAACGAACGCGTCGCCGATCTTCATATTCCTCTTCTTCGTCTGCACATACTTCCTCAACAGGCCCTGCGTCTACTGCTCCTTCCTGCTCCTGATTCTCTTCGCCTCATCGTGCAACTGGGCGGACCAATGTTTCTTCGACTTCTCCTCGAACTGGTTTGAGGCGCGGCCTCTACCAGCGCCAATGGGCGCCGACGGCAACCTTACCTGCACGGCATTCAATAACACATCGATACCGGGTAACACTTTTGAGCAGGCCATGATAATAGCGGGGTCCATGAACAGCACGGCGAAGACACTTGGTGGCGTGGCGTTCCAAGAGCTTCAGAAGCGACTCCCGGAACGGCCGGAGTGGACAGGCATTGGTGTTGGCTGGCTCAGGAGTCTTTTGGGCAGGAGGGAATGGACCCTTCCGTGCGTGGATGTCAACGTCAGGCTATGACGGGAGTGGGATTATTATTCGCGTTATGAGATACGACGGCTGGGGGGGCGTTCTTGGTCACGATGGGATGCAAATGATTATCCAAGGAGAGATGGCCCTCGCTGGCCATTTTAGAGGGTATAATGTATATTCAGTTCGGGGTTGAAGTGTAATTACTATGGAAGTCCTACTCGTTCATCGAGACCCAATCCAGTGGTGGCGATTGTGAAATAGATATCAGAATCATTACCGGCGACGCTTGACAACACGTTCTCTGGTTCAGGGGCATAATACTATTACTGATAACCCTCATGTATAATATTTGTCAAGACTATATCGAGGGGGTCTGTGATAGTATTTCATAAATCGTGTTGTCAGATTCAAATTTATTTACTTCCTAATAAATAATCACTCAGATTTCAATTTACTACTTTTATTCATCAACCAAAGCCAAACCCAGAAGTAACTTTAAACTACACGAGCCACTGTTAATTAAACCAAACAAATATATTTCTATTGAATAATCAATCTGAATATGCTGTTGAAAATGGGCTTTAAATCTGAGAATCTGGTGCGAGTACGTATAGCGGAAGCTGCATATAACAAGCATGGATGTACACCCATACAAAATTATACAAAATCCGACCAGGGATAATTCATATATGAACAGGGATCGTATACAACGAACCCTCGATATAACAATCACACCAACTTCTCACTGATACTTTTTTTAAGTTTCGCCATAAACAAAGTTCCACTATAATGGCTCCGGCGGCTCACGCCATCCTTCACTTCAGGCTTGAGCCGTCTGTATCCACAATATAGACGCAGACCTCGGCAAATCACGAGCGGACGGGAGCTATTATGTGGCGATGGACTATGTACGGATGGAGGCTGGAATACTCCTTTCTAATATATTATATTCCTTTGCTATTATTATTAAGTCGTATTTGACAGGCTATCATAAAAATTGAGCCGCAGTGTGTATATCGGGAGCAATGGCGGCAACTTCGGAGGCAGAACGTGCCAGGGCGATGATGGCGATCCAGAGTGTTTTTGACCGGTATGTAACATATTTCATCGCTTTCTATCGGCGTTGGTCTCCTGATTTTCATATGATTTATGGCTTCTATTCTGTTTTATCTGCTTGCGATAGGAAGAGAGATGTTTGGAATACATTTATTATTATGATTTCCCAACGGTTGCTATAATCGCCTCTCATATATCACACTTGCCCTTTCATTTTGCCGCCTCTTCATTCCAAAGATACAATTTAAATGCCGTTTATACTTACAATAACTCTAGATTTCATCTCATCTCCGCCGATGCGCCTGTAAAATACTTTGATGACCAAGTTATGCGCGATGCAAAGGTTATTGATGGATCCCCTGACGGACGTGCCTCGTTCGAGATACGCATTACGCCGTACTACGGCAACATCAACGGCGTTTTACACGGTGGCGCAGCGGGGGTTATATTTGATATGTTGACCACGGCGGCATTGGCGCCGTTATCGAGACCTGATTACTGGGAGTACGTTTACCACCGCCCCTGACGGCTTCCATTCTTCAGTCCCGATGCTTCATTTTCAAAATGAACAGTTGTCCGAAGAAAAGAGCTGGAAAGGCTTAACAGATGTCGATGCTAATTCCCTATCAGTTTCCTCGGTGGTGTGACACGCTGTCTGAACATCTCCTTCCTCCGCGGCGTCCCCATCGACACCGTCGTCCGCGTCAACAGCAAAGTAACACAGGTCGGCCGGACCATGGCCATGATCCAAAGCGAGATGGTCAGCTTAGATGGGAAGATCACATACTGCACAGCGGAGAACCACAAAGTTAGCGTGGCCACACCGGCGCATCACCTCAGTGAGAAGTACGAAGTCGAGTGGGATCGCGTGATGAAGGCGGAAGGCAAGATGCCGAACGGACTGTGGACGCCGAAGAAGGTGAAGGGGAAGTTATAGGGGTATTGGTGTAGATAACGGTGAGATGTATATAACAGCACATAGGCAAGAGTTGCATATAGACAATATAGAGTACATAACTCAGAATTGGGTATCCTAATTTTATCCGTAGCCAATAACCTTTACAACCTATAATGCACCTATAATGCATTCTTCGCCGCCTCAGCCGCCTCTTTCTTCGCCTTATTCATCTCATCGAAAATCCTCTTCTTCTCTCTGTACACATACAAATCCCTTTTAAGTGCCTCCTCTGCAGCCTTAGCGCCCGCCTCTTTCTTGCCTAGAGCAGTACCGCTTCCGAGCAACTTGTTCTTCTCACCCCATCCTTCTAGGTACACACCCACCGTGTAAAGCGGAAACCCCGTCACCGGATCCTTTCCGGGCGTGTCCGCATCTTTGTAGAGAAGTTTAATCCCGCGACTAACTATCTGTGTAGCCAGCTCCTGTTTGGCGCTCGTGGTGGAAACGACGGGGGGACCGGTTGTTTGCAACGTCTTGTTGACTTCATCCTGCTCGAGAATCTCCTTGGAGAGCGTGCCTGCCCACAGAGCTTTTAACCAATTCGAGGCCTTTTCGACGCCATTCTTGGGGTCGGAGTAAATCACCGCTGCGACGTACGCCTCGAAGACATCACCCAAGATCTTGGTCTGCGGAGTCCTCGCCGCGAAGTCTTTGGGGATTTGGTACCGCTTATCAAACCCGTATTGCCGGGCATAGGATGCTAGAGTTTCATTTTTCAGGCAGAGCTCGCGCAGCTGCGCGCATCGGCCGGGTTGCAGGGCGGGGAAGGTCTTGGAGATCAGGAGGGTCGTAAGGAGGTAGATGTACGCATCGCCTACCCACTCGAGACGCTCATACGAGTCTTGTGGGCCAGCGTTGGTGGGGAGGGCGCCGGAATGCGTGAAGGCTGACTTTTCGAGGGCGGGTGAGAGGATAGGTGGGAGGGTAGGGAGGGAGCCGGGGATCGAAGCTCCTGTCCAAGGGGCGATGTTTTGGGGCGGCGTGACTTCGGCGGAGGTTTTCTTGGGCAATGCCTCTTCTGCCTGGGTGGCGATTTTTGCCTTGGAGGGCGCCTTCTTTGGTTTGGGGAGCTCAAGCTGTAGAGCTTTGCAACGAGCTAAGCCAATCCTGTTAAGAGTGCCGCTGCTCAGGATAGTTTCTTCTGACTTGAGAACTGCGTTAAGAGCAAAGGATAGATTGGCGACTAAATCGGCATTCTCATTGACTGCTGGTGCTTGGGCTTCATTGGATGATGCGTCTACCTTCTTAGAGCCATCCTTTTGAATTCCACGAGCGAGTTTGCTGCTTTCATGGCCCTGTATTTGTGTTAGAAAGATATTGACTGGGTTTCGTAAGGAAACGCACCTGTGTTGTTTTCCCAGAGCCAGGTTCAACAAAATCCGAATGAGATCTTTTAGTCATTCTGGCCAGTTTGTGATAGCTATATATGCACGCTGCTGTTTGTATTGAAGAGAGTGGTATTTCTTTTAAGAATCACGTGAGTGATAATTATCGTGAGAAATATCGGAGAAATATTGCGCCGATGTGTCAATGTTGTCGCGCCCTAGCCTATTCAGGTTGAACTTTTTGACGTCCCTCCCCGAGGCCATGAGAGCTTGACCAAATCTCCCCCAAGAACATCATCAACCATGTCGGTCGCACGGTCGAGAGTTGTGGATCTCATGAAGGTACGTTCACAGAATATAATAGGGGCATTGCTTTTACTGACGCAATTGACACTGCAGACGCAATGCAAGATCTTTTCGACAACCTTCAACCCGGAAGGAGTTCGAACCGGTAACAAGATTCTGCGACAGCGACTAAAGGGCCCGGCGCTGGCAGCATATTACCCGCGGAGAGTTGTGACTTTAAATGACCTCCAAAAGGCATACCCGGAGCTGAAGACGTGGAACGAGAAGGAGGAGGAACGCCTGGAGAGTGTTGCCATTACCAAAGCTCGTGGAAAGGGCGCGCCAAAGAAGAAGCGCACGGCAGCAGGTAAGTCCAGACAACGCCAATGTACTTTATATGGTGGACCTGTAAATGCTAACGTCTCCGCAGAGTCCAAGAAGTTCAAGGGCAAGAAGAAGGTCACCACCGAGGAGGCTTGAGATGGGGCGTGGCCTGTATATTAGTGTATAATGGCATTGACGGCGTTTGGAAACCGGGGGTATATCAGATTCATAAACAGTTCCTGTGTAAATCAAATACTTTTATGATTATACAACAGTTCGATCAGAAAACACTTCTTCGGCCATCTCGTGTGCCTGATGAACCGTCAGTGACGGTGCTGTTCAAAGTAAACTTCCGGGCAGAGCGAAAGAAGTGGTGGCTTTCTGTTCAAGATTTGCTCTTTGTGAAGTCTATGCAACTTGATTTGCGTGATATATGTCTACTAGTAGTTTGTATGTTCTTTTTTGTCTCATACTCTTCATTATTGTTCTGTCATAAGGGGGGGTGGATTCGTTGGCCGTGGTTACGAGTGGGCTTGAAAGCAGATCTTTAAAGAACTCTAAAGCATGAAGTGAGGTTTATATTCTTTCAAGGAAATAAAATCTGGGTGCTTTGTAAAGTAGAGAGAAAGTCCCTTGACCCTTATTCACTTGCCTTGGGATTGTTGGCCTTACGCAGCAACTCCAATGCATAACCCAACCCAGCAAGGTGGTGCTGCCAAAAATCTATAAGAGCCGAGTTGCTTCACCCACAATACTTCTTCCTCTCTTCTGCATCACCACCTCACTTCGACACTCCTTTTCACCAGCACATCGTTCTCAAAAGTTATATCATATAAGCTATTTAACTCTCTTCGGAGTCAAACAAGTTTATATTTCAGTTAAACATCAGCACGTACCTTGATCGACCGAGGCCATCCGCTCCTTCCTATCTTTGTCAAATCAACTCGACCGCACCCAGACAAAATTTTGACGGAAGGAACGACAGCCCTTCTTGCATCTTGAGCACATATCTACACATATCTGTGTGGCTCTTACCTGATCTAATCAGTTTGAGCTACGACTCCTATATCTTTGTGATCTTCTCTGTTTCCTCTCTTTCTCCCCTCCCAACCTTCATCACCAAACATCTCCGACCATACTGCCTTCTCAACTCCTTTTACTCAACTGGATTACAAACCCACCACAGCATTGCCAGTACTGAAACTGAGAGACGATCAACATGTCTTCCACTGTTGCAGCTACAGGCTCGCCAACTTCTCGTCGAACCTTCACGAGCAGGAGCCAGTCTCAAGAGAATGCTGGCTTCGAAGATGAAAAGCCACAGATGCGTTCTGTAAGTGAACTCTCGAACTATATCTACCCCCTCTCCAATCTCCAGAACAAGTGTTCATGGACGTCGACCTATGGTGTCTAGTTATGTGGCATTCGTGTGCTACTCTCTGCCTATATTTCATTATTCCAATGTCCCTCCTGACCAACAATCCGACGTGTGCAATCCTCATGTTCTTATCAACCCCAGCTAATCCAAAGCAGGACCCTACCAATACGCTGAAGAAGTCTACCAGTGCTCTCTCCAGCTCCAAGCTTGTCAACCAAGTTCCGAAGGTCAGTTATAATCCTGTTGCAGCAGCTGCCATTCCAAACATTGGCTAGCTCTTGCCACTTCGGACTCAAACTAACAATCACAGAAGGCGAAGATGAACCAGGACCATACATCCTTCAACGAACTCAACCCTATGGATAGACTCCTTGCGAAGCTCTCTGAGCAACAGGCAACCATCAACAAACAGCACGAAGTTCTTCAAACCGGTGATGATACACACCGCACTCATGTATCCTCAGCTGTTGAATACGCCACAACTTCGGCTACGACCTCTAACTCTGCTGAAGGCACCGTTTCAGGTAACAGCACCGATGCAGTTGACACCGTCGAAGAGAAGAACACTCCACAGCCAAGCAAAGACGAGGTTTTACGCCTCAAGATCGAACTCGAGAAAGCCAAAGGCAAGATTGCCCGCATGGACCAGGAGCTTACCCAAACTCGAATCACCAAGCATACTATTGAGCAAGCTATAGGCAGCAACTCGGAAGCTGACTTCCCAATGGACCAGCTCAATGGTCCTGGTCGTTCCGTGTATCTCCCAGATGGTAATTGGATTGGCCAGGATGATAACCATTCTGACAACAGTGATGCTCTCTCTGTTGGTGGCTTCAATCGTGCTGGTGGGATTTGGGGTAACTCTGGTAGAGCCCCATTCACCAATTATCAAGGTGGCATGCAAGACCTCCAACCTGCTTCTGGGTTTTCTGGGAACCCTTGGGCGGCAGGACGTGGCTTCAACGCACCCTTTTCTGATCCCTCTGGGGTGTTGGGCCAAACTGTTCCTGGCTTTCGTTCTGACCGCCTTGTCCCTGACAATGACACCTCCGTTGGATTAGCTGGCGACCGCCGAAACGCCAATCGTGGCCGCTTCATGAATCGCACTCCAGGTGCATTCCCATACGCAAGCAGCAACAGCTCTTACGATGGACTTACCCCCACTACATCCTATGGTTCTGTTACAGGCCTTGGTGGAGGTGCAACCGGCACTATGGGAGGATCGATTGGGTTGAATACTGGTGGTGCTTTAAGCTATCAGACCCAGCCACTTGGAACCCCTCTTTCGCCATTCGCACCCGAATTCAACTCACTGAATGGACAGTGGAAGAATGATGTAAGCAGTCAAACCTCTTCCCGGACGTGTCATAAAATACTAACTTCTCAGAACACAATTGCTGTGGAGGGCCAAACCTTCCTCCCGACTACTGAGCCATTGAACTATCGCCGTTTACTTGACCGCACAGTCAATTGCAACTGGAAGTACATTGTCGATAAGATTGTTTGCAATAATGATCAGCAAGCATCAATCTTTCTTCAACAGAAACTCAAGGTTGGTACCACCGAGCAAAAGTACGATATTGTCGAGGCCATTGTTGCTCAGGCCTACCCCCTGATGATTAATCGCTTTGGCAACTTCCTTGTTCAGCGTTGCTTCGAACACGGTACTCCAGAGCAGGTTATCAAGATTGCCGAAGCTATTCGAGGCAATACATTGAATCTCTCCATGGATGCATTCGGCTGCCACGTCGTTCAGAAAGCCTTTGATTCTGTTCCGGAGGACTACAAGGCGATCATGGTCCACGAGTTGCTTCGCCGCATCCCCGAGACCGTTATTCACCGCTACGCCTGCCATGTCTGGCAGAAACTGTTTGAGCTGCGCTGGACCGAGTCACCACCTCAGATTATGAAATTTGTGAACGAGGCTCTCAGAGGAATGTGGCATGAGGTTGCCCTCGGCGAGACTGGTAGTCTGGTTGTGCAGAATATTTTTGAGAATTGCCTCGAGGAAGACAAGGTAAGCCGTCATCAAGCATGCGCCTAAATATTCATACTAACATGTTGTAGCGCCCCTGCATCGAAGAAGTTCTTGCTAGCATCGACATCGTTGCTCACGGTCAGTTTGGCAATTGGTGCATCCAGCATATTTGCGAGCATGGAGCGCCCGTTGATCGTAGCCGTGCTATCGACCATGTCATCCGCTATGCATCTGAGTATAGCATGGACCAATTTGCCTCCAAAGTTGTTGAAAAGTGCCTCAAGATTGGCGGGGTGGAATTTCTTGGTCGATATCTTGATCGTGTTTGCGAAGGCCGCAACGACCGTCCACGCATCCCACTCATTGACATTGCCAGCGACCAATACGGCAACTATCTCATTCAGTACATTCTTACTCACTCCAACCCCCAGCATAGAGAGGTTGTCGCTTGCCACATCCGCAAGCACATGGTATCTCTCCGTGGATCCAAATTTGGGTCTCGTGTCGGTATGCTTTGCACCAACCCTGCCATTGCAACCCGTCCTGGACCTGGCGTTGGCCCCGCTCTCGGTGCAAACCGAATGCCTCAGGGCAACCCTCGATTTGGTGGCGCCTACCGCTAGACATTGATGCTGCCGCACCGTTGCCAATTCGGTAAAGCATCCCGGACTCTTCAGGAGGTCGTGGTCTGGCATTGTACGATCTTCATAGGCGATGGAATAACAAGTCATATTTCTTCAGCATAAAGCATATCCCCAAAACAAGCTTCGTCTCAGCGCTTTTGGTGTTACCCATATATGGATGTCCCGATCGACTCCTGAAATCCTCTGATCACCCAAGCTTGCTTTGTTTCAGTTCGGCGGTACTATTTTCAAAAGATCGTTTTCGTCTGAGATCCGCCTGAAAATTTCTTCTTTGTCTTCATTTCGACATGTTCTCAAGCAACCTACCATACCACTACGTATCATCCTACGCTATGGATGTTATCCCATGGGCGACTTGGAAACTTTATGTTTATCGGCTTCTCAAGGAGTTCCTGCCTGAGGAGTGTCTTATGCTTTACAAATTGTTCTTCAAATATTTACCTTGAAAGTGAGAATCTGCCTGCTGCCAAGGCATTGTTCTGATAGTCATCCGCCAGAGTTGACAAGGGGCGAAGAAATCAGATCATCATAGTGCGTGCGGTTTGGGCATGGACAGAGTGGTGGTTTATATCGTCAAGGTGCAATTTTCTGGGCGGCTAGCTCATCCTGCCTTGTGCCTGCATTAGATCAGCTTTGTTATCTAGTCATCCATTCTAATATAGATTGCTCATTAGAATCACTTCCTTCGGGCGTGTGGTTATTTGCTCTTTTTTGTGCTTTCCAATATAGCATTGCTCTCTTCGGCTACGTTGTTAGTGGTTATTTAGGGATTCTATATTAGATAATAGACACTACATGCATTGATTTTATTTTATTTATGGCCGTCTTAACTTGTGAATCTTGAACTTGTGAGCTTGTTTGTCTGGCCATCGTTGAAAATGTCGTCGATGTTGATATTGGGATGGTTTTGATAAAGTTTGTCGGTACTTGATATGTTGTACCCAGCCTTATGATTTTATATGCACTAATACATTGATGCATAAAACTCGAGGTACTTCACATTTTCTCGCTTACGAGTCACATGACTCTCTGAATCCATACTTCAGAAATATTTTCTGCCTCTCTTTCCGTTCTTCTTTTCTTCTCACCACATACTCGTGAACGGCTTGACATCAGCATTCGTCTTCGGACGCAATAACGGAGTCGCCGTTCAGTTTGACTTCGAGGAGCCATCAAATCCCCATGATGTCAATTATCTAGTCAACGGGTTTGAGATCGATTAAGCACCTGCAACCTCGATGTTTTTGAGCCCTTCACGGGAGCTCGACGGAGAGACGGGTGTCTTAAGTCACTATATTCCAAATCTTTTCGCAGATGCCGTCGGCGCATGATGTTAAAGACTCACCATGGTGAATACAGTTCTTCTTGATAGGATGTTAGCTTTTAGTTTTTTGATTGATTGAATATGACCGTTTTTTACTTGCAGTTCTGCAAAGCCAATATAATGTCTCAATTTGGAGGCTCCAATCATCAAAATATGTGACCACTGGCAGGCAGTTGCTGTGCAGATTATCTGCCGGGATAAACGCGAGACGCGATCAAAACTTTTCTTGTCCGCCGCGCTTTTTTACAGGCAGACGCGGTTCTGAACGCGTCAAAAAAAAAAGTCTGGGGAAAGGGTTTCGGGAGGTCTTATCGGGGGGTGCCGTATATGACGCACGAGGCCCGCGATGATCTTATATGCCAATATATCCGTTTCATAATCCTACGTTATTCAAACAGCCAGCAGCTCTGACATATCACAATCCGTTTATTTACCAGCATGGCTACGTGACCGACCGAGGACGAGAAGCCTAAAGGTGTGAGACGCGGTTTTTTTGGTCAGCTAATTGGATTGGCTTCAGCCTGGTTGCTGCCTTCGAATCTGCCTTTATCTATCTCTACCTACCTACCCCTCATCCCATATATTGCCCACCACCACCCCGTCCGTAATCAACCATAGACCGACCCTCACAATCGCATCCCGGCGCATGAATCTCACGTCCCAGCTCAAATCTACGTCCTCCCTCCAATCTTGAGACCGTTTCACACACCCACACACACAGCCAAACAAATCCCCCACCACCACCACCACCACCACCACCGTGCATCAGAAGATCCGCACCCATGGGTGTCCTCAGGATCCCACGCCAGGATAACCAAGAAGGTTTCGTCCTGGTGCACATCGTCCCCCTTGCTCAAAAGGCCTCTGCGGCACTGGATGTCAAGATCCTGGCTACGGAGGGCAGTGCGCCTTTCGCCCTTACCTGTAAGATCCCCCCCCCACCACCCCCCTAGGCAGGATCCCTGTGCCGCGGATCAATGCACTTCCTTCCCTTCCTTACATTCTAGAAGATCACCGCTGATCCGGTCCTTAAGTGAAACAGAATCAAATCCAGAAACTCAAATCCAAGAAAGCACCCTGTACCGACGACGAATGGGAGGCGATATTGGAGGTTATACTACTACAGCAGGAGTCGAACCCTGAAAAGGCTGCGGTGGCGGAGGGGATAGAGGTTGAAGCTACGATTGAGGAGGATGTAGCTGTTGAGCTTGTCTTCAAGAAGTCGACGTCGGGTATCACTGTATGTCCCTCCCCACCCTTCCCCCCACCACTCCACCATCCCTGAGCCCGAGGCGAGGACCCCACGCTGACCTCCTTCCCCTACTAGCAACGCCTCGGCTCCCTCCGCCTCACCCACGACGAAGACCAGGAAATCGAACTCTTCGACTGGTGCGGTGCCTCGATCCAGCACTCTCACTCCCTAACGCGGACGCTTAAATCCGCACAATCAGCCCTCGTAAAAGAGCAAGCTAAGAGCCGGAAACTCGCAGAGCAGTTGGAAGATCTACTGAAGGCGAAGGGGGAGAATGAACATGTCTTGCTGGAGAAGTTCGCGCTGCTGTTGAATGAGAAGAAAGCTAAGATTCGGGAGTTGCAGGGCGGACGGGGGGTGGGGGAGGTGGAGATGCCGAGTAGACATAAGAAGGAGGAGGAGGAGCATGTCGTAGAGGAGAAGGCGGGGAAGTCGAGGAGGGGGAAGAGGAAGGCGGAGACTGTTGAGCCGGAGGAACCAGAGGAGATGGATGTTGATGAGGAGCAGGGGAAAGAGGAGGGCGCGACGAGGGATACGAGTGATGAGCAGGAGACGGAGGATGAGGATGAGGAGCCTGTGGCTGCGAAGAGGGGGGGAGGGAGGGGTGGGAAGGTGGAGGCTGAGGCTATGGATGAGGATGGCTCGGCTACGGAATCGGAGGATGATGGGCTATAATAAAAGATGTAGCTGTGTAGTTGGAAGGTACTATACTATACGTAATGAATGATGATTTTGGAAGATGTGGCAAGGGGCAGAAGTGTGATAGTAAATAGCCATTGGTCATTGTAACAGTCACCGTAACAGCTTTGGCCCTCAGCGCAGGGGGGTCGGCACTGGTAGACACTTTATACAAGTCGTACTATGTCTCATGGTCATTCATTTGATAACTATTCTCCCAACTCCAAATTTTCCCCCTATCCCCTCCAAATACACCCCAAAAACGCCAAAGCTATGCACATCCCCAAACACTCCCCAACTAACCCATCAACTCCACCCCCTGCCTCACAACCCCCACCACCGCCCCCGTCTGCACCACCTCGTTCCCCCCACCACTAAGCCTATACTCCACCTCCGCCAGCCCATCCATCCACGTAATCATCGTCTGCGCCGGCGTCTCCAGCTTCGTCAGCTCCTCCGCGATCGAGGCAATGATATCCGCCAGCGCGAGACCCTTGTTCGCTTTCAAAGTGTTGATGAGGGAGAGGCACGAGGAGACGTCGGAGGTCTTGAGGAGCGTGTCGACGATGAGGGAGATGTCGGCGGGCTCGGGGGAGGCGATGCATTCGTAGATTGTGGTGGTGGTGATTTTGTCGCGGACGATCTCGGATTCTTTGGGGATGGGTTGGCCTTTGATGTGTAGGGGTGTGCCTGGGGTATTTTCAGATGCTGTGAGATGTAATTAGGGAAGGCAAGGGGACTCACTGCTAGCATGGCAAGCTTGAAGCACGTTCAACGCCCTCCTCATGTCCCCCTTGGACAACTTGGTCAGCGCCTCCGTCGCCTCACGCGTAATATTCACCGTCTCCTCCTCAATAACCCTATCCACCAACACCCTAATATCCCTCTCCTTCAACGGGCTAAACCTAAACCTCGTGCACCTCGACAGCAGCGCGGGGGACAACTTATGCGTATAATTCGCAATAATACAGAACCTCGTGTTCGCCGTATACTTCTCCATAATCCGTCTCAACGCCATCTGCGCCGTCGACGTCATGGCATCCGCCTCATCCAGAATAATCAACTTATACGTCGCCATCGACTTCCCGCCCGCCTCGCTAGGCGCGGAAGAGAAGATCTGCCGAGTGCTCGCGAACGTCTTGATCTGCTCGCGCACGACGTCGATGCCGCGGTCGTCGGAGGCGTTGAGCTCGAGAACCATCTGGCGCATGTTTTTGACGCCGTAGATGCGCCGCGCGAGAGCGAGCACGGTGGAGGTCTTGCCGGTGCCGGGGGGGCCGTAGAGGAGGAGGTGGGGGAGTCGGTTGGTCTCGACGAAGCGGTTGATGGTTGCTATGATGTCTTGGTGACCGGAGACATCTTCGAGGGTGTCGGGGCGGTATTTTTCGACCCTGGGGGGTGAGGTTAGGTATGGTGAAGTTGGATATGGAGTTAGGGACCTGGGGCATACCATGGCAGGGTATCTTCAGCTTCTACGGGGAGGTTTGCAGCGCTTCTCTTGCCTTGGCTGGCCTGCTTGGAGGAGAATGTAACTGCATTGTCTTCAAGATCCACTGCGTCCACATCCATTCCATCCTCGTAGTCAGACATATTTGCGGGTGAAGGGGTTGAAATAGCAATTGTAAAGATTTAATGAGCTCTTAGCCTTGCACCTTTATTGAAGCTTTGGTACTCAGCGTTTGGGGGGACGCGACAGACGCGTAAAGAGTTGGTGCCTCAGGCATCGAAAATGTAGGTACCACATGGTACTCGAGGACTCGGACGTTTTTAGTGTACGGAAGAGTATGAAGCCGTACCTTTTTCTGTATGAAGATGTATCTCTAACTGAACTAACTGTAACCGATGTATATTTATTTTATTTATTTATTTATTTATTGATTTATGATTTATTATTTACTACTGCTTGATTTCAAATATAAATAATGCTCGTGCAAAACCGAGGGTAATTCAAAACATTAACACGTGTATGATAATCTTCCGTATACTATATATTAAAAAATACCCCTCACACTGAAAATAGTCGTCGTGGTCGCTTCGTCGCTTGTTTTCCCCCATCCCATCGCTAATCGATTGTAGATTGCGGGTGGCCGGGGACCTTGGCCTGTGCCCCCAGTACTGCGCCCGCCCTGATTGCCAGATTTTGCGACGCGAACATACCAACCTCACCATTATTCCGAGCTGTACCTGACACTCCCACACAACCTTCGACAACTCAACAACCTCGACCACCACGACTACGACTAACATACAGCATACAGCGACAGCGATACAACCAGCGATTTCTATAGACCTACTACATCCATTGCGCAACAACCTCCACGACTGAACGACTCCGTTGCGGCTGCCTGCGCCATTCGAATTTACCCACCAAACAACCACCATCATCGATCGCGTTGAACACCCACAGAGCCAGCAAACGCGCGACAATTACCTCACAGACACGATAATCCGAATCAGCAAACATCAATTGTGCACATAACCTTGATCTTACGCCTTCCGAACCCCCGCCTTGTTCGCTTTCCGTCATGAATCTCAACACTCGATCGCGATTGTGAACGTCATTGCCATAGTTCGGAATTTTGTGGACCAACAGACCACGGACAGGAACAACAAATTACTACTGAAAGGAGGAGGAGCGGCTTAGACCGAATAGGTCCGCAAGATGTTACAGCTGAAGCCACGACAGGTGGTGGAGGAGGCTGTGGAGAACTGGGACGATGACGACTTGGACATTGGAGGAGACGACTTTACATTCCCGAGCAGGACCGTGTCCATAGCGACAAGTGCCGGTCTATCACACCACCGAGAGTCTATTTCATCGCGTCTTTCCATTCGCTCCGACTTTGACTCGAATTTCGGAGACGAGGAACGTCAGGTGCAGGTACCCGGCGACGACGAGAGGTCCAGACACGATGCTATTGCAGCAGCAACTAGGGCTGGCATCCCACTGCCACAGAATGTTCCGGCGTCAGCACTTATGGGAGGGACGATAAAGCGCTTAGGCGGAAAGAAGGTGAAGAAGGTCATACAGCAGGACGACTGGGACGACGATCTTGAGCTACCATCCATTGGAGGAAAGGGATTCCAGATCAAGAAGCACGATCCGAGCGAGTTCCCTGATGCTCTACGACAGGTCAGCGGCCAGTCCGGCTCGGCGACAAACGAGTTCAGCAGCCCTGAGTTTTCCAAGTTTGACGAATTCGACAAATACGCTACCATCAGGCCAAAGACTAACTCTGGCCACCTCAACCTGGACCAATTCCGAGATGGAGACGATGATGATGATTTCTTTGGTGGGGGAGGTGGCACTATCAAAGTCACGAAGAAGCGCCTGGTGAAACCCGTCACGGTCGTTGTTCCACCCACTCCGGTGAAACCGGGGTCCAAAGAAGATGATGATTTCGAGAGCGACTTCCAATTACCATCCGACGGCAAACCACTGAGACTATCTATCGGAAAGGATATCCCCAAAACTCCGGCAAGCTCACAAGACGAGTTTGACGAGTGGGGTGAGGGAAGCCTCGGAACGAGATTTGGAGGAACCCGGAGATCCGATGGTCGGTCAAATAGAAGCTCTTCCGCTTCCGCCCTCAGCCCAAGTGTGTCCAGCTCTATTACAATTGAGAGCGAGGATGAAGGCCTCGATGGACTTGTTCTTCCAACCGGCCCATTTAACTTCGAGGATATCCTGAAGAAGCGCCAAGAAACTCAATCACCCGAACACCAGGAGGCCCAAACCCCAGCCGCAAAGCCTGAATCAACCAGACCAGCTGCAGCTCGTCTTTCATCGAAAGATGACTTCCTCTTTGGCCTTGAAATTGGCGATGGCGATGTCTTCAATTCGGGCCGTTTGACCCATAACCGCAATGTGAAGGTCAAGACAAGCCGACCAATGAGCCCGCAACGACCAAAGACGGCAGTTTCGTTGAAATTCACAGATAAACCATCACCACCCGTGGGCTCCTCCTCAAGGCTTCCCCGACCCCTCGGCCATGAGAGACATGCTTCTAATCTCGATCCCGTTTCGGAGAGTGGAGGTCCCATGTCGGCTCAGGTTAAACGAACACATTCCAGGCTGGGTCATTCTTCGCAGTCTTCCGTTAGCAGCATACCAACACCCGCCACCCCCACCTCTGTACAATCTCTGCCACCATTAACACCACGCCGACGTGATCTCACACAGAAGCCATCGCTCAATGCCCTGCGCAATGAACCAACGACGACCAATGCTCAACTTCTCAAGTTGAAGAGGTCGATGCCTATTATAAGACACACCAACTCACCCGCAAAACCCGCGATACATCGTTACGACAGACCCCCTTCCCGAACCGACTCAAACAGTAGACCGAATTCAATTATTAGGCCCAAGACTCCAGTTGACCGGGATCGATCGGGCGCGGATAGCAGCATGTCTCATGCGAGGCGAAACCCAGTTCCGTTCCTACCAGCTGGGAACTCGACCGCACAGTCTCATCATGTTACAATCAAAACTTCCCGCCACTTCCGTCAAAATGACTCGACTTCCTCGATTACTAGTGACTACAGGTCGTCGTCTCGTGCCATGTCTCGAACAACAGTAAGATCTCCGAGTCCAAATCGCGCTCGGCTAAGAAACCCTGAGGCATTGGCTCGGGAAGCCGCCTCAAAGAGACAAGTTACGAAGCCTAGCAAGCAACGTCACTTCGGTGATGGGCGTGAGTTGGATGGGTTTGATGATCTGCCTACATCTCAGACTATTGAGCAGAAGTACATTAAACAACCTATCGGCCGAGGACCACCAAAAGCTCTCATGCGGAACAAGGTTTATCAGAACACCATTCCTGATAGGAGTGTCTCGACGACGCCTCTGCCTGGTCCATACTCGCCCGCGAGATATGAGAACAACCGTTATGAGAACCTGCCGAGATACACACGAGACACAAATGCGAGTCGCATGGCTAGAGAGCAGGTACTGTCTCAGCGCGCACCATCGTCGCAGGGTGGTCCTTTGTCTACCCTAACGAACCAATGGAAGGCTCAAATTGCAGCGAAGTCAAACCTCCAGGCCACCCGCCCGCCGCAATCACTTCGAACAAAGAAGAGCAAGCCGGTGCAGCAGAGACCTCACCTCATCAAGCCACTCAGCGACACCAGCAAAACCACAAAATGTAAGCCCCCCGCCACCCCACCCCCCTCTCAACCCCCAAAAACAATTACTAACATGCTCCCCCCAGCCGTCAAAGGAATGACCTACAACCCCACAACCTACCTCTGGGAAGGCAACGAAAACGACCTCTCCCCCTTCGACGCCCCCATCGACTCCCCCACCCCCTCCACCATCCCCCCACACCTCTTCCGCGAAAAAGAATCCTCCACCCCACGCCCGGCACTCATCACAAACATCAACGCCTCCCAAGGCGTCCAAGTCGTCGGCGGCATGGTCTTCGACCCGCAACGCATGTGCTGGCTCAAAGTCCCGCACCAAAAACGCGGGAAATCCCTCTCCCGCAACGCCTCGGAGGGGGGGGACACAATGGATGGCTTTGACGCCCTCGATGACGAGGAAGAGGATGTCTTCAAAGACGTCCCGGATCTGGAAGATAAACCCTCCGCTTCCTCGCCCAGCAGGGACGCGCATGAGTCCGGCGCAGGAGGCAGGTCGCGCAAGAGCGGCGGCACGGATGGTGGTGGGCTCAAGGACGACTGGCTCGTTGGGGAGGAATTCGATGTTGGTCCTGAGTTTGTGCGACGACAGCGAGAGGAGGAGGAGAGATGGAAGAGGAAGGTTGAGAAGTGGATTGGCAAGGACCGCGAGGTCGTGGATCGGGAGAGTAATTGGCGCTGGCGCATTAGGGATGTGGTGAACCAGTTGTAAGAGATGAGTGATGATGATGAGCTTCTGCTGAGTGCGGAGGCGGTTTGGATATGGATATGATAGAATAGGGCTGGGCTGCAGAGCTCGGGGCGGGGGGGTATGTGGCATTTTTGCTGTGTGCGTATGCTTGGTTGTTGCTTGTTGGATGCTTTTTTTGCTTGGGATGAATATGGGATGGGGTGGGGTGGGGTATAGATGGGGGGAATCGGCTTGGTTGGCTATGAATGGGGGCGCTTTGGCATATTGGCTAGGTTTTTTTGATGTGGTTGGGGGGACCGGGGCCGGGGCCGGGGGGTGGGGGGTGGGGGATGGGAAAAGGGGGGGGTTACGAAAAAGATGAGATGATGTGTTATGACTGTGATGAATAGTAGCAAAAGCAAGCAATTAATACTCCTGCCCACACACAATCATGCTCTTTTGTATCTTTATGAGTGAAGTTTTAATATCTGATGCGTATTTGAGGCTACCACTCCGGTAGATGCCATCGCCATTGCCAGCGATATTCCATCAATGTGGGCCTCTGCACAGGTTGTGAGTAATTCAAATCCGCTGTACCAAAATAAGTCCACGGATAGGGGGTGGTCGAGAGCCATTGCTGTAGGTTGGTTGAGGGTGGTGATGGTGGTGGCAGAAACGGCGGTGACGATAATAACGGGTGACAGGAGGACGGATGGCAGCGGTGAGGGTGCAGCGGCGGGGGCATTGTCGGTGAGAAAGGGGTGTTGGAATGAGGAGTCGGGAACTTCGCCACGATGAGTTCATGAGGTGTCTCATGATGCTCTCCCAGTGGTAGGATCGTTTGCCGCCATCCCTACATTCACTATGATGAAGTTTGCGAGTGTGGACGATGTGTGGAGTGGCTCCGGCGGGCTTAGTTTGGCTGCGCCTGCCGTCGTTCTCGATGAGGATCGGCTGGGATGAATATCACATTTATAAACAACACAGCGGCATTACTTTTAACTTCTGTATTTCTTACTTCTACGATCCCATATATACAGCCAACACCCAAATGCGCAGAGAGACAGATAAAAGGATTATACAACACCCCCGTGCCTTAAGCCTGGGCCTCCCCGTACGTGATCTGCGGCGGTGGCTGCTCGCCTGCCGCCATGAAGTTGGTGTTTGGGTTCCCCGTCTCCTTCGCCGCCGAGCAGCGTGCCATCGTTGGAGAGCTATGAACGGCGTTAGTTGCTATACTTTCATAATAGTGTGTTGTGGATGGGGGGGGAGGAAACATACCTTCTTGAAATAACATCTGTGAAATAAAAGTTGTCAATGACCTTCTTCAGCGGCTCGTTCGTCGCCTTGCTTCCCTTGTTCTGGTCCACCAACTGTACCTTGCTCAGCTTACCCATCGACACCGGTTCAACGACATCGTAGCTCGCAAGCGCGGGGCTGATCTCCACCATGCGGTCGCGGAGAGCGGCGACATCATCGTAAGGAAGCGGTGCGCCGAGGAACTCGGACGCAGCACGGAGGATCTTCCAGTCAGTGCGCGAGGCACCGGGTAACGAGGTAGCAGCGCGAGTCATCTGGACGCGACCCTCAGTGTTGACGTACGTGCCAGACTTCTCGGTGTAAGCTGCACCAGGCAGGACAACATCGGCGAGCTGGGCGCCCTTGTCACCGTGATGGCCCTGGTAGACGACGAAGGCATCCTTGGGGATGTCGGCGGCGTTGATCTCGTCAGCGCCGAGTAGCCAGACGAACTTGGGCTTGGTGTTGCCGACCTCTGCGGAGGGGGTGGTGAAGCCAACCTCGAAGGCGCCGGCACGGGATGCGGCGCGCTGGAGGACGTTGTAGCCGTTCCACTCCTCGGTGAGGAAGTTGGCGTTCTTCTCGACGAAGGTGCCGACGGTCTCGTAGATGGCCTTGGCATCAGCGTGGTCAGTCACACCGGATCCAACGATGACCATTGGGTTCTTGGCAGCCTGGAGCTTCTTTCCGAATGGTCCGGCAAGGGCCTTCTTCAGGGCAGCGGCGTCCGCACCGAGGTGCTCGAACTCGAAAGTGGACTCGAAGGACTCGCCAACAACGGCGACCTCGAGGTCGGAGCGAAGCCATTGCTTGCGGATGCGGGCGTTAAGAACCGCAGCCTCGTGACGGGGGTTGCATCCGATGATCAAGATGGCGTCAGCATCCTCGATACCCCAGATCTTGGAGTTGAAGAGGTAGTTGGAACGGACATCAACACCGTGAGCAATTGGCTGGGATCCGTTTGGCTGGTCGAGGGCCAGGTTGTCAGAGCCAAGCTTGTTGGCAAGGTCCTTAGCCGCAACCATGGACTCGACCTCAGTCAGCTCACCAGCAATGAACTTGAACTCGTTGCCCTTTGGCGCAAAGTCACGGTATGCAGCGCCGATCTCAGTCAGTGCCTGCTCCCAGGTAGCTGGTACAAACTTGTCTCCATTGCGGATAAGGGGGGTTGTAAGACGCTGGGTCTTGAGACCATCGCACGCGAATCTAGTCTTGTCATCAATCCACTCCTCGTTGACATCATCGTTGAGTCTTGGGAGAATTCTCATGACCTCCAGTCCGCGAGAATCGACGCGAATGTTGGATCCGAGACCGTTAAGGACATCAATGGACTCAGTGTGCTTCAGCTCCCAAGGCCTAGCGCGGAAAGCGTATGGCTTGGAGGTAAGGGCACCAACTGGGCACAGGTCGATAATGTTTCCAGACAGCTCGGAATCCAAGTTCTTCTCAAGGTATGTGCCAATCTGCATGTCGTTTCCACGTCCGGTAGATCCAAGCTCGGGAGCACCGGCAATATCGTTGGCAAATCGAATACATCTCGTGCAGTGAATGCAACGGTTCATCGAAGTCTTGATTAAAGGACCAATGTTCTTGTCCTCGGTGGCACGCTTGCCGCCAATCTCGTGGAATCGTCCGCGGTCTGAACCGTAACGCATCGACTGGTCCTGGAGATCGCACTCACCGGCCTGATCGCAGACCGGGCAGTCGAGGGGGTGGTTTGCCAGGAGAAACTCCATAACACCCTCGCGAGCCTTGTGTGTAAGAGGCGAGTTGGTCTTGACGACCATACCGGCCTGGACTGGCCATGCGCAGGATGCTACAGGCTTTGGTGCCTTTTCGACCTCAACCAAGCACATACGACAATTTCCCGCGATCATAAGTTTTCTATCTCGATTAGGGTCGTGAATTCGATATCGTTTCTAGGTAGGACTTACTCATGATAACAGTATCTATAAGGAGTCAGCAAAGATCAATTTGTGTATCAATTGGCGGATTACATACCTTGGAACGACGCTCCCTGCCTTCTCGCAAGCTTGAATTAATGCCGAGCCAGCTGTTAAAATCGTCAGTTTGGTCCCAATCCCCCCACAACACATCACATACCCTCAATTGAGATCTTCTTGCCATCTGTAGAGCAAAATTAGTACAATCCCACACAACGTATCGCATAACCCAATGCCCCGTACCTATAGTAAGTTCGACCTCCGCTTGTCTCCGTCCCGACGTCGAGAAAGTCCTGGCGGCATTGACGCTCTGCGCGCCCCTCCGAAGGGCCGACCTGGTGATCGTTTGCCGCAGCATCGTGCCTTTCATCAACTACCAAAGGAAACGGAAAGAGGCAGTGCTGTACAGCGGCGTGCGTTGTGTATTCACCTCTATTGGGAGTCGGCTGCGGTAGTCAAGCTCACTGCCAAACGCTGTGATATTGGGATTTAGCGCGTATTATTACTAAACTGTCTTGTGTCCTGTGTGATTGGCTGCGGGGCCTCGGTTGCGGATTAATGATATTCCGTAACGACGATATGATGCAAAATTATTATGGGAAGGGAACCTTTCTTCTTCTTTCTTCTTTACTCATTCAGAGCCTATTATTGTCGAGTAGCTGGTGCAAACTCTTCCGTTTCGACGGGAGTGATTGTAAGGTCTGGCTTCTCGCTATCATGTGCTCGAGAGCACGAATTCGAAGGCGCTGTAATGGATACGATTGAGAGCCTCTGTTTACATGCTTGATGATTTATGTTTCTTACCGACAGCTGCTACATTTCACCTCTTCCCTTTATTTTAGCATCATACATGATGAATGGACACCCTTTACGGACATTATAACATGAGATACAGGTGAAACATGCCTCCAGGCCAGCGGAGTGACTTGTCCCCAGACGACTACGATTACTGAAACCGCCTTTTTCGACTCCATCTTCATCTTTCCTATCATCTTTCTCTTTCTCTTCTTCTTCCCCTTTTCCCTTCCCCCTTTCTCCCCTCCCCAAGATTTCAAATGATGAACAAATTGGTCCGTGTTACTGAGGGGCCTCAAGAACCCCATTATGGCGATACACCAGCACTTCGTGCACTTCTGATTGAAATCACTTCTCCCCCATCTAGTGATGGGGTGAGTATTCCATGAACTCCACCACGTATGATGTGCTGAGGATTATACTATGCCTTGTGACTACAATCGAAATATATATAATTCTTCAACATTTTGTAGCAAGACGAGTGTATATCTACCACTGCACCCGCCCAATGGTATAAACAAACAAGGCTTGGTTTGAAACATTTAATGAAGGGCCTTACACGACATTGTTTGATGAACGGCCCAGTCCCACCACTGGGTAGAGCTTCCAACTCTTGATACTACACTCCATTCCATGTTCGTGATTATATTTTGTTGGCAAGAACACTTGGTCGGTGAGAAGACCGCATTGACAAGAAGACCGCATCGGTGAGAAGAAATCGCGAGAGTCGTCGTGGCCATACAGCGGACCAGGAATGGGCGTCCGTTACCACTCATTGTATCCAGGCCACTTGATTTAACAATGAAACGCTTGTTCTCTTCGTAACTTCGTAGTCTTGGGGTTGATATCTAAGACTGTGAGACTCTTCTTGCCTTCTAGCTATCATACATAGTCCGATCCCTGTGAGAAAATCGAAGGTGGAGAATGTCGAGCAAGGAATGCTCGACAATATATAAGCTGTATATATCACAATTTGTTTCCTCATCATTCCTACCTGTCAGAAGACCGGGGCTCAAGTCTGGGGCGAAGGTCTTCCCTATCGTAAAACTACACACTCAAGGCCACCAACCTCGTCCAGCACCCCTATTATTAAGCTCGACTTCCCATTACTTTTTTTATTGCTTAGCTGGCAAGACATGAATAAGATAGGAATCCGCATAGAATGGCAGTTACAAGATGACGAATGGGTATCTCGATGGCTGCAGCCCGCAAAGAGGCCGTTCAGGATGCTAGCAAGAGAGAAGGTGACACCAGGCCATCCACCGGTGACAGCACCAACGGTGGCAACAACCACGACAGCAAGAAACCCCCACCGACAACAGCTTCCGCACCAACAAGAAACCGCATACCAGCCCAGCTGCAGCAGAAAGGCGTGACGGGAAAATGTCAGTATGAGCTGTATTCAACAAACCCACGCGCAGATAACGGAAAGATATGGCCTGCGTTTTTGAAGTATTGAACATGAATCGAGTATCAAGCGAGCCTTTTATACTGGATTTGGAGAGGCTGCGTTGGTGGGGTCTTGGGGTTTCTTCGGCGGTGTTGAGATGGTGTTAAGAGGGAGAGATGTAAGAAGGCTGATAATGTATTTGAGAGTAATAGAAGGACATGGAATATGTCCCCTTCACAACAAAATATGGACATAAATTCACACGTAAATAGCAAAGACAAATCAGGCGAGAACATGTATAATTTATCTAGCCTCTCAAAGACAACGAACAAGCTCACGATAAGGCACAAAGCACATCGATCTACGCATCCTCATTGCTCGAGCCCAAAAAAATATTCTCTAAATCTCAGCAATCATCATTCCCTCGCATCGCTTTTTTGTCCGACAAGTTTCATTCGTTTTATATTTTCATCTCGACGAAGCGCTCATAGCCGTCCCTTGACCAGGTCCCCCCTGCGAAGAAAACACACAAATATCAGACTCTGGAGAAACAGCAGGGAGGAGGAGGCGCGACGTCAGCGACGCGGGGTGGAAGTGAGAAGAAGGTCCTACTGGGCAGCGCCGTCGACCTTGGCAATGTATGCGAGCAGGTCGAGCACACGGCGGGAGTAGCCCCACTCGTTGTCGTACCACGAGACGAGCTTGACGAAGTTGTCGTTGAGGGAGATACCAGCCTTGGCATCGAAGATGGAAGAGGCGTTGTGGCCGTTCATGTCGGAGGAGACAACCTCGTCCTCGGTGTAGGCGAGTATGCCTGGGGGATGTTAGTCTGGGCAGAAATTTGGGGGATGGGGGTGGGGGGTGGATATACCCTTCATGGTGGTCTCGGAGGCCTTCTTGATGACGGCCTTGATCTCCTCGTAGTTGGCGCTCTTCTCGATGCGGACGGTAAGATCGACAACGGAGACGTTGGCGGTTGGGACACGCATGGACATGCCGGTAAGCTTGCCGTTCAGGACGGGGATAACCTTTCCGACGGCCTTAGCGGCACCGGTGGAGGATGGGATGATGTTCTGGGCCGCAGTGCGGCCTCCACGCCAGTCCTTGGCGGATGGGCCGTCAACGGTCTTCTGGGTGGCGGTGTAGGAGTGGATGGTGGTCATGAGGCCCTCAATGATGGTGAAGTTGTCGTTGATGACCTTGGCGAGAGGTGCCAGGCAGTTGGTGGTGCACGAGGCGTTGGAGATGACGTTGAGGTCGGACTTGTAGGTCTCCTCGTTGACACCCATGACGAACATGGGGGCATCTGCGGATGGGGCAGAGATGACAACCTTCTTGGCGCCACCCTTCAAGTGAGCGGAGGCCTTCTCGGTGGTGGTGAAAACACCGGTGGACTCGACGACGTAGTAGGCACCAGTCTCGGACCATGGGATGGCGGCTGGGTCCCTCTCGGTGTAGAAACGGACGGTCTTGCCGTTGACGATCAGGTCCTTACCATCGACCTTGATGTCACCCTTGAACTGGCCGTGGGTGGTATCATACTTGAGCATGTATGCCTGGAAGCAGCGGAATTAGTCAGATATTCTTGTTTATTGTGTTTGTGGGTAGTGTAGTGTCTTACGGCGTAGGTGGGCTCAATGAAGGGGTCGTTGACAGCGACGACATCGATGTTGTCAAGCTCGACGGCATTGCGGAAGACAATGCGTCCAATGCGACCGAAGCCGTTGATTCCGACCTTTGTGGGAGCCATCTTGATGAAAATGTCAGTTATTGGTGTTCCAGGCTACAAATAATGGATAGAGAGAGTTTGAAGTGGTTTTGGAGTTGATGTTATTCTCAAACTGTTGAGAAATCCCAGCTAGATAGAAGGCTGATGTCACGAATGAGGGGTACAAAAGCTTCGATGGAGCACTTGCTCAGCTTTGCAGCTCAGCGTGTAATTCCAAGCCTGTGTACAAGCACACTCGGCAAGGCTGATGCTCATGATGATGAAGAGTACTCACATTGTTATTATGGGTGAATTTGTTTGTGAGGATGATAAACAAGTGATTGATGTTTGATCGAAGAAAAAGAGAGAGGATGGAGGGGCAGTTGAGGTTGGGCGGGAAGAAAATAGCCGATCATCCCACGTCCTATCCTCGTCGAGCTATGTACCTTGTAGTAGTGTATGTACTGCATGTATACTTAGGGCCGATACTGGGCGAGGGAAAGGAGGGGAGGGGGGGATGAATCATAGTAATTGTTGGAAGGAGGCGTTGCATCTCTCTCTTACCCGTACAAATCAACAAATCATACCAAATCAATAAGCAAATAAGACGATTAATGCACTTGATACAACTGAAATAAAGGTCTCACTGATAAATATAATATAATTCTGGTCCAATCAGCCATTTGAGATATGTCTAGCCATGACTACTTGCATTGATATTATCATTGATTTGTACTACATTTTTTATATTTCTTTGCCGCCCACCGCCCACCGCCCATGGTCTTTCTCAGCCTCGCCCTGAGTCGTCGACAATTAGATCGTCGAGTCCCCTTACTTCTCCGCATTCCCCGGTACTGGTCCCGTCATCAAGGGGTCTCGTTCCCTCGATATGCCTCTTTTCTACCCGTTTCCACTGCGCCTTGAGGGATATTGGGCGACATTGGCCGTCCTTGGCCCGTCATACTCGAGGAAAGCACCGGAGCTTCGGCAACAGACGTGCCCTTGGCCCCGGATTGTTTTCGCAGAGCTGCTCTAACTGGGCTATAAGCGGTTGATCGCGAGGTTATTCGTCTATTACTCTTGGAACGACAAAAATCGAGCGCATACTTAGGTAAATATTACATTTTTGAGGAGTATCACCAGATGCATTTTGACACACACACCACCTCACACCACCACACACACCACACACACACATTTCTTGGCTCTAGACGCCGGTGTCGGTGAGGGATCGGTGGGATCGGTGAGTGATAAGGCTCAGGCGGCCCTTCTTCCCTGCGTTTGCGAACTATTATAAAGCTAAGAGGCGGACTTGCTAAAGTGCCGTAATCTGTTGCCACTCCACGTACTCCACGGCCGCAATCAGTCCCAATCGGTCCCAATCAGTCCCAGTCAAAACCCACCGTGTCCAATATGTTGTGGGCCAATTGCAGCCATGGAATTGAAGTCGTTGCCTCTCAACCGCGCTCGATTGACTTTTGCTTATTGCTCATGTATTGCTCATGGGGCTTTTTTGCTCAGAGCTCATAAGCTCGTCAACAGCTCTTATCCGCCGCCGCTCTGTGGCACTGCAAAGCTGTTACTGTAAGCAAGTGTAAGTAGTGTAAAGTAGCTACAAGTAGCGGCGGATAAGAGCTGTTTTAAGTCGTTTAGCACGAGTAATTTGTTATGGGACTGACAAAAAAGAGGCTGGTTGCGCCATGGTCGCCATGGTCAGTGCTGCCAAGAGTAAAAATTTGAAAACAGCTCTACACGTGACATATTTTTACGTATCCACGTGATATTGAGTGATTTTTGTACGATCACGTGATATGTTCACCACAAAAGCTGAATGGAAGAGAAATAGCTGTAGAGACAGTTCCTACAATCTCACACAATGTAAGAAACCATAGTCTCAAGCTCCAATGGCATTTCCAACACCATTTTTACATATCCACGTGATATTGAGTTATTTACATGTAATCACGTGATATATACACCATATAGCTTGAGATGAAGGGAAATGCCTATAGAAACAGTTCCCACAAGCTCATATAATGTTGGAAATCATATTCTCAAGCTCCAATGGCATCTCCAACACCATTTCCAACTCGCTTCCTCCCAAACCACGTGCTTCGCCGACCTTCACAAGTAATTCATGATGTATGTAAAATCCTCGCGTCCCCATTGGCCAATCCCATCCATCCGCTTACTACTCTGCCGACCACCCGCTCCGTAACATTTACCTGTTCTCCCTCGCTTAACCTCCCTCCTCCTACGAAATTTAATGCGGCTCTCACCAAACCTCTAGCTCCAATCTCGAACCTCAGACCTCCTCCCAGCTGTCACTCACCAAAGACATCCAACCTCACCGACCCTCACTCTCTTTCACATCCTCCCACCACACTCACACCACCGTCACAATGCTCCGCACTCCCATCACCCGCGCCGTCGGCGCCGCTGCGCGCTCGTCCGTCATCGCCCGCCCCGTCCAGTCCCGCGCCGCCCACGCCATCTCCAACCCAACCCTCGCCAACATCGAGCGTCGCTGGGAGCAGATGCCACCGCAGGAGCAGGCCGATGTCTGGATGGCCCTGCGCGATCGCATGAAGACCAATTGGGCTGAGCTGACCCTGCAGGAGAAGAAGGCCGGTAGGTTTCCCTTTCTCCGGTGGAACGGGCCGAGGTGATGATGTTGCTGGGCCATTGCGTTTGAGAACTTAGATGAGGTCGTGTGAGGGTATGGGGATATATGTAGGAGTATGTTGCTGACGTGTTATGTGTTGAATAGCTTACTGGATTGCCTTCGGTGCCCACGGTCCCCGTGCCGTCGCGCCCCCAGGAGAGGGATGGAAGGTCCTCGGATACACACTCGCCGGTATTGTCGTCTCCTTCGGTCTCTTCGCCGGTGTCCGCAGCTTCGCCAGAGGCCCACCAGCCACCATGACCAAGGAGTACCAGGAGGCATCGAACGAGTACCTTCTCGTATGTTCCCACCCTCACTTCCCCAAAATCACCACCTTGCCTAAAAAAAGAGAACCCTCACTAACATCCCATCCTCCCACAGGCCCAGAACTCCGACCCCATCAGCGGTCTCTCCTCGGAAGGCTACAAGGGCCCCGGAATGGTCCAGTCCCCACCGGCCGCGAAGCAGTAAAGCATCTCTCTGCCCGGCTACGACGAATAATAGACTCTTGTACTGTACAACCTCGAACCCGATTCTCGGCGCACACACGGCCGTTATCCGCGTTTGCCGCGCATTTTCACTTGTTCCCGCGGTTTTTCTTTTGTTGATGGTGAGCGGCGGAAGGGGCCGGGAGAGTCGGCTTGGATTTGTACAAAGATGGTTTTGAGAGGGGAAGTAGAAATTTTTGGGAGGGGAGGGGAGAGAAAAGGGAGGGGATGGGGGGAGCGGGTTTTTTTGTGCATAGAAATGGAAGGTTGTTTTTGTTGCACCTGTGTATCTCATCTCAAATATGCGTCTACAATTGTCTGTGTCTGCGTGACTGGTTGTGTGCTTAGAACGTACGGATAAACGCTAGGGAAGGACCTGAACCGGAGCGTTCGAACGATGCTTTCATTCGGAGCGGTTCAGAATGAGGCAAGTCTTTTATAGAATATGCTTCCTAGCTCTGTTGCAGATTCCAGCGCCGGCGAGTTGCCGACCATATATTATGGAAGGGTGTCGAGAGGACGACGCCGAAGCGACCACCAGCGAATTTGAACGTCTACTCTGTATCAGGAGGTCGACAGCAAGCTCTCTACTTGTCAATAGACAAGATGGGACTCGGTTAACATTAAAGGGTTGATGCCAGTAGTTCGGTGACCAGTGACAGCATCCAGAAGGTGAGAATATTACACCGGCGGCAAAAGCATCGGAGAGGTGAGAAGATGGCAGCAACAGCAACAGCATTGGCCGTCGACAAGAATTCGCGTTAACGGTGACAGCAGACAATTCACGGACTCCCGCTTCACCGGGCGTGGAGCACAGATGGATCGTTTGAAGCATATTGCAAAGCATATGGTGCGCATAATCAGGGTAGTGTACGTCTTTCCAAGGCCCATTGAGTCCACAAGGAGCCCCGATGCCCAGGATGGCACTATAAGTAAAGTGCCAAAAGGGCATTATTATGATACACAGATTTTATGCGGTTGCTCGATTCAACAGTCGGACAAGATTTGTTCGATTTGATTCTCACAACAGGACCGATTCACAGATTTTATGCGGTTGCTCCTCGATCCAACAGCCAGACAAGATTTGTTCGATTTGATTCTCACAACAGGACCGATTCACAGGAGCGTATACGGCTCAGATATAAATACAAGCTATAATAGTCATGCAAGTCTAAACGCAATATGCAACAGCGAACGCCTAATAGCGGGACTGAGGTGGAAGGACCAGGGGCCAATTAAGATACCGCCCGTTATAACACCGAATACCATTACCAGATCATCGTCATAGATGTAGGCCTGCCAGCCCCTGAAAACCAATTACTGTTTCGACAACAGAATATGAGAGGCGAGAATATTGCAACGACAGGACCTGAGAGGTGAGAAGCTGACACCAGCGGCAACAGCATTAGCCGTCAACAACAAGAATTCGAGTCAATGGTGACAGCAACAATATTAAAGAGGTGAGAAGATGCCACGGCAGTAACAGCTTTAGGCAATGACAAGAATTCGGATTGACGGTAACAGCAACAACATATGACGCATCCATAAGGGGTCCCCCACACCGAGGATGGCATTGAAGGAAAGCTGCCAAAAAGTTAAGATTCTTGACTTCAGTCGGTATCGTCCTAAATTCTTGGATGATTATTCAGACTACCCTGTTGATTTGGTAATTAAGGGGGTTGGTGTCATTACGCCATATACTGCCCAAATCGCTTGTGCTTTGAACGACAGCGTTAGTGATGTTATTGCTGCACATCAATCAGAGCTAGGCAGAGGCATCTTAAAGGGTCGAACACATGTGCCCCTATCTATCCGGCTTAATGACTAGCACCTACGCCGACCCTTCGGGGACCAATGAGGGCTTTAGCAACAACATTCAAGAGGAGAGAATATATTGGAACGACAGCATTCAAGGGGTGAAATATATTGGAACGACACCAACAGTTTCAGGCGGTGACAAGAATTCGGTTTAACGGTGACAGCAGGCAACTCATGTATAGCTCGTCGCCTTAGCTATGATGAGGTAGAGGTCTGGAATAATTTCATGGCAGCCCTCCTCCACTGATTGCATACCGGCCCTGTTGGTGCTACGATCATCATTGACTTCCATGATTTCGATATATATATGAGAGCGGTGAAAGTCATGGCTTGAGCCGGCCCTGTGAGGCTCCATGCCGGCTCGAGATCGATTGGCTTGCCTCGGATCAAGGTCGGCGTCAAGGACCGGCCCCAATCGTATCGGCTGCTATTCCGGCTTTGAAAGGTGAGATTCGTGTCATATCACTATCACAAGAGCCACCGATGGTAGCCGCCCTTGCTAATAATAAATTTGTATTCTTCAAAACCTCGCGGCTAACCTAGATATATACCATACGCCCACGCCTCCTACCCCATCCAGGAAAACGCCCAATAACCATGCAACGCCATTGTAGGCCCATCAAACCTCCCAGACACCCCTCCAAAGCCTCCTCACATCCCACTCCCAGCACTCTCCCTCAACGCCTCAAAACTCACACTCGAGTCCTCCCGCCCCTTCTCCCTCTTCTCCTTATCCGCCCACTCCTTCTCCTCCATCTCCCACGCCCTCACAAACTCCCCCCCTTTCCCACGGCTCCAATACCCAACCCTCCCCTCCCTCCTCGCCGCCCTCGCATCAACAAGCACATACCGTACCGAGCTCCCAGGGACCTCGTACATCGCTTCTCCAAGTAGCATCTCGACCGCGGTACGCAATCCGCGTGCTCCAGTGCCGAGCTCAAGACCCGTCTGCGCGATGGCGTATAAAGCGGCAGTGGTAAACCGCAGCTCAGTGCCGAAAGTGGCGAACATGGCGGTGTACTGCGCTGTGATGGCGTCGCGGGGTTCGGTGAGGATGCTGACGAGGTTGGGGAGTGAGAGCGGTGCGAGAGCGACGGTAACCGGAATGCGGCCTAGGAATTCGGGGATGAGGCCGAAGGTTTGGAGGTCCTGAGGAGTGGCGAGGTCGAGGGGATTGTAGGTTTGCTCGGGGACTGTTGTGGCTGTGGCGTCGGTGGTGGCGGATGTGGCAGTGGGGATGTCAGTGTAGAAGGGGAGGTTCTTGAAGTAGGTGCGTGCGTCTTCTGAGTTCATCGTCATCTGATGTGGCGACGTGGGGGTGTTCCGGACAGACGCCCCAAAACCGAGCGAGCCTTTGGAGAGACGGTTCATGATCATCTTTTGGAGGCCAACAAAGGCACCGGTAAAGATGAACAGAATATTGTCGGTGTTGATGGTGTAGCTTTCCGGCTTCTGGCCGTTGCCTGTTGGCTGCGCTGAATTGGCAGTGAAATTGACGTTCGCTGGACTCCCGCCAGGAGCGCGATTACTCTTCTGATCATGCTTTGCGGTTATAGTGAGAGTTGTGCCTTCGACGATTTTTAGCAACGCTTGTTGTACACCCTCGCCACCGACATCCCGCCCGTTCATTGATCGAGAGACGGCCAGCTTGTCCACCTCGTCCAGACATATTATACCATGTTCTGCTCGAGCAACATCGTAATCTGCAGCCGCAAGGAGCCTCTGCACGCAAACGTCCGCATCTTCGCCTATATAACCAGCTTGCGTAAAGGGTGTGCAGTCGGACATGCTGAAGGGGACTTCGAGGGCCCGAGCCAGAGTCTTCAATATGTGAGTCTTTCCCACGCCTGTGGGTCCAATAACCATGACGTTCGATTTCTCAATCGTAATTCCGGGGCGGTCGGCAAGGGGATCGTGGAGAGGAGGAGGTTCATTTCGTATGGGTTCGTTCCGTGTGAATTCGCTTCGTATGGATTCATTTCGTATAAATTCGTTTCGGAAGGGTTCATTCCTTAGAGAAGAAATTCGGCGTGCTACTTTAGGGACAGGCTCCTCTTCCGGTGTTGGGCTGAACTTTATGGTTCTCTTCGCAGGAAGAAATATATCTTATAAGAGCAGCTTTGTTAGTATATTTACAATAGTGTTCCACAAATAGAAACATAACTTACCATCAGAATGGTAGACTTCGTGTTCCCGAACACTCCTCTTCCTAGCCTCACGATCCAGCCTGAATTGCTCCTCCTCCTCTTGCCTCTGAAGCTCGTGCACTCGCTGATAATGGTTGTACACGGCTACGGATAGCATCTTTTTTGCCCTCTCTTGCCCAATAACATATTTATCCAGGTGTTCCTTCAATCGTCGAGGTGTGATTCGAGGTGCCCCATGGCTGGATGCTTGGCCCAACGGGCCTCTCGTAGGTCCGACAGGCTCATAGACGCCAGTGAACGGTTGCCCTTGAAGGTCGTTCCTATCGAAGGGGGGTTTTGATGCTTTCTTAGATGTTGAGAATGCCGCTCTCAGTGGTTGTTTGGTTGTTGAGCGCTTGAGATTGGAGAGGGCGATGTATGATATCCGGACCTGGGTTCCGGCGGTGAAGCTGAGATCCCCCAAGATGACTGGAGGCATTTTGGGCTAAGGCGAGAATAATATCACATAACGAAGCTTCACAGAAGCAAAGCCCTCTTCCCCGCAAGCTCCGAATATAATTCAATGGCTCTGAAATCGAAGTTGAGTCACTATGCCGAGCGATGTTTACCCCAATGGCCGGCGCGGGGACGGTGGACCACACAAGGTGACAGGTCGCGATACTAAGCGAGGGCGGCGGCGGACTGACGGCTCCGTATCAGTGGAGGCGACTATGGGATCCGCTGTCTGATGGGGAGTCTTGTATTTCATAGCCGCAGCATTTATTATAATAGTGAAAAATAATAAAGCTGCTGCCGTATAATATAAAGAGATCTATAAGTTAGATAGAGCCAACAGATGCATACAACCAGCAACAGCAGCCAAATCCCTTAAATCACGTGTTGGCAATTATCGTTATCAACAGATGTCCAGATATAGATTCCTGGTGGGGTGGACAGGGATGGACGTCATTATTGATTGACTTGCCTCCCCAACAGTCCAGCCACGAATAGAGATTTCACCATTTAAGCCGTAGACAGTAAGACAAACTCTTCTCTGAAGTCTCTAGAAGTACAAAAAGTATTCCTGATACCTATGAATAGCGTGAGAGTAGGAAATCTCAAGTATTTTGTAAATATCTTGACTTAGACGCCCTGCTGCAGTCACTGTGTAGCGCGAGTACTTGAGTAGGTTTCCGTGGACACCAGCACCACACCCTTGGACGCGCCGCAGTCGAATGTCCAGGTTGTTACTGTCACCCCTCTCTCCAGATTCAGAACCTACACAGTCACTTCTCTCGAAAGAAAATCTCTTTCTAGGCGGATTCAATCTCAATAATCTTCGTTTTCAACCTCTAATACTACAATCGTGAGCATGGAGAAAGTCGACCAAGCTTCCGTGAACTCAATCATGAGTGCACAACCTGCCGGGCCTCCTGATGGGACGGGTGAGCTTCCACACTTGCTGAACGATAACACAAGAGCTAACTTCTACGCAGGAGTTATCAAACTCGACCCATGGCTCTCCCCATTCAAAGAGGCCTTGAAACAGCGCTTCAGCAAAGCTCAAGACTGGATCTCGGCCATCAACGAGTCCGAAGGAGGTCTCGAACAGTTCAGCAGAGTCAGAGCTCTCCCACCCTCCTCATTTCGAACATAAACTCATTATTATCAGGGATTTGAGAAGTTTGGATTCAATGTCGACGCAAACAACAACATAGTATACAGGGAATGGGCCCCCAATGCAACGGAGGCATTCCTTATTGGTGATTTTAGTCAGACCCCTCACCTCGTGTGAGCGTACACTGCAGCCGGCTAATACGGTAGTAGATGACTGGAACAGGGAAGAAATGCCCATGAAGAAAGATGCATACGGTGTCTGGGAGATTACAGTTCCAGCCAAGGATGGGAAGCCTGCGATTCCGCATAACTCGAAGGTCAAGGTAAGACCATGTTGCCTCGCTTTTAATAAAGTATTCTAACCAAGCATGACCGGTAGATCTCACTTGTCCTTCCCTCTGGTGAGAAGGTTGATCGAATTCCGGCATGGATCAAATACGTCACTCAAGACCTTTCGATATCGCCTGTTTACGAAGCCCGATTCTGGAACCCCCCTGAGTCCGAGCGATACGTTTTCAAGCACCCGAGACCGAAGAAGCCACAAAGTGTGAGAGTGTATGAGGCACATGTTGGAATATCCTCTCCAGAATTGAGAGTGTCGACCTACAAGGAGTTCACGAAGAACATGCTGCCCAGGATCAAGCATCTGGGATACAATGTCATCCAACTGATGGCAATCATGGAGCATGCTTACTACGCCAGCTTCGGATACCAAGTCAACAGCTTCTTCGCAGCTAGCAGCAGATATGGTACCCCCGAGGATCTCAAGGAGCTTATTGATACCGCACACGGATTGGGGATCGTCGTTCTACTCGATGTCGTTCACAGCCACGCATCCAAGAATGTTCTCGACGGCCTGAACGAGCTTGATGGCTCTGATCACCTATACTTCCACAGTGGCGCAAAGGGCAGACACGAGCTGTGGGACAGCAGGCTGTTCAACTATGCCAGCCATGAAGTTTTGCGCTTCCTCCTCAGTAACCTTCGCTTCTGGATGGACGAATATAACTTCGATGGGTTCCGATTTGACGGTGTTACCAGCATGATCTATAGTCATCACGGTATTGGAACGTAAGTTACTATATACCCTACCGCACTACACAAACTAACAAATTCAGGGGATTCTCTGGTGGTTACCACGAGTACTTCGGACCAGGTGTAGATGAGGATGGTCTTGTTTATCTCATGATTGCCAACGAGATGTTGCATAACCTGTACCCGGAGTGCATAACAATCGCAGAAGATGTGTCTGGCATGCCCGCGCTTTGTCTTTCACTATCTCTAGGTGGCATTGGGTTCGACTATCGACTGGCGATGGCAATTCCAGATATGTGGATCAAGATTCTCAAAGAAAAGAAGGATATCGATTGGGACATGGCGAATATTTGCTTCACTTTGACCAACCGTCGACATGGAGAGAAGACAATCGCATATGCCGAGAGTCACGACCAAGCGTAAGTCCCTCTTATCACTACTTAGGACACTTTCTTACAAAGACATAGACTGGTGGGAGATAAATCCCTCATGATGCATCTGTGTGATGCGGAGCTTTATACCAACATGTCAACCTTGACTGAGCTGACTCCGACAATCGAGCGTGGGATGGCGTTGCACAAGATGATTCGCCTCATAACACACAGTTTGGGCGGCGAGGGCTACTTGAACTTCGAGGGGAATGAGTTTGGCCATCCAGAGTGGCTCGACTTCCCACGAGAAGGAAACGACAACAGCTTCTGGTATGCCAGGCGTCAACTCAATCTCACGGAAGACAAGCTCCTCAGGTATGGATTCTTAAACGAGTTCGACGCCAGGATGCAGCACACCGAGGAGAAGTACGGATGGCTTCATTCCGAGCAAGCATACATCAGTCTGAAGAACGAAGATGACAAGGTCATCGTCTTCGAGAGGGCTGGCCTGTTGTTCATCTTTAACTTCCACCCAGAGAAGAGCTACGTAGATTATCGTGTCGGTGTCCAGAAGGCCGGTACCTACAAAGTAGTGTTGAACACCGACTCCACGGATCTCGGTGGCTTCGAGAGGATCGATGCCGGCAGCCGTTTCTTTACCACGCCATTCGAGTGGAATGACCGCAAGAATTTCACCCAGGTGTATATCCCAACACGAACTGCCATTGTAAGTATTTTTTTTATTTTTCCGAATAATATTTTTATGCAGAAAACTAATGCATTGCAGGTTCTCGCGCTGGAAGAGACACTTTAGGCCTCTAATTTTAAATTCGCTACCTTTCGTATTGTAATTAGAATTTTTCATTTTTTTGTGAGCGAGCTTGGAAAAATATTTAGTGTTAGCTACAACATTCAGCGATCTTAGTTCGTTCATGGAAAATTATAAAAGGGATATCTGTCTCCTGAATGTTGTTTTTGTACAGCCGAGATAATTAATGTCCTTCGTCCCGGAGGCCCGTGAGACAAAATCCGTTTTCTCCTATTAATCCGACTCAACCGGGACATCCCGACATCACGTGAATTTGCAAAATGAACAGATATCTGTCCTCGGGCTGTATGAATTAAAATTTATCTCTAAAGACTTCATTCAGCAATATGAGATATAAAAAAAGCATCCGATCTGTATAATTCAACGATAGGTATGGGATAATCTCCGAGATGAGAGGCCGAAGCGGCTGTTGTTGACATACTCCGTAGGGACTTAGTCTGCCAAGATATTTTAAGCGAGCCAGAGAGTCGATTTCCGACTTTCACGACAGAACTCATCTCCTACCTCAAGACCGTCTCCCATTACCTCCATCTCCCCATCCACATATTACATCGCTCTTTACCATCTGTCAAGATGTTCAAGAGGTGCGTCTTACCCCATTGAAGCTCTATTTAACCCCCTAGGACTCCCCGTTGGATCAATTGAGCTGACTCGGCTTTCGGCTATAGCGGACTTCTCAAAGCTGTCCGCCCATCGGTGGCAGCAGCATCGCGCAATGCCCTTCGCCCAGCTGCTCGCACTGGCCTGAAGGCCACTGCTGCACGCTTTGCCAGCACTGACGCGTCGTCCCACGGCAAGATTCATCAGGTCATTGGTGCCGTTGTTGATGGTAAGCTAAAACTCTGATGGGGAACGCCGAGAAGCTTCAAAAGACATCAATCCATCTCAATTGATGACTTCTCGATCAATAAAACACTTGCTAATGGTTTCCCGTAGTCAAGTTCGACACCGACAAGCTTCCCCCGATTCTCAACGCTCTGGAGACCCAGAATGGTGACCAGAGACTCGTCCTCGAGGTCGCTGTACGTCCACCCGACAATCCATCGAAAACATCAAAATACAATTGCTGACATTAAGGATAGCAACATTTGGGAGAGAACGTTGTCCGTTGTATTGCTATGGATGGTAAGCTACAATTGATTTTTTTCGACCAATTTCAACAAAACGCTAACATCTGATAGGTACCGAGGGTCTCGTCCGCGGTCACCGTGCAACCGATACCGGCAACCCCATCATGGTTCCAGTCGGTCCCGAGACTCTTGGTCGCATCATGAACGTCACTGGTGACCCCATTGACGAGCGTGGCCCGATCAAGACCGCCAAGCGTTCTTCCATCCACGCTGACGCTCCCCCTTTCACCGAGCAGTCCACTAGCGCCGAGGTCCTTGTTACTGGTATCAAGGTCGTCGATCTCCTCGCTCCCTACGCTCGTGGAGGAAAGATTGGTCTCTTCGGAGGTGCCGGTGTCGGAAAGACTGTCTTCATTCAGGAGCTGATTAACAACATCGCCAAGGCCCACGGTGGTTACTCCGTCTTCACTGGTGTCGGAGAGCGTACCCGTGAGGGTAACGATCTGTACCACGAGATGCAGGAGACCAAGGTCATCAACCTTGAGGGAGAGTCCAAGGTCGCCCTGGTCTTCGGTCAGATGAACGAGCCCCCGGGAGCCCGTGCCCGTGTCGCCCTTACCGGTCTCACTGTCGCTGAGTACTTCCGTGATGTTGAGGGACAGGATGTGCTTCTCTTCATTGACAACATTTTCCGCTTCACCCAGGCCGGTTCCGAGGTGTCTGCCCTCCTTGGTCGTATCCCATCTGCCGTCGGTTACCAGCCAACCCTCGCCGTCGACATGGGTCTTATGCAAGAGCGTATTACCACCACCACCAAGGGTTCCATTACCTCCGTCCAGGCCGTCTACGTGCCTGCTGATGATTTGACTGATCCCGCTCCTGCCTCCACCTTCGCCCATTTGGATTCCACCACTGTGCTGTCCCGTGGTATCTCTGAGCTTGGTATCTACCCTGCCGTCGATCCCCTTGACTCCAAGTCCCGTATGTTGGATCCCCGTGTCATCGGACAGGACCACTACGACACCGCCACCAAGGTCCAGCAGATGCTCCAGGAGTACAAGTCCCTCCAGGACATCATCGCCATTCTCGGAATGGACGAGCTGTCTGAGGCTGACAAGCTTACCGTCGAGCGTGCCCGCAAGGTCCAGCGTTTCCTGTCTCAACCCTTCGCTGTCGCTGAGGTATGTTATCCCCAGTAACCATTTTCACGTAACAATTACTAATTCCTTCACAGGTTTTCACCGGTATCCAGGGTACCCTCGTCGACCTCCCCAAGACCATCGATTCGTTCAAGCGCATCATGGCTGGTGAGGGTGACAACCTTCCCGAGAACGCTTTCTACATGGTGGGAGACTTTGAGTCTGCGCGCGCCAAGGGAGAGAAGATTTTGGCTGATCTTGAGAAGTCCGACTAAAGAGTTAATTGGGAACGGAGTGGCGATGGTAGTATAGCACTTAGTGTACAGTAGATTTCAATCAAATGCTCATACTATAGAAAAAATTTGGTATTTTTAAATTTGTTTCTTCGGAATCTTTATTCAACCGCTGCAAACTCTGAGTGACTTGAACGGTTTTTTGGCGTCGGGAGCAGGGAGTCGTCTGAAACCATGTCTAATATATTTTTGTGGATATTCATCTACGACAGAGACTTATTTTGTCCATCTACGAAATAACGTCTCAAATGGCCCATTCGTCCCACCGGAACCCATGGATGGGACAATGGAGAACAGTCACGTTGAGGCTAGAAATGGATCATAAATCCTGTTATGGATTTAAGCGTCTACAGCAACTATGGATGGGGCTTTGGATAACAGTCACATTGAGGCTAGAAACAGATCATGAATCCTGTTATGGGTTTAGGCGTTTATAACAACTGTAGATAGGACTACGGATAACAGTCATCGTAAGGTAAGAAACGGCTTATAGATACTATTATAAGCAAAACGGAAGTGAAGCAAACAGAGTGATATGAACTTGAAGCAGGCAGAATGAGAATGATGTAGTAAGGAGAGGATGAGCCATAGGACGGACATCTTATTACCAGACCCTGTCCCCTTCTGTCTTCTGTATTATATACTAAAAAAGGGAATAATGTTGTGCTGCACCAGACCCTCCACCTTTCTTTACGCATGTCGTCTCTACTATCGTCTCAATATTCCGTTAACTACTATAACATATAACTAATGTATTAGAGGTAAGAATCCCGTCAGCTCTGTTATACACAAGCTTGTAATCTACTTGCTTATTAATCTCAATTGTGCCAATAGGTATAGCGTGAAATATGAGCCCCTTGCTGCCTTTAGAGTGATCTTAGGTTGAGCCGAGTGGTGAGCAGGGTGAGTGGGTATAAGGCGACACAATGTTTTTGTGTTAATTTTGTGTTAGTCTCGGGTCGATATTGTAATTGTACAAGAGTGTGGCTGTTTTAGCTTACATACTTTGTTTAGGTGCCTTGCTCCTGTAATCTATGCGCTATAAATCTAAGTCATGTAAGCTAAGCCCCCTAAAAAGTATAGAGGTGCTATATCAAACTACAAGAAGCTAACGTAGGTGATTACTATATTATGAAGTTTATATGATTTAGAGATTTAGAGAAGGAACCAGATCTCCTAAACCCATATACCCTACAGCTGCCCTCTTCTTATGTGAGACGTGACATAGTATTGACTTAAGCAACATATAGGGGTCTTTGTGAGGATCTATTGCTACAGAGGCTTTCTCTCGTGGCTCATAACTGCGGTTAGCACGAACCCCTAACCGCCTGGGTGTTGGCGTAGCATTTGTTATCGCTGCCATCTGCACACTGGAAGCCCGATTGCGCGACAGCCCTACAGGCTTCTTCCCACTGATCACCCATAATGTTATCATCTGGTGTCACTTGGGTGCACTGTAAAAGGCGGATATGTAAGCAAAGAGGAAAGTAAAAGGAAGTCGGGACTGGAATGAGGATAAGATAGAAGATATACATACTCGCCCAGAAGGGGTTTCATAGGCAACGTTGCCGTTCTAGAATTCCTTAGTGTTAGCACAGTTATAGAGGCTATTAGAGGAGTTGACAAAGGCCAATGGCTAAAGATGGTAGAAAGGGGGGCAAGTTGACATACGCCGAAGGCTGCTTCAGCGTACTTGGTACAGGCCAAGGTTGTTATTCTCCAGTTGTAGGAGTCGCCGTTGTGGCATGTGCAGCTACTATGTCGATCGGCCATGCTAATAAGCTATACATTAGTCCATTTTGTAGTGGAGGTGATATGTAGTAACAAGGATAGTCATACCTAGAAGAGACGAATAGAGCCATGGCGAATAGGCTGGTGATGTTGGTTGAGAACTGCATGTTTGGATTGGAGCAACGAATGTAGGTAGCGAGTGACAGAAGAGATAGACTTCAAAAGTGAATGAGATGTCACGAGTTAGTGATAACCTAAGGCAAACTTCTTGGGGGGAGGCTCTACGAGCATATATAGTTCCTAGCGAGTCGCAAGTCTACATCTCCGCCTAGCACATACATCGCGATAACCTTAAATAGGACAATAGGGACTGCTCATGCGTGTTGCATTAACTGCAAGACAATATCATAATTAGTACGTCCGAATCCGGTTATAGATCGACCGGCTGCGCCTCTGTGTTTGAGTTGCCGGACCGAGATAGGATGTTACTAGACCGACTTAATCTTAACTATACGACATTATATGCGATATTTACATAAACTACCTTTCACCCATTGATGTTAATAGAGTCATTATTAATTACACTACCCTGCTAACCTTAAACGCGGGGTGTGCATTAACGCCAACTTATTAGAAGATGGACATAGCCACGATCGATCGGTCCAACTCCACCTATATCAGCCACTTTATTGCTCATGCGGCTCGGATAGGCACAAGGGGCAACGTCTGTGAAACAAGCCCTCGACTTCACTTAGATTATGCAACGGATCCACTACCACATACCTTCTCTGTACAGAACGGGAGACGGGACTTCACCATGATAGCTCTAGAGGTTATGGATACGGGCCAAAAGATTGGAGTATAAGACGACGACCATGGACGACGACTTTGACATCACCAAGCCCCAACCACATTCGCTCACTCCTAAACTCCGTCACTCGTTTCTTGGCGTTCGCTCCAAAACCACCTCTAAAGCATTTTAAGGCTCTGAATCTAGATATTACATACCCCGTCTATTAACATGCTCCTCACACAATATATTATCCTCACCTTCATGTCCCTTGGACTCGTCCAGGCATCTCCCACGGCTCCTCATGATAGTCCGCAACGCCTGTCTTTCGACGATGTTGTTCTGCTCGGCAATGATGGAAGCAGCAAAGTCCTTAAGGAGTCCGAGTACAATAAGCTAGCCGCCCGCAGTAACGTTACGCCCAACACCTTGGCCCCCCAGATGCGCCAAGTTCTTAACCGCCGGGGCTGCGAACAGAGCACTGAGATCGAGGTTATCTCGGACACCCAGTTCACCAACTCCGATGTAGCCATGTCTCCCGTCGTCAACTCAGCGGGCTCTGACAGTGACTCATTGGCTGTCTCACGAGGCTATAGCATCGCAAATAGCGTCACTGTTACCGCAGGCGCTGACATCACCCTCGTGAAGGATATCCTAGGCCTTAGTTTCTCTATCGCATATGCGCAGACCTGGACGACAACAGACACTCAAACTTTTACATTTTCCGTGCCCGATAACCAATATGGTCTCATTGTCAGTCAACCACTAGTCCGCCGTATTTTGGGCCAGACTATAAGCGGTTGTACTGACAACCCCACTCGCACCGACTTCACAGCGGACAGCTACAGCAGCAAGGCATTTGGAGGCCTAGACTGGGTGACTGGCATTATCCGCCTATGCAACAGTACTACTTACCCAGTGTCGTTCTGCAGTGGTGAAGGTGAACATTATTAAGATTTTAGGGAGGGGAACAAGAAGGTAGTTACGGGATGGAAGTAGAGTGTAAGGCACTACTATATATGTTTCGGACCACTCACAGATAGATCGAGTTCGCGAATGGTCTAGGTCACTTGCGAATAAGCGACACACATAGGAGTAGCATATATAGTAGGAATATAATTAATTTACTAGTATAATTCCCCGTGTACATATGAAGGATAACTGGACTCTGTACCGCTCATGCAGATACTGATAATCGTCTGAGCACCAAATATAGACCATTAATATTTCCAGATCTTTCTAAGTAACTAAGTACTTGTCCTGCGTGTTCAAGCTTAAACTAAGTTTATTCTTTAAAGTCCTGCTAATGAACTGCAGCGTCTGTTAGTAAACTTGTGCTAAGAGGGGTGTAGGGAGCATACAGAGGAGACATCATTAACGAGCTCTAGGTCTAACCTTAAATTTGTAATATGCCTCTAATAACCTACAAATCTAAACTAGAGTGTAGTAATACTATTAATGGTTAGGAGCTTGTTAATTCAGCTATATTGTGATTAAGTGTAATATTCTATAAAGTTGTTATATACTACTACATTATATTATAGTAATTTGTCCACTTATAGCCCCTTTATAGCAAGAAACCTATTTTAATATCTCTTAGGATTTTAAGGCAGTATGAGTAATATTACTTATTATAGTAATTATAAAATTTAAATATTCCTTTAATTATGGCATTCCTAAGTGCCTTAGATATATAACGATTTTCGTTTTAAGGAAACGTAAAAACATAGGATAGGTTAGGGATATATACTATATGACACACACGTAATTATTCCCTTTCCTACACAAAAATTTGTTGGTATAAGAGACACAGGCTGCTCATAGGGAACGGTAGACGACCCCTGGTATGCAGGTTCTCATGCGGAAACGGCAACGGATGCCATCATATGTCGATCTTTGAGCAGATTGTCATTGTTTATGGCTTTGCGGATCGTAGCTGCGAAATTACTGCTGTTGCTAGTGTTGTTCTCGTCGATAGACCTTCTTGCTGTCGAACCTTGTCGCTGCGCCTCTTCTCACTACTGCTCCTTCTC